TTTGAGCGTAAAACGCTATCCGATATTGCTTTGCTAAGCGCTTCATCGCAATCAACTTGCGGTCTAGCCGCAATCGCTTCTACCAGCGCAATCGCATAAGCGCACTCGGTCCATCACATACAGGATCTTGACTCATGGGAATCACTTCTCGATATTCCAAGTATACCCTGCTCTTGCCATCTTTTCCGCGGGTGTGCAAGCAGGTCTTTGCCTAGCACTGCCGGTGCACAGATACCACTCTGGCAGTCTTGATATACGGTCCCTCCAGTAACTTATGGTGATGCCATTCGATGTCAATCGCGGTCCGGAGGTCTGTAAGCGTATGCGCAGCCACGACGCGCTGCGCTGTGATCTGCGATGAGCATGCCCGGAGGACGTCAGGACATGAAGCCGGAAAGTGGAGATGTGTCCCATTTTGACTTGGCAGGCAGGTGCGCCCACCGGATCCGAAAGCAGCCCTCCTTCCTCCAATGTTGCCGCCGTGTCGTCCTCTTGCTGTTGCCATCACGACTGACGATACCGCTCCTCCAGGACTACTGGTCTTCTTCATACTGTTGCTGGCCGTGTAGCTTTTGTGCTGGACGCCATTTAAGCCGCCACGCATTGAAGGAACAGCGGAGAGCCATGCTATGCCCAGAAGACAATCATAGGGCATTGCCCTTGCCCTGTCGGGCATCATGCTGCTTTTGATGATGGACTTAGCGACCTCAGAGTCCCCGTTCCCGGAGGCTATGATCATGGCCAGCCAGTGTGTTGAGTCGACAAGCAGACCCGTCCTGCAGTCCCTCCTCCACCCTGCAGGCCGATTCTACCGCCAGTTGTCCGCCGAGAGCGTCCTGATTTGGAGGCATATTGTCTGACGTCGGTGAATGCGAGCGGTGCTCATGCAATTGAGTGGATGTGCTGGATCGACGAGCCGTGCTACTCCCAAAAGATACCTACACGGCAAAGGCCTTGCCGTGTCGGGCGTTGTCCCTCTCCTGAGTATGGCTTGTCCGCCGCCCCTCCTCCATTTTGCTGACTAAGTCTACTGCCGGTGCAGTATTGGGACCGTCCTGCCACGAGGCATATCGTCTGTCATCGGCGAGAGTGCGGGAGTGCGAGAGTAGGAGTGGCGGACTGATTCGGTTGTGCGGTCGTGCTGTGTCGGAGCATGGTAGTTCGTGGCGACCATGGCGGATCTGGGTCGCTGCTCGCCACGCAATCAGCAGGCTCTGGCGCAAGTTCGTCCTTATCACGATGTGATCAAGCTGTGCGTGGTGGTGGCATCAGTTTGCGTGACGATGAAGGCAGGGCAATGAGGGCAGCGGAGCGCTGGCTACCATGACAGCGCTGGCATGAAGCCCTGGCTGCTCTATGCCTGCGGACGGCTCTGGCGGCTCTCGATCATTGCTCGCAAAATCTTGAGCGGTCGGTATTCTCGCTGCTTCCTCCTCGCCACAAGATGGCCCAGCTGCGTGCTATCATAGTGTTCGTTTGCGAGAGGACCCGTGCTGAGTCCCAAGGCGATTGTGGCGGCGCAGAGCTGGCTGCAATGAGACCACAGGCATGAAGCCGCAGCGACATGACTGGATATCCTACCGCAAGAACCGGCGACGCAGGCTCGTTGGCGGTCGGTATTGTCGCTGCTCATCCATCCGCACCACACGATGGTCTAGCCATGCGCTATGGTGGTGTTCGTTTGCGGCGGAAGCGCATTGAGCGTCAAGACGCTTTCGGCGGTGGAGTGTCGATTGTCATCAGATCACGGGCATGAAGCCGCCATCCAGGCTCGTGAGGAATTGGTATCGTCGCAGTTCGTCCGTCCGCGCCATAAGATGGTCTAGCCGTGCGCTATGGTGGTGTTCGTTTGCGAGGGCAGCGTATTGGTCGTGAAGGCGGTGGGGGCGGTGGATCGCTGGCTGCCATGAGACTACGGGCATGAAGCCGCCGCCCGGGCTCGTGAGGAGTTGGTATCGTCGCAGCTCCTCCGTCCGGACCACAAGATGGTCTAGCTGTGCGCTATGGTGGTGTTCGTTTGCGAGGGAAGCGTACTGGGCGTCAAGGCAGTGGCGGCGGTGGATCGTTGGCAGTTGTGAGCGAGTGATGGATCTCGTAGCAGCTTCGTCCTCAGCATGAGCTGGACCAGCGATGCGTTGCGGTGACGCTCGTCGTCAAGGAGATGCGTACTCCACGTCAGTATGGTGGGTGTATTGATGCGCTGGCTCCACAGCCATGAGATGGGCCCGCGGGCATCATGCTGCAACGATAAACTATTCCCTGGGGACAAAGAGTGACCTAGTGCTCACAGCTTCATGCCTGCAGACCAGCCCTCGGCACCGCTTTCAAATCGCTACTCCATAGCTACTCCATAGCTACTTATGAGATGGTGAGGATGCTATCGAAGATCACAGAGCTCTTGAGTCCTGCTCGTCTATCATGGGGTCAACTTTCGACCGTACCGGACTCGCGAGTGCCAGCGGCTTTCCGCTGAATGCATCGAGAAGCATCTCAAGGCATGCAGAACACTGCGGTATGGGCTGCCGGACAATCACAGCGACCCCCTCAAACCGCAACGACAAATTGACGACTTTGCGTTGCCATAAAGAGTGGCTGCAGTGCTCATAGCTGTCCAGTCCACGCCGACCGCTCCGTGCTACCTTCACATTGCTACTGTAGATCGAGAATACTCTTTGATGGCATTCGGCGCGTGAGCCATTCTGATTCATCACGGAACCATTATTCGACGGGCGTACGCCAGAGGGTTCTAGCAGCCTCACAATGGACGTGCCGAGAAGCATCTCAAGCACTCAGAACACTGCAGCAAAACTGCTCGATGTTCACAGCTGACCACCGAGGAAACTCTCGCCACTGCATGTCTCGACATTGCTGACAGATGTGCCGCGAGCCACGAATCCTTCTCATCATCGTCCATGTGTCTCCCACGTCGCCCAGACACAGCGACTGACAGAACGGCCCCCATATCGGAGGCCTCCCAAACTCCACAAATCGACCAATTCCACGCCCGAGACCTTCGTGCGATCCCCATACATCTCAGAAGACAGCTGCTGGTGGAGGAACAGCGGATCCACAACTTTCAACACAAAGAATACTGCGAAAAGTGACCATGGGGCTAACAAGGTCGGAGGCCTTGAACAAGTCCCCAGCAAGATCGTAGGTCCGCGGTGACACCAGGTTGCACGAGCCGGTATTGACACGGTAGGGCCTACAAGTGAGCGGGATGACACGAGGGATGTCAACGGAAGCACCCTCCGACACACTGACATCCATGACGAGCCAATACCGACTCTAAGACACGCCATAATCATCCAGCACTGCGGAAACCCGAAAACTGACCTGCTCACCTCACGAACTGGGCGGTCGAAATTGATCCAATCTCAACATTCGCGTATCGACTAGCTCTCAAATGCGGACGAGCGGTACGTCGATCTCGAAAATCAACACTACAGCGTCTTTGGCGAAGAGAGATGTTTGCCGTTGCACAAACAATAAAATACCAAAATTGGGAAGTGGGAAGAGGCTATGGTTTAACTGGACATTTTAAAACATAAGGGCTCTCAGAGATTTATGCTTCGAAAAACCTCTCACATGAGCACCCACAACATGTAGAACGGCCTCAAAGCAGGCCTGTAGGACATGAATGCACAAATGATTCAAAGAGACAATAAACAAGCTATCATGGCGTGCAAGTTACACATCACTACTTTCATGTGTGAAGTAGTACTCGCACATGCAGAGAGTGGCAGAACTGTCTCGTGAAGTACGGTGTCTTATACGGGGCTTGAATTCAAGACACACTCTTTGCTCAAAGACACTTCCAGCAGAGACAGTCTCCGGTGCTCGCGACTGGAAGGTGAATGGAATACAAAACCCAGAGTGAATTCACGAAACAGCTCCAGCATCTTCACCTCTTAACACTTAATCCCAACACCAAATATTGAGAACGCTCAACAAATCTCCTACGCACGCAAAAATGACAGTCAAGCACACTCTACACACCTACGGCTGCTTACACTTCGCTCTCATTCCGATCACACCCACACCCACACCCAAAACATCAGCCAGCACTACCACTCCCGACAACAACGAATCACCCAAAGACAAAGACTCCAACAAAACTCTCACTACCTTCGATGCCTTATGGCATACCCCGACAGATGTTCACACCACAACAAAGAGATTCTGTGGAAAATCCAAATGCAATCTTCTCAACTCGCGGAAACTGCGCGGCCGAGCTCGACACAGTCTTGATAATCTTGACGGATATCTCTCTGATGCTATGGAAAGATATATGGAACTCGGAATCGATTACCATAATATCCCCTTCCATGCTCGAGCAAGTATGAGTGAAGAAGAGATGTGTCGATTAGCGAACCAGCAATTCGGGATCGAAACTCGAGAGTGGGAGGATGATGGGTTTTTTGGGAAGTGGATTGAATTACAGAGGAGGGTGAAAAGGGTGAGAGGGGAGTTGGAGGAGTTAGATGAGAATTTGATTCAGGTTGTGAATTCTTGTAGAGCGTTGGTGGGGGAGATTGAAGGGACAATGCAGGACTTGGATTTTGGGGTGAAATATTTGGAGTATATGTGGTTGGAGCTTTGGGGTGGGTTTGATGGGGTTTGGGAAGGAGAAGGGGAAGGTTGTGGATCGGGTGGAGAGGTGGGTTTTTGAGAAGTGGAGGGGGAGGATTGGGGGGTTGAAAGATAGGTTCTATGTTGAGGAGGAAGAGTAGCAGTGATGGGGAAATCCGAGTTTCTTCTGATACTGGTAGAACTTGGTAGAGCAATGATGGTTTCGCATATCTGTGTGACTAAGAAAAAGGAAAGATAGAGAGTAAGGAGCGTTACAAGAAGAGAAGTACTTTCCATTTCGTTAGGGCTGAACATCTGGTCCACAGAGTCCGCCCAGTCATGTCATGTTTATGCTATGCTTATCGCTCAAACGCTCCATCTGAAGAAAATTCGTTGAAAGACATAATGAATGCTCACCGGTCCACTTACTATATCATCGGCACGCCTCCAGGTCCCGTTGGTGCCCGGTCACGACGAGCCTGTGCGCTCTTGAACCAGCGACGGCCAGTCTTGAAAGCACCGACAGCAGCAGCCTTCTTGCGCTTCTGGATGAACCACCAGACCTTGAAAGCCACGAACGAGACGATGAGGAGAGCAAACAAGGTCAGCGCAATGATCATGTTGCGGTAGTGGATCTTGTAAGTGTGCAAGTTGGCTTTGACCTTTTCAAGCTCCTCGGTGGCGTTGTGGCTGTCGTTGCCTTTGATGCTCTTGGGTCGGTCACTGTCATTGTCATTGGAGTTGGCCAATTTGGAGACAGTGGTTGGGTACGGGTAGTCCCAGGTTGCGCTGGAGCTTACGAGTGTTGCCATAGTGGTAGGAAGAATAGAGTCGATGGTTGGGGTAGAGCTCTTTGTCATGGACTTTTCTGTCAAGACTGGGGTTGGTGTCTTCTTTGGGGCAGGCTCCTCGTCCTCGTCATCAGCCTGAACAGCAGTTGCGGTAGGTCGTGGCTTGGTCTCCTGGACCGTAGTGAGAGGCTCGAACTCAGTGTCGTCCGAGTCGTCGAAGTCGTACATTTTTGGCGACATGTTTGCTGGTGAGGGAAGTGTAGTGAGTTGCGGATGCAATTCTGTGTGTGTGCGTGAGTTGTGTCTTTACTGCCGGAGTAAAGTGTTGCTTTTGACTCGTTGCGGAGGAACTGTGGTGAAGAAGAGTATGGATATGGCTCTGGGTTATAAGTGGGAGGCATTGTGAATACTGAGAACAAAGAGTGAAAGAGGTCACCAGGCTGTCGTGAATGGGCGCAGATGAATGTTCATTGTCCCTCAAATTGTGACAATGCAGTTCATTGTCTGCTGCTGTTCTTATTGTGGTATGACGTGATAGCGCCATTGTACGCTTGGAGATGGCGGAGAGGCGGAGGTGAGTGTCTCAGGTCGTCTTCACGACAATGCTTGGCAAGAATCGGCCAAGCACGACCCTGGCAGCTGGGCGGCGGATATGCAGCCACGGCTCGCGGAGGAAGACGTCAGGAGAAGAGGATGATAAGACGGTTCGCGTGGTCGCACTGCACGCCTTCTCCTCGTCTCTCGCCCGCCCACGAACGAACCGACAGGCAGAAGATGCGCAAGAGGCGGCGGCCATCTCTCACCGAACCTCCGAGCGCGTCGCAGGGCTGAGCAGGAGAGAGCGCGACGGGCGTTTCAAACCCAGTGGGCCACGATGCTGATTTCGGCCGCTTCGATTCACAACCGCCTCGTGCAGCTGGGCCTCGCCGTCGCCATTGGCCTCGCCCTCACCTTCGTCTTCCTCCCCACCCCCATCTCGCTGCGCCGCCATGTGGTCCGCCCGCACGCCGCACCCACCTTCTCCATAGCGCCACGACCGGATCATCCCATCGATACGCTGACGTCCCGTGCGGACCACGCGTACAAGGGTCTATTGACCAGGGAGACGAAAAATGTCCACGACGCCGCCGAAGCATACCGTTCGCGTAGAGGACGCCAGCCACCGCCACTGTTTGACGTGTGGTTTCAGTTCGCCGCCAATTCTTCGGCCGTCATAGTCGAGGACTTCTTCGACCGCATCTACGATGATCTGGAGCCATTCTGGGGCGTTTCGCCCAAGCAGATCCGCGAACAGGCCAGCGACTTCATTCACAGGATTTCCGTGCGGAATGGCAATGCAACTGGCAGGACAGACATCGAGCGAAGAGAATGGATAGAGCTATGGACAGACATGGTGCGGATTGTGGCGCCTCTGCTTCCAGACATGGACATCCCCATCAACGTCATGGATGAGAGCCGCATTGTTGTTCCGTGGGAGGAGATCGATGGCTACATGACCAAGGCGGAGCTGGCAAAGAAAGTCGTACCGCCAAGCGAGTTGAAGACAGATTTCAGTGGGCTTCAGGCTGCGATCAAGGACATGGATAGACATCCTCCGCCTGCTTTCGATGCAGGTTTCGAGGGCGAAGGTCCGTACTGGAGACTTGCAGTCGTTGGCTGTCCACCAGAAAGCCCAGCGAGGAAGGTATATGAGGAGACTGACTTCTCCACGCCCCCTCCACTTTCCACGCAGAGTCCGCCTAACACACTGGAGGGCTATGTACAAAACTGGACGTACGCATGTTCGCCCTGTGACCATCCTGACCTACAGGGTCTGCACGGCACGTTTGTCGAGCCCATCTCGATTGCGAACACGAAGAATTTCTTTCCACTTTTCGGAGGATCCAAGTTGCCCATGAATAATGAAATATTGTTGCCACCCGCCATGTACTGGACTACAGACCCGTTCTACTCGGGTGGCAATGACCACGGAGGTGTGTGGGAAGACAAGAAGAACAAGCTCATCTGGCGTGGCTCGGCCAGTGGCGGGAGGAACAGGAAGGAGAACTGGACCCGGTTTCAACGTCACCGCTTCATTTCAATGCTGAACGCCACCAGTATCAAAGAACTCGAGCAAAAGTCGGAGCAAAAAGGCATCAACTTCGTATTGCCTGACAGCGACGCTTACAGCCTTACTGTCCAGAAGCCGGAGGCACCCGAGCATGCATTCAGCGACTGGGTCGATTCCTTTTCTGACGCAGCTGCTGTGCATCTGCTTTGCTTTCCTGAGGATCCGCCAGGACCACACTGCACATATACTGACCATTACTTTTCGGTGGCCAAGGCCATGCCCATGAAACAGCAGTACAGCAACAAATACTTACCAGATATCGATGGCAACTCGTTCTCGGGACGCTATCGCGGCTTCTTGGGGTCGACCTCCCTTCCCATCAAAGCAACGATTTATCAAGAATGGCATGATTCTCGGCTTGTTCCATGGAAGCATTTTGTGCCGATGGACAACACTTTTATTGACATATATGGCATTATGGAGTATTTCGTGGGTAATGAATTGCTCGGTTTGGCCGGGCACGACGATGTTGCGAGAAACATAGCATTGGAGGGCAAAGCATGGACGGAAAAGGTGCTCAGGAGGGAAGACATGAGCGTGTACGTACTACGCCTGCTGTTAGAATATGCGAGGATTTGTGACGATGATCGTGAGAGAATGGGCTGGACAGAATCACAGATCAGTGATGATGCTGTAACATAGATTGTGTACATTGGAGACAGAAAATTCTTGTATCCTTCTTAGGTCGTTTCCGGCCATTTCGTTACACTGGCATCCCAGACGCAGAGCGTTTCGGAGATTCACAATCACCACTATCACCATCGATCCGACTTACGGAACGCTGGTCGACGGCCACTCGAAGGACAAAGAAAACACCATGGCATTTACGCGGCACTGGCGAGCATTGTTTGCGAGCCGATCCTTTGACAGTTATGAATAGATATCAGTCATCCCCACTGATCACGAACAAAGCTGCCGGACAATTGGAGTTGTCTAAATGAAAGGCATGGCCTACAACGAGGTCTCGAAACAGTCATCGTTCAGGCCTCTTCGAACTTCACGTCTATCGCACGAGCTGGTCTCATAGCACTCTTCCTTCAATTACAGCCTATTCCACTTTTTAATCGAGCGAAGCATACATAATATGCAAGTCAACGGTACCGCACACTCTCTCCGAAGGACAGGACCCTCCATTTCCAAGGCAATGATTTCCGCTCCTCTCGAGCTCACGCAGGCCGTGAAGCCAGCAGACACAGCAAAGGTGCTTGTCAAGCAGAAGTCTCTTAAATCACCTCCTCCCGCCTCATGTAAACCACAGCTCCTCTCCCCAACACAGAAACCCACCCGGCCTCTCGTGGAGTCTCCCTCCGCAGACCGCCGCCACTCCCTCGAACTGATCCGCAACATGTGCCTCGAGATCGACTCTTTTCTCAACGACGTGAAAGATCACGGATATGTCTTGCATGCTGACGAGTCAAAGATTGCCGACCGATTAGAAGAGCTCGAACATCACGAGCATATTCTCTCGCCAATTGCCGAGACACCTGAAGTGCCCGGAGGTTTCAATCCTCTAACGCTGACGTATAGTCTACCGAAAGCGAATCTTGCGACGAAGCCGTATATGTCTGTGTCGTTGGCAGAGAGAAAGTTGGAACTTCCGGTGAAGAACCCGGCGAGGGAGCGACCGACGAATGTTTGGAGGAATTTGGGTTCGAGGAAGTATTTGTTTGTTGATGAGGGGAGGGTTGTGCGTAAGTAATATGAATATTCAAGTTCCAAGTTGTGCGCTTTCACGCATGGTTCTTCACATGTTTTTTATCAATTTTCATCTGTTTTCACGCATGTGCTTTTGAGCGCAAAGCTCACTTGAGCCAGCATCGAAGAAGTCTTAGATCTCAACACCTCACTAGCACACTCGTCAGTTCAACCACATGTTAACACATGCTTCTCATATTCCATATGATGGAGATGTCTTCTTCCCGCATTCACTTGAGCCCGCTCCCTGCAAAAAGCTCAATGGTATACCCCTTCTCCCCCATGTCTGCCCTTCCTTTCCACATCCACATCTGCCCTTCACGGCAGCATGGCCGCCAACGATGCGGTTAAAGAGGCGCCATCCGCCTATGGCTTGCCCTCCCCTTACAACCCGCAAGGAACCAACATGGCGGGCATCGCGACAGCCACAGCAGTAAACACAGTTTCGATGTGGCCGGTCACCACGATCGGCACATCGACCTCCTATGTGCCTATCCCAACAAACTGTTGGGTGGTGGGCATGGAAACAAAGTGTGTTCCAAATCCGCCTCCTCCTCCGGCAGCGGTTGCTTCAACACCAGCTCCTGCAATCGAGACCACGACAGCAACAGCGGTACTTACACTCACGTCGCATGGAACGACGAAGCCTTCGGCAACGGGCACCTCTTCTGGTTCGGAAGCTTCTTCAACACAGTCGATGAATCCCAGCTCGATCACCCCATCTTCAACCACCCCGCCACTCCCAGGCTTCACAGGAACTCCAGACGAAGGAGACTCAAGCGCTCGATCGCGTCAAATTGGCGTCGCTCTAGGAATATCGTTCGCTCTTCTCCTCGCCTTTCTCCTGATCTGGGCTTTCTTCGCTTGGAAAAACAAGCTCTGGCCTTTCAGAAAACCAGACGCTAGTAATGAAGAAGCAGCATTCCCCATGGAAAAGATCGATCGCAACAACGACGCTCACTTGACTGGCGGCGCAGCAGTCTTTCCCAGACGAAAGTCCTTGCGACCACAATCCCAGTCTTCCTCAACTCGAATCCGGCCACCATCTTCGACGTATTCACAAGATCTCAATCTCGAGAAGCGAAACGAAGCTCCCTATGAAGCTTGGACCGATACGATGAGTAATGCCAGTCGAAACCAACCGCAGGCTACCAGAGACTTCATCGATGGCAGGGGTTCAGGGATTGAAGATCAGTCTCCGACGTCAGGACACAGACCTTTCTCCGGAAGCAGCTTCGCAAGTCTCTACGATCCGATGCCTCCAACACCTCCACCGACCAGTCCTCTTCCTCCCATTCCACTCGCAGCAGCTCTTCGCCAGCCGTTGACAGAGCGCCAGCGACGAAGCATGATCTACAGGTCGAACTTCCCAGACAGTCCAGTGATTGCGCAAGAAAGGGGATTTGATCAGGGACCTTATCAGAATGGGATCCTCAACAACGACGCCATGGAAAGTCATTGGAGTTTGCAGAGGATGGGAACTCCATCGCCTGTAGATGGGCCGTTTGATGAGGACATGAAGGTCCCGGGAAGTCCACTTGATCGAGTCACGGGGTTCGAGTATCTGTACTCGATGCCGAAGCATAGAGACAGTAGAGCTTGACAGGGGTCGCCGGGTACCAGTGCAAGTATCTCAGAGGACGTGTCGTTTGTTCATCTGTAAGAAAAGCGAATCAGACCTTCAGACGTTGACGTTCATCAGTTTTATATACTTGGCCCAGAGTCGTACCCACGAGGATGAAAGTTACACATCAGAAACTCGAGATTGTATCGTGAGCCCTTCTTACTATTCACGTTCCTTTTGACGTTAATCTTGGAATCGAAGAAATCGCAGCACACCCTGAGCAAAAGATCTCGAGCTGCTCCGCCGCTTCCACTTCGGTAAGCAGCCGGGTGGCCGTCTCAATAACTGAAGGCAGGAAGAAAACAAAAAAAAATCCTTGGTAGATCTGTCCCTCGCCAGTCGTGCAAACGACCAACAGCGTCATCAGTCTTACTCATCGAGCTCGATGAGATCGTTCAGGTCATCGAGCTCGTTGTTAAGCTCATTCAGTACGTCCTCAGTGTCTAGCGCCTCCTGCCTCTCCGCTTCGAGCCATCGTCTCTCGTCTTCAGAGATGTGACCAATGCCATCTATATTAGCCGTCCATCCACTATCCGCGGAATCGAATATGACGTGCTGCACTGGCTCTCGTTCGTCGTATAAGTACGGAGGAATCGTAGTCCATCCGCGCCGAACTTCGTAAAGTATGGTAACACGAATGTCTTTCGTTCGCACAGACCGTGTGAAGCTATCGATGACTGCAATCATATGGGGTGAGTGGAAGTCCGAGGGTGGTCGGTAGCTGGACACCACAACACGGACATTTCTGAGGGTGCTGGAAGTGGCGACGCATTTGGCCAGGTGAGAGAATACCGAATTCGAAATGGACTCCGCATCTGTCACCCATGCTAGCGAGTCGAATGTTCTTTCTGAATGCGTATCAAGATCCAGCTCAAGCACGAGTGTCTGGAGGTTCGGGCTCGTTGACAGGATGGAAGCGTCCAGCGTATTGCTTGTTCCTAATTTGCCATGGATACTGACGGATTCCAAAACCTGCATTGCACTAAAACAATGCCTACCGGAGAACGCCGTGAGCTTTTCTGGCTTTCTGGGCCGATATGCGAACGTCTTGAGCGAGCATGCCTGCTGCGTTAATGCTTCAAAAAATTCGTCTTCGTCGTCTGACAGTAAGTCATTGCATGGAAGATGACTCCGTTCCCATTGATGATCGCGATTCTCTCCTATGCAAGTGTCAGCGCGTGTTGGGGCAATGAGGGAAATCTATGATATCTAAATCTGTGCTATCTTGTGATCATGACGATTCGTACCGAGATATAGGTGCTCAAGCGCGCGGGGCAGAGAAAGTATTGCGAGCAGGGCTCTTGAGTGGACGTTGCACTCAATCAAAGTCAGGCGCTTCAACGGTGTAACTTTTTGGCAGGCAGGGAAGTTCTCGTAGCCGAGATCGAAGTTCACGCAAGATATGGTCAGTTCTTCGAGACACGGGTGCAGAAAGAGACCAGGGAAGATGGCCATGGAACTCCAGTATCGGGTCTTTTCACCGTTGCTGTGTATCGTCAAGCGTTTCAGTAGCTGAAGAGGCGGCTGGGCGGCACCAACTGTTGAGGGCACATTGCTGCCAGAGCGCAGCAGGAGAGCCTCAATGTCTTGCTTGATGATCGGCCAATTCCCATCTTTGCTCCACTGCCGGTGGTTGCATGTCGGGCTCTCGATGATCAAGTCCCGCAAGTTGTGGGTAAGGCTAAGTATCTTATGGAATTTCTGCAAGCCTATTTCCTCGCGAGGTGTAGCCCGAAGCTCGATCTCGTGGATGGCAGTCGCCCGTTCGCGGCGGGTTTTCAGAGCCTGCAAGATGCGCTTGCACCCCTGGCCTGTCTGGATAAAGAGGCGTCGCCACAGCACTGATTCGGCAAGGGCCTGATAGCGCGAAGCTGTCACAGCCACATTGAAAAGAGCATCTGAGTCGTTGGACAGAAAGTCGATGATGAGGCCCGCCAATTCATCCGGAAGGCTATCAAGAGTGAGCGCCATGTTCTTCTCAGGAAGTTCGATGTGTGGAAAATAAGACACGACGTGGAGGCAGACGCGCCACGAAACTCAGTCGCGTCTCCCGACTGCCGACCACCCACCCCACCAGCACGCGCTCACCAGCGATCTCGCACCTCACTCTCCAAACACAATGGACGCCGACATATCAGACATCCTCGCCTCAGTCTCTGCCCCGTCCATCGACCACCGAACTCTCGATCTTCAGGCCCTAACGCGAGCATGGATAAACGAGCGAACATCACCAGATCTTCTTCCCTACCCCACCGATCTCATACAGCGAGCGAATGATGGCATCAAGCGGCAGATAGAAATCATAGAAGATATGACAGGGTCAATGGATCCCAGCAAGAACTTCACGTTGGTGATATTGCAGACAGAGCTGGAAAGAATGAAGTTCCTCGTGAGGAGCTATTTGCGGGCAAGGATAGCAAAGGTAGGAGATATGTGTCAGTTGGGACACATATGAAGGCTGAACAGTGCATGTGCAGGTCGATAAGTTCCCCATACATTACCGACAACGACTACTGCAAGCCGAACCTGACGATGAACCTCTGCTGTCAACATTGGAGTCGCAATACCTCGAAGCACATCAGTCATTACTCACTCAGCACTACCACGCCTCTTTCCTGTCAGTATTTCCGCAAAACTTGCACAGGATGGACGATTCGAGTGGAGGTGTGCACATGGTAGACAAGCCCGACGAGGATGCGGCAGTCTTTTGCAGAGTGCTGAGAGACTGCTATGTGGAGAGGCCTGTATACGGCGGAATAGATATGGTTCGAGGTGATATATGGGTCCTGAGATGGAGCAACATTGCAGAGCGAGTGAAACGAGGGGATGTTGAGCTCATATGAGGACTGTATTTGTTGCCTGGAGCCAAGGACCCGAAAATACCAAATGATACCCGGCACTTGTGCCAAGTTGAGAGCTTTTCATGCAGCAAATCTATACTCATAAGTCTTCTGATTCGCACAGTGTCGTGTGGCGATCAACGCCGCCCAGGCCTCTTCGGCCTTGCAAAGCCGCCAGTCTTTGGGGTTTCTGCTCCACTGCCTCCTTGGCCAGCGCTCTCGACTTCCCCGAACAAATCCGCTGTCAGCTCGCTAGGCTCAGTAGCCTCCAGAGACTTTGTCACTGTGATGCCAGCATCTCGCTCAGCAACAGTCCTAGTCCAGCTTTTGCCAGTACTGTAGACCATCCTCTCCTTGATTTTCGACGCGGTCGGGCAAGTGTACACGAACAATATCGTTGGCTTGCCGTCCGCAGCTTGGGTCGAAGGATGCGAATAGAAGCTATACCTAGGCTCATTTGCGCTGAGGAGCCCTGCGACCTGCGAGGGTTCGACGTTGTCATTCGACGAGTCGAGCATCAAAGTCTCGTCGGGCAGCTGATATTTCAGCTGCACAAGTGTCCCCCTACAGCCCTCCTCATTCAGCGATTGCAGAGCCTCCAGCACGCCTTCGCCAGTGGGCACATTGATCTTGTTGGGAGCATGACCCCGACGAGCAGATGTGCCCTGGGACTCCTGTGCTTCTGCATCCTTCACTCCTGCCAGCCCCGCCTCTTCTTCCGTCAATGGTGCCTTCAGTGCCTCATGTTGTTCATGCTTCTTCCAGCCCTCTGCTGTGAGCTCGCTTGCTTCTGTCGCAAACAAGGTCTGTCTGAACCTTTCAATGCCCAGCTCACGGACCAGCGTAAGACGAGTGGAGGCGAAGAGCATTTTCTGGCGCACGGGAGCAGCATTGGGAACGTATGTGATCGCAACGAAGCCATCCGCGGCGGAGGGTTCGACCTTGAGCAGGACATAAAGTGCCTTGTCAAGCTTCGCTTCCGCAGCGACTTGCGACAGGTCCTCGGTGAAGTCCTGCGATTGCAGTGGAATCATGCCTATGGGGATAAGCTTCTCATTCTCGATGCCTGCGAGCAAGGCCCGCTGGCTGTTGGAGGAGACGAAGCCATTGAAGGCATCGTGGAGCTCCTGCGAGGCTTGAAAGCATTAGTCAATGGTAGCTGGCGACTATATGAAGCTCCGTCGCCCACCTGAGATTCCGGACTGCATCTTCAGAGATGTTTGTATGGTGGAGGACAGGCAACGTCAGCGGGCATCGGAACGATCATCGGAAGCTTCGGCTGAAGCGAACTTTCCTCCACTGCACAACATCTTCACCATCAGCCATTGCTCCAGCCACAATCCATCACAAACATGTTGTTGAGCATGGCGAATAAGAATGAGACGGGCGCATATCTCTGCCAGCCCACGAATGTCTACAATGAATCAATTTGCCCTAATTGAGATTCAATCGTGTAAGCTTCGGACCGCGTACCTTTTGTCTATTGCCGAAGAGCTCTCCACTTCAGACCTCACATTGATCTTGCTTCCGACGATACTCAAAATCTCGCTATAGTCAATCTTCGCATTCTGAACAACAAAAACCTTGATTCTCTGCATATCTGAAAACTACAATTGAAGGCCATTGACCCTACCACAAGAATACATCCACCAAACGCCCATCAACAGCATCAACAGCAACAACAACAAAAAGCAACATCCTCCCAAAATGGACTTCCTAGTCGGCTCCTTCAACCAACCAAGTCTCTACCTCCTCTCCTTCGACCCATCAACCTCAACCCTAAAACTCATCAAAGAACACCCCGCAATCGGCGGCCACTCCTGGCTTTCCCTCTCCAAAGACAAACAACACCTCTACTGCACAGCCTGGACCTCCCCCAAACCCTCCTGCGCAGCCTACAAAATTCTCAACGGAGGCCGCAACATCCAATACCTCAACGCCAAACACGTCAAAGCCATTCCCGGCTACGTCTGCAACAATTCCACCCACGTCTTCTCAGTCTCCGGTCCCAGTGGCGAAGTCTTCCGTAAAGAAGCCGATGGCTCTCTCGGGAATTTAGTCCAAGAACTCGATTTCGTCACAAACCAGGGCTCAAATCAATCTGAAGCGCGAGGGGAAGTCGCGCATGGAGATTTTGGTGGTTTGAGGCATGGAGCGCACAGTGTCGATCTTTCACCTGATGGGAAGGCGTTGTATATTGCGGATATTGGGAGGAATTGTATTTGGACGTATAAAATCACTCATGAGAGAAGAGGAACGGATGATCCACCATTGGAATTTGGGACGAAGCATATCTCGCCTCGGGAACATGATGGGCCGAGACATACTTGGCCACATCCGAATGGGAAGATCCTCTACTCCCTTCAGGAGCACAGTAGCATGGTTGATGTGTTTTCCATTGCGGAGGATGGAGTGACTTTGAAGCACATTCAAGGTTGTTCAGTGTTGCCCGAAGGCAAGGATTGCAAGAATTATTGGGCAGACGAGGTCCGTTTCTCAACTGGACCAGATGCTTCGAAGCCGAAACACTTGTTTGCATCGAATCGTGGACTGGAGAAGGGTACGAATGGGTATGTGGCGGCGTACAGCCTCAAAGAGGATGGAACGCTCGCCGGCGAGACAGCAATCGATATTTGGGAGACGCCGACGAGTGGCGGAATTGCGAATGCCATCGAGCCGGCACCGTGGAGCCAGGCTCACGGCGAGAACGAGTATCTTGCCCTCTGTGACAGTGAAGAGGGCTGGGTCTCTGTCCTCAGATTTGACGGGAAGAAGATTTCCGAGGTGGCAAAGGTCAACCTGGGCAAAACTGAAGATGGAAAGGTCGTGGGAGCTGCCACACCTGTATGGCTATAGCAGAAAAGGTTTCAAGTGTCATCGTCATAGGGGAGATGAGACTACAGAGTGAAAGCAAGCTCTAGGATAGCTCGCACCTACGTATGAGCCTTGCTGTTGGTAACGCACAGATGATGACGGAATGCACGCCGCAAGAAGAGCACTCCTTCCGCTTCGGCTTCATCGCTGTGAATCCTTCTCCTGTCCGGTAGTTAGCATGAAACGCAACCAAGAGACAATGGGAGTCTTGGCGCACCATGTATCCCTACTGCCGGTCCAGACCTTGCCCTTCCATGGAGGACAGGATGATGGCAACGGCGATTTGTTGGGCTCGATCAACGGGGGCCACGACAGCGCCTAGAGATCCACACCCCCAGCATCATCAGAGCTCTCGAGGCCTGACTTGTCCTCGCTGTCATCAAGGCTGCAGACTGCTTCCTGCGTACCGAAGACACGTAACTTGTTTCCATAGACTCGCCAGAAGTCGCTGCCAAACTTCGGCATGCCGTCTGGGATGGTAACGTTTTCCGTCTGCATGTGAAACTTCAGCTTGCTGGGGTCTTTGTAAAACGGATCATCCTTTGCAGCAGGCCCGATACTCTCGTCGCCACGTCTCTTCCACTTGGCGCCTGCCACCGAAGGTGTGAAACCCACAGCTTCTGCGTTGAGTCCATTGCTTTGACCATTGGTGCTGTCAGTCACATCGTTTTGTTCATCGGCTCCCAGATCGATCTTCGCAACGCCGTTTTGCACCGAAGACGCCCGTCTATCGACCTCGACGTACGCGCCCTCTCGCTCAAGCTTGGCAGAAAGCCTCACTGCCACCTGAGCTGTGAGGTAGCTGTCGTAGCCGGCTTCGTGAAATGCCTGCACGTTGTTGTACTTCCCATGCTGTGGATCAGTCTCAACCACCGGCGTCTCAAGCGGACTGAGCTGCTCAGCGATCTGCTCCAGTGAGGAAGCTGGACTGATGTCACCGCAATTGTGCGTGCACATGTATTTCGTATCCACAATGGCAGGAAAGAGCTTGTGTAACTTCTTCTGAAAGTCCTCCACCGTGTCCGGAAGATCGCCAACGAACGTCCTGTAGATGTAGACAAGATCCAGAAAGCAATTATGACCTACCAAGACTCGCGGATTGCCACGCATCAAGGCCTGGGCACGATGGAATTGCGCTTTGTACTCGTTCAAGTCGACGAAGATGTCCTCGCCTGTGATGGCGTCTTTGGCGGATTCTTTGAGATCAAGACCCGATATGTTACCTCCGTGCAAGGCCTCAATTATCCAACGGAAACCCTTCTGCCTGTTGATCTGCTCTTCAACTCGTCGCTCACGATCCGCGGCCAGTCTGTCCTCGCGCTCTTTGTTAAAGTGCACGATTTGAATGGCGCCGCGCTTGCTGATGGTCACAAATTCCGGATACTCTGCACGTACTAGCTGATGGACCAATCTCTTCTCGAACCGAGTCAGCTCAGCGGGAACCTCGCCCTCCTTAAGGAACTGGGTGCTGGCTGGCAGAATCATCAGGTACTCGGGCGTGTTCATATTTCTCGACTTTTTCCAGGCCTCAATCTCGCCTCGGATGCGATCCATGAAAGCAAGTGCCTCGACTTCCGTCGGCTTGATCTGGATGTCCGCCACTGCACTCTTGTCCTGTCTCTTGGCATACTTCGCCCGAGCGTCCTTCGCTTCCGCCCGTGACAGATATGGCACCCCACGCGCGAATGGCCGGTTCATGTCGAAACCTACTGAGAGCAGGAACTCAGCTGCACCGGACTGAAACGAGAATATGCGCTCAACGTCAAGGCCCTTTTCGTTGATGACTGGTGACAGATCGAAATTGTAGGGTCGCAGGATGTACTTGTCGGAGAGAATGTCCTGTTCAACACACGTGATGCCGATTTGCAGAATCTGATATCGCTCCGCAGCGTCTTTGATTTCCGCATATCGCTGCTGCAGCGTTGGCTTGCCGTCGCCCCATTGTGCTTTGGTGGGCACGCCGGAAAGCTCAAGGTCAATGGCAACGAAATGGGATTTGCTGATGTCGGTGAGGATGTCCGGCAGCAACGGGTAGAAGGAAACCTTGTCGACGTCCATGCTGTGGATATGTTTGCGTGTAGTGATGTCCGGAGTCAGTTGCTGCTCATGTTCGGGAGTGGCAAAAGGACGAAGAAGCTTGAACAGGAAGTTGGAGAGCGCAGAAACGAAGCCCGTGGCAGGTGCAGCGGGAGGGCGTCGTGCTGTCCGAAGTGAACGTGTCGTCTGCACCTTCACCACCCGCTGCGACGCGCCGTTATCAGCAGAAGAGAAGTAGCAAACTTGCCTGCTCGGTCTGCAGGTGAGACGACTCAGTCTCAACCTGGCCAGAGCGGAAGCCACAGCGGACGACCACCGGCTCTGTGAAACACACACTGTTCGCTGCCAGCACAATCAGCGAGAGGCAGTGTCGACGCGTCAGAGAAAGTGTTGCTACCAACGCAAACACCTGGCGGAGCGGAAGTGAGCAATTGAGCAGGGATATCGATGTCATTCATCGCGTCTGCACGTGACGCTGTTCCGAGGCTCGCCGTCCCCGTGCAATCTACCTATAGCCGCCGATTGCGCGACACCAACACTCCTCACCTGGCGATGCCCGCATTGTCCACTTGACTCTGGACATCGTGCAGGTCGCGATGGCATCCGCGGGGACGGTCACATATCAGGATGCACTGAACTCGCAATACCTATCGAGCTCCATCTCAAGTCTGTCACGATCGCGATCGGCCAACACCCTTATCGTGCGGACCTACAAGCAGGCGACGCAGCTCTACCTCACGAAGCGATTCAAAGAAGCTCTCGAGACCCTCGAACCCATCGTAACCTCACAACAGCCTGGCGAAAGTGATGTGCTCGGCACGAATGGCGTTCACAGCGAGAGCCCAGGTGATGGCGCCGCGCTCGTCGCGCAGAGCTCCAAGGGTACCCGGACGAAGGTCTGGGTCTTCTACTTGAGCTTACTGCATGCGATCATCGAGCTGGGTGCAGAGGATGGCAAGAATCAGTTTGGATCAACGAAATGGAGACAATTGGCCGCCAAAGCAAGGGATGGAACAGTGTGGGATGAGATCATTCGGCTAGGCTATGGTGGGAATGAAGGAGACGTCGACCCTGACGTCGTCGTGAATCTGGCCACGCTCCTACTTGGACACATGCAGAATCAGAAGCTGAACCAACAACGAATCGAAGCATACCTCTCTGCGTCCGCCGATGCGGCCCAGCTCGCCTACCTGAACGAAGGCATCGCGACCCCCATGTCCAATGGCACGTCCTCGCCCAAAGAGCTGACCACACGCTTGAAGATCTTGGAGCTCTACTCACTGCACGTCCTGCCTGCCAATGAGGAATGGGAATATGCACAGCAGTTCATTGAGATGAGCGACATGTTGGACGAGGAGCGACGCGAAGCGTTTCTCCACGCTCTAGCAAGTCTCAAGGACGAGAAGGACGGCACGGCACAGCGCGAGCGCGAACTAGAAGAGCTGCGAGAACGTGAGCTGGAAGAACAGCGCGCAGCGGAAGAAGCTCAACGCAAAGAGAATGAACGTCGCGAAGAGGAACGCAAACGGGCCGCAGAGCTTGAGCGCTCACGTACCAATACTTCCAATGCCTCCTCTTCGTCCCGACCAACGAATGGACACGTTAAGAATGGCAATGGAGCTGCGAGTGCTTCACGAAATACTTCGCACGCAACTGCAAAGCCCCCAAGCAAGCCGCAGAAGAAGACGCGTGCTCCACCTCCCAATCTGTACATGCGCGCATCAACCGTCTTCTCCAATCTTCAACAGATGGTACTGGAAGCCAGTCGAGGAATAACTGGCAATAGTACGGCACTGTTCCGCTTAATGATGTTTCTGGTTGCATTCTTGTTGATCATGGCGAGACGAGATCTCCGAATGAAATTGAAAAGGGCAATTGACGATGGATGGATGAAGGTTAAGCAGACGATAGGCATGGGCACTAAGGTATCCTATATCTAGCGGAGAATCTAGTGGCAACTTTCTTTCGAGCTTGCGAGAGTATTTGATTCATGCGATACGAAGCGAAACGAGCGTACTCGCATATAGAACAGTGGTCGACATTGTCCTAGGCGTTGGGCTTTGGCCAATTGCTATTGGCTGGCGGGTGTCTACCCAAGACCGGCTGCAGCTTCTAACTTATAGGTCTCCTCGGCTTCTGCCTACCTACCCGCTCTGCCTACATGTACGACGAAGGCTGGGCTGCTCGAGCAGAGCACACACTCCTCCATGACTCGCGCACATAGCCTCCAAAGGCAGGCGTCGATACTGTCTCAGAGGTGCTTTCCCACATACGGTATGTGTCCAAGGCAAGTGTGGTTGTGCATGAGCGGGAAGGAGCTCCGCTCTTACATAGACGTTTGTCAATCACCACTTCGTTTTCCGCAATCGTGACTGCCCGCTTGCGAAGGCGCGCGACATGTGCTGCGGCGCCGAACCTTGCAATCAACAAGTTTCAACAACTGGCGCGACCATACAATCAGGTACTCGGGTCTCCTGCAAAGGCAATCCTACGGTGGCTTGCAGTGCTGCAGACTTCAGGATATCGTTGTCCTCGGTTACAAGGCCTGATGCACAACGGTCGAGGTCTATGCGCGCCGAGATCACGCTGGATATGCTCACTACTTCCCAAACTGGACACTGCAGGATCCAAGGCTCGCGATACTCCCCGTCTGTTTGTCACGAATTCCTCGCTGCCATTAGAGTTCAGATCGTGCAGAAGATGATCATCTGGGCGTGCAGCAGAGACGAGCGGGCATGCGACCGGCTCCGAAACACACATGAAAGGTCATTCGTCATTCTGCACTCCTGCTGCCACGCGCCAGCGACTGTTGGAACCTACACATCGATCGTCAAAACATCGTCTCCACTGCGACTTATTGTGGGTCGCGAGATGCCTGACTTACCATACCAAACCGAGACTTGAGACTCCGCTCACCGTCTTGTAGTCTCTGCACGACTACGCGGCTGCGTAATGCGGAATCTCCAAAATCGGACCCGCGGCGACTATCACCACATACACGGCCCTTTCGACCTGTAACCCGGGCCGATCAGCTGAGTGATCCTTCTTGCAGCTCTTCCAGCACAGTGGCGTCCATGCGTGCATCAAGCTGGCCCGGACTGAAGTTTGGCCGTTTGGCGAACTTCTTCACGCTTGCACCCTAGGCACTAAGCTGGAAACTCTAATTCGAGGGCTCTGCTGCGTCTGGCTGTCGATCACCACGTAAAGCGGCCCGCTTCCTCACAACCCCTCCGTGGCGCTGCCTTCATCATTATTGCTGGAGTGGTGTGCTGGCGACCGCCAAGTTCAGTGAAGTCTGCAGGACTTCTTGAATGGGCAAGCAGGTCCCAACTTTGGGGAGTCCCAAAGCACCGTCTCGCCCGAGGATAGTTGCTTTTACTATCGGGTCGAGCGGCACACGGTGCGAAGCACGTGCGGTATCGCAACTAAATGATTGTAACCCGCATGGCTTTCATCATCTGGCACTCACAGGCGGTTCCGGCGTGTGCACAGCAATGAATGGATCCTCACCGCCTTGTCTGGTGACTTGTTACTGGCACGACCTGTCGACTGGTGGGCATCTGCTCAGCCGCGATCCCGCTTTCTGTATCGTCATTGTGACCGATTGAACGGCAGGTAAGAGTTCAAGCAAGCGCAGTGCGGCCACATGGGGCTCAAAGCATCAAGCCCACCCCCTGCAATGCTTGTCAGGCTGGCTTCCTTGCGCTTCTCCACTTGCTGCATGGTGGTTGCTGGTTTCATTAATCATCAGTGCAAGTCTGCAGAACGAGATACGGCGCGTAAGTTTGTGTGGCGCGCTTACGGTCGGCCGGCTTCTTTGGAAATGTAGATCCTATAACTAGTGAGCTTAGCTCAGGGCTCGACTAGGGCTGGAGCCGCCAGTACGATTCTCCGCGGCAAGTGGCATTTGTCGCAGCGAAGCAGCTTTTGTTGCAAAGGCGTGCGGAAGGACTTCTGTGCTGAAGTGCGGCAGCGAGCCGACAAGTCAGCGCTTGTCTCGGAAACGGCCCCATTGCCCAGTGCAGTTCTCCCCAGAACAGCACGCGCAGCACAGTAAGCAAGTCGTGACGGGCGCAGCACTGCCTCCACCGCCTCCCGAGTTGCAGAGGCAGGAGAATGCGATCAAGCGATCGAGATCAAGATCTTCACAGTTGCGCGCTGCTGCCAATAATCATGCGGAGTGGCGACGTCCGGCTCGATGCTTGCATCAAAGAGCAAGCCCCGAAATGCAAGACCAAAAGTATCGTTGGCTTCGTTGCTGCACGGCGCGGCAGCGGCGTTTGACGCTTAGCGCATCCGGCCGCACATGCCGGTCGACGCTGGACGGTCGAGTCTAGGGAACGTGTAACATGTGTGTGATGATGGTGGGGCCTGTGCAGGCGTCTGCGAGGTGGACGAACGGCACCACCAGCACCTATCTATGACGAGCATGATACTTGTTCTTCAGAGTCGCACCGATGTCTCCCGTAGACTCGAGGGGACATGGATCCATTGTCGGTGTAGCGGCCGCCTCGCATGCAACAAATGGTGATGAATACATTCTGGCTGCAACGGACATTGCGACCTCCGCGCGCCATAGGCATTTCGGTGGCGGATCTATGCAACGCTTAAGTGCTCACGTACCGTAGTGCACTATTCGGGACAACCGCCGCAAGAAGCTGGAAAACCAGGCGCGGCGCTAAGAACCGAGGCCTTGTGAAGAGTGGTCCACGCGCGCACCGATCCAACGTCGACAATCAGGGATTGACGATCGTGTCGAAAACCGGCCGTGACAGATTCGGGCGTTCTGCAGCTCTGCAGCTTCGTACAGCTGCTTCGGCAGAAGGTCCGAATGACTCGGGCCTGCTGCACATGTGCGCTGTGCCGTGGCAAGGCTTCAAATACCCTCCATGACGGTCCCCTTACGTATGCTGCAATTAACCTGCGACTCATCTTCACAGCGACGACGTGCAAGCGACCAATGACTTGCTGCCTTTGAGAGTCGGTTGACCTTGAATCGCCCGTTGCATGCGCCACTAGGTCACCCTCAACCGCAATTGATTGATCAACGCTGGGGGCCGTGTCGGCATGCACTCCGTCCTCTGGAGTGTTCTCCGACAAATCGAAATCGTACAGATTCGTCTGCCAGCGCACTAGATTGTGCTGAAGACCCCAAGCAAATCCACTTTCTGCTCTCCTGATATACCCCGTCGATGCTGGAGACCACTATCTTTGGTGCGAAAGTACCTCACCAGCTTCACACACTCTATCCAGCACCAACATGGCAGACATGGCTTCACGGCGATCTTACGAGCGCTCATCAGGCAAGATACCCCTCAGCGTCATCCTCAATGAGGTAGAACCTGAGCCCCAAGCCCACGGGTCTCGCCACGATGAATTCCGTGGCTACGATCCATCCTCACAAGCAAGGAGTTACGGCAGCTCGCCAACCAGTTCACTCGGGTCACCACCGTCATCTTACTACACAGGAGGAACTGCCACCCTCCCGCCTCAAAGCCTCACCCGTAACCCACCCACCGCATACACAGTACCAGACAAGACACCCACAACCTCACCACAACAACAATCACAAACCACGTTCCAATATGGCAGCATGAACGACAGAAGACCGCGACCGCCGCGACCCTCCTACAGCGAAGAGCAAAAATTCTTCATCATGTACGCCCGCATCATTCGAGATAATACCTGGCCTGAGATCGAGGACAGGTTCGAGAAGCTGTTTGGTACAAGGACAAAGGGTGGTCTGACATCCGTATACTACCGCGTGCGGAGGGAATGGGGTCTCATGGAGGTGCTCAAAAGCGGGCCCGGTTCGTACGCTGCAGATTGCAGAGAAGTGGAAAAGCGAGCGACCAATTTCTCGCGTGAGTTCCTTTCACAGATTGGATATTTGCAATCCATGAATTGAATGAAACACGAGAGATGGGTTTGCAAGTGAACACATGAGAGTGCTCATCGGCGCCCTTGTATGTTCAGAGAACTTTACCATGGGACCCTACGTGATGCGCATCTGGCTCAAACTTCCATCCGTGTACTGCGACACCGGGAAAGCTTGATGCATCAGGAAGACGCTTTCGCGTCCGTATAGCGGATGGTGTCAACACCAGCAGCCGCCAAATATGATCTGGCAGCGCAATTTCTAACATAGCATGGCGACGGGAGGGAGGAAAGCAACATAGCATTCAGGATTCGAGGCAAAAACACGACGATTATGAAGGAACAAACGAGAGAGAGAGAGAGTGTGTGTGTGTGGGGTATCGTGACGACCAGGAAAAGTCGCAATAGCATATACCCCCCTTTTTGATGACAGCCACGATTGTATGGAACAAAAAAACAGTATAATGCATAGCACCGAGGCATCCCCAACAACAAACCACCAGTCCACCTCCACCAGCACCAAATCTCCGCTGTTCCGTGGGAACGGTGGCACAGGTGGGATCGCGCTGCAGACAGAGATCCAAAGATCATTGGTAAACGGCCTGAAGTGCGTTGGGCTCCCGCTCGCGCGAGGCTACGGAGGAGAGTACCGAGGATTCGCGACTCATTCACCGAACAAAAAGTGACGAGACTTAGTCGTCATGATTATCCCAATACAAAACTCACGCATTGGGTAAGGGATTCCGTTCGGCGGAAGGTCCGAAGAAATTCTATCTGCCGGTCTTCAACGACAACCTGTGAAGAGGTGACAAATATGGCAACTGGGGGCAGTTTTGGGTCGGCTCTTGATATGTGTCTGGTTCCGGTTTAGCTCGTGCAGATGTACTAGGGTGTCTGTAGTCTGTACTCGCGTCGATAGCAGAAAGAACAGTGGAGACCGATCTCGCAGCTCGCTTCGTCTCTCATCAATCGTCGCCGGCCTCGTGGCCGTCTTCTTCCTTGAAGTACTTTGCGAATTGCTGTGGAGTCTTCTTCAACCAAGGATTCATCTGGCGCTCATACTCGTCCTCGCTAAAAGTGTGCTCATCATATTCTTCGTCGTCAGAACCACCCGCGCGATAGCCGTACGCGTTGCGATCGAATTCGTCGTCCGAAGCGACTTCGTCGTCTGGATAGTCGGCGCCATACCAGTCTTCAGCATTTTCGTCGTCTTCGTCACTGGGCTCCTCCTCGCTTAGGTCGTCGTCCATGTAGGTTTCCCACTGAGCCTGATCTTCCTCGGTGATAATGAGATAGCCTACATTGCCGACGTCTTGTGCGTCTATTTGTGCAGCACCCGAAGTTGTGGCTAGAACATAGGTGTCATAGACATAATCGCCCTCCTCGTCCATGCTCGCGTCATCGGTTTGTGGGGACCTCGAGAGGGGCGCCGACGACTGAGCGACTCGCTGCTGGTGGATCGCGCGACTACGTTGTGCAGACAATTTGGGCATTGCTGTGATCTTGGGTTTAGCCGGTACACGATTAGTGATACCGCCATTCTCTCTGCTGGCTTCATGCACGGCGAATTGATGCAGCGTGTCCGCCATGGATTGCATCTCTGCATCTGTCTTGCCATTTGTATTGGCGGAAGAAGACGCTGCGTTCCCATTTGTCTTGATAGCAGCGCCTTTGCCAGGTCGCTTGAGTGGGCGATCGACAGGTTCTGCAGAGACTCCCTGCGTAGACAATACACTTGCTGAGCGTTGTCGTCCAGCAAATTCGGCGACCGCCTTCGAGTCGCTTCGATTCATGTCCCTCTTCGCGCGCTTCTCCGAGAATGTAGCAATGCCCCGTTCTCTACTTGCCTTGCCCTTCCGCTTTCCAATCTTAGGTTCTGGTGTGCCAACGCGCTTGAGATGAAAGGTGCGCCTCTCCTTCGTGATTGTGCCCTGGCTGATGCCATTGCCCGATATATTGCGCGACAGCTTGCCTCGCTGATGGCCATTGCTCTCTCCGACACGCTTTTGAACATCGTCTGCGTTGAAAAGACTCAGAGTCTTCGATGAATCCTGCTCCTTCGCTTCTTTCGACTCCACTACAGTACCATCACTCTCGCCGCTCTCCTTTAGCACATAGTGAAACCCAGGCTCTGTCACCCTTCTCTTTCCTGCTCTCTCGACGAGCAATGCCGCGGGTGCCTCCTCGCCCCTTTTGCGCTTGATGGCGATGAACTGCGGTCCTGTCGACATGTTTGGCGCGGATTGAGGATTTTCGATGCAGCTGAGCTCTCGCACTTTGTACTGTTTCACAGCTCCTTCTCAAGGTTCTCCGAGGATGCCCATGCAGGACGCGGTGGAAGATGAAACACTTTCTAGTGAAAGAAAGATGCGAGTCCGAATATGGTAGGTCTGGAAAGGGTTATGTCACGCGCCGCTGTCTGTTCCCCTTATTGCGTCACTTGGTTTCTCCTGCACTTCACGTGCGAACCCCCACTTTTCACATGCTAAGCAACAGGAGGTAAGAGCACGAGCTGGCTCAGGCATGGTAGGTAGACACGGAGGGCAGCAGCTGTGAATGTGCCAACACGGCTTGGAAGGACGTAATCTGGGCAATGGATAGAGAAAGTTTTTGATCTTCAAAATGATAGTATCTAAATCGAAGAAACGAGAACGCTCACAGGCTGGCAGGATCATCGTGATATATCTATGCAACGCTAATTCCTCGTATCGCGCTTCTGCTTCCGTCTTTCCACGGCTTCTTTCAAAGCAGACAACTTCTCTTCAGTGCTTTTGATTGCGGCATCCATCTGCCTCTCGCTCATGCGCTGCGTGTCAAGGTCTTCATTCTTTGGTTTGCTCTTAGGTCCCTTCGAGCGATCATGTTGACTCGAGGATGAATGCACACCTGCAAGGCCTACGCGATCCTCTAACCAATCCCACAAAGCCGTCTCTTCCCGTCGCCAGAGCTCTTCGTATGCTGCGATACGATCCGGTGACGCATAACCAGGAACGCCTACCTGACGTCCTCCTCGGCTTGGCAACAACCACGAATAGGTTAACAGGACGACTAACACAGCAATAAGGACCTGGGCGTTGAAGAATGGGCGAAGTAGAGCACCAATCGGCTCCAGCAGTGGCCGCACGGGTTCCAAAGGGCCCCAGTGGGTTTGCGAAGCGGCTTGTGAAGCGGGAGCTTCGCGCTGTGCGACAACTTCAGTCGTGTCGAAGATTTCCTTCCTCCCACCTTTCCGCTTGCCTTTCCGCGGAATTCCCTTGACTGGAGGTTTGGTCGTCACGGCAGCTTTGATGCTGGCGACGATGGCCTTCACATACTCGGTTTGTCCAGATAAAGCACCGCTTTCGATGGCACCTGAACGGGTCAGCTAGCTGGTCACCTCCATGTATCACACTTACTTACTCTTCAACCAACTCTTGGCTGTCCACTCGAGAGTGAAGCTGGCAAGCATCCTGGTTGAGTTATTCGGGCCCCACATGAGGCAATATCTGGTCTTTGTAGTAAAAGAACTGCCGCTCGGCACATCTGGAGTTACTGTGCTGCACTCCACGGAGACTGCCTTGTCTAAGTCAAATGCTTTCAAAGTGTTCGTAGTCGTGCATCTTGTCTGCTTGGGCCCAACAGGATTGAATAACGGCTTGATGTAGTCGAATGTGAAGGTCTTGTGATCATTGTCCAAGCCGATCTTGTCATCAGCATAGTTCAGCTCGCGGGACTTTTGATCTTCCACCAGCCATTTCTTCATGAACGCTCCTGAAGCTGGACCGAACATGAGGGAATACACCTGGCCAAGGGGTGCTGGTATCGTTGTGTCGATCAAAGCTCTGTCGTAATGTTCTGCGCTGTCGCTGCACTCAGTCGGCTCGTGAGCGGGCGCTCCAGGAAATTCACTGCTCACAGCGGCTCCGGTGACGGCAGTATCTGCACCCTCGAGTCCTTTGGGTACAGTCCCGTTGACTTGTGGCGCTGGAGCGACTGGAATCGCAGAAGTCTTACGACTGAGACTATGATCGCCGACATTGCTGCCAACATCGCTGGCTCCCATACCCCCGTCGGTAAAACTGCCTGCATCATCTTCGTCGTCATCCGCGTCCTCATCGTAGACCTCGTCATCGGAACCTTCTGTGGAGTCGTGCCCTCCACCGGGCTCCTCTGCTACCTCTGTTTTATCGCCAGTGCCCGCGTTGTTAAGCACCACGCCGTTCAGTGAGCTCTTCAGATTTGGATGGCCGATCTTCCATATACCAATCAAAAGCTCGTATGTAGAGTCGCGCGCCACGAAGCTCGCAAAAGTGTTACGTGCTTGGAGAGTCGAGATGATCAACGCGTTTGGAAAGATGACTGCAGTGCTCTTCTTCTCGATGGAGATAACTTCATCGAAACTAATGACAAGGTTTGTCACCCAGCCAAGGATGTTGCTTGAAAAGCATATGTGGCCTTCGGAAACATACAAACGTCCGTGAAGCAGGATGTCTCGCTGCAATGCAGCGGAGTAGTCTTCAATGAGATAGTCGTCCTCAGGGACACTGCGGAATTGGTTATGGAAATCTTTGTTGCGCTTACTACTCGCAACAGCGAAGCCCGTAAGCCGATGGCCAGTGCCATGTGCACCTGGTTGAGCGAGGCCCGTGGTGCTATCCTTGAGTGCTGCAGCGATGGAATTGCCAGTGCCTGCTGTTGCTGAGCTACCACGATGCTTCCGGCGACCACTCAGCTTGCTCCTGACGCTATTAGAGCGTTTGCCGATGGTACTTTCGGCACCTGCAGCTGGCCGAGGAGGGGTCTGCTCTCCTAACGTTAGACGCTCATTTGATGCGATCGACAAAGGTCGGTTGTGGCCGTTGAGCACGGTCCCCGTCTCAGACGGCTGTTTCTCGTAGGCGCTGGAAACAGCGCGAGCAGCAGCATCCTCCTCGACTGCTCTGCTCTTCTCGCCATTTTGGTTGGACCCATCAATCTGCCCGATTGCTGGAGGATCGCTCACCGCAGCCATGAGATCCGGTGCGCTTTCAGAAATGCCCAAGTGCCCAAAGTTCAGATTACCCTTGCCGAGTGTCTCAATGGCAGGGGGAGCTCTGTCGCCGTCGCCTAGCCCAGTTGCTGGTCTGCTTTCTGAACCTGGAATGACCTCTTCACCACCTTCGCCAGCATCGACGAGCTGAGGAGTGCTGTTGGTTTTTGCTTTCTGAAACGGCAGAATGTTGATGCCGCTTCCGACTGAGCCTGCGGCTTTCTGTGTGGCCGTGAAGAACGAAGTAAAGAAGCCTGATGCCCCTTCGTGTTGAGTTCCCTGCGTCAATGTGCCACCGGGTGTCTTAGCTTCTTCGACAGTCGGCGTCAAAGGGACTACGGTGCTATTAGAGAGCTTGCTTGGCAGGCTGGCCGCGGATTCAGCTCGCCGACGCCGTATTGCCTCGACTGAGCTCAAGGCACGTGTCGCGGGTGAGCTCTTAGTAGGTGATATCAAGGGAAAGGTCGCAGAGGCGGCTGTGAACTCAGTTGGCGTGGGAGGAGTTACCAGTGTGGTCGGTGTATCAAGGAGGTGAGGGGTCGATGGCGATTGTGTCTCGAGCTGCTGCTTGCCCTTTCGCTTCGGGGTCTCTGGCCGTTCTTGATTGACGACAGGCAGCGATGATTGTTTGGCCGGCGAAGCTGATGTCGTATCCTCGGCTTCCTGCAAATCGTTGACACTATTCCTCCTGCTTACGGTCTTGAACAGCCCCCCAAGGCCACCACTTCCACTCCCTGACTTGACTGCCTCTACGTCGCCCGACTTCTTTCGAGATAAGTTTAGCTTGCCACGTAATTTGCTGGCAGGTGAAGGGCTGCGATCGGTTCGCGATGCGGTGGGTAGAGTATCGGTGGTGGTTGGGGGTTCGACGATGTGTGGAATGTTAGCCAGTGCCTCGGCCGTCACGGAAGGAATGAGGTCGTCAGGCTCTCGTAGGGTTGAGCTCGTTTGCGCGTTGATCTCGGGCGACGAGTACGTCAGATAGCCGGTATGTGAATTGTGTGTGGAAAGAGATGGCCGGATAGGATTACTGTGGAGGAAGCAATGAGGTCAATAAAGAACAGAGGCTCGGTCGCGAATGATAAGAACGAAATGTGCCAACTGGGCCAGCCAGAACTGTCAAAAATGATAGGACATAAGTCCACGCAGCTCGAACGACGTGTATTGAGGAAGTGGTTGTTGGTGATTGTGATCGTGAGTGCAGATCTGATAGCCAACGGCTGACCGAAGCATCCGTTTGAGCAAGCCGGCACGTGCATCGGGTCGTTCCGATTCGACTGTGACAGGCCAGGCTGAAACTGAAACTGGGTCTCCCCTTCCAGGGCCAGATGTGTTTGAGCTCTCTTGTCGAAAGCTCGTATTCAGGGGATGCAATGCCATCGCACTCAAGATGATGTGTGCAAGTCGTACTTACTTATTATCATCAGTTCTTTCGTCGTCGGTAAACAGACTGCTTCGACCACTTCCACTTTGCAGCAGCGATGAGTCGGAGTGCTCGACATCCAGGCCGTTCGAATCATTGCTCAATGTGCGCTCTATCTCGTTGGTACGACCTGTGCGGATCTTCCGTTTGGTCTTTGCAACGAAAGTTGACAGTCGACGCGCCGAGGGGTCCTCGCTGTCCCGGCGGCTGTCGACGGAGCCTCTTCGGCTGGAGCGGTCCTTGACCTTGCTAATGGCCCTGTCCATAGAAGATCGAAATCCAAGCGCATTGTCGGCATCGTCGCTGCTGCTGGGCAATGAGGTGGTTGATGAATTGGCAAATCCTTTGGCGGCGCGACTGGGAGGACGAAGTGACGCCAATGATCCAGAGCCAGGCTCCGTCATTATTGTGCGCTCACCAGTGCAGTAGTAGTGCTACGGACGTGACGGCCGCCGCGTCTCGCATGTCTTCTCGAGATCTGTGCAACCAGGATCAGGGCGCAACTGGCCAGGATTGTGAACCTAGGAAGTGGTAATTCCTCGGCGCGCTGGCAATGTGTATTGTATGATGCGAATCGCTGAGATGATTGAGGGCCAGCGTTGTGCTCTCGTGACTGGATTACAGCAAGACCGACGGTGGCCGAGGAATAGAAGTGCGTATGAAGTTGAGATTGTAGGATGGTAAGGCCTGCGTCATACCGTTGTCGTTGTGGTTCATCCTGAAGTGTTCCCTGCTAGCTCGACACGTGAAGCCGGAGGCGAGTCCGCTTAGCCTGTCTGGGACACATGCACCTGACCCTGGACAATCAATGTGACGATAGCAATCCAAGTCAAACCTGCGCTTCAACAGAACAACCTATTCCGCAACGCATCATGGCTGAGACGGCAGCTTTGACGGCGGTGAGTACATCGGCAAGACTCGCTGAAGTCGACTGACGTTAGGCAGGCCCAAGCGCACGCCCGCAAGGCTGCCGAGGAGACGCAACAGATCAACTGGACGCAGGCGGCCGAAGAGCATGGCCAAGCAGCGACAGAATTCGCGCGAGCGGCGAAAAGCACTGGAGACTCCGAGGTGGGACTCCTTGCATTCACTCAAATCACATATATTGACGTTATTTGCAGGCCCTGAGAATCTTGAAACTACTGGAGGAACAACATCTCAAGCTCGCAACCATTATCAGAGCCCAAGACGCCCCAGAGCCTCAGTCAAATGCCACCACAGATGCAACACCCGCGGGTCTCGATGTATCCCGACACGATTTTGCGAGGGCAGATACGATCGCAACTTCCCCATCCTCGGTGAATGATCCTGCCTCGCCAAAGTCAAAACCAACCACATCTGCTCTAGCCGCAGCACGATTCGGTAGTGCTGTCCGCGACTCATCTCCCTCTTTAGCACGAGACATCGCGTCCAGGCGTGGAATTCCACAGCCGGGACGAAATCCACCATCAGCGGCAGCCCAAGCCCGAGCACGACAACTATCGCCCGAGTCCCATCGCAGAACCCGATCAGGACCCAGTCCTGCTCCCAAGGTTCCGCCCTCAGTCATGGACAGCCAAACTCTGAAGCCAGCTCGCGACCCGAAAAAAGTAGAAGACGACGATGCTTTTGCCAAGTTCTACAGCAGCATCACTACGGGCACGATGACAAAACTTTCTTCTGTGCTCGCATATGCTGGTCTACCACTAACTGCAGACGACGTGAAGATTGACCCACCAACGCCACAAAAATTGACGCAAAGGACAGTGCCGGCGAGCGATTCCCCAGATGTCAAGAAGATCTTCTCGAAAGCTGCTCTCGAGGCTATCGAAGATGAGCATCGCCAACGCGGCCACCACGGCCATGCCTTCGGTCCTGCCGAGAGCTTTTACGTAGTGCAAACTGGTGGAGGCACCTACTCCTACGCCGACATCGCTAAAGCACAACAACAGCAACAGCTAGAAGGTATCGATGAGGACGATGAAGAAGCATTCGTGGATGCTCGCGAAGCCCAAACGTCACCCAAACACAGCCGCTTCTCCTCGCGAGGTGGTGGACCACGAGACTCCTTTGGCAAATCACGCACGCAAGAGGAGCTGGAACTGGAGAATGTCACACTCAAGCACACACTGGAACAATTGGCAACTCGATTATCAGAATTCGAGACCCATGCTCAGGATGCTTCGATGGCAGCTTTGACCCAAAGCATGGCCAGCATTCAGGGCCATGCTCCGCAAGGAGGAACCGATCCTGCGCTTATAGCACGCTTGCGGCAGGTCGAGCAACAACTAGAACAGAAGGCAGAGGAAATGCAAAAGATACAGAATCTCGCGGTGAAGCAGGAGAAGACTTTGAAGAAGTATCAGTCAAAGTGGGAAGAGATCAAGCAGAGTGCTCGAGCTAAAGAGAGAGCGAAGGCGGAGAAGAGTGAGAAGGCGGCAGAAGTGCCGGCTGGGGTCATGGAGAGTACCTAATCTGTCCGTTGCTCTTGGTCCACAGCAAGTCTGCTGGGAGTGTGTCGCTGCTGGACAGCTGTCAGAACCAACACATAGGCAGCTGGCCTGACCCGTTGAGGTTGCTCCTCAGAGTGAGACCCCTGTCATGCTTGGATATCACTACCGATCATCACTATCGCTTCTCTCCAGTAGTTCTTGACCCGCAAGGCCTCTACAGAGAGTTGTGTCTGTTGCGATATCTTTCTGCTTCCATCTGAATGCCATGCATGATCATTTCCAGCATAACCCATGCTGCCGAGCAAACCCTGATGACCAGTCCAGTTGATTATCTCCGTCAAGCTGTTCCCGCACCAATCTGGAGAAACCACATGTCCTTCGCAGGCCTCTTCTAGGCGCGTGCTGTAAGACTAGGCTGCGCACAATGCGCGGACGTGCCGTGCGCTGTGCATATGATGTTTGGTGAGACTCGTGCATGGTCATATGTCCAGAGCGAGGTAGATTGAGCAGCAGAACCTCAATCCGTCTCCATCTTCGTCTCAAAATAGCTCGTGACAGCATCCACAAGATCCTGTTTCTTTCCAGTGGCGCCTACACTCTTGCTCTTCAACCACGTTTTCAGATCATTCACTTTGAACTTCGATAAAGTCTCCTTCTCATAGGCGCTTCTCATGTCAGCATCAGTAATGCCTGCTTCATCGTCATCCTCATCTTTCACCTTCTTCTTAGCAGGCGCTGAAGAAGCCAGTGCAGTTCTCTTGGCGCCTCCGTGAGCAGCAGGTTTGATGCTGGCATTGTTCTCGGTGAGCCATTGATTGAACGCCTCGTCGAGTTTCTCGCCCCATTCGATGACATATCCGCCAGCTCTCTTGTGAATTTGTCGCCACCTGGGCAATGTCTTGTCGTCTGGATGCTCAGGTAAATCTTCGTCCAGCGCCATTGCTTGCAGGATGCGGAAGAACCATTGTAGCGCAGGGTTGGGATATTTGAGAGGATCATAGACCGCTTTCGGCAACTGCAACTGTTGGATGATCGTGCGCATTGCATCAACAACTTCATCTGGCGCCTTCACAAGGTTCACATCTGGATTGTCACGGATATCATCTGCAAACGGTAGCGGCTTGATCCAGATGCCTGGAGGCATGTGCTGCTCGCCTTCTTCGTTGCGCTCCTCTGCACCTGGGATGAGGGCGGCGAGTCTAGGAGCTGCGTTACGACGCGGGATATACCAAGCCAAACCGAATTTCTGATCCCGAAGCAGTTTCTGATGCAGAGCGGAGAAGACACGAGTAGATCCCACATAGCTTTCTTCCGAAGGATAGATGAATGTTGACTTCTCCAGGTTCGCCCACGTGGGCAGCAGTTTAAGAGGCTTGAATCCGATGATACGGATCGTCGGTTCGCCGAAGTCGTTGATCTTCGCCATCTCTTCCAGAGAGAACGAGACTGTCTCGCCACCAAATTTGTAAGCCCTGCGTACCTCAGTTTTCTCGACCGTACGGGCAGTGGCTTCATCCAGAAGCTCGCTGTGCCCGACTGCAATCTGCGCTTTCTCACTGTCTGAAGGGAGATAAATGTACGTCTGTCTGGCTGGAGTCTGTCTCTTCAAGATGATGTACCCTTTGACCCCGATCTTCAAACCTGGTCCAATTTCCAGCGGCACACTACTGAAGAGTGCTCTCCGCGGAGCATTGCGCGACTGCACCGATGACAGCAATGACTGCAACAAGCTGATGCCGTCCTTTGCGGTGGAACTCGCAGCTTTGATATCTGATGTCAGAGGAGCAGGCGCATCCGGATCCGAGGGCGTAGCTGAGTATACAATGTCGTTGTAGAACTTGCTGCGATCGAACGTGTAGCCACGGTCCGGATGTGATATCGGAAAGAGTTCGATGGTCACGCCCAGGTCGTACAAGTCTTTGGCGCGTACAGCAGCGCTATTCCTCGCATCTCGATCTGATGAATGCGGATAGTCGTTGTCAGTGACCAGGAACAGTCGTCTCGAAGAAAAGTTGGGCGCTTTAGTGGTGAAGATCTGATTGGCACAGAACAGCACATTTGCCATACTGACTTCGTCTTTGCTGGCTTGCAGTATCTCTGAAGCTTCCTCTTCATCGTCGACTAGGGTTCGTAATTGCTTAACGTCTTCAGCGGCTGGCACGTTGAGATCCTGAAGAAGATAGCAGTGAGGATACTGGAAACTCCTTCCTGAGTCATCGCCTTCATCGAATTTGCTCTTTTCGGTGTTGAAAAGTAAGATGCCCATCATATCGTGCGGATTACTGATGATACGCTGTTGCATCAACGCATAGGCGCATTTCAATGCTGCTAGCGTGGGAGATAGAGCTGTGTCAGGTTTCTTCTCATCAGCCTCAGAGGGCTTGGTCAGCATGCTTTTCGAAGCATCGATGGCGAACAGGACGGCATCCTTGACGGTCTTGTAGCCAGACGCATCTTCAACCTCGTCATCTTCATCTTCCTCATCGTCGCCGCCGCGACCGTAATTGTTGTCGCCGTCGGCAGGTCGGTACGGAAGACCAGGCATCTTGCTCAGTGTTTGCGATGGCTGCTGGTCGCTTCACTGATGTGTGAGGCTAAGTACTCATGGCGTTTGATGCACACTTTACTGACAGTCGCGAACCAGCAGGCAGCAACGCGTCAAGCTCTAACAATTGACGCGCCATCACATGACGGCCTAAATTGAGTTTCGGTCCAAGCCGATCCCTGTTCGATGATGCAGTGGGCAGTGGGCGCGATCGATGCCTCGGACAAATCATTTCAAGCTGGAAGCTGCTTACGGCTTAGTCCCAAGAATGTCTAGCATGCCCTCTCTGGCCTGTTGTCGTCGTCGACTGTAGACTGCACAACCATATCCATCGCCATCTGCCACTATGAGCGTGCAGCAGCCCCTCAAGACGTTCACGCGACGCGCGACCGCCGCCCAATGCCTTCAACTCGCCCCCAAGCCCGCTCACCACAAGCCGCGAATATGGAGTAGCGAACGCAGCATGGCCACTGTCGCGCCACCCGTCACCCAGAATGAGGTTGGCAAGAAAGGCCCGACGGCCATGGTTTTTATGAACATGGGCGGGCCATCCACAACTGATGAAGTGGGAGACTTCCTCTCTCGCCTCTTCGCAGACGCCGACCTGATCCCACTGGGCCCACTGCAGAACTACCTCGGACCTCTGATCAGCAGGCGACGAACACCCAAAATCAAGAAACAGTATTCCGACATTGGAGGAGGCAGCCCCATCCGGAAGTGGTCAGAGTACCAGGCTGAAGAGATGTGCAAGATCCTGGACAAGACGAACCCAGAAACGGCACCACACAAGCCTTACGTGGCGTTCCGCTATGCAAACCCATTGACGGAGGAGATGTACAACAGACTGTTCGAAGACGGCTTCGGTAAAGGCAGAGGCGGACGTGCAGTGGCTTTCACACAGTACCCTCAATACTCTTGCTCGACCACTGGCTCATCACTAAACGAGCTCTGGAAATGGCGTCAACGTCTCGAATCGCCAACCCGCAACGCTGAAGCACCTGCAGAAGGCTCAATCCAATGGAGCGTAATCGACCGATGGCCAACACACCCCGGCCTAGTCGATGCCTTCGCCGAGAATATCACGAAGCGACTCGAATCCTACCCCGAGGACGTCCGCGACAGCGTTGTTCTGCTCTACTCCGCCCACTCCCTTCCTATGTCCGTCGTGAACCGAGGAGACCCATATCCAGCCGAAGTTGCAGCGACTGTATGGGCAGTTCAGCAAAAGCTAGGACACAAGAATCCCTACAGACTGTGCTGGCAATCGCAAGTCGGTCCATCGGCCTGGTTAGGAGCGCAGACAGCAGAAGTCGTGCCAAACTTGCTCAAGAAGGGACAGAAGGATATGGTTCTCATCCCTATCGCTTTCACTTCGGATCACATTGAGACATTGTACGAAATCGACCAAGAAGTCATTCACGAGGCAGACGAGATGGGCGCTGAGGGACGCGTAAGACGATGTGAATCTTTGAATGGCAGCACAACTTTCATCAATGCTTTGGCAAACTTGGCGAGCGACCATCTCAAGTCTGGCGTCGTCTGCAGCAAGCAGATGGGTTTGAGATGCCCAGGTTGCACGAGCGAGAGATGTCTCGAGTCGAAGCGTTTCTTCATGGGCCAAGGTGACCAGCAAGGCAACTCAGCGTTGACTCTGTGAACAAGCCTCCAGCCGGTGTGTACGTTAGCGTTATATCTTGTGTAAATATCGCATCAGAAAAAGGAAGAGTGGGAAACAGGTATCGGATCCGCTCAATTGATTCTAATGGTTAGAGTGGTATCATTTCAAGCCATACAGCAGACTCTACTAGTGCTTGTGCTATCTCCATGTCGCAGCTATCATCCAGGGCGCCGCGTGCGGCCCACTTCGCTATGCATAACAAGCAAACACGCACGAACCTCGTCGTGGTATCCTCATCTATCCTCTCCCGTCCCATACCAGATGTAAAACAGTTGGCTTCAAATAAGCCTCCGTGCCAGACATTGCGCCCTTCGGCGGGCCACATTGCTCGCTTGATCAGTTATCCATGCACCTGTAAAACAGCAAACCAACACCTGCTCGAGTAACATCTCACTTCTGCCAATCGCCATCAACGCTTGCCACGGTTCACAGGCACAGCCACTCCTCGCCCTCTGTCCTCTCGCTCTGCTGCCTGCTTCTTGGACTTCTTCTCCTTTGGCTTCGGCGGCTGTGAGTGAATATGTCCTTGTTCGTCAATCGCCATGGTGTTCGTCCAGCGGAGACAGCGTGCCCTCTGCGCGCTTTCCTCCTCAGCCTGCTTGTGTCGAGTGGAGATTCGGTTGCCGCTCTCTTCTTCCGTTTCAAGCTTCTTCGCAGCTTCTTGATCCATGAAGTTCTTGTATGCTTCCATATACTGTGCAATCCGATCGCGCCATTCGAGGAGTTCCTTTCGCAGCTTTCTCTCGCGCTCGCCTCGGTCATCAAGCCAGCCGATTAGGTTATCGAGACGATCTGGATCATCAATATAACCCCATTCTTCCGCAGATTCCAGAGGCACGCCACCCTCTTCTTGCTGGCGGCGTTGAGGCACAGTAGTCTGGAAGATTCTCTGGTACTCCTTTTGCTCCTCTGGCGTGCGATCAATGAGTCCCTCTCGTTCCATAACGTCCGGTCCTTGCACCCAGATGCGACCATTAGCATAGCCGTAGGACGACGTGCTCGAGCTCGGTAAACCACCGAAAGGCTGTCCGTTCCGCTCGAACCAGTAGTAGCGATTGCAGAAACGGTCCTTGCCTAGCACCTTCGTTCGCTGGACATTAGCCTCACGCAAGTCCGAGTCGCATTCGGCAATCTTCTCTTCCTGCAGTCGAATCCGCTCTTTGAGCTCTGTGCACTCCTTTTCGATCTTCTTAAACTCCTTGGCAGCTTTGTTATGCGCTTTGGCAGCTTCGGCCTTCTCAGCCTTCTCCTTCTCACGACGAGCCTGGTCTTCTTCGCGTTTGCGTTTTCGGTCACCGCCACGACGAAGTGACCTGCCTCCGGGAGTTCCTTCACCGGGCTCGGGGCTACTAAAACTCCCGTTGAGATCGATCGAATCTTCTGTGGCTTCTTGATCTGGCGCTTCTGTTGGCTCGGTCTTGGGCGACGGCGGCAGGTGGTCCGGCAGAAGGATCTTGAATTCGCGATCCTTGACAGCAAATTCCTCCATGGCCAGCTTCTTCTCGCGTTGATGCTCGATTTTGCGCTTGCGCACGTCGGTCATATCGTCCATGCATGTCTCAAGGAAGTCCTTGATCGCTTCCGTGCGTATGGTAAGTACTGTTAGCATCTGCAGAGCCGCGATCCTCAGGTTCACGTCCATAGACGCATATTGCTCCATCGCGGTTGTTGGCGTCGGTGGCTCGTCAATCGGTGCAAGATGCGCCAGGACCTTTTCGCACGTCTCCTTGTACGATGGGATTTGAGAAAGCTGGTGAAGTATGCCAACAAGAATCACCTGCCAGCCGCCATTGCTGAAGTCCCGGGCTGCTATTCGTTCCTCCCATGTACGATCACCAATCATCTCCACGGCTTGATTTCGATTTTCTGCAACTGGACTCTGGGGCTCGGCAACCTCCATGTGGCTGAGCCTGCTGCGAGTCGATCGTGCAGGTACGTCGGGTAGAGGTGTGGAGATCTCGCTGTCGTCCTGGCCGTCTGTGTCATCGTCCGCCGGCGATTCTTCGACCTTTTTCCGCGGCATGTCTTTGACCAGAACCTTGCCGCTCTCATCAACAAACAATTTGAGCACTGCGCAATGGATCTCATCAAGAAGCTCACAGGGAAAGTCTAGCTCTTGATATTGCATCGCCTCCACAAAATCATCGAATGTGAAGCTGTCCAGAACGTAGACCTCGCATTGCACGTTCAGGGTGTTCCACACTTCAAGCAGCATACCGACTGACTTCATTTCAATGCCTTGCACAGCAGTTTTTCGTCCACTGCGCATGTATTCAGCAAGTTCGTCGTTGAAGAATTTGAGCTCCGGTCGCGTGGTCCCATTGCGCTTCGGAGGGAGATCGAGATCTTCAATAGGATATTTGATGACAGGTGGCGGAGGCGCTCGAGGCTGTACTTGATTCATCATCTGATGATGCTGCTGTTGTTGCTGTTGGTAGTGTCCGACTGGTGGTGGAGGGGCGCCTGGCATTTGTTGATGTTGAAGCTGTCGCTGGATAAGCTGCAACTCCTCATGTCGCAAGCGCTCGAACTCTGCCGGCGACATATTCTTCGGTTTCTTATTCTTCGGCGGTCGCATTGTCAACATTTGTGTCTTGGCTGCCATCATTTTCGCGTCTTGGAACAGGTGCTGCGGGATCTCCATCGGCAGTCGATATTGAATCGCCAGGTGCTCCTTGACAAGCCATGGAGCCCCACTCCACGCCTCGCGCTGCAACGAGTTCTTGAGAAACGCGCGGAGATTCTGCTTGGTGAAGACCTTACGATCGCGGCGAATATGCTTGTCGTCCAGTAGCGCCTCTTCATTGGGAGTATGATGCACTTTAATGAAGTACCGTGAGAAGGGCGCACGCTGCACACTACCATCCGCGCCCCTTATCATCGGAAATTTGGCCTTCTCACGGATTGTACCTTCAAATTGCTCGCCATTGTCAAGCGTGCACACCACTTCCTCGCCGGGGAAGTAGTCACTCTTGAAATCGTCGAAAACTTTGTTGACTAAAAGTTCATGAGCGGGACAATTCAGGTTGGGGCGGTCTGCCTCACCAAGTTCATCCATGCGCGATATCGTCGAAAATTGTACGCTTCTCAATATCGGATCACGTAGTACTTCAGGAAATAGGGTCTCGATGTTCGCTTGACTTTTAGTCTGGCAACAGTCAGCAGTTGAAACGGCTGATCCGATCACATGAACCGTTTACCTCAGACTCTAACGCGTCCCAGTACGTCAGTCCGGATTTGCCATTGACCGCATCTGTGAACTTTTTCTGCAAGGCATTAGCAAACAGGTCCCGTGTTGCATGCAAGTATATCTTACTTGATTGAGCCAATCGAAGCTGTGCGAGTATTAGCTATGTACTGTGCCCTACAACACAATTCGTTTGAGCATACCGTTTGAGGTATTTCTCGTAGTCCGTGAAGACCTCGTTCGTGCCTTTCATCACATAAACCTGATATGCGCGTGTCAGCCAGAACCTCAGCCTCCAGCTGGGCTTATATCTTACTTCGACATTGTCTGGCACGTCAGGCGTCGCCGTGATGAGGTTGACTGGCTTCCTCTTATTGAGAACCTGTGTTTCGTTGTTGGCTACGCGCCCTGATAATGTTTCTTTCGATGTGCGCACCATTTTGTACAAGCCCAGCGCGCAGCTGGGTCCTACGCGCGGCGTCCAGCGGGGTGGAGGTGATCGGAGAATGTGTTGATGTATATACTGGTGATCGATCGCGTGGTTGGAGTACTTCTTGGAGTTGAACGAGTGATCAAGGCATGTGATCGGGATGGATTGAGTGGTAGGTCCAGGAAGTGCGCGTGTGGTCGCAGAAGTTAACTCCGGGGTGCAGTCGGTATACAGAGGCAGCCGAGACCAAACGCGTCAGAAGAGCTAGTCGAGCAATGGCGCGAAGCTCATGGAGGGCGCGGTGGATGGTGATGGCGATAGAAGGGCGGTGTTGTGGTCGCGGGGGCGGTGGGTGGCTTGAGGTGAGGATTAGAAGAGGAACAGACTTTTGGGGGAGACAACATGACGGACGATGTTCTGTGGAGTCCGCAGTCTGATGCATGCTTGGTGCTCTGCCTTCTGCCCTTTCCGCCAACCGGCTTGCGGGTAGCCTAACTCTAAGTCGCGCTCGCGCTGGCGCTCCCTCGTCTTGGCACTTCTCGTCTACCCATCCCATCTTTCAACGCGGCTCGAATGCCTGCGCAACATCTCGCACTGGCCATGTTTGGGCTCATTTTGATCACGACAATTGGCTCATTCACTCTATACCCTCATCTGTACCCTACGACTCCGTTGTATCTGCTCGTACATCGATGATGCGATACTCCCGTTCTGTTCCCTTGCTTTGACCTTCGTCATATCCCGACTGGTCGGCCGCGGGACCCTTTGGAGCCACTGACCACGAGTGGAATCGCACAAACATCACGAAATAGTCTGCTAACACGCGCGAACGCGCCGAGAACATGTCTGGACGCGTTGCATCGATGGCTTCCCCTAGGATCGATGGCAGTATCTTTTGCAGCGACCAGTAAGCACAAAGCCCAGCTTATGAGGATTACAAGAAAGCATATATGAAGCAAACAGAGGATGGGCATGAACCCTATTATTGAAAATTCGAAAAGCGCTGTATCTCCTGCTACGAAGTGAAGAACACTACTAAGAAGCCCAACCAGCTCCCTACCACGCCTACTGCGCAGTATGAACTGGTGAACATCAGAGGCAGGAACTCGTACTTGGCGCCAAATACTATCTGATGTAGTAGCGAGCAATATGCGATCAGAGGTATCGCCACTGCAATATACAGCAGAGAGAACCGATCGAGCAGGAATATTCGCGGTTTTTCCGATCTGGCATTTGGTCAGCGACTGCGTCAAAACAGTACGACTTCAGAGCTAGTGTGTTTACTTACGCGGGCGCAAGACGATCGAAGGCTATGAGAAACGCAACAAGCCATAGGATCGTGTATACCACCTTGACTGGGAATTCCAGAGCGGTAAACAGGAGTGGAAAGAGGCTCACATGACCGGCAACCGCCAGAGGTCTGAAAGCACCGAGAAAGCGTCTGTCCTTCAATGCCAGCAGACTGAACGGGATGATAACCAAGAGGATGGCTTTCTCGTGGACGTGCCAGCCAAACAAGAATGAGGCATAGCCACATAACGTGATCGTTGCCACGAAGTTGTCCCATGTCGGTTGGGCGAATAATTTTATGAGAGCCGGCTTTCATGTGTCAGTACGGAGTCATGGAACGATTTGTGTCGATCTTACAATCTGCGCTGCCAGAGTCAGGACGAATGTGAGTCGTGGCGGGATATTTGGCAAGACGGCAAACGAAGTGTCGCCGACCAAGCCACGGGTGACACTGTTCACAGCATCTGCATCGACAGGGAGCTTCAAGTATGGGGCCACTACAAGAATTAGCAAGAGTCCATATGTCAATCGCATTCGCAACCCACGATATATCAGCACTCGATCAGTGAAAGAGTACATCGCCCAGACATTGGGCGCCCAGTATGCATGGCACAGTCCCCTGCTGAAGGGAAACAGCCTGCTCATGATCTGTGGCAACTGCTCCAGGCTTTCAAGAGCAAAGGGCCCTGCTGCTGCTGCAACGATGGCCACAATACTCAGGCCCAGCTTGATGCAGTTGAACCACTTGATGTCGAATATCGAACGGGGCCCTAGGCAGTAGACGCGAAGCAGGTACACAAACCAGGCAGGTGCCAAGTAAAGGTAGATGTGCTTCATGCACAACAGAGCCATGAACACGGCTCCGCAGAGCAGCAACCCGTCTCTCTGATAGCGCGCCAATACAATGGACAAAATGAGTGCGCCGTACATGGCACCATTGTACTGGAAGTGAATATGGTCGATGATGAGCAGGCCAGGGGACAACAAGATGGAAAGTGCTGCAGCATGACTTCGCTTCTTCTCGTTGGGATTGGCCGAGCTGACGAAGAGGTAGAGAGCACCGATGAGAACGAGCTCCGTGATGATCACAGTGGCTCGCTGGAAGTAAATGGTCTGCCAGCTGTCGTAGCCGAGATTCTGTACATCAAGCATATTCGGATCGATGCAGTGAGCGACTTGGGACATAGCCCACTCGAAGTAGGCGAAGAAGGGAGGATAATCCAGAGTCCATTCTGAGGTTTTCTGGCCGGATCTCAGCTTGGTGAGGCGAATGCAGAAGTGCGGTGCCACCAACCTCGAAATACCATTCTTTAAGAGGCAGGGAGTTCGTGATTGCAAGCCAGTTGCGATGAACTTCGAAATCCGTCGATTTGCTTTGGCCCGTCAGCTCGTCGGTAAAACCCAAGACGGCCGCTGCAGCAGCTTGCACTTACTAGGCCGGCCACAGGAGTACCTTCAATGCCGTGGCGACTGCAGCACATTGTGGCAGCGTGGGATACAGCGCGGTCATGATGACTTGGTGGCAGGCACAATGGCCTCTTCTGACCAATGCGCGTGGTCGGATGTTATTGCATTGGTTCGCGCCACGTTCACCAAAAAAATGAAACCATCTAAAACATTTGGACGGGAGCAGGTCAAGTCGCGGTCGGCGGAAGCAAGTGCCGGCGCTAGACGACTGGGGCAAGCTCAGCACGGAAGCCAACGGGAGAGCGAGATGGCGACGTGAGGCTCCCACCACCACGCGACTGTGACTTGGCCTTGCAGTTCCTCGAGCAAAGAGCAACACCACTGCGATGTCTCCGCCCATTCAGCGGCGGTCTGACGCCCCGGCTGCAAGCAACATGGCGCACACTATGGCGGAGAGCGCATTCGTCGTTCCGCCCCACTCGCGAAGGCTTGGCTTCAAGGAGAGGGTTGAGTATGAGGCAGGGAGCAGCAGCACCACGCTGAACTGAACTGCTTGCGCGGTGAGCGCTCCGACCACTCCTTCTTTCTCCATTATTGATTCTAGATGTCGCATCATTCTTTCACTGCATATCCATAGACGCTCCTTTGCAGACGGCCTCATCTCCGTCATGCCCCCGTCGTCACGCCGCTACTTGTCACTCACTCTCCTTGCCATTGCCTTCTTTGTTATCCTCTCCAACTTGTCCAATACTCACAGCAGATCACCTCGTCGGGCCCCACCTGCAATCGACAGAGTCCTGAACCCCGGCTGGTTCAAGCCCAGATTCAGGTGGAGAGACGTCAAGCAAAAGCACCCCATCACCAACACCAAGCTTACCGAGTTACCCACGGGCCCACATGCCGAGATCCCTCGAGTACAGCACGACTTCGAGCCCGAATCCTTAGGGCACACTCTCTGGCGGAGGAATCGCTTGCGAGCGGTGGAAGAAGCATTTCGGCACTCGTGGGATGGCTACAAGAAAAACGCATGGCTGCAAGATGAGGTCTCTCCGCTGAGTGGGAAAGCCCGGAACCCTTTTGGTGGATGGGGTGCAACGCTCGTGGACTCGCTAGATACATTATGGATATTGGGCATGAAAAATGAGTTTGAGAGCGCGGTGGCCGCCATCAAGAAGATCGACTTGACGACCCCGGCACTGCTAGAGCTCAACGTCTTTGAGACCACCATACGCTATCTTGGCGGCATGCTTGCTGCTTATGATGTAAGCGGTCGTCAATATCAAGTGCTCTTGGATAAGTCTGTCGAGCTGGGCGAGATGCTCATTCTTGCTTTCGACACGCCAAACAGGATGCCTGTGACGAGGTGGAACTGGAAGAAGGCTGCACTGGGAGAGGATCAGGAGCCCAAGGTCCACTCCCTCCTTGCCGAGATAGGGTCGCTGACACTGGAGTTCACACGATTGTCCCAGCTCACTGGCGATCCAAAGTGGTATGACGCCGTCGCTCGCGTGACGGACGTCTTAGAGAAAGCGCAGAATACGACCAGGTTACCAGGGCTATGGCCGACCTTTGTCAATGCTAGAGATAATGACTTCCAGCGTGACTCCACTTTCACTCTTGGGGGGATGGCCGATTCGCTGTACGAATATTTACCGAAGGAACACATTATGCTGGCCGGCCGGACCGATCAGTATCGTAACATGTTCAAACTTGCTCTCGCTACCGCGAAAGAGAGTATATTTTTCCGCCCATTGAACTCGGAGAATCGTAAAATGCTTCTCTCGGGCACAATGAAGCGGCCTTCTTACAAAAGTAAGGGCAAACTGCAGCCTCAAGCTGAACATCTCGCCTGTTTCGCCGGCGGCATGGTAGCATTGGCTGCCAAAGTCTTCGAACAGCCCGAGGAAATGGATACGGCCCGAGAGCTTGTCGACGGCTGCCTCTGGGCATATAACAGTACCACAACGAAGATCATGCCCGAGATCTTTACCGCACTTCCGTGTGAAAAGCCGGATTGGGAAGACTGCGCCTGGGACGAAGACGCTTGGTATCGTGCTGTGGCCGACAAATCGAGCACTGGTGTTGCCCGTGCACAATATATGGAGACTGCTCAAGAAGTGATTGCCAACAGCAAGCTGGCCCCAGGATTCGTCCGTGTCACTGACTCTCGCTATATCTTACGACCAGAGGCCATCGAATCAGTCTTCGTTTTGTACAGAATTACAGGTGATATCAGGTTTCAGTACCAAGCTTGGGAAATGTTCCAGGCTATAACGAATGCGACGCGCACGTCTATCGCGTTTGCTGCGTTGCAAGATGTCACCAAGGAGGACAAGGCGCTCATCGATAATATGGAGAGCTTCTGGTGAGCGAGTAGCTTGAATGCACCTACGTGCCTATACTGACCACTTAACAGGACCGCTGAGACATTGAAGTACTTCTTTCTCATATTTAGCGAACCGGACGTGATTAGTCTGGATGACTATGTATTGTAAGTTCCGTCGCAAGTCACATCACTAGATTCGTGCTGACCACCTATAGCAACACCGAAGCACATCCGCTGCTGCGGCCCAAGTAGGATATGACGAAGTCCGAGATATCTCGATCCTTGCATAGATCATCGAAAAGTATTTGTAATGGCTCATGAAAAGTGATAGAACCATGATCGACGCCGACCTCAGATCCGCTCCAATAGACATTCCGCGGTGTACGACTAGACCGCTGAACTTAGTGAGCTTCAAAATACCGCATCGCTAAGATGAGGACTCACGGGCCACCTAATGCCATCAGAAAAGCTGCAGCTAACCTTCAACACATCTGACTGCAATCGCACGCTGCAGTAGAGAGTAAGGAATCCAGACCCCGCCCGCTTGACAGCTCCATTCGCTGTTGTGGCGCACCCATCTCCAGCTTCTGACCAAAGTCATCGCCACTCACTCTCACATGCTTGGCTTCTTTACTATCTTGTCTTTATACATTTCTATTCATGTTCAATCGCTTCCGTCGTTCGAGCAAAATCGCTCGCTCGTCATCATCTGACGATAAGCCGCGCAAATCCTCGATCGCCACCCGAAGTGATCAAACACGACGAAAACCAACAACTTTCTTCGACCTTCCGGCAGAACTACGCAATCTAATCTACGAACACGCCGCATTAGAAACCCATCTCCGTCTCCTTTCCAAAGAACCCAGCCAATCTAAATACAAAAAGCGCCCTATTCCCGGCCTCCTCCTCGCTTCCCGCCAATGTCGAGCCGAATACCTCCCCATCCTCCTCTCCACCGCCTACATCTCAATCACAATCCAAAACTTCAACTTCAGCAACCTCATCCGCATCACTGGAAGCCTCTACAACACCGAACTCAAATCCCTCCGCTGTAATCCCAATCTAACAATCTTCCTGACTTTTCCAACTCCAAATTCCTCTGTTCTTCCTTTGAGAGATCAAACTTTGGAAGCTTCCCTCCGAACTTGGATCACCTATCGTGCTACCGGAATGGATAAATTACCTTGGCATTATGCGATTCCGATAAGAGGGAGGATGCCGAGGGAGAGTGGGCATGTGAGGTTTATGATGGATTATAAGAAGTTTGTTGGAGTTGTGGAGGGGTTGAGGGGGAAGGTTGGGGAGGTGCTGCAGTGGGAGTTGGGGATTATGAGGGGGGAGTTGGAGGAGTTGGAGGGGGTTAGTAAGGAGTTTTGGAGGGAGAGGTATGAGGTTTATGAACAGGGGAAGGAGAGGAATGGGGTTGGGGAGATGGTTCGAGCTCAGTTTCGGTGAGGGGGATGAGAGGTGTGAGTTTTTGATGGGTGGATGGTGAATCTATTGTTCTTTGTTCTACTGCCGGTTTCTATCTAGATCTGTGGCTGTCTGATAGAGCAACTCATGACCTCAGATATGCGAATCCTGCGTGGGCTTTGATAGGCGCGTAGCCTGAAGAATCGACAATTGGTAACACGTTCATCTTCCTCTTCTCCTCGATCTGATCTGCTTCCAGCCATCTTTGCACTTCACTCTTCTCGCTGAAATCACTGATAAGCTCATCACTGTTCGCAATTTGGTACAATTGCATCCCTGTCGCTTGAGTGTTCTTTGGCAAAGGCACGAAATTTTCGATAGCGCCTGTGACCTTTCCAGAAAGGATCTCTTTACACAGATACGGCTCCGCACCCAGCGGTCTGCCAATCCCGATACCATCGCACGCCTGGTCTTCCAGAGCACGAACCATACCAGACGCCGTCCGGAAGCCTCCGGTAACGTACAATTTCGTCTTCTTGAGCAAAGGTCGAATGAGCTCGGCAAATTCAATGAAGTAGGATTCTCTTGCTTTGGTAGACTCTTTCTTGTGTTCGAAAGCTCGACCTTCGAATGTTCCGCCAGATAAGTCGATGAAGTCGACTCCTGCCTCTTCAAATTTGACGCAGAGATTGCGACAGTCTTCGGGCGTCTGGCCACCGGGCTGGAATTCGACTGAGTTCACCTTGACGCAGATGATGAACTTGGGATCGTTCACGCGTCGCTTGACTTCGTCGATGATTTCAAAGATAATCCTGCTTCTGTTCTCTAGCGAGCCGCCATACTCATCTGTGCGTTTATTGGTAGTGGAGGCGAAGAATTGAGCTAGGAGGTAGCCATGTGCCTGCGTATTGTCAGTACCTTGATATGCATCTCTCTGCAGTCAAAGAACGGCTGTTCTCATCATTGGCGCTATAACCGCTATACTGAAAGCAAAGCATCATGCATGTGCACAATCCGATCTCGACTTACAGTATGGATTTGGACTCCATCGAAACCTGCTTTGTAGCACAAATATGCAGTCTCACCCCATTGCCTCACGAGTTCGTGGATCTCAGTAACACTCAAAGCTCTCGGTTTATTGAACCAATTGCCAGCCCATTTGATGTTTAGCTGGACATCTGAAGCACTGACAGGGTTAGGGTTCAGTGCAGCTCCTCCTTGCCTTCCCGGATGGCTCAGCTGTGCAACAATCAGACTGCCATGAGCTTGGGCAGCTTTGGTCACTTTTCGAAATGCTTCCACTCTACCATCATGATCGTCTTGCAGGATTGGGTTGCCAAAGGCTTCCACGGCATCGTAGCGTAACATTGTATTGCCGGAAACGATGACGCCTATCTCGCCTTCGCCCCAGCGTCGATAGAGATGTTCATATTCTGGCGATGGATAGCCTCGTTTGGTAATGGGTTCATCCGGTTTATTCCAGTGGCATAAGCGCTCTGTCATGGGCGCTTTGAGGAATCGGTTCTTCGCAGTGCGACCTGAGAATGGAAATGTGATGGGTTCTGCTGGTAGAGAAGTGTCCACTTTGGGACCATCGATGCGGAGCTCGCCATCTCTGTCACCCGCTTGGACGCTCTGGTGAGGATATGCTTGAGCTTCAGGCACTCCGGCTGCTGCTGCTTTGTCGTACTCCATCTTTTTGGCAAACGCAGACGAAATATGAGATCTGGTTGTCAAAGCTCACATCTTACTCTTCAGACAGACAACCCCGCCCAACCTTGACGTGCTCGCCGAGGTCACGATCGGCGAACACGCTTATACGGGTGATTTTCTTCTGCCTGTAAGCAAGGAAAGGGACGACATGCTGAGTGATGCTGTCCCTGTGAACGCCGTCTGACACGTTGATTGTTGCCATTCATGGCTGCCAGAGCTCGAATTCGCCTGACACGACGACTGAAATGCCTTGTAGGGCAGGCAGGAGCGGCACACTTGCGATCTACTAGGAGCAGCTCCGCGTACAATTTCGATGTAAGGCATGCTAGGCTTGTGTTGATATGAGCCCGCCTCGTGGCGGACCAGACGTGTCGTGGTGGTACATGAATTTCAGCCAGCGACGGGCGCCACGGGCGTGCGAGGGCAACGTCCAGTCACACAAAGTCTGACTTGGTCAACAACAAGACGCTGATGATTGCTGAAGATCGTGCTCTCCTGCCGTCCAGCACCAGTCATGCGGGCAGATGTCGACCCTCGAGTCGTGCTGGAGGGCGTTGTCAAGGGAAATTGGCGGCCACAACCTAAGTCAGCAAACTCTGCTCTCGGGCCTCGCAGTGCACCACCATCACACGTCCACCGCACCGAGTGTCTGCCCGCGCGCACATCACCCCCCCGAAATAGCCACGTCCCATCGGCAGCACACGTTGATGATGGTGCAGGTTGTTGTGCCAAGCCCGACAGGCAGGCGAACGACAAGTGCATTGATAGGAGGTATTGAACCAGCGGAGCAGAGCAGAACAATGTGTGCGACGTGCAACGACAGGACGGGCAGCGGGGATGATGCTGCAACGTCGCTTCCCTCGCCCGCCGGCGGAGGCCCGCCCGTCCGTTCGTTTCTGCCAGCACCAGCGACAGAAACGGGCGGCTCGTTGCTGCTGCTGCCCTGTGGCTGGTCCATACACGATCTCTTAGCGCTCTCGCCCGCTGCAGGAACGACGAGCTCGAAAGCTCCGACCCTACGAGCTTGTCGCAGGGCTGCAGGAACGCCGACAGCTTGCATGCAGCTTGCGATATTCGATACCAATCGCACAGCAAGACGTGAATGACACTCACGCTCGCCACGATGCAGGACGCCACGCGAGCCCTCCACATTGCACTGCACCCACGCGCGTATATGAAAGACAATCCTGGGCGTGGACCGTGCCGAAAAGCACCATGTTCGAGAATCGGACAGCCGAGCTAGCCCGTTTGAGCATCTCTCATCTCCTATCCTCCTGTCTTCATGCTGGGTCCAGGCGATGACATTTCGCTACGCGGCTGTATCCTTTCTTTCTCGTCTTCTTCCCAAGCGTTGCATCTTGCTCGCCGCATTATTGTCTCTCATTATCCTTCTTCTTCTGCTGCTTGCTACCTTCTCCTTCGCCCTTTGATTTGTTGACTTCGAGCCGCATACCTGCTGCCCATTTGCCCGTCGAGACCCAGCGGCCCCGTAATCCCAATACCCCCGGCCACCATCTGCCGCCATCGCCTGCGGCTGCACGAGAGGAGCGAGCTCGAAAGAGACATCGGGAGCAGGGTCGACAAGAGACGGGAGTGTACATACATTGGGCATCGGCAAAGGACATTGATTTCGCTCGAGCTGCGGTGGATACACACTCTCGCGCGGCACTGTATCACTGTCATCACAGTCTTGTCGACATCACCGAGCATGTGAGTAGCAGTCTCTCGTCTTGCATCTCTCCAAAAGCGCGGAAACACGGGAAATTTATCATCTGCAGGTTGTAGGCTGACAAGGTTCTTGTACAACAGTCGTGGGGACACTTGCTAGGCACCTTGCAAGTCGTGCACCACTTTCTAATTCTATTGTTTCTTACCAACCCTTTGTGTGTCCGGTCGAGAGATCCGGACCTCCAACACCATCACCACGGCCGTGTTATCAGCAAATCCGCGGGACAGCCTCGTGCTCCCGCCTCACATGCTTGGCATGCAGAACGGCGAGAACATGGCTTCTGGTCCGGCCTATGGCCATCGCCAGACCCAATCCTTTGCCGTCAAACCATCGATGAGTCCTGATGAGAATGGCCTCCCACCGAGCTCGTTTCATCAGGCTCAGCCATCTCTGGGTGGCTTTGGAAACCGGCACACCAACAGGAATAGCATCCAGCCCATCAACACTGGCCGCATGAGCCAGAGCTACAACCCGCAAGACATGCAGACTCCTCAGACTGGCTACGACATGAACTTTACACCACTTCTCCCCACCAATTTGTTGATGGGCAGCCCCTTTCAGCCAGGCTCGCCGACCACCTTCCAATCCCCGCAGTTTCAGAGCTTCCCGACGCAATCCAATGGACGCGGTCACCAGAGCCAGATGAGCCAAGCCTTCGGACAACAGCAGGTCCTGTCGCCAGGTGCGTACCAGCCACTTGGCTCGCCGCCGCTTCAATCCTCGTCGTATTTTGGAAGTATGCAGTCGCCAACAACGGGCTTCAATGCTTTCCAAGGCCAACAACTCGGTGCATACGGCACGGCCATGCATGGCATTTCTCCTGGCATCGTCTCTGGCACCAGCCGAACTGTCTATCTGGGCAACATCCCTCCGGACACTTCTGCTGAAGAGATCCTTGGTCATGTCCGAAGTGGCCAGATTGAGTCTGTCCGCCTGCTGCCAGACAAGAACTGCGCCTTCATCTCTTTCCTGGACGCTAGCTCGGCCACTCACTTCCACTCAGACGCAATCTTGAAGAAGCTGTCAATCAAGGGTCAGGACATCAAGATCGGTTGGGGCAAGCCATCCTCGGTGCCTACTTCAGTCGCTCTGGCAGTCCAGCAGTCGGGCGCATCCCGTAATGTCTATCTTGGCAACCTCTCCGAGGACGTCACTGAGGAGGAGCTACGCGAGGACCTCAGCAAGTTCGGCCCCATCGACACTGTTAAGATCGTGCGTGAGAAGGCCATTGGCTTCGTCCATTTCCTGTCCATTGGCAACGCAATCAAGGCTGTCACTCAGCTGCCACAAGAGCCCAAATGGCAGGCGCCTCGTCGTGTGTACTACGGCAAAGATCGCTGTGCATATGTGTCGAAGACACAGCAGCAGAACGCTGCGCAGTACTTGGGCATTGCTCCAGGTTATGCGCACGTCCTGAATGGTGCCGACCGCGACCTCATTACTAATGCTCTGGCCCAGCAATCCGTCGCTGCTGCCGCCGTAGCGACCACCGCGGGCGGCGTCAACAACCTGGGCAACCGTACTGTCTATCTTGGTAACATCCACCCAGAAACCACTATCGAAGAAATTTGCAACGTGGTGCGCGGTGGATTGTTGCACCACATTCGATATATCCCAGACAAGCACATTTGCTTCGTCACATTCATCGACCCAACTTCGGCAGCATCATTCTACGCCCTGAGCAATCTTCAGGGACTCATGATTCACAACAGACGCCTGAAGATTGGCTGGGGTAAGCACTCTGGTGCACTTCCACCTGCCATTGCTTTGGCAGTATCCGGTGGTGCTTCGCGTAATGTTTACATTGGTAATTTGGACGAGACCTGGACCGAGGACCGCTTGAGACAGGACTTCCAGGAATATGGTGAAATCGAGCTCGTGAACACATTGAGGGAGAAGAGCTGTGCATTTGTGAACTTTACCAACATCGCCAACGCAATCAAGGCTATCGAGGCTGTCAGAGGAAAAGAGGAGTACAAGCGATTCAAGGTCAATTTCGGCAAGGATCGATGCGGCAACCCACCAAGACAGATCATCAACAACCAGCACTTGCAGCAGCAACAACAGTCGAGTGAGAACGGCGTGGGATCACCCTCTCCCGTGAACGGTCTGGCACCACAGTCGCACAGAGCTCAGCACTCTGTCTCGCCAGCGAGCTCTGGTCCGGGTGGCTACAACCCTCTGCAAGGCCCGACCGCGTCGACAATCTTCAATACTGGCAGCAATAATCCGTTGACCTTGTACCTTGCGGCCACCCAGCAGAACGCTCAGGCCGTCGCTGAACAGCAAGCCGCTCAGCTCCAGCGCAGCTTGAGCCCCTCGGATTATGGAGTCCAGGCATCATTCCAGCAATCTCAGCCATCGTCCGCCACTCACCTCTCGAACCAGCAAGCATTCTACAGCTCACCTAATGAGGTTGCTGCCACACGATCTGCTGGTCTGGAGCCTCCTTCCCACAACCACTTTGGTCATGGAAGCCACCAAAGCGTGAACATCACGAATGGCATGCATGCTCTCAATTCTTACTCGAACCAGGCGAGTCAAAGCAGTGCTTCGCGAAGCGCTCATAGCCGCGCCGTCAGCTTGCCCGCCTTCTCTCTCCAGGCTGCGCAGCAAAATCAATCGCAGCAGCTTTCTGGCTTGGGATACAGCGCTGAAGGCTACGGTCTTGGCGTGTCTCCAGGTCTGCCAGGCTGGGCTGAGGAAGAGGTGGCATAGAGAAAGGCGTCCTTGCGACGTGGGTGTAGCAAATCTTCTTGTCTTGCATTACTATCATCATCAATTTTTCAGAAAAACAACTAATACCTTGCCGCGCGATGTATGGCGGCCTACCTTTGTTAATGGCAGGGTCGCTGTGCTTGCGTCCGCTGTTCACTGGTGTTTGGGAGCAAAGCACACCGGTCTCTGGGAGACCTTTGGGATGGCGTGGAATTGGGATAATCCGCCGTCAGAGTGTTGTACGCGTGAGTTGGAATCTTGGTATAACTGTCTGCACCGCTGTGGATACTGCGTTGTGAGAGTAGCATGAGCGATGCCGAGTCGGGAGGGATGGAGGCTGCACGAACAGGATAGTAGGTAGTTCATCTCAATGGAAGATCGCAGTCGGAGGATACATGCATCTCATGTCCTGACCAAGTGCCACTCCGAGGCAAAAGATGTCATTGTTTGGTAATCGGTTGACTAAGCAGCTTCTTCATCTCTCAAGCACCTGCCGCTGTGCAACCTCGACATATACTCTGCTGTCCGCCCCGAAGTGCATTCATTCTAAGCTGACACCGCGATCTGAACCTGGACTCGACACAAGAACTGACTTCACACCCGCATCAGCTGCACATCAATCCAGCCGAATCACAAGATGCCCCTGCAGATTCTCAGCGCCGACCATGTCAGCAAGATCTTGCACTCTTTCACCAAAGACGGCATACTCGAGTTGCAAGCTACACTCGCTGATGCTCTGCATTGGTATAGCACATCCGAAGACGGTATCGACTGCTGCTCGGACTATCAGCCCGAGAGAACGGCCTTGAAGCGCAAAGATGGCTCCACAACTCTCTACTTGCCCGCGAGTGGCATTACTGGACAAGGCGTCAAAGTGCTGAACATATTGCCGCCTGACAATGCTGGATTTCCTGCTCTATCCGAGACTGCCTCTGATGGAGACTCACGCAGCTCAATCAGCTCGGGTGATCGTAATGCATCGATCGCCAGCACGCAGTCAGAGCGATCAAGCACTTCATCTGTGCCCACATCAGTCACCAAAGTAACAGACAGCACCGGAAACCTATCTCTCACTTCCAAGCCCGACCCGGATCAGTCTGCCGTATCGACAATCAAAGGCTCACTCACATTGCTGGATAACGTTGGCAACACCGTCGGCCTCATCAACGCTGAAGAAGTAACTGCTTTCCGCACGGCGCTCGCATCAACAATGCTCCTCAAAAAACGACACTCAGTCCATGACCTAACCATCTTCGGCGCCGGCAAACAAGCATACTGGCACGCACGCCTCGCCTTACTGCTCCGCGGAGACGAAATCCACCACTTGAACATCGTAACAAGAAACTTCGACAGTGCCCGAAAGTGCGTAATGAGATTATACAATCCGCAACCAGACGATCCGAACTATATCAACCACATTGGCACAAAATACAACAGCAAGACCAAAACCAGCATTTTGACACCTTCACATACGGAATATGGACGTTTATTGAAAGAATACGTCCGAGCTAGCAATGTCATCTTCTGCACGACACCTTCTACAACACCGCTATTTCCTGGCTCGTACCTCACGAATCCCGAAGGCCGAAAGAAAGGACGATACATAGCTTGCATAGGCTCTTATAAGTCCCATATGATCGAGCTGGATCCCACGATTTTGCAATACGCAGTTGCTCCGCATCATGAGCATCGGCATATTCACAAGCGGCAGAAGGAAGGTGGCGCTATTCTTGTCGATACTGTGTCTGGGTGTTTGAAGAATGCGGGCGAGGTTGTTCAGGCTAAGCTTATGCCAGATCAGGTTGTTGAGCTTGGAGAACTGTTTATGCTAAAGCGTGATGCTGAGCGGAGAGCGGCGGAGAGAGGGGAGAAAGTGGATGTAGGGAAGGATGGGTGTCAGTTGCAGGAGAATTCGGGGTTGAAGGAGTGGCTGTAAGTGCTTCCCCTCCTTCATTGTTCGAACACGATCGCTAATGTCTTTCTGCAGTACCCGGGGTAATGTCATATACAAGAGCGTTGGCCTAGGCTTGATGGATATTGTGGTTGGCAACGAGCTTCTACGAGTGGGCAAGGAGAAGAACATTGGACTGACTGTTGAGAATTTTTGATTTTCCTAGACGCTAATCTGTGAGAAAGCGCCTCACAACAGTGACCATAGTGGCACTCTCCAAATCTCTCTGCTCGCGTCCATGCCTAGGGTTTTCGCACTCGGTGCCCTAGCATTTTCGCACATAGCAGAGAAGACGTCCAGTGTCGCCAATATCAATCTGTGATCCATCCTACCTTCTACCCAGGTGAAGCCTTTCCCACTCGTTCATCTCTCATCTCTCTCCGTCAATACCAACCGCTGAGCCAACCAAGCGACCTCTCCCTCATCACATAAAAAGCCCCTTTCTCTTGGGACGACCCTTGACCTGGCAATACTTGGGGCAACGATCGTGCATGCACGACAAATTGGCGCAGACTTTGTTCTCTACGATTGTCGTGGCTTCGCATTTGCAGCAGGTCCAGCGTGGGGTCCAGTCCCTGAACACACATAAAACATTAGCATATGTTGTTCGAAGCTCGAAGAGCTGAGAAAAGATTAGTAATCTAGGATATGTTGTACTTACCACGGCACAGCCGCTCTGCTACTCATCTTCCCAGCTTCGCACCACTGCAGACCATCGGGGAGGTTGGGGTTGTAGACTGGAGGACGAACGAAGACGGGGACGTTCTTGGGGATGAAGGGTTTGGTGTTTAGTGAAGCGGGCTTCTCGGCACGAGCTTCTGCTGCTGCGGCGCGCTGTTTGGTGTGGAAGCCGAATTTCTTGACGGCTTTGGAGGTTAGGGACGAGGAGGAGCTGGTGTCGGTTGGAGCTGGTGGTAGAGCGGCGCTCTTTGGGTGTTTGGTGGGGCCGACTGGGTCTTTTGGAGGTGGCGGTGGGGGGATGCTCTCCTTTTGCTTGGAGTCTGATGAGTCGCTTGGAGCTGGTGATGGGGTGCTCTTTGGCTGGTGAGTGTACTCTGGGTCGGTGAGTGCGTCTGGGGAGATACGGCGCATGTTCTCGGCCGTCTGTGGCGGGACAGGCAAGTCTTCGGCTGGGGAGCGAGATGCAGAGCGAGGCGATGGGATGCGAGTTGGGCTCTTGTCGCCTTTGCCAACCTTTCTGATGTTCAATGCTGGAACTTGGAGCGCGTCATTGCGCGGCTTCAAGGCGAAATCGCGTGCGCTCACGTCGTCGAGCTCTTCTTGCTGTGNCCCGCCATATCTGGTGATGCGGCGGCTCGAGTTCTCCGTCTCGACTGTCTTGTCTTCTTCGAGTGGCTTGGCCATATTGTCGCCGTCTGTGTCAGTGACGACGATTTCGATCTCACGACCTCGAACCGTTACGCGCTTCGTCTTTGGTGGCGGATCTCTTCCAGTTTCGCCTATGGACAACTCGAAAAGGTCGCGGTCCGAGATTGGATCACGCTTGGTGACGCGAGAACTCAGTGGTTTCTGTGGCGGCGGAAGAGCAAACTTCGGCACTTGAAGCTTGCCTTTGTTCTTGAGTGGATCTGGCGGGTTGGAGCTTCTTCCACCGGAACGATCGAGTCGATAGTTGTCGACGATCAATGGGGTGTCTGGAGATGGGCGTCTCTTGCTGCTCTCGACGAGCGGGAGCGGAGGCCGGCGATTGGAGCTTCTTCTCACGGAGCGATCGAGTTGACGAACTTCGACGGGCTCTGGTACTGGAAGTTCGGAGAGTGGTTGGCGATTGGAGCTGCTTCTGACAGAGCGATCGAGTTGACGAACTTCGACGGGCTCTGGTCTTGGAAGTCCAGAGAGTGGCTGGCGTTTGCCGGCGGCAAGGTTGGCGGCGCGAATTTGACGGAGTGTGTCTTCTCGGAGTCGACTGAGGGCTTCGTCGCTGTTGGAGCGCTGCAAGCTGGTCAGTTCAACTTCTTCAGTCTTCACTGCCGGAAGAGAAGTCTTCCGGAGAAGTCTATGTAGTGAGGGCGCCATCTTGCCCAATCTCGCTTTGGCAGGCGAGTTGTGAGGTGGAGTTGTTTGTGAGCAAAACAAACTGCGAATGTGAAGACATTCGCCCTCGCTGCGCGCTGACAGGGGTACCTGCTGCCTCCAGCTTTAGCGAGTGAAGTTATGCGGCTTCAGATGCAACGGTTTCGACAAACATCACTTCTTCGATGCAGCGCCATGCTGATACTGGTTGCGTGACTTCGCGCTGGGCTGCTTTCTGGATGCTGTGTTCACAAGGTCAGAGGTCGATTTTATTCACCCTGCTGCGAGAAGTGTGAGTCTTGTAAGCCACCTCAGCTTCTCAGCAAAAACAGCATATTATCGTATTAAGTCGTTACATCCATCGACACCTACAAGCACAAGGGTATCGTCAAGAAAGCCGCATCCGAGTTGAGAGTGCTGGTCAGGTCCTCCATCCTCGGCATATCGTAACAAGATCTCTGAGCAAATCGTTCTGTCGTCCAAGCATGTATCCAATGCCGCAAGAATTTCGAAGCCAGCTCCTACAAAGTGAGCTTGTATCCACTCCAACCAGCAAGGCCCCAAATGACGAAAGCCAGAGGCTGGCTGATTGCGTATCCATAGATGCGACCCTTTCCATCCTCTTTCGAAGCGTCCGTATATCCCACGGCGTATATTATCCTTCCAACGATCCATCCAATGCCGAGGTATGTCGAGGCCATAGGGTACTCGACACCTGCGATCAGCATAGCTAACGCCGTCGATGGCTGGTACTCGAGGTAGTTGTAGTGGGCTCGTTGCTTGCAGTTGAACATGTGCATGGCCTGCATATGCTGCTTGTCCACAGCCTTGTCCATGTCACCGCTGTCTGCAAATGCCTTGGGGGCCTTGATTTGCGCCGGTTTGCGACTCATACCGGCTCGTGCGCCATGCCAGAAACTAAGCTGTTCTGTTGTGAGTCTCCACCTCGAGGACGTTCGAAGCAGTCTGGACTAACGAAGAAGGTAAAGGCTGTTGTAGCAACAACATAGCTGTACGTGTACGCGTCAGCCTCGCGGTCTTTCCTCCTCCTCCAGGCAGATCTCACCCATATTCCTTGGGAACTGTAATCGTGGTAGTCATCTTGCTGGAGGTCTCTTCAAGCTGTCTCGGAGTAAGTCTGCAGAGAGTGGAGAAAGTGTCAAGTATTTAAGATGTTCCGCAAGGTTTGCGCATCGGAACGATAAGTAGGACGGAGAGTCAGGCTGAGAACTCTATTGTGCTATCATCAACGGCTTTCAGACGCTTTCAGCAACCAGGAATGCCGCTAACGATTGCGACTACTTGCCCTCATCTCAACTGACCTGCCGATCTCTCTTGCGCGCATGCACTGGTGGAGCTATTTATACGAGAGCGTGCTCGCGCCATGCCGTCGAAGGCAGCGCTCTCGTGCGGCGCGTGGGCGCACATTGGCGGCTGTCGACACGACGCGGCGCTTTCTCGTCTGGGGCCCTCTGCCTCGGGTCTTGCGATTCGGGATGCTGTGCAGCAGAACCTTCCGGCCGGCATCACCATGTACCGGCTGCCTGCAGATGAGACACTGCTCGCCGACGATGCGTTGGGTCGTTTGCGCAGACTGTTGGCTGTGGAGCGAAGTGGGAGAGGAGTGTTGTGAGAAGCGAGCGGTGGAGAAATGAGGGCAAGGATGCCTGTCTGGATCAGGAAAGAGGCAGACCGCAGCTCATCTCCGTCTCTGTTGTTCCAGTCACGCGGCTCGCAGCCTCTCGACTACATCTGTGATCAAGTGGAGAGCGCATGTCGCAGCTATTGTCATCTTGAAGCCCACAGGCCACCAGCCTCGCCGGCGCCGCACGTGTGGGCCACGGTGTGCGCGAGCTCGCCTCTCAGGACCCGCACGCGCGAACGATGATGCCGAACACAGCATGGAGACCGGCGGTGAGGTCTAGAGAATATGCAAGGACGGAATATATGCAGTAGTAGCGCGACCTCGATATCGTGTAGGTACGCGCCCTCGCTACATGCAGCTAGTCAGGTACCATGCAGTGACGAAGATTCTCTGCGTGAGCTTCTTAGAATCAACCACAGACGCGGTAAATGACAGGCGTATTGTCCTGACTTACTTAGAGTTCGGAGAACGACCACTGCCACGGGTTTCAGGAGCATCAGAAGCTTTCGCGATAGGGCTTTAGGGCTCACATTCGAAGCAGGAATATTGGGTGATTGCACCATTCTCATATCACTGACCATCCGTGCCAAGCAGGAAAGTGCAAGAAAGATGAGCGTATTGCTATAGTGTCCGCAGTGCCTAAGGTAGCACAACATACTGCAGCGTAACGCGGAGAACATTCGTCCGATCTTTGTAGTACGGCGTTCCTCCACGTGGAATTCGGCCAACATCGGGGCTGACGGATACTTGCCTTAAGGTGTTTGAGCATTGAAGCCAGCAGCCTATCCGGAGCTTAAGCCGTTGGTGCATTGTCTCGGGAGAATGAGAAGCGTTCCAAATCATTGCGTAGAATATTCCTGGTTCTATAGTATGCGAAGCTGGGGCATATTGGCCTGTGCAAGATGGCGGACTTGGGCGCGTCTTCGACCTGTTGGAGGCCTAATTCCAACAGGCGCTTCGCAATATCTGTCGTGTCCAGCGTGGCCATTCATCTTCTTGAGTCTAGCCTTGGCACTGGCGTGTAGCATCTCCGTGGATATGATACTCGGCCAGTATTCGCATCCAGTCCAAGTCATGCTTTGTGCTGTGGAAACCTGAAATCCGCTGCCTCGATAATCCACGCATCTCCTCATCCACCTCAAGTCGTGCCTTCTGTCTGACAAAATCGGAGATCTGCCGCCTCAATATTCCACCCATAGCACACAAGGTCAAGGCTTCTTCAATCATGATGCCCATTAACCCCATTGACCTCCCCAAACCCCTTCTCAGTAAGCTCCCTCAACAAACCCGCCACAACCCTCGCATTCTCATCAGTTTCCTGTTGAATCTTACTCTCACCAAGCGTATTCAATTGCCCAAAAAGCCACATTTCTTGCATTTGTCGAATGAGAGTCTGAACTTCTTCCGCGCCGCGTATCTATTCTCAATCATCAGTATGCGACCTCATCACAAGTCACGCGGTAGGTACAAAAAGAATAACAAAAGAAGAGCTTGCAGCAGATTGGATCTGAAGACACGTGGAATGGAATGTGCTTACAAGTGCCGCGGTTTCTGCTTGAAGTTGGTATTGCGCAGTGGCGGAGACACCGCGATCGGTGGATTTTACCTGCGATTTGACGCATTAGAATGGTCGAAGATATCTGTGGTTTTGATTTTGGTATCGTACTTTGGCGAGCGCGACGAGATTGGTGAAGCGGCGCAAGAGGTTGCTCTGTAATCTGTCGATTTCATTTTGCATGCCTTTGGCGCTGCGAAGAGATGAGTCCATGCTGGTGGTCGAACTCGATGTGATCAAGAGATTCGATTGCGCATTGCACGTTGATATGTTTGAACAAGTTTGCGAGAGTGAATGTCTTGAGAGGTGGGAGTAATGTGGAGTTAACTACGAACTGAAGTTGGGGACTGCCAAGCATCTGAGCGGGACATTTGAACACGGACAACAAGCACGAGGTAACAGCAGAGAGGAAGACCATGTGAAGACCGTGTGTAGGCGCAAGGAGTGTGGTACGATGTACTCGTATGAAACCGAATTAACTAAGCCACCACAAACACCAAGGAGAGGAGTTCACATTCTGATCAGACAATTTCTGTTACAGCCAGACATCAACGTAGAGTCAAGAGTCTCCCATTACTCGTCGTCAGATTCCTCTTCGTCCGACTCTGCGTTCTCGAGCCACTCGAGGAACTTTTCGGCACTCTTGCGGACCTTGCGGGAGGTCTGCAAGTCGACGTACTTCTTGCTGGCCTTGCCACACCAAGCCTTGAGGTTGTCGTCGGAGACGAGGTCGTTCTCGTAGACCTTGAGCAGGATAGCGCTGACCGATGGGATAAGATTTGGCTTGTCAATGCCGACGAAGCGCTCAATGCCACCCAAGAATGCCTTCTCGTGGCGGTCTGAGGTGATCAACTTCTTGAGCATGGATGCACGACCCTCGATCTGCTTGACAATGCTATCGTCAAAGATGCACTGAGCAAGAACAGCTGGAGTGCGGTGCTTGGTCTCGACGCCGAGTTCCTTAGCCTTCAAGTAGATGTCGACATCCTTGACTTTGGAAACGCCTCCTTCCTCCTCAGCCTTGCTTTCGATCCACTTGCCAAGCTCTTCATAGACGTTGTCGCCGCCTTCTCCGTCTTCGCCGTTCTCGATGACGAGGGTGTTCTTGAGATCGTCAGGCAGAGCCTGAGCACGAGCCTTGACGGCGGCTTCAGACATGTCCACGGACCATTCGACTTCTTTCTCCTTAACTTCGGCGAGTTCCTTGGCCTCGGCGTTGATTTTCCTAGTAAGATCATCGTCGCTGGCGTTACCCTCGTCCTCAGCTTCCTCATCGACAGGATCAGAGCCGCTGTCACCGGGGCTGCCGTCCTTCTCGGCTGTGCCGTTGCGCTCAGCCTCCTTGCGAGCCTTGCGGTCTGCCTTCTTGGTGGACTTGTCCTTCTTGCCCTTCTTTGGTGCATCCTTCAAGATGTAGCCCGACAGCTTGTGACGCAAGTCAGCCTTGCTGATCTTGCCGCAAGCCTTGCAGTCGAACAAAATCTCGCCATCCTTGATATTGACGACGGTCTCTGGGTTCTTGCATTCCTTGCACAGCACGAACTTGTTGATGAAGCCATCGAGGTAGTCCTGCAGCTTGCCTGCCTCGTGAGCGCCGTTGATGATCCAGCGGTCATCTTTGGGGTCAATGTTAGTCTGGGCGCCCAGCTCGAATCCGAAGTACTTGATGACATAGTTTGGAGGACGTGCGAGTTGATGGGCCACCTGGCTCAGGTTGACGATGACGGTCTTGATGCCGTTACCCTTGCCCTCTACCTTGGACTGGATGCGCTCCATCTTGTAGCGGTAAAAGGGATCGGCGACATCGCGACGAATGTTGACAGTAGCCATGGTTGCGGTATTGGAATGGTGAAATGGGCAAGTTGGAGAGCGTGCCGGGAGCGGTGTCTATGTTGTAGGCCGAAGAGACATGCGGTAGTCGGGAGCAAGCGTTTGCTGCTACCGTGCAGTGAGGCGGTCGTCTTTGTGGAAGACGGTTTGGCAGGAGTAAGTTCTTTCAACTAGAAGGTCTCAGACGGAGAGTCAGCCGTTGTTGCGCTCGTGGCCGCTACTACGGGGTCTTCGCGTTATGCGGAATGGTTGCTGCACAGGCGGCGGATCGGCTGGAAAGGCGTTGGCGTGGGACGAATACATAAACCCTGTGCTCTGGACGGGAATATGGATCTGGGTTGGCACGAGTCCTCGGAGGATGAGTATGGTGATGGCGGGTGGGCGACGGAGGCTCGCCGGCTATCAGGAGGGCAGTTTGCTGTTTGCTGGAGCAAGTGTCGATGTCGGCTGCTGTGCGCAGGACCAAGGCGTGTGGTGCTGATGCAGGTTGCGCGTGCTGGTGGTTGATGATGTTGGAGGAGAAGGAAGGAAAGAGGAGGGCGAGTGGTAGTTAAACTTGGTGAGGGTCCGGAAGTCGGCCGGGCGCCACACAACAGGCCTTTTTTCACACACGTGCTCATCCAGGCCACACGACTCCACCGCGCAATACAATGCTCTTTCCGCCTTGTCTTTAGCATGCGGGCATATGGCCTCGTCTGTCCGGTTGGCGCTACATCTCAGCTCCCATCGACTGTGCTACTATTGTTGGCCCGCATGTCCTTTGTCTGGCTTGTTGCCTTGATGTGCACGCCTACCACCGGCACGCGTTGCTCACTCGGCGCCCGAAGTGATCCAATCTGCCGTTCCCCGTCGTTTTGCCTGCACCTACGCGTAGTGACCCCTCTACAGTCTCAACGTGCTTTGCGCCGGTGGGAGTCAGCCGCACTGCAAGCAGGAAAGTACGTAGAACTTTGTGGAAAGCGCTTTTGATGATGTACTTCCCGCAGCACGTCACGATTTGCGTCTCGGCTAGCAAAAAGCTCCAGTAAGTTTTATGCGGCCATATGCCGTGCATTGGCCCTACCAACATCGACACAACCCCGAAGAGCTCTGAGTCATGGCGCCGCCGAACGTGGACTACACTCTCTACCTGGTGACTGACTCCACGCCTGCAATACTGGGTGACAAGGACCTGGTTGAGGTAGTGAAAAATGCTGTAGCAGGAGGTACGCACTTCCAACATGACTGACAAGGACTCTTCTTATGCTCGCATCAGGCGCGACCATCATACAGTACCGCGACAAGACATCAGAAACCGCGGACCTCGTACGCATAGCGAAGCAGCTACATGAAGTCACCCGAGCGGCCGGTGTGCCCTTGCTAATCAACGACCGCATCGATGTTGCGCTGGCTGTTGGCGTGGAAGGCGTGCATATTGGCCAGGACGACCTGGATCTGAAGACTGCTCGTCGAGTACTCGGCCCTGATGCAATCATTGGCGTGACCGCGAACAGCGAAGAGGAGGCCATCATCGCTGCCAAAGATGGTGCCGACTACCTCGGACTGGGAACTGTCTTTGCAACGCCAACGAAAGAGAACACCAAGTCCATCATCGGGACTGCTGGTGTGCAACTCATTCTTGCTTCTCTGGCAGAGAAAGGTCTCGATGTCAAGACTGTCTGCATCGGTGGCATCAATGCTTCGAACGTCCAGCGGGTCTTGTTCCAGACAGCATCAGCGCAAAAGCAGCTCGATGGGGTTGCTGTTGTGAGTGCTATAGTCGCAGCAGATGATGCCAGACAAGCTGCCTCCCATCTTCGAGAGCTGGTACGCAAGCCTCCGTTGTTCGCCGCCAGCAGCTCAAAACCAGCGCTCTCCCAGCAGGACATTCGCATCAAAGCGCCAGAGCTCATCAAGCGGATGGCTGGCAAGAAGCCACTATGTCACAACATGACGAATCTGGTCGTTCAGAACTTTGCTGCCAATGTCGCTCTTGCTATAGGTGCTTCGCCGATCATGTCGAACAATGGGCTCGAAGCATCAGATCTGGCCGGCCTTGGAGGTTCGCTCGTGATCAACATGGGCACTGTGACACCTGACATGCGGGACAACTATCTGAAAGCATTGGCAGCATACAATGCTGTGGGAGGGCCGACGCTGTATGACCCTGTAGGCGCTGGGGCCACGCAGCAACGTCGCGATGGTGTGAAGACACTTCTGGCTGGTGGCTACTTCACAGTCATCAAGGGCAACGAGGGCGAAGTACGTACTGTCGCTGGTGCTACAGGCTTCCAGCAACATGGTGTCGACTCTGGAGCCTCGCAGCTCTCTCTTGATGAGAAAATCCAGCTAGTCAAGGCTACGGCGGCAAGAGAACACAACGTTGTACTTATGACCGGTGCCACAGATGTGATCTCGGATGGTCAGCGAACGATAACAGTCAGCAATGGGCACGCTTTGCTTGGTGAGATCACCGGAAGTGGCTGCACCCTCGGTACAACCATAGCAAGCGTCCTAGCTGTGGAGCGAGAAGATCCATTACTTGCTGCAGTGACGGCTATACTAATCTACGAGATTGCTGGCGAACGTGCTGCTGTTCGAGACGATGTGAGGGGACCTGGAACATTTGTACCAGCGTTGATCGACGAGCTGTACAGAATAAGACAGGAGAGTGTTCAAGGCAATGGCACTTGGGCTGAAGCAGCAAAGATAGAGATCATATAGAGATTGGGGGGAATCATACCCAGTGGTCGGCATTGAACCCGGCTTAGTCAGCGATGCTCCAGCTCCCGTCTGCTTGGGCAACTTTACTTGCGACTCGTCTTTCGCACCACGCGCCGATCGAGCTCCTCAACATTGATCCACTAACGAATAGACGCATACTATGGCGGAAGTGTAGGGCCCCCCTTGATTCTCCATTCAAATGACACAGCTGACAGCCTCGTTCAGCGTTGAGTCCGCGATTGCACTCCCAGAGCCGGAGGACCTCGCCGAGCCAGGAGACAACAGCTTGAAGCGACGACAGTCCGAAGAAGCAGACGCCGAGAGTAGCAGCAAGCGGCAGCGGACAAGCCCTGGTAAGACATCACCGAAAACGAAGGGAAAAGAAGAAGTCGTGTCGTCGGCCGCGCGACCGCGATCAGTTACACCTGTCGAGTCGAAGAATGAGCCAAGCAAGGCGCAGACGCCAGCGGAAGACAGCAAAGATGCTCGCAGAAGGAGCTCAGCGAAGGGCGCGGACGAAAAGCAGCGCAGCAAGAGGTTGTTTGGAGCACTACTTGGAAACTTGAATAGGCCCAGTGATAGAACATCAAAGAGACGGGCAGAAATAGAGCAACGGAAGAAAGCTGAGCTTCAGAAGCAGGACGATGAACGCCTCGAGGATCGACAGAAGAGGCTCGAGCGGCTAGCCGTCCAGCGTAAGAAAGAGCAGATCGATGTTGATGAGCGCGATGTGAGTATTCTGGACAACGAAAGGGTGTAGTGAGAGACTGACAGATGCCAGATGCATGTCCGGCACAAGAATCTGCTAAGCAAAGCAAATTTCCTGCAGACAAGAGCAGAGCCTAAGCTTGTACGTACGATACCTGGTGTAGAGGATTCATGCGCTAACTAGAGGCAGTATTATCGACCATGGGATCTCTTGCCTGATGAGGAGGATCTTGTTGAGCAGCAGATAAAGGATGCACAGGCCCAGATCGACCGAGAGCTAGTCGAATGGGAAGACGAGAAGGAGAGGCGTTTGAACGAGTTTAAAGAGTCAAAAGGTGCGTCTTGACCAACGATTGTCACACACACACAACTCAGCAGCTGATATCTGACCAGCTCCACGGAACACGAACGAGACACCGCCGAAAGCCGGTACAAACACCGCGAACGACGAGGAGCCGGGCAACGCCGACACGCTCGAAGCGAAGCACAATGGAAAGACTAATAGTCCACTCCAACATGAGACCAACGCCGATGCCGATGTTACCGGTGCTAAAGAGGCTGACAAGGCAACGGCCGAAACGAACGATTCAGTACGAGCGTCATCGCAACCTGCAGACGATGCGGAGAATGAGAAACAGGAAGGAAGGCTCGGAACAGACACACCGGAGGAATCTGGCGCAGTGCAACAGACCAAGGATGAACAGAACGACAAACCCGATAACGCCCCAAACCGGGACGGTAACGAAGAACCCCAGACTCAGAGCGACGTTAAAGAAGACAAGGAAGACATCGATGATGATGGAGACCATATGGTTGAAGGAGATGAAGACAACGTCATCTATTAATGTGCCTTGGTCGACTGGTTACTTCGAAGTCATTGATACCATTATTTCGGATCGCCAGATGTTCGATGTAATAAGAACTATCAACGCTGCACACGGGCGGACTTGACCGTACTTGGCTTCGCATTTGCACTCGTGGGCCGCGAGCCCGCGGCTTCAGCAAGTATTCATCACATGAATTCATATTCGTGGTACGCTGATCATTAGTAGTTCCCTCAGATCAGCTCCATTCCTCCTTTTCATCTCTGTCGCTTCTGGACCCAGGAATTGACATATACGCCAATTCTCTGAAAGATATCTGCTCTGGCTTTACGGCGTATGGTCCGATTGCGGGATCAAGTCACCACGAGTCTTCAAAAAAACCGCTGCATCATTATTCAAAGCCGGGTTCGTGTGGCAATGTATGCCTGGGCTCCACCATCACTGATGGCACGTCACATCCTCTTGCGAGCAGGTAGCTGTGCATTTGCTTCGAGCGAAGGGATTGTGGCATTCGACGCGGTCTCCTCATTCCAAGGGCCTATTGCAATGGCAACGGGAACGGCGCTGCCTTCGAGGACGCGTACAGATCTCGCGTCGCGACAGAGTTCGATCGGCACTGGAACTCTGCCAATCCTTCCCAAAACGCCACGATGTAGCAGAAGACATGTATCATCACATCCTCCTGACCAAGGCAACAGGACCGTCGAATTGATGTCGTCCTTGCACCACGTAGGTAATCATGGCGAATGCCATGACTGCCGTGAAAATCACTGGTGCCCAGTTGAAGGACTCGGCGTCAACCGGAGTGCTATTCGGCCAGAATGTCCAGAAGCTGGCGAAGATGGAATAGCAGGTGGCCATGATATTGATTGGAAGCCCCAACTTTCCCAAGGACCATCTGGCTTTGGGGAGGGAATCCGGATCGCGAAACTTCTTGAGGGCGATGCAGGTGATCGAAATGGCATACGAAGCCATGAGAGCCGAGAGTTGCAACGACAGAATCGCGTTGAAAGCTGCGTTCGATCCGAGATTGATGAGAGATAGCAAGACGGTGCATACGAGCGTCAGCAATGTTGCGTTCACGGGGATATGCCATCGTGTATTCATCCGCGATATCCAGGAGGAGAATGGTAGTCCACGGTCTCGGGCCAAACTCCAGGCTTGACGCGCGCAAGTGGCGGTGAAGGACACGTTGCCAACCAGTAAGCACCAGACTGTCACGACTGTCAAGATGTTGATGCCAATGTTATTCTCTGGCATCGCCAATTTGAAGACGTAGAGGAAAGGGTAGCCGGTGGGATCATTCAGTGCGTCTTCCACTGACGGGATTGCGAAGAGCAGTGAGACGAGAAAGACCAGTCCGGTGGAGCCGTTGATGTAGAACGTCCACATCATTGATCGGGGAACGGAAAGCCCTGCGTCGCTGACTTCTTCGGCCATGTGTGCTCTATAAGCATAGGTAAGTCAGCACATCGCCGGCCTTATGCTTCCAGGTGTACTCACGCTGCATCTGAACATCCAAGAGAAGCAATCGCACTGATCTGGCCCACCATCAAACTGAGCCCCATCGTCGGCCACCCTCCCGTATTCGAGAACTCCAACAAGACTTCCCTCGCAGGCGGATGAGGCGCAAGCACCCATAAAACCACAACGACGGCAACGAATCCAGAAAGATGCAACACCATCGAGATGTTGTTGAGGATCGGAAAGAATTTCGAAAAGAAGATGTTGAAGATCCCGGAGACGACCACAACAGCTAGAACGCACATCGTGCTCTGCCAATTAGATGCTGTGTATCTGTCTGGGTAGTTGACCATTGCGAGCGACTGGATGATTGTTCCTGCGAGGAAGAAACCTGAGGCGTTGCCAGCTTGGTATGACATTGTGGAGAGCCAGCCTGTGGTGTAGCTGAGGAATTTCTGGTACTTTTCTGGTGCGAGTTCGCTCACCCCTGCGCAGGAAATGTCAGCTATGCAATCGGGAGTTAGACGCAGACTCGATGGTTCTTACAATGGTATTGAGCTCCTGCTGTGGGTGCCTGGAAGCCAATCTCAATTAATACCGGATTCTGATTTCAGCGATGAGTTCAGACTCACCATACTCGCCATCTCCGCCATGCTCGCGATAATCAGACCAAAGCCACCCAGCGTCCAGATGTAACTCCAGAAGAGACCAGCTCTGCCACCATCAACCAGGCCTTGCGTGTTTGCGGTCAGCAAAAACTGCCAAGTCGCCATGATCACGCAAGTGAAGGACAAAATCGAGAATTGTCGAAAGACTCTGCGCATTTCTTGTCGCTTTCCCATGCGCGACATGTCCCGGAAGTCGAAAGAAGTCATTCGTCCAGGATCGGACATGTTGTTTGTTAGCCGGTCCACTTCATCGAGCTGTTCTTGAATATCTTTGGTCGTCCTCATGCTTCCGATGCGTGGCTCGAAATTCTCTTGCACATAAGGTTGGCTCTTGCGAGCGGAGAACTTCGATTCTGGGGGCTTCATCCCGAAGGAGAGTCGTCCGTCTGCTGGGGTGTGCGACATTCTGGATCTCCAGTACAAATTTCGAGTTGAACTTTAAGCTTATACTGGAGCTCTGGGCGGCAAGCGCCTTTAAAAGGCACACTCGATGGTGTGCAGCAAGAGAAAACTCTGTCGCGCTCTCCTCGCATTCCAACGGGAGAGCTAGAGATGCACGAAGTGAGCACAACGACAACCGTCGCAAGGTGCTAGACTCTCAGGTTCTGCATGACCCGCAGAGGTTCGCCATTCGTTGCTCCACCTGTTACTCGCAGCCGCATGCTCGGCACGCTTGGAGGCTCGGGAGGGTTCAGACGGGCGAAGGGTTCAACGCAGTGCCAATATGGCGGGTGCTGTGTGTGCGGCACATGGCAACGCGGAAGTGGCTGACTGGACGTGTTCGATTGGGGATTGCATTGGCGAGATGCGTGGACCCGTCGGCCAGTCCGCACCATCCAGGAGACGGGAGCGGTTGGTCATGCTTTGCGAGAAGAGATGCCTCTGGAGGTCGCACGATTGTTTGCGACACAGCGGCATATGCTGTCTGCAGAGCGCCCGTTTCGTAAGCAAGATCGATCTTTCCCGGCGAACTGGCACTATCCTTCAACATCACATTTGAACGCTGTTACACGTCAAAACATCTAGCGCTGCAGTGACGTTGTCGCTGGTTGTCGATTGTCTTCACAGGATTAGGATCTGCACTTTGGAGGCGAATGGCCGCGGTGTGAGTCAATGTGTCGTTTGGCGTCAATCCTCACGATCAAAAAGGCGACGTGCATACAAGCAATAAGTGACGAAACGCTAGTGGCACATCAGGAGCATGCCAAGCCCTGGCACAAGACCTGCATCCATTCGGAATCACTGCTGGACACGCGGTGAGCGGAAGCGAGCATCGTCGTACAGCGGGGAGCGGCCAGCATTCCGAGCGATATGTGGTCTTCGGCCAGATTGCTGTGTCTGTGGTGGCAAGTGATGAGTTCTGAAAGCGATCGACTACAGAAGCACTTTGATACAACATCCCGGACGCCCATTGCCACTCAGACCGCTTCCATGGGATCCTGCCGTTGCTTTCGAACCTCGTTGTTACATCGCCGTCGTCAGACGCCGGTCCGGGGCTGGTGTTGGTGCTCCTTCAGTCCTGGGATGACACCGGATCGCGACCCAGGCAATCACCCTCGATAACGAAACGAGAAGACTTTCTTCTCTATCAGTTCATCACCGCACAGGAGTCCATAGATCATGGCATTCAGCAGTGGAGTCTATTCATCTAGGGGTAGCACTGAGGCGCAAAGCCTCATCGTTCTGCGCAACAAGCCTTCTGCTCTGTATCTCCATGACGCATGGCGCTCTTTCTCAACAGCAACAGTATAGCGATTTGATCTATGTTCAAAGGAGCCCACATAGAACTGTCACTCACACGGCATTACCACGACGCTCGACATGGCCGGTGGCTTCGACAGCAGCGGCGACAGTGGTCATTCACAATGGTCTCCTGGAACACGATATTTTGTCCGCATCTCCGACGACGACCATAGCGGCTGGCTATGGATCATCACTGTTATGTCACTGATCTACGTCCTGGTCGCTTTTGTTGTCCGATTCATTGTCAAATATGGTAAGCACGTCTGCAGGCTCAGCATCGAAAATTGCAAGACTGACGATTGCTAGGTTTGTAAGAAGCATTGTATCGTGTTGTTAAAAGTATGATCTGGCCTGACCTCATGTGTTCAGATACGGCTACGATGATTGGGCGCTTCTGGCATCTACCGTCCTTGCCGTTGGCCAGTACATCGCTGTCCTCTTTGGTCTTAGCCATGGACTGGGCAAGTCAACAAGACTACTATCAGCGACGCAGATTGACAAAATCGAAACAGTATGCTACTCCAGTCTCGGGTTCAAGTGCGAAAGCTAATCGAAGCAGTCCAATTCAGCTCACGTCTTTCTTTTCTTCCTGGCACATACCATGTCGAAGATCTCGACTGCCTTACTCACACTCAAACTATTCGAAACAGGCAGAGCCCGAAGCTTGCTACTTTCAAGGAGTTTGGTCATTCTTTCTGCGGTATATGGTGTGGGTAGTGTCTTGGCTGCTGCTATTAATTGTCAGAGCCCATCAACTCCACAACCTGACAGTGGTTCATGTCCAAACTTGGTATGTATTCTATAAAAGCCATTTACAAATCGTTTTGACAAGCTGCACTTCTAGCTACTTCGCTGGCAGATCAGTCTCGGCCTAGATGTCGCCACTGAGACTTTGCTGGTAGTTGTTCCGATGATACTTCTGGTCCGCATCCTCAACAAGCGGTCCTCCAGGATCACAGTAGCAGCTATCTTCGCTTGCAGACTGGTCGATATTGTCTTCGCAGGACTCAACTTCTATCAGATCACCCTTCTGCGAAACACCAGCGACTATGGCACAGGCATCATACCTCCCATCATCTGGATGCAGGCGGAACTATTATGGTCTATCATATCAGCCTCGCTACCTTGCCTCAAAGCTTTCATGCGACCATTCGACAAGGTGGGCGAGGATACTTGGCGATCGGGACAAGGCTATTCAGCGTCACGTTCCGGAGGCAGCTTGGGACCAAAACGAGCTTCGAAACAAGGAGGAGCAGTGGCGCATGACGATATCATGCTCGAGAGATATATGCCTAATCGCCCGAGCTACAACAACCAGATTCCGCCGCAGCCCGAAAAGGAGCACGAATCCGTGAACCCTGGTCATTATTCGTCGGCCACATGTGCGTTGGAAGACGATCGGCGAAGCTGGGGCTCACAAGATCAGATCATTCACCTCTCGAAACAGTGGACTCCGCAGCACAACGGCACTTGGCGAAACGTGCACGAGTTGCCGTGAGATCGAGGAAAGAAGCAAGGAATTGCAGTATAATAAAGGACGGACACTTTGTCGGGAACCAGAATATTGATATGTGTACTGACAAATATTGATAATAGTAGCAAGAATTGCCCACGAATGGCTCCTCAAGATCACTGCAGGTCGCTCTGAACTGCTGCAGCGGATCATAGCCTCGTTTGACATCTTGGTACGTATGGTTTCACCTCGCAAGATTGGCTCAGCGTCTTGGTCAAGCCTGTACACTCAGGCAAGGTGTGCATGACAAGAAGTGCGGAGGCACACGATGGCGCAAGCAGATCGGTGCCGAAGGCAAGGACATTGCATACTGGCAACGTCGCTGCTACGACCTGCAATGCAATGCAAATATTGTCTCTTTCTCCAGCACCTCGATAGCGGTCCAGTGGTACTTGACATTCGTCAAGCTGGAAGACTTACGTACTCGCGACGTGCTCAGGGTCTTGCAGCGAGAGAGCACATACGAAGGTCCATTCGTAATGGCGTTAGGCATGACCAACCAGCTGAAGGACGCCCACCTCAAATCTGCTGAGTGTATGATTGATTCCTACTCGGACTTGCTCGGGCCTTGCAGTACGGGGTCTCTTAGATACTAGAGTACCTTCGCTCAATGCGCACCTCACGGCTATCGACGGACTGGACAGCAGCCATGTATACGGGTACTGATTTCCAATACGAAGCTGTAGCGATGTTTGACGCGATGTGGGAGCATATGCTGCAATGGCACGACATGGAAACACTTTGTGGCGGCGTAACGGATCGTGAGGGGCATTGTGAGAATGCTGGAAACGCTGCGAGTCCGCATACTGCATAATGCTGCGGCACCGTCAACTCACAGATGTGTACGCATTTGTTCGATGATCCACAGATGGGAAAACACAGATCGCCAAATCGTGCCGTCGAGTCGTGGGTCATTTTTGCTCCAGCGATCGGATATCCTCAGCAGCCAGCAACACGGACCGACTGGATCTCTCAAACACTGCAAGTGGATATCTAAAGATGCTGCTAAGATATAGCAACAATGACAGAAATGACCGCGGAGTGCACAGCATGCGGGGTGCGTACGCGTTGCAGAAGAGCTCACAACAACTCGTATTCCAGGCCAGCTTATCTCCTCTTTCTGCATCCACATCATTCATTGGGCAGTGATGCCGCCATGGACTTCGCTCTGGTCGACAATAAGCTGCTGCATCGTTCGCATGAAAGCTGTGGAACACGGCACGTGCAAAGTCCTAAACAGGTAAAGCCATTGTTGCACCAACTGAACAATGAGCGTTCATCACCCACGCGTGTGGCATTCAACGATTGCATGCTGATGATGGCAGTGGTCTGCTCTGTGGTTAGCTGCAAAGGTCATCGTAGTCATGTCCATCAGAGACACTTCCGGCGCCAGTGATTCGGCCCCTCGAGCACTGCTAGCAAGCGGCTGAGAGGAACTTACTCAACCCAAAGTCAACTGCTGCCGATCCTCCTCGATAGCGAGTAATCGCCACTTTCATATGCGTACAATGCTACGGTGCAGGAGGAGCTACAGCGTGCATTGATGTACTGAAGCTGAGCCACGGAAGAGGTCTGGAATCGAGGATGTGAAAACCAAGTGAGCACATTGTCGATCGTTGGCCGACAACTATAAGAAACATCTCCTCTCTCCATCCATTCGAGGCTTGACACCAACTTGATCTCGTTTTAAAAAGCCTTCTCGAATCACAAAGGCCAAGTCAACACTTCCAGCCCCATTTACTTCACGAAGCCTCTTCAAGATGTCTGACTGGATCGGCCCCAACACCTACTACATCGTCTCTCGTATGAAGGACACTGCATTCATAGACCTCTCCACAGGTAGCGCTGCCCCTGACGCAAAAGTCCAAATCTGGTAGGTTTCTTTCTGCTTCACGACCGCTCGCTCCGCTCACGAGAACACTCAGGGATGCACCAGATCGTGACAATCCCAACGCGATCTGGTCTATAGTGCACCTAGGAATCGGTTCGAGCGGCAAATATGAGTACCATATCATGAACCGTAAGAGCGGCACTTACCTTACCTCACCTAGTGAGTAGATAATTCGGCTCTTGGGAATGGGAAGGAGATGCTCAAGTACTCTAGCAAGCGATGTCATCAGCAAGACAGACACCGAACTCCTGGTGACGGCGAATCCTACTACACCCTGGACCAATAGAAGCAGATGGTGCATTGTTCCATGTCGCAATAACACAGGTATGCCGCATAAATATAGATGGTAAAACCGCGGATCGCTGACCTACCGCGGGTTTTCTACTTCCATAGGTGCCTACTGGTAAGTTTATTCCCATATCAAATTGCCCAGACATTAACTTTTCTGGTAACGGCAGGATCGTCCCAGTTCTCAATACGAAATTGACTCTCAACATCAAAGGAGGAGGTGTCGCAGGCGGTGTCACGAGCAAGACTGAAATCATTCTGTGGCCGATCGAGAAAGCGGGAGGCGCGAGCACCAAGAACTCGCAATGGTTCCTGAGATTATCTGACGACGCCATCCTCAACTGCCCCAAAATTGCACCCGCAGCGTTGGAGACTGCAACTTATACTTAGGTGAGAGAGGCAGAAAAAGGGAGACAGACCAAAGCGAAAACGCCACGGAAGCCTCGAACATTCGTTGAATGAGATTCATTTGCATGCGTCCGTATGAGTACACAAATAGCTAGGATAGTGACTTTTTATGTAAAAGCAGAGGTTTGGCGACGCTATCCGTCACTCCCCACAACTTCTGCGAACCACTGCCGTAGAGCGCCAGCCAGGACATTGGGCAGCTCGAGCACATCCCGCACAATGAGGTAGTAGCGGAACGGAAATGTGTCCAGGTACTTGACCATGTTCACCTGAGTTTCGCCATTCGCGTCCATGCCGAATTCCACCCGATTGATATCCAGTATACTCTGCTTCGAACCCGCAGCCGTAGTCTCTTGAGCTGCAGCATCGACGACGATGAAGACGACCATGATCTGCTCTTCATGAGCTTGACGTACAAGCTGCCGGATTGACGGATGATCATCGCACAGTCCGTCGGAAATGATCAGCTGCAGTTGCCAGAGGTTGCTAGATGATCCGGTCGCTTTCAGTCGTGCAGCTCGGAACAGTTCAATCGACTTTTCGAGGAGTCGCTTGATATCCGTTTTGGTCTGCGAGAAGGTTAATTGTCTGACGACTTCTGCACCAGCATCAGACGTGAAAGGCATGTCGAAGGCGTGAGCGACCGTAGCTGTCTCGCCGAAGCCCAGCACAGACAACTCTCCAACTTCAAGCATGGCCATGCTCTTGGCGATCAGAGCGAGTGTGTCAAAAGCCAGGCCCTTTCTCTCGTCTTCATTCATCGACTGCGAGTCATCGATTGCCAGCATGATCTGGTAGGTGCGCTTGCTTGGCACTGATCGACGCATCCAGATCTTATCACGCTTGTATGAAGAAGCAATGTAGGGAATGATTTTCTTGATGTTGAGCCGCTTGCCAGTTCGGAAGTCGCCGCGCATTTTGGTGGCCTGTGTTGGCTGGAGAATCAGGCGAAGATGCTCGGTGAGCACGATTGCCATGTTGCGGGTTCTGTTCTCGTGATCTGTCCACTCTTTGCGGGCGTCGTCGATTGACTTCAATTCTGGGTTCTCTTGCGACAGATGTGTCTGGTCCAGCTGCTCATCAACATTTTCAATGTCATCTGGTTCGTCGATATCGGCGTAACCATCCATTGCAGTGTCCAAGTCTTTGGGCTTGCCAACCATGGTCTGATTTTGCTTCGATCCGCCATCCTTGTTCTCGCCCTTCGCTGCTGAGCCTTCGGCTTCTTGTTGCGCTTCGTCCTCTTCCGGCAACTCTGCCTGCTCTTCGGGCAGTGGAGCATCATCGAGGGTTTGCTCGTTGACATCGATTGCGTTCTGGTCATCAAGTGCCTTTGATTGTTCAGCACTGGCAGCTCCGAGAGCCTGCATGTCAGAATCGACATTCTCCGGAACGTGCTCGAATCGTGGGTCGCTCATGTCGACCTCTTCTTCTGCAGCCTTCTGAGACTCTTCAGGTTCCTGCGCAGTCTCAATATTTCGATTTTGATTGTACCACTGCTTCAGCACATCACCCAGTTGTTTGAATGGGAGCGATTGCTGTTGCTCATCGCCGGTTTCTGCTTGGCCAGAAGCCTCATTTGTCTGAGTCCTCTGGGTTCCCTCAGTTGCACCCGTCTGCTCGCTTGGCTCATTGGCATCGTGGTCATCTTCTTGCTGCTCAGCACTGGATACTGCTCCCGAATTCTTCGCATCATCTACGTCCTCCTCTTGGCCTTGGCCCGCGTCGGCGGAAGTTAGGCCATCGTCGGGCTTCTCTTGCGTATCTTCATTGTCAAGCATGGCTGTGTCAGAGTTCGCATCGTCGCCTTCTTCTTTCTCCTGGCCTGGGTCATCATCTTCGGCAGCGGTGGCTTCACCTGTCTGCTCGGCCTCCTCGGCACCATCATCCTCACCCATTTCGGCATCAAGATCAGCTGGGTCCTGCTTTGTCGTTGCTTCCTCTTCAGTGTACCCAGCGTCATCCATATCGTCAGGGATGTCATCCTCCGCCTCTATGTCACTCATCTCGTCACGGTCTCCATCCATTTGTAGGTCCTCCGGAAGGTCGAGATTCTGCTCATCTTGCATGTGCGGATCGGCCTGATCAGGCTCGTTTTGCCCGGCTTCAGCATCCATTTCGGCGCCAGCTTCTGCTTCCTGCTCCATTGGTTCATCGTCCTGGGCGTCGTCGGCTTCAGCATTCTCTGCAGCGGCTTGATCGTCATTGCGAGTTCCTTTGCCTTTGTCCGCTTCCTTGTCCGCCTCCTCTGCCTTCTTCCCATCATCCCACGTTTTCTCATCCACGGCGTCGTCGTTCTCGCCGATCTTGCCGGTTTCCTCATCAAGTTCAGCGTCCTCACCGCCTTCCTTGTCATCTTGTTGGTCATCCTCCTCGGAACCATTCCCTTCGTCGAAATCACCCTGCAAGTCTTCGTCTGCCATGTCGACGGCGTCCTTTTCAGCTTCAATGTCATCGTCTTTCTCTTTCGACTTGGCTTCCTGGGCCAACTCAGACAGATCCTCATCTGCGCCGACATCCTTACTAATGTCTTCGCCACCCTCGCCATCGCCAAGACCAGTGCCGCTTTCAACCTGACCGGACTGCTGCTCCTCGCCTTGTGCCTTATCTGTTGGCGTACAGAATCCTTGTCTTGCAAGCTGCACGAAGGATGTCGCCAGATGGAATGCCACTCTGCTTGTGGTGGCGTGAAGCTTCGCAAAATCAAGCAGCGCATTGCTAGCACTGTTGGCGTAAGCGTCCAGCACAGGCAGTACATTGGTACAAACCAATGCGATCTGAACCAGATCCTGTTCGGCCGCAAACTGGTCTCCCGTGTCTGAATGCAGCGATGGTAGCAAGCTGATCAGATTCTCTAACTTGGACCGGGCAACATCTAATTTCAGAGTGTGAACAAAAGACTGCAGATGCTGCTGCTCATCAAGGAGCCAGGACTTCTGGGTCGAGCCGTTCACACCAACACCGTTCGCAGTCAATGGCGCTTGTATATCGCTAATGAGTCCGACTAGCATCTGAACCCAGTCATCGGTACTGATGGGTTTTGCACTATCTGTGAGCGGCTTTGTGGTTTCCGTCGCGGTCCATCTTGCGACATGCTTCAACACAGGATGAAGCTCTTGGTGTCGCGCGATGGCATTCTGGATATGAGTGCGAAGTTGAGCAGATATCGCATTGAACTGCTGTGCGAGGTTCCGGAGGACACGCGTACTAATGCCAGCAGGTAGGGCGGCGTGAGTGGAGATTTGTTTCTGCAGACCTTGCAGCCCTTCGATGTTCGTTGCTAACTGCGTTGCAACCTCGGAGTAGTCTATGCTCGCCAGTTGTGATTGCATGTGCACAATTCGAAATGCTGTTTGTGCAATACCAAGCAGACCGAGGATGTTGGCACGGCATAGCCCAATGTCGGAAGCGATTCCACTCTCGGAATGGACGTTGTCTACCTCTGCTACTTCACGAAGCAGCCGCATCGCGCTCGTGAAAGCTTCGAGGTCGCCGAGGCCGTTGCTGATGCTGATTCGCTGCTGGATGGTGACATGCAGCATACTCTCCAGAAGAGTCTTGCCTCTAGCAATCTCCGCAGGTGTAAGGTCTTCATTGTGCTTGATCGTACTCTCGCGGACGGTAGGCATAAGATGAGCGAAGCGGTGGTGCTCATAATCCGCAAGAGCAGCACTTGCTGTTGGTCTGATCGATTGCAGTGGCATTGACCTCGACAGCACACCTTGTAATGACTGCTGTTGTGCGAGGACGTCTTCAGCCATATTTCTTTGGAACCCCATAGCCTGAACCTCGCGGAAAACGTCAGCGAGCAGACGGCGCTTGCGCGTTTTCAGCTGTTGAACAACGCTCTTGTTCTTCTCCGTAGCAACACTCGGTGTTGCTTTGCGAAGTTCCGCTGCTTCATCGTTGGTTTCTTGCAGAAACCTATCGAGACGCTTTGTCACCTTCAGTGCATGCTTGACCATCTCCGCTCGAGAAGTAATCCGAGAGGCTACCGATGCAAGATCGTTCAATTCTCGAGGCCGGCCAAGCCAGGCCTCAAGACGTACAGGTGTGGACTCTAAGGCAGCAACCACGTTTGCGAGTTGCTCAGATTCTGGGTCCAGCTGTCGTTCCATGGCTGGGAATTCCGACTGCAGGAGCGGGGCTACTGGCTCAGCGAGCAGCATGCGATACTTCTTAACGCTGCGCAGGAGTCGATTGTGCGAGTTCTTCGCGCTTCTCTTCAAGGCCTCGATGTTGCGGTCTTTCCAACTAGCAAGCTGCACCACTTCCTTGATTTGCTTTTCAAGCTCGCTCCGCTTACTAGCTAGGTGGCTTGAGACGGTTGCAGTGAAGTGCGAATAGAATTGGATGAGGCTTGTCAATGCGGCATGAACAGGATTGAGTGAGGCGTTGTCCATGGCCCTAACCCGCAGATCCGCTGCGAAATACGTCAACATTGACAAGCGGGTGGCAAACTCGCCCAGGCCACAATGTTGAAGGAATGAGGCGAGAGTCTCGAGCAGTTGTCGGGAGAAGCTCTGGAGCGCCGCGCCAGACTGCGCTTCGCTTTCCGCTGCGATGATGATCGTCTCGTACGCAACGTACCACCATGATGAAGCATTCTTCTCACAAGCCTTGTCTTCGTGATCAAAGAGTCCTGCCCATGTTGACAACTCAAGTTGCCGCCAGCTGACCACCAGGCTAGTGATCTCCTCCAACAGGCTGGAAACAGAGTACTCGGAGCTAGCAACTTTCTGCCATTCATTGACGATGACGTGCAGTTTCTCGATGTATGGTAGGAAGCGTGCCAATGGTTCTGAGTAGTGAACCGCAAGGATTGTGTTACAAGCTCGAAGTGCTTCGATTGGCGTTGCATGATCGGGCCAAGCGTTGTGGATGTGCTCAAAGCGCTTCTGAATCTTTTCGAGCAGTGAAGCAAGTCGTTTCGCTTGTCCCACATCAGGGTCGGTGTAGATGTTCTTGCTCACTTTGGGTGCCGACAGCTCTGTAGACAATCTGTGTAAAGCGCTGATGATGGCTGCGACACTCGGACTGTCCCGTAGTGCAGGCACTTCGGCTGCTTTATGCAGTAGATCGAGCAGTATCTCTTGACTTATGCCCTTCCCAGTGTGGATAGTTCGATGAATTGCCTGGATAATCGGAGCCAAGGCTTGAGCATTCACACTAGGTGTCTGCTTTGTTTCCTGGATGCCTCCATCATAAGCTGGGAACAGCGCCTGAAGATCGGCTGCGATTGCTTCCTCGGACTCATCATCGGTACCACGAAACTGATACAGACTCGAATTGCGGGCAGCTATACGTTGGTCGTGATCGAGCTCCTTGGCCCAGGCTTCGTAAAACAAGCGCAGAGTATTGTTAAGCGTCGTACGGAACTCTTGGGAAGTCTTGTCAATTGGCACGATCGAGCATCTCGCTGCTGTGACAGAGAGCCACAGAAGTTGCTCTTCCTTAGACCGACAGGGACCTTGCGCGTGGACGAACAAAGCCTCGTTGGTCCAGTCGTCGATACCTGCGTTTAAGAACGGAACGATTCTCGCGAGGGAGCTCTGCACCTGAGCCTGATGGGTGGGTGACGGTAACAGTCGGCGGGCCACGAATAAGCAGTCGACGAATCCCAGCACAGGTGCCGTGAGATCCGCGTATGCTCGGTATTGTGCATCTAGTCTGTCGCGAATGACAGTCAGATTGTTCCACGCAGCGTCGTTCAAATTCTGTGGGTTTGTGTCCTGTCGCAGAGGAAAGATGAGGCGCGATAAAGCCTTGAGATCACCCTGGAGCTGTGAAAGCTGAGAGACCTCAGGTCGACATACCTCTACCACTGCTGGTCCCTCACCGAGTGCTGCAATTTGCTCTTCTAAGATTCGTGCGCGTAACGAGTCTGGCTCTCCGACCCATGCCTGCCTGTAGGACCGCAACGCCTTGAGTTGAGCCTGCAAGTTATCTTTGGTGTGTTGGAAGACAGTGTTTGACACTTGCGATTCTTGCACTGGGTCGAAGGTGTGCTCCGGTAAGCATATATCGAGGCAGGCGCTTGCAAGTAACGCCCACGCGTAAGCAGCGTTTGCTTGCATTTCAGCCGCCTGTTCGGAGGTCGTCGTAAGATACCTCTTCACTTCGCTGAGCCGCCGGCAGACCGCTGCAGCGCGTTCGTCACTACAACAAGCGACCGCTTGAACCGCAGCGTCTTGCATGTCTTCATCGCGTAACATTCTGATTGCGTGGTCTCTGAGAAAGCCCAGTTCGCTCTGCTGAGCCAGCGCTTGTGCAACAGACTTTACCAAGATGCGTAGCTTGGTGTTCAGATGTCTCACGGCCTCGTCTTCCAAAAGCCGCGCTCTAGTGGTAGCAGCGTGACCAAGGATTCCAGTCTCGGATTCCAACAAGCCCAAAGCCTGCAGGCTGACCTCTTTCGTGGTAGCAAGATCGCCAAGAATGATTTTCAGGCTTGCAAAGCTCTGGAAATCACTAGAGTCGTCCGCGCTCGTGCTTGATGAAATCGAACGTATGTGATTCAGGGCGAGCTGTGACGGTGTCGCGCCGACGCCTCCAGCCAGTCCTCTTGCTGTCTTCCTCATCGCCAGAACTTCTAGATTGGCCATTCCCATGGGATCTGAAGCATATTCCTCGCTTGCAATGACCAGTCTCTGGTAGAGGGATTCGAAGCTGGCTGCAAAGTGGGGCTTCGCAGTCACAGCATTGTCGACCAATTCATCATCCAGTGCAGCAGCAGGCAATGTTCGGGTGGCTTTGTCCGCCAGACTGCGTAGATCATCAGCCGAATGGCTGACGTCGAGAGCTCGTCGGAACTGGACACGCAGCTCTGCAATGTGTTTCACTGGCACGCGAAAGCTCAAGGTGACTTCGTCGAACTTTGCCATCACATCTTCAAAGGACAGCAGCGCTTGCAAGGTTTCCATTGTCTTGGGCATCGCTGGCCGGAATTGCTGCCACATTGCAATGAACGCGTGTCGAGCCTGCGCATTGGGGACCAACCCCAGATCGTCCAGACCGCTCTGGAATCGAGCAATTGTCCCCTCAAGATCAGGGAGCGACTGTAATTGGCGGCAGATAGATTGTCCGACCATCGAGATCGCGGTCAACGTCGGGACGTCCATCATTGGCGAGCCCAGTCCACGCAAGAGAGTCCAGCAGAAGGCGACCAAGCTCAATAGTTCGCTCTTTACCGCGTGCAGATCATGCGCAGGCAGATCATGACTCTGCTGCGACCATTCTTGCAGCGGGAGCAGTAGCTTGCCACATACATCCAGCAGATTGACTTTTGTCTTGGCATTGCTGAAATGTGTCTGCTGCCTGGCGCTTTGCCAGAAACGAGAGAGACGATCAACCAGTTTGCGATCAGCCTTGGAGTGATTCAATGCTGCCGTAACTGCGGTGAGCTGAACATTGATGTCATAACGTGTTGCGAGTGAAACAGCAGCCGTGTAGACTTGCTGAGATTGTTGAATAAGGGGTTGGTTGTTGAGAGGATGTACAGTCTGTAAAGAACACTTACCGTCAGCTAGAATACTTACTTTGGGAGACACTGGGCTACTGACCTGTACACGAGCATAGTCAGCAGGCGCCTGCAATGCGTTTGTCACTCCATGGTATAGGTCTTGGACGTTGACTTGATCTCCTAGCGACGATGGTGTTGTCTCGGCTGCGTTGCAGCTCGGGTCAGTGCGAGTTGTGTCACGTTCGAAGCGATGCATAAGCTGCTCGTCAGCCAGACCGCGATGGTCGCGAGCCAATCCTTCTGTGAAGCCATCTGCTCCCGAGGCAGTAATCTTTCTCATGGCACTGAACCTGGTCATCGACGACTCAGGATGCAACATAGTGGTTGGGACAACCGTGTCTGGCCGGAGATCTGCGAGGAAGATCTCTACAGCGCGGTTGCGCATGGCGCGCGACAGTTCTCCGAGCTTTGGGTCGACTGTCAGGAAAATCCGGAATCCAGGATGAGGTTTGATGATCTGTGCGGAGCCATCGGGAGCACTATGCTCGTTCACGATCAAGACTCCACTGGGCTCCATGAGACCATTGAGTCTGTCTAGAACAGATGGGCTGCACAAGTTAGCATTGTCAAGTACCACCCATTTACCTTCTTGAATAGCCTCGATGAGAGGGCCTTCAATCCATTCGAACCGTGCCTTGTCAATTGCTTCTTGGCCGAGTTTGAGCTCATCGAGCACAGAAGATAGTCGCAAGGCGATCTGTTCCGGCAGCAGCTTCAACAAACGAGAGACCGAAGCATCGTCTGCCTTCTGTTCAACTTCCAGGAAAGCCTGCTCAAGTGCAGCGTAGTCAGCCACAAGCCCCTGTGCGAGCGCTGCTTTGCCGAGAAGCTCATGTTGGGCCCGAAGTCGGGAAAGTGCGAGTGTTCGACGTCTGTGAGGGTCATGCTGCTCGTAGCCTCCGATGAGATCGAGTGCGTCAGTCTCAGCGCTCATTCCGAGCGTCACAATATCAGCGCCAACACAGGATGCAAGTCCCTCCAGTAATGTCGTTTTGCCAACGCCAGACCCACCTGCGAGGATGACAGGCCATCTCTTATGCACACATAGCATGATGGACTGCAGAGCTCGTAAATGCTGCGATGAGGCTTTGAGGCTGGAACACCCATTGAATACGTTAGCCACCACAGTATCTCGAGGCAAAAGGGCGAGGCCGATCTGCAATGTTTGCGTGGAGGTATTGTAGAAAAGATCGGTTGGGTGCTGTGCGCCCTCGAAGATCGAACAGAAAAGCTCGCGCACGCACGTCTTGTCCAATGGCGTCCTGAAGCGTTGCATGAACAGCATCTCAACAAAGTCTCGAGCTGTACCAGCTCTGAGAAGACCGTCATGGGATGCAGCAAGTGCGAACCATCGAGTGATGTCGCGCAGATTGAATTCCCATGGACTGCCAAGGGCGCCGAAGGTCCTTCGATCAGCGACCTCTTCATTGAGACGCGTCACGAAAGCGATTGACTTCTTGACGTAGTCGATATCGAGCTCAGAGAACGAGCGTTGACAGATCATCAGAAGATCCTCGGCTTTGAATGTGTCGGCGTAGACGACAGTAAATCGATTCACGAACGAAGCAGGTAACCCTTTGCGACCTCCGCCTTGGTGATGGGGGTTCTGGGCAGCGAACAGCCGGAAGCGAGGGTGTCGAGCAAAAGACAGGCCAAGTTCAGGTACGAAGACTTCTCCTCGATGATCGAGACAAGCATTCAGGCCCTCCAAGACTGATTGTGAAGCGAGATTCATTTCGTCAAGCAGAACCCACTCGCCACTCTTCATGGCACGCAAGAAGGGCGCATCTCGCCATCCGAAGCCATCTTCAACCGGAGCATCGGCGCCGAACAGATCGATCAGGTCGGTCTGGTCCGATAAATTGATTCTTGTCAGCGGTGTCCCGGTCGCGGCTGCGATTGCCGTTACGAGTGCCGTCTTGCCGACACCGGGAGACCCCTCGAGTAGTACTGGCTTGGACAATTGCAATGCTCTGAGTATTCGCATTGCATTAGATCGTGTGGTAGGCGGATCGAATGTGAATGCCACCTCGCCCTCGACAACATTTGACGAACGCTCGATCTGGAATGGGCCAATACTGAATGTTGTCGGGCCATGGAGAACTTCGAAGGTTCCTTTGTAAGACGCAAGAGCATCGGTACCCAAAAGGCGACCAAGTTCGGCAAAGCAGGCCTGGCGTTCCTCGTTCAGACTCAACGACGTCGTGCTCATGAGACCTGCTGGATTTGCTCCAAGAGTGTCGATGTAGACCATGGCAGCTCCGTGTGTTATAGCTGGAAGCGCCCCAGCGTGCTGGAACGAATTGACAAACTGTGTCCAAGCCAATGTATCCCGAATGGACACTGCGGAGCTAGCTGATGTATCGAATCTCTTCTTGAACCAGCTGGCGAAGTGAATCATAGCATGAGCATGTGGCCGAGCGATAGCCACAAGCTTCGCCTGCACTATCTGGAGCACATCGTCTAAGTCAGACATGGCGGGCGCCCAGATCTCCGTGAAGCGATTCCTGAGAGCTGGCGAGAGCTCACGCTTTCCGTAGTCGCCACCAGGGTTCATCGTGGCAAAGAATTGGAATCCCGGCGCGGCCGTGATTGAGGCATCAAGACTACCCTTCTCGGCAAGCAGTATTGTTCGGGATGGCTCTAGAACACTATTGATGCGTTCGAGCACTGAGTCGTCGGCCAAGGAAATTTCGTCCAGCAGGAAGAACTGACCCTGGCGCATCGCTTTAACGAGAGTGCCGTCGGCCCACTCGAACAGTGCGTTGTAGCGTGTACGACAGAGTTGGATTTCCAGGTGGGTAGGGTTATGTTGCCAACTTATCCGTTCGTCTTTTGGCAAAGACTTCACGACGCGATCATAGTCGATAAGGAGCTCGTCCGTTGACCTAGACGCCGCGTCCTCGGATGTCTGAAGCATTGGCGAAGCAATCAAATGTTGCCTGAGCGTGGATTCAACGGCACCACGGTTGCGAACAGGTCGCTGCGATCCGATGAGATCGCCGGTTTCTGTGTTCTGGTGGGCGTTGACCGTATGGAGCACTTTAGCCATGGCATCAGCGAGCATCTGGCACACCGTGGTCTTGCCACAGCCGGTCTCGCCAACAAGCAGAACGGGCTCATTGTTCGCAATAGCCCGCGATACCAGCACATAAAGCCTTCGCATGGCCTTGGTCCAGACTACCCCATGGTCGGCGCCAGATTGAACGTGCTGGAAAATCTCGGGCGCGTTCTGAGCATACAGCGTGTCGTCATCGATACTGACCTTTGGTCCCTTCTCGCTCATGGCTTTCTCGATGACGGTCTTAAGAGCATCGCGCTCCTCGGGCTTACGCACACGCTCGCAGAGCAACATGTAGCCGTTGACTGCTAGTTGTTCAATCGTGTCATTCGGTCGCATGGCCCAGCGAAAGAGATCACGCAAGGTCGCAAAGCTCTTCTGTTCGAACAATCTGCTCTCTTGCCGCATGACCGAAAGTTCTCGATAGACGTTCACGATGCGAGCACATCGCGAGGGTGGCTGCTGAGTTCGTCGCTGAAGGATTTCTTGAAGCTCACTGATCGGAATGTCATCGAAATGCAGTTCCAGGAATCGATTTCGGAACGCCCTCGAGAGCGTTTTCCGACCACCATACAGTCCTGCGGGGTTTTGAGTGGCAAAGAGCATGAAATCTGGATGTGGCCGGATTGTTTCCTGGGTTTCAGGCACTAACAATTCGCGGTTGTCATCCAGCAGCCGATTCAGAGCTTCAAGCACGTCGGTAGGCGCCAGGTTCAGTTCATCCAGCACAATCCAATGGCCTTCGCGAAGGGCTTTGACGAGCATGCCTTCCTGAAATTGCAGAGTGCCATCTGTCCCGGAAACGTAGGTACCAAGATACTCTTGCAAGTCGGTATGTTCGTGATTGTTGATACGTGTGAATTTGTGCCCGGTGCGTTGTGCAAGATATTCGATCATACTTGTTTTGCCGGCCGATGTAGGTCCCTGTATCAGTACAGGGAACTGCCGAGTAGAGGAAGCTCGAACAAGATTCTCCAGATTTCGGCGAACGAAATCCGTAATGATGTACTGTGGTTGGTCTTGCAGCTCGCCTGCACCTCTGCGAATCCAGTGCTTGCTACCGGGATGGCCCTGTACATACGCATGTCCGTCTTCTGGCTTGCGCAGTGTCCGCTGCAGCTCTGCCTTGACATTGATCTTAGCCTTCCTGAAAAGACAATCCTCAATCAGAGGTTGCACCAAGGATATGGATTCTGCGTCCAGAAACGTAAGAAAACTCATCTGGAATCCTTCGTATAAGGCACGCCTCAAACTACACATCTGTGAGATTCGCTTTGCATAGCTGAGAGTTCTCGTCAATGTGCGCAATGAGAAATGTGGCTTCTGGCCAGCACCATCAACAAGCTTGTTGTCTTGAGACAGCAGGATAATCCTTTGGTAGAGCTCCCGCACGTGGCTTGCCACTGCAACATCTGAAGTTGCTGCAGCGCCCAGCCATGTACGCACGATGCTCTCCAGCGACTTTGCATCCTTATCCGGACTTTCAACATAGAGCTCGGTGAAGCGTGACCGAACTCCTGGCGGAAGGTCCTTCTTCCCGACGTCTGTCGCAGGGTTCATCGCAGCGAAAACGCGGAAGTCTGGATGCGCTTCGATGCGCTCGATATTACCAGACTCTGTGAGCAGCAAGAATGGATTCGGGTCCAGCAGATCGACAATCGATTCGAGCGTGTCGGAAGACGCCAAGTTGATCTCATCTAAGAGCACCCAGTCTCCATTCCGAACAGCCTTGACAATGTTGCCTTCAATGAACGTAAATGCTACGGCTTTATCGCCCGAGCTCAGTCGCTGCTCCATCGCTTCTAGTCTGAGGAAGAAGACGTCCCATTTGGCAAAGTCGATGGCCCTTTTGCTCCCTGTCTTGCGTTTCTTGGCTGGAGCTTCACCCTCGTCTCTCGGTGGCGTAGCGGCCCGCTCTTGGTTGACCATTCCTATCGCAGTACGAAAGAGCTTACACACGCCGGTCCAGTTGTTCTTGTCCATCGACTTCTTCAGGAGGGCAATGAATTTTTCGTTCTTTGCTGACGGGAAACTGTCGCTGAAAAGCTCGTCGAATTCGTCCTTCAGAGGGACCATCAAAGCACGAGGATTGACGGGCTTGAAGCCACCGAGCAAGTCACCAGCTTCAGTCTGCTGGGACAAGTTGAAAGGTACCAGCTTCTTGCCCAACTGAGTGGCGAGATGCTGAACAGCTGTGGTTTTCCCAACCCCCGTTTCACCGACCAGTAATAGCGGCTCTCTGTTCACTACAGCTGCCAAAACACTCTCAAGTGTGCGACAGGTATGTGGATTGGTTGAAAACGAGCTTTCGACAATCTTCTTCTGCTTGCTCCGTGAGATCGCATGACGTCCTGCTCGTACGCTTTCTTTGGCAGCTTTGTATTCAGGCTCCCGGTCACGCAAAAGGTGGTCTCTACGTTGAGGATCGATGTAAAGCTCTTCTGCGATGTGAGAAGCCAGCATCGTTCGTACCTCGTCGTCTGGTAGTGCGCCCAAGAATGAATCCACGGCTTCAAGAAAAGAATCATCGATATCTTTGCTTGTGAACGAGGATCGACCATGTCGGCTGGTCGCAACTCGTTTGCACCACTTCAGCAGATCTCGAGGTCCAATAATGCGAGCAACACCTGTCTTGCTCTGGCCCACAAGGATCGACTGTTGACTTGCCGCATTGAGCCGCCCATAAACTGCCATGAACTGTGGGACGAGCTTGTCAAGACCGGAATAGAGGCTGCTGACAACATCTGCCAGCTCTGAAGGCTCAGGCATCTTGATAGAGAGCTTCCGCCAGTGTCGTGCTCCCACCATATGTGAAAGTGGCTTGCTTTCTTCCCCACGATGATTGCGGAAACTACGAACAGTAGCGACGATGCGGAAACCCTCGGCAGCATATATCGTCTCTTTGCGATTAGGGATCAAGAGCTCCCTCTTTTCGATGAGTGGAAGTAGGGTACCCAAGACTTCATTCGGAGCCTTGTCTAAGTCCTCGATGACAACCCATCTGCCTTCTTGCACGGCCGTGGTCAGAACTCCAGGCTTCCAAGTGAATGTTCCAGGCACATCGCCGGTGGTATGAAGGCCAAGTAGGATTTTGGCATCACTCTGTTCATTGAGATGCAAAGTGATCATTTGACCAAGCTTGCCGAGGGTCTTGGCAACATGTCGTATTAGTAAACTCTTTCCAGAGCCAGCAAGGCCAGTAAGCAGAAGAGGTTCGGGTCTCTTAAGGGCGTGTGCGATACATGATACGTTGTCTGACGTAGTCAAGGTATGAACCAACTCGCTGGACCCTCGATCAGAGTGCCCGTTGGCCAACGTGGGCAATAGCACGCCTCCAACAAGTGTCGTGGACGAGTGAAAACACTCCGCTGGGATGCGTCGGATGTTCGAGGACGGCGCTGATACCTTCGCTCTCTGAGCCTCAGAGATAGCAGTGAACACCGCGTCACTGCATTCTTGCTCCCAGAGGGTCAGGAACCGATAGTCGATGATTCTGTCGTCCCAAGGGCCGTCAAGGGGAGCACCAGGCCGGTCTTCGCCTAAATACTGCTTGAGAGTGGTCTCAAACCAATGATCTGCGCCTTTCAATTGGATCTGTAGTATTCTGATGATGAGATACGTGACTGCTGGACTGCTTCGTTGCAGTAATCTCGCCAGCTCTGTACGTGGGACGAATCTGCCAAATATTCGGCGGTCGTACTTGACCAGGCGAAACAGGCCAAGCAAATACAGCAAATCCTCGTTGTCGGCATCTTTTTGGCCCAGTGAATAGCGTTCCTGTTCCAACATGTGAGTGGCCAGAGAGGAGAGGAAAGGTGCATAAGGTATTATTCGTCCTAATGTGGCAATCGAGGACGCCAAAGATCCGTGGGTCCGTAGGGACGCGCAAATGTGTGCAAGCAGATTTTCGCAGTGGATCAACAGGATGTACGTGTATCGAGCGTCCAGTGCACTTTTCGTGAGAGCTTCAAGATATTGCTCGTTGCTGCCGTTCTGAATAATCTGCAGCAACCCTTCTGGGAGCTGGCCGCCCTGGCGCAGCAACTCGGTGTCCCAGGCGCACTCCATTGCAGTGCGAACAACGTCACGCGATGCGTGAGCGAAGTGGAGGGAAAATCTGGCAGAGCCAGTGTGTTATGTCGTCGAGCAGAAAAAAGTGCAGACTTCGAAGTCGATCAGGTTGGCGGTGGCGGCAAGTGCCGCGTGCACCCCCGAGAACGCCGCATTGGACGTTCGATTTGGTGGACGACGAGACACACGAGCACACGGTATTGACATCCCCCATCGACGCCCACATCATCTTCGCCGATATGTCGCTCGCTCCTTCCTACGCCGCGCGCGCCTGCCGCCAATGTATCCGATCTTCGTCCCGATTCGCAGCCAGCACAATCCCACAACGGACACAGCAAAGGAGATGGCAGTCAACGGAATCCGCTGCTGCTCCCGAGAACGCAAAGATTGCCAGCATCGTAGACCAGATTAGCCAATTGACGCTTCTTGAGACGGCAGACCTTGTATCGACGCTGAAGGTAGGACAATGGCCGCCACCAAGCAAGGCTTGTTCCTGTACTAATGATCTGTTCTTTAGTCACGATTAAATATCCCTGACATGCCAATTGGTGGCTTTGCTGCTGCTGGACCTGCAGGCGGAGCTCCTGCCGCGGCAGCAGCAGAGGAGCCCGAAGAGGCTGCTCCCGCGAAGGAAGAGAAGACATTGTTCAATTTGAAGCTGGAATCATTCGACGCGGCCGCGAAGCCAAAGATCATCAAGGAGGTCAAGGCAATGCTCGGCTTGAGCTTGGTAGATTCAAAGAAGTTCGTGGAGAGTGCGCCAAAGATGATGAAGGAGGGTGTGCCAAAGGAGGAGGCTGAGAAGATTATCGAGACACTGAAGGCGCTGGGTGGTGTGGTGAAGATGGAGTAGAGGGACTTGGACGACTTTGTGGCAATACTTGCGATGTATGATGGGCTCAAAAGCATCGGAAAAGGCGCTGTTCTGCATGAGCTGGGTTGCGGACATACAGGAAGATATCATTGTACAGTATACGAGCGTACCTGGGCGCCAGAGCTGAGCACTAGACTGGGAGCGCCGCTCTATCAGCCACATGACTACTGCTTGAAATCGAATGAGCGCAATTGCTTCGTCTTCAGAGAAGCACAAGTACCGCAGACCAGCCTCACACCACCAACAAACAGCGCCACAGTAGAGGAAAGGGCGAAGCGATGCGCGGACTGCGAAGGAAACAGGAGGTGTATAGACATTTCACCGCGGCACATACTCCTCTCGACGTTGTCCAAGCATGCAGTTCTGTTGAAACTTACCGAAGCCTCTATGACAGGTTCTGGATCTCTGCTTTTAGGCCTCAGACAAATACGAGTGACGCGCTCTACTCGTGTGCAGCGAGGGCGTCGACATGCAGAATGGTGATTTAGTTCCTGCCAATATACGCGTGCTGGAATCAGCTGTGACAGCAGTGTGAACATTCAAAAGTACTCTGTCTTGCTGCTTCTAACACGCCACATAACGCAAGGGAATATGTACATATGCAGATACAGAACTCCTCGGCGCTGGTTCATACACAGGACAAATTTCGATCAACTTCAATTCCGCCTTAATTCCTCTATTGGCCTGGTGCAATGAGCATGCCCTTCTTCACTGCATCATGCTGCCAGCCGCCAGCAAGGGCCTCGCCACCACTCTTCTTAGCATGATCTGCTATCCGCGCCTCCAACTCGGGTCTGAAATGTCGGATGAGACCTTGGATCGGCCAAGCGAAAGCCTCGCCCAGCGCACAAATGGTGTGGCCTTCAACTTGCTTTGTGAGCTCCTGCATCATATCAATCTCACGTGATCGTGCCTGGCCCTTTTCGAAGCGGTGCATGATTTGCTCTGTCCATTTGCTGCCCTCACGGCAAGGTGTGCATTGACCGCACGATTCATGGTGGTAGAACTTGGAAAGACGCGAGATGGCGCGAACAACGTCTGTGCTCTGGTCCATGACAATGACTGCAGCGGTACCAAGACCAGACTGCGAATCCTTGAGTGCGTCGAAGTCCATCAGCTGGTCGTCACAGATCTTGCGAGGCAGAATCGGTGTCGATGAACCACCAGGGATGACGGCCTTCAAGTTATCCCAGCCACCACGTACACCGCCGCAGTGCTTATCGATCAGCTCCCGAAGTGGAATGGACATTTCTTCCTCAACAGTGCAAGGATTGTTGACGTGGCCGGAGATGCAGAAAAGCTTGGTGCCTGAGTTTCGCTCGCGTCCGAAGGAGTTGAACCAGCTAGCACCTCGTCGGCAAATCGTGGGTGCGACGGCAACAGTTTCGACGTTGGCAACAGTGGAAGGACAACCGAAGAGACCGACAGCAGCTGGGAACGGAGGCTTCAGACGTGGCTTTCCCGGCTTGCCCTCGAGTGATTCGATCAAAGACGTTTCCTCGCCGCAGACATAAGCACCCATGCCACGGTGCAAAAATACGTCAAAGTTGAAGCCGGATCCGCATGCGTTCTCGCCGAGGAAACCAGCTTGGTAAGCTTCCTGGATAGCTCGTTGCAACACGGTAGCTTCGTGGTAGAACTCGCCGCGGATGTAAATGTACGCTGCTGTGCACTGAGTTTGCTCCATTAGCGCGACCTCAAGAACTCTCGCGCACGATATTACTTACGTTCATGGCACGGCCAGCGACCAAACATCCCTCAATGAGTTTGTGAGGATCCTTTCGCATGATCTCACGGTCCTTGCACGTCCCCGGCTCTCCCTCATCGGCGTTGACGACGAGATATCGGGGCTTGGTGTCCTCGTCCCAGCCCTTCGGGTTCATGAAGCTCCACTTCATGCCCGATGGAAAGCCTGCACCTCCTCGCCCGCGCAGGCCAGAAGCCTTAATCTCTGATATGATCCAGTCGTGACCCTTGAGCAAGATCTCCTTCGTCTTGTACCAGTCTCCATACTTCATGGCGCTCTTTAGATCTGCCCCGTGGTGTCCGTACAAGTTGGTGAAGATACGGTCTTGATCCTTCAAGCCGCCGTGTCGGTGCACCGGCGGTGCATCCTGCACTGTAGCCATTCCTCGCTTCTGTTGGCCATCCTGTGCCACGGCCTGAGCGGGAGTGGTGGTCGAGAGGGTGCGAGCTGCGACCTTCGGGAGAGAGGTCGTCGCGCCGGCGCGCAGGGCGGCCTTGCTCGCTGGAGTGCTCAGCATCGTGGGTGTCGTCGTCGGCGATGTATTCGAAGGGTGAGCGAGGCTTCGTCGCCTGGACGCAGGACGATGGATTGCCTGCGATTGAACGTCTGAGGTGGTGGCAATGTCAATGATGCGGGCAAATCAAGTTAGCACACATTGGCCAGCAGTCAGCAACATTGTCATTGGCAGGAAGCACCCGCTGGTCTCCACTTCTGCGAGATCTCGCTCCTCTTCTCACAGAAAGTCTATCTTGCAGCGAGACTTCCACACCTCTTCCATCTCTCCGCTGCTGAACCCTTCACAATGCTAGCTTGTCGAGCTGTAACAGCCGTGTGTCATTGTGCTTGTCTCGAGGATGGCACGTGATGACATCGATTGCAATGTTTCCATTTCGGCCGAAGTGAACCATCTCAATATGGCATCCCACGAGTCACGACAATAATGTTCTGGAGCTGGAAAGGACCAGAGTCCTAAAAATTCAAGATCTGAATCTGGAAGCAACTTGGTAGTACCTTTACACGTCGTGATTGAAAGGACATAACGGGCATTTTGTAGGCGAGTTGGGGCTGAACATGCTCCCTCTGGTGAGGCTGCCAGGCTCAGCGCCTTCTCTATTCACCCAAGTAGCTGCAGTAACGTGCAGAGGCGTGATCCATGAGCGGGAAATGGCGTTGTAGAGAGATCTGGGTCACATGTCGAGCAACCCAGCCATTCACCGTAATGCGAAATGCCACGATCCCTCCAGCAACAAGCATCAGACTCGACCGCTGAGCACTCTGAAAAGTCTCTATTGACTGCCGGCAACGCCCTGGAAAAGTGAGGCCGAACTTGCATCTGCTGCTGCACGTTGGCATGTGAAGCGACCTCCTGATTACCATTTGGCCGCAACCACCTTAGGCTTCAGCTTTCTTCTAATTCCAGGAGTTCCAGCCTTGCGACATCACCGCAGTCGAGCAGCACTGTCAGCTTTAGCAAAGAGAAGGCACAACTTCAGCTCAACACCGCAGACTCTTCCGACCCCTTCTCCATTCAGCCGCGATCCAAGCCAAGCCCAAGAGCTATTCACCAAACCCAGACTTGAGTCATCCTTTGCCAACCTGTTCCAAACACACCTCTCCCACACTCGAGTCAGAGGTCGACGCTTTGCACATTCGCCATGGACTTCAATCAGTTCGTGATCACTACGGTGCAGCCAGACGCAAAGGCCACTATGCGAGGCTCGCAAGGACAGAAGCCACGAAAGAAGAAGAGACTCGAGCAGCCGCCGGCTTCTGGCGCTTTCGCCCAGGAGCATCAAGTCCCGGCCACGGAGGACTTGCCAGGACACCTGGCTCAGGCTGCTGAGGCTTCTCCCCATAGCGATGAAGTCGACGCTTGGGCGGAGGTAAGTGTTCTAAGTCCTTTGCTCTTTTAATCATCGTCCTTTGCCGCTCGCGGCACCATGTTCGTTTCTTCCGCGGTAAATCGCTGACGCAACTGACAAAGGTACAAGCCATGAGCGCCGATGACACGATCGATGCCGCCAATGCCCCACCATCTACGGGTGCCATTCCCAGCGTGGAGTCCGATGAATCGATGAACGGTTCCAGTTTGCTTGATCCAACCACAGCTTCTCGTAAGCACATGCGTATCGGCGGTGACCTGTACGAGATCTGGAAGCCGGGCGACAAAGACGGGGACGAATTTACAGATTGGTATGGCCGGACACCCAAGGTACCAGTCGAGCAGCGTTGGCGCATCTTTCAGGTAAGCTTGCATCAAGTCCTGTTCCTCGCGATCCTCTCTGGTTCTGTTGCACCTGCGGTGGTCACTCGAGTAGCAATAATACAGGCCCAGCGTATACGCTGGAACTCGAGTACTGACAATTTACAGAGCGACATAGGCAGGATCAGCTGGAGGGACGGCAATGTACCACCCAAATTCGTGTACCTTGATGACCGGGCTGCCCAGCAGGTGCTGGCATCGGATATTCCCAAGGCCAAGATCTGCAAGTTCTGGCAGCACGACTTCGGTCAGCCATGCAATATTCGTCGCCATCGTCGCCACATCGGGCGCCCTGCCGTCAAGGATGAGAAAGCAGAGGGAAGCGCAAAATACCACTTCGCTCAGCATGGCGGCAAGGGACAAGATGTCTACTACTTCAGCGGCGATTCTGAATGGAAGCCGGTGCACTATCGTATTCCAGTCGAGGTAGCAAAGCCTCCAGAGCCAGAAGTCGTGCAGCCAAAGCGCAAGTACGACGACATTCTCGACGCGGAGCCAAACCGCCGTGCTCACGGGCACAATCAGTACACTCCAAAGGACATGCTGGTGAAGTTCGGAGCACCGTCATTTGCAAAGCCTGTTGAGAAGCATCACAAATTGCCGCCACTGCCAAAGCCGCATCAGAAGACCAGAGGCACCGAGAACCCAATCTTTGTAGAAAAGCGATTGATCGGAGACATGGCCCAGATCGCACGCGAGGCTGTACGTAAAGACGCTCAAAAGGCCCTTCGTGAGGCAAGCGTTGAGGATCTCCGAGCTGCTCTCCGGGCGCGTGAAGCCGTGCAGGGGACAGGAGCTGGAGACAGGGACGACTCCGCTGTTGCTCGTTCAAGCAACAGTCCGCCAGTGAAGCCTGCTGCCGCCATCCGCGGTGCATCGGCCACCCGGAGCTCCTCTCCATCAGTGCCACAGGTTGAAGAGATGCCAATCGATGTGCCTCGCGAACTGTCCTACATTGAGCGCCGTGACCTCGAAAATCGCATGACCGCGCAGGTGGTTCGCGGCATCCAAAACCAGGATGATGTCCAAGCCATGGCCAAGTCCTTGTCGACTGCGAAGGTCAAGGTTGGTCAACTTGAGAAAGGAAACGCTCTGCTGAAGCAGCAGCTCCAAGCAGCCGAGCACAAAGCTGGCAAATGGGAGCGAATTGCTGAAGACAAGGGGCAAGAGCTCGCCGACTTACGCGAGGATCAGGAGGCTAGCGGGCAGGAAATCGTCGAGCTCAAGCGTAAGAACACTTTGCTGGAGCTAAGCGTCGACAGAAAGGAAGCGGAATTGCGGAAACTGCTGCAGCAGTAGAAGCGCTCTCACCAAGCGGTTTCAGCATCGACAATGCCCACGTCTCCCTGTTCAACACATGCACCACGGCATGAGCCAAAAGGGTGGACAGCGGCATACCGAGCGAGATCAGTTGGAGTATTCAGAGCACGACATTCGTGGCCTCTGTTCTCCCTTGCATTACCACTCTCTTCTTACACGACACTCGACATTCACGGCACTGTCCGCTCCCTGGACTCATCAGGCGAGAGCAGAGTGTAATCAGAGTTGTCAACAAAAAGTTCACGATCGCTACACATACATGCTTTACCAAAAAGGGTAGTTTAGCTAGCAACAGAATCGAGGGCGATCGCACCCACGTGCGGAGACGCCCCATATACGGTGCTAGTACCGACTTTGAGCACTACCGGAAAACCATTTGTGATGCACAGGATGAACAAGATTGCAAGGATCGCAATGTCGTGCTCCGGGTCGTCGGTTGCACGATTTGGCCTTGCAATCCAGAACATCTCGTAGCAAATACCAGATGAACATTGTTCTCAATGCAAGACGAGCTTCTCACACATTGAAGAACCAGTCCACCTGTCCCAGAAGACCAGGATCGTCCATCCAAGCATCCACGTGTGCAAGCAACAACTGAAAACAAGACCTAAGAGTAAGAACGAACAAGAAGCGGTCCGATCCTCCACTTTTCGGATTCGGATTTCCGCCTTTCGACCTTACCGGGCTCGTCTCCAGGTTTGCAGATCCTCAATCACGACATCAAGCCCATCATGATGCTGACCAGTGAGCGACGCCAAACCCAGCAGTTGCCGAGACGCGACAGCTGCGCGTGGGAAAGCACGCGATGTCTGCCGTTTGAAACGAACGATGCCGAAGACCGTCATCCCGTTCCCGCCATAAATAAGTAATCGCTTTTATATCCATGCCCTTTGGTACTTTTTGTTGTGAACATCTGATAAGGCTGTGGCCGTCCATCTCACTGTTGATTATTCCTTCTGTGCGAAGGCAAAGTTGTAGGGACCATGGTCCTTGGACACTTTAGCTCTACTGGAGCTACAGCACAACAAGACAAATACGATCCTCCTACAGCAGCAGACAAAGAAATCCTCGACCACGATGCAGAGAAGTCGCAAACGAGCTCTCCTCCTCCAGGCGAAGTTCGCAATGAAGAAGAAATCGCAGCAGCATACAACATTAACGAGAAGAGCCTCGTTCGAAAATTGTAAACCACAACCCGTCGTTGTATACCTCTCATCACTGGCACAGTTCTCTAACCTTCTGTCACAGAGACGTCCACCTCCTCCCCGCCGTCTGCATCCTCTACCTCCTCTCCTTCCTCGACCGCGCCAACGTCGCCAATGCCCGTCTCGAAGGCCTCTTAGTTGACCTCGGCATTACAGCAAATCAATACCTTACCGGCCTTACAATGTTCTTCGTCGGGTACATTCTTCTCGAAGTCATCTGGAACGTCATTCTCAAACGCATTGGACCTAAGATTTGGCTTCCTAGCACAACACTCGCATTCGGAATTGTCGCGACATTGCAAGGTGTGGTGCAGAGACAGAATGGAGTCGCGGGATTCTTGATTGTGAGGTTCTTCCTTGGAGTTGCTGAGGGAGCGCTGTTCCCTGGTGTGGTGTTTTATTTGAGTATGTGGTACAAGAGATCGGAGAGACAATTCCGCATTGCGCTGTTCTTTGCCATGGCGAGTTTGGCGGGTGCGTTTGGTGGTATTTTGGCGTATGGTATTGGACATATGCGAGGTGTTGGAGGGTATAATGGGTGGAGATGGGTAAGATACTCCCTATCATCAACAATACGATCGACACGATTTTGGAGATTTCATATGAGGCTGACGTACGATGCAGATCTTCATCCTCGAAGGCTTGTTGACTTGTGTCGTGGCTGTAGCAGCCTACTGGTTTGTTGCAGACTGGCCAAACAAAGCAAAATTCGTTACAGAAGGAGAGCGAGCATTTATCAATGCCCGCTTGAAGAACGACAGTGACGCGACTCAACACGAAGGCTTCACCTGGGCGAACGTGGGTTCCGCGTTCAAGGATCCGAAAGTCTGGCTGTACAACGGAGTCTTCCACACTCTATCCCTCCCACTCTACACTCTATCCCTCTTCTTGGTAAGCTTTCCACGCCCAATTCTCCGGAAGTGCCCACTAACATGATATGCCTTCACAGCCCTCCATCATCGCCGCCCTCGGCTACGCCTCCTGGGAAGCTCAACTCCTCACCGTCCCTCCCTACGCCCTGGCCGCTATCCTCACAGTCGGCTACGCCTTCGTCTCCGAACGCTACAAACTCCGCGCCCCCTTCATCCTCTTCTCCACCTCCACCGCCATCCTAGGCTACATTCTCCTCCTCTCCAACCCCTCCCCTACAACCCGTCCCGCTCAATCCTACGTCGGAGTGTTCCTCGCCGCTGCTGGAATTTATCCTTCTGTCGCGTTGGGTCTATCGTGGCCGGCGATGAATGTTTCGGGTCAGACGAAACGTGCTGCGGCGAACGGGTTGCAGATTACGATTGGTAATTTGGGTGCCGTGATTGGCACGCAGCTGTATAGAGGGGCGGATGCGCCAAAGTATGTTGTGGGACATAGTGTGGCTCTTACATATTTGGTCGGTAACCTTGTGGTTGTGTCGACGTTGTGGTGGCTGTTGAATAAGATCAACAGGGAGAGAGATGAGATTGCCGCCAGAGAAGGCGCAGAAGTTCTCACAGGGGAGTGGCAAGGTGATGAGGATTTGAGGTGGAGATTTAGGGTCTAATGAGACTTTTGAGGTTCAGTTTTTACGATGATACACCAATTGCTTTACATCTATTCATCAATCGTACTCTATACAAGTTGTTACGTTCATGCATGTGCATTATTCTTGTCCTGTGATCCATCTTGTCTCGTCGCTGAACGTACGTCTATCCTACACTCTTATTCTTTTTTCGTCTCTTCAATCCGGGGTATACTTGCTCAACTTCCTAATCCTCGCACCATAGATGTAGTACAATACCGGCACTGGAGCCAGCGCAACACACAAGAAGCCCAACAAGCTCATCGCCCATGGTACTGTAAGGTTGTGAAACATGGGGGTTGCGAACATGGGGAATGCCGCACCAACCCACGAACGGAAGAAGGTGTTCGCAGCGATGGCGGAGTTCGCATTCATCTTGTAAACGTCGATGATGTAATTCAAGCCTTGCAAGAAAATCATCATTATACCGGCGCCTGTCATGGATTGTCAGTGATCGGGCTCCTTGAATATATGTTGAGCCGAACTTACCGATAGGAATAGCGGCGATGATTTCAGGCCAAGGTGTAATGTTTGGATTTGAGGTCCATCCAAACCTGAGGTGGCATGAGTTAGCGTCAATTCTCACGATGTTTCGTTTATACTAAGGACTTACCAGAACAGTCCAATTGGCAACAACAGGCCTCCGATGATCATGGGAATGAGGCGTTCCTCGGGAATGATCTCGCCATGTTCCTCCATCTTGCGTTTCGTGCGAGTTTTGGTGATGCCGACAATGATCGCCGAGCCGAATACAACACCAATAAGCACTGAGATGAATGGCAGAGAGCCAACTCCCAGGTTCCATCCGCGCTCCTCCTGGAAACTTATCGGGAACGCCTCAAAAAAACCATAAATGATGCCGTAAATCAGCGACATGTACAGCGTGACCAGGATAAGAATTGGCTCAAGTGCCAGCATCTTGAAAGGCTTGAGGAGGTATTTGTCGGCGATCTCTTTGAGGTTGACTTCCTTCTCGTCAGCTGGAGCACGCAGAGCCCAGTTCTTCGTCTTGTACTTCAACTTCTTTGCTTTTCGTTGCAACAGTACAGGCGCAAAAGTCTCGGGGATGACGAAGAAGCCAATGGTTCCGAAGAGTGCTGCCATGATCATAGTGATCCACTGTGTCCAACGCCAGCCTAGGTATGACATGGTGATGAAACCTCCCATGATCGGTCCGAGTGTGGGACCAATGAAAGTGGCAGCGGAAAAGAGGCATGCAGCGACACCGCGGTCGATGGGGTCGAAGAAATCTGCCAGGGCGCCTCCAACCACGGCCAGGGGAGCAGAAGCAAAGAATCCGCCGAAGAAGCGACAGATGAAAATGGTCTGCAGATTTGTTGCAACTGCGACCGGAATTTGGAAGATGGCGAAGATAGCATAGCCGACGAAGAGGGGTGCCTTTCGGCCATAGAGTTCACTGAAGGGACCCCAGACAATGGGGCCAAAGGCAAATCCGCTGCACAATGTTAGTTGATGTCAACGATGGAAGTAGCTTGGGCGATCGATACTTACAGCACGAACAGCGCAACTCCCAGAATCATGACTTCACTGCTGACGCCAAACTGCTGGGCAGTCACCATCGTGGCCGCGCTGAAGACGCTGGAAGCAAAGGTCACGACCAATGTCATGGAGCCCATGGACGTCGCGATGGCCCATTTTCGAACCGGGTTCCAATTCATCGGGTTTTCTGGATCGTCATCACCATCCCAGTCAACGAGGTTCGGATCGCGCTCTTCATCTGCATTATCGTGACCGTGGTCTTGTCGACCACCTTGCTTCTCGACGTCGACATTGGCGTCTTGACCGGCAGGTGGTGCAATAGGTGATTCCAGGTCCGAGTCTTTCTCCTTTTCACTGTCCCTGGATAGTCGTCGAAGATTCTCATCGCTTGGCATCTTGCGAAGTGTGGCGGGCTGCTGATTGTTATCTTCTGATTGAGAGGTGGCCCAGTTTGATGTAGGTTGTTGGGCTTCTGAAGATGGCCGCGCCCATTGCACGGTGCCATCGTCTGTGGTGATGGGAATACCACTCTCGTCCCGGATCATTTTTTGGCGAGCAGGCTGTGGTGAGTACGTCGTTGTTGGCGCGTCATGGCCAGATGGGTCCGACATGACTGCCTATATTCGGCCAGCAGTGCGGAGGAACTCTGACGGCAAACTCGACCAGCAAAATTGTTGACAAGGAAAGACGCGAACAAGCGAGACTTACAGTAATGGGGACAATGGATAAAGAGCGTGCCGCGTGTGACGTCTCCATCTCAACACACGCGTTCTAGGAGAATTCGAGCATATGGTGACGACATTGTGTAAAGCAGCTCTAGCGCTGGATCAAGTGCCAGTAGGAGAGAGAGCACACCAAGACATGCTTTGGCGCTTGATTGATTGAAGTGTGGGCCGAACACCCGGAAGGGACTCGGCACATGTGCTTGTGCTTCTTGTGTTCGATGACAAGGTCCGTCTGGTCGTGATGGAGAGCTGTTGTCGTGCTGGAAGCCATCCTGTGCCATTCTTGAGTTCACCCACGCGTCTTTCCCTGCAATTCGCATTACGACTCCTCATCGCCGTCGGAGGTAGGGTTGTCTTGTATCTCCGCCGCGGGCGAAGGCACAGGAGGGTTCGCAGCACAATGCATGACGTACGGCGGATGCGAACGGACGAAGTCTGCAAACTTCAGCCGCATCTCGGTCGATCGGCGCTTGTCCACTAGCGCCGCCGATCGGAAAGAGCCGCTCTTGCCAAGCCTCCGTTCGCGTCTCCAGTCTGCATGCGCGACGACCGATTGTACGACAACTCAGGCACGCTCGCCCAGCATGGCCATCTCGCTGGACAAGGTCCCGAACCTCGTCAAGCTGCCACGGGAGGATGCGCAGTTCCACAGGGACACCGTGGCCGATCTGCTGAGTCGGAGGGACACCAAGTTTCCAGGCGCGCAACCGGTCTCGTTCGCGCGCCGCCATCTGAAAGAGCTGGAGCGCGCCGACTACTTTCTGGCCGAGAAGACAGACGGCGTTCGCCTGCTGCTGTTCCTCACTCAGACCCACGGCCCCGATGGACGACCACAGGAGGCGCAATTCCTCATCGACCGCAAGAACGACTACTACTATGTCGAAACGGGCTACCTGCACATTCCCCTCCCCAAGCCGCCCAAAGGCTACGACTTGCACAGCTGGCACGTCAACACCCTGCTCGACGGCGAGCTTGTGCAGCAACGCTTTCCCAATGGCCACAAGCAGCTCACCTACATCATCTTCGACATTCTTGTCCTCCGCGGGCAATGCATTACCGATCGAGATTTTGGAAACCGCGTGGGCAAGATCTTGGACGGCGTGCTGAGTGCCTACAAGCTCTTTGCCAAGGACTATCCCGAAGACATCAAGGCACAACCTTTTCAGCTGACCGCGAAGAAGCCGAGCTTCTCGTACGCCGCCCCCGAAATGTTCAAGGAGATCTTGCCCAGGCTTCCCCACGGCAACGATGGCTTGATCTTCACGTGCAAGGACACTCCGTATGTCACTGGTACCGATCAACACATCTTGAAGTGGAAGCCGCCTCACGAGAACACGATCGACTTCAAGCTCCAAATCGGCGCCTTCCCAATGGAGGAAGACGACGAAGGGCAGTACGAGGACTTTGATCAGATTCCCGAAATCGAGCTCTTGGTCTTTCACGGCGGGAACAACAACTACCAGACCTTCGCTCCGCTACATGTCACCGAGAAAGAGTGGGAGGCCATGAAAGCCAAAGGCGAGCAATTTGACCACCGCATCATCGAATGCTGGCGAGAGAAAGAGACGGGTCACTGGCGACCGAAGATTGACGAGGATGGGACACCACGTTTCCGAGATGACAAAGAGCATGCCAATCACATATCCGTGGTCGAGAGCGTGTTGCAGAGTATAGAAGATGCTGTAACGGAGCAAGACCTCATCGATAGCTACACCGCCGTGCGAACCGCTTGGAAGCAAAGAGAGGAGGCGGCCAGAGCTCGCGCCCACCAGCAGCAACAGCAGCAGCAAGCGCAGGCATCCGCTAGACATAAGCCCGAGCCAGCTGCCAGAGAAGAAGAGGATGATGGTCCGACATACGTTGATTGAGGAATGGCTGGCATAAAGAGTACCGACACAAGCTCCAACATCGATGCTGCGCGGAGTTTTTTCCGGGCCTCGGCCGACGGAAATCGTCGAAAAGGATCTATCACTATGGCGATACCCAAAGTCCACCCGTCTGCCCAGAGTAAAACCAAACGAGAGGAGAGGTTCGGATATCACTCAATCATTGCGTTGCAACATGCGTCTTGTGCAGGAACGAAGTGGTCGGCCCGCCTGGAAGAGGCACGAGCGTACCTCGCAAACGCTGTGGCGAGCAGTATCCCATTAGCACAAGGCAAGCAAAGCTCCGGCCTAGGATTCAGCGATTGCATTGCATAGGCCTGGCTGAGCCGAGATGGAGACTTTTCGCGTTGTGTTAGCAGGTCAATTTGGCATAGGACCATACGACCTGGCTTAGCTCCGAGCAGAATTTTGGAATACAGGACAAAATATTACGATGGCATGATACGAGTCGCTCATGAGCGCGAACTGAGCCAATGAGTCTAGATAGTGGGCATCAAAGAGCAGTGAACAGCTCATTCGAGGATCAAGCCGCAACACGCGGACGCGCCAGTTCTCTGTCTCACTTGCACAATTACGATTTCGTTCGAGGACATTGGACGGTCCACCAGCATGTACAAGTACAAGTGTGCAATCCTGACGTAAACGGTGCCTGAGGAAAGAACGGACAGCAATTTCGATAGGAGGTACTGGTGGTCAAATTTCTGGTCCAGATGACCTACGGCTGATGTCCGAAGATAGAGGCGCATTGTGATCAAGCATCTTCTCTTGGTGACACGCGTACGCAGCACAAAGACCGATTGGGCACAACACACGATCTGGGCAATAGCATATCTTGTGCTCACAGATCGCGTGAATGCGTTCGCCCATACGTGGTCCATACATCGTAGACCAGGAACGAGCTGGTCGCTCAACGGACATTCAGCCCAATGCTTCCATTCCCGAGCAATCGCACGCGGAATCAAGATTCCTGTCACCATGTAGCAGAGCACTTTGGGCTGTGTCAGGAAACCAAATTCATAGTATATTCCAATGGTATAGCTTGCGATCGCTATTCTTCACTCTTTCGATATCTTCTGGCCACATATGGCCATCGAGGTAGCATTCTCCAAGCATAACGAATCCCAGTTGCCGTTCTTCATCATCTTCGCTCCACAGCTGTCCAAGCACGACTGGCGTCCGGCATCCGGGGATCATAACAATGACATCTCTTGGCTCGCAGACCTTGGGCACGAGTGCATAGTGGCCTCGCCATGTCCTGGCGAATTTCCGATCCTTGCAGGCTCGGGCCATGGCAATAAGAAAGCGACTGATTCTCATGCCAGCATCTTGCGAATTTGCATCTACTTCGCCAAGGCTACTTAGGCTAATGTCTTGTGGATTGAAGGCTTGAGTTTGGCTTTGGAAAAGGTATGCTAGGAGTGTGTCGTAATCTGCATAGGAAGCTTCCGAGCAGCGTTCGAGTGCAAAATTGACGTCTGCGAGTAGTGTGCGGCGAAGTGCGGTGTTTGAGGAGTTTGTTATATCGACGAATTTGTGGATGCTTGACAAGGCTTGCTGTGTATTTGTCGCTCCTAGACCTGATTCGAAGAGAATATCTGAAGTGAAGCCGACGACACCGACTTCGTATCCTTTGAGCCGAAGGACATTGGCGTCACATGAAATGACAGCCTCGGAGGTGGTATTCATGGAATAAGCAGGTAATGCAGCGGGATCTCGCGATTGATCGGTCCGGTGTATACGTGGTACCCAGGAAGGCCAGTCTGGGTCGGTCACGTCCTCTCGCCTACGGTGTGAGATGCAGGGCACGACGAAGAAGCCAAGCAGAGCCTCGACGCTGATGAAGTACCTTGTCGCGTCTCGCATCACTTCTGCTAGGCTCTTAGTGTAGTCAGGGCGGATCAATTCTGGCAACGGGCGTTTCTTCGCCGCCAGGCCGAGCAGACCAAATACCCTGTCTCGTTCATCAGAAGTCGATGATCCGCGAATATTGAGGACCAGAATACCGAGCGGCTCGCCTGAGGACATGATATTGCGTCTATCGTCCAGTGTTGCTATCACAGAGTCTCGAACACACTTGCTTGACCACATTGACTGTGTAGCCAACAAACCCAAGTTGTTTCTCAGTGCCGAAGGCAGGTGCGTTCGATGATACATAAGCCAGGCACATCCAGTGAGTACGGTGTCGATACTGATCTTGGAGTCGCCTAATAAGCATTCACTTTGGGCCGGCAATACGGCTTCTTGGATTACCCATACTCGTCTGTGTACGTAAGCCACCGTCAGCAGATAGTGAAAAGGTCACTGACCTCAACCAAGGCAAAGCGAGAAACTTTGTCAAAGCATCGACATCAAGATTGACATGCAGTCGGGAAGTATCCGGCGCAATGGCAAAGCTCCCTCTAGGGCGAAATAACATTCCTTCTTCATATGGTGTCTTTGCAATCTCTTTCACCTCCCGCGCGAGGTCTTCAAGGTTAGCAATAGCTTGTGCAGAGCCTTGCTCTCCTTGTCCGAGATACACTATGCCGCCAGTCGTGAAGAAGTATACTTGGTCCATCAAAGTAACTTGTTGTGCACGTTCTTGGAGGTCGGCCTGATTAATGCACACCGCATCGATCCATACCGTGCGCACATTCTCCCGATCTGATACACGACGCAAGACCTGATCTGTCGATCTGGGCACCATGAAGATCTTGCCGTTCAAAATGATGGAACAGCATGGAGTTGGATCTCCCCACACGTAGGAGATAGTCTGGTACCGAGGCGTGGGCTCGTCCTGTAGTGCCACGACTCGCAGCGTGCACGCAACGGCATCTTCGGGTCTCTTCGAAAAGGGCAAGATATCTAGCAGCCTAACCTCTTGCCTCGTAGAGTCGAGTGGCCGATAGAGACCATGTTCCGACATCGGGCTGTCGGCCAGTGGCGCGGCTTCTTGGGTGTGAAGTTGTCAGTTGGCAAACCAGGTCCCTGCGAAGCGGTGCTTGATGAGGATGCATGGGCAGAGCCGTGCAGAATGGACCAAATGATGCGGAAACCAAACCTCCTGAGCTTACAGATTGGATGCCTAGAGGAACGCCTCATATATTCACGACGGGTGAGTCCTTCTGTTAGGAGACGCGATGCATGTGATGGTCATGTATCGTGGAGAAGGTGACGAAGTAGTCCGGGCAGTTGCGAAATCTTGGGTTGAAGGCAAACGCGATGACCTGCGAGTGCCCGAGACTCGTGCATTCGAAGACAGGGCCGTACGCGAAGACACATGTGATCCTGTTACAGCTCGATCAACATTCGCCTCCAGAAACGAAAAGAAATGGAGTCGAGAGCTCAATTTTCTATGATTGGTGGAGATGTCAGCCGGATATGCAGATGCCGCATATGTCTATGTAACTGGGAAGAAGTCGACATCAGTTCAGGACCTGGCCGCAAGGAGAACGCAAGAATACGCATTTTAACCTCGGATCATGTGAGTAGTCCTGTCTTATGCAGGAGGCTTTCTTGTCGTTCTCAGCGAAGGAGACGTTGGCGTTTGAGCGTGCATGGGTGGATCTTGAACAAATCGTTTGGCATTGCAGATCCATTCTGTGAGTCCTGGCGAGTGTCGCAGGAGCTGGTCTCGCGTAGAAGCTCTCTGCAAAGGTCATGCATGTCGAAGAGACGTGCTGCAGGGACGTGGAGCGGTCCAGAGCCGCGTGCCCGCCTTGCTCGGCAAGCCATCTCCGCCACTTCTCCTCTCCAGCTTTTGGGGGTCACATCAGAGTCTGCCTGCTACATTCGCATTGCCACTACAGATGTGCCATCGAGATCGGCATCTTCATCAAGGAAAATCACGTTCAACGCTGGATCTGAACAAATACTGAAGTTTTCACCTTGCGATCCAAGCGTGTAAGGAAGCACGACCCAGACCCCCACTTGAGCACCCCAGGGTGTTGCAAAAGCTTGGGCGTCCAAGATGAATGAACACCCCGAGGCTCCTTCGCCGAAACGTCAGAGAGCAAGTCGAGCAGGCCAGGCCAAAAGATTTGAATGTGCGCATCCTGGCTGCGATAAAAGATACTCGTGAGCTCCAGTGATCAAACCTTGCGGAGTGCTTAGATGCTAAGCATGTATCCATAGAAGAGCCGAGCATTTACACAGGCACGAGCTCAACCACAACCCGAAAGAAGTCTATCGTTGCGAGGTAGCAGGCTGTGGTCATTCCTTTGTGCGACCTGATCTGTTCATCAGGCACAAGAATCGACACAATGAGACTGCATCCAGTCGAGCTGCTTCAGTAACACCAGGCACTCCTACCACTGCTGAATCCAAGATCGGATTCGAAGCTCCGATGCAAGAGCCCGTGAGCGCCTCGGAGTATGGTGTCAGTCGGCAGGATAGTCAAGAATCTATTGAAGATGCGAGGCTAGCTGCCGCCACGAGTCTAAGCTCCTTGACAACGTGGGCTGCTGCGAATAGACCACCGCTGCCTACACCAGATCCTACTTTGATGAGTACGGAGACACCTTCCGTAGCGGGTCTGACTGGAATACTGTCTCAGGCAGCTCCGTCGCCGCTTGCGGCACCCTCGATGAACACCTGGAATTCAACAGTCGACACGGCTGCCCAGGCGAGCGACAACTTCGCAGCCTGGCTGTTTGAAAGCCCAGGCTCACAGTATGATGACTTTAACATAGCTAACATGCCATTCTTGGACTTCGGCTTGGAATACTCTCCAAAAGACGTCTGGAATCTCGAAGATTACGCATCGACGTCCGAGCCACCGGGGAGTGTCGCAAACCATGCGACTCCCAGTAGTCTCAGAGACAATCCTGCAGCAGGTACAACTACACGTGGTGTGTCAGAAGAAAGGCGGGCGGATGTTCTACGCATACTGTCACACTTCCTGACGAAACAGCGCAATCGATTGTATGCCGCATCGGATCAAACGAGACTGCTATACAACCCCGACGCACAGAATTTCCCTAACCTTAGTGTTGGTGTTCTGGACAGGTTTGTCGCCAACTATTGGGCCAATGTGGATCAGCAAATGTCAGTTGTGCATCAACCGACGTTCTCACCCAACTCTTGCAACGTTCTCTTGCTTGTGACCATTATTATGCTGGGTGCGGCGGACATGGTAAAACAGAAACCGAAAGGCTTACTTGAGGACCATCAAGAGTTCTCCGAAGTCATCGCGACACAGCTGCGCTGGGAGATCTTCACGGATCCTGAAGCTCAGCCGCCCGTTCAGCTCTGGGCCGCGCAGGCACTCCTGTTGCTCGAGTACTACGAGAAGCAGTGGTCATCTAGGAAATTGCACGAGCGTGCACACATCCACCACGCCAGCACCTTGACATTACTCCGTCGAGGTAGTCCTTTGATCGGAAGGTCAGATAGCGAAAGTCCCACCAGTGGAATGCCGACCAGATGTGCCAGTCCGACGGGCGACGAGCTACCTGGAAAGCCAACTGGAAGTTCGCTCGACTCATGGTGGGTGCATTGGGTCCGAAATGAATCATTCAACAGAGTCGTCTTTACGGCCTTCCAAATTGATACCCTTCATGCTTTGATGTACGGACACGGGGCGGACATGGCACCGTACGAGATTCGACTGCCGCTTCCTTGCGATGACTCGCTATGGAGAGCAGACAGCGCCGAGGAAGTGCATCGTTTGGACGCGAATCTGAAAATGTACGGAATACGCCCAATCAACTTTCTCGACGGACTGAAGCGTTGTCTTCACGCACACGACGTGCAGACCCATGCTCCGGCACGCATGCTCTTGATGGCAGGACTGCTGTCTGTCGGCTGGCATATGAGCCGTCGCGAAAAGCACTTGCAGTTCCTAGAGACTGTGCCATCAGTACGAGAGCAAGGGCGCTGGCGCTCCATGCTGCTGCAAGCTTTCGGACATTGGAGACAGAGCTTTGACGATGCGGTTGGCCCACGCAAGAGTCGAAGCAGTGCTGCAAAGACCACCGACGCCAATGCTCCGACTGTGTTATTCCATCTTGCGCATCTCACGATGCATGCCGACATTATCGACATCCAAATCTTTTCCGGAACGAAACGACTCCTGGGCCGCAAGGTATCAGACAAGGATTTTCTGAACGTCTTCCAACGAATGAAAGCATGGCAGCCAACGCCAATAGCCCGACATGCGGTACTCCATTCCTTCAAGCTTTTGGCCGCTGTCATGATGAACCGGCCTGGCAAGAACGGAACAAATGATGCTTCCAATATGCAGCCTTTCATCAGCTACAGCTCTCGCAATGATCCCATGATGTATCGGCCATGGGGCGTGTATCTTGCATCACTGGTCATCTGGGCGTACCAACGAGCGTCGAGTCTGCATCTTTCTGGTCCTTACACGCAACAACATCTGATCGAAGGACAAGATGAGCGAGAGCTTTGCTGTCGGTATTTGACTGCGTTCTCGAATATCGACGATCCGGCGCGAGTGCTCGCGATGCTCTCTGTTTCTGGTTGTGCGGCGATCCTCAGCGTCGTGTCGCAAGACTTGGCGAATGGAGAACCGGAACTTTTCGAGGAAGCGGCGAAGAGGTTGCAGAGCTGTCGTGAAACCTTACTGACGGGGACTTCGGGGCGGTGATAACATGTACAGCATCGACTTCGAGTCGCGGGATGATCGAGGACATGTACAGAAAATCGCGTTGCGCGAGCACACAAATTTTCTGGCGTGTACAAGTACCTGTGCCGGGCCATCGTGCTTCGCGTCGAGCAAGCGGTCGCATATTCTCACATTTCTGCCAATCCTGGTCGAGGAGCACACGGAGCCAGCATTGTACATAGACGGTCATAACGGCGTCAAGCTGTGCCTTTCGCAATTCGCGCGCTCCCTCTCTGTTCTGCACCTCTTTCTTTCTCCAATTCCCAGTCTGTGTGACCAAGCTCTTGATGAAAAATTGAGGAAACCTGTCAGACGACCGACAGTACCCACCTACAAAAGCCGGCCGAAGCCAGACACTCGAGCAGGGCGAGATCATTGCCATCGACCCAAAGGGCTGACACATTGGCTTCACTCTTGGGCGCCGCGGTTCGACTCATCAGCCAGGTTGGAGTCTGTAGCTTCTGTGAGAAGTACAGTTGTGGATGTTTACTATAGAAATGATTCTATGAAGTAAACTGCGACTCCATGTCAGTACTGTTGCAAACTTTGGGGTGGGTTGGCTGGTCACTCACATCGCTGATCAGAGCAAAGAGGAGCGCGAGGATTCAGCTTAAGAAATACTGCAGATTCGCTAGCGCGGATTGCGTAAGCGGAAAAGCTGTGGGAAAGACCTGCGGGAAGGCACGGCCTGAGGCTGCCGCTGCAAGATCATGCACGCGGCGTCACAGCTCACTCGTCTTCCCTGGGAACTTCTCCCAATGCGTTCCGCGCAGCCTGACGTCCCACATATCGCATCCAGGCATCGCCATTCTTCGGCCCATACTACTTGAGCATCGCCACGATGGCCGACTACGATAAAATGAAGGTGCCGGAGCTGGAGGAGCTGGTCAAAGAACGTGGCATCGCAGCCGAAGGGCTCAAATCAAAGAAACATTACGTGGATGCGCTTATTGCGGATGATGCACAGGATGGAGCAGAGAAGACGGAGGACCGAGAAGGAGACGGACATAGCAATGGCAATGGCGATGCACAGGATGAGGTGATGGGCAGTGACACTGAAGGCACGAACAAGAGGAAAAGGCGGAGCCCAACACCTCCCGTCAGCGATGAGAGCGTGAACAAGAAATTAAAGACTGCAGATGCAGCCACAATTTCTGAGGATGCGCCCGCAGCCGTGGACGAGGAAAGTGCTACGACGTTGCAGCCGTACGGCAGCAGCGACGATGTGATGCAAGTCGATAGCCGACAACGACAACAACCGGAGCAGGATGAAGCGATGGAAGATGCTGCTGTCTCTGCATCAAGGCATGAGGCAACCCGTGCACTTTACATTCGCGAGCTTGTCCGCCCGCTACAACCGAATGCACTGCGAGAACACCTCCGCGAAATCGCATCTCCGCCTGGCGCGACCTCTGCATCCGCCGCCGAGATCGTGGAACTCTTCCATCTCGACAAGCTGCGGACACACGCTTTGGTGGTATTCGACTCAATATCTGCAGCTTCGCGCGCGCGATCAGCTCTTCATGAGCACATCTGGCCGAACGAGCCTTCAATGCGGAAGCCACTATGGGTAGACTTTGTGCCTGAGGAGAAGGTGCAAGACTGGATAGACACGGAGACAGAGCGACCCGATACAAAGTGGGAGATTGTTTACGAAAGCGTTGACACACACTCGCCTGTCACGGCCACATTACAGGAAGTTGGTGCTGGCCGCAGAGAAAGTTTCAACGGCGGCAACACACGACCTACAGTGTCTGGCTCACAAGACGCTCCTCCCAGTCCCCAGCAGGAGCAGCCTGCACAAAGCAAATCTTTCGACACCCTCGACTCCCGGTACAAATTCACCCAATGCAAACCGAAGATCTACTATCAGCCCGTGGCGCGAGAGCTTTCGGACAGCAGGCAGCAGACACTAACATCGGGAACGAGCGGTGATTGGGAGGATCGAATGTCGGACCCATCTTTGTATGGCGAAGGAGAGCTCAGAAGGTACACCTTTGAGGATGGCGACAAGCTCGTCGATGGTGGTGCAGACTTCGGACTTTTCGGTCGAAAGTCCACGCGTGGCGGTAGAGGTGGCGGAGAATACAGAGGTGGTAGGGGCAGAGGTCGTGGTGAGTACAGAGGCGGCGGCGGCGACTACCGTGGCGGTGGTGGTGATTACTATCGCGGTTCAAGCTCTGGCGGCAGGCGTCCTTACTAGGAGACTGAGCGCTTCGACCAAAATGACAAGAATTCAACGAAGGATCACTCCAATGGAAAATGGGAAGATGGTCTTGACTCCGGGAAATGGAGCGATGCTCCATATTGAGATGTCGACTACTTCTATCTGTTCCCCGGTCTCCGAAGAGGCAGAGAATAACCTATGCCGCGCAAAGGTTTTATATCAGCGCACTCAAACTGCACAACTTCACTGTGAACAACGCTCTCCCCAACACTGAGCGTCTCGAACTTCCCAACTGATTTCAGCCTTCCGAGCCACTCGTCAGCCTCGAATTGACCGCATTCGTCAAAGCGAATATGGCCCTCAGCGCGGACACCTCCATTCCAAACTCATTTGCTTTCCGCATTGGAAATCCGACAATAACATCCATTTCCAATGGTCTTCCCGACTGCGCGTCCTGGTACATGGAACTATAGATCAAAGGTTTCATCGCCATCACCCGCGCGATCAGCTCGTCTGCCAATCCGTCTTTCAACGGAACATCGAGTTTCCGCCCCACAGCGATGACATCTTCCATCAATTGCTTCGTGAACGTTCTTGCTTCGGGAGAAGTCTCCAACCAGGTTTGAACGGGAAGGCCTGTTAGTGCTGTGAGTGGATTCCAGGCTACGTTCCAGACGACCTTTTCCCAGCGAGCGATTTGGATGTCAGGTTCGATGGTGTAGTTTGTTCCTCCTTGCTTTAGGAGGTCGGCGAAGGTTTGGAGACGGGTCTGTTCGAGATCTGGGTCGAGGGTCGGATTGGGGAAGATGCCGATCAAGAGGCTTTCGTTCGTGCTGTGGGTTATGATGCCGGGGGTCTTTTGTACTGCGCCGGTCCAAGCTACGCAGGAGATTATGCTGTTCGAGGGGTAAACTGTGCGGAAGGGCTCTTCGTTGCCGACGCCATTCTGGATTATGACGAATGTCGTCTGGTCGTTGGTGATAGGCTTGAAGAGGGGAGGGATTGTGGCGGGCTTAATGGCTTTGTGAGCGCAGACGATGAAATCAAAAGTTGTGTTGGCAATGTCTGGTATTGATTTGTAGACTGGACGTGTTGTCAGTGGCTGCTGCTGACGACGATGATGTTGCTATCGTCCAACGTACCGTGATCGATATTCACGTCGCACTTCCCATGGACGTCACTGTCGATCTTCAAGCCGTGTTGCTTCACAGCATCGTAGTTCGATCTTGCTATCACGGACAGTGATACATTCTTGTTCTTGCCTAGTATGTATGCGTAGAAACCACCAATGCTGACCTATTGATCAGCTGCAGCTCTGGCACACCATCTGCATCGACTCACGCTCCTAGGCCGAACAGCAAGACTTTGCACGGCCGGTCTGACCCAGGTGTGCTCATATGGGGCGAGTGGCTTGCGTTTGTGAAACCTAGATTCGCCAAGTCCTTCTCACGACGTCGTGAATGTCGTTTAGTTCTTGTCACTTGACCAACACTCTCACCAGGCGAGCGTCGCTTCCAGATACAAGCGAAGTCGAAGTTCGAAGCTCTGACCACATGCAGGTGGGATCCACTCCAGCGCCTACCCCCACCGTGTCCCCCAAATTCTCCGCTTCACTTTGTCGGAACATGATCACGTTTCTTGTAATACCCATGTCAGGTACTTGTAGCTGCTTCGGCGAATCTGCTGACATTGGAGCCGCCTATGGTAGGGTAGACCACCTCAGTCGACCGTGACCAGAGTTCTCTAGAGCATGGTATCCAAGCTAAGTCGACGACTAAGACCGAACTGACAAAATGACCACCATCAGCGCCGACGAGCTCACCAAACACAATAGCAAGAAGTCTTGTTGGATAGCTATTGGAGACACAGTTTGGGATGTGACAGACTTCGCACCAAAGCACCCAGGTGGCGCCAGTCTGATCCTCAAATTGGCTGGGCAAGATGCAACAGAACAATACAGCATGTTCCACAATGTAGCTCTCGTGAAGGAGACATTGGGCAATGAAGCCGCGATAGGAACGATCGATAGGTCTTCGATCAAACCACCCACAAAACCTAAAGAGATCCCACTCGGCCCCCAAGATGCCACACCCAGACGGCCTCCTCTCCGCAGTATGATCAACCTCCACGATTTCGAAAAGGTCGCCGAGAAATTCATGACACCACTAGCGTGGGCCTACATCTCTTCCGGCTCCGACAACGAAGTCTCCTTACGCGAAAACGCACTCGCATACTCAAAAGTCTTCCTCCGAGGCCGCATTCTTCGCAAAATTAGCTCCATCTCCACGCAAACCAACATCCTGGGAATCAACAGCAGTCTGCCAATCTACACTTCCCCTGTTGGACTGGGCAAACTTGTGCATCCGGATGGAGAATGTGCGATAGCGAGAGCGGACGGAGAAGAAGGAATCTGTCAGGTTGTGAATACGGTATCGAGCTGCACTATTGAAGAGATTATGCAGGCAAGAGTGAAACCCGATCAGCCGGTTTTCTGGCAATTGTATCTTGATAAAGACTTGGAGAAGTCGAAGAAATTTGTCGAGAGGGTGGAGACGGCGGGTGTGAAAGCGATCTGGTTGACTGTTGATAGTCCGGTGACAGGGAACCGGGAGAGAGATGAGAGGGGAAAGGGCGTTGAGGACGATGTAAGTTTCTCGCCATCTTCGACTTGGAATTTTGATTGCATCTGCTGACGCCGAACAGACAGAAGAGATCCTGGAAGATGTGGTCAACGATATGAAGAGCGGCGGCGCTGGCGTTGCAGCGTCGAACAATAGCTTTATCAACGGCGATGTGGATTGGGACATCATCGCATGGTTGCGATCGATCACAAAGCTCCCTATTGTGGTCAAGGGAATTGGTTGCGTGGAAGACGCTGTCGCAGCTTACGACCATGGTGCAGATGCAATCGTCCTTTCCAACCACGGCGGCCGATCGCAAGATACTTCGCAGCCACCTCTGCTCACATTACTGGAGATCCGGACTTACGCACCCCACATCATGGGCAAGAAGATGCAGATCTTCGTGGACGGAGGCGTGAGGCGTGGGACGGACGTGCTGAAAGCTTTGTGTTTGGGAGCGAATGCTGTTGGTATAGGTCGACCTGTGCTGTTCAGCATGTCTGCAGGATACGGGCACTATGGCATTCGAAGGATGATCCAGATCCTGAGGCGCGAGATCGAAACGAACATGGCATTCCTGGGCGCCAGAACGATTGCGGATTTGTCGCCGAGTATGATCAACACAAAGCCGCTGGAGAACCTCTTGATACCGTCTGCGAACCTGTGATCTTCCAGCACGCGGCGTGGTGGCTTGCATGGGAAATCTATAAATTAGATGCCAGTACCGGCTAAGGTACACGCAATGCATTTTTGCAGTTCTATAGTCTCTTAAGGGGTATCGAGTCTAGTGTAGTTCCGATTCATCAAACGCCTCGCTTGAACGCAATAGAACACGAAATAAAACGAGGGACAATCGTGCCAGCTCAATCGCGATAGTTCTTACACTTCACGTGCGACAACTCTTGCTCACCCTTCGCATTGAGCACAAGTGCAGTCAATTTGTCGCCATTGACACAACCCGAGTCCAATCCTTTGGACCACCTGTTAATGACAAGTCCAGTCTTGCTATCGTGGCCGTAGATGACGACTTGTGGACGTGCGTGCGACTTCTTCTTGCCAAAGAAGTTCTTCCAGAGTCCACCAAATAGTCCGACTGGCACCTCTGTTGCAGACTCATCGTCTGCGAAGTCATCGGTCGTGATGAGGCCTTCCATCGAACGCCCCTTGAAAATCCGATCGTTGTACCAACACCAGACACTGTACCAAGGTTTCGCATTCTTGCCATCACGGACTGCCGAAGGCACGAGAGTTCGGCGGTTGATGGATCTCATGTTCATGACAAAGTAAGGATCTTGTTTCTTGAGGCTGACACCAGGAACCAGTCCAGCATGGACCACGATGATGTGCTCGGTGATTGGCGAGTTGGACTTCTTGGTTGGTCCACGCGCCATAGGGAGCCGAGGGACGTGCAGCATCAATGGCATATCTCGCATGTAGGCCAGATGGCGTGGCTCGAGCTGTCGCACAAGGGCCGCATCTTTCGCGAGGCCTTTGCTGCTGGTAGCTTCGACTGGCAGTGGCTCTTGTACATGGAGCTTCTTAGCAACATGTAGAAGGCGGTCCTCGTGGTTGCCGCGCACACTGGTGGCATTCAAACGAATCAGCTCGTCAAGCACTCCCAGATTGTCCGGACCTTTTGTGACTGTGTCTCCCACCAGGATCAAGTGATCTGTCTTCTCGTTGAAGTCGACCTTCTTGAGCAATTTCAACAACTCTTTCTTGCAGCCGTGGATGTCGCCGATAAATACCAATCTTCTCTCGCCCTCTGGATCGGCCGGTCCGCCAGGCAGAAATGCAGGATCGAGGCTCTTAATCCGTACCAGGTCTCTATCATGGCCACCACGAGCGATCCCATATGTGCCGTTATCCTGAGACATGAAACCTTCTTTGTATGCCCACTCTTCTTCCACTATCGGCTGCAGATATCTGGTCCATGCATAGTAGGCGGCGAGTGCGAAGAGAAGTAATAGTGCAAACATCCTGCGCGCGCGACGGGAGGCAACGAGCTTGCGTGCGGTATTCGGGCAACTCCTGTCGTTCTCCAAGTCACAGCAACCAAATTCTCGCTCGTCGTCGTCTTCAGTATCATCGGATGTCGGTCGCTTCTCTTGCTGCCATGGATTCGTGACCTGATCAATCAACGGTCGCTTTTCCGCCCCAGCGTGTGACGTAGGCGCAGCGTATTCAGGTACTCCATTCTGTGCTTCCGGATATCGCTGTGCCTGCAGCTTAGCTTTGAGGTCGCCTAGCGTTTCCTCCATCTCTCGGCCGGTCTGCTGGGTAATAGACTGTACTGTAGTCTCAATGTCGTTGCTGCGGTTCGTAGTCTCCGAGAGTGAGGTGTAGGAATGAGCCACTTAGGCGTTGTGGCAATCGCAATGTACCGGTGTGCCCATCGTCGCCACCTCCAAATCGAGCGCCCAAGATATAAGCCTGCCAAATGCTTCGACACGTAGAGTTGGAGCGAAGCGTGGAGGAAGTTTCAGAATGCTACAGAAAAGCAAGCCAGGCCAGTCCGTCATCACATGCCCACGTGCCAGGAACAGCCGGCACGTCGACACGCGTTGCCCCGAAACACAATTCCCCTGTCGATCGCCAAGTTTTGCTGCTGTTCACCTCATGTCGCGTCAGTAACAATTCTGATACAGCAGAGAGCCATCTCGTCGGTCCTGCCTGCTATCGAAGCTGCTGTATCATTCCACGTTCATCCTCCGAGCCAGTCGGGTTCATCGAGAGCACTGTTTCGGAAGTCCACGTCAGCAAACCATTGGCTACAGTCTGCGAGGCTTCACTACGAAGATGGAAGCACAATGTCTGGCCTGTAGGAATCTCGACATCTCTCGACAGTCTTTTGACTGCTCGAGTTGTGCGCACCCGGCCTGTATGAATTGACACGCCACGAGACTGCGCATTCGTGGAGGCTTGCCACGAATCTGAGCATTCGAACAATATGCCACTCGCCATCGTCTCGCCTTGGCGGCATCCGCAACACAAGGAGCACTGCCCGCACGGCATTACAACAAATATCATGATAGTGATGATGATATGGGTTGCAGCACACCCATGCTCGCGCCGGAAAGTCCTTCAAAACCACGAGTAGAGTGTCAGCTTGACACTGAGTATCCTCATCGTCCTATGACTAGTCTCAGTACGGTGATTGGCATTGGGCTCTAATCGCAATGGTAGGGCCAGTATAGGCAGAGATTTGAAAGCAAGACATGCTCAAAGCATCAGCGGACCCCAGTGTATACACCAAAACACAACAGGTATGGACAACGATTCGTATCATACGGCAAAAGATGAATCCCGAACGGGGCTGCCTACGAAGGTAAGCTTCGCTTGAGTCAGGCAACCTCCCTCACGATTCAGAGGCCAATTGCAATCAGCGCATTGAACGCATCTAGTAAAGAAGAAGATTTGGGATTCTCATAAATCTCTCTAGGAGTGGACGCGTCAACCGCTCGAGGTTCTTCTGACTGTGTAAAGCCGTGGAAATCATTGCGAGGACGAATGACCGAGCGATCAACAGCGCAAAGCTCCTCCGGCCAACGCTTAAAGCGATCGGACATGACGCTCGAGGACTATACTCCTGATCAAGGGAGTAGTGAAAGCAGGACATGTTCGCCTCATGTAATACAGCCTGCAAGGTACCACGAGCTTACTTCGGAGCATTCAGGTAGCTGCCTTCACATGGATCGGCGACGTACGGATGAACATTTGACAATGGGTACCGCTACGCTGCGGAGGCACAGCGTCGTAGTCGACGGCACCCATCTAACAGTACTCCCTCCGTGCTGTGTTTTCGTGGTCCGGGTGCGATGAAGCGTCATAGGGTAACTGTCTGAACCCGCGATGTTTCGTGTGCCAAAGGGATCCCGTAGGAGTGAGCGAATTATCGTGGCCTGTGTCTTCCAGGCTCACATCGTTGGTGAATTGTGGCTCTTACCCACAATCCCGCACGCCATTGCAGAGATAGATTGCGGGCAGACGTCGTGATGTCCAAATACCTACGATTGCAACATGATTTTCATGTCCGAAATCTTCAGTTGTGGTCTGCGACGCATTGTGTAGGTGTATGCAAGTCAGAGGCCTTGGGCAGGCGTGTCAGACCGGATACCACATTGAAGCTGGAAGGCGGTGAGCCTGGCGAGATCAGAAGGAGCTTGTGGGAGTGTTTGGCGGAGAGCATGGCGAAACTTTGCTCGAAACAGCGCAATCGCGAGTGCTTGGCGACTGCCACAGCACAACACCACACTCATCTCACCAACGGCTTCCTATCTTTAGACCACAATCGCCAATCAGCCCAGCTTCCAGTGACATTGCAGTGCAAACCACCGAATATGCCGGGTAACAGGTCGCGGAGACTGGCATTGTGCCGAATTCTCACTCCGGCGCGAGCTGTCCAGGCCATTCGTGTGCGATCTGCTGTGTCGCGATAACGATCATTGCCCATTATCGCGACGCGGTCTATGGACTGGGTACCGTCTTTGGCTGCGTCTAGGCCTGGATACAGCTGATGTATGGACCACGTGAGCGACAGGACTCATTCTGACTCTATCATGCGCAAGTTTTGCATCGGTGTGCCTTGGCCATGCTCTAGAAGAGCGCAGTATGGGGTAATAGCGTACCAACCACGCACCATGATGGGGTAATGAATACCAGTTGCTTGCATGTGCTGCGAGGTCAGCACGAACACGATGGGGTAATGGATTCTACGATTGGCAATACTATCCTTGTGGTTACCATCGGCTCAGATCGGGCGGAACGGAAGAGATGGGGAACGTCACCTCTTTGACTTTTGAGTGGAATCCTATCACCACAGCTGTGCTATCCGTGATACTCGCCATGGGCTTGCTTTGATACGGCGCAAGTCGCGAGCCAGGCGGGGCCGTAAACCGTCTCTGGGGCTTCTCTCCGGCACACTGAGGGAGATAGATAATGACTGACGAGGGTACCAACCCGACAGGTCAGTCACATTAATGGCGCCTCTCGTCTTCGCACTCGTCTCTCTTTTTTCTCTGTGCTTCTGCCTAGAACTTTTACCTCTGTTCAAGAACTAGTCAACAGTCAGCAACTCAACTCACGAGCACAATGGCCATCGACATGCCACAGGACACCCAGCCTCAATGGCTCGCGAACAACGGCGCACCAAGGCCTCGAAATACAAAGAAGCCATGGCGCAAAACACCCCTCATTGAGTCCACGAGACTCTCTGAGAAAGCAGGCTGGTACGTTGACCCATGAGTCTCTCATCCCTACTTCAAAGCAACATGATGGTAAGCCGCAGAAGCAGAATTTTCCTGAAGCTCGACAACTTGCAACCTTCGGGCTCCTTCAAGTCTCGCGGGCTGGGAAACCTCGTCCTCAAATCCTACAACAATGCACCCGATCCGCTTCGACTGCACTACTTCGCTGCCTCGGGCGGAAATGCTGGACTCGGCTGCGTGTATGCAGCCAACTTTGTGGGCCAACCAGCGACCGTCGTCGTTCCTGTCACTACGAAGAAACATATGATCGACAAGCTTTATGCCGCCGGCGCGAAAGAAGTTCTTCAACATGGAGCCAACATCGCTGAGGCTACAGCATATGTTAACGAAGTGCTGATGCCACAATCGAGAGAGAACGGCGAAGAGCCATTCTACGTCGATCCTTTCAACCATCCCGACATCTGGCAGGGCCACGAAAGCATCGTCGACGAGATGCGTGATCAATTCGAAGAGATTGGCGAAGATCACCCTCCAGACTGGATCATCTGTAGCTGCGGTGGTGGTGGACTCTTCAATGGAGTCATGGGTGGCATCGAACGACAAGGTCACACATGGGCCAAGACAGGTGTTATTGCTGTCGAGACAGAAGGAGCGGACTCTCTCAACAAGGCTCTCGAGTGGAACGAGCACAAGGCAATCGACAAGATTACCTCTATTGCTACATCACTAGGCTGCGTGAAGATCAGCGAGCGAACCTGGGACATCGTGCGACCGGCACTGAAGAGCGGCAAGGCCAAGAATATTGTCTTGACTGATGCCGAAGCTGCCATGGGTAGCTGGAAGCTCGCTGAAGAGGAGCGCATCATCGTGGAAGCCGCCTGTGGTGTCAACATTGCTCTTTGCTATGGTGGAAGAATGGAGAAGGTACTCGGTCGTCCACCACGACCAGAGGAGAGCTTCGTACGTCTCAGCCCGTGCCACATCTTGAGCAACGCTAACTGTGCACAGGTCATCGTCGTCTGCGGCGGATCCAACGTCTCGACAGACATGATCGAAGAGTACAAACGCACATACCGACACCTGGTCGAGCCCAGCTTGCCCGGCACACCAATTCGCTCGCCTAGCCCTATCAATATGAACACCATCGATCACGGCAAGAAGGATAGCGTTCAAGGTTCTGACTCGGAGCCCGAAGACGCTGAGTTTGTTGGGCGATACAAAGTCCCCAAAGGGTATGCTGGACATGCTTCGATGGGAGATGGCTATACCGGCTTTCACATTAATGATTATGCTGTGAAGCCACACAAGCCTTCGAAGCAGAAGCGACCTCAGAATGTGATCATCTGTTGATTAGCGTACTGCAAGACACTGGCATGCTGGATGGTAATTGGCGTTGAGCAACCAAGTGTAATTGGCGTTTTGTTCTGCTTCACGAGAGTAGTCTTGCTGCAAAGTCTCAAAGCTGCTTCAAGCTGAGCTACGATGTTTTCACTCTCGAATAATGATGGTATCATTACTTCATCTTCGTACTCTCAACCTTCCACCTACTAAGACATCTCGTGCTCCGCGATACATGCTCAAATGAAATGCTTGTGTCTGACTTAGCAGGCCGAGCAGCAGGGTTATGGCAGGAAGTGAACTGTCGGCTCGAGTGAGGGTGGTGCGGCGTCATTTACGGCTAGCGCGTCACGAAGGTCATGTCGCAGCTGCCACTCTCAAACACCACGCTTCCTCCTTCACACATATACACCCACTCTCAAGTCCAACCCAAACTTCCTCATCCGGATTGCATCGCGGGAGAGACGCAGCGCCAGAGAGTGCCATACGGGATGCACGACGCGTAGAGCCAAGAAGCTACCAGACGCGTGTTCTGCGACACCGGCTGAACAATCTTCAGCGACGGCCAAGCCGTGAAAGAGATGCCGCCTAGCCTTGATGCAACCCTTTACCGCGAGAAGACGCCAGTCTTCAAGCATTCGCCCTTACAAAAGCGAGTCGTGCTGGGAAGCGGCGTTATCTCTCGCTCACCCGAGCGAGGTACCAATGCCAAGAGCAAGAATGCCCTCAAACCGCGAAGTTACGGAGATGGTCCGCTGCCCTTCAAGCCTTCGGAAACAGCCCCGCGAGATGCTCGTATAGTTGGGCGCGTGGCCGAGCCGGGAAAGCTGCCCATGTTCACGTTGAAAGTGGGAGACGTCGAAATCGAAGACATTACTCTCCACGAAATTCTGGAGTATGTCTCGCCTTATGAACTGGAGCGTTTCGAAAATGAGCAATTCGCGGAGGAACGCGAGGCACTCGCCGTGGCGCTGGCAGCAGCTGAGGCTGAGGAGGAGAGGCGCCGGCAGCGGCGAAAGGAAAAGGCCAGACGGAAGGGCATTGTGCTCTTTGAAGAGGTCGACGACGAGGAACTCGACTCGGCGGATCCTAACGAGGTAGTTGGGCGCCATGGGCGCGCTCGACCTACTTACAAACATTTGTTCAAGAAACCTCAGGAACGTCGTCGACGGCGAAAGCGAGACCCAGAGACCGGAGAATTGTTACCGCTAAGTGACGAAGACGATCAGATGGATACTTGCGTGCCCATGGGCAGCTCAGACAGCGACCAAGAGCTGCCGCCATCAGGCAGCCGCGAATCTGCGTATGGAGGTGGCGAGCTGCCAAAACGTCGCCGACGGAAACGTGACCCAGTGACTGGAGAATTACTTCCTCTGCCGCCGTTACCGCATGAACTTGGGCAAAGTTCTGAGGCGTCTGTCGCCTCCGTGCCAAAGGTAGAATTACCCGTATCACTGGAACCGAACAAACGTCCCAGACGGAGACGGCATCCAATCACTCGCGAACTGATGCCACTGGGCTGGAGGTACAACCCGGAGACCGATCCTGTGGCCCGAAAAGCAGCTGGCTTAAGCCCATCCATACGACGACTCAGTATCTCCCAAGAACAGCAGCCCAAGCGCGTGAAACTGGCATCAGAATCTTCAGCAGATGATCATACTCGTTCAGCCAATACGACTCGCAATAGCCCACACCAGGCTTCACCACGAGGAACGCCCCGTCAACAGCAGAAAACTATCGTCATTGATCTATCAGAGACCGACGACTTGAATGACGAGAAGGAAGAACAAAGCAAGGCAATCTCAGCTCCATCTCCTGGTGTAACAAGACCGACTCCAAGGACCTCGATGCTTCATCCTACAGCGCATACAGCGTCATCAGGTTCCTCTAGCGAACGAGTCACAGTTGCCTCATTTCTGAAAGCCTCTGCGACTCTTTCGGATGAATCTGACACAGACGATTCAGAGCTATTCAAACAGAAGCCCGCTGTGAGAAACACTCCGACTCACGGCAAGACTAGCATTCTCAATCCTATTGCATCAAAGCAGGCCGTCCACCCTGCGGAGGACGAGGCAGCTGACAATGACGAGTCTGATCTGGATGACGGAGAGTGGTTTGTAGAAGCCATCGTCGGCCACAAAATGTCAGACCCGAGGAGCCATCCCGGCAGGCCGTCCATAATGTTGTACAAAACAAAGTGGGAGGGCCACGATGAACCTACTTGGGAGCCAGCGGACAGTTTCGTTGACCAGAATACTGTCTCTGAGTACCGCGCTCGTGCTGGACTAGACAACCCAAAGCAGGTGATCAAGAGCCCTGGCAGGATTGTACCAGTCGTGGCATCGAGTAGCAGGTCCCTCGCGGGACCGAGTTTGGCACAAGGATCGAAGCTTCCAGGCTCAAATTCGGCCTCCACTTCATCGGATGGTGGCAGCGAAGAGGATGAAGACGAAGACGGATATGAGATTGAGGAAATCCTCGCACACCACATGTCCGACCCGAGAACGCATCCGGGAAAGCCACAGACGATGCTTTACAAGGTGAAATGGGTTGGATATCCAGCAAGTGCAGCGACGTGGGAGCCGAAAGGAAGCTTTCCAAACCTCGACATAGTCAATGCGTACCGCAGGAAGGTCGGCTTGAAGCCTGAACGCGCTGATTGTGGCCAGTGACATCGCCGTCAACGCATCTTTCTTCCGCAACACTACAGTCTCGATCGGAATGATGCGGTCAGCGGCCAAGAAGTGCGGGCAAGCTATAGCTTTCGTGCCGGCCGGACGATGCTTGCCGAGCCTTAATACCAAATCAAAATAACCTCACTCGGTAACTTCATCTGCCCTCCTTGTTCTTATCATGCTCTTCCAATATGCGCAGCTTGGCTCAGACGCCATTCGACTCATTCGCTTTCATACTCGCACCAAAACCAACGATGTGCATGTAACACTCGAACACCAAGCGAGATACTGGGAGCCAGGTGTTCGCTATTCAGTGCTTTCCTACCAACCTGCTGGGCAGGATGTAGATCGGACAGGCATCACTCTGAATGGCAGAACAAGAATGATCGACTCCAATGCCTGGAGTGCTCTCGCTGATGCCGCGAAGACCAGCAAAGAAAACGATCGTTACTGGCTTAATGCACTTTGTATCAATCAACAAGACAAGGCTGAGGCGATGGAGCAGCACAGACAATTGAGACAGATCTATGCTGGAGCCGAGAAGGTGGTACTTCGGCTGCATTCTTCCAGTCACGATCAAGCACTGGGAGATTTGGCGAACCAAGCACAGGCTTACATTGATCAAGCCACTGATCGGGAGGCTCTACTTCAGGCAAAGAAACTTGTCGTGGCCCTTGACGAACAACAAAGCGAACTTGATGCGAATGATTTGAAAGATGTTTCACGTGCTATCCGAGAGTCGCTGTGAAGCGGCCTCCTCTTAGCTGTCATCCAAGAAGAAATACGAAGAAGAAGTCTGCCAACAACACGAATGTCAGATTTGGATACTGCTATTCTTACATAATCCAATAAACCGCAGCCGGTCTCCCTTCTCAATCAGCTAAGAAGCCCCTCCCTCACTTCGCGATGCCGCCCAAGGTCTTCTCAAATTCCGTCTGCCCGCGAGCATCTTCTTGTGATTTAGCTGGAGTCGCACGGCCAGAGTCTACCTTAGACACATCTACAGGAGCAGGAGCAGGAGCCGGCGTAGGTGTAGGCACAGCAGCACCTTTGCGACCGCCCAGTGCCTTCAAGATAGCTTGCAATTTCGCCTTTTCCGCCTCTTCCCTCTCCTGTTGCTTTTGCTGTCGCCACAACGCCCTCCTCTCCTTGTACTCGTCCTCGTGAGAGTACTGCGCGGCAGCCAAAGCATTCGCATAACTCGTTCGAATCTGATTTTGTTCGATCTCAGTCAGAATCGAATCAGTCGAGATGTAGCCTTGTTTGAGTTTAAGGTAGCGGGCTTTGGTTTCTTTGGAGAGATGGTGGGTTCTCAGGGTGAGCTTGCGACGGAGGAGAGTCTTGACTTTACGATTCTCCCAGTCGTCTTGATCATGAGTGTACCAGCCGATGATGGTGCCGGAAGTGAAGCGTCCACGATAGTACTTGTTGTGGTCGAGGTCTTTGCGCTGATCATGGATGCGTGGGGCGCCTGGAGAGGTTTAGTCAGTGAGACTGCCGGCAAGTATCAAGGTATTTGATCAGAACTTACGTCGTCCGGAAACATTATACTCTCCTTCCGTAATTCTCCTGCATGCTCGGGGAAGATCTCGCTCGTCTCCCCATACACGGCGTGTGATGCGGTCTGGACGATCGAAAGGACCGCGGCGGAGACCTGCTCCTCTGGTGATTCTACGGTTGACAGTGCTGCGCATTTTGACAAAAGGAACAACGCAAGATCAACTCGCGGTAAAAAAGGGAAATTAAGTAAGAGCGAATAAGAGAACGTGATTGAAGAACGGAATCCAAGACAGGAAGGGAGTCTCACTGAACTTGTATCATATACATGTCTTGAGGTGGTGACATCTGCAGGACAAAGAATTGTCTTTGTGCTATGATAGGGTCTTGTGATCTTAGATGTTCATCTCCACAGGAAATTGTCTTAGACAAAGGATGAGTGCAGGAGGTTCGTAGAAGCGACGATGGCTCTAGATTGGGCGTTGCATGCTCGAGTCTGGGAAAGCAGACTGTGGATGTGTGGGAACATGCCACAAGGTGAAAGCGACAAGCAATATAATGGCATAGCTTCGTCAAATTCTCCCGTGCCTTGAAGGATATCATCTCTCACCGACGATCGAAAAGGACAACCTACTTCTCAGTGTGAGCGGTGGCCAGAGGAAGGTAAGCACACAGTAAAGCAGCAACGAAGCAAAAGAACAGGCGCGAATATACTTGCGAAGTATTATAGTACACTCTGTCTTTCGTGCAGCCTGTGGAAGCATCAGAAGCAAAAAGATTGGTCTCAAGGACTTTCAAATATAGGAATAGCCGAAGGTGCTAATGTATGTCAGACATTGCATCCTTGAGATGAACTAATGGAGTAGTACTCACGGGCTCGAACCCACGACTGGAGAAGAAGTCAGAAGATGATCTTAGAAGCCATGTGAAAGCAGGTAATATGTACCCTTGAGGTGTCTATGAGCAATGCTTTGCAATTGCTTAAGAGCCACACGCTCTACCGATTGAGCTACCCCGGCAACTTGGGGCTGTTGATGTCTTCGGGCAATGGTAAAGTGAATATGAAGGTGCACTGGGTAGCGGTGGGGTGGTAGTGTTGAAATTTTTCTTTGGTGCGAGGTTTTATCGGGCCGCAGATCGGTGCGAAGGCAGGGAACCGACGGCGACGATAGCCCAGCGACCTGGGAGCGGGTGGCAGGACAGCATTTCAGAGAGCGTGTTATGAATCATCGCGCTGAACACGCATATCGTGCAGTCGTTTTCGACCGGTCATACGGTGCTGGGTCTGATATTCTTCCCATCAGGTGGGCATTCCACAACTGTGCGGTTTTGGCGATAGCGAGCTGGATCTGTAACCCACGGCCTGGCGTTATTTTGAAAGCACATGTGGCTTCACTGCTCGGGTCTTATTCCTGGCCGAACTGGGCGAACGGCTGTCTGCCATCGTGGGGCAGGAAATGGATGTAAGCAGTAACTATCTAACCGCGATCCTTTGGAGATTGTGAAGGCGCCGCTAGCGAAAAAAGACTGCGATGGTCGGTCTGGCCACGGTGTAAATGATCTGAAAGCTACGAATGCAGCGTGACAAATGATAAGGAATTGTGGCGTGGATGAAAGAAAGTCGGAGAGGCAGACAAGCAGAACTGAAGTGTGCGGAAGAGATTGAGCACAGGCCACTTCCTCTTTCGGGACCTCCGCCCGCAACTTCCTCCGTCTCTCGCGAAATGTCGATGGGGAAGTAGGCACGACATTGACGAAGGACGGCTTGTGAACATCGAGCGATGAATGCTGGACAGAAGAGCGCGCGGCGATTGGCGTCAGGCAATGGTATGTTGCAATGCTATACTGATGAAAGGGAAGACACCTAACACTTTGCCAGCACTTTCACGCGACACCGTATGCACCTCCTGCTTGAACCGACTCGCCCATCCTTCATCACGACGACATGCTTCCGCCGCGGCCGCAGTAGCTGAGAAGCCCGCACAACCTCCACGAAAAGCCAAAGTAAATCCTCCTGTCACACGACCCGAACCGCGAAAGGCCTTCCGAGTGCTATGCAGTCCTGTTCTGTCCAGGCCACCTCAAATCACCCGGGAATTGACATCATTTGAGAAAGCTTTCTTTCTCTATCAAAAGCGTCTCAACGAACGGCTAGCCCTGCCCTTCACGCGCTACTTCTACACCAAAAAGGGTACACCAGCAGATCTCGAATGGAAGCGAAAAGCGCCAGCACGAAGAGGCGTGGCCGCGCGAGATGTGGGAGCATACAACGCATATGCCGATGATGGATGGAATGACGAAGTGCCGATAGGGAGCAAACTTGGTGAACCCGAAGATATCTACGAAAAGCTCATTCGCGACGCCGAGGGAAAGACCATCTCAGATGACCTTGTTGGAGACGCGGAGACCGGCGGAGAGGAAATTGCCGGAGACGCAAAACAAGGCGAGGGAGTTCGCAAACCTGTGGGAGACGTCGTGATCGAGCGTCCCGCGCCGCGGAGGACGGAAGCAGATGAGAAGAATGATCAAAAGAGTCTGAGTCGAGCAATGGACCGGACATTATATCTCCTTATACGGGACAAGCAAGGCGCATGGCATTTCCCACAGGACCGCATTTACGGTCGGGAGAACCTGCATCAGGTATGTCCTTCTCCCACACTTCTGCTGACACCCGCACGCCAAAGCATGAACTAACATCTGACCAGGCCACCGAACGCGTCCTCCTCCAAGCCGCCGGCATAAACATGAACACCTGGGTCGTCGGCAACCACCCCATAGGCTACCACGACCAAATGTTCAAGTCACCTCAAAAAGCCACAATCCTCGCGAACAAGCTCGTGACGACTTCACGCCAGCCTTTCGAGCGCAAGGAGTACGGATTGAAGGCTTTCTTCATGAAAGCCCGGATCATGGCCGGCCAAGCCGATCTGACCAACAACGCATATGGCGATCAGGACTTTTTGTGGTTGACACGTGAAGAGATCGAGAAGGTGGTTGATGTGGCCTATTGGAGGAGTATTAGGGGCATGTTGCCGGCGAGGTAATAGGCAGGCGAGAGACATGCATACACGGTTGCGAATGGGACTGGTAGGACTATCGGGTGGCGCCACTAGCACGTCATATAAGAGAGAAGAAGAGGGGATGCGTCTGTATGAACTGTATATATAGGCAAAAGCTGAAAGGAACAAGCTACGAGAAGAGAGCCCAGCTCGTTCACAGACTGGTCATAATCACGTTTTTCAAAGAGGCATAGCATGACGTTGGGGACTGCAAAGGTGAAGACAAAACCGACACTGATATGCCGCACTTTACCCGCAATATGCACAAAGCGATTCTGTACAATACGTACATGATCAAGAGCCTCTTCCTTTGGCAATACAGCCTATGCAAGTTCTCGCCCTCTTGTCGCAATTTGTTGTTACTCAAGACCCTTCCCTTCTTTAACCATTACTTCTCCCTCCTCTTGCAACTTGAATTTCTGAATCTTCCCGCTCGCCGTCTTGGGGTAGTCCTCTGTCCAGAAAACAAACTTGGGCACTGTGTCAAAGAGTTAGCACAGCTCATCACAAAGCAAATGCAACAGGGCAAAGAACTCACCCAAATGCCCACTCAGCCTCTCCCTAACATAATCCCTCACCTCCTTCGCACTCAACTTTTCCCCTTCAGGATTCCGATTCCTCACCACAAAAGCCGCCACAACCTCTCCATACCTCTCATCCTTCAGCCCCACCACACTAACCTCTCTCACGCCCTCATGCGACAACAAACAATTCTCAATCTCCAAAGGATGAATATTTTCTCCTCCACGAATAATCAGATCTTTGATTCGTCCTGTGATCGCAACATAACCTTCCTCATCCATGACAGCTTCATCGCCCGTGAGCATGAAAGTTTCGTTTTTGCCGGACAAAGATGGAAGAGAAATCATCCCTTCTTTAGTCTTTTTGGGGTCGTTGTAGTATTCTTTCATGAGGAGGTAGCCGCTTACGGCGAGCTCGCCTTTTTCGCCTACTTTGAGGGTTCGGGAGTGGTCGAAGGGGTCGACGACTTTGGCTTCGACGTGGGGTTGGAGTTTTCCTACGGTTTCGATGCGTTTTTGAAGAGGGTCGTCGGTGCGGGTCATGCAGCTTACGGGGGAAGTTTCGGTCATGCCGTAGCAGATGGTGAGTTCGGTGAGGTTCAGGACTTTGTGCAGGCGTTTCATGAGTTCTTGGGGGACAGACGAGCCTGCTGCGATCCCTGTGCGGAGGTGCTGGAAGCCTTCGTTGGGGATTGTTTTGTTGGCGATTAGTTCGAGTTCGGCGAGGAACATGGTGGCTACGCCGTAGAGACCTGTGCCTTTGTAGTCTTGGACGGCTTGGAGGGAGGCGAGTGGGTCGAAGGCTTCGGTGGGGAAGACGATCTGGGCGCCGTGTGTTGCTGTGGCCATATAGCCTAGAATGCATCCGAAGCAGTGGAAGAGAGGTGGAGGGCAGACGATGACATCCTTTGGAGTGAGGAGCATGCGAGCTCCGATCTGTGCGCCGTTGTTGAGAATTGAGCGATGTGAGAGGCAGGCGGCCTTTGGAGCTGAAGTAGTACCGGACGTGAACTGAATGTTGACAACATCGTCCTTATGCAGGTTTTCATAAGAAATCGACTGGGCCGACTGTCCTTCTTGGATCGATTGGAAAGGTACTGTTGCACCCAATGCTCCGGGATCGACTCGGCCATGGGAGTTGTCGACCAACACAATCTCCTCGAGCGATGGACAGAGCTCCGATTCCAGCTTCTTGCCTCCGATGCCAGGGGCGATATGCTTCAAGATATCCGAATTGTTTCGTGGGTCCTTTCGAATCAAATGTGTCTCGGTCCCAATGATCAAATGTGAAGTTTCCAGGTGGTTCAAGGCGCTCACGACCTGGTTGGCGTTGAAGCTCGGATTGAGCGGATTCAAGATCGCACCCAGCTTGAATATGGCATATGTTGCAATCGCGAACTCGATGTTGTTGCCCAATGAGACAGACACACGATCGCCTTTCTTCACGCCTATGTTTTGCAGGCCTCGGGCCAACGCGTTGGACTTTTGATCCAGCTCCTCGTAGGTAAGTGTTATACGTTGATGTCTCGTTGATACACTGTTCTGATTCTCAATGCAAGCTCTTGATCTCTTTCATCCATCTCTAGCAAGGTGGGAATGGGACGTACGCGGGTCGGTCGCCATAACGCGAGACAATGGAAGCAAAGTGCTCCGGCACAGTCTGTTCGAGCAGTGGAGGCTTTGAAGCGTCAGATCAGCATAACATCCATTCATTGTCCTCAAGCTTCCCACCTCAGAAGGCCCTCGATCGTGTGCAATAGTGAGCAAGCTCCGCTGCCCATTGGCGATCCTCGGTTGTCGTCGCCATAACGATGGTAAGCATAGAGAGCTCCCTAGCCTCCGGCTACCCAAAGTCCGGAGGAACATGTCTCCAGCACAGCTTCATGAAGCTCAACGGAGCTTTCTGCAGTCGTGATGGCATGGTGAAGACGGTGAAGGGGCACTGCATGTCATAAAGTGGCTTCGGATCCGTTTGAGCGGAGTCGAGCTCGTGTGGGGAAACGCCAATGCACGAGCCGCGAGACGACGATCATGAAGCGAGGCTTGAGCCGAGAGCCGAATGCTGAAGGAACGAGAAAGAGTCGTGCAGTATGAGCTGTTTCTTGTTGTTGTGCAGTCCCATTCGTTCTGCAGACCAGAAGTCATATCTGGTCGTTCTCGTATGTAGCGGAGTACCTCGCTTCGTGATGTCGGAGCTCGTGTCCATCTACCAGGTCCTTCATTTTGTTTATCGAGTATGCCACTGTCGTAACAACAATAATGCCGATCTCATGCCCATCGTCCCGTCACATATCGCACACATAGGCTTGTCCAGTACGCCAAACACCATGCTTGCTCGCCTCGTCTCCAATGCCGATTCATAATTACAATGCAGTACCGAAAGTCATCTTCCTGGCATCACACCTGCGTCTGAAGACTTCGCGCTCTAGAAATCTGCAAACATCTTGTCGTACTTTTCATACATTTCCTATGACAAGATTAGTATTGGGCAAAGGCAACTTTGTCGGTTTCACTCACCTTTGTATACGGTTCCTTCTTTTCAGGCTCTGGATCATATTCGTCAAAGTTGCGCGTGTCATCTGGGCTTTTCAGATGTGGTATAATGGGGCCTTTCATCCGCCGGTGGTACAAATCATCCCAGTTGATGCTTGAAAACCACGGATGTTGCTTTACCGTTGTCGCTCGACCTGCCATGTTGCCCAATCGTTTCGTCACATCCACTGTACACAGTCCTCCAATAATATCTCTTGCGTCTTTCGACATGGCACTCGGATATCGCACTTTGCCTTCAACAATCTGTTCATAAATCTTCATAGGATTCTGGTCCCAGAATGGAGGTTGTCCAACTAGAAACTCGTAGATCAGAATTCCAAATGCCCACCAGTCCACTGCTGTGCCGTGGCCCGTGTTTCGAATCACCTCGGGGGCAAGGTACTCGGGCGTGCCACATAGCGTATAAGTCTCGCCTGTATGTTCGTCAGTCTCCGATGCGTGGCTCACACCATTGCTGGCAGTCGTTTGGTGCATGGGTCGATTTTTCATACGATTCTCAATCTTTTTCGCGAAACCAAAATCCACGAGCTTTAGATGTCCTTCAGCGTCGATTAGTATGTTCTCCGGCTTAAGGTCTCGATACGCGACGCCTTCGCGCTCGTGCAGGAATTCCAGTATCAGGACAATTTCTGCGGCATAGAATTGTGATGTAGGTTCGTTGAATCTTCGTGCTCGTCGTAGGTAGGAAAATACTTCTCCGCCTGGGCAGTAGTCTAACACCATGTATAATGACTCCGGGTCTTGAAAACTCGCGACCATGGTCGTGATAAAAGGGTGGCCAGCCACGGCGGCCAGAACATTTCGTTCGTTTCGAACATGCTCAACCTGCTTCAGCCGGATGACATCTGCTTTTCGAAGAATCTTCAACGCAAACACTTTGTTCTTGGTCTCCTCTTTTCGATTCGCCAGACGCACGAGCCAGACGCGCGCGAATGTGCCAGTGCCCAGCGTTTTGACGAGATCAAAATCGTCGCGGCGCAGGTGCTTGCTCGAGTGCCCCACTGGTTTGTGCTGCGGATCTACGACAATCTCATCCGGCTCCAATGGTCGCTTGTCGGCCTCCCACTCCGACAGTCTTTGCTTCTCGTTCTCATGCTCGGCTGCATCTGCGCTTCCGTTCGCGCTATGCGAACTGCTTCGGTGGAATCGCGAGGCGATGTTGTGGACGACGCCCGGCGCCATGCTGGGCGAAGTTGTCTGCTATCGATATCGATACGGGAAAATATGTTTTCTCGCGATGGCGTTTGTTTCTCGCGGGGCAGTTCTCTGGAAAAATTGGTGTTGACGCTGTTGTTGTCCTCGGCTAGTTCTGTAGGGCAGCGGGTGTTTTTCTTTCTCCAACTGGACTACTGCCACCACCGCATGCTCCTCGGCGATTCGATCGGGACAGCGAAGTGAAACGTCCTTTCGTGGTAAGGTCAGCTCTTTCAGCCGCGAGTACCGGTGGTTCGGTGGCTCGTGGGTTGCACGCGCGCGCACAAGCACGAGAATAGAACTGGATCTTTGTGCGAGCTGAAGGCGTGCCGGCGGTGCGATGTTGGGTGGTGCGGTGCGGACGAGGGGGAGAATGTTGGGTCGGGTCTGGCACAGTTTGGGCCTTTGACGCTCCAGCAGAAGCTAGACGATGACCTACTGACAAGCTACGAAGTCGGCGGCGGCGAGCTTTGCTGCTCTCTGCTCGCTGCTGCTGCTGCTCAATTTGTGCAGTCGGACGTCATGGCCCCCAGCTGTCGAATCCACACCCACGCAACCATGCCACTCACCGAGCAGGGGCCGCGGGTCGAGATGCACGCAGACTCACACTCGCCGATTTGCTTGTTTGCGCTTTTCCTTCATCACTCATCTCCCACAATCGCGACAGTCGCTGTGGTCAGAGATGCACTATCGATATCGCAGCACGCGAGTGCCGCGGTGATACGCGAAGAGGCCATCTCGTGCGTGGGAAGAAAGGGCATCGTCCATTGGGGGTCCAGTGGTAGCTACGATGCTTTTCGCATGCCGACCCGACACCGAGCAACAACAATCTCTCAACCGATCGCCCAGGGCTCACACGCGCACGAAGGTGCTGACGCCTACCAGCCCACGCGCCAGCAAGGAACATTGCGAACCCTCCCTGCCCGCTGCTCGATTTCTCGCCAACTCCGCTGCCAAATATCGCGACATCTACGGCCCTTCTGGCAATGCCTCAGGATCCCAGTCGCGCGTGACGTTTGAAACTCACCGAGGACTCCACCATGACATTGTGACGATTCAGGTCTTGATGTCAATCAAGACTCCATTCGATGATCGTCGCTATGGTCGCATGGCTCGTGTAGAGACCGACGACCTGCTGTTGCAACGGCACATTGTTGCACATGTCACGATCGAAGTGGCCAATCTCTTCAGCTGTATGTCCCAGACACTCAGTTGCAAGTCGCCCGAACGGACTTCACTTGGGGCGCCACTGCATGACCTACTGCTATACACCGTGTGGATGTCAGGAATGCAGCAACAAGACATGTCCATAATGTCTCCAGCGTGTCAAGCATGTCTTGATGTCCTGTCGTGCCTCAGACTGACCACTTAATGAGACATGCGAGACTGTGTGAGCCTGCTCCCATTCAAAGTAACGGCATACTGCACTTATAAGTGAAGTCTCCTCCGCTGCGAGTACTCAAGACATATCACACATAGCAGAATAACACCACAGCAGAATCACAACACAGCAGAATCACAACACAGCAGAATCATGCCACAGCACACTGACAACATGAGCGACGCTACTGAACAGTTTCTATCTCATCTCGGGAAATGGCTTTGCGACTTGGCGAACAATCGTCCAACTGAGAGCAGTCGAGGATGGCTGCGCCAGCTCGCCGAAAAACATTCTTACAGCGCTCTTCCTTGGGTTCGAGATGGCGTCGAGCAAATCGAGCGGGAGATGCTTCACTTGAGAAAGCCAGTGCATCAGAATGGAAAGGCGACGGATACCCAGACAATTGTCGATCTCAAAATCGCCATATATGACGAGCGTCAACAACACCAGGCGGCCATAGCCAAGCTGGAAGAAGCCCTTCGGAAGCGACAATTGGTTGATGATGAAGCCACCACTGGAACCACGGAAGAACTCATCGACAAGTCCCAGGCGCAGTCGGCTGAATGTCAGAATTACGAAGCTGATATTCGCCTTCTGCTTGAGGAACTTGAAGCAGCGGACTCTGCCCTCAAAGCACTGCAAATCGAGCACGACGCTGTCCTCGAAGACCTACGCGACGCAAAAGAGCGCCGTACTGCTGCTCTTCATTACACCGACCAGTTGCAGTCAATACTGGGTGTCAATCTCGAAGCGTGGCACGATAGCGACTCTGTCGCTGAAGACTCTGTCAATGGAAGCAACGAAGACGCAGCGCCTGCAGACCATCGCCGCTCACTCAGCAGTACCCCAAGTTCGCCCCAAGTCGTCGCACCGTCAACGCATGACAGCGGCACACACAACTCGTCACCCTCACCAGAGCAGCCAAACCGTTCGCAGCAAGAAATCCATCCACTGAGTCGAGAACAACAATATCTGCAACGCATACGCAATCTAGAGACAGAAAACGAAAAGCTTCGTGAAGAACTGCAACTTTCTGAACAACTGCACGCTAACACAGACGCTGCAAAGTTTGATATTCCCGAAGAGCCCTTTCAGGGCAGCGAGGAGGTCGTCAAGTCTCCGTGTCAACTCGATGGGCACCAGCGGCTACAGGAAGGGAAATTTACTGCGCAGGGAGTCATCGCTTCTGACGAGGGTAACGACGAGTCTTGCCAGGGAGGAGACGTGGGAGCTGGATGTCGTGCTTGGAGAGCGCCACGGATGACGGAAAACTGCGAGAGAGCATTGTACTGGCTGAATGGATGGCATAGGAGTCACTTCCATGTGATGCATTGACGCGGTCATTCAATATTTCGAATACTGTCCACTATCTACACCTCAATCAACTGCAAACAATTGAACACTCTCCTCCTTTTATACTGAGAACATTTGTTCGCACTTAGCAGCTTGTCAAACTCCTGTTCAGAAAGAGGCGCCCAGTCACCCAGTATGCGTAACCACACCTCCCCAGATCTTCATTACATGCTTATGCCGAAGGCGGCGCCTGGCAGCCGCCACTTACACAGGGAGATCCAGTAGGACAATCCGTTGCAGATGCACACGACTTCGGCGTGCATTTCTGACCACTGCACGTTTGCCACGCTGGACAGCCAGTCCATCTGCAAGTAATAACAATCGGAAGCTTGACTGGGAGAGTTTCATCAGTTTCATCCACGCACGTACCGTCCGAAACGACGCAAGTCCTTCCAGCTCCACACTCATCATCATTCTCTATCGTTCTAGATGTTCTTGGCGTTATTGAAAGAGACTGGTGCTAATTGATTGAACTCGGGCGAATTACAGCCTCGTTCGACCCTCGTCTGACTGGGAACTCCGTTATTTCGCAAAGCAATGATGCCGGGACAGGGAAATGGAATGCGCCTCAATGTCATAACAACGCGCAGATCTGTGATGAGACTGGTGTCAAAAGAGAATTCTGATTCTTCAGGTGCCCGTGATGAAGAAACTCAGGAGGCTGCCGACAGTCAGTCCTCCTACCAAGCATAGTCCCATGAAGCCGCCGGCAGCTTCACGTTCTTCCTCCTCCACCCACTCATTGGCACCAATCATGCAAGTACTTCCCAGATAGCCATTCGAAAGACCAAAGAGTAGCTGTACAACTACCAGATAGAAGAAGTCGCTTGAGATGATAGCTCCTTCGTCGCGGATGTTGCAGAGATGATAGAGGCCAACAAATATCAATCGTGAAAGTGCCAACAAGAAAACGAGTCTCGGCCAGCGGGTCAATGATATTGACGGCAGGGCAGTGAGCAGGCGCCCGACCAAGTCGCCAGCGTTCCAGAAAAGCAGGGCCAGTGGAATGAAGCTAGCTGGTTGTAGTATCGGTGGCTGCTCTGAAGGCGGGCGAACAGATACGATGATTTGCGTGAAGACCGGAAAGACCATTGTGACTGCGAATGTCACAAATACACCACCGGCCAGCCATATGAGCTTCTTCAGCAGATAGAGCAGCGGTATCGATTTCTTCTCCACAGGCTCCTCCACTTCACCAGAATCTGGTAGCTGAATCTTCGCAGGTCTTCTGTCTCTTGCGACCAGTACCGAGAAAGCCAGCAAGGTGACCACGCTGATCGCAGTTGCTGTGATGAAGTATGCCATGGCAGCTTTCCAGTTCACTGGCGGTGGTCCATGCGGTTCTTGCTGGCCCTCCCCTTCTCGCAGCCTCACGCTCATTACTGACACAATCTGTGCAATGCAAGGTAGCACGCCCGCTACCGCCTGTCCTGTCATGATTCCCTGCGTGAACTTGGGTTCTCCGTACCCGCCCACGAATGCAAAAACGCCGTTCTGGCAAAAGCCGGTTGCGAAACTTGTCAAAAACATCATCAACATCAGAAATGCAAAATATACGCCCGCTCCTGTGTCTATCGCTGTGCTCAAAGCCAACAAGGAGAAAACAATCATGTTGATCCCTAAACCCAAGACTATTCTCTTGCCGTAGTTCGCTCCGCTCTGTAGCCTTGACAGCACCAGCATGGTTGTCAGGTTTGTGAATGTCGAGACTGAGATCTCCGCTGCTTGGAAGTTGTCGAAGATCCACTGATTCGAGCGGAACCGTGACTGGAAGTAGGGACCTGCTGCGAGGAACATGTTCCAAGCCCAGAGCATAGACACGCCCAGGAGTAGGAAGATGGAGTACTCGATGTAGAAGCCATTACTGCTGTGTGGAGGTTCGTGGTGGGGTTTGGGTTGGAGGGCGGAGGTGCTGTTGACGAGCTCATTGTCGTCCTCGGACTCCGCTACGGGGGCGTAGGACTGCTGCGGCTGACGCTGCCAGAGCGACCGGAGGCGGTCCATGGTGGTGGGTGGGTGTTCTGTGGTAGGGAGAAGCTATACCCGGTTGTTCAGGTCTGTAACAACAAATGCTGGACTGCCATATCAATGATCGAGACTGGCAGTGGTGGTGATGAGTGAGGCGGTCGGTGATCAGAAGACGAGGTGTCTCGTGTCTCAGAGATACGGTCATGCATCATCAAGTCACGCTTGGACACGCGCCTCGTCACGAGGGCCAACGTCGTCATGTGAACCTTGGCGGGAAGCGAGATTCATGGGGTCAGCAAGCAACAACACCCGTCAGGCTTTCCTTATCGTACAGCTCGTGATATTGAGGCCCATTCCACCCTATGATGCCGAGAATATTGCTCATTGAGCTCAGATGAGAGCTCTTGCAATTACTTTGTGCTGCTGTGCACTACCGCAATCATGAATAGGATGCAAGCCACACCACGCGCTGCGCGAGGCTGAGCGCATGGCGGCCCCCTCTGGCGTGAAGCGCAGACGCTCAGAGTCCAGTATTAATCATCTCAATAACAACCTCCTGCCAGCATTGGAATCTACAGTGTGTACGCTGGCTCCGAGAAAGGCAAGGCACTTCTCTCCAGTGAAGCCAGCTTACTCCGAGACCCGAGTTCTATCCATCTGCGACCCTGATGTCGAGAGCATGGACCTCAGCAACACACGGTTCTCCCAATACACGCCAACCGCTCGACAGCAATGATGAGCATCGACATCGCTTGCCCGGCGTTCCGTACAGACCATCAAGCTGTAAGACCAGTGGAAAACGCAGCCTGACTGACATCTACACATCTTTGGGAGCAGAGTCTTTTCGAGTCGTGCAGCTACATGGCTTCTCGGACCACGGTCTTCTCCAATGCTCATTCGAGCACATCCCGCTTCCAACATCGCAGTCAAGCACACACTTTACCGCGATATCCTATACTTGGTCGTCGGCCGACCGTTTCTGGTATGGAAGACACGACAACTCGCCCAAGCTGATCGTCATCAACAACGAGAATGTTCAGGTCTCTGACAAGGTGGCAAATATTCTCAATCTAATGCTACGCGTACGTCAATGTCGAACAAACGTTGACCTCGAACACGCAAGCTGATCGCTCATTCTTAGACTGGACGAATGACTATTTGGATCGATGCCTTGAGTATCAATCAAACGGATGACACGGAAAAGTCCGTACAGGTAGCGCAGATGCACTTGATCTATGGCTGCGCCTCCGAAGTTTGCGTCATTCTCGGTTCACCAACAAGAAGAGTTGACTCCTTTCTGGATTGTGTACATGAAGGAATTGATGTCCCAGCAGGAACCGGAACGCCACAGGACATATCGAAACTCTACGATGGGCTCGCCAGAAGGGAAAGGGTCAAGTGGCTTCGAAAAATTGAATATCGCGGCTATCTCGTACTGGCTCGTAACAGGTTTTGGAAGAGAGCGTGGATCGTCCAAGAAGTGATCTTGGGCAGAGAGATCACGCTTTTCTGCGGGACCCGTAGCATTGACTTTGCCAAGCTCTGCGACTCTGTTGTTCGCTTTCGACAAATTCAGGAATGCAGGATGGACTGGAAAAGGTGGTCAGCGCTAGGTGCTAAGTACAATGGAATACACGGGGGAAACAGCATGGCTTGGATTGCAGCCGTCAAATGCCAAACACGCTCACACCCTGAGAAATATTTGCCCCGGATGCTGTTACTGGAGCTTCTACGAGACACAAAGGGATCTCACCAGTGCATGGACGCGAGAGATATATTGTACTCCAAGCTTGCTTTGGCGACCGATGCTTGGACCCTCCTTCCTCGTGCAGACTATAAAGTCCCCATGGAGACCTTGTATCGAAACTTCGCGAAAGCACACATTGCCCTGTATGGAAACATGGACATAATTGGCTTCACGGCTTTGTCGCAGAACAGACTGAATCTGCCAAGTTGGGTGCCAAACTGGACTAGTACATACCGAGAATGGGTTCCCCAGAGGTACAGCAGAATACCATCTGTGGTCTACCCCGACCAATCTTACCCTCTCACCATATCCGAAAATGGACTGGAGCTCATTGTTAAAGGAAGAGTTCTAGATCGGGTAAAAGCGCCTTGGTTCTGGAATCTTCAGCGTCTACACGACAACACAGAGTTCGCTGAAAGCGATCACGGCGTGCCTCGGCACTTATATCTCCATCCTAGCGAAATGCCGAACACAGGTGATTTGATATGTATCCTTCAGAGCTTCCGCACCTTTGTGTATCTTAGATCCGAACGGGATAATCATCGTTTAGTGGGAAGGCATACGCTCTGTCAAAATTGGATCCAAGGCGGCAAGTTCGACTTCTTCCGGATGCTTCCGGTGTGCAAACTTCCACCGAATGCATCTCTCTTATATTATCGCACGCAAGACTTGGACGATCCTGAAGTGCTTTCACACGCTCTGTCGTGTCCGGAAGTTGAGTTCAGAATTCGATAACATGTTTCCATGGACGCGAATGGACTGGGTAGTAACATTCAGCCTGCCCGCGACCACTTGCTTTTCAATTTGTACGCCTTTTCGATGCTCCCATGAGAGATTGCATTTGATGAGGCAAGAAATGAAGTGGGACGGACGAATTTGTAAGCCTGATCCTCGCCGACGCACTACTTCCTCATGTGGGTTGAGGTCCTTGGGGATCTTTGTGACCCCGGGAAAATGTATCTGCTGCAAGGACTGAACATCGAACCCACAAACTCCGTCGAATTCTTCATCCAGAAAACTGCCTGATACGCCTGCCAGTTTTCAACAAGGCTTCGTCAACGGCAGGCATCAGCAAGAGTGGAGAGAGAGCCATATGTGACGCAACATGACGCTCATTCCGTGGAGGTTCCTGGAGACGATCATTAATATGCATTATGCTTCAGTTGCAAGCTTATACTTTGAACACTCCAAGCCTCATCCGACATTTCATTAAAGCTTTAGTCAAGATGAAAGCCATCGCAGTATCAGAATATGGCTCAATCGACAACCTCATTAGCATAGAGTCAGATAACCCCAAAGATCCCAAAGGCTACGATGTGCTTGTCCAGTCCGTACAATGCCCTTCATCATCACTGGGATCCAACTAACAAACGTCCAGAGTACAAGCCTGCTCAGTCAACCCTGTGGATACGAAGGTCCGCGCGGGAACCTACGACGACTATCCTGACTACTACGACCGCACACCAGCTCTCCCTCAAATCATCGGCTTCGACGGCAGCGGCACAATCCTCCAGACCGGGCCCGATGTCAAAGGCTTCTCTCCGGGAGATCAAATCTTCTTTTCCGGTTCCCCGATTCGTCCTGGCTCTAATGCCTCTTACCAGCTCGTCGATTCTCGCAGCATAGCGCACAAACCGAAATCTTTAGATTTCGTCCAAGCGGCTTGTATGCCATTGACCTGGATTACGGCTTGGGAAGCGCTAGTTGAGAGATTAGAGATTCGGAAAGGAGAGAAAGCTGGAATACTGATCGTGAATGGTTCAGGAGGCGTAGGAAGTGTTGCATCTCAGATCGCGAGAGAAATACTCGGCCTTCCTGTCGTGATTACCACGTCTTCGAGACCGGAAACGACAGAATGGACGAAGAGTCTTGGTGCAACGCATACGGTTAACCATCGCGAAGATGTCGTGACACAAGTCAAAGCATTGAAACTTGATGTTCCGATCAAGTATGTGTTCATCACGCACACGCCCGCATCGAAGTATATCCTCGACTCGGCGAGAATTTGTGCACCGTTTGGGAAAGTGTGCTCGATCGTGCAGGACAAGGAGATCCCGATGTATGGGACAGAGTGGATGGCGAAGAGTTTGACGTTTACATGGTGTTTGTTGGGAACGAAGCCGTACTATGGTGTTGATGTGGAGTCACATGGGAGGATTCTGAAGCAGTTAGCTGAGTGGGTTGATGAGGGGAGGATTAAGTGTCATCATACTCAGACTTTACCATTGACGGTTGAAGGGGTAAGAGATGCGCATAGGAAAATTGAGGAGAGTGGGGTGAAGGGAAAGATTGGGCTTAGTGTTGATGGATTGAAGACTGGAGAGGCGTCCACTTGAGCCTTTGAAATTCAGTAATATGTACATTACGACAGCTGCACTGGATCGTCGGTAGTCCCGTACCTGAATGACTGAAATTGCAAGGTCTCTGCGGCAAACTCCAGCGCTGGTCGTGCCACGTCTTTCAAAGCAGTTGTATTGGCCTTTCGCATCTCTACCCGAGGAGAGCGGCATTTTGCCGTTGCCTCGACACGCAATATCAGGCCTTCAGCGGTGGTTGGACTGATTATACTGCCCTTACCTTTGTCGTATTGAATCAAGCGCTTGTCGGCGAGACTTTCGCGCTGCTGGGAGGCACAGGCTGTGGCAAGGTGAAGGCATTGATAGCATTTCCTGAAAAGATGACCAGCAACGGCACATGGTGTCGCTGGCGTGCCATTTCAATAACAAGCAGCCGAAGTATGCGTCTTTGAAAGTGGCGAACAGGCAAAAACCCCTTTCACAGGGCTGTCTCCCATACTCCATGTCCACGTTCGGAGATATCGATTTTGCCATCGCCTCTGCTGGCGATCGACGTCGGTAGAATGAAGGGAGTCATACTCGATAACGCGCATAAGTCGTGACAGATCGTCACGCCGTGACCTTTTGGCCACGGTTACGGTGGCATTGGTCATGATTTGCAGACAGAACAGAATAGCCTGTGCCAACATTTGTTCAGCCCAGAAACCTTTTTATTTCCCCGCCGACACCTTCAAGATCCAGCAAGAAAGTGTCATGGCCAAACAGACTGCGATCTTCTCCCAGCTCAGCGTGCGATACGCTGCGATTGCCAACACGTCTCAGAGTCTCCGCAATCTCACGCTGTTGCCACGCTGGAAACAAGATATCGGATGCGACGCCTACAACAAGCGTGGGAATGTCTCGTAATGGTGCCAGACCTCTGACCAAATCTTCAGGCGGACCAGAACAAGGGTGTCTTGGCTTGGCAGAGTCAGACAAGGAAGCGGCCATGATATCGGCAGATGACTCTTGTTCTTCGTATGGTTCATCTGGAATACTCAGGACACACCGATCGAGCTCTGCTTGCTCTTTGCTGACTGCATGCTTTAGCTTGTCCGCATTCGCTATTCTGCGTTCCGCAGTCGCATCTTGAAGCTCCTTGCCCAGGTCGAAGAGGTCCATGGCTTTGCTGACATAGAGGAGGCTGTTGGCATCGTATTCCAGACACCATTTCTCACCTGCATGATCGAGATATGTTTCAATGAGGAAGTCGGGACAAAGCGCAGGGGGTTTAGCGGAGTCTGCTCTTTGCCTCCCAAATCGCTTTTCCCATTCTGGACCAGAGCGGTACGTGATTGTCGCAATTTCTCGCGCCAACTTCATCCCCGTATGTGGTGGGATGCTGTCGTAATAGTTGCCCCTTGTCTTGGCCCAGGCTGGGTCATTCATCAAGACCTGCCTTTGACAATGTCGCATTGCGATACTTGAAGGTGTACTTTGCGCGCAGCCCGATACCGACACAATTCTGCCCACGCGTTCGTTGTCCAAGACTCCAAGTGCGAGCGACTGCATGCCTCCCATACTATTGCCAACACTCGCATATAACTTCTTGATACCCATTGCATCGAGCAATCGGAATTGTGCTCGCACCATATCCTGCATCGTCAAGATCGGAAAGCTGGTGCCGTAGTGCTTGCCAGTCAATGGATCAATGCTACTCGGTCCAGTGCTCCCATAGCAGCCTCCAATCACGTTTGTGCATATAACGAAGTATTTGTCCGTGTCCAATGGCGCGCCAGGCCCAATGAACTTCTCCCACCAACCTGGTTTCGAGTTGGCCTCTGTGCTATGTGCATGACTGCTGGCCGACAGCCCGGTGTGCAGCAGGATTGCATTGCTTTTATCTGCATTCAAAGTCCCCCATGCTTCCCATGCAATGTCATACGAAGGCAGGACTCCACCCCAGTCGAGTAGAAAGGGTTCGGCCGAGTGGAAGGTCTCGTGTTTGCCGGAGGTGTACGATGGTTCTGGTCCCGACAATGAGCGCTTCTTGGAGAGCTGGCGCGTGCGATCTTCGGCGTTATCCAGGCATGGGAAGGAGAGTTGGGGATTGGAGATGGACGAGCCAGCAGGCTTGTCTTCCTGTATAGGCTGCTGCGCGAATGCTTGGGCCTGCTTTGAGGTGTTGCTGTGAAAGTATCGTATCGGCGTATTTCGGGGCGTTTCCGGCAATATCCGCGACTGCTTCACTCTGGCGAAGTATCGCAGAGCTCGAGGCGCGCTCATCTTGCCGTGGACGCTCAGAGAGGAACGATTGAGCAGAGCGACAATGGACGTCGACAACATATTTCTAAGTTGAGCGTAATTAACCTTAATCCGGTTAGGTTTCCCAGGTGGGGCCCGACCGCACTTCACTTCTCGCTTCTGCTTTCACGTTCCTTTGTCTCACACATTCTGTCTCCGTCTGCCTCATTGATGGTTGCAGTGCAGCTTGTGCAGATTCAGCAGCATGCAACTGGAGTGGATCCGCGGAGAGACCGGGTGCGTCTTCTGTCCCTCTGTTTCCGCTGCGAAAGTCGCCCAGGCACTGCCTCCAACCATAGCGCCACTGAACAGTACGGGATTCATGGAGTTACTCTCGCGAGGGGCACGTTGAACGCCCTCCCGTCCTCCATCGTCTCGCTACCTCTGAGTGTCAAAGCGATTGCCTACCGCTACCAGATCTAGGCATAGCTGCTTTCGTGAGGGCAGACGCATGGAGACACGATGAAAGTTTGCAGAGTGAATCTCTTGTAAGTGAGGAGCATCAACTTTTGATTCTTCCGCGCACACGGGTATCACACTAAAACAACTCGCCATCTCTGCCAATCGCTCTGCAGGAAAAACCTTTACCATGGTGCCAACAAGAAAACTGCACAAAAAACCAATCACAAGTAGCTCACGAATCAATCATCCTCCGGTTCAACCTTGATTTTCACCTCCGATGTGGCCTGCAAGCTCTTCGGAGTCTTCTTCATTTTCAATGCACGCGCCGTATTCTCCTCAGCCTGTGCTATGGCTGCAGCAGTTCCCCAATATTCTCGGAAGCACTCGATCGACAGCAGGGGAGCTGGCTCGCTAGAGTGCTTCTCTCGTTCGTCCGCTGGCAGCAAGAGCCCGTGGGCTTCATACTTCAGATTGGATCAGAGCATCAGTGATCCTTTTTGCAGCCGCAAAAGTTCCTCTGCCTCACTAGGAGGGACAGCCCTTGCTCCGAAATACAGTGCTTCGTCCACGCGTCCAAGTAAGGCTTCTATACCGTGTAGCCTGGCGACCTGGAACTTGGAGACATCGAATAAGACGCTGTGAATCTTGGCATCCTCAGCGCAACGGATGGGATGATGTTTACGGGCTGAAGCGCAGAACTTCCTGGCTGGGAGAAGTCCGGATGTCTTCGCGCCCTTCTGCCAGAAGACCTCATGCCGGTCCAATTCGTTGGCACCTTCCTCGGGATCAGAATCGAAAACGTCGGCAAAAATGTCGACGAACGCCTCTGGTCCCCAAGCCTCTACTTGACGGACTAGTTCTTCTGTCGAGGCTATCTCTGGTCTAGGGGCATCTTCGATGTACGCTCGACCGGTCTCAATCATGTCGAAGAGCTCTTGGTGCAAACGTCTCTTCTCGGCCCCCTTCCTTTGCAGTACACCATCACTCCAACCCCCATTCGGAAGCGCAGCGTCCAGGAAATCAATGTCGCTCAACCAATTTTGTATGTTGTCGCGGAGGAAGAGATCAAGGTTGGGTATCTTGCCCTCAAATGATTCGACTGTGTATGAGTTTCGTACAGCCTCAGGAGCCACACCTTGATAGAACACGGGATATTCGACTCCACAGGACTTAGCGCGAATGTCACTCTCGAGCAGCTCGGGGCTTCTCGATGATGGGCTGCGCTCTCGGTCCATGCCGACTTCCGTCAGGGAGGCGTTGGGGGTATCTTGTAATGGGCTGGAATCCCGGTTGAATGCATTGACGCGGTCCTCGTGGTAGTATTCGATTAGATCCTGGACTTCTAGCTGCTCTTTTGTCGCCATGGCATTCCCCACAGGATCTTGCTCCAGAAATTCCAACCGCGCGCCGACATTGTCTCCGCAGGTCGTGAGATACTCGCTGAGCTCGTGACTGTCAAGCGGAAGGCCATCGGCGTAATCCTCGTCGTACTCGAGTTCGCGGTCGTGGTCGTCGCACTCCACTTCTTCATCTTCGTCATCGGTGGTAGCTGGCGAGGTAGAGACTGCTGGCCCATATCAGCGTCCGTTCAGCCATGACCGCCACACGGCTGCACGTACAATTCAATGGATGCGTCGAAACTCCAATATATGGGCAGTTTCGACCGGCGGCCTGATGATCTGTGCTGTCATTGGTGATCAAAGCTGCTGGGTTTGCGTGCTGCGACCACGGCATCGTGATTACAAGTTGCCGACGTGCTGCTGCTGCTGATGATAAATGCTGCTGCGGACTGCTGAAAGATCGAGACGGCTGCGCTCGAGACGGAGCTGGCGAAGAGGGTCCTGTCGTTGTCGCCGTGCAGTGGACTCGAGCGGTCTTGGCATGTTCCACAAGCTAGCCGCTAGCGCGTGTGGGCTATAAAATGGCCGCCGTTCCGAACTTGCTTCCTCTTCCTTCCCTCAACTTTCCACATCATTCGGGGTTGTGCAGGTCTTGCCCTCTGAGACGGCCGTCACAGGTTGACGTTACCTTCAGATCGTCGATGCGTACAAAGTATGGCTTCAATTCAACCTTGGCGCGCTCGTCATGGGAGGCAGGAAAATGCGTTGGCCTGTCGCGTTGGGTCCGATCCCCAGCAACACGGGCCTGGACTGAGAGCGGGTCGAACATCCGGAGCGGTGGAAATACCGGTTGCGAGGACCTGAAAGGAACATCTGGGGCTTCCACAACGGTCGAGGAAAAGGTATATAGCTGTAGGAGTGCTAACAGCTCGGCAGATTCGAAACCACAACACGACGCCTTGTCTACGCCTGGTCTACGCCTGGTCTACGCCTCCACTCGACCTCATCGCACTCACAGTGACAACACCCAAGCCCTCCACCAGCTCGCCTCCCTCCCCTCCCCTCCCCTCCCCTCCCCTTTCCTTTGGCACATCTCTCGTATTCTCCTCCTCTCCTTCCCCCGTGCGTGCGTGATGACTTGTAGGCTCAAACGGTAGGTCATCGATTCTTCAGCCAAAGGCTGGGGCTCGGAGACCACCATGTGCATATTATATTCTCGTCCGCCAGACAAGGCATGGTCCAGCAGCCCACAGACTGTGCCTCGATCCCAACTCGAGTCCACCGGAAACTTCGAGCCGCGACTCGCCAACTTGCTAAAGTCAACTCGTGCCTCCAGCGCCTTTCCCATCCTCGGCTTCTCACCAACATCAACAGCAAAGCAGCGGCGCCATCCACACCTCCCATCTTGCGCGCCGCAGCTCAAGCCTTCACATTAGCATGTCTGCGAAATCGGAAGGCCGTGCTCGTCAGCCCCCAGCCAAAATGCGCAGACTGCGCAAGAAATATCATCGTTCTCACGCTTTAGGTGCGAACTCGATCTCGAACTTTTCCTTCAAAAGCCTGCACTAACAGCTCTCCTCTCTACTCAGCCGTCAAAGACGGCATCCCACTTCCGAGACACGACCCTGCTATTCAGACTGCCAACGAAGTCAAGAAGGCGGTGCCGATCAACCGCTGGAAGAAGTACGTGTCTGTCCTCATACGCCTGACCAGTGGCCACAAGGCCGCAACCGGGTGGAGAAGATCCGACTAACTGGCTGTGTAGGTACAAACCTCTCGTGGTCGAGCTAGCGGACCCTACAGCTGTTGTTGCGGTGACACGGATTCTGGAGGCAGATATTGAGAAGATGCGAGTGCAAGAGGAACATTTCCAGCCGTACACGAACTACTTCCACAAGAAGTCGTGTGTGCTTGAGGGCGCGGAGAAGCAGTTGGCGGAGTTGAGGAAGATGTCCGAAGACAAGGGGCAGAAACACACTGAGATCTGATAGGCGAAAGGTCTTAGTTGCGGCGAGTGAGCTCTGAAGGGGGACTTCAACACTACAAGCTAGGCCGCATGGTGTCGCGATCGCAAAGGGACGATGTGAGCGATTGGCGGCGCACAACTTGCTGCGTAGGAACGCAGGCTGCCTGTGGCTGGTTCAGCTGGCGCCAATGAGACTTGCATGGAATCGCTTCTGTATGATTTTTGACACTGCCGAATCCGCAGGAACATTGGAGCTCAGAGCTCAGAAGAAGATTCATACAATTCAAAAACTTATCTTTCGTTCAGCGACCACAAGACGTACCAGTACATCTCATACATCAATCATTAAAATTCCTCATCAAACCATCTCCCTCTCCATCCGCTCCACATCCCTCGCACTCCTCATTGCCCTCCCATTCCCCGCCACAGGCCGAAAGCTCTCCACCTGCTGAATCTCCCTCTGCACCAAAATCTCATTCGGATTTTGCCTTCGTGGTTGTTGGTGTTGATGTTGATGCTGCTGGTGATGGTGAACATGGTGCTGCGGACTCGAAGGCCGGCTCCCACTTCCCTGCTCACCGTCTTCCCCAATCAACATCCCCTTTGTACTCGCCATCTCAATCTCTTCCACATTCTCCAACACGACATGTTTCTTCTCATCTGACCGAACAGAATATTTCCCTCCGAAAGATCCCATGCCGCCATTTGCGTGCATTCCGCTTGCTCGACGACTTCGTCGATCTTTGCGGCTCCCGCTGTTGAATGTTACGCTTCCGTCTCCTCCGCCGTTTCTGGACTCGAATGTTGCGGCTGCGCCTGAGCCGCCTGTGCCGAGTTTGTTGCTTCCGTCTGTACTTCTCCCACTTGTCATTGATCGGAAGATTTTGGGGAAGAGGCATCGTAGTGTTGGGAGACAGGCACAAATTAGGCCGATATTGATTTCGATGTCGCTCCAGACCATGACCATGGGGTTGACGTAGGTGATGTCTGTGGTCTTCCAGAGGGTGACAATGGAAGGGACGCGGAGGATCGAGATTATGACGACGAAGCCTGCGAGGGCGAAGACTGACATGAGGGCATAGCGCTGGCGAGGAGGAAGTTGAAGTTTGTGGAGGATCGCGAGGGGAAGAGCGGCGATCAGGATATCGGTGGACATGTTGAGGGCACAGGACGCCATCCTGGAGGGCTAACTGTGAGCTTTCTCAAGCATTGCAAGCTGAGTTGGCGGTATGCTTACGAGTTTGCGAATTTGTTTTGACAGTGGAACGGCTTGATCGAGCGATCCCAGACTGTAAATGTATAAGTTCAGCAACCCATGTCTTTCCTTTCACTCCTCTCTTCGACATTTCATTGATGTTGGGGAAAGACTTACAGGCAGCCACAGGCGAACACACAAAGATCGCCGCGAAAAATCTCCATACCGCATATATGATCACAATCGCCATGGAAATGTGGACCGCGAGCTTGAAGCCTTTCTGTGGGAACAGTCGTTTATACTGCATCAGAATGGCCAGTTTGGTGAAGCAGAGGGAGATGTTGTATACGATGATCATGACGAAGAACTGTCAACGCCAGAACATGGTTAGCACCACGTCAGGAACAGCCGACCAAGTCGTACTTCTCTCTCCTTGGCTCTGGAAAGTGTGACTTACAGCCCTCTTCTGCAGAAACGCCTCATGTGGCGAGAGTTCCTTGACATGCTTTCCAAGTCCAGTCTCCACTTGCGCAATAATCGTAACAGTCGTCGCTATTGAAAAGAGCTATAGCACCCAATGGGTCGCACGTCAGCTTTGTCACTTTGTTGCATCGATGAACCCTGTTTCTCCTCCTTCGCGATACACACGACCGATCGCAGCAGTGACCAAAGCATTAGTGATGGGCAGCATGTTTTCTCTTACCATTGAAACCATCGTACTGTAATCATCCCACCCAGCATTCTTCGTACAGAAGAATCTCGCATAAATTCTCAATATGACTGCCACACCCGCGAGGAATGGCATGATGATACATGTCGCCACGACAGCAGTGGGCGACGCCCAGCCATGAAGCATGGCGGTATTCGATGACGACGCTCAAAATGCCACGGACGTGCGCTTGATTCGATAAACGCGTGCTGTCTTGGATTCCTCTGGTCGAAGGTGTCGTGCTTCGCTACTTCCAGTCGCGGCAACAAAGATCGGCAGTAAAGTCTTGGGTCGTCAACTTGTGCTTGGAACGAGATAGTGCTGGGCCTAGAAGGGGATTGCAAAGGGGAGGGTCGTGGAGTGTAATCACTCTTTTGGGGGAAGAAGCGATTTTTCCTGTGCCCTTGTGAGTTATGGCGTTATCTTGGGTAGAGCCTGGGCGATATACCATGTCTGAAGCCCGTGTCTGTTGGCTCTCATCAGCTCGCATCGCATTCTTCCATGCTATGCTCGTAAAGCTTGAGCTTCGGTTGACAATGTGGAAACAGCTTGAGAATGCATGCAGCTTTGGCTTATTCTGTGAACACTCAAAGAATCTGATGTCGCTGGAGGCCTCCATCCAGAGACTCGGCTTCGACTGGAGAGCAAGTTGGGATGTGTGTTTTTAGGTTTCTGTCAAATGTCCCCGCCGTGAAGTTCGATGTTTCGAACAGGGTACCCATGAACCCTTCTCCGCAAAACGCCAAAGCTCAAGATAGGGCTGCGTCTGTGCTCTCAAAGTTGTTGTCCGAGTACCGTTCTTGGGTCTTCTTGCGAGCTGTCACGTCCGTAGTCTCTGTGGTCTTAGCAGTGGGATGCTCAGCAAAATTGAAAGCTTGGTGGCCGTGCCAAAAAGCTTGAAGGCTTAATGAGATGGCCTAGATTTTGCGCATCCCTAAGGACACGATGATAAGGCTGTCGACAATGGTTTTACCCATATCATGGTGTACTACTCTGTATCCTCTATCATGAGTGCAGTCGCGCGATCTCTCAAAGCTCCAAGAACGCCATGCTGAAAAATCCGCAGTCCGTCGTACTTTTACCTTCTCAACCAGTCTCTTAATGTCCGCCCGTCGTGGGCAATCCCAAGTACACCTTGAACGAATCATAGATCAACCACCTGTAAAGCATTATTGATTAGTAAACTTTCACGGAGTGAAGAGTTGGCCAGAACAAACTTACTGGAACGCCGTCAATGTACCAATCATCGCGATTCTCACCGGCAGCCCATTCCATAACCCCTTGAACCCAATCTCCTTATAAATTCTTCCAATAGCCTGCCCCGCACCTTCACCCTTTCCCTTGTTGGCGTTCAACTTACTGACCATCACATCCGCAGGATGCGAGATGACAGCACATCCAATTCCGGCAATATATCCTCCCAAAAAACTGACTCCAGTTTGTTGCAATGTGTTGTACTCTTCCTTCTTCTTTCCTAGCGTCTTGTAGATTTGTGCCACAGCACTCTCGAACGTCGCGAACTTGACCATTGTGTAGGGAATCTGCCTCGCCCACAATGGTGCAAGTCCCTTGTACAGCCCACCAAATCCTTCCTCTTTCACGACCTTCCCCCATCCCTCTCGCAAGGTCGTCGCATAAGGTGGGATTGTCGTCTGCATCCTTACCTTGATTGCTTCGAAGGGGCACAGGAAGACATCGGCAATCGCTTCGGCCGTCGCGGAAGCTCCGAGATATACAATCGTCTTTGGAGCATTTGGGAACAATTTCTCGCCGTAATAGTATTTGAAGACTTCGTACGCGCCGTACTTGCCGGCACCTTGGAAGCTGTAGCCGATAAAGGTCGGACTCCATCCGGTGAAGATCCCTCGCATTCCTTCATTGCGGAAGATTTTGGACCAGGCTTGGAGGTTGGAGGTGTAGAGTTTGGCGTCGACTTGGCGGCGACATTTGACGAGATCGAGCGGCGTGACTGAGGTGTGCGTGGGACCACAAGCTGGTAAGGCTGTCAGTTGCTCAATTCAGACAGTGTCCAGCTAGCAGCAAGAGGACCTACCGATAATGCCGCCCAGAGTGCATGCTGCGAAGTATTGGGGACTGAAGAGCTCGATCTTCTGCTTAGGCGTTTGCGTGGCGCCGCCTTGCCCGCCTAGAGCTTTGGTTGCCATTGTTGCTTGGAGCTCTTTCCTAAAATCGTTTGCCCGATCGCACTCCCAAAGCTAGACTGTGCCACTAATTCGTTCTAAGCAACGTCTCAAGTACCCAATGATGACGGAGAGGGGAGTAGAGAGAAAGAGCAAGTGAGAAACGCCAAATCGTCAAATCAATTGGGAAGTAGTAGAGCAAACGCAAGAAAGTACTTATCGTCGGAGGCAGGTGGTCACCATTGTGCGATGTTCGGCATCGCTGAAATGTTTCGTCACCGTCCCGTCGACTTCCGCAACGGTCAACAATGATGGAAGAGGACATGGCAGAGGCCGATCGTGAACCATGACGTCGCAGGGCTTGCTTTCGTCCTCTCAGTCAGCAGAACAAGCTCACGTCTCGGCACCACTTAGCCGACGTTGACGCCGACCACCGAAGGCTTGTGCTCAGGCCGGAATCAAGTAACTTTGTAGCTAAGATAAAGAAATGGCTTTGGAAGACGGTAGTTGTAGCTGTGCCGTAAAGAGATCATAGTGGTAGTCTCGACGCTCGACGCTTTCTCTCAATATACAATGCTGCCTCAAAAGTTCCAGTATCATATCACACATAGACCCGGCGCCTCGCAGTCCCGGATAACACCATTCGTCCCATTCCATGCTATTCCCTATCTCAAAACTCTAAACGCATGTCTCTACAAGCTGCTTCCGCCTGGTGCAAGAGTCTGGGCTGGCGACTTGGGGATCTGCAATTCCCGCTCTGGGTAGTAGAAGTTCTCCTCTGGAATGCGGCCGCGAAGGAATGGTGGCTCGGATCCGCGCACGTAGATGTCTTCGAAGAGCACTTGTGGGGTGTTTTCTGGAACTGGCATGGCTTCGGCTGCGGCCACTTCCTCGTCCACGTGGCTGCGAGCCTCCTTGTCGATCTCCTTGAGCTGAGCTTCTGTGACGACTTCCCACTCGATGAGCTTCTGCTTGAGGCCTGCAATAGGGTCGTTGGTCGATCGCATGCGCTGGATTTCCTCACGGGTTCTGTAGGTGGTACCGGGATCGGACATGGAGTGACCACCGTATCGGTAGGTGACGTATTCGTGGACGAGAGGACCATTGCCCTCAGCGCACCACTTCTTTCCGTGCTGAACAGCGGCCTTGACGGCAAGGACATCCATTCCGTTGATCTTCAGACCAGGGATGAATTGTCCACGCTTGTAGTAGTCGGTAAGAGCGGCGGCACGGTGGGCAGCAGTACCCATACCGTACTTGTTGTTCTCACAGCCGAAGATGACTGGGAGGTCCCACAGCTTAGCCATGTTGAACGCCTCGAAGATTTGACCCTGGTTGCTGGCACCGTCACCGTACAGGGCCAGTGTCACGTTCTTCTTGTCCTCGTACTTGTTGGCAAAGGCAATACCCGCACCGACTGGGACTTGAGCTCCGACGATACCGTTTCCGCCGTAAAAGCCGGTGGAGAACATGTGCATGGAACCACCCTTGCCGTGTGCGATACCCTCTCTTCGGCCCAAAAGTTCACCGATGATCGATCGGACTGTACCTCCGCGCATCATGGCGAAACCGTGGCATCGGTAGGCTGTGATGATGTGGTCCTCTTTTGTGATTCCGTGCTCCATTCCAACAGCGACAGCTTCCTGTCCAGTGGACAAATGACAGAAGCCGCGAATCTTCTTTTCCTTGTACAATCGGTCGGCGGCCATTTCCATGCGACTATCCCAGTGTTAGTTGTCCATTGTACCGCGATGTCCTTCCTGTTGACCTACCGCACGGCGACCATGTCGTAGTACATCTGCTTCAGCTCGTTCTTGGTGGTATCGAGGGTGTATGAAGGTGGGTCCATCTCGTAGGTCTCGAAAGCCTCATCTGAGAGGCGGACTTGGAAAGGCTTGTCATCTTCCTGTAGCTGCAGTGAGCTTCAATTTTTCCCTACAAAGACAGCTTCCAAACATACAGCTGGGACATCGCTCTTTTCCGCGTGACTGCTGGCGGCATCGGTGGTGACAGTTCGGAGGGCGGGAGTCCGGCGCAGTGATCGCACTGGCGCAGACACCGCGCGAGGCGCAAATCGAGAGAGCATGGCTGAGTGCTGTGCCCGGCGAGAGAGAGTGACGGAGAGGAGAACGGGCTGGGAGGGTGGTGTTTTGTCGCAGATGCAGCAACGGCGGAGCTCAATGGGGTTGGTTGAGAAGCTCTCACGAGTTTCTTTCGGGGTTCCGACGAGCGATCCTGCCGTTCCAAGATTCTCGTCGGTCCGACTGCAGCCTGCAGCTAACTGTAGACGAAAACGCGCACTCCACGCGCGAACGCCTCCTCCATCTTCACTTCATCTGTTTCCTCCTCACTGCTCAAGCATACAGCTTCACATCATTTTTCGCTTCACTATCATCATGTGATCGGTACAAAACAACCGGGAGCGTCTGCAGACAAGGCTTGCTCGCATTCGGAGACCGACGGCCAGGAATGCTGGGCCACGCGAGCCATGTCTTGCCTGATTGACTTCCCCGTCTCCTGTCGCACATCTGTCATCCACTGGCCGCATCGACTCTGCACGAAGTGATGCCGATCCTTCTGACATCGTGCAGCAGCTGGCGTCTGCGCCCATCGTACACCCTTTGCGCCCGCCACTTTCACTTCTAGAATGCCCATTTCCCTCCGCTCCACCTCAGCCGGGTGTGTCACTTTCCACCCTGCCCGCGGCCAGTCAATTCACCCGTTGCGTCCGGTTTGCAGGAACCACAGCAGTTCTCCCCAAGAATTGGCGCTGAGAGCCCGGCAGTGGGAGAGAAGCTCAGAGTTCATGAAACTCTGTCCAGGCCACACCCCTCACCCATGTCTGCCGCCCTATAATCACACGCAATCGGACATGCCATCATTTCCTGCCAACCTTCTATTCCCTCTTCTTTCCTTTGTTGTCCTCGCCCACCGCTCGCCGGAAGCGACGAGACAGCTCTTTCTCCACAAACACTGACCCCAGCAGTCCGAATGCACATCACTACAGAGGACATTGTCTACCTCAGGACGTCTTCCGAGACCAACACCATGAGGCGATCACATGAAGACGAAGCTCCTCCCAGCTACAATGACGCCATTACCATCGACAATCTGCAGTCAGAAATCACACTCCACGACGAACACTTTTACGGAGACCAAATAGAACCCACGGGCTCTCTCGAATCAACGACGCCCTCTCAGGATAAGGACATTGCAGGCGAACGTCCACCTCAAGCCAAATGGCTCGTAAAGTCCACGACCGACCCTTCCGCCTGGAAGCTCCTCACCAATGGTCCACTAATGACCAACGCGACCACCCCTCACAATTCCTCTCCTCTTACCAAACGTCGATACCGCGTGCTCTTCCCTCTGGGCTACGAAGATGTCTACCTCCACAAATCCTCCTGGTCTAGCAGCGACGCATCCTCCCTCCCCGACTTCCATATTGAGCTATACTCCCCAGCCAAATGCTCCGAGCGCTACGAACCCGAGCCGATTGTCGTCCTGGGTCCGACAGACCCATCCCAACAAACCGACTCCCTCGCCCGCTCCCACCTCGTCACTCATCTGCCGAAAACATTCTCTATCATTGAATCCGAAGTCACGAAGACCACACGCATGGTCACCTTCTGCGAGTCTGAATTCTTCAGCTGGGACTGGGATTGCAAAACCTCGGCTGCGCGACATGATATGCGAATGATGATTCACCGAGCACGGAAGAAAGTTATTACTGTCGCACACCTGGTTAGGCGATTGGAGCAATGCGTAGATTTCTGTGGCAAGAAAGGAGATTATCAGTTTGAGGCGGCATTGAAGTTGCTGAGAAGGAGTCTGAGGGAGGTTGGTTATCGAATGGGCAGACTGCAAGTTTGAACGCGGAAGTTTGCATTGCATTTATGAAGTTGCTCGGACTTGGATGGACACGAATGTGTTGGGTATGGGCTGGACTGGATTGGATTGATGAGCGTTCCCTGCGCACTTGTTTAGCATATGGTGTTTTGGCTGGAAGCCTTTTGCATACGTGCATGGAGCCACTCGTTGATCATTGGTACTGGTGTTCGACGGATGGAGTTTGGAGACGTTATCTTGGACATCCTGGTGCTCTGGAATTCACACATGGCGTCCTTTCATCTCGTTCATGTAAGCCCTGTTTGGACGCGGACTTGTATTAATTATGCATTGATATGCTCCACTGAATGTGTACCATATGATTGGAAACGAACAAGCTTATCTGAGAATCTTGGCAGACAAGTCTCGCCATCATTTTTCACATTAAAATGGTCCAAATGTCGGTGTTCTGATCGATCTTTGTCCCTTAACAGGTGTTGTCCTCGTCTCGTCTCGTCTCACCTGTCCGTCGTCTTTGTGGATTAGTTCACACCCAGTCCAGTCAAGACGATATTTGCCACGTTCATGATAACAATGATCAGCCAAATCGCGCCAGCAATGACAGCCACGAGCCAGTGGTTCCGCATATTAACCACTTCTCTTCTCGTCTCTGGCGTCTCAGTCTCAGACCGATCTCCCCCTGCACTCGTTGTCGTTGTGGTGGTGGTAACGACGTGCATATACTTGTTCCTACTTGTGTAGTAAATGACCGGTGCACTCACAAATGGTAGAATGACACTCAGCGCAACCTGACTTCCCACCAGCGCATCTGACAAGCCCTGCTTTCCCAATGTTCCCGCGACCAGAATCGCAGGTACGATGGAGATCGAACGTGTCAGAAGTCTGGTAACCCATGGTTTGAGCTTCCAATTGATTTGGCCTTCGGCAATCATTTGACCAGCGAGTGTGCAGACGATGCCGGCAGAGCAGCCTGATAGCAACAGTGCAACTGCGAACACGGTTGCTGCAGCGTGGGCGATCTGTTCGCGGAGGAGATTGTAGATGCCGAAGAGGTCGGCATCATCTGCGCCGGATATTTTATAGAGCGAGGCACCGCAAACGATGAGAATTGCGCTGTTGATGAACAGAGCGAAGGTGAAGAGAGAGATCGCGAGCTCGATGATGCTGTATTTCATGCAAGCTTTGATGGCGGCCATGGAGGGACGGTATTTGCGGTCGATGCTAGCCGAGTCATCGTCAAGCTCACTGTCGACGTTGTAGGTTTTGTGTTTCTGATCAAAGTGTCTGAGGCGTGGCTTGACGAGTCCGGAGCCTAGATACAGGGAGTGAGGCATGACTGTCGCGCCGAGGATACCGCAAGATTGGTACAGACTGACACGTGTTAGATGAAGAGTATTTCTCGATGTTGTGGAAAGTACTCACCCTTTGCTTTCTACGAGGGCGCTCGATGGCAGGTACCCTCTGAAGACCTCTCCGGGCGTTGTTCCCTGGATCAATGATAGCTGGTAACAGAAACACACTACCACGCCCAGGACCAACAGCATCACGAAACCTTCGAATAGTCGAAGTGCCTTCATGGAGCCTTCTGGCCTGTAGAACAGTAATATAAACATGACATCCACGATTGAGATCGCACATCCTGCAACGACGGGCAGTTTTGGGGCCAAGAGATTCAGAGCGATCGCGAAACCAATCACCTCTGCAATGTCCGTCGCTATGACTGCTGCTTCGCCGAAGAAGAACAAAAAATAGTTCAGCCATGGAGGACAGTGATCCTTGTTCATCTGCGCCAGATCCCTTCCCGTGACAGTGCTCATCTTAATGCATAGCGACTGCAGAAAGATGGCGAAAATGTTCGAAAGAAGTACCATGAATAAGAGCTTGAACTGATACGTCGCTCCTGCTGCCGCATCTGTCGCATAGTTGCCAGGATCGATGTACGCCACTGCAATCATGAAACCAGGTCCGATGAAGCGGACGTACTTCCAGATCACTTTTCGGAAGCGATCCAGAGGTTGCTGCCAAGGTGGCAGCTTGCGTGGGTTTGGTGGTGTGGTGCCGAGTGTGTCCTCGAGCATGCGACCTCCAAACCCTGGGGTGGCGATGGGTGAAGTTCCATCGCCGTCCACTGACATGCCCTTCTCCGGCGGCTGGTGGTCGCGATCGCCTTGCATCTCTGCGAATCCGGACTCTGCTCCATTTTGATTCTTCAGCTTGTGGTCGTGCTGGACTCTGGCACTCGCCACCTTGCCCAGTTCGCTTCTCGTGATTTCAGCGAGCGGATTTGGATTCTGATTCCAGTCCGGAGGCATGTCCGGTTCGGTTCTCGATGGACAATTCATGCTTCGGAGTCTTTGCCGCAGACAAAGAAAAGAGGAAGACAAAGGAGTCGCAAGGTGTTCGACTGCGAAGAAAGTTGGCGACAGCGAGGCGTCCGAGGTGTGATTCGTAGGAATGCGATACTGCCTCACCGCGGACCAAAGTAGACCATCGAGGTGTTATTCGACGCGTAATGGGGAAGAGTCCTGACTTCGATTTGATGACAGGCGCCCGGTCGCGCCCGAGACGAGCAGATCCATTGGGTAATTGCCGCTCATTGTGCCTTCCCCGCTGCAACCTTCGCGTCAGCCACTATTTCCGCTCACTATAGCGCCCTCTTTGTGAGGTCAGATCTACGTGGCGTGTGGGACGGAGTGAACGCCTATACGAGCTGAGAAGTTCTATATCGCTATGGAACGTATTGCTAGGATCTTGGTTGTATTCAACAGGCAGAAGAAATGCACTTGTTGCTTGATCAGTCTCGGCACAAAGCTTAGGCTCATCGGCCTTGGCAGAGGGCAATGGGAGCCGCATCGATATGCACAAGTATGCAGGAGGACGATACTTTTTGGAACATACAGTGTTCTCGATCTGGCCCGCGGGACCCGCGTGAGCCTCGCAGCTGACACCTCCGCGCCGATTACCTGAGATGCAGATGGCATGCCCCATCCTCGGCACCTGCAGGACTCACATAGCACAGCACCGCTACTGAAAATATCACGCTTCCAGATTTTCAGCATCATTCGCCGGCTTCCTCGCAATATGACACCAAAGATCGTAGAACAGCAGAGATCCCGCGCTCTCAATCTCCTCCTTGACCTTTGCTCTCAATTCGCTCGCCTCCCGTGCGGTACAATGCCCACTGCGTTCAAGATACAGCAGCGCTCCCGCAACCACATTCTCCGTGAACCGCACCTCCGGAGTCACCGTATACATATCCGATTCCTCATCCTCCAGATGTAAACTCATTGCTGTGGAGATTTTATACGTCGAGCCTGCTTTTTGAGCCCGCAGAGCATCTGTGAAGCGATTCAAGACATCGCGAAGCACGGTATCTGGCGCTCCCGCTTTGACAGTGGCTATTCGTGCTGTCATGGGGTCCCAGTCAATCCATTGGAGCCAGCCGCCTGGTTTGAGAAGTGCTACGAGTTCGTCGAGGGCTTCGTTGAATCTGTCGGGCTTGAGGTTTGTGTGGAGAACGCGGACTGCGACGACATCGAATTGGCCTTGTAGGTCTTTTCTGTTGCTGCTGTAACCTCCAAACGGCAGTTTCACTCTTTTGGCTTGCGCAAGTGCGTCAATCGAGACGCTTCCGTTGAATTGGTCGCCTCGCGAGATGTCTGCAATTCGGATGTTCTCTGGCAGCAATTTCGCATCCTCAGTCAGTGCTTTGACTATCGTTGGGTGGATATGATAGCCGAGGCTCGATGTGATGAAGTCATGTTGCTCATTGAGCTGACTCTCTTCTGTTGATGTGCTCATCTTTTGGTTATGATCTTGTGATTGACCTTCTGGTCATGGTAATTCTGCTTCCGGGCGCTCGTCGCAAGTGTCGGATTCTCCAAGAAAGGTGCCACTGAGCGGAAAAGGAAGTGTGAAGCTGTCCGTGGCTTTGAAACTTGCGACGCTATTGCTACAGCAAGTGCGTTGCTTCAATGTTGGAGATCCTGTGGAGGGGTGGAGGTGGAGGGATTGAACGACTTTGCTTGAGCGCAGCCTTGGCCAATTTCATTTCTCGGCCTAAACTGGAAGCACTCATGATTCTGGCGAGACTTGTCGCGAGACTAGAGCACACTCATTTGCACTGTACTTTGTAGTTTCACAATTTCCACTTTAGTATCCGCCACATCTTGCCAAAGTCAACGCGACCGTGAAAGAGCAGCATACTATGAGAGGTAGAATACGTCGCAACATAACCCCGCGACAAAGGCCGATCTGGAAGGGAGACAGGAACGCCCGCCCAGCAGCCCAGCAGCGTGTTCACTTTTTCTGGCTGCGTTATGAGACTCGAATTCAGTGTACACTAGCTTTCGCCATTCTCTTGACTCAGTCGGGATAGATCAAGCTGTACCATATCAAAATTTCGAAATCTTTCACTTAGACCGAGAATCTGCTTCCCCTGTCGAACTGATCGACAAGCTAGTTTATTCGGCGCCGGGTTCCTTTCTCCACATGCGCTGACAGCATCAGCCTGATTATTAGATCTTGCCGCTTCTAGTGCATTGCTGTAGTCCCCTCCTTGTGCACTGGCATCTGCACCCGCATTGAGCAGCATCTGCACTACGCTCTCGTAGCCACATACTGATGCGGCCACCAGTACGTTGCCGTGAGGTCCTCCCTGAAAGTTTACATTTGCTCCAGCATCGAGTAGCATCTGCACCACAGTGTCATGACCAGAGACTGCTGCTGCCCGCAGCGCAGTGCCGCGTGAGCCGTCCTCGGCGTTCACATCTGCTCCCGCATCGAGTAGCAGCTGCACCACGTTCTCGTGGCCACATTGCGATGCCTCCGCCAACGGATTGCCGTAAATGCCCCCCCCTTGAGCGTTGACATCTGCTCCCGCATTCACCAGCACCTGCACTACCCTCTCGTGGCCTTTACTTGACGCCACCTGCAGGGCGGTAGAACTTTTATATAACCGACCATTGACAGTTGCCCCCGCATCCAGTAGCACCTGCACCGCCTTCTCGTGGCCGCCATCTGATGCATTGTACAGCGCTTCGATGTGTGCATATTCGTGAAACTCTGTACCCATATCCAGCAGCATCTGCACCATCCCTTCGTGACCCCCCTCTGATCCAGTCACAAGGGCTTGGCTCCATTGCATCTTCTGAGCCCCAGGGTCTAGCTCGTATATAGACATTAAAGTGTGTTTTGACAAATGTACCAAGCCATTCCTGACTGCCCAGCTCCAGTCCCAGACTCTGTTAAGACCCCACCTCGACGAAAGTACCAATTTGGTTTTAGAACGTATTTCGAGAATGGTCTCTTCGATGTTGGGTACGCTCATGTCGTTCAAGAATATCCTCAGTACGTCCCAGCTTGCGTGGACAATTGCAGCGATCAACGGTCTCACATACCTTTGCTGCTTTTCCATCTTCAGGGCTGCAGTCGGTCGAGAACCCAAACTTGCGAGGTTCCTCTCAGCGCAGAGATAGTTTAAGCTGGGAACATCGCTGTAGACAACCGGCTTGCTCGTCTGCAAAGCGTTAAACCCGCTCATCCAGTCCGATATCGTGAACTCATTGGCTAGGAAGGAATCTTGAGGACATCCAACTGCTGCCTGGTCTGCGTGATGCAAGATATAGGTGGTGGCATACTCAGCAAATGGATATCGAGCCCTCAGCGAGCTGCGCTCCTCTTCGTTAAGCAGCTGCTTCTTGCCTTTACGCTGGTCGAGTTGTCTTGGTAGGCTAAATGCCATCCCTCGCAAACAGTAGCGTTTCAAGTGATCATGTGCGACGCTCTCAAATGACTCGTGACTACCGCAGATCTCCTCAAAGCCACCTTGATCAATCAAAAAATCGCGCACAGATTCATGAATAAATTGTGCAGTGGTCGTCTTGCCTTTGGTCAGCTCCGCTAAGCCCTTTGAAGAAGTCAGTAAGAATATCTCCATACGAGGGTCTGTGATCCCGCCGTGCCACTCGAGGCTGCCATCAACACCAGACATCATCGCGAAATACCACTCCTTCAGTGTCAGAGGCCGCCTAGCGTACAAAATCCACCGGAGACAGAGCAGAAACTCTTCCTTATGCTCATCATCCCGAAGAATGATGGTTTTGAACAGATCTGGTAGACCCTCAGGTATCTCTCGCAGTCGTGACTGCATGGCGTGGAACCTGCCTCGTTCTACGTCTTTCTGGAGAATGTTGACAACCAGAACTACCCAAAGGAAAATGCCATTCGCCTTGGCCACAATGTCGTGCTGCATCTGAGCCAATTCTTCGCCTTCGAGGTCAAGCTTCTGGACATAAGTGCTCAGGTCCTCTTTGTGCTGATCCACATCTTCAAGGACGAGCTGTAGGTCCGTCGGCACTTTGACGATAGGGTAGTGGCGGCTAGCAAGGCACACATAGAGCTTTGCGTCTTGCAGTCCATCGAGAAATTCGATCAGATCCCGGACGTCGCCCTCGCGACATTCGTCCAGTGCGTCAATGAAGAGCCAGACCTGTCTATCAATACTAAGAATGACAGAAGTGAGGACGCTCTGTAGCTGTGGCAAATCGAACGGCATACCGAGTGCATTGAGCTCATGCGCAACTTCTGGCACGAGATCCACGAGCTGCACCAATAGCGAACGGTACAGGCCCATGAAGGACTTTTCAAGCTGCTCGCCGCGAGCATTGAAGTAGAAGTGCAGACCAATAGCGTTCGACTTCTTCAGCTTGCGTGTAACGTGCTGATCCAGGTACTTGATCAGCACTGACTTGCCAGCTCCCGGTTTCCCTTTGATCCAGAAAAACTTGCGCTCAAGCTTTAACCATTTGGCACAGGCGGGATGGGCGAGAATCCATTTGCAGGTCTTCGTTAAGGGTTCTTTTACGGTTTTTCGCCTTGTCTCGAGGGCGTCGAACCTTAGAGCCTCGAGCATCGTCGCTGGATGGTCGTCGTTGGTCACTTCGCGTTGGACGCTCAGCGCAATCGTTCCATGTCGATGTGTAATCGCATCTTGCAGTCGTCGCCAAGCTGAGTTTCCTCCCTCACCATATCGAGGGTCGAGGGACACATCGCATATGCCAAGCATACAGTATGCCCTGTCCTCGGGCCTCTTCGTGGAACGCTTGGTAACCCAACCCAGCCTCGTCGCATGACTAGGCATGGAACGACCAAGATCAATGCCAGTAATGCTCCTGAGCGCGGGCAATAAGTCTTCTCTACTGCCGATATGGCCATCTCTTGCATAGAACTCGATCTTCTTCGATGCTATAAGCTCCTGCAGTGTCCATCCTCTTGTGAACCATCTGCAGTCTTTGAGCGCATCTCGCCAGTCTGTATCCCGCGTTCTCTTCTTTGACAGATCTGACAGGTACACGAAGCAGACACCTGCCTCGAAGTACCACCGCCACATTGACCTGATTGCATAGTTGACCTCAGCATCGTTTCGTTTATCAATGCAGCAGGTGTCGATCCAGAAGTATTTATAGCCGGCTTCCTTCGCCCGATCTTTGCAGAAGTTCAACTTGGTCAAAGGTTTCGTTGTGTCCTTTATGCCATCTTTCAGGTCTTGGTAGGTCACCTCTTCCTCATTCCTCTCGCTCCATGTGTGAGAAAGGATGGCGTATGGCGGTGGAGAGTCGTCGTAGTCGCAGAATTCGAAGTCGCTGTTCAACAGCCGCATCTTGCCATGACCTGCAATCGGCCAGAGTGTGTGCTGCGAGCGTCTCTAGCAAATGGTGTCATCTCATTCATGAATGTCAGCTGTCCTGTTCGTGCTCACGCGCTGTTGATGTCAGTATCAGCATGCTGCCAGCGTATACTGATCATCCCGTCACTTGCGATCGCAAAATGTGATGTTCGTCTATGGGTGTACTCCGCGAAGGCAGTGAGTAGACCTCGCCTGAGGGCCACTTCTAGAGCTGATCAGGTGGCCGAGAGCTACTGTTGTGCAGCCTTGCTGCGCCCACTTCGCAGCCGCTCAGGGCGCATGAATCGCATGAAAGACCGCCATGGTGACAGACATTGCTGCGTTGAGTGACAATGGCGAGTCCACACAAGAACCGGCAGCGGACCATGCAGCTTCATCGCGAGACGCGTGTTTCAGCTGCGAGGTGCTAGTATTCGCGAAAGGCCAGGAAGATGATGAGTTGTTGATGGACTTGAGTCGCAGCTGCGAGCGCGTTTCGCGTCAGCCCACGTTGTCGCCGGCTTCGGCCAAACTTTCCTTGACGCCAGCTCACCAACTCTCTGTGCCATCATCGCCCCGAACAGCCCGAAGCGCGAGAGGACTGAATAAGTTGAGTAATGACCTAGGAAAAGAACTCAACTTTCACCAATAACCAGCCAATATGCTCTTCACAAAAGACTTCACGAGCATGTCTCGTGAAGAGATTCTTCAGCTGGCAGAGCCAACAGAAGAATATCAAGAAGTACACGCACCAAGCCCTCTATGACCGACTGAGCAGAGCACTCTGACCGACGTCAGATGATGGATGTTTGGCCGCCTGTGAGGATCGACTGGCAGGACACGAAAAGTACTCTGGCCAAGGTCCGTATGCAAACCGAACTCGCAGACGAACTGGACGAACCAGATCGAGATGTCGAGGAGACCTTTCGCCAGTTTCCTGCAAGGGATGGCTACCAGCTCACTCTTCGAATCTTCACGTCAAGACGACACACTGTTCCGAATGGGTCTATTGTGGTGCTCTGGCATGGCGGAGGATGGGTGATTGGCAGTCCAACAATGACGGCAGGTATCGCACGATCACTGTGCAAACGATTCGGTTGCCTGGTACTCGCACCTAATTATCGCCTTGCCCCCGAGCATGTCTGGCCCACTAGCTTGAATGATGCTTGGGATAGCTTCAATTACATCCGAAACGAGTACGATGAAGAGGCCGAACGACACTTCATCATCGGTGGTATTTCCGCCGGTGCTCATATGGCGCTGGTGATCGCACACATGGCCAAGGAAGAAAACCTGGAGCCCAAAATCACTGGCGTGTACTCAGCATGTGGTTCCATACAGCCGTTGAACGAGGGAGACCTCGATCCTGTCTATCGTGAGAGGTACCTCAGTCGCACGCAGCCAGAATGTGCAGACAATCCAGTGCTTTCGAAGGAGATGAAGAAATTCATGACGGACTGCGCTAAGGCTGATCCGACCTCGAAGTCTTGTATGCCACTGCTCTGGCCTGGTAACGAGAAACACGAGGGGCTTCCGAAGGTCTATCAGCAAGTCTGCGGCCGAGACTACAGCCGTGACGAAGCACTTATTTTCGATGATATACTGAAGAAGAATGGAGGGAAGTCGCGAGTCAATTTGTATCCTGGACTGCCACACTGCTTTTGGCTTGCGCTGGGAGGGATTCCAGAGTATAGACAATGGGAGCAAGACACTATTTCCGGCTTTCAATGGTTACTAAGCAATAACTAGACGGAGACAGCTTGACTAACAAGGAGAAACCCATGATTCCAGCGTTCTGGTTCTCAGCACCGAAATATCTCCTACAGATCAACGCACGGCGCATTGCTTGCGGTCATCACGAATTTCGAGTAGCTGTACACTCCAGTCTCTGCACCGTGGCGCGTAGATCGCACCAAGACGATGACCGGTCAAGTTGTAGACCAATGCATTGTCAGACGTCTTTGTTTGCAAGCATTGTTCACCAGCTTACAAAGGAAGGGCAGTCTTTGTTCATGATACCATGATAAGTCCCCGAGTACGCTCGTGATGGCCTCAACAGTGAAGAAGTTGCAAAGCCCCAAATTGTCGTTGGATTGTTGAAGCCTTTCAGAAAACCGACTCGACTATTCCAATCCGTGTTCACGACATTACGGCAAATAAAATCATAGCTCGGGACGCTCCGAGCATTCTTCCTACAAACATGAACCCATCTGAGAGTGGTAAGCTTGACCCCAACGACCCTCAATATGAGTCTTCTGAAGAGTTCAAGGCCCTCAGCGAGAAAGAACAGGAGCCACTGCTCGACAACTGGCAGAGACAGTATGACGATGAAGAAAGTGCAAGTGTGGCTGGTCCACTAGATCTCACGCTGGGCGTTGAGATCGAATGCGTTTTGCTCCAGAACAAGCTTATCGACAGCCGATTGCCATTGAATGAACAAGAAATCTGGTTGGGCCAAGAGGTCATCCATGCTGCTCTTTGCAAGCCCATGAAAATTGTCTGCGGTAAGTGTTGTGATGTTCACGAATGGCAACTGCCTTTAAACGAAGTGGGAGGCGAGTGGCTTGAGGGCGGATGTGAACCAAATTATGACAATTGGACTGTAGGTACGGACCTCTTGCATGTGAAGACACTGCTCGACAAAGCTTTCATTCCTGACTTTGACAAGTTCAACGAATATGGTTTGGAAGTTCGCAGCCGAATCCTCCACGTCGCGGGCCACAACATCAAAGCAGATCAACGAAGCGACTGCCAATATCGACCAGAAATCTCCTACCAAGATGAGATCAGAGCAGTCTACGAGCGCCTACACGAAGAATTTCTCAACCCTAACCTCTCAGCAGAAGAAAAAGCATGGCGCCTTTTCAGCAACCACTCCTGTGGCCTCCACGTCCACATCGGAAACGGAGGACCACACCGAAGACTCCCTCTCCGAGTCGTCAAAAACATCCTCAACCTCCACCTCGCCAACGAACGCCAAATCGACAACCTACATTCCAGCACCCGAATCGACGGCAGCGCCCTCCTTACAGGCGGCCCCCACCAACCAAATGACCAAGAAGTCAAAAACTGCCCGGAATCCTCCCATTTCATCAAAATGGCCGACAGGGCCAAAATCGGACTCCCAACATCTATCGATCCAGATCAACTCCGCTACCCAGCAAACCAGTTCTCTCGCAATCGATCTATCGAACAAGATGCAAGATCAATGAACATCCCAGCCTGGAATCGTATAATCGCAAGTGCTAAAACTTTGAATGATTTGCATGATATCCATTGGGACGCCATGAAATGGTGCGTGGTGAATATCAGTCATACGCAGCGACCAGTCGCTGGGGAGAAGAAGCAGCCGAAGCAAACGATTGAGTTTCGTCAAGCTGTAGGGACGTTGGACTACACGGAGACGTTGGCGTGGATTGATGTTTTGGTGAAATTGGTCAAGTATGCTGACAGTAAATCTCCGCAGAATGTCCTCGAGATCTGCGAGAATATTTGGATGTCCCCGATGTGGTCAACGCTGGATTTTCTGGATATGTTGGGTCTGAAGAAGAAAGACGAAACGTTCAAACACTACAAACATGTCCTCGGCTTGAGGAGCCGGGCAGCGCAGTACGGTGATTTTGACCACTTTGCCGCAGAAAGTTTTGCCAAAGAATTGCGCTTGGCGGAGACTTTTGGTCGAGAAGACTTTTTCTACGAGATCATGAAATTTTTCGCGGCAATGAAGTTTGGGGAGAAGCGTCCGGACACAGTGAATCAGAGAATTCACGAGAAGTTCATGACGGGAGGGTATGGACAGTTCGAGAAGACTTTCTTGAGAAACTTTGCGCACGATGAGGATTGGTACTATGATGGAGTGCCGAAGAATGTTTTGCAGGGTCGTCTCCTGGTGGGATGGAAGTTGCATGATCCGATTCCGGACGATCCACTGGCAGATCCTGAAGATGATGAGGATGAATAGTAGTGAGCAAGGTGAGCAGTCTTGACTTGGGACGCTGCATAGGAGGAGCAAACGTGTGAGATAAGAAGTAAGATCCTTCTTTTCAATTACACACATTTATGTTCTAAAAGACAAGATATCCTGCAGCACCAGCACCTCCTTGCGCCAAAACGCCGTGCCAGCCTTGTGCCATCCAGTGCTGCTCAAGGTAAAAGCTTCCATGCCATATTTTACACACACTTTTATTCCTTCTTTTCCACTCTACATCCCGTCCGTGATACACCCATGACTTGCGTCCTTTACGACATGCGCATACTTGTACAGAGTTCCCTTCTGATACTTCAAAGCCGGCGCCTTGAATTCCAATTTCCTCTTCTGCAGCTCCTCATCCTTCACATCCACCAAATCAATCACTCTGTTCTCTGCATCAATGGTAATAGTGTCTCCATCTCTGACCAAACCGATCGGACCTCCAGCTTGTGCCTCAGGTGTTACGTGTCCAATCAAGAAACCGTGGCTGCCGCCAGAGAATCGTCCATCGGTGATGAGAGCAACGTCTTGACCGAGACCAGCGCCCATGATGGCCGAAGAAGGCTTGAGCATTTCAGGCATGCCTGGACCGCCTTTGGGACCTTCATAGCGGATGATGACAACGGTCTTCTCGCCCTTCTTGATTTCGCCTCGCTCGAGCGCCTCGATGAACAGATCTTCCGCATCGTAGCACCTGGCTTTGCCAGTGAAGACGGTACCTTCCTTTCCTGTGATCTTGCCAACGGCACCTTCTGGTGCCAGAGATCCGCGCAAGATGCACAAGTGTCCGGTGGGTTTGATCGGGTTGCTGAGTGGCCGGATGATATCCTGAGATTCGGGGAACGTAGGCGCGTTCTCGTAGTTTTGCTTGATTGTCTTACCCGTAGCCGTGATTCGGTCGCCGTGGAGAAGTCCCTCGCTCATCAAGAACTTGATCAAACTTGGTGTGCCACCAATTTCATGCAGATCCTGAAACACGTACTTCCCGCTGGGTTTCAAATCGGCCAAGAATGGCGTTCGGTCCGTCACTTTCTGGAAGTCGTCGATCGACAGCTCAATGCCCACACTGTGCGCAATGGCAATCAAATGCAGCACTGCATTCGTTGAGCCTCCGGTGATGTTCAACAGCACCATCGCATCCTCCAACGCATCCCGTGTGATGATATCCGAAGGCCTGATGTCCTCCTTCAACAGGTTTTTGATCGCCGGTCCCACAGCCTGCACCTCCAACTGCTTCGCCTTGCTCATAGCTGGGTTTGTCGATGATCCCGGAAGTGTCATACCAATCAATTCAATAACTGAAGCCATCGTGTTCGCCGTATACATGCCACCACAAGCACCACAGTGCGGGATCGCATGTCGAATCGTATCCGCTCGTTCCACCTCACTGATCTCCCCAGTCAAAAATTGTCCATACGCCTGAAACGCCGACACGATATCCAATTTCTCATTCTTCGGTTGCAGACCACAACCTGCCGCCGTCGTACCTCCATAAACCATGATACTCGGTCTATTGACACGTCCCATAGCCATGACCACACCAGGCATATTCTTATCACAGCCAGGAATACTAATATTCGCATCGTACCATTGTCCGTTCATGACAGTTTCGATCGAATCGGCGATGATATCTCGACTTTGGAGGGAATATCGCATTCCTTTTGTACCCATTGAAATTCCATCACTGACACCGATGGTGTTGAATTGCATGCCCAAGAGACCGGCTTTTTGCACGCTTTCCTTGATTTTGTGGTTGAGGTCGAGGAGATGCATGTTGCATGGATTGCCGGAGAACCAGACGGAGGAGATACCGACTTGTGCTTTATTCATGTCATCCTCTTTGAGACCTGTGGCGTACAGCATGGCCTGTGAAGCGCCTTGCGATTTGGGCTGGGTGATATTTTTCGAGACATTGTTGAGGTTGGAGGCGTCGTTGTCGATGGGTGTCGCTTGTCGGCGGCGCGCGGTGAGGGAGAGCGAGCGGGTGTGCCATTGACTGCGGGCGCACCATGATGGCCGCGCTGCAGAGAGCGTGCCAGAGCGAAGGGCGAACATGGTGGCGATGTTGAAGGAAGAAAAAGGTGCCAATGGCTCACGCAAGCTGGAGCTCGGGGAAGAGGTGTGAAGTGGCTAAACATTAAATTATGACCCATGCTGCGATATCGCTTGTCAGCTGTAAGCTTGGGCCCCGATTGGTTGTGAACGGAACGGCCTGTGCAATGGCTTCAAGCATCCATGAATCCTCGATATGTTCTGTGATGTCTTGTGGGAGTAGAATGAGCTGACATCCTTCCATGTGTTATTATACAGACTGCCTGCGCTTCACACAAACCCCACTACTCTCCGTAGATGTACAATCGCTTCGCACTAAAACCTCGTAATCTATCACTTTTCAAATGCCATATAACATGTTCCAACTCCTCTTCTATTCCGACCTTGCTTTTGGGTATCTTTCGCGAAAACCAATCGTCGTCTCTGTATACTAGTACTGTTATTTCCTCAAGCAAACGCATTGTTCTCACAGCATGACAGCCACGCCAGCACTCAAACCCGCAAGAATGACAGCGATTTGTCCGAAAGCCATGTCACTTCCTGCTGGAGTTGAATATCTCGACGCCGCACTCTTAGGCGTTCCTGTCGCTGTATAGACTCCCGTCAAAGCGACTGTACTGCCGCTGCTCTTCGTGCTCCCACTGCTGCTGGTGACCATAGGTAGACCAGGAATTCCTGCAGCTACCGTGGTTTTGGGCAGGGTGATGTCTTTCGTGTTTTTGTAATAGATTCCGTGCTGGACTATCCCTTTACCTGCCCGCATATCTTCCTCGTCCTCATCGGTACATGAACTTGCAAAGTTGCGTACCCAGCATGTTGCCTTTGGTGCGTCTGACACATCATTAGTGTGCGTGGCATTGGCCGTGCCGTTAGACATGAATGATGAAAGGTCAATGTCCGCACCCGTGGATATGTCGTTGCCCAGGATGACGCGCGCAAAGATTTGGAATGCGGTCTCAGGCTGGTAGTATGGCACAAAATGGCCGGCATCGTAGACTCGACTGAAGCTCAGATTCGCAAATTGACGAACTGCACCGCCAACATAAGAGTCGTTGACCACGATCTCCGCATAACCGGCCTCGTTAAAGCCGCTCGCATACGATGGAGGCACACCGGCTCCGGTGGATGCCACACCTGTTGGTGAAGGATATTCTGGCAAAGCCCCGGCGACAGCATATGCAACAGCTTCTCCGCCTACCCAATTGCAGATGTAGTCCGCGTCGCCGTAGATGAAGGCCACCCGGACCCCGAGCCTAAGCAGATCGGCCAAGTCCTGGACAGCGCCACCACGGATAGTGTCTCCCGTGGAGATGAAACCAGCCTGCACATATGGGCTGCTCTCAGTGTAGTTTACCGGCGCTCCGATTGATTCCAACACAGATGCACTGTTTAGGTACTCGACGTAAGCTGTTGGTGGATCAGGGCTGGGCAACTCTTGTCGAATGTCGTAGTGGTTGTACCCAGCTCCCAATGCGAGGGCGGTTAAGTTGTTACATATGTACTGCGCGCTTTCGCACAGCTCGTTGGTCGCGTCATTGTCGCCGTATGGATCCTGAGTTGCATTCCTGCACGACAGAATCGCGGGCTCACATTGCCGAGTGTAATTGTTGATCGCGTTCAATTGGGTCGTTTGATCAATGAGGCGGACTCCGTATGTGTTGTTGAACGCGAACAGCGGGTAATAGTAGTCCTGGATCAGATCGTCCACAAGTCCATTCATAATGCCGAGCGACTGCAATCTGATCGACAGGGTATCGTTGGCAGACAGTTCTCCCTTGCGAATCCTTGCGTTTTGATCCTCAAAGTACGAAGCGAATGTCGGACCGTACTTGCCGCCATAGGATTCGGTGAAGAGGTGAATTCCAGCGGGCTCGTCAGAATTGGGAGTGGTGATGTTCGGGCGAGTGGCCGGGTTGTACTGTGAGAAAGTTGAAAGCCATGTTTGCAAGAAATGCCAGGTAGCTGCTGCTGCAATCTCGCTGGTATTGGCAGTCGTGGCCCAAGGTGTATTCGAATTCTCATTGGCAGTGCCAAACGTCCCATTCAAGTACATATAGCTCGGAAGGTCGTGAATTGGCGCGGTCGCCGGCTCAAAAATCTCGTTGGTGTAGAGGTTCAATGACGCGTTTGTCGCGGTGTCATAAGATAGACCAACCTGGTTGGGCTGATCAATGAAGAGGATGTTTGATATACGATCCCATCCGAATGTCCGCATCTGCGTCCCGTACGATCCATCTGCCATTTGCACCACTTCACATGGGCCCAACTCATTGAACATGCCGAACAGGCTGCTCGAGCCTGGTCCTCCGTTGAGCCATATCGTCAATGGCGCGGACTCTGGTGTTTGGCGTGCCTCCACAAACCAGAAGAATGTGTTGATGGAATAGTTCTGCTGTATCGGAGCGAGGGTGTACGGAGGAATCCCTATGTATCCCGTATACTGCTTCTGAGTCTCGAACGCGGTAGTGCATGTGCCATTGGACGGCTGCTTGTATGAGATAGTGACATTGGGGTCGATGGGCGACTTGAGAATGTTTTGATATGAGGGCGGAAGCGGGTACTGCGCATTCGTAGGCAGTGGAAGGGCGGCGATGAAGGCGAGTAACGCTGGAGGCAGCGACAAGAACTGATGGCGTCGCGGCATGGTTAGCAGCGCCCAGCGAGCTATTTGCGCTCCAAGGAGAGCTTGCGACGGGATGCGCCGCTGTGTGCTTCAGGCGCAACTCACGCTCAACATGGTGGCTCAAGGGAACATGTCTCCGGGCGGGGTGGTGTGTCGCTACGCGAGCGGCGTGGGAAGCGGAATGAGTGACATGAACGAGTGTGAGGATGGACGTCTGTGAGAGGTGTGCGCACGACGAAGTCCAAGCCCGCGAAAGGGTTGCGCGTCGTCGTCTCCACAAGCCACGCTGGTGGCTGACGTGCAGATATGCAGCTACTGCAACACTAGTCTCGGCTCCTCTCTTTCCTCTACACCATTTACATCTGCATACTCTCCTCCGCCTGCATGGCTGACCCGTCACGCATACCCATTCGATCCATCCGCACGCTTCCCAGGCATTGTCGACAAACTGAGGGCACAGCGGCATCGCCGATCATGACATGGATGCGAAATTGGCAGGGATCGCCAGCGTGAGGAACAAACCATGCCCATCAACCCCACAGCTCTAGACTGCATCTCATCTTGTCCTTCTGCGCAACTCCTTAAATGACAGCGAGAACTGCAAGCTCAGAATATGGAGGCTGCGCCATGGGAGAAACGCTGAAGTACATTGCTTCGCGGCAGTCACGACATGGAGCACACCGCTTTCCTCGACCGCTCCCAGCACACGGAGATGTCTGTACGGCATGACCCATAACCATACGCGGAGCACAACATGACGCTGTTCAACTTTGCGAAGATAACTGTGTGCAAGCTAATTCAGTCCAGGCAGGTTCAATTCAGGCCGCTATTCTGCACTACATCGAAGCTGCGTTTCTCCTCCACGGTAATCTCATCTAGATGCCGCCAGCCGCCGTCACACGTCCGCGCAAGAAGTTCACGGCAGTTGGCACGTCATCTGCATAGGCCAAGTGACCTGGTGACACATCAAGACCGCCATCACAGACTCCATCGTTCGAAGCACAGATGTTGAGTGTGTTGGCCGCCGGGTAGCCAGGAATACGTCCTCCCTCTTCATCCGTGCGCGTGCTTCCGAACATGACGATGCCGGCCAGGTTTGTCTTGCTGGCTGCCGGAAGACGTCGCACGCTGGCGGTGATGACCGCTGCTCCTTGGCTACATGGCTCAATCAGCCTACAGTTCGAAGATCAATTATTCAGCCCGAACTCACCTGTAACCACCTGCAACTACTTTCGAGTTGGGGCACTTGCTTCTGGCCAGATTGAAAAGTCTGATGGCTTCATTCCAAGCTCCAGATGTGGTTCCTTCTGGCAGGATATTGGCAGCCAGAGAAGCGCTGTACGCTCCGCCAACACCTTGACAGGCTACGCGAGTGCTTCCATATGCGGTCTTGAGCTGATTGCACGTGGCTGAACCAAGGTCGCCCTAATAAGCAGTCAGTACAGGTCTTCGAACAACCACGATCGAAGTCTATTGTCACCTACCAGGTTTCCGGGCTGAGTTGAGCCACGGGCGAAGATGAGGATCAGAGGTCGGCATGCACCGCTCTCAAGCTCACTTGCACTGTTACCGACTGCCTGCCGGGCCTCAAGCATCTCTGTGGGAGCTGCAATGGCTGTTGCAGCCAGCAACGAAGCGATAGCGGCGACCTTCATATTGATGGGAACAGATGAACCTCTCGAGGATTTCTTTGAGCAGCGACTGACAACAGATGAGCGATTGAACGATGGAGACCTGCCTTGAGCAATTGGGCGTTCGAGTCCATCACTTTTATATTGCTTTCCGGAAGAATACAGCTCAAGCCAAACAGCTTCTTTACCACTATCCGGACATCAGCAGACCTCGGTGAGATCAAATCGAGTTCATGAGTCGGACCATACACTTCAAAACGTACTCTGCTGCGTTCCTGCAGGACTCTAAGGCAGCATACCACACCTTGGCCGGCCTAGAATGGCAGGCCACAACAAGAAAAAAGTAAAACCTGTGCATACAATACGACATGGGCTCCGAAAGCTTACTAGCAGCTCTGTCCTGCCTTGATCAGCAATGTCCGACGATGTGCACGTGGACAGCTCGTGAGCGATTAGTGCACTGGTGGTTTTCTCGGACGACTATACGATCTGGTCGTGCCAAGAGTGCGGGACCCCAGGATTTGCCGTACGGTATACGGCTCGGGTTGTGGAGGTAAGCGAATGGATTTCTGATCAATGCGACAATGTCATTCTGCGAGAACTCAACAGATTCTCCCACACAGGTCTTCGAATACTTACGGCTGCTTCATCTGCAATGTTGCACACATCTATTCGAGCCATGACAGCTCGAAGTTGCACTTGCCAGAACGAAATATCGGTTCTTCTATGTCCGCTCGGATCAAGGTCCGCATAAAGCTATCACTCCGTCGGATCGACGGTTTGCAGAATGTGGGGGAAACGTACTGTATGCATGCAATGCAACTTCGCTCGCTTGTTTGACGCTTTTCGATACTGATGTGCGGGGAAAGCTAAGACCAGTCGCGTGGTTTTAGTCCATGCAAATGACTAGTCGACTAATCTACGCGAGCGAGCCGAAGTGAAGAGACATAGGGCCGAGCTGACACGAGATTCGATCTAGCTACGTGAGGTCAAATCAAGCGAACACGACAGCTTCCGGTGGTATCCTGTGCTTTTGGTACTCAGTCATCGATGCAGCTGAGCTGCTCGCTACTCGGCAGGCCAGGAAATTCTTGCCTTCTGACATTCCTGCACAGGACTCTCACCTGGCTCATGGCCTGAAGAAACATGGCACTCTTTCCACTCCAAGATGACAAGGAAGCGGCTTACAGCAAAATCGAACCCATCCTGGACAGCTCGATAGGATATTCTGATGATGATCCGCATTATCGGCATCCATCCCGCCGACAGCAACGACATTCTTGGTTGCAGACGCTTCTCTACTCGGGTGTGCTGTGTATCTGCTCGCTCGCAGCTTTCTTCGCAGGAAGTTATACTGCGAGATCCATTGATAGCATCAATGCAGATGGCGAGCATTCGCCTGTGCCAAAAAGTCAGTCGACTTTTCTCCTCTTTTGCTCTCCTGCTACATCGTCGTTGATTGGATAATTCTGCGGACTTATATGCTGACACGTCTCCATTCACAGTCCCATTTGAATCCGTGACTTTTCAGCCCGACCCCAAGTTCAGTTTCTCCTCGAGCTTCTCAAACTCTTCTTCTAGCTCTCTTTCAGAAGCAGAATCCGATGCAGCCTGGACATCCCTTCTCCCTAGCGGCGAAGGTTTCATTTTCGTCGAGACGCCTGAGCATTTTGGACTACCGCCTGGAAAGACACCAAATAGAGACCAAAAAGGACGGGGATCAGAAGGAGCATTCTACGACCTCTCTGTCTTCCATCAACTACACTGTCTGGTGAAGGTCAGGGAACATGTAAGATTGGTTGAGTTCGCCATGAGTGAGATGGTGAGAGAAAGCTCGGCTGGTGATGGCAAGTTGGATATCAGCTCCCTCAAACGACTACTTCAGCCTTTGAAGCAGGAAAGGCATATGGAGCATTGTTTTGATTATTTGAGACAGGGCATCATGTGTGCTGGGGATATGAGTTTGGAGGGTGTTATTGTGTCCGAGGAGGAGAACGATGGTATGCTGAGGAGAAGTGGTAGTAGGGTGGTGGATGGATGGGGAATGAAGCATCAGTGTAAGAGTTGGGTAAGTTGGTCATTTCCTTCCTTTCCTGAACACGCTCATTGTTCTTCCTTCATGATAAGTGCTGATCTCGCTGGGTTAGGATGCCATCATGGAGTATGTACGCGCGAACGAGCATGTTTGAAAATCGAAGTGAAGATTCGGAGAAATCAGATCAAGTGGGCAGAAAGATACAGTTCTTCTTACCTGGAGGTCATCGCCACGCGCTGAAGTGAGCCAGAAGTCGATTTGACTTTGGATCTGCTGCTGCGAAGCTTTCTCGCGCTAAAGCCAGCAAAGTCAACAGGCTTCGACCTAAAGTCCTACAATTCAACACGAAACAGGCCACGAAGGTCATGACAGCGACTCGGCGATTAGCGCAGATCCAAGTGCTATTCCATTATGCAAGTCTGCTGCGAGTAAAGGAATTCCGCGCATCGTTGCCATGGTCGATTGCATAGGTCGCGGAAATCGAGCTCGGTCAGCTGGATTGCGAAGCTATTGAGACTTGTCAGGCGGACGGTTTGAGGACTGCTCTAAGCGGCCAGCGATTGCCAAATTTGGGTCTCATTCATGAAGCCTGCATGAGTCTCGGCGAAAGTGAGACAGACATTGTCCGGCTGCAGCCAGTGTATGACTATCCAGATCTGGAAATATAGTCATCTAGTCTGCAATAGAGATGATTCAAGGAACACTGATGTCATGAAGTTGCGTGTCAGGACACTGTCTCAGGCGTTTCAGTGTCAAGAGTGAGTGCTTGTGTTGATCTCGATATGCAAACTGTGTGGGGAAGCCTGTTGATACTCAGACAGTCTCGAACTCTGAGCCAGATATTGCTTTGCGCCGTGCGGCTGAAATAGGCCTGTGCTCAGCCTGGCGTCGAGCACTAGATGTGGCAGGGCAAGTGGATGGTGAAATGAATAGGCCGTTGGACCGTTCCAGCCAGTAGACAATTATCAAGCGTTCTCGTACATTCTTCCTATCCCCAGCCGGCCGGCCGTCTATCCAAACGACCGATTCGCGATTTCCAAGGAAGTTTGCGGATCGTATGCGGGTCGCACGTGGTCAAAGTGTCAAGTGAAGTCGGCGAAGGCCGGCGGACAAGAAACGTGCATCTCCCCGCTCTCCTTCTTCGCCTTGCCTTCCAAGGTTGTGCTTGTGCTTGTGCCGCGCAGTGGAGAGGTACTTGTGTTGATTGTGCATACGGCCGCAGGAAGTAGACAACGTGACAGGTACGGTATACCTGTCGCAAAGCAAATAGTCGGCGCTCTCACACGATGCGCTTGGCGGGCGAGTCAGCGTCGGACAACACATGCATCACTGCATCAGATGCCTTCTTCCTGCTCTGCGCTGCGCTGTTGCCTCCTGCCCGTCATGATTGCAGGCGCAGCACGTCTGCAGCATGATGATGATTCATCTGCAACTCTGACATGCGGCATGCGTGTATGAGCGGCATGTGCAGCATGTGCAAGTCGCAAGCCTCCGCTGCTCGGGGAGATGGGAATGGGAGAGACTGAATCGTGGTTGACGTTGTCGTGTTTCTCGACGTTCCATGGGGCAGCGAGTGTGAACCGCGTTCCCGGGAGGACAGGTCGCGATCACCATCCGGGTTGGCAAGGCGAAAGGCAAAACAGGTACAAATGCCGTTCCAGTGCCGGGGGGCTTGCGACCTACATACCGGCCCTCGCAGTCGCACACACGCCCGGCAAAAGGAACATATCAGCCTCGAGGCTCGCTGCGCAGGGCGGAAGTGGACGAGTCACACGGTGCGCAGACCGGGATATTTGCGTGAGTTCGGGCGCGAGTAGTGCTGGTGGAGGAAGACGACGGCGTTGCTGCTCGGCCCTTCAATCTGGCGGTGGAGGGCAATCGTGGTGCGCGCTGCCACACTGCCGTTAGGTCGAAGCTTATCTGGCGGCGCGGCGGCCTCGCCTCCAAAGTAGTGCAGCGCTGCTCCCTTTGCCAGTTCACATGATCCCAAAGCCTGCAAGTAGACCGACGCTCGTCGCTGTGCCTGTCGCATTTCTGACTCGGTATGTGATGTCCTCGCTTTCTTCCTCACCCGCTCCGCCGTCCGTCGCTGCTTCCTGCGCAGCCCACTCCACCCACCACCAGCGGCCCAGCGCACATTCGCAGGATCGCTTGTGCTGACTCGAGATTCGTCCAGCAACCGATGGCCGAGAGGACATGCCGAGAGGCTTCTTCACGACGACAATCCTTCCGAAGGTCTCTCGCCGAAGCTGGTCTGCCCGTGGAAGCCCTCGAACGATTGGAAGCGAAGCGCAAACAGCTCGATGAGTCCATACACAAATACATTGCTGCGAAAGAACGAGAATACAAGAGCTTCGAAAAGGACGAAATTCAGAGACACAAGCTTGGCCTGGCGCATGGAGAGAGCCGACCGCGAAGAACATCTTCAGAGTCAACACAGGACACAACAGCATCGCCGCCCAAGCAGCGTGGACAGCAGCAAAACGTGGTCGCCGCGCTAGTGTCAGCGGGCGTGCGCAGAGAACACATTGGCCAGCCGCATTCAGTAGCGGTGGTCGACGATGATGGTGCAGCACCGACAATAGAAGCCAGGCCCTCGCTGGCCGGATTGACCGATCGACGGGCCAGCGAAGACCGCGACAAGGAGTTCATTGGAGTTTTCACGCCGACCTTCTTGCCTGCACTGGACAATGGCAGAGGTGGAGGTAGTTCCAGCCCGGCACGTGCAGATTCTGCACCTCCTTCCCCAGCTGCAGCGACCACGAACGGGTCGGATCCGAACAACGTACATCGTGTAAAATCAGACACGGATGTGCAGGCGCAGCAGAAACGGCCATTACATTTACAATTGGCCAGCCGCACGTCTTCCTCGGGTTCATCTGCCGACGGGAATAACAGACTTGCTTCAGCGCTCAAGTCGCCAACGCACCCACGATCAAAACGAAAAAGAGTCTCGCTGGCAGTCGGCGATACCATTGTCGCACCTTCGGACAATGTTCCAATTACGATGGGATCCAACAATAGCACGCCCTCTCACTCACGAACACGATCGCCAGCGGATCGAGAAACATCGCCAAAGGTCGCTAAATCAACGAGTCCGCCAAAGGACTCACCACAACAGACTGCCTCGGGAAAGATGACATTATCGCCGCTGGCTGAGTTGACCATGTCTTCACAGCTACCTCATCGCGGGAGAAGCGATAAAGGGAAACAACCTGTCTTTGGCGACCCGGTCAAAAATGCTAATCAGGCAGCACCGCAACCTTCATCCAGGCCGTCCATTGACGGAGATTTGGATTTCGCCCTGGATGAGGAGGACATGATCCCCGATGGCAGAGGCTCTTCACCACACACACGTGACCGCGCGGACGAAATAATGGGCCGAATAAAAAGGGCCGATGACGACGAAATGTACGAACCGAGCGAGGGCATTCTACCCGAAGATCGCGAAACCGGTGACTCACACGAAGAAGACGATTTTGATGCTCACGCGCAACACATTGAATTTCACCCTGGGTCTGTGCAACAAACCAATAATCCTGGCTTCCGACGTCCTTCCGTGTCCCACGATCCGGTATATACTGGCCGGGACTACGATCGCGCAGAACACAACGCCGTTACGAAAGAGATCTATGGCTCGTCATTTAACAGGCCTACGAGTAAGAGCTCCTTCACCCCTGGCAGTCTGGGCGAGTCCTTCATGGCGATGAACGCGGCGAGGATGATGAAGGAACGAAGAGCGAGCGATCAGACGACGCAAGTACGTTCATGATGTGATGCGAGTACACGGCGGATCTGTGTCCATTTTGAGGAGGATATACAGGAGGTTACATCTAGAGGGCTCTTTGGCTTCTGATATACGATCGTTTGTCTTGGGTGGGCAAATGAGGAAAACTCTTTTGATTGAAGATACCCCCTTTTGTAGCGAGCTTTGCCGGCGAGCTTTGATTGCTCGCGTTGAAATACCGCAGCAACGCATCAAATCTGTCACTCCTTCACGTACTTCTCTGCTTCCTTCAGGTGGCTTGTGGTGTGCGACTTTCGACATATTGTGCGGGCGAAACATGAGCTTTTTGAGAACTGTCTGTATGAACTAAATTCTCCTGATCTTGTACCTCGTCCGTCGGTCGAACACCCAAACGCCCGCAGATCGTGCAAGGTTGATGTACATAACCCACGACCGCACTCAACTTGAACAGACATTCTTACGCCCCCGAAGACAAAACTCACACTCCCCTAAAATTCTGCGTCCCAACCCTCGAATCCGGCAAAACCGAACTCCTCTTCCTCTCAACCATACTCGCACCTCCATGATGCTCACTCCATCTCCTAGCAACCGACTCCCTCCTCTCCTCTGCCTCTCCCTCATCCAACGTCGCATCCAACATGAAAGGACTTCTCGCCCTAATCGCCTCTCCCTTCCATAGCAAGGCCAAAGGCGCCAACGTCAAAGCAATCGCCAGTCCACCCAACAAACAAGAAGCGGTCACGAAGCCCAAGTTGTTATACATCGCCGGCGTCGCCAACGGCAAGAAAGCTCCTAGAGCATTTCGTCCTAGCCCAGCGGCTGAGAGGGCAGAAGCAGCGTATTTCTCATACGCGTCAGCGAGATAGTTTGTTACAGCGAGATAGATAGAATAAACTCCTATCCCAAACGCTCCAAGGGCAATCGTCGGTACCCAAAAAGATATATTCGGATGATTACTAACTCCAAACCAAATCATCGCCGCGCCGAAAATAAGGGATCCAGGAACTGAAGTGTACAATCTTGCTTCTGGGATGGGTTTCCCCGGCCGTTCGGTATTCCTTCCCGCGGAGGAGAAATAGAGACGATCTTGAAAAGGGTTTAAAAGCCAAGCGATGATTGCTCCAGCGGATATCGCCAGTTGGATTAATGTGAGTTGGAAAGTCGTGAAGTGGGGGTAAATCGCTGACATGACGAGTGGGACGCTGGATTGGAAGAGAAACAAGAGGCCCCAGGCGAAGCTGACCCAGAGGGTAAACATGATAACCACAGGTTCCGTGCAGAGCATTTTTGTCGGACGGAGGAAAGAGATTTTAAGAGCGGTGGCGAGACTGGGTTTATTGAGTTCAGAGCGAGCGTAAGCGGTTCGATGGCCTTGTTTGCGGAGTTTTTTTGCTCGGGTTGCGAGGATTACGTCGCCGCGGGTTTCGGAGAGGATCAAGTAGAAGGCCGGAAGGAAGGCTACGCAGTAGATGATTTGAATGTAGTAGATCCAGCGCCAGGAGAGGGTGGAGGAGGATTGGATTGCGCCGCCAACAAAAGGGCCTAGGGCGATTCCTACAACGGAGGTCATGCCGAAGACGGCCATCGGGGTGCTGCGGGCTCGGTCGCCTTTCCAGATGTCGGTGATCGTGCCGGCGACGATGGTGATTGCTACGCTGGAGGCGCCGCCGCCGAAGAAGCGGGTTATGAGGATTGTGGCGAAGTTGGGGGAGAGGGCGGAGGGGATAAGCCAGATTATGAAGAGGATGTAGGCGGCCTGGTAGTATGCTGTTAGCGCGTTGAACAGGAGGTGAGATGGGCGCAGGCTTTCATGGACGTACGAAATAGCCCGGCATGCGACCCGTGCTCTCTGTCAATGGTACGAAGAGCAGCGGAAAGAAAGCTGCGCCTATGTTCCAAGTGGTGAGTGCGAAAGATAGATATGGAAAGCCACTTTGATCAATGTGCCAGGCCTCAGACATCTGGTTGCTTGCGGCGCCGTACGCTCCAGCTGGGATTCCAGTCAGGATGGAGCTGCATTCCTGTCAGTCTGACAACTTTCGAATCTTCAGGAGAGGCGAGTACATGAAACATGTTGTCAATGTCGCTGTCCACTTGTATGCGTTTGACCAATTGAACCTGTCCAAGGTTAGCATTCCTGATACTCTGCTTGATGCTGTGCTCGCATCGGACTCACGGATTCTCTGGATCATCTGGTCCATTCCAGTCGATAATCTGAATGTGCTCATTGGGTCTCAAGCCCAGCTTCTGATGTAAAGCAGCAGCTTCTGCGTCGTGTTGGTCGCGGTGTGGATGTGGAGCAGCAGCTAGATTGCTACTCAGTCGACTGCGTGCTAAGGGTCAAGTTGTCCAATATACCAATCGCTATATGTGGCCCACCTTGCTGGGCATATTCTACTTGGGAGTGGTGCTCTTTGCTGTAGCCGGAGCCTGAGGTGGCGATGGAGTTGTAGCGGAAGTCATAGTTGCTCTTGTCGACGCTGCCATGGCCTTCTTCGAAGTCTCGATCGGCTGGCATGTTGTTTGTCGTTAGTTCTTGCTAGATCTTCGAGATCTGTTGCATTGGTGGGAGAAAAGGGCCGAGAAGTGTCAATCAACAGTCATGCCAAAGGAAATCGAGCAGACTTCAACTTCTCTGATCTCTCGACTCGGCCTCAATGCCATCACCGCGGTGTTTTGGAAGCTCCACGTTAGGCCTAGATCTCGCGCTCGTAGAAGTGTCCATTGACATCATCGTGTAGCCGAATGTCATCAGTTTTCTTCCACTTGGACGAGACCGCGAGCGACGCAGCGAGAACCCGAACTGACGAGGTCGAGAGCTAGCTGGATAATTGATATCCAGCCAGTCAGCATGAAGCCAGATGGTTTGGCCATAGCATCAATGGCTCAGGCAAAGCTCTCGAAGCGGGACCAAATTTTGGTATGGAGTCTGGACGGAGAGCTTGATCCCTATGATGCATAGCGCGCCTCGGTCTCCATAGCACGTCAAGATGCTGCGATCAGACATGTTTGGGGTCTATTGTGCGTGCTTGTGATCGTGTACAAGGAGACGCGTAGACGCGTGAAGTGCGACTCTTAATGCTTGGCTGAACGTCTCACCACTTTTGGGAGCCTGACACATGTTCTGGTGAGAGCCAATCCCACTGTCAGCTTCTCGACTCTTACCCACCGCGTCGACACCTGTACAGGCTGTACTCAACAGTAAGAACTGCCAAGAGCGGAGGCAATGGATACCAGGGAGGCTGAGAAGACAGCGGAAGTGAACGATGAATGCCGAGATGCACGATGCCGGCTTCCGTGTCAACGATCGCCGCGAAGGAATTCCTCCCACGCCCTAAGACTTCCTCGCAAACGCTCCTCCGAACTCGGCTTTGTACTTGCTTTGCCGCCCGTGACTGTTTGATATGCTATAGAAGTCGCGTGTGATACTCTCGTTTGCCATGGCTCACTTATCATGACAGACAACGAAACATCAAGAAGATGGACATTTCGGTCATTTCGCCGAGCTCACCCTACCAACATGCCAAGGATTGGACAGGACCCAACGACCATGAAAACCCAAGAAACTTCTCCACAGCACGGAAGATCTTCTCCACGGTAGCATACACTGGTCTGGCCTTTGTCAGCACTCTCGCTGCGTCGCTGTACGCGGCAGGCAGGGAAAATGTCAAAGCAGAATTCAACACGACAGAAGAAATATCAATTTTGCCCTTATCTCTTTACAATGTCGGAATGGCATTTGGACCTTTAATCGGGTCGCCTCTCAGTGAGACAGCAGGACGTAGAGTCGTGGTGCTGGTCACAACGCCCATGTTTGCGCTCTTCATTCTGGGATCTGGATTCTCGAACAGTGTCATTGGACTGAATATATGTCGATTCTTCGCCGGTGCTGTTGCTGCACCCGCAATTGGCAATGCTTCCGCGACGATTTGCGACTATACTGCTGGCAAATATCGTTCCGTTGTCATGTCGTTCTACTACGCCATTCCGACGTTTGGAGCCGTGCTTGGTCCCCTCATCGGTGGATTTGTTGTGCAGGGCAAAGGATGGAGATGGACGCAATGGACGACCATCTTCTTCATCATAGCTTTTTATATTCCGGTCCTCTTCACTAAGGAAACATACAAGAAGACCATTCTCCAGCAACGCGCTAAGAAATACAACATCGAAGGACCCGACGTGGTACAAAGAACGGTATGGCAATGGACGCAATACTTCATTACTGTCCTCTTCCTGCGTCCGGCACATATGCTCTTCACAGAGACTATTGTGACTCTGGTCTGCATGTACAGCGGCTTTCTCTTTGGACTGCTCTACAGCTTCGTCACTGCATCGCCCTGGGTATACGAACACTACTATGGCTTCGGCACAACCGGACAGAGCCTCTCGTTCCTGGGCCTGATCATGGGTGCATTACTGGCTCCGGCTCCGCAGATTCTGCTCGACCATTACATCTATCAACCTCGACTCAAAGCTTACCTTGCGGCACATGGTACAGCCGAGCGTTTCCCTCCAGAACATCGATTGTACCCAGCTATCATTGCAGCGCCTCTTCTGCCAGCTTTTCTCGTCCTCTTTGCGTGGACAGCTGAGCTTCGTGTTCACTGGGCATGTCCCATCATATTCCAAGGACTGGCAATGATGGCTTCTGTCGTTATCTACGCTCCTTCGAACCTGTTCATGATTGATGCATATGGACCACTTTACGGAGCTTCTGCTGCTGGCGCAGCCATGTTGAGCAGGTACACGCTGAGTGCAGCTTTCCCGCTTTTTTCTCTGCCCATGTTTGAAGCGCTAGGAGTCGGCTGGGCTACGACGTTGCTGGCGGGTTTCACAGCTGTTATGGCACCTATACCTTGGTTGTTTTGGAAGTTTGGCGCAAGGATAAGATTGAGGGGAAAGTACGAAATTAGTGACTGATATCGACAGATGTGTATAGACTACAGAAATTGATGATATGCTGCACGCTTCGTTGACCTCTACGCCACGCGCCATTGATTGAAAGCCTTCATGGCCAGATGAAGAGTCAGAAGTATAGGGCAGACTGCATGGTCACACAGGAGGCAAACTCATACTTGCTCTACCCCCATATGTCCAAACATAAGATTCAGCATACTCTCAGAGCACTATCAAACCGAAGCGGCAGCATCACATAGCATCGTGCAGCTGAACTGAGAGGTAAAGGAGTCAAAAGGTTGGGATCCGACTCAAAAAAAAATACCTCATATGTCACCCCGTACTCATCCCTTAGAGGAACCGTCCATGCAGCAACGACAAAAAAAAAGATAGAAGCAGGATCATTCACGACACCTAAGAGATTCGAACTCTGTTGATAATTAGCGACTGTCCATGGCAGGTTCGACCGCAGAATTACGTACCTTGCTCCCGAAGGAACTGGCTAGACAGTTGAATACGACTGAGTCGTATAGTTCCAATAGCAGGCCAGCGCGCTGGAAGTTCATTAGAATAATGAATAGACATTTGACAGTTCAAGTCAACTTACTTAACCACTCCGCCCGTAGGGAAGTCAGCAATTGAAGACGTAAGTTGGATCGTGATTGTACTAACCAAAGTGCCTTGATATGAATTGTGGGTGAAACAATTCATATATGTAAGCTGAAACTGAGCTCCCTCAGTTTGTTGCTATTTTTGGACACAGCCCCTCCTCTTGGCTCACACCCTCCATATTACATCACTGCCAGGAGCTCTCTGCCTCAATGTCTCTCTCCGTGTGTACACAAAATGCGCACTCCTGAACGACTCCCTGAACGCAATTGTCCTTTTCAATTGCGATCAAGCGAAGAACGAGCCTCCAAATTAAAGCTACGACCTAGAACGTGTCTCACATGCAAGTCCAAGCCCAAGCAATCGGATAGTGGAGGCTCAGTCGGGCACCGACGACGCTGACACTATTGCCTTGGGAGATTTGCTGTCGTGGCCTAGCATTCTGCCGAACATACCACGGCACTCGAACGATGGCGTGGCCTGGAACAGACCAGCTTTTGCTGCCCATCTCATCAAATTGGGGGTCAGCAGACACAATCTTCACAACAGAGCGACGAGGCCTCGGTGGCGACCCGGTTTGCTCTCCACGTCAATCGGAAAATGCTCCACCGCTTGCCGCGCTATATGGAGTTGAAAGTGGAGAGAGTGGATCTTCTGCATTGCAATCTTTACATCAACGCAGTCCGGACCCGATATTCTTGCACTTTCTCTCCATCCTGACAGTCACGCGCGTCGTCGTCTTGGGGGCCGCTTATGACGGGTTTCCTCACTGGGTCTTGATGGAACCTTGGAGACCCTCTTGCTCAATGCCTCAAAACCGCTGACAGGTAACTGCTTCCCTCTCACTTTTGTGTTCCTTCCCTTTGCTCTCCCAAAGCGACAGATCTCGTCTGACAGTGACCACTTTTCCTGTTTCCTTGCACACCTAATCACATACTTGGCGCATTTTGTTTCAAGTGCACATACCACTCTTAATTCAGCATCGCGAACATCCGGAAATATGACAGCTCCAGAAGATGCGGCGCAAGCCCTCCCGTCGCATACCCCAGATGCCACACGGAATGTCATGACAGCAGCCGACAGAGGCACGACACGAGCGGAAAAAGACGAACATGCACAAGCACAACCCAAAGCGCAGCGCCCCGGCATGCCTCGCTTCACAACAAGTAAAGAGAATGTGCTCGCACAATTCTTCATTGGTGCGATTGACCAAGGAACGACCAGCACAAGATTCATCATCTTCGATGGGACAGGCCAGCCAGTCGCCAGTCATCAGCACGAATTCACACAACATTATCCGCAATCAGGTTGGCACGAACACGACCCTCAGGAACTCATAGCCAGTGCCGAGAACTGCATCAAAAGAGCCACGGCGACTTTCCAGGATCTTGGTCACGAGATCAGCGACATTCGAGCGATTGGTATCACCAACCAAAGAGAGACCACTCTTGTATGGGACAGCGAAACTGGCGAAGCACTTCATAATGCAATTGCTTGGCCGGATACTAGAACAAAAGGTCTGGTTCGAGAACTACAAAAGAAAGAAGAAGAGCTCGGAATGAACTTCTCAGAGTTGACTGGTATGCCACTGTCAACCTACCCATCTGCAGTGAAGTTGGTTTGGATGCTGCGGCATGTGCCGAAGGTGCGAGAAGCATACGACAATGGCCGACTCGCATTTGGCACTGTCGATACCTGGTTGCTTTACAACCTCAATGGCAAGAAGATGGACTTCTATGTCACGGATTCTACAAACGCATCGCGGACTATGTTCATGAACCTTCACACTGTGAAGTACGATCCGAAGCTTCTGGAGTTCTTCGACATCGACATTAACAAGCTGCACCTACCGCGCATAGTGCCTTCTTCTGATGCCGACGCATACGGCAGTATCGCGTCTGGTCCTTTGGCCGGCATGAAAATTGCAGGCTGCCTAGGAGATCAATCTGCTGCTCTCGTTGGGCAACAAGGTTTCACTCCTGGCTCTGCCAAGAACACATACGGCACTGGTTGCTTCCTTTTGTACAACGTCGGAGAAAAGCCTGTCGTCTCGACTCACGGCCTCTTAGCCACGATCGCATACGATTTCGGGAGACACCGGAAGCCCGTGTACGCGCTTGAGGGCTCAGTTGCCGTGGCTGGTTCAGGTGTCAAATTCCTGATGAACAACATGGGCTTCATCACCCACTCCCACAAGATCTCAGATCTCGCAGCAACTGTCGAGGATAACGGAGGCTGTGTTTTCGTCACCGCTTTCTCTGGTCTCTTCGCACCATACTGGATCGACGATGCAAAGGGAACAATCTTCGGCATTACCCAGCACACTCAGCGAGGCCACATTGCCCGAGCAACACTCGAAGCAACCTGTTTCCAAACCAGAGCAATCTTGGATGCCATGGAGAAGGACAGTGGGCACAAACTTACCAGTCTTGCTGTGGACGGAGGCATGTCCAGCTCAAACTTGTGCATGCAGGCGCAAGCAAACATCAGCGGCATCTCGGTCGACCGCCCTGCAATGCGTGAGACGACCGCTCTTGGTGCCGCCATCGCTGCAGGCTTTGCTGTTGATATCTGGAAAGAGTTTGAGGAGCTCAAGGCTATCAACCAGAAAGACCGAGTCATCTTCAACCCAGACTGCACGCCTGAAGTGTCGAAGAAGATGTACGAGAAGTGGAGTCGCGCAGTCCAGATGTGCAGAGGCTGGCTGGATCCCGACGAGGCTGGAGGCGAGTTTGACTGAGAGATTAGTATTCCTTTTGCTAGTGAAAGATACCAAGTTGTGTTTGTTGCGTGGAACTTATAGATATTGAGGAGAATGAGGTCGCCGACCCGGAAATGATAGAATGTCCACCTTTGCCGCGAGATGTCGTCTTGTCAGTCCGGTGGTGGTGAATGGCGGTTCATCTTCGCCGCAAAGCTCTTCGCGATGTCGAGACCGAAGTTGCCGACCGAAAAGTGATACGTCTTCTTATGTTCCCGTGCTCGTTCCGTCTTGGTCTTCTGTCATTAGTGCAACTTTTCGTGTTCGACCAGGCAGCCAACCCTAGTGCATGAGCTAAGGAGCGAAGTGATAGATCGATTATGTCGATATCCGGGCCAGAAGACGAAAGTCCAGTGGTATCTTCGTGCACGAGCTTTGTTAGAAAGCTCTCGTCACGGTATGTCTTTGCCATCAAAGCCTCCGACAGCCTCTCGCGATGCTTGCCGTATCCAGTTCTGGTATCAAATTTGCATGGTCCAAAGCTATGCCGTGCATCGTCTCGTGTGACGCGTGCCGGCGTCTACATTGAAGGACGGTGCCACGATGCCTGCTTCTACCCTGACCAACGCTCGGGCCTCGTGGTACATCGCCATCTTCATTGACCGTTTTTCCTTTCGGTGTCGTTGCTTATCTGTCCCACCGACCTGGTCTTTTCCGATCATTATATTCAACTCGTTCGTGCTCGCAGAGACCCGGATACTTCCGCATCTTGCAGATTCTGGTACCGAGGCCAAAAGTGTAATTCGGGTGTTGCAACATCTTGTCATGCGTAGTTGCGGTCTGTCAGAGACCAGCATCCGACCTTTGTATCTGGACTGATCCACTTACGATGCAGAGGCTGGATACCCTGCTAGCACGAGTGGGACGCGCCATCTTCCATTCTTTCACAGCGACCTAGGGCCCGTATGGTCTTTCGCCGTGCGCAGTACGGCTCTCAGCCGACGACCTCGCTCGTGTAAAGCGACTGACGTGGCATCTCGACCGTAAGAGTCTGGCCCTCTGGGGGGATGAGATTCCACGATTTCGTTCCTTCGCGGTTCGTTTTGACATCGTCCTGCTAGCTGCATGTGCTCATGTACAAGCCATGCCACGACTCCAGCACAATGACACGCAGAGACGCGCTGCATTTGCTTCAAATCGGATGAGAGCTCTGCAACTAGACGGTGTGCAATGCAATATGCTGAACTGCGCCATGAATGCACTGTACGCCGTAAGTATGATGAAGAAACTGCGACAGTTCCACGAAAGCCTAGATCGATGGCAACTGCATCACTCTCTGATTGCGCTCCCTCACGCTGAAGACGCAGTGGCCGAATCAGAAGGATCTCAAGATGCTGTCAGACTGTACACCTGGCGTAGTGCAACCACGGTGCCGTATGCGTGGACACGTTGTGCACGTTTCGGTAATCGCTCGTGATTCAGGATGAAGAGTACTCACGGAGATCAAGTGTCACTGGTGTAGTAGCAACAAGCCCGTCATGTCACTTAATCATGGATCTCGAAAGCAGGGCTCACCGCTCCGTGGCTATGCAGATCGAACTATTTCGGAATGCCACCCGGGGGGTCGATCGCCTGACCGTGCGAGGGTTTTGTGGCGTCGGCTCCCTTCCGACCTTCGTCTTGAGCTCTCGTGTCGTTGGTTACGACAGAAGACGAGACGCAAAGGCAGCGCCCGCCCCCGAACCCTGAAGGCCTGACAAGAGACCATGTCATGACAATGTGATCAGTGCAGAGTTTGACATCACAGGCTGTGGCACTTGCGGAGTCGGGACTGCTGCCCTGTGCTGCCAAGTTTCCCAATGGGTTGGTGACCGGACTCTTGGGTCAAGTGGGCTGATGCGTCAAGGCGCTAGGAATACTATCAGGTCGTCCAGAATGAAATCCTTATACCTGATCCCGGATGACGTCCCGTGCCAGTGGGTCTGAGAGGCAACCCATACAGGCGACCACGACAGTCTTGGAGACTCAGTTGTCAGGTCATGCAGCCAGCGCCATCAGCCCTATCTTGGGCACGAAGACGGCACTGATATAGCCCTTGCGATTCATGACAACGTCGAATGGCGATGCTGCGCTGTGCACATGAGGATATGCCGATTGATTATGCTCACGGCAGGCAAGGCCCGTCGTCCGCAGTCTCCAAGACTACGAGTCCTTTTTGCCGTGCCGTAGCACTACTATGACCTGCCGGTGGTGCCGGCATGAACGAATCGCAAGCTTCAGACAGGCCCCTGCAACCTCATTCGTGGGGACGGCGTCTCGTTCATCATCCTCAGCCATCTTGCGTGGACTTTGTGTACCTGCCCACACCCCACTCCTCATGTTCTCGCCCGAAGTCTGCCGTAACCTGCCCAACAAGTCGTCTAATAAGTACAACAGTGGTTACCGGCGCACAATCCGTTTCATGTGGATGAGAACAGTGTGATCTGTATCATCTAGAAGGAGCCGACCGACAGTCGTCCGATCATCCGGTAGTGCATTCAAGTGCCGACATGGATGCAGGCACGGCACCGCAAGACAAATAGTCCCCAGTTTGCTAGCTGGACACCGAGACCACCATCTTGGAGTCGCCACAAGTCGTTCAGCACACTTCTCGGATCCCTTTCAACCACATACTGGCGAGCTCAGCATTACGGCCACCGATCTTTTAGCCTTTCGACCCAAGAACCATGTGTGACTATACAAAAGTCCAGTACGCCTGCAACCACCTGCGCTACACAGTGCGCTATTGGTGTAAGTCGCTCGTCAGTTTCCGTCGTATCATCGCTGATATTCGCGAAGGCACCAGGTATCAAGAAACGCACAAGCGTTGTCCAGCAAACGTAGTAGAAGTCGAATACCGTCTGAGCGAGAGGTGTGGTAAGATTGCAAGCCCTGGTCTATCTTACCGCAGCTGATGGCTAACGTTGGAGCAGGAGACTGCAGGGAAAGCCCTTTGCCGCTCTACACGCTGAAGAGAAAAGGGTCGACGGCGTCGACCAAGAAGAAGGACGGCGCATCATCAAAAAGATCGCAGTGATGAAGCGAGGCGTGGGACAGGATCGGTCGGGTAGAAACTTCTCAGGTCTGGCATATCGCTCGTGGACAAATATCGAGAGGTATCAAAGCTTCCGTCTCATCTCCAACCTTTCGTCAACACGAGCGTGATTGTGGCGGCATTGCTGACCCGCGCGACTGGCAGATACCATGCGCTTGAGCTGGACCACGGGGCTGGACCTGAAGGATCGTGTACGACTTGTGCTCAACGGCGCCCTGCAGCAAGCTTGTCATACGAGGCTGATTGCAGCAGGGTAGCGCAGCGGCAACCAGAATCAGGGAACATGTTGCTCACGAGGTAATCCTGTGATCATTGGATTGCAGAGGGCTGGGGCCACAGCAATGTGATGCGTTGTCGCCGGCTTGTGATCAGGGCAAAGACTGCGCCAGCCGCAGCTGGATGACCCCACGTGTGCACCTGGCAAACTTGACAGGCTTGTTCTTGAGCCGGGTCTTCGTGGAGTCGGCTGTAGCCTCGACAGAACGGGATATCTGTTGCCGCTGCTGAAGTGGATTGAACTGGAGAGTGAACGGCGTTCCGTGGGGCACTGCTAACGGCAAGTCCTGACAAGTCCGCATTGTGGAAAAATTGCCAGCGTTTTCAAGGGAGCTGATCCTAGAGACCTCTGGCCCTCCCGAGAATGGAGCCGCTGTGGATGGCACAATCAAGTCGCCATTCGCATGTCGTTTCCACGCCTTCCTGCGCAACACCTCCCCACCCCACGCATGTCCCTTTTTGGCTGTCGTGGGAAGCCGGAAACGGAATGGCTTTGTCGCAAAACGAGTGGACTTCGGCGAAAGGGCAGCAGTGCGTTTGGTGCAGCTTTCGGTGGGGTGAAGTGGAAGGAATGATTGTCGAAGAAGTTTGTGTCAAGGCCAACGTTTGATCCGAGCCAGGATCAGGCTTCGTGAAACGGATCGCTCTTGCAACTTTCGGACCGCACCTTGCCGACACATTGGCAACCACCCCGTACAAGGATCTTCTCCTCACCAGGGAAGCTGGTGTGGACATGCCTCGCTACTCTCCTTCGGCGTTGGACCAGATGAAGACCGGTCCATTGACCCGTCAAATGTAAAATACTCGAGCACCGACATCCGGTAATGGCTGGGCTTTCCATAGACCACGGACTTGCAAAGTGGGAGAAAGCCCACCGCTGCATCCATGCCTCTACGCCACCGTACTACGCGAGAGGACTGACTTCGACCTCCAATTTCGCGCCTGTGGAATGGAGTCGTCATTGAAGCGGACCTCGTCGCCCAAAGACCGATCCAAGACCAGTCGCGCGCGCATAGCGCATCCGTTGCACACCGGAAGCTCTCAAATTGGGCAGTGCTCCTGCGTGGTTTAGCTCTGCACACTACCTGCAAGCATCCTCGCGACTCTCTAGCTGCGACGCGAGATCTGAGATGGCCATCCGATGGCCCTCGGCCAATTAAGAAAGATGGAGCAGGCGGCCCTCTCTTCCAGAGGCGGAGCAGCTCATGAAGAGGCTGAGGAGGATGTTTCAGGCTATGTCTGACCATCTCACTTGCGGGGCAGCGAATTCGCTCGAGGAGATCTCTTCAAGACGGCAGAGATGGTTGATCTTCGTTCCGGCCCGCGATTTGATCTTCACGCAAACCTCGAAGCAGGAACATCCATATATCTCAAGAGTCAAAACATGCACTACATCTGAGACTGTCAGGCCTGCTGAAGAGTGCTATGGTGTTACCCACTAGGATCGGAAATCGAACTCACTCGATAGCCGAGTCCCGAGTGAACCCACATCCCTTCATTACATCAGCCCAGATCTTCAAAGTGAAGAAATAAGTGGGTGATTGTAAAAAGGGTATCGGCGAGCTAAGACACCCATCCACATTGCGCGATCAGTATGATCAAGACCTTGCCTGGCCCGCTGTAGTGCCTCGATGGCTACCCTAAGGAGACCAAACTCCGATGGTCTCGGGCGCAGAAAGGACTTGGCGGCTATGGTGTCAGTTACCTTGATGCAATGATCAATCTCGACATTGCATAACTTCCGTTCTAAGCGATCCCATGATCAGCGTTGACGGGCAAACACCATCTCTTACAGCCATAGATTGCTGCATGACCTTTTGCAAGAATTACTCGGAGCACTCTACTTTCGACAGCTACAACAAATCCGCCGACACTTCCCTTGCACCGAGTGCCCATCGACATGTGCCAACATATCAGAGTCCAATACGCATGCAGACATGTGCGCTACTGCGTGCTGTCCTGGTGTAAGTCCAAGCCCAACAACAGCCTGAGTCTGCAACGTCAGCTGACCGTCTCAGGTTCAAGGTACACAAGACAACAACGGCGATGTCCGTTGAAGATTCGGCGGCGAGAAACCATATCATGTCAACGATGTGGTATGCAATTCATGTGGCTTCGTGTTTGCATTTCTGATTCCAACAATAGGCGACTGCTGGGATACAAATTCCTTGACAGCGCGGAAGTGTTGTCTACTCAGCGGGTATTGAACTCTTCTCAGGCGTTTGGGGGAGAGTCATTGAACACGAGTATTCATGGAGAGAATAAGAGGAACCTGCAGGTCGGGTGTGATGAAACGTTTCAGATGTTACAAGACAACATGATGTAAGATAAACTTCGTTCGGCTGCATACCAATCACAATGTCAGCCAGACTACGTCCGGCCATATACCATAACCAATATCAGCCTTTCCTTCACCTCATTGTCCTCCTGGACCTCATTCTCGAGCCTCCACGACATCCGAAGCCTCCGCGGCCGCCACGCCCACATTCTCCGCGACTGACCGCGTATGTCTTGAAAGTGGCAGTCAAACCCTTCTCCTCGTCGGGCTCAGCAACATACCAAGGCGGCCTTCCAAGCCTGACCCGGTCTTCCGGCACCACCAGATTTCGATCCGCAGAGCCCTCATATTGGCAGACAAGAGGGCAAGTAGAGTCGGTAGCCTGGTAGGAAATGCTGCAGGTAAGAGGTTCGCGGTTTTCGAGAAGAGGCGAACCTGAACCCTCAAGATAAATTTCAGGGTCGCCCTCATCGCGAAAGGGTTCGACGGCCACTTCACCGAAATCAGACACCAGGACACCAGTCTCAGTCAGCTCGAAGAAAAGTGCTGCGTCCTCTTCATCAAAGGCAACTCCGCTTCGTGTAGCTTTGTCGGTACCAGTTCGCAAGTATTGGTCATCCTCGTTCGCGATGGCAAAAGTAGGCACAACATAGGTGGTGGTGGCATCTGCGGTGACCGTAGAGGTAACCTGTGCACCTAAGTCAGCGAATGAGTCGGACCTTTTCGAATCATCTGAACGTACGGAGACTGTAGATTTCGCTTCTTTGGTAACCTTGACAGTCGATGTTACTGTGGTGGTTTGAGGCTTGACTGAAGCACACTTGCACGCGGAAGTAAGCTGCGCAGACTTGGTATAGCTGGCAAAGCAGGACGGCTTGTGCACAGTATTCGGGCCATATCCTTTGGGTGCGTTGGCATCGCGCTTGATCTTGGCCTCCGGATCTGGTGTCTCGTCGCCGCCGTCGGTAGGTTCATCGTCAATGGGTGGCGTTGTGGCCGGAGCAGCGCAAGATACAGTGCTCGTGACAACGCTCGCCGGCTTTGTGATTGTAGCAACAACTGTGGTTTTGGTTGTGGTGCAATACACAGTCGATTTCTTGGTCGTAGTGCTCTTGGGGACCTTGAGCAGCGAAGAGCAGTACGCGGTCACTGACGCTTTTGCCTTGTTGCCGGAGCATTTCTTGTTGAAATTTGAGCAAAGGTATGACGGCGGATTATTGTTCCTGGCGATCAACTCTGGTGCGGGAGCAGGACCATTGGCAGCTCCAACGCCAGCGACTGTTGCGAAGAGGAGTGCCTTGAACATCTTGCGTGCTGAATAAACGCGGAAAGTCGGGTGCAACCTCCATCAGCTCTCGACGGGCACAGGCCGTAGATGTACTGTCATGTCTGCATGTTCTTGGAAGCGGTCTCGCCAATGGCACCCCATGCGGTTGAAGCCTCCAAATCACGGCGGCGCCGCAAAGGCGTCGCCTTGCCTGGATGTTTCTTAGCAGAACGCGCTATAAGCTGATGTGGCTCAGCCACAGCCCTCGAATAGGCATGAGCACGGTGCAGTCCAGCCGGATGCAGAATGATCATGCCAGAGCCACGTGCAAACGCCTCACAGTAGCCAAAAGTCAAAGTTGGAGAAGTCCAGACTCCAGACATCACGCCACCGAGACGTTAAGAGTTGGGGCGCTCTCGAACGTCTCTAGTTTCAGAAACATGGCAGACACCACTTGCCTGTTGAATCAATCAGATGCATCGCAGGCCCGAAAAGACGTGAATGAAATTCTCGGAGCAATGGTGACAAGAGGAAGGAGGAAGCGCGAAGTTGGGGGAAGACGCCAAGACCCGGCGGGATCCGCTAATCAATATTTGATGGCTTGCGATCTCCTTCGCAGTGAAGTACACCTTCCGCATCCACTGCGCGTGGACAGTACTCCAACTCGCACAGCTGAGTTCGACACAGCTTGCCATAGACATCGACTGGCCGCAAACCACCTTCCTACGGGACTGCCCTCGCCGTACCTACCGGGTCGTGCCGCAAGATGAAGCAGAAGATCGGTGGGCGAATCACGACACACGCAAAGAGCGGAACAGAGCGGCGATTGCTCCTCAACAGAGCATGAACAGAGCACGCATTGAGCTGAGATCGCTTGTCAAGCGAGCTCTGATTGAGCTTGCCTACAACACTCCTCCTTGTGCGACCACAAGCAGGGCTGAGTTTGCGAATCGACACAGCCTCGCTTGTCCAGAGTGGTGTTCGGGATGTATTATATGCAAGGGCAGAGGTTGCCCCGACCTGCAACGCTCATAAGCTTTCAACACTCGCTCAGTGGCCATAGCAGCTGACATGCCAGCGATATTGACGTCGACCAAGCAGGTACACACGGAGACTGTGATCCAGGAACTTGACGTGCTCGAAAGCCCAAGAACCCGCCGTAGACGGGAGACGAGTGCAGATAGGAACCACCGCCATTACGATGACTTGCGCGTGACATTTGAGAAAACCATCAAGGGCCGCTACCGCAATGGTTCCGCAATCTACGATAAAGTTGGAGTTCTGCTCATCACTTGGCAGGACGATGATATGAATGTGTGGACGAAGGAAGTTCGGGATCTTGCAGCCGTCTTTCAGAAAACATTCTCCTTCGAGGTGGAGCACTATCGCATTCCGACGGAAAGAGCAGTTACTGGAGTCAATGCTAAAGTCGCCGACTTTGCCCATCGTTATGATAGCTCCGAATGCCTGGGCATAGTTTACTACGCAGGTCATGGCGCTGGAGATGATCAAGGCCGCCTCAGCCTGTACGCTAGAGCCAGGGAGAACCACGACGGACATGTTCACGTCCCATTCGACGATATCACTTACCACTTGCACCGATGTGACGCCGATATTTTGGTCATCACGGATTGTTGTCATGCCGCTCTTGCATTCGGCCAAGCAGAGGTCGGCAAGCGCAGATTCGAGATCATTACTGCAACTGGGCCAGGACAAGATGCCGATGCACCCACTGGGACGAAGTCTTTCACCAAAATCTTGTGCGCGGCGCTGGAAGAACTGGCGCCCGAGCCGACCGGATTCACGACGTCCAAGCTCTACCGCAATGTTTACCACAAAGCAGATGCGAGTCGCAAGCCTTTCCTCTTCGACCAAAGTATTCATGACTGGGGCAGGATCTGGATACAGCCACTGGGCGACAGTTGCGACATCGTTCGCGATGAGTGGAAGCCATCAGCTCAGGGCGACGCTTGTGTTCACTTGGAATTGCGGATGCGTGCGAAGCCGAAGCTGAAGACCATGAACGATCTCGCGCGTGAACTGCAGTTCTTACCGCATGTCAAAGAGGTGACATTCAGAAAGATGCACGCTCCTCGGCTCGAGATCGAGGGATTCATGACAGGGGTTACCCAAGCGATGAAAATTCGGCCCCTAATCAAGAGGCTGCGCAAACGCTTAGAGGAAAAGAGAGTTGCTGAAGGGCGTGACAGAATGGGCGTGAAAACGCCGCCGCCAGATCCCAGCCATTCGCCATTACTGTACAATTGGAACGAATCCTTCAAAGATGCCCACGATCCGAACGACGAAGGTGTCAGTGAGGCGCAAGAGAATGGTGCGGGACCTAGCCACTCGCGCAATCCATCGATAGAAGTGCATGGCCCTGTCACCGCACGGCCTCAGCCTCATGTGGATGAATTAATTGGTACTGAGCCGCCAGTCTCTGCTTGCTATGAGGCCGCAAACGTGGCGGATTTGCCATCTCTTACCACGATAAATGGAAGTTTGATCTGAGTCAGGCACAGATCATCGAAGGTGGCGACGCAAACAACTCAGCTTGCTTATATTGCGCGACAGTACACTGCATGTTGTGCTTTGGACCCTGTAGCTAGCTACCTTACTCTGCATATTCCAGTTTAGGAACGCGATAACATCTCGGCCAACGATAAAACGACTCTTCATCGCACCTTTTGCTCCTTTCAGACGGGTGATCATGTCTGCAAACACAGATACGAAGGTGAGCGCGGTCAGCACGAAAAGCGTGCAACGCTAACAGGGACGAGTCTGCGCATTTGGCGCCACCTGAGCAGGACATCAAGGATGATAGCTCAGACTGGGAATCGCCTGACGAGAACGAGAAGGACAAGGCGCCCGACAAAAGATCCGTGCAGAAAGGGGTGAAGAATAAGGCTAAGGCTTGTCACGCCAACAATTAGTGCTGCCGGGCTCTCGCTGACCATCACAAGCCTGATCCATTGTATCACAGAAACGAAAAGGTCGGCCTACTGGAAGATCGTGGCCCAGGCAAGAAGTGGAAAGTGACCCAAGTCCACTACTCAAATAACACTTACGATCTGCTTCACGACGATGGCAAGACTGTGAAGCTACGAGTGCCGGAGGGAAAAATAGAATAGGGCAGTAATTGTTTCGATCCAAATCGGGCATACGAGTGCGATTCTGCGATCTCTTCTCAGCTCACGTTGCGCTGTGCGTCATGATAAGCCGCTCAGTTGGCGAGGAAATCTTGCCGGAGGTCTTTGTGGAGGGAACGGCTACCATCAGCTCGCATTGTGGCAACAGCTAAGCGTGGTTACACAACATGTACCATGTATCAACTGTGCCCCCGTTGTGCCCGTGACAGCCACTTCGTAACCGAGCTGCGCTACACTGCCTCTGTGTGCAACCACACTGAGGGCACGAGCAGAAGGCCTCACTTCGCGCAGGCTTTGAATAACAGCTTTTGGGTCCCAACAAAGCTATCTGACAACAGCATAATCCACCCACACACGCGCACGTGCCAAGAGTTATTATCGGAGTTGACACTATTCCAAGATGCCTAAACCTCAATCTCGAAGCGAGTCACCTTCAGTATCGCCCACTTCGACAGTGCTCGGGAACGGACAAGAGCCGTCTGCAGTGATCGGAGCTGCATCTGAGCACGATGTAACAAGCACGCACACAACCTCAAGCCACTCCTCTCAAGGCTCTGTGGATCTGGAATCGCAATCAGCGACAACAAGAAGACCAAGCGTCATCAACGTCCTCCGCAAATTCAGCTCAACCTTCTCCGATCAAATCCCACCTCACTGGAAACCCAATCACATCAACGAGAAACGTGACACTCGATCACTGGAAGACTATCCGAAGGGCTTCCCTCGATTCGCAGCATGGATGAACTGCGATGAGAATTTCCTTATGACTAGACGGTATGGCTGGCTTCACAACCGCGTAATGCTATATCGGCAATCCGAACTTCGTCAACTGGAGATCAAACTTCAGTTATGCGATGAAGGCGACGAGGAGTCCAAGGATCCTGCGTTGGTTGATCATCGCATGTTTGCCCGAGGAGATTCGGGCGAATATAGGAAGGAGCTCATTCAGCAAATTGACGAGAAGTTGGAGCAGTATGGTAAGACTTTGACAAGCTTGCGCCTGATCGTCCATGCATTCGATCTGAAGCAGCCTTCTGACAATATAACAGACAGCATAGTAAGGCGGGTCAAAGAAATGTCCTCACTGCCAAAAGCCACAAGGAGGAATTATACATCTGTATGCAACCACATCGACAAGCACGCTCCGATCGCGCAACGAGAGCAAGACGTCTTCATGAACGACTCGGACTTCGTAGCCCTGGTCGAGCAGCATGAGACCAAGTCCTTCGATGGGTTTGTCGAAGACATTCTGACCCTTCTACCTTGTAAACGAGTGACACAGGTATCAACCCTTCCCTCCCCACATGCACCACCATAACACCCTCCTCTCTCTTCTTTTCACCCTCTCAAAACTGTCATCTGACACTGGAAACAGTTCTTCTTCTCCAACGCTGAGCAACGCGCCACCAGCACGGACGAAAACCTCTTCCTCTACGACAAACGACGCATCGACGTCTTCATCCGCCTAATCATGACATGCCTCGCAGTCGGACTCCTCCTTGCCCCCGTCGTGGTGCTATTTCGAGAACAAGACAGCGGAACAGTCAAGATCGTCGTGATTTTAGTATTTACGCTCTTCTTCAGTCTGGCACTGAGCTTGGCCACAAGAGCGAGACGAGCAGAAGTGTTTGCTGCGACTGCTGCGTGAGTATCTCTGTTCATTGCTCACATTCGGATCGTGGTTGGATGGAGAGTGTCGACTGGAGTCTGGCATTGCCGAAATCAAAAATTGTATGCTGCTAACGCTGTGGACTGCCTAGCTACTGTGCTGTTCTGGTCGTCTTTCTCGGAAACTTCATACCTGGAAATTCTGCTGTGCTTTCATCATGATTGCGGAATAGAAGCCTCGAAGACAGAAGTGAGATGTTGGAAAGCCCGGTTGCATCCAGGACTTCGAGCTTTGAGTTCAGGTTCACTCGATCTGAATCACCAGTATTATACTGAGACGGCGAATTGATGGCTTCGATTGAGCGTCCAAAGCAGAGGAGCTTCGAAGCGGCCAGCTGAGTATGATTCTTTCCAACTCGGAGCAGAATCAGGTCAACATCGACTGGATGTCTTGCTTGAGAAGGGGAGACTGTATCGGTCAAGACTCATAATTTCCGAGAACTCATACAAGCCTAAAAGGCAACCAAGACACCGGCATATGTAACTTGTAAATGGAGAACCTACAACACAGCATATTTATACCGCCTCCCTGAATTGACCAAATACCTCTCCATCACCCTTCCACCTCCCGCACCTTGAGTCTCAAAAACTTCCTCCCCTCTCCATCAACAGCATATTTCCCCCCAATTCCCTTCTCCCCACCGGCCCCCACCCCCAAAGGTTCCGCCATGTAACCCCCATTTGGCACCATACCCTCATCATCAACAATTTCCGTCTCGAATCTCCCCCAGAGTCCCACCATTGTAGCTTTCATGTCCAGTATCGCGAGGTTCGATCCAACACACATCCGTCCTCCGGAGCCAAAAGCCCAGAAATGGCGGAGCATTTCGATCTTCTTTGGGTCGTCGAGGGAGCGTAGTTGATATGATGATGGGTTTGACGGGTCAGAAGAAGTGTCCAGAGGGTCGAGCCAGCGTTCTGGGAGCCATGAGTCTGGAGATGGGAAGACGCTGGGGATGCGGTGGAGCGAGTAGGCGTGTGCTTGGACGCGGACTCCTGGTGGGATGTTGGGGTATGCGGTGCCGGTCCCAGGGTCACCGAGAACGGTGAGGCATCCTTCCGGTGTCATGCGAGGCTGTTGACCTGGAATGGCCGCGTGTAGTCGAAGAGTCTCCAAGAGGATTGCATGCAGGACTGGAAGACTGTCAATGGCCTTGGCGTCGAGACTTCCTTCCAGTGTGGAGATCTCTGCGCGGAGGAGTTTCTGCCAGGTCGTGTTGGCTGGCTTGCTGAGCTCCCATGCAAGCCAGGTGAGAGTGATGCTCGAAGTGTCGAACCCGGCGAGTGTGTGATCCAGCAGCTCCGATGCGATTTCCAATTTCAGCTCATCCACCACATCCTCGTACTTTCTTTCTTTCTCCGTCAGCCTCTCGGCTTCATCTTTCTTCAGCTTCTCCTTCACCAAAGCCTTCTCCAACTGCACATAAACCGTCGGAACATCCTCCACAGCCACATGATCCTGTCCGTCACGATCCATCACCTTCCTCGTCTCCCTCGCCCTTTCCACCAACCCAATCAACCAATTCTCAAGCCCAACATTTGCCTCCCCAACCCAACTCGGCACAATCAACCACTTCAGCCCAATCCTCTCCAGAAGTCTCGTCACTCTAGCCAATTCTTGGGGCCAGAATGTATATTTCTGCCGTGCCTTAAAATCATGAAACAACTGGATCCCCTCCTCCTCCTCCTCTCTTACAAATTTGGTTCCATTTTTCAAACCAAAAATATACCCCGCCACAAAATCCATCGTGACAGCGCAGAAAATATCATAAAATTCAATTCCCTGCCCACCATGCTTCTCATCTTCCACAATCTCATCTCTCACCCGTTCGCGGAGTTCTCCCACCAAAATTTCCGTCTGCTTCGTCAAACTCGCACTCCCACTCAACGCACTCCTCGCATAAACCCCACTAACCATCCTCTTCCGTCTCGAATGCTCTCCATGTCCACTCATCGCAAACATGGGTTCAACTCCATAATTTGAAAACACATTCTTATACCAAGTGCCTTTTTCCATGCCTTTGAGGTAGACTGTTCGGAGGCCGCCATCGACGCAGTTTACGGAGATTTCTGAGGGTGCGAGACGGATGACGGGGCCATAGAGGGTGTGGAGATGATGGATGTGGGGTGTGTCGGTTTGTGCGAGGCGGTGGGAGAGGATGTAGAGGCTTGAGATTGGGGAAGACCAGTGGGCGTTTGGGATGCGGGAGAGAGGGGAGAGGAAGGTCGGGTGGATAATGTATTTGTAGAAGAGGGCGAGAAGGAGGGCGGAGAGGGCAAGAGTGGGGATAAGTGGGAGAGACATTGGTCGCTGACTGTCTTGGGGATTGTTGAGTGTTGCTGGGTCTTCTTGATGCAGTGTGATAGATGCTGCTTTTCTTGCTGGACTTGGTCTTTGAAATACCAGAGGGAAATTCGAAGGCCAGTGCCGAGGGTATTTTATACACCTCTGCCTTCCTTTAGATGCCACGCCTCGGAGCAACACTTGTTCAAAGCATCGCCCAACCGAACTCAAGTTATGACTGTTTTCTCTGATGTGCGGTATCCGTGTATTGCAGTTGCAGGCGCTTGTAGTTCTTCTAATGTTGAGTTGAGGCGAGAAGCGTCTTCCAAGAGAAGCCAACGAGCGGTGTGGTCATCAAATCGAATAGTCTGTGCCCTAATGTTAAGTCTACACGAGAAATGATCGCTAATGTTAAGAACAGGCGCAGACACGAGAAGCTGTGACGCCCAAGCAAGGACAGATAAGATAGGCCGGTACACAAAGGTAAAGCATCGATTGGGCAATCCGATCCGATACTGCATAACCCAGCGCGGGGTTTCTGGAGGTGGTGAATGACGCGGAATGGCGCGTGCTAGTCACGTCTTTTGTGGTTTTATGCTTGTTGTTTCGCGTGTTGGTGAAGTGTAACAACGGTAACTAGGGCTGGGCGGTGTTGAGGCAACAGGAAGCTTATGACAACGACTTCGCCGCATCGAAAGCTCCTTCTCGGTCCCCAGAGCGGCCTCTACCCTAATTTCCGCTCCGAGGTATACCAACGACGTGTCCTGGTGAACGAGACCAAGTGCAGCTGATGTGGTGAAAAGTGTGTCGGGTGGCCATTTCACCGACGGATTGACGCACGCCGCAGCTCACCTCCACAATCGGCCCTGGGTGGTGGCACTTTCTTCCTCCTCCGGCGACACAAACATTCCCGTTCCCCGCGACCTGGACGTATTCAATCGATACACCCACCGCGCTCCTTATTCCACATGGCGCCGACGTGACGACTGCACTCCGCAATCACGTCCCTGTCGCAGCATCTGCCGTTGTCGCCGACCGAAGTGACTGCAGCGGCCCGCCAAAGAAGCAGCCAGCATTTTGCCAAACAGCTTTCATCATCGGCCGCGCTGTCACGCTGACTGACAAACCGCACTGTCTTTTCCCGTTGCCCTCGTGAAGCACTTGTCTGCTTCACCACAACCCACCCTGGCTTCGTCGCAGAAAAAGCGCAAGCTCGCTCCCTTCGCCGCTGCCAGGCCGACGACTGTCTCTTCCTCCAACGACGATCGCTCTTCGTCACCTACCCGTTCGCCCACTGCTGACGCCGTTGAGCAACAACACCCACCTCAGACTCTGCACACAGGCACTTCTGGCCTTTTCGAACAACTCGACGTCCGATCTTCACCCCCGCGGTTCATCCCTCCGCACTTGCACGACGAAGTTCTGCCGAGTCGCGAGCAGCCGCTGCTGGAAGGAGGACCTTCTTCGCCGTCTTCACTTGGGGAAAGAGCGAGCAGTCCCAGTGCTGCCCTTGCTGAGGTCACAATTGGAGGTGCGGCGGATGAGAGGATGGAAGAGAGGGCGGTGGTGAGTCCTGGGCGGACGATTGGTGGGGGCAGGTCTATGAGTCCGGCAAAGCGCACTGCTGAAGAAATGGAGGGCGCGAAGAAGCAAACGACGTCTAGTGCTGTTGTCACTGCGGCGGATGCGGCACCTGCTTCGGTCAACGCTGCGCCTCCGTCGCCTGGGAGTTTCCCGAAGGAAGGGGAAGAGACAGGGCAAGCATCCGACTTTGATGTCGCGATGACGGAGATGCAAGAGAGCAGTGCAGGAAAGGTGCAGAGCACAAACGGGTCGACATCTGCAGATGATGAAGAGCTGCCTCCGTATTCGAAAGAAGACCAGGGCGTGCATGCAAAGGGTGCGGATGCATATACAACGGAGCAGATCACGCAGCAGGTCGACCACGTCAGGACTTTGGCAGCACGTGCGCCTGCAGAGGGCGATGTGGGAGTTTGCATCTCTAACAAGTGGCTCGTCCGAGTCTTGTCCCGAACTGCAGAGGGCCTTCAGAACAAGGAGTATCCCAAGGAAGCGCGAGAAGGACCAGTTGGACCTCTCGACAATTCGGATATCGTCCCCGAGGGCGGATTTGAAGAACCGCATCTGCACGACGCGCACGGAAAGCACTTCATTCCATTGAGACCTGGCCTCAGACCTGACGACGAGTTTACAATCCTGCCTGCATCTGCCTATGGAGACATTGCCGCGAATTACGGGTCGACCTCTGGCCAAATAGCAATCTACAGATACGCACACAACACTGCGGATGCAGACGCGGCGGGCGAAAACGTTCAATACGAGCTCTATCCTCCGATCGTCACTATTCGAAAAGTGCAACAGCCGGACGCGGAAGAACAGGAGAAGCCAAAGCAAAAGCCTGGAGCGACTGCCACTGAAGCACTAAAAGCCCGACGGGAAGGCAGAGAGAAATTTGGCCAAAAACACGAAACTGACGCTCTGCGCATTGTCAGCTCGCGGTCCGAAAAGTATAAGAGCTTTTTGACGCGCGCGAAGAATGCTGCGGGCATACCCATAGCGACGAAGGTCAAAGTGTGGCGTTTGAAGGATCCTGCGCAAGTAGCAGTCGATCAGCCTAACACCACATCTTCAGGCGCCATGGCCATCACTCCTCCTGCCTCACGCTCCGCTTCGCCAGCAAAGTCTGTATTGCCAAAGCTCGTGCTTCCACCTGAAGACTTCAAGAAGATGGAGGTTGGCACCGAGCTCGAACAGGTACCACTCGCTGATCAGACGCACAACGACAATTTCAATGGCAGATCGACCATGAACACTGCTGGTTTCTTTGAAGATTCAACAATGCTTCTTGAGGAGCAGATTGGGGGTCCTGCAGGCGGCGAGTTCCAATCAGACTCCAAGAAGGGCGTGCTGAGTGTGGTCAACAAGAACCTCGGTTCCAAAGCAACTACAGCCAACAACTCCAGAGCGAGCAGCCCTGCGCCCGGAGGCATGATGACTCGAGGGCGAGCGCTGAAAAATGGAAAGACGCGTGGTACTGTTGGACTTCAAAATCTCGGCAACACTTGCTACATGAACTCGGCGTTGCAGTGCATAAGAAGTGTCGAAGAGCTCGCCATTTACTTCATGCTGAAGAGCTACAAGCCGGAAATCAACAACGACAACCCACTGGGCTATCATGGCGCCATGGCCAATGCGTACCACACTGTGATCCAAGGAATCTATGGCAACAACACCGGCGGATCATTCTCACCTAGGGAGTTCAAGAATACACTCGGTCGGCATCAGCCCATGTTCTCGGGTTATGGGCAACAAGACTCGCAAGAGTTCCTCAGTTTCCTGGTTGACGCCATTCACGAGGACTTAAACCGCATCCACAAGAAGCCATATGTGGAGAACCCAGACTCCGAAGACAGCAAAGTCCATGATCCATCGTATATTCACGAGTTGGGAGAGCAGTACCGAACCAACCATAAGAAGCGAAATGATTCCATCGCTATGGACCTGTTCAGTGGATTCTACAAGAACAAGATGGAGTGTCCTGAGTGTGACAAAGTCAGCATCACATTTGACCCGTACTCATTGGTGACCGTGCAACTGCCAATGGAGATCGCCTTCCAGCACGATATCACCTACATTCCTCTCCGAGGCAGACCCGTCCTACATCACATCGATATTGACAAGAATGCTTCCATCAAGACCCTCAAGGAGTCACTAGCGAAGAAGCACCCTGGAGCGGATGCGAATCGCATGTGGATGGTCGAAATCTACCAGCATAAGGTCTACAAGATCTTCGACGACGGCAGCAGCTTATCCGAACACAGCATCACAGGCAATGATAACATCTTTGTCTACGAGCTGGAGCAAGTGCCGAAGAACCCTGCAAGGAAGTCATATCATTATGGGAATGCAGTCAATGCGGTGCCCACTGATGGCATGGATGCTCCTCAAGCGGAGGTGTTCTCTGTCCCGGTCTTTCAGCGAACACCCGACAGGAGTCTCACGTCGTATTCACTCGCGAATTATCCGCTCTACATCACGGTCTCACGCGAAGAAGCGAAGGACTATGACATTGTGTTGAAGAAGGTGCTCGCTGCAGTTGCCAATACGACCAGCCGACAGATTCTCAAGGAGTTCGAGGAAGATCCTGGCGCGAGCCGTGTCGAAGAAGTTGAGGACGAGGATCAGGACCAGAATGGCTCAGAGGAATCAGTGGGTGTTAGCGACCATTCTGCACAATCTGAGGAAGGCTATGTTAAGGTGTCGCTCGACCAGCACAGCCACGATGCAATGATGACGAATGGGACGACTGTGGACGAGACCGAGAAAGCGAGTGAAGTCTACATCCCGACCAACTACATGGATCCCAATTACTATGTATCACCCGCGCTGCGACACCAGCTCTTCGACCTCAAGTTCGGACAAGGCAAAGGTGGCATGCACTGCTCCGATGGGATGCAAAGTGGTGTGAAAGAAGACACTATCCGTCCCATGTTCTCACGTGTCAAGCGATCTTCTAGGAGATCTTCGATGCATTCCTCCAGTTCGTCAGCAGGGTCCACGCCAGGTACACCTTCCACAGACGGCCAGGCTGATGAAGAGAGCGTTGCAGTCAGCAATGGTTTCGAAGGCGATGAGCCAGATATCACTTTAGGCGATGCCGACGCTGCCACTCCGCTTTCCGAGTCCGTCATCGAGGATAGTAGCGACGATGAGACAGCCGGAGGTGATATTATCATGGAACCAAGCGAGGTCACTGCCACATCACGCAAAGGCCGACGGAAGAAGAACCGAGGCAAGAAGCAGAAAGGCAAGAAGCGTGGCGCCAACCAGAACGGAGTCGGAACGACAAGCAAGAAAGGCAAGCCTCGAGCAGGTCTTCCAGCGATCAGCAATGGTAGTAGTGGGCTCTTCGGCAGCAAACAGGCCGATGATGACGACAATCCGTACTATATTCGGCTCGGCGAAGGCATCGTGCTGGACTGGAAGGCTGAAGGTTTCGACAGCTTGTATGGCGGAAGTGCAAATGTTGAGAAAGATTTGCGAGGCCACGCAACTTGCGATGACAATGGGCGACGCGGTATCAAAGTATTCGAAGATCCTGAGCAGGACGCAAAGAAAGCCAAGCGCGAGCTGCGGAAGAAGAAAGGCGTTCTGCTAGATGATTGTTTTGACGTGACAAGTCGACCTGAGGTGCTTTCGGAAGACAATGCCTGGTACTGCAATCGATGCAAGGAACTCCGGCGAGCCACGAAGACACTGGAGATCTGGACTTTACCCGACATCCTCGTGGTACATTTGAAGCGTTTTGGCGGCAATCGCTCGTTCAGAGACAAGATTGACCTCTTTGTCGATTACCCCATCACCGGTCTGGATATGAATGAGAGAGTCGGCCGCAAGGAGGACGGCAAGGATTACACTTATGATCTCTTTGCTGTGGACAATCACTACGGAGGTCTTGGTGGTGGACACTACACTGCCATGGCCAAGAACTTCTACGACGGCGAGTGGTATGATTATAATGACTCCATGACCAGCAAGATTGGCGGTGAAGATCGTGTCCACTCTGCCGCCGCTTACCTTCTCTTCTATCGCCGACGTTCTGACCAACCTCTTGGACCTGAATACCTCCAGAACCTCGTCAACGAATATCGCAATCCTGCTGCGCCTGCCGAGGAAGCAGAAGACGAGGAATCGGGGGAAGGCAAGCTCGGCGGCCGAACTCTCTCTGGCTCGGGGTCGTCGAGCGGCTTGGCCGGAGCAGGAGCCGGGGCGAACAAGAACAACAGCAGCCAGAGGGGACTTCTAAGCGCCGATGGTGGGATTGGAGCCGCAGCAGAGGGGCGTCTGATAACGAGGACAACGGGGACGAAGGGTAATGCGGCCACGACTGCTTCTGGTTTCAACCTCAGCCGCGACGCTGGATGGAGCTTTGATGCCATTGACGGCGATGACGGCGCTGATGCAGACGCCGCTGACAGCTTCCTCCAGAGCGTTGGCGCTGCTAGTGACGGCGCTGATAGCGTCTCTGGGCAGGTGGGCGACGACGACGACGATTCGGGAATGGATATGGATGTCGGGCACCCCACGTTGCAGAGCCTTGCAGCTGGTGAAGAGGACCTTTATGGATCTTCTGGTGACGCAGGCAGAAACACTCCTGCACGCGACGTGCACTTTGATGCGACCCATGGGATTTCCCTGACTGATGACGATATGGGTGACGATGACACGATGGCAGATGAGATTCATCTCGAATCTGATGATGGCATGGAATTGGAGGAGATTGGGAGGGGAACGACGAAGGGCACTTCAGAACATCACGAAACGCCGGACTTGTACGATTAGGGATCGCGGCTGGCGGATGGTGTGGTTTCTGCGGAGGAACGTGATGACCTTGCTGCGCTGTTTGGGAATGACCTCGCGGCTGAGCTGATGAGATATGGTGAGGTCGGTGTGCAGGAGCGAGATGAGGGCAGAGATCGAAAGCAGAAGATACATTCTGGTCCGCCGAGACGCGTGGATAGTGCGCGTGAGGAGGGGCTTTACAGCTAGAGAGAAGGGCATAGTTCGTTTGCCTGCTTCATCGATACGATACCATGTATAGTCGATGAGGAATGTTAGCATTTTTGCTCAATGAGGTTTGGGCTCAGGTCTTGTGAAGAGCGGGCTTTGATAAGGTATAATCGTTCCGAATCTAGATCTCTCTTAGTCCCCATCTGCAGCGCCGCGGGGTTGTGCTTGCACTCTCCTCGAGCCCATACTGTATATCCAGCATAACCTAGTCCTGGATAGATATCGAGATTTACTGGTAAGAGCACCCCGGTGCACCGGAGATAAAGTCATCGCCGCCTGGCACCTCCAACCACGGCTTTTGATGCCGAAAGCTATGCCAACCTAATTCCTGGACCAGTGCGTGCAAGTCGTTTCACTTTCATGCAAAACTAGAATCAAATTCAAAAGATCCGTGTAGAAAGAGATAGCTATAGGAGTGTAGACACAGGTCTATGGGTTCGAAGTTCGACCGAATCGCGCACTATAACAGTAACGATGTCGGAGATTATGCGGGTATCTGCTGCGATGGAGATAAGTTTCTTGCCGCCTAGCACGACCAAGCACGGCTTTCAATGCCGAAAGTCATGCCAACGTCGGGAAATTGGTATGGCAACCTTTTTCCTCTTCATAATGCTCATGAAGTCAACAGCATGAAGTCCGATACAACGTGATAGTCAGCAGGAAGAGCGACACCGCATACTGCCACGAAACGTGGTACGCATGTCGCTGGTGGTGGTCTAGAAATTGCCTCGGTCGCATCGCTCTTGGCGTCGGCAGCCTATGCCAACAATCGATTATTCAGCAGGGCGTGGTGTCTCAAACGCATAGAGGCTGATAGCCGGACAACAGGAAACGTTGGAGCTGCAAGTCTGCGCAAGTCCGAGCCGCCAGTCGATAGAGCAACACATCTTAGCAAGAATGTCGCTTTCCGTTCGGTATGTTCCACTCCACTCATTGGTGCAAAATCGTGTCAGCTAATTCATCCTATAGGGGGGTGTGCCATTTCCGATCGCGACATGCTGCGTCTACCGCGAAACGATTTCAAAGCGGCGTCGCGCCCTTGGCCGCAGATTTCAGCTCTTTAAAGGGCTCAACTGGACACAAACCAAATTGGAAGCCGGCTCAACCCATCTCAGTCACGACACCTCCGAAACCTGACTGGAAATATGGAGGTGGTGCCAATGACAATGGTGTTTCGCTGCGTGCAAAGCACGTTGAAATCGATCCTTTTGCCAAAGGTCGACCCATGTTTCACAACTACTCGCTCCTTATCTCTGGCATCGTGCCCCGGCCAGTTGGCTTCGTTAGCACGTTGTCGAAGGAGGGCAAGCCAAACCTGGCCCCGTTCAGCTATTTCCAAGTAGTCGATCACGACCCTCCCGTTTTCACCATCGGATTCTCTGGAAGAAGCAGTGCGTCAAAAGACACACTAAGGAACTTGCAAGAAACCGGAGAGTGCACTATCAACACAGTTTCTGAGCACATGGTCGAGGCTGTAAATGCTGCGTCTATAGATGCACCTCGTGGTGTCTCGGAATGGGATCTTTCGGGTCTGCACCAGGCTCCTTCCACGATGGTTAAGCCTTCGCGTGTGCAAGAATCAGTGTTCTCTGTCGAAGGGAGGCTTAGCGAAGTGGTGGATTTCAGATTATCAAGAAATCCAGTCGGTGCGCATGGCAAGCTGGCGATCATTGAAGGGATCAACTTTTGGGTCAGAGCTGATGCGATTGACTCCAAAGGTAGTCACATTGATCTTGAAGTACTGAGGCCAGTTGGGCAGCTTGGTGGAGTAAGCTATGCTCGAATGTCGGAAATGTTTGAGCTTCCGAGAAGCACTTGGAAGAAAGATTATGAGGATCATGACACTGGACTACGTAAGATGTTTGGTGACCGAAGTACGACGAAGGACTGATAGCTTACGAACATAATGGTCGTGGTTGTGGAGTGCTTGACGCGGGTGCCTCTGCAGCTGTGTGGGTTTTCGCTACTGGTTAGAACCTTGACGGAGCTCAGCTGGGAAAGCATACGGCGCGGAAACCTTAGCATCGAAGACTGCGGTAGGTACTAAATCTCTGTCTCCTTCCAGGCGCCCCTGCGAACATTTGGCAGTGAAGTCGACCGGAACATCTTTGGTGCGGCGCGACGTTCGGCGGACAGAAGCGCCGCGTCACCACATTGTTCTTTCCAACAACGGCTTCGGAAGGTGCAGTCTGAAATGGAGACAGCTAAAACTACAGCCGATACTAACGGCAACGTACAGCTTACTGCGCCGACTCGATTCAGCGTGGGCTCCTAACATCCTATGGAGCAAAAACGTCGTGGTATCATTGGACTTCTCTTAGGACTTGTCTTAACAACGCCTATGGTCCTGGATATTCCACCAGATTCTCGCTTCAAAGGATGGCACTCGAAAAGCTAACACCCGGCAGGCACAGATTGCAAGTACATTGCATGAACCGAATCGAAGAAACAGCTACGCTGCTCAGTGTGACCATGCATTCCTCCTGGGCCATTGATTATCTTCAGCAAATATTCACTCGTCGACTCGGTGTTGCAAACGTTGCAACATACGCCAAAAGCCGGCGTCTACCCTTGTTCAGCACCCATCGACATGGAAAAAGCTGCGCTGCTTTGCATATTCGATTCAGATAGTCCGCATGTACCGCCCTGTGGCTTGCAATATCGCCTCGCCGGAAAGCTCCATGCTGCTCACATTGATGTCAAAACCTTATCCGCGAGCTTACCAGTCTTGGAAGGTCGGGTGTGATTGCGTTAGCTCGTGGCTTGCTCAGGCCACCCAATTTGACAAAATCTCACCCATTTCGTTCATTCAACTTCTCTGGAAGCCACAGCCCATTGCTATATTACGTTCGACAAATCCAAACAGTAGTGCGGATTGGCGCACGCAAATATGTTCACGGCGAGACCTGAATACTCATTGCATTGGGAACGGCGGCAATGAAACCTACGCCAGGACTAACGGTGCTAATCCCGCGCCCCACGTTGTGAATGGGCGCCACATTTGATACTTTGGACTAGCTTGTACTGAATCGGCCGGAGGGCCGCAGGCCTGGTCGGCCACGATTCCATAAAGAGGCTTTCACTCCCCGCGGTCTCAGGCGCGCTTCTCACTTCGCAAGAGTTTGGAAGTAAAAATGCAGATACTTGCCGCTGTCGTGAGCCTCGCTCTGCTCCTCGAGCAGGGCTTTGCAAGTCCTGAGCCTCAAAGTCCAGCTGGCTATGGCTATGGCAAGAAGCCGTCGTGTCCGGCTGGTAAGTGATGCTCACCCTGGCCAGAGTGTGCACGATTCCTAAGAGCGTATAGATAAGTGCTTCTCCAAGATTCGTTTGAATAAGCCCGTGGCGAAAATCGCGTCTTCTGTCTGTAGCAAGTACATCAAGTACACGGCTACAGTCACCAAAACCACCACAACTTCCTCTACTACTACGATCACGACCACGACCAAGGTGGTCCAGAGACCAACGCAGCCTACCATCACATCTACCACTACTGTCACTTCCACCCCACCAGCAGTAACAGTAACGAATCCATTCACTTGTGCCACTACAACTAAGACTGTGGAAGAACCTTTCCCAACCTTTGTGAACTACGTTTCGCGAGGAGCTGAGCCTGACCTCAAAAAGAGAGCTGTACCCACCGTGAACGTTCCTTCTGTCCTTGGAGCGGGATGCGGCAGCGGCAAACCATTCACCTCGAAGATCAGCAGTGCATGCTCTTGCTTGCTTGGAGCGACAAAGACACGAACTTCCACTGCCACGAGCACTGTCTCTGTGACTACCACCATCACCTCGACCAGTACTGTCCCCGTAGGAGTGAGTTGACACTTGCCGACATTCGCGCTTCTCAATTGCTGACTGACGCATCGTAGACAACAACAACCACTACCACTGTCACGGACCCCATACCAACCTCGACTGACTGCCAAACCACCACGGTCACCACCACCACCTACACAGGAGCCTTCAGTTGCGGTGGCCCTATCTCCTCCACCTACACAACGGAAATAACCCGCACATGCACGAACGTCGCACCCCCCGGACAGACAAACGCAGACTTCCGTATCGAAGGCGGTTCCGAAGGCACCATCTTTGACGACTGCATCGTTTCCGGACCTCGCAATGTCACCACCCCTTCGGGTGGAACACACAAGTGCGACGGAACAAACAACAACGCCAACCCAGCACCAGGAAGCACCCTCACCACGTAACTTGATTCCACTGGTGCGCAGGAAGGCTTTGACTTTGATGGTACTTACAGCAATGCTGTTGAAGACTTCTCCATCTTTAGAATATCCGCGACAACAGAGACTGGAACCCAGTCCTGGCGTATATTGAGGAACCGGTTCCTCCGCGATGAAACTGGTGGTTGCCGATTACCAAGTTTCAATGACGACGACAACCTCTGGGCATTTGACGCTTTCGCGCCGAATGTTGGCGCCCTCAGGGTCTTCCCGTCAATCGCGGTCGTGAGACCAGGAGAGACAATCACTGTGGGTGTCACGTCGCGAAACTCGAGAAATGGCATCGACACCGCAGCGCAAGGTGCCACGTTGGGCACTGGATCTACAACCGATGCCAACGGCAACCTGCAGCTCACTGCCCCGACAACGCCAGGCTGCTATCAGTACAAAGCCGAACGGAACAACTCCATCCGCTCGAATGCCTTGTACTTGACCGTTCTGGATGGGTTGTGAGGGTGGGATGTGAAGTGCGGATCATCTTACTTCTCCGCTGCAGTGAGTCTTTGTTCGAGAATAGCCATCCCCTTATGAGTATCCGATCGCAGCAGATGTGCCAGGACAAAGTGGAGGACAAAATGCGCTTGTAAGATCCGTAAATTTGCGCCTGCCGGGGATCAGTCAAGGCCTTCCCTTCAATACTGGGTATCGCAGATATTGCTCTACGCTTTCTTGAGCAAAGGCTTCCTCCATGCAACGGTACTTGTTCCAGACAAAAGTGCGAATCCTCATCAATGCCAGATGTGGAAGGGTGTATCCGGCTTGATTTCCAGCTAATATTCGCCTGACACATCGAAGAAGCCGGAGTCGAGGTGCCGTATAGCGACAGGCACACAGAAAGTCATCCGTGTGCCTGGTACAAGCTGACGGAGACCAGAAAAGCGAGCCGCAAATTGATGCGTAGCGGCGCTGCGAGCAGCGCGAGAAAACGGATTACAGTGATCCCGCATCTAATGTGCGGCGCAATGTCTGGAAAGCCCATGCATCGCTGCTCGTGTATCTCCTTTCATCATCTCTACCATCAAGAGTCGTGCATAACTAATCTGCAATTCCTGATTGATGCGAGATCTTCGGCTGACCATGGCCATCATGTAGCTGGCAAGCAGCCCGTACGCAGCTTCTCGAATAGATGGAAGGCCTATAAGTACATGGCGCATGGCCAGCGAATCTCTCCTATGCATCGTAATCTGTTTGTAGGCCCAAGACGCCCAAGCAGAACACATCCCAATCGAAATACTATATCCAATCTATCGGCCGCCATCCATGACACATTACAGAACTGCTAGAATGGGTATCAGTATTCTTCCGAGGGTTCAAGGCGAAGGCTGCGGAACGGAGACGATCAAAGAGGCTATGAGGCGGGCATTCTGGACGGCTAATTTGCACCGGATTGAAGTTTCGGCCATGGAGTTCAATCAAGGTGCTTGTCTGTTATACGAGGAGCTTGCATTTGTTGTCCGATGTAGAGATGGCAAATGCCGGTGGGGGAATGGTTGCGAATGGGACGTGGTGCGCTGCGCGTTGCTCGAACGTGAATCGAGGGCGTCTTAGGATATATAGTTTCCTTTAGTATCGCGAGCGCTCATTATCCACTGCTATTCGCCTCGAGCGCGAATGACGGAGCCATACTAACTGGCATCGTGTGTGATTGATAGTTAAACTATGGCCCGGCCAGTTTCTTTAGCGTAATCATTCCAGCTACTATATAAATCTGCTGAGCCCATGGCCGATGCAGGCACATTCTAAGTCCCGCATATGGCTCAGCAGAGCCATGCAATGGCCATTCATAAACTCTTTGAAACTATGTTATCAGCCACCAGCATAACCAGAGCCACGAGCACTATCCACCCAAGCACACAGCAAAGCAAGCCTTGCTCTCGAGACCCTGGTGTCCAAATAGCCTAGCACACAGACTGAAAGACGATGGACCCTTCGACTCAGTTGCACGCGTCTATCGATAGCTAGAGGCTTGTTGACATAGCTCCGCAATGCTGCTTAGGACGGCCTACGTTAACTGCGCTACTGTCGCTCGATGAAGTCTTCGTATCCGGCTTCACTCGGCCTATATAGCTGCAAAGGTCTGCATGTGATCCATGTGCAGCACGAACGGAGGACTCTTGGCTGTGACTCTGTAGGTCTTGGGCAAGCTTGAGCGCTCGTAAATTTGTTTTAGTGAAAGCTACTTCGTCAACTGCCAAATACGGAGTAGCGATCGACAATACTAGAGTAACTCTCCGCATTTGTACGAAGGTGCCAAGGGAACATTCTAACACCTTCCTTTCCAAACTTCGACTTGTATAGCACTAAGGAATCTTGGCTACCCGGATTGCTACGGCACATGTATTCGTGCAACATCCACTAAGGTCACATCACAGCATTTGCCTCGAATGGTGAACAGCTAGAGAGATCTGCCGTTAAATCGGGTGACATTGATCAACAAGTTTCTAGAAAACATGCTGGGCATTGCTATACCACCTCGTATCATGACAGACTAGACAAGCAGCAAGCTGTGCCTGGAAGTGCCGCAATGTGTGTGAGGACGATTGTTATGCCAGATCGTTGAAGGTGTATAAAAGCTATATCGTTGTCCTCGAATCCACACACTTTCTCGAACTCAGTCGCTCGTACAGACTTACGCATTTACGTATCTTTCTCCACCCGCCCCAAGCAAGCGAGATGTACAGACTCCTCCAGCTTCTCGGCCTTCTCCCAGCCGCCTTTGCTGCACCGCACTTCTCTTCACTGGCTCGACGTCAAGCCAGCCAGCTCATCTCCGACAAATGGCTCGTGAAGACCAAGAGCGGTTCCGACTTTTCTAACGTCCTAGCTGAGGTTGCCGATGTGCTTGGTCTTAGCGAGTTCAAGCCAGAGAAGGAATTCCACATTGGCGATCTGAACGGGTTCACTCTTGCAGGCTCCAAGCAGCTCGCAGATTCAATCTTGGCCCTAGACTCTATTGAAGGCCTGCAGCAAGATCAGCGTGTCGAGGTTGATGCCATAGTGTCACAGGAGAATGCGCCATATGGACTTGGAAGGATCTCTAGCCGCACGCCAGGCAGCTCGACGTATAGGTTTGATGATTCCGCTGGATCAGACACATTCGTTTATGTGATTGATACGGGCATCAATGCCGAGCACATCGACTTCGGTGGCCGGTAAGTCACCCTCTATGCTTGCCTCTCCCAGCACTAGCGATGTCCGGGAGCTGACGAACATTTAGCGTCTCTTTTGGCTTCAGCGCTATCGCAAATGAGCCCAACACTGACCTTAACGGCCATGGTACCCATTGTGCCGGCACTGCCGCTGGTACCCAGTACGGTGTTGCAAAGAATGCATCCATTGTCGACGTCAAAGTCATTGACCAAACCGGAGGCGGGCCACTCTCCAACATTGTCGTTGGTCTGGACTGGATTCTCAACGACATTACGTCCAAGAGTCGTTTCGGCAAATCAGTAGTCAGCATGTCTCTAGGCGCGGTGACTATCTTTGGCGGTACCAACTTGCTCGAAGAAGCTGCCGCTGCGCTTGTCAATGCTGGAGTCTTCGTGTCAGTAGCAGCGGGCAACTTCAACATTCCTGTAGAGCTCATGGCACCGGCTAATGTTCCGGTTGTGTGCTCCGTTGGAGCTACGGACGCGAAGGACGCCCGAGCTGGTTTCTCTAACTATGGGGCAGGGATTGATATCCATGCTCCAGGTGTCGATATCCAGTCCGCTTGGATTGGGGGCATTGATGCTACTAACACCATCAGTGGGACGAGCATGGCAGCGCCTCATGTTGCTGGACTCGGAGCGTACTTGCTTGCTTTGGAAGGGGATCGAAGCGGTTCTGAGCTGTGCAACCGCATTATCGACCTCTCCACGAAGGATGTGATTACGGATGTGTCAGGAAGCCCAAACAGGCTTGCGTTCAATGGCGTAGCATAAGCTCTTAGGGCAACTTTGTTGTTTCGTTCGCATTGTCTTGAACTTCAACGGCGGAATATGAATATCCGGAATGCCCAGTCTGACATGTTTCCATCTACAGAACATACCTAAAATGCAAATTCTCCTTATCCGTCAGATCCCTGAACCCCAACCTCTCCTTCTCCTTCTCATCATCCAAGCCCAGTCTGTCCCTTCTTCGATTTTCTTTCCATAGTACCCAGTACAACGTGACGGCCGCCACAATTGTGACTCCATAACATCCGATCAACCCTGCCCACAACTCAGGATAATGCCTCGCTCTCGTCTGGCTTCGAATCATTTGTGGTCCAACAATATTGCCCACGCAGTATGCCACAAAGACTGCACTGGCCATGAAACTCTTCTTTGTTTCTCCTGCAACATTTCCAGCGCCGAGGGTCACAGTCAAACTGACGACAGGCCCGAAGAAGCCGATGAGAGAGTAGCCTACGACAGGCGCGACAGGTCGGACGCCCCAAGAGGATTGCCAGATGGTGATGAAGCCGGCGATGACGGGAAGGGTACAGAGTAAGAGGAGAATTATACGGATGTTTTTGAAGCGAGAGGCGAGGTAGCCGGCCAAAGGTATGCCGACAGCGCAGATCGCGCCTAATGGAAACTGGAAGAGGATCGATTCGAGAGGAGTGTAGCCGAATGTGGACACAATGAGGGGACCGAATCCGGACACGGCGCCGTTGACGGTGTAGGCTGAGCCCATGATGAGGGAGACGAGCCAAACTTTGGGATCGAGGAGGGATTCCTTGATTTGCGATTTCTTGATGCCATGCGTGAGGTGCCGGGTGCCGGTTTGACCTTTTCGCAGGCGTTCGACAGCGACGATGCGTTCGGCTGGGGTGAGGTACCAAGCTGTGTGCGGAGAGTCTGGGAGGAAGAAACACCAGATGCCGAAGAGGAAGGTAAGCCCTCCCGCGAGTACGTAGATGTATTGCCAAGATGCGAGAGCTCCGCCTTCAATTTGGGCGAAGCCGTAGTTGAGAGCACTACCGATGACTGTGAACCAGCCTGTGCCTGAGAACCACCAAGATTGACGAAGAGCTTGTTCACGTTGCGTATAGTAGCCAGAGACGATGATCATGAAGGATGTCGGCACGATGGACTCAGTGAAGCCAAGGAAGAATCGAATGACGATGAGACCTTGCCAAGATGTGACACCTGCTGTAGCGGCGCAAACCACAGCCCACATCATGACCATTGGTCCAAGCGTCCAGCGTAGGTTTAGTCTTTGGAGAAGGTAGGTCATTGGGTAGGAACCAACAAGCTGACCAAAGTAGAAGACCGATGTGGCCCATGATAGGCGCGAAGTATCTACTGTAGGCGGTGTCGTACTTCTGTCGGTGACGGCAAGGCTGAGATCGGTCGTCATACCGAACAATGCTGCGCTGCCCAGAATCGCTTTATCGTAGTAGACGAGTCCATAGCCAATGACCATAGCCGGCATCAAGAAGATATCAATCTTGCGGAGGACTTTGCGTTCTAAAGATGCATCATACTCGCGTGCCTCGTCGCCGAGAGATAATTCGCTTGAGGTTTCGGGCAATGTATGAACATTGCTGCGATCAGAAGCTTTGGCTTGTGATGTATTCGCCACATCGTCCTGGGCTATGGCAGCCGTGCCCATGGTTGCAACTATTGATTGAGGTCGATCGTCTATGACCAGAACTTGATGCCAGTCATGTTAAGTCGATGAGAGAGCACGGCGTGTAGGTAAAGATGAGGTTGAGAGAAATTGTTTCTGAGCTTCATTAGCGTGTTGAGTTGGCGATTCTAGGCGATGCTTGAGGTATCGCGTCGCGGATTTGCCCCGCACCAGCCGTGTGCATGTATTGTGGACATGCAAAGTACGTGCTGAAAGTCGCGTAACACAGCGTCCGTTGCAAGCATATCCCAAAATGTCAACGAAGAGGTGTGATGTTCGTGGACCACCAAATGAACAAGAACGCCCAGAGCTCAGCGGCCAGCTGCAAAGGTAGACTCTAGCCACCATCGACTCAACTGCGCTCGGTATGTCAAACAGATCCATCGGTTTGTGCTGACTAAGGCCATCCTTAGACTATCCTTGCTTTCTCGATTGGCTGCTAATCCCTCCGAAATGCGACCTGGATCGGCGTGGTACAAAGGAAGGTCTTTTGCAGGCAGGACTCAGAGTGCTAGCATAGCATGTTGAATGTCGTGGATTCTTGCTATTGTCTGTAGCCAGAGATATTGCCCAGTCTTCCCGTTTGCATTCCAATGGTATATTGGCGATGGTGTTCCACCACAACCACCATCGCGTGGGGTATGATTTATTATTCCCTCTCTTCCGCAGCCACAGCTTCACATAACGACCCTCCTGATTCGGATCGGCCCATCCAAGTCCGCAATCGTCGCACTCTCAGGCAAGACTTGTCCCTTCCTCAGAATCTCGCAGTCGCCGAATTCCCTCATCTCAAAAGCCAACTCGTACACAGCGGGCAGCACTTCCTCCCACTTTTCATATCCCAGCTCCGCCAACTGCGCATCGTTCAGCTGCAGAGCAACTTCACTCGGCTTGAATACAGCCGGCGGCTCCGTCTGATCCAGCATCTGCACGAATGCATTCTTCACAGCTTCATTGCTGGCGGCATCGGTCGGATTGGCTGGACCACCCTTCGGCTTCAGCCCCCAGAACCATTCGTACCAGGTCTGCTGAGGCAGACGAGAAGAGGATTTCAGTTGCTGAAGGTACTGATCGCGATCGATTCGGGCTTCCATGGCGACGGCGGTGATGCTGTATTGCGAGAACGTCAGTGGTGGAGTGAAGGTAGATGGAGAGGGAAGAATGTGGAAGCCACGGTGGAGAAGCGGAACTTACACGGTGACTTTGGCGAGGTCCCGCGCTTGGCTGGGCTGACTGTACAGATCGCTTCGACACCTCACTCGTCCTGCTTTCTTCGTCTTCGTCTCCTTGACTTCACTTCTACTTCCCACTTCACTCGGGCTTGATGTTCGTCGACGCATACTGAACATAAGGCTCCATTAGGAGACTGCAAAAGGCAGACGGAAAAGAGTCCGTGGTCCTTACATCTTATACTAACCCCACGAGATCACGTTGGCCTTATGCTTTCAAGGCTCCCTAGAACATCCGCACTTCTATTCCTTGTCCCGGCCACTTACGTCTCATTATACCCGGCTCGTGCATAGGACCGATCTGGCCGTCCCCGCAAAAGGGTCTCTCGGAATTGCTACTGTCCTTCACGATGACTCGGCGGTGCTTGACCACATCGCTCACATGTCCATCTTTTGAAGCACTGGTTTCTCGGCAGATGTCAGGCAGACTGGATGGAGCCAGGCGGTAGAGCCCGCTTTCGTTGGCTGCCTGATCCGCCGCAAGGATGACTGCCAACCTTCGAGGTAAGCTTCATCGTCATGGTTCGCATGAGTCGTTCGCCGATCGGCACTGGTTCTCAGAGATGCCAGCTTTTCTACGGAGGAGACAAAACCACTACACACGCAGTTGCGAGTATAGCCACTGCAGAGCTACTCGGGAACCATTCTGTCCATGCTACTTTAAACACGTTGGCCAGCTTCCCACCTGTCCCCAACCGGATCTTCGCGTACTGGTACACAAGGACGATGACGAACAATATGGTGACTATTGCACAAGGAGGGACTTCACAGACTGCAACGAATTCTACTATCGCTAGTCGATACTTCTCCACACAGCAAGCTCCTCTGTCCCATTATGGCCGAGGCTTTGCGTACTCAAAATTCTTGTACCATGCGGAAACCCAATTCTACCATCGGAGATTACGACATCGTACTTCGTATGCTCCCTGCTTCCGATGAGATCAGGATAATCGGATGCTACGATGGGACCATAGAAGAGCTGGCCTGCAGTCTAGACACAGTAAGTACCTGGCAAGTCAAGGGCTGTATGCGAGGGCTGGAACATACCTTATTCGATGGAACATCAGTATCGATGTAAAAAGGTCCGGCAAATGACAGCGTTGTGTTTGCAGCTGGAGCGACGTCAGACACCTTTTCACAATGAGCAGTGAGAAGAGGACTGCACACCATCTGTGATCACCACCGAAACATAGCCCGATTTGGTGTATATCAATTGGCCAGCTGGGTTTGCGCCGAACTCAGTATCCTTCCCTGGCACGCCATTGTATAGACTGATAATGCGGCGTAGGGTTAGCGAGTACTCCATCGTGGACAACGCCGAAAATTCCTTCTGCCCTACTTACGTCGTGGTATTGACAAGAGCGTAGGTGCCAGCCAAAGCCTTCAGGATAGTCTGAGAATTTACCATGGCGAGACGATCGCTTCAGTACGGAACTCAGATTTGGCGATACCAATGTTCTTACTGAGCGCAGTGCTGCGAAGAGGTAAGCTTTATATTATCCTGCACCACATCCGGGGCTCCCGGTCTTACCACCTCGTATACGGTCCAATCCGTACCAGTATGGTGTCACTGACAAATGCCTGCGCGCAACTTCAGCATACAGCTTTTACAAGTGTACTCAGACTCTCAGTATACCAGCTCTTTGTTTATATTCTGGTCTGGAGCAGCGATAGAAACGGAAATAATCCTTGGCCCAGACGGTTCTGGGGAGATGTCTCAGTTTTACGATGGTAGACGGATGACCGAGCAGGCATCAAAAGGATGGAGCAGGTGACGCTTGCCTGCTGGATCAGTATCACGTTTTCCTTCACAGTCGACATACTCCGATGCTGATCAGACTCTGAACCCAGTATTACTTACCTGATGAGTGTCGAGCAATGCATCATGCTCAAGTACAGACGCTAGAATGGTTTTCAAGCCACTTTCCGAGATCCGTTGACAGCGACAACTGTCAGGTTGCAAGTACGGGTCAACGTATTCCGATCGGCTCTATCGAAAGACAGCAACCCGCGATGATGGGATCTGAATCAAGCAGCGACAGGCTTCTCGAAGAGAGCGCGGAGCTACGTCCCTGGAGAGCGCGGAACGCGAGGACTCATCGGCTTGTACCGACGATCCGTTGGCCAGCCAGACGTATACTTCACAGCAATGTTTCTCACCGACTGCAGGGCGAAGCAACGCTTAAGCTTTGACAAGCTGCAAGTTTTGGATCTACTCTACATGGCCACGCGGCTTTCGGGTCTTCGCTGGAGGACCGATTCTCCAACACAGCCATCGATGTTGCCGTGTGAACTTGCTATAAGGCCCAAGAAGAATCTGATCCTTATGCCGTGAAGTCAATAAAGGGCAATGACAATGATGCGCAAGCGTGTGATACTGCGAACAAATCGCCTCCATCGATAGCAGCTCTGCTGGCTTCACAAAGTTTACAAGCAGCGTTTCTTTCCACGAAAATGAGCATGCACACCGTTCAGCCTGATTTTGCCTACGGTGGACAGACTTCAGGCACCATACAAGCCCCAAAAGCCCTCCCGGCTGAGCCGCCGCCTCCTTACACCGAGTGTCTTCATCAAGACGCGTACCAACTCGAACGACCCGCTTTCGAAAGCCACATACGCAGCGACAACTATGAGCTCGAACTGTTGCGATCCTACTCCTCTCGGGCCACTTCATCAAAATCATCTCACCCAGCACTCCAGCCCCCAATCGTCATCCCGCAAACAACGAGATCCTTCAGAGGCCCCTATTACAGCCCTTTCGTCCGAGCCTACGCTCCCGATCTCGCCCAACACGGCATCTCCCGCTCTGACTTCGTTTCTTTCATCAACGGCCTGAACGAATCTTGGGTCGCCCATTATGCTTTCGAGGCAGTCGACCTGGTGGGCTTTGCCATTGGATGTACTGGTCCAGTCGAAGCTATGCTCCTTGGCGCGGGCATAGAAGTCGCAGCACAATTGAGTAGCGCGGCGACGTCGTACTACCGGTCCAAGACCTTTCTGAAAAATTTCAATGCTGAATTGTTTCATCCTTTGGGTTTACATGCTGAAGTATGCAATACCAAAGAGATGTTGGAGAAGATCGAATTTCCTGAGGGCGAATTGAAATTGGAAGCGTTGGATTGGGACGCACAACTTGATGCAGCACTGGTCGACGAAAAGGACAAGACAGCTGCTGATGCAAAAGGCTTCTCGGTGTTGTCTGAAAAGGACTCTTGCACACGAAGAATGGAAGCTTTGAAAGATTATGTCGCTACCCTAGACTTCGACGTTCCGGCACTAGTACGCCCCGAAACCATCCTCAGCAAAATGTCGGCCACGCGAGCTCAGCGTATGACGAAACGCCAGCACAAGAAAGATATCCGAAAGCGAAGCAAGACCGCCAGAAAACGAGCAGAGAGCATCAAGGGTGCCGAAGACGCAATTGCCAATGCTGTAAATGATTTGCGAACCATGGTGATGGAACTCGACGACATGAAATTAAGGAAAGAGCATGAGCTTGCAGAAGCAGCAGGTGATGAGAAAAAGCAGCAGAAGATCAGCAAAGAATTTGAGAAGATGGAGAAAGAGTCGAGGAAGAATTTGGAGAAGACACGGAAGAGACTGGAAGAGGTTGACGGAGGATAGGGAGGAGAAACTTACGCAGAAGATTCGATGGGTTGTTATCTCGAATTGGGATAGGGAAGAACAGAAGGAGGGAGAGGAAGATGATGGGATGTCGGACCGGGAACTGCTTTGATGAAGGGAGACAGACTGGAAGGATTTTCGTTCCGCTCACGCAGTCGATGCTATCTCGCTGTTACCACAAGGCAACCCGGTCGATTCGCAGTAAACATCTGGAGTGAGGAAGCTCATTATCGATATTGGCGACTGCAAATTTGTGCTTCATCGGCACTCAATCGTACAAGATAGGCAGTTGCCACTGCTGTTACGAGTGATTAGAGCCTGAATCGATATATTTGATGGATCTAGAGCAAGCTGAGGCACTTCCTTCTTCTCCATCACACACCTGCGTGACGAAATGATCGTGCTCGCGAAGCTTTGTCAAGTTGTAGCGATGCCGCCGTCTTCACCATGTCTTCTTTGATTCGTTTAAATGTATCCTTAAGGCCTTCCCTGGCCAAGATGGGTGCTTTCGTGAGGAAATCCGCATCGTGATAGCAGGCAGAAATTGCATCTTGAAGCTCCACAGGGAGTACGTGACCTCCTACGCGGGGCATTAGAAATCCAGCTATCCGCTTCCTTCGAATGCCACGGAGGTATCTCAGTGTCAACGGAAACCAGAATCTCGCCACGAATGCTTTGTGATCAGTCTCGTGTATCAAGTGTTCGATTTCCTCCGATCGGTCGCCCGCTACCTGACACGTACGTGCATCTTCCATGATATCTTCCATAAAGCCTTGAGCCGAATGTAAGGGGTCCATGTGCATCATCTCCAGGTAACCTCTTGGGTAGCGGCCATCATTGTGTTCCATTGGCCGACCTCGTCTCTCTTCTTCACAAACAAGGGCCAGTGTGGAGCAGTCGAGTAGTTGAAGGTTGTCGTGTGACGTTAGGCGCGAATATTCTTTGAACTCAATCACTGCACTTTCGATCGAAAGCTCGATAGCAAGTTTGACTCCGTTCTTCGGCAGCCGGCATAGAAGAGCCAGATTCTTGAGATACTTCTGACGATCTATGGACCAATTCTCTCCATACCGGCGTTCGCCAAAGTCAAGAGTTTCGATTTGATTGTAGATGATGTCTGCGGGATCCGGAGTGTGCTCCAGGAGGAACAAAATTGTAGCCGCTGGCAACTCTTTGGAGCAACAGTCAGTACGCTTCTGAATCGTTCGGCTTCTTCACACGACGTACTCAGTAAGAGTTCGCGCTCTTTAAGCATATCGATGACCCCATTGAGATGTTCCTGCTCCTTTGCCGCCTCCACGAGGGAACCTGCAAGTCTCGGCGTTCGATGAGCCCGGACCATCTCCTCGATGAAATGACTGGCATTTGAAGGGATGTCTTTCATGCAAGTCAGTGTCTACTGTGAGCCTCTTGAGTTACATGTGCATCGTACGATAGTGCAACACCAGCCTTTGAGTTTTGAGCAGACCGAGAACAATCTTGAGATGTTTCCGCATTTCAGCCGGGTCCCTTCTAATTATCTCTGCTCTCGGCTCTGTAGAATTTGAAGTCACCATCAGAATGAACGCCAATGCAGCCTCTGGCAAATCTATTGACGATGTTAGCAGAATCAATTGTACAGGATGGGACAGCGTTGAATCATGCCATGAAGCAGTCTGCCAGCTTTGAGCACATTGAGTATCTCATGAAGACGTTGTTTCGCAATAGGAATCCTGCGTACGGTCTCTACTGCTTCATCATCTGCTGCTCCTGCTCCATCACTTTTTATCTCGAGATGCTCCATGATTCAATGCGTGGGGGCGTCAGTGAGATATTGGTCAAGAGATGAAATTGGAGTCCAAGACGTTGCAGAGACATTGATATACCCCCAACTCCCTCCAGGCAACCATCCCTGTGCTCGCCTAGATTGGGTTACACATGTGGAGCTCGTTGAACCGGACAACATCGAGCCATTAAAGTGTATACAGAACGCTGGCATACAGTCCTTCAATTTCGCTACATCATCATCCCTGCGTTTTTCCCATCCTCCCACTAGTCGTATCAACCACTCACGTTCTCGGTGTCCTCCATCTCTCCGACGAGATGCGTGCCTGCAGCATTCTCCCGCGCTATCCCTGACGCCTCCAGGAAAAATTGTTCATCGTAACAGAACGCTGCGATCGCATCCTGCAGTTCAACTGGCAAGATCTGGCCCGCAATGCGTGGTATTAAGAAGTCGGCAATCTCCTCCTGGCGGTATGCGTATAGATACCTCATGGTCAGCGGGAACCAGACTCTCTTGGTAACAGTCTTAGCATCATTTTCGTGCAACAAATGTTCCAGCTCTTGCTGTTGAGCGTCCGAGAATCTGTCCGATCTGCGACTTCCTTGCATATATTCCATTAGATCGTTGACCAAATCGTAAGCCCACATCCAGGCACCCATGCCAAGTATTACATTTTCGTAGGATCTCAGTTCATCGCAATCGACTTCCAATTTGCGTCCATGGCCGACCTCATCGCACACAATCGCCAGCGTGAAATGGTCGAGGATCTGGAGATCTTTATTGCACTTGGGCGTACCGTACGCATCAAATGCCTCGCATGCGCATTCGGTTGCCAATACGATAGCGCAGCCTGGGCCATCCACTGGTAATTGGGAGAGGATGGTCAGGTTTTTGAGACATTCTTTACTGTTCTTGTCCCAGGCCTCTCCATACTCTCCATATGCATTGTGGATTTGGCCGGTAACGATAGCTGCTGGGTCGGCGGAGAGATTCAGCATAAATAGTAGAGTCTCTTTTGGCAGCACTTCAAAGTAGAGTTAGCAACTGATCGACTGACGCCAGAGAAGCCGCAAGACAACGCACACAATAGAATCCTCTTCCTGCAGAGAAGATCGAGGAGCACATCGTGATGTTCTTGCACCTTGTTCGCCGGTTCTGCGGTAGAACATTCAGTCTCACCCTCTATTGGGCTCGAAATAGTCTTGTGTATAGTTGAGCATGGAAGATCTTCCACATAAGTTAGCGTTGTCATCTCCATGGGCGTTGCGTTCCGCCTCATACCTCCCGCTGCGACCTAAGAAGATATCTCTTCTGACGTAGCATTTAGTTTCTGCTCCGCTGCATGTGCTCTCTCATTTGCATCCTTCAGTTGCTCCTTGAGTTCTTCGTAGGTCGGATCTGCCATTAGGCCGACAGTGCTGGCTTTAGTGGTGGGAATCTGTCGTAGCATGAACACGAGGGTTGACAGTCCAGTCAAGGGAGGAAGAGGCACTCGTATTCATCTTCCTCCAGGCAACAGCAAGCGTCCGCCTAGATTGGGTTACACAAGCAAAAGTTGTGGAACCGACCCTCTTCAAGCAATGAGCGACTCGAGAGCATCTGCAAGAGACCATGAGGTGATTGGAGATCGATGCGTTGATGATCCATACCACAAAGGATGAGAGTGGCTGATCTATTCACACTCCTCGATTCGTTTCTTTCGATATTCTCGTCCCACTTGTATCCCTGAAGTTGCAACCATCACTTGGCTTGCTCTACCCTGTCTATTGTCGCTCTTCTTGCGACAATCGGCGCCCGTAGAACGAAGTCTGCGTCATAAAAGAACGCAGATATCGCGTTTTGGAGTTCCACTGGCAACACATGGCCTGCAATGCGCTCCAGGAGAAAATCGCATACTCGCTGTCGCTCGACCTCACGCAGATATCTCAAGGTTGATGGAAACCATCTTTCCTTCACGAACGCTTCGTGATCAGTCTGATGCATCAGATCCTTCACCTCCTCCCATCGTTCAGGCGAAAATCGATATGACTGCCCGTACTTTCCCTGCACAAGGTTCATCAGATGTTCTATGCTATATTCAGCCATTTTTCTCTGAAACGATTGAATCAAAGTGATGTACGATTCAAGCTGGCCGTACGCTTCCCATTCCAAGCCGCGGCCCAGACGGACTTCGGTCCAGGTCACTTTTAACGCGAAGTAGTCGAGTTTGTGAAGGTCATCGTGGGTTCGAGCAAATGAATAACATTCAAAATCGCTATGCGCGCACATAGTCGTCTTTTCAACAGCATGGCGTGCTCCGGCCGGTAGTTCGGCCAAGATGGCGAGGTGATCGAGGTATCGCTCGCGGTCCTTGATGTAGAGCTCGCCTTCGGGTCGCGTATCGCTGTACCTGTGGGGAGTTTTTATCTTGGTATCATAATCTTCGACGGCCTGGAATGGCCATGCGAACTCGTATCGTAGGCTATCTTCCATCTGGCGCTGGAAGATCTTGGCTGGCTCTCCAGTATCCTTGAGAATGAATAGCACAGTAGACATTGGTAGAACTAATTGCAGAGTCAACGATCAGGTTCTCCTCAGATCCGTGTCCATACGTACTGAGGAGCATTTCGCGAGCTTTGAGCACCTGGAGCACATTCTTGAGGTGTCCCTTGGCAGTTGCCAGCTCTTCGGAGACAACATCTGTCTTTTCGTTCGCGGCTTTTAGTTGCTCTTTGAGTCCTTCGTAAGTTGGCTTTGCCATTGGCTGTCTTTTCTCTGCGATCAATTTTCGCAGGAGGAGAAGCGGAATATAGTCCAAGTTAAAATCTTGTCGGCTCCAATTTGCTCCAGGCAACAGCCACGCACTTTCTCTGTGCCCGCCTGGCTCGAGTTACACAAGTGAATGCTGTGCAACACCAGAGCCCAGGCCAGGACTACGAGACCAGCTCTAGACTCTGTTTGCCATCCGATGGCTCCATATGAGCCAGTGCTTGAGCTGCTTCTGCCAGAACACACTAGATCAGTCACCGCTGGACCTACGAGGAATACTCTTTCGATGTGGCTGAGATTCCGTTGCGAAAACGCGAACATACAACCCAGCTGATCCATCTTCAACCCTCGCTCACCATCGGAGAGCCCGCGCTTCAGCATTGCACCCACTGGAGCTGTATTTCGCAGCAGTCTGCTTGGCAACAGTCGCCGCCCTCGCCATGAACTCCGCACCATAATAAAAGCCAGCGATCGTATCCATAAGCTCAACCGGTAATTTATCCTTAGCAATCATCGGCATAAGCAAGTCAGTAACCTTCTTCCTTCGAATTCCGCGCAGGAACTTCAAAGTCTGCGGGAACCAGATCTTCTTTAGAAATGATGGAGTACCTCCTTTGTTGACACTCCTCTTCTTGTCCATGATCTCGCGCGGGAAAATGTACGTTGGCATATGTGTTTTCATGCGACGTTCCAAGTACGGAAGGACATCTTGCCTCGCCTGTAAAAGTGCGTCGATATCGGGTTGAGGATCGAATGTCTTTTCGTCGTTTCGCTTTTCCTTTCGGCTATCGTTTCGACTTTTCATCGTGTGAAATCCCGCAAGTAACGAGCGATCAAGAACAATCAGTTTATCTACCGACCTGCTCAGGTAGTAAAGATCGACTTCCCGTGCCGCCCATTTTCTCGATGCCCCTTTGCCCATCCCGAGTCAATCCTGTCAACCCACCTTCGCAACCTCCAAACTCATCGCCTTGAGCTGTACTTTGGTGCGTTCTTCTCGGCAATAGACGGTGCCTGCGCAATGTAATCCCCGTCATAGCAGAATGCGCATATCATGTCCATGAGCTCCACCGGTAACACGTCCTCGGCAACCAGTGGCACTAGGAACTCGGCGATTTCCTTGCGCTGCAATTCGTGCAAGAACTTCAAGGTCAGCGGAAACCACACCTTATTGAAGAGGATTCGGGCACAACGTTGTGTCTGACCGCTTGCTGGCTTGGGTCCACTAGCTGTGGGCTGCGCTGCTTTGGAACTCTTGGAGCGCTTGCTCGAAACGAAGTTTTCGATGTTACGAAGCAGAAACTTCTTCGGTTGCACAAATTTGTCAATCTCAGATCGCAGGTCGTATGTTTCGGCTGCTTCGTTGGCATGATCGTTGCTGGCTTTTCTGCACACAGCAGCGAGCGTGACGTAGTCGTAGTCTGGAAGCTCTTTGAAAGAAACGGCGCCGCGAAATCCACCATCAAGCTCCTGTTCCGCACATTCAATGACTTTCTCGATGGCAAGATCGGGGCCATCATCCGGTAATTCCGCCAGCAAGGCGAAGTCTCCAAGGCAGCCGTAATACTCTTGGAAGAAGATCAACTCGTCGATTTCGCCAGACTCACGTTGGCTGATGCCGTCGAGCTGCTCCACAAAGACTCCTGCAGCATCGGTAACATCTTTCATCATAAACAACAGAGTAGCCTTCGGAAGGACTGTGGCCAAGATCAGTTGCAGTGTTCCGTTACGAGGTCTTGTGTATCATACCTGGAAGAGCGTTGTGCATTCTCAGCACGCGACGAGCGGCTTCGAGATGTCCGTGCACAGCAGCAACTTCCTCCGTGGCGGCATCTGCTTTCTCCTGCGCGGCCTTGAGTTGCTCTTCGAGCTGTTCGTAAGACGGTTTTGCCATCGTGCTGCTCATGGGGGCGTGGTGGTGCGCTATTGTCAGTGTTAAGTCAGGCAGCGAGTGGTCGAAGTCGAAGTCGTGAAAGATGTGAAGTTGCGATTGCCTCATCTACGTTCAGGCGACAACCCGCGCTCCACGCGCGCGAACCCTTGCCCCGCTAGCGCGACTTCCACAAGTGAAGCCGGATGGCGGCAAGCACCTACCAGCACCTGCAAGACCAGCTCACAACATCTACAACCACGCCCTCCTCTCCAGAATCGACCTCCTCACCTTCGTCGTATTCTTCGCATTCCCACCGCTCAACTTCCCCACGCCAGCATTATCCGGCACAGCCTGCACATCCGCGTCCGCCTTTGCGATAGTCAATCCCGAGAATTTGCTCAGAACGCCCGAGTCGCTACCAGCCAATTCCCCAGACTCCGAAAAAGAGTTCACAGCGCAAGATCTTTTCAAACCGCTACTGCACTTGCTCGCCGCGCTCTTGTCATTTGCAGCGAAGAGCTTTCCAGCAAAGTCCTGCTCTGCGGCCTTCACATTGTCGAAAACACTTCCCTCGACCAAGACATAGCTCGACGAGCCCTCGAACGCGTGGCCGGAGTTGTCGGACCAGTAGTTGTTGACAGCGTGGAGGAGAGTGTTCTTGTCGACCTTTGGCGAGCGGCCGGAGGTGTGGTGGATGTGGTTGCCCTTGAGGGTAATTTGGTCGTTCTCGCCGGTAAGGAAAAGTCCCCAGTAGTGTTCGCCGTTGCAGCTGGCGGAATATTTGGTCTGGCCATCGAAGTTGTTGTTGGTGATGGCGATGCCGGTGTTGGTTTCGTAGCCGGCGACGAGCATCATGCGGCCAATGTTGTTGATCTGCACCATAAGTTAGATCGCTTTACAGCGATTGGGACAATGACTTACTGTGACATGATCGATCCAAACGTTTGAGCAGCCGTTGAGAGTGATAGCATCTCCTCCCCAGACATACTTGGGGTTGAGCTCAGTAATCTGAATGTTCTGAATAATGACATTCTCGGCGCCGCCGGAGAGGGAGAGGCCTTTGCCCTTGATCACACCCGAAGAGCCCGAGCCGATGATGCTCTTGTTGCTTCCGACCTTGATGGCCGATGTACCAGCGACATCGTAAGTCACCTTGACTGCTCCAGCACCCTCTTGATAGTTTCCGCACCAATCATTGGCATTGATTGCGAGTTGGCAACCAGCGCCAGTGCCCCAAGGAGCACAACCAGTCTCAGTCTTGGTTCCCTCTCTTCCGGTGAAGTCAAAGGTCTTGGTAAGGACAATGGTGAGCGTATCCTTTGAGGTCAGGTAGTCGACCAGCTCGTCGGTCGATGTAGGTGTGACAGTCTTGCCTGCAGCTCCACCAGTGGTACCTGCTGCGAAACCAGGCGCTTCGCCGACGACAGATTGCGCCAAGGATAGAGGGCTGGCGGCCAGCGCCAGAGCGAGAATCGGCAACGAGAGCATTTTGAATGAATGTAGAGAAGTCTAAGGAAGGTGTGTGTGCTTGTGAACCAGGTCGCTGCTGGTTCGACCAAGCATTCTTATGTATCTTGCGCTCGACAGCGTTCCAGGGACGAATCCAGCCATGGTTCACATGGCGCGGCCTTCAGTAGCGAGTATATTGTTGCATCAGGCGCTCTCGCTGTCAAGACGAAACTCATACTCCACTGTGTCTTCATCTCGCTTGGCAAGTGGACCACTGCAAGAGAGCGACTGGCCATATCGTGAAGAAGTGGAGCTCGGGACACGGGAAGGAGCGAGAGAATTGTCCCATTCGGCAGTGTAGTGAGGTTCGAACAACGCAATCAGGGCTGCTCAGAATGTGATTCGCGCATTTAGTAGTCGTTATCCGTAGAGTACAGCTCATTGAACGTGTGTGGCTTGGTCGACGACCGCAAGCGAGAAGCCGAGTCCGAGAGTGGAAGTGCTTCCGAAGCCTTGGAAATGTGGAGCTCGTTTGTTCGAGACTTCGGTTGTTACAACGTAGAGGAGCTCGTGGTCGAGAACTTGGAATCTGTTGCACCTGGATGGTCAATGATGGTGTCGCACACGTACAGCTCGTTTGGTTCGCCCGTTCTGTGGCTACTCTTCCATCGCATTGTGCTAACATCTGTGCGAATTGCCGACCAACGTACAGCCTGCTCATGAAGTCGCATCGTGTCATGGATGCGATCGTGACCCTGTCCAAGGGACGCAGAAACCAAATGCGAAGGAAGAAGGTGTTGTCGTCCATGTCGCATTGTATCGCTCTGAGCCGCGGCACAAACGGGTCACCCGAAAGCCCGAAGTTCACTTTACCTTCCCGAAGAGGTACCCGTTACAACGGATCTGGATGTACGGATTATGCATATGCCGGAATGGCGTGGTCGTTTAGCGATCTGCGACGCAGCTCATCCAGTCCTGAACGGCAGCCGACGGTGAAGCCGCATATTGATCTCCACGAAATTGGGCTCATTCTCCGGAGTGATTATGCCATGTCTGATCAGGAATTCGACTACGACTGCACCAGCATCAGGCTTGAAGTCGCCCCTAAGCAGAGCCTCCTGCACCTTGTTGATGTCCATCAGGTAGAACGCGCTGACTTCATCGTCGTGCGGCCTTGGGATCACGTCTGCTGGCAGTTCAATGTCATACACGTAGACGTAGTCAGGGCATACTAGACCCTTTTCTCCAGGAAAGAGACTCCCGGTCGTGCTCATGTGAGAGACAACGCCACGGCATTTGGCTAATTTTTGGATCAGGTCTGCTGGCAGCGAAGCTTCTTCGTCTGACTCCTCGATGATGGTTTGAAACGGTGGTACACCTGACTTTACGCCGCCTGCCACTGTCGAGTCTAGCATGTCTGGACAGATATACAGGTGCTTGGCTCTTCTCGAGATCCACAGCTTCATGCCGCTGTCTGTGTTCGTGTACGCGATCATGTGTGCGCCACGCGTAGTGATGCCGAAAAGTGGCGTGGCGAAGCGTTCAATCTTCACCTGGCCGTCATATCTGGCGCCTGCAATCGCGAAGGGCTCACTGTGCTGACCATTGAATACGTGGAATAGTCTTTGGTCAATGGCTGGTGTGACGACTTCCTGGAAAGCAGCATTGACGGCTTCTGCAGTGTTTGTCCCATTCGAAGAGTCCAAGACACTGACACGGCGCGGATGCTCATGCTGGATATGAAATTTCGAAGTCCATGGCATCTTTTGCACTACCTCTGGCAACAGGTATCCATGAGGGCGATCGTCATTGGGAAGATATAGCCCGTAGTATTGATCAGCAGCCGGACCATACGGGAAGCTGTGTTGGTAGTGAGTGATGCATATCAGATGACGCTGCGACAGACCACGAACTCATCTGTTGCATGTATAACTGGCAGAAAGGAGCGATCTTGTGCTGCCGTCATGGTGTTGTTGGAGTTTTGGAGCTGCGGGGATATTCAATGCGGCTCTGCTGTGTTTGGTTCGTGCCAAGCCTTTTCGGCGCTAAATCATGTGCCAGGGCAACTGTCGTCAATACGAGGTAAACAAGCTCCGAGAAAGTCAGAGCCCAACGGCACCTCCTCCTATACCACGCGTTGTGCATGACTCTGTCGCAAGGAGTTGCTCACGATACCACAACACCGGAACGACCTCGGAAAGGACTCTACGACTCAGCGACATCCCTCCCCTTGGTCAGGCAGCAATTCGCACCACAGCCAAAAGACGAGTCACCCCCACATGCACCGACAGCGAATCCCACAACGCCGGCGCATACTGAACACAACATAATATAACCCACTTAACTTCAGCCCAGCATGGGTGACCAGGAGGACTTCTCACAGCTGCCGCTGATAGAGCAGTTCCAGCACAAGAACTGGAAGGCTCGAAAGGGCGGCTACGAAACTGCCACGAAGGAATTCAAGACCGCGCAACCGACGGACGCCATTGTCAAGGACTTCACATTCGACAGCGGGATATGGAAGGGCGCAGTGGGTGACGCAAACGCTGCGGCACAGCAGGAGGCGTTGGTTGCATACAATGAGTTTCTGAATGCAGCAGGCGCAGATGGTGCGCGCAAGACGAGGAATCAGACAGTCGCGCCTGCCGTGGAGAAGGGCCTTACAGGAAGACCGGCAGCGAAGGCGGCAGCGCTGGAGGCGATCTTGCTATTGATCGAGCTGGACAAGCCTGATCCGGTCGTGGAAGAGCTGCTGCCATTTCTGTCACACAAAACGCCGAAGATGATTGTGGCAGCACTTTCCGCGCTCAAGGAGATCTACCATGCATACGGTTGCAAAGTCGTCGAGCCAAAGCCTGTTCTCAAGCTGATGCCTAAGATGTACGGGCATGCGAACAAGGATGTGCGCGCTGAGGCCCAAGCTCTCACGGTCGAGTTGTACAGATGGCTGCGCGAGGCCATGAAGCCGCTCTTCTGGGGTGAGCTGAAAGAGGTGCAGCAAAAGGATCTGGACAAGCTGTTCGAGCCAGTACAGGCAGAGCCGGCACCACAGCAAGAACGTCTCCTTCGATCACAGCAGGCTGCGAAAGAGCGACAAGCAGAGGCGGCGGCAGCTGCAGGTGGCGAAGAAGATGAAGGCGAGGACGAGGGCGCAATCGATCTGGAGCCCGAGTACGAGGCTGTGGACGTTTTGAAGAAGATTCCAGGAGATTTCAACGACCGGATAGGCAGTACGAAGTGGAAGGACCGCAAAGAGGTCATGGACGAAGTATTTGCAGTGGTGAACGTTCCAGCAATCCAGGAAGGCTCTTTCGACGATCTCATCCGAGGGTGCGCGAAAAGTATGAAGGATGCCAACATTGCAGTGGTCACAGTCGCTGCAAACGTGGTCGAGGCGCTCGCCAAGGGTCTAAAGAAGTCATTTGGCAAGTACCGAAGTCAAATACTTGCATCGATGCTCGAGCGTTTAAAGGAGAAGAAGCCGACAGTCACCGACGCGATCGGGGCAGCCTGCGACGCCGTGTTTGCGGCCACCAGCCTTGGTGATGTCCAAAGTGACATTCTGGAAGCACTGAAGAACAAGAACCCGCAAATTAAGGAGAACACCGCCAAATTTCTCGCACGCGCGCTGAAAACGACTCGGGATGCACCAACTCCAGAGCAGACGAAAGAAGTTGCGGAAGGATGCAAGAAGCTTTTGACGGAAAGTGCGGCACCGCTGCGAGATGCTGGCGCTGAAGTACTTGGAATTCTCTGGAAGATCATGGGCGATCGAAACATGCTCGCACATCTCGAGGGGTTGGATGATATCCGCAAGACGAAAATTACGGAAATGCGCGATGCTGCAGAAGTTCGAGCAAAATGGAAGCCGAAGGCCGCGCCAGCACCCAAAGCAGCAGCAGCAGCCCCGGCAGGCAAGAAGCCAGCGCTTGGGACAAGAAGACCAGCAGCAGGTGGTGTTAAGAAGTCAGCGCCTCCGAAGGCGGTTAGTCCACCTCTTACCGAAGACGCACCTTTGCAACCGCGCCCCACGACACGACCTGGCGTCAAGCCGCCGGGTGGACTCAGACCTCCAGGAGGGCTCAAGCCACCGAGCTCCGGGTATGGCAAAGCACCTGCTGCTGGTGCAGCCTCACCGAAGCGCCAGGGCGTTATATTGGACGAGCCTCCACAGGTGCCTACAACTCCCCGCGCTGGTGCTGGTCGTGGTCTTGCAGGTAGATCACTAGCCAAGCCGGCTGCTGCGCCAGCCTCACCGCCAGCACAACGACAACCAGAATCAACATCGTCAGCACTGAGCCAGATCGAGCGGCAAGAGTTGACAGATCTCCGGGCAGAAATCGACCTTGTGCGAGAACAGGCATCCACCCTACGCAACGAGAAACTAAGGCTTTCTTCACAAGTATCGGAGCTCCAGGTCCAGAATGCACAGCTTATTGAAGATCACACGCGAGATGTATTGCAAATTAAAGCTAAGGAGACGCAATTGGTACGAGCTCGGTCAGACGCCGAATCTGCAGAGGACCGTGCCAACAGTCTTTCGCGCGAGATCGACAGGCTGAAGCGCGAAATTGCCAGACTGGGCCGATCGCCTGCTGGTCGTGACAGTCCTGTCGATGGCTATGGCAGTGGCCCAGCTTCACCGCCACCACAGCCACGGCCCAGCTACGGCACGCAGAGAACTTATGGTGTTCCAAGCTCGCGCGCGTATGGTAATCTCGACGCTGCTAATGGGTACTCGAACGGTGAAGGTAAGGAGAACCGTCCGAGGACTTTGTCAGACGATAAGCTAAGAGGTGGTGCTGGTGCAGGTATCGAACGACCAAGCTCGAGAGCCCTGTCAGGAGGATCAAGTGGCCGAGCCACACCGAATGGCGATGGTGCTAGCAGTCTGAGGGGCAGTCAAGGTGGTGGTGACGGCGTGGAGAGCTGGCGGAGAGCTGCTGAAGTAACCCAAAATCTCAAGGCGCGGATCGAGATGATGAAGGTATGTGGCAATCCATTTATTTCAGCGCAGAGGAGGAAGTGCAACGACTAATACTTTTACAGGCTCGCCAAAATATCGGACGTGGACAATAGAATGGCCACAACGATGCTGTCGACCAGGGCACTCACTACTCTGCGCTACCTCGCAGCCGCGTTGCCTCGTCTCAGGGAGCGCCAGCGATGCACACACGCACGACATCTGCTTTTCAGCCCGAAAGCGAAGCGGACATTCAGCACACAGGCAACTCACCTGGACCTGAAAGCACAAGCCACGACGGCCACCCCGATCTTCAGCATTCTTCATAATCACCCCTTTCGTACTTCTTCTCACATATTTCGACTTAATCCTGCGACGACCGGAGACGACTAGCATGCGAGTGGTGGGATTAGCATTGGAGGATCAGAACACATGGCGTACACGGAGCGTTGCATGCGAGCGAAGGTCTTTCTTGGGATTTTTGGTTTTACCGTTTGAATGCTGCGGCAGTGAAGAAAGGAATGGAAGCGAGTGACTTCGTTCAAGTGGACGATGTTTTGTTTTGCTTTATGCATGATACCAGCTTTTTTCTTCTGTTCTTCTTTCACCGTAGGGAGGGGAAGCTGGTGGGGAAAGGGGGTATCGGAGAGCGGAGCGGTAGTGAGAGTGCAGACAGAGTATATACTGTTTGGCATGAAGTTGGAGAATTTTGGTTTCGTGTCACCTTTCTAGGTTTCCATCTGCGACAATCAGACCTCGTTGGCCACTGCACGCCCTTGACCAGGAGAAATGTGGTAGTTGTCGTACACGAAATGTGACTTTGGCTTCCAATGGCCTTAGAGGTAAAATGCACTCCACGACACCTGCCTCAGCGTTTTATGAAGCAGGTCATATACGCACAAACAATCATGCTGACTAATCAAATCAGCATTGGCACTTTGGTACGATTCCATCTTACCTTTCGCTCTTGTTCAAATTGCTAACTTCCCCAACGGCGGAGTGGTTAACGTAAGCAATTTTCACCATCAAAATTTGATGCGAACCCCAATCTGACTTTGCGATAGGCGCTGGCCTGCTATTGGAACTATACGACTAAGTCGTATTCAACTGTCTAGCCAGTTCCTTCGGGAGCGTGGTACGTTGCGCCGAAATTCGACACTGTTGAATGAATTCTAATTGAATATTAGTGTTCGAATCACACAGGGTATGTCCTGCTGCATCATCATTTCAGTGCGCACTTTCTGACTGTTGAAAAGTGTCGTCGAGCATCATGCTTCTATCTTTTTTTTTCCTTTTTGCTGTTTCGGATGGTAACTTGGAGGATGTATATATATGGCGCGAGGTGAGATTCCTTCTTTTCGTTAAGTCCAATAATGTTATTCCACGAACACATCCGCCAATGTTTCAAGTTCGCAGACGATCGTCAAGCTTCTACACTTTTCCATCAATGTGGTTGCCTGAACTCCAGATTCAAACATTGCAGCCTAGGCCATGGCTGTCTTAACAGCAGCTTTGCTTTCTGTTTTTGGGTACAAGGCTCGAAGAAACACGATCAAGAGTTCACCAAACACGCCATGCGAATGCTGTTCAGGCCTCGGACCTACCTCGTCCTGCTCCTCGTTAATCTACCTCGAGCAATCTCTTCAACTATATCTTTTACCGGCTGGCTCGACGATATTTGAGAAAGCTTGTTCTTCCTTCCGAACCAGATGCTAGAGCCCGAAGAATGTTTCTCAACTTGTAGTACGAAGTTTTCGTCGCTTCGTGCCTTTGGACTAGAAGATACGAATGATAAAGGGGCCGACTACATCCAACTCTATTCTGACCCTGCTTGCCAGAGCCCAAATCACGCCGTCAAATATTCGGACATGTGTCTAAGGCTCGAGTTCCGGTCGCTGATGTACGTTCCAGCGACGATAGACAAGGAGGTAAGTCCGGTTCCTAGCATTCCACACATGGATTAATGGTTTCGCGCGGTGTTGACGAATGATGCAACTACAGACCAGAGAGAGAATCAACGCAACACAGAATGTGACAAAATCTGCCGAACAGCAACAAGCTGATGATGACTTGGAACTGCTGCTGCTGAGAATGGAACAGGCTTATGAGAGAACAGGAAATGTGAATGCGATGGAGGAGGTTACGAGACAATGGCGAATGGACAGGAGTGGCGAGCAAAGGGATAGACTCGTGTGAATTGTCGTCAACCAGCTGGATTTTTTCCGACGGACCACGGAGCGAGGGCGGCGTTGTGACCCATCTGGGGAAAGACCTTTGCTAATAGAATTCTGATCCAAAGGATTGTGTTTCAAATGACTAGTGTACATTCCCAAGTCCCGTACAAAGAAATCGACATGTTATCTAGCTCTTCCTACTCCTCGTGTATCACTCGTAACTCCTTAAAGCCCGTCACCTGCTCAAAGATCTATCGGCGTTGCGATAATTTATCAATCACCAACTCTAATTATCCGCAGGCCCGTTGTCACGATCTCTTCCCCAAGATGCACCGTCATGGCCACGTTCACTGCTGAACGAGCGACTCAGCCTGTGCCAAAAGCTGAAAGGCCATCCAGCTCCTGTGTGATGGTGGTATGATGGAAGCCCGTAATCGGAACCCGAGGACATTGTCGGAAAGGCTGTTCTGGTGACAGTCACGAATGTCGTGTCCTGATGACTGGGATCTCTTACTGGTGTCGCCCTTGGTAAATCGGATCGATCTGAGTTTGGCTGCCAGTATGCAGTAGGATAGATCCATGGAGTGCTCTGAGTAATAGTTGGGTGAAGATAGAACGTGTTGGAGCTGGTTGGCGCTGGATAGGCTGTGTATTGCGACCAAGTCTCCGTTTGGGTTACGGTGGGGTCCCAGATGAATGTGTTTGAACTGCTTGGTGCCGGATAGACTGTGTATTGCGACGATGACTCAGTCTGTGTGGGAGTGGGATCCCAAGTGAACGTGGCTGAGTTGCTAGAATCTGGGTAGACAGTGTACTGTGACTGCGTAGGTTGGAGGGAATCGGATCTTATGTGAGTTGGATCGAAAACTGCAGTACTGGATCCATCAGCGTCTGGGTATTTCGTATGCGTTGACCATGGGAGATCAATCTGGCTGGTACTGGGCTCCGAGAAAGCTGTGGACCAGACGCTTGGGTCTGGATAGATCGTTCGGGGCGACCATGTTGTATAAGAAAACTCAGACGCTGTGATGATTGGATCCCTGATGATTGCGAAGGAAGAACTGGGCTCTGGGTAGACAGTCCATCGTGAGACAGTAGTGTCAGGCGTAGCAGATTGCGTGATGGTAGGCCCCAGACTGAAGCTGTTCGAACTTTCCGGATCCGGATACACACTTTGCTGAGTCCTGGTGGACTGCGGAAATCGAGATTGTGAAGCGTATGGGTCTCTTGTGCTGCCACTATAATCGTAGAAAGATGACATTGAAGGTAGAGGTTGACCATAAAAGTATGAATTCGTTGAATGACCGTCTGAAGTTGGGTAAAGAGTGGTTGATTCTGACGTGGGATCCATCGTCTGAGTCGGGTTGATATCTACACTTGTGAAGCTGAATGACCATGTCCCAGTATTGCTGTGGGCAGGATCATACGAAGGCGAAAGATTATCCCCATAGCCTGTAGGGTGCGGATATGCGTCGGACGTGTGGGTCCCATCGTCTGAAGTAAAGGTTGGCAAGTCTGTCCATGTATTGGTAGCCGGTCCGTACGAGCGCGATCGAGAAGCAGTAATAGTCGTAACTGCTGTGTTGTACTGACTATCCGTGTACGTTACTGTCACATAGCTAACATCCGATCGAGAAGTGAGACTCGTGGGCAGTGCGTCCCATGTTGTCGATGTGAGATCATTGCTGAACGTGGTCTCGATGTCAGAGAAGGTGTACTGTCCTTGGCCCTTGGAAGTAATATCGGAAGACGTTGTCTGCGGTTGGGATGGCACTGATTCGCTGCTCTGCTGTGGATAGACCGTTCGAGTAATTCCTGGCCTTGTCTGGAAGGTACTCAAATATGTTTCAACAGGTGCATACGTGCTGTAGAGTCTCGAATCTACGCCAGTCGTACAGTCTTCGCCTCGCGTTCCGTTGACGTATGATGTAGCGGCCGTCAAGGGTGACGCTGACGTTAGAGTTTTAGGTTGGTACAGGGTCGATGGTGCAGGCTCATCTTCGTCGCGCAAATAGCATGAGCCACCTGTGTATGTTCCATGGGCGCAGTTTGTGCCCCTCGCACTAGCATCCCAAATAGAGCTCTTGCGAGCGTACTGTTGGGGAAGGCCGTATGCTGCCGTTTGCGACACTGTGGTGAAGGTGTCCAGTGGGAGGCCCTGCGCAAGCAATACATGCAGAACAGAAATGCAGAGCAGAGATCCTGCCATGTCGATCAACGCTGCGACTTCCGCGTATCGAAGGATTTAATGAAGTATGAGAGGAAACAATCAAGGCTGCTCGCCCAGCTGTGAGTAAATGAAAGACTTGGAGGAGCAAATTAGAGTATTCGATGAGCCAAAGGATGTATTTATCACGCTCTGTTGAGACACTAAGTTTAGAATGATCATTTTCGTTGCGCGAAGCTGTTGATCTCGGCCGCCGCTTCTTTTCCGAGGTCGTGGTCTCAGAAATGCATGCGATAATAGTGATGGGCGTCGGCTCGATAAAGTTCAGGGGCAAGAGGTGCGAAGACTCTACGAGCGAAGGACGAACATTGCGGATTGCGGAGCCAACCTAGAAGGGTCCTGGTCGATGGACAACAACATTGAAGTAAATCGCCACAGTATAGTGGAGTGTCCGTTGTTACTCGAATTTCCACAGTCAAAGCCTCAGAAGTTGTGGAAGAGCGCCACGATCATCTCGACGTCCAGCGAGGCTGTTCAAAAATTGCAATAGAAGTTGTCGAACCCTACATGAATCGCAGCTGGATTCCAGGCTACTGTTTTGAGTGCTTGAATTCGCTCGACTGCACCAAGTCTCAGCCCGGGCAAGGATTTGATCATTATCGCTGGCCTTCGAATGAATAGGATCGAAGACCTCGTGCTCAACGTGCTTCGTGTGATCATGGCGTAGCCAAGGGGCTAGCTTGCATGTGAACCGTTGTGAGCTATTGGCGGCGTGACCAAGATGGCTCATGAGAGCGGGAGGATGTCGAGCAAAATTTGAACGTCCATGGAGACACAGTGGCTCGGTGTGGCGGAGCCGACCTTTCAAAGTGGCAGAAGGCTGAATTGGCGAGACTGTACGACCAAGCCATCAATGGGCTGCCCCAATGAGGAATTCGCTGCAGCCTGGACTCACTGCGCCATTCCTGGTAATCCACGAAGAATGCCGCAGGCATTAGATAGTGTTCGACACGTGGATGTCTTTGAATTTCTTCTGCGTGATCCCACCGCGGATTCTGCGTAGTGCTGGCCAAGGCTTGCGGAACGTACCTTGGCCGCGCTTGCGCCGGAGTGCTTCACGTCTTTTGTTGCTCTTCCTTTCCAATTGCGATTGGGCGGGCTCAAATTACTACTCACAAGCTCGACGGCGGAGAAATTCTGGGATCGCTCGACGAGCTGTTCTGAGACGTCTTCCCAAAGTGTGATCCTCGTCTGGAGCCATACGATCTCCCGAGATCGTCTCTTGAGCTTGTCCATGCTCATATTCAACTCATCACCTGAGTATGCAGCATTCTAGGGTATGCCATAGTTGAGTTGCGATGATGGAGGGCCGAACATGTTCAGCTGCCTTTCCCGATGATTGAGTACGAACGGTTCCAACGGCTCAGAGCGACGTTGCAGAACGCGCCACACTATGGGCTTCATGTTGCCGTGTTGCTGTTTGTGAACATGCTGTCCCCACAGTATGCCTGTTGTGTGGTTATCCGCAAAGTGTCCTCGACCTGTACAGAATTGGACATGAAAACGATTCTGGGAGATGTCTTCAAGATGCAATGTCTCCAGTCCAGCATCCTTACTTGTAAGATAGTCAAAGATCGCATTCCATTGACTACCAGGAGCCAATCCAAGCTTTTGCAGTGTGAGATGTTTGATTGCATGACGCTTTAGGAAAGATAGCAGGTCTGGCTCACTCGCCTCCAGATTTCGTAGCGCAAGTACTCGCAAAGTGGGAAGATGGACTGCTTGGGTGAGATGCTGCAAAAAGCTCAGGATTTCGTAGTTGTCAAGCTCGCGTCGAGATCGCCTTATCTCGCATCTTTTCAAGTCAAGCTGTTTCAAGCTTTTGCAGACGTTCAACAAAGCTCCCAGCCCACTGAAGTTTGCCTCGTTCGTCGCTTGTGTTTTCAAAATTCCAAGGTTTGGCAGCAGCTTGGTTGTGCTTGGTGCTGCTGCCAGGCGTTTAATCAGATCTCCAGTTGACGAGACATCGTATTTTGTCTCATTGAGTATACGGTCAGAGACACTGATCGACAATACTTCCAGGTTGGCCAAGGTAAAAGCGATCCCATTCGTTTGCCAATTACAACGACTTAACTCAACGCACTGTAGGCTGCAATTCCCAGAGAAATCATTGCAGAAAATCTTGAGCTCCTGGACGCGTAGGCTGACAGTATCAAGCGCAAGTATAAGAGTGTGGAACGTTTCCGCAGCCTTCTGCCATACAGACCTCCAGCCTGGTCTTCGGGACATGTCCTCTAATATCTTAGAGTCTTCACGGTATACTATGACATCTGTCGAGATGCGTTTCAGCCCAGGCTGCTGTGGGCGAGCGGCAAGATTGAGCAAGATGCGTGTCAGTAATTTGACGGCATCTCCTGCCCCGTGAAAAGAAGCGAAGTCGGCGCGTTTCGCTCGCAACAATTGGAGTTCTTCGGCTGCGTGTGCTAGCTCTGCCTCACTGCATGGCTGCTCTGGCATGTAAGGTATTCGGCGTGCTAGATCTATGCGTTTTGCTGATGTTCGAGTTGTTTTCGCAAGCTGATGCTCAAGCAAAGCAGTGTTGTAAACCACTCCAACTAGTGTCAGCTTCTCAACAAAACATCCAATGCGGCCTTTCGCCGTCAGCTCGGCCATGAATTCCAGAGCAGGCCTAGTCCATCTCCACGTATCTGTGTCTCAAAAAGGTGCCGAAGTGCTTTTGAGTCGCCATGTGCGCGATGCGGCGATTGACCATGCGAAGATTGTTGAGGTCACATAATTGCAATCGTACATTGATCTCCTCGAATACCTCGTTTGGTAGCTCGTCCAGAAGCGGAGCAGACATCATGTACAACGATACTTGTTCTGACGATGTCCACGTCCAGATAGAAACGTAACGCAGATATGTGAGCGCTGCCAAGATATCAAGACGGTCAAGAATGAGAACGAGATGCCTCGGTTGGTAATGTGCTTGGCCTTTAGTTTCAACGCCATCTCCAGTGATCAATCTACATGTCTTCAGACTGACATCGTGTCATGAACTTTGTAAAGGAGTGCAACGAATGCTCCATCATGCAAGTACGAAGAGCTTCATGGTGGAGACATGGCAGCGTTGCTCATGGCTTTCGTGCTGGGCTTTCTGCGGAAGCCAATCTGATGATGGTATCAAATTGGCCACGATTCGCACGTTCTCGAGGCTCGCTGTCCTTGCCAGCAGTCAGTAGTGCTTCGTTGCAAGATGGCAGGCCAGCTTCTCGTAGCGACCGGAAAGCACATTGCTCTAGGGAGCTGCCAGCGATTTCCAAACATGGAGAATGACTCTACCGCGCGACGGCCTCATCTTGTAATGCGGAGCACCAGATCGCATCTTGAGCTACCGTATTCCGCCTTTCGACTCAACTGCTCGCTGGATGCTGGTTTGCGGAGCCGAAAATTTTCGAAGGCGTCAGGTGCACATGTTGGTGTGGCGGAGCGCGAGTAGAGTTTGATTCGCTTCACGCCACGTTCTCACGCACGAGCGGCTTGGCACGAAGCGGGGGCATACAGTAGGCCCGACTTCACCTTCTTCTTCCGTCTACATAAAGCTGGTTCTCATCACTGGCTTCACCAGAATCATCAGACGTCAGCGAGTACTCACCTTTGGCATAACATCCATCCCTCGCATCCTTGCTGGCGTGCAGTGCTCAGGTGTCAGCGAAGACTATTCGACCGCTCTCGACCCGCAAGGCTGTAATCCTACAAGGCTGTGAGGCTGCATGTAACAATGTAGCAGGAAATGCTAGATCGCCTCTTGAACGGCACAGATCGCGAACGGAAGCAGATTCGACCTGTTCGAGAGGGCACTGGTTGTCGTGAGTATGTCTCTGGCGCCCAAAAAAATCGTCTCTGGAACAAAAGTTGCACTGCGACAATTTGGACGCTGGCACCTCCGGACAGCGATAGTGAATGTTTCACTTCGTCCATACAAAGCCGTTCGCTGCACAGCGCTAGTTACACGCGACACCTGCAGGCATTGAGAAGCTCCGACCTGGAGCTGCAAGCCTCTATCACTTTGAACATCCAGATCGCATCTGTGGATGGAGCGTCCCTGCACGTGCCATGTTCGAGGCTGTGTTTTACAACTTCTTAAGCGTAAGAAATAACACCATTGGCAAGCCTGGCACCAAGGTGGACGAGGCTAGAACTCAATGTTGCGCCTCTGTGCTAAAAGTCAACCTTACATCGCGACCCCGCAGAGGTGTAGAAGGAGGGCTGACGCTTATAAGGATCGACGATATCCTCTGTTCGTAACTCACTTACTTCCCCAGCAGACTCGAACACACTCTCCATCTTTGCCAAAATCATACCTCGCAGAAAATGCCAACTCACCACGGCCCACATCCTCCAGGGCACGGATACATCTGTAAGTCACCACTCGCGCCGTACAGACAGGCCCTCTTATGCTAAGAATATCACAGATGATCATGCCCATCACTCTCGCCTATCGCGGGTCGCTGGCAAAGTAATTAGCTCCGACGAAATTCGAGGCATCCTCAACAGCTCCAACCTAGCTCTGACAGCACCACATGGAGCACCGTTGAGGATTGTTCGGGTGAATGGCCGGTATACGGTCATGAAGGGGCATTGAACGGACGGACGTGAAAGGGAGCGCGTCAATGAAAACAGGTTGAGAGTGGACTGATACTGTTGGTGGTACGCTGAGGCCACAGTTAGATCAGATCCGTATGGTTGTCTAGAAGATCTTGTATTATGTGAATAATCACAAAGCGTTCGGGACCCCCGATCATTCAGACACTATCAATCAAATCTTGCCACGCAGCTCCTGCTCACGCTGTCGTCCTTCACTGATTTCGTGGCTCAAGTTGTGGCAGACGATGCCTCCAAATGTCTTCTCTTGATGGCCAGCCTGCTAACAATGACATGAAAGGTACAGTTGGGCACTGGATTTACCAGCATCTGAGCTCCATCTATTTGGAAATTGTCCTTCGCGCCATTGGGTCGAATATTGCTCGTTGCTCGTTGTCACTGACACACGGAGTAGTATGAAGCGCCATGGGCTTTCATCATCGTCAACGTGCGACCGCCTCCATACGTGGTTATTCTAGATCTTGTTCGCCGCCCTGATTCACAGTCGCGCAGAGGCAAGACTTCTTCACTCACATAAAGCATCATTCTTGCAGTGCTCAATCTTTGTTGCGGCCGTGCCGGATAGGCCTCTCCATCGCCTAGTCAGGTTTTCCTGACACCATTCGTGGCGGCATGTGAAACTTCACACGGACAGTGCCGGGTGAAACACGCAGAAGGCAGTTTCTGTGGGTAAAGAAAGACCTGTGGGATCCTGCTGAGCATCGTTCCGGAACAATAAGGTGTACAGAGTGTCGTTCGCATCAACGAATACTGGGGACGTACCAGGACATCCATTCTGCATTTTTGCATGCATCCCTCGCAATCAGAAAGCTCGGTGTGTCCCGAATCAGCGACTTCAGGTCTTGAGAATAGACGTAAGGACTTGATAGCCCTACTACCGGATTCACAAATGCAGGTGGCACGTTGAATCATGCAGACCGTGAAAGCGCATCTTCAACATGGGCTCACAATCTGCTAGGTATCATGGTTGACAAGGGCGGTGCTCACGCAGCGCTAGAGTCAGAGCAAAGAACGAGGGTAGTTGGACAATGCAACAAGCATGTCGGGTGTCCCCTTGTCTAGTTGCCCTAATTTATCATGCTCTGTCAGCCTGTATACATCACAGTTTCTTCCATTGCTGGACACGCGACATTGTGCAGTACGAGCTAATGGGAAATGTTCATCTACAGCCGTTGACCGGATCCCTTGCTTGACGTCCATGCTCTGCCTATGTAGTATCACAGTATTTGATACTTGATCAAGATAGCAGCTGCAGACAGCGAGCCTGGCATCGGTCAGCAAAGTCTTAGTGTACAAGAATTCGTCTTCAACTAGCAACGTACTAGTATCTGTAGTTCAGGGAGACACGAGATTAAGGCGAGAAGTCCGGGAACTACATGAAGTCTAGTTAGTATATGATCTTGCGGTGCACTGCACGTCTCTCTGTTCTTGTTGATTCACTTCGTTTCTTATCCATCCGATCTGCCACTAGTTCAATCTCTGCTGCTGCTAAGTTTTGTAACTGTAGCTATCGGACAAGGATCAATCCCTTTTGGTCCGAAAGGGAGACCCGAGTAGGTCGTCTACCTCGAAGGATTCAGGTTTTATTATACTAATCCGAGGTATAGCATCAAAGCACAATGTTGTTGTATGAGCCTTCTGTACTTGGAAAGTTCTTGTTCAGTTTTAACACTTGCATAGATCAGGTTATAAATCACGATCTAAGGCAAACCTGCTGCCTCTGCAACAGCGATCTCTATGTCGGCGGCCATTTAGTATTCCCTGCGGGTAACAATTGCCCAGTCAAAAATGAGGCTTGTGGTCCGCCCTGCACTTGGAACGATACTTGCTGCTGTAAGTACAACCTACAAATTGGGAGTTTACAATAGTCATCTGCTTCTGGACTGACGCGCCGTCTGCCTTTCAGGGAGAAGGGACCCGAAAAACGGGAATGCTGCAACCTGCTGGTGCTACGCGAAGGCCGTGGCCCACACGTCAATCGATGCTGCGCAGAAGGACTGTGGATTTGAATGTGCACCGGATTGGACGCCAATAGGGAGCTAGTCTTCGTTCTCGTGCTCATCTGCCTTGGCTGTGGCCAGGAGGAGGACTGCTGTTAGAAAGCAATTCTGTATACTAGGGTCGTAAAATGCGCGGTGTTTTTGAGACTACCATGACAACCATGCCCGATTAAGACAAGGTGGCTATGTTCTATTCACAGACTCACCTGTGGTGCAACAGAGACTGTCAGAGTTAGCGGCCAATGTCGATAGTGGCTACGCGAAGGCGCCACAAAGAGGTTGTTAAGTACCTTAGAGGTGTCAGCGGAACCGCCAGCGAAGTATTCTATTGCCAGATTGGATGCCGAAAGGCGAAGGAATTTTCGTTGCTGGGCGCCACGTAGTCCTACTCTCGTGTGCTGAGCTTCCTCCAGAGTTGCCTGGCCTTCCCCGAGGCACGCGTGACAATCATGAATCTGGCGCCATCCAGGTCGGATAGCAGTGGGCTTTGAGCATGATGCTTCGCTTCTGTACGCTCACCGGGAGCGGCAGTGTGCGAGTTTCTGATAAAGTGATAGAACAGCTCAGCAGAGCTTGTGACTGCGTATGGTTTCCGGGATTCTGTCTCCTGTTCGGCAGTATCACCATGCTGATGCGCAATTCGGCGGGTTTAGTGCAGGGCAGTCGTCATGCCATGAGTACCAATCACTTTTCGCTCGGTCTCGGACTCATTGATTCTTCTTGCAGACCCATATTAGGGTGAGGCGTGGCCAAAGTGGCTATGGAGGAGGCTCCATTTAAAGCCGGGACCATGTGCATAGCATCGCTATGCCCACTAGCGAGGTAATTGTGGGAAAATACATGCAGCATCCCGGATGTATTCGGGCTGTTGATGAAAGTTCAGTGGTAGGTAGCAGGTATGAAGCTGGAGCGAAGAGGAAAGTGAACACGCTGAGTTATGCATGCGTGCATAAATTCCGCCCACCATGATTAGTAAGTTTTGATATCAAGCTGCCTTAGATTGTTTGAACCTCATAAAAGTGCTATGACTGTGCAGTATTCATCACCTTTTAACTCTGCACTCGCTCTCATCGGCACATCCACGATTCACAACCAGAGCAGCACAGTAGTAGTACTCCCTCTCCAAGAGCGCACACAGCCCGAGTTCGATACCGGAAGATCATGTCTCCGATCCGGGTCGGCATCCTAGGTCTGTCCGCCACAAGCTCCTGGGCCGTACAAGCCCATCTTCCTTACCTCATCTCCTCGCCAAAGTACACCATCACTGGCGTCTGCAACTCGTCCCGGGAATCGTCGCAGAAGGCAATTGACGCTCACTCTCTGAAAGATGCCAAATCATATGGAACCCCGGACGAACTGGCTGCCAGCGCCGAGATAGACTTGGTTGTTTGCGCAGTGCGCGTCGACCGCCATTACGATGCTCTCAAACCCGCGATTGCAGCAGGCAAAGATGTCTTTGTGGAGTGGCCACTGGCATCCAACTCGAAGGACTGCAAGGAGCTACTAGCGCTAGCCGAGGAGAAGGGTGTAAAGACCATGGTCGGCCTGCAAGGTCAGATCAGTACGCCAATCAAACGGATGAAGGATCTTGTCGACCAGGGCGCAATTGGCCACGTGATTAGCAGCAGCATTGACTTATGGACTGCACTCAGTACTGCGGAAACTCGTGAAGGCTACGAATATCTCAACTTCAGGGAACTTGGCGGGAATATGATGATCATCCCCTTCGGGCACTTTTACGACAGCGTAAGCTATGTCCTGGGCGAGCTCGAATATCTTTCAGCGACTCTATCAACACAGTATCCCGAGGTTACTGTGAGATCCTCGGATGGCAAAGTCATCGACACGATCAAGCGAACGACGGCCGACCAGGTCACCATGTCTGGCCTTCTCGCAAGCGGCGCACACTCTTCAGCGATCGTCCACGGCAGTGCTCCATTTAAGGGCGAGCCGGCTCTTATATGGCGAGTTGAGGGCGATAAGGGCATCATTGAACTCCGTGGCGAGACAGCCTTTGCTGTGAGTATGTCCGGGCAAGTCAAGATCAGGCTCCAAGACTTTGCAACCGGCGAGGTAAAGGACATCGACTTCGAAGGAGGTGACGCCGGCCCACCAGAAAACATTGGAAGGCTCTATGAGGCTTTTGCAGATGGAAAGAATTTGCCGGACTGGAAATGGGCTGTGAGGCGGCATGCTTGGGTTGATGCGCTCTATGAAAGCCATGAGAGCGGAAAGCGCGTGTCGTATGCGTAATGGAGCGATTTGTTCGTGTTCGTGCATCATGGCACAGACTATTGCTTCAAGTCCATGGTGTCAGAATGGCTTGAGCGAAGCTCTCTCGAAAGTCAAGTCTCCTAACATGCACTTTTCAAGGAACGAACGTCCTACCGAAATAGCCCCGTGCGCACACATCGTCGTGGATCCAGGCTTAGGAGGACAATAGACCGGACCGGGACGGCGCAGAAAGAATCCTTTAAGATAGCTGCGACAGAAGCTTACCTTTTCACGAACTCAAAGTGGACTTTATGCGGCTTCAACACTTGACATAGCCTTGAGCCGCACAACAAAGCATTGAACCTATGTACAATGCCGAGCCCATGCGGCGTTTGCATCGATGCCTGGCAGCGCCACGCGAAGCTTTGCGAACCACGAGCTCAGCTCTTTCAGCTCTTTCTCACAGCACCCTTTTGCGACATTGAATGCGCGACACTTGCCTCTGTCACTATGTTCAATAAACCGCACGCCGCGTGGTCGCTCGTTGACGTACTTGAATATGTCGAAACCAACCAGTCGTCTTCGTCAACAGCGCTACCAGAGAAGCCCTTAAGATGTCTGAAGAGAGGCACAGAGAGCAACAGCTTACACACCCAAGCCTACTCTGCACAAGATTATGTTGCAGTGAGTTATACATGGCCCAGTAAGGCATGGACGAGACTGTACGACAGCAATGTATCCACTAAGGTCTGGGATGGGAAGCACTGCAGTGACTCCGAACACATCAGCTTGTTCATGCTTCATGTATTGGACAAGTTGCTACCAATGACCTCAATGAATGATGATGGTCAAGAGCTACACATGTGGGTGGATCATTCATGTATCAACCAAGACGATGACCAGGAGAAGCAAGAGCAAATCGCAATCATGGACCGCATCTACTCTGGCGCGCGCCTTACTGCTGTCATGCTGGAAGACGTCGAACTCACTGCCGAGGAATATGATTTCCTGAGGTCATACAAGCGAAGGATAGGCGAAGAGCGCGCGAGGTTTGTCACATTGCTACGCAAAATCCTGAATGGTAGATGGTTTGGAAGAGCCTGGTGCTCGCAAGAGTTTCTCCTGAGTCGCGGCACGATGTTCTACGTGCATCAGACAGGAAAGCCCAGGGAGCCAATTGATTTTGCCAGTGAAGTTCTGGCTGCATGGGTGACCAAAGCACGAATGTACGATGCAACAGTGCCTCGCCTACCTGAGATGAGAGGCATTGCAAGCTTGTATCAACCGATCGCTGGCCTGGTTTTCGTTGGCTCATTCGCCTGGGCATACGGAGTCGTGCAGGATCTGGAGTGTTACGAAGTGTTCGACAAGGTGGCTCTGGTGTTAAATCTGGTGCGAACGCCTCCACATCGGAGATTGACGGCATTTCCGAGCACAGAAGGCAATATGAGCGTCAATGCAGACACGAATGTTGCCAAAATAGTGAACGTGCTCGCTATACAAAATAGGGACTTTTCGCTCCTTCAGGCTGGCCACCAGGTCGATAATCCATTCATAGGCCTCAACGGTCTCGGCTGGGCTGCTTTACCTATCAAAGGTGACGAGATAGCAGATTCGTGGCGCCATCACATCTACGAAGTTGACAAGGATCCTACAGCTTCCTTGACCACAGAAGGTCTCAAACTACGAGGCCCGATCGAACGCGTTGTCACCCAGCAAGATTGGACAATAAGGCGTGCCGATAAAAAGCTTCATATTACAGTGGACCACATCCACAGAGTTATCGAACCCGACTGGCTGCAAGAACCAGATGCCCATAGCCCCGTACAGGGCAGTTTGTACGACCGCGATACTCAAATGTCTAGACTCCGCGACATCCTATACGCTGTCGAGGCTCTCGATGCCGTTGACATCTGGCCGACCTTTCTGCCTGCGGATGAAACCTGGATACTGCGCGGACAGCACGATGGCTTCAGGTCGTACGACGAGGGCTCACTCCGCTCACGCATTATAAAAAGGAGTATATTCGACCCGGCACGACTCAATGAACTATCGCTGCTGGCTCAGCTTTCTTGCATCGAGGCGATGAAACCAGCTTCAATGTAGTGACGCTGTCGAGTGGATTTCGAATGGTCGTGGGCAGCAACATGGCTGATATGCGCGGGCGTGAGGTATTTCAGCCCTATGTTATGAGGACGACGGAGTTTGGTGCGCACGGCATTACTTCTAATGCTTTTTTGTTGCGAGCTGCATCGTCCATTGAGTTGAATGATGTCCGAACAGTCGCAGGACATATCAGATGTTTTCAACTTGTCCCAGAAGACGCGGACGTCCGAAGTATCACGTTGAGGTGATCACTTCGACAGATGTTCAATCGAAATCAGCGTGGTATGCTATTGGTTCGGACTTGTTATAGGTACGGGATCGCTGAGGGTCCACAAGATCGACACGATCAACTCAAATCATCCTTCGTCAATCAGAAGCGCCACTTCAACCGGCTAGACGCATGAAGGATGGACTGCGCTAGACGTGAAGTCAATCTTCGTGCAATGATGCATATCTTGCATGTATTCGAGCTTTCTGCCATACGAACTGGAACGTGGCGTACACCACGAACTGAGTATGATTTGTGCTTCGATCGTCATGATGATCAAGAATGCAGACTCTCCTAAGCATTAACCTCTTTCGGCAATTACAGTTCCCGTTTGATCTGCATAATGATCATCACATTGGACTCTTGGCAGGTCCACGACAGCGACGAGTCGATCGATTTGGCCGTGACGTCAAGTATACCACGAACACGTCTCACCGTTGTGGTGGAAGACACGTGAGTAGCGTGGCGTGGCTGACCAGAAGTATCGATTTGTGAAGGCGAGACAATTTTGGCAGACTTCACGTTTCGCCTATTCGAAGACTCAAGAGCGATCATGAACAATCAAGAACAACGGCAGAATGAAGACCACTACATCGTGTCCGTCCTCCCTAAATCAGGCCCGATGCTCTCTACCTGCGCCCGAAAATATCGAGATCTGCGCATACACGGAATGGAAGAATCCCACGGAGCTGTAGCCGGATCCTACGAAGTTGAAAAGAATCTTCCAATTTCGCACTATGAGCATCTTCTAAATCAACCTGGACGATATGTGTTCGCAATTGTTCATGATCCTCAACAGATATACAACAACACGAACGAAGCCCTCGAGCGAGGCGAGTGGATCAGTCTCTATCATTTACGCGGGCCTATACCTCTTACGGATTGGACTTGGCCTAATGTGGGAGGTCTGCGTTCCGACGACGAAGAAACTCGATGGCATATATTCAGTTTCTACGTAAAACATGAGCATCGAAAAGGCGGCACATTGACAAAAACGATGCATTCTGTTCGTACGAAATTCTGCACTGATTATACGCGACGATTACTTGGTGCGAAGGCGAAGAGGGATCGCAGGAAAGTTCTATTCATGAGACAGAGATGTTCTCTTGCGAATCACAATCGGTCTGTGGAGAAGTTGTACCGGAAATTTGATTGGCATGTCGCTGGGTTTGTCACGATGGAGGAGGGCCAGAAGAGTTGTGAGAATGGGTATGAGCCGCAGTGGAAGGAAGAAGATCATGCCGAGTGTGCGGTTATGGAGCATTTGAGTGAGATTGATGTGGAAGGAGGTCAAGAAGTACGTGGCGTACAAGCAAGACTGTAGTGATTTGATCTATTTTATGTTCTATTGTAATTTGATAAACGCTAGAATCATGAACCTCCTCCCTGCACATACTGACTTCTTGCTCTCAAGCGTGGTCCGTACACATAAAATGCCCAGGGAATTGCGGTCAGCCCTAATTGGACAAACCCTAAGAGACTCGTTGCCCAACCAATCCCCAATTTCTCGTACATTTGTACAGTGAATAGAGGGAATGCGAAGCCAAAAGCATAGCGCGTAAAGTTGTTTGCTACTGCTGCGCTGGCTCCAAATCTTGCCCCATAGAAGTCGACAATGTAGAGGTTGGCAGACATGAGCACCAGCATGTTACCGAATCCATACAACGTTGCTGCGATGACGGGACAGATCCAGTGTACTCCAAAGTTGGCTGTCCAACCGAACCAGAATCTGCTTATTGTTAGCAATCGCTTGCGCACGACATGGAAGCACCACTCACAATGAAATTGGCAGTGCAATGGAGCCAATCATGGCATAGAAAAGCCTGTGCTCTATCGGTGGCTTGCCTTGATGCTTCTTCATCAGCCTAGGCGTTACCGTACGTGCCCAGATGATCAGAAGAAGAGCAGCACATAAGCAGCCCACGCCAATGCTCAGGAACATGAGACCAGTTCCTCCTATACCGAAACCGTACACCTTGGGGAAAATATATGGAAAACTCGTGAAGAAGCCGTACAGTACGCCAAAATTGCACCCCACGTACCTTTTGAGATGTCAGCGGAGCCATCATCAGGTCTTGAATTTCACGCAGACTTACAGTGTCAACAGCGCCACCACAGGCTCAACCAACAGCATGTGTACCGGTCTCTTCAGCTGTCCCTGCACAAACCTCTTGACCCTCTGTGCATAGGCGAGATCAGGCTCACCACTGGCAATCCCCCTCTTCTTCGCCCTCTTTTGCAAGACGACAGACTTGTACGTCTCTTTCATCCCGACCGAACCTGCAAGACAGACTGTGCTGAAGAGCAGCAATGTCCACTGCGTCCACCTCCACCCCATTCCAAGCGTCGCATAGGCTCCAATCATCGGTGCAATTGCTGGACCCAAAAATGGCGTCGTGATAAAAAGTGTCATCGGCAGCGCTCTGTCCTTCGGTATCCAAATATCAGCAATACTCGCTGTGCCAATCGACAGTCCAGGACTTCCACAAAATCCAGCCAGAAATCTGCAGATAATGAGACTGGCGACATTTGGACTAAATCCACATCCTAGCACAAAAAGCGAAAATGTGAATATTGAAGTTTGGTATATGACTCTTCGTCCGAAGTATTCGCTGCTCGGGGAGGCGATGAAGGGCCCGAAGCCCACGCCTAGGACGTAGACGACGAAGGGTATGAGGGAGAGAGTGTAATTCGTGGAGAATTCCATTTGAATTTCTTCGCGAGCAGGCGTGATGATCGAGGAGCCGAGTGTTACGACCAAGGCAATCGATGCCGGCATGATCGTTTGATACCATTTTCGGCCAACAGACCAGTTTTGAGGATTGTCGGGGTCGGATTCGGAGTCCCAATCTAGGGTGGTGGAGGAGGTATTCTGTGCTGGTGCTTTTGGTGTAACTGGCGCTTTTGACTGGTCTGATCCATGGCTGGTGGCTTCCTGATACGATCCTCGCCGGGAGGTATCTTTGCTGCTACTGTCGTCCGGAGCGTTGTGCTCAAGGTCCTTCTCGTTCATGTTTGCTGCACTCTGGAGTGTAAGTCGACAGGGGTCTGTCTCTCATAATCGTTATATTGGACTTCGAATTCGGTGTTGTTGACGACAGTGCTGCCATGTCATCATAGTGCTTCGAGAATTTCCGTGTTGGGCGAAGATGGGCGAATTAGGGTTTCTCAACACTGCGCCAGTCGTCGATGTTTGCGCCAAAGGCTACACGGCTCTGCTTTGCATTAGCTACTTCTGTAACATTCGAGGTAGATCTTGTCGTGCCCTTCGTTCATGGCATCATCCATCAATGTCCCGTACTTGTTCGAACTCGGCATTGCTAGCATGACCACACCCCAAATCGCTGTCAATAGATGAGTAGGCAGAGGAAATACTAGCACTGTCATGCATTTGGAGAGCATCAACGGCGGCCAGGAGAGTCTACAAGTGCTCCTCGCCGCAGGAGCGTGCGAAGAACAGGGTTATCATCACCACGATCTTGTATTCCAGCCGATCGATTGGGCGAGCGGCGCCCACGGGCGAGGGTAGCGGTGCACTCATGGCGAGGGATGCCATGGTCGAGAGTTTCATGCCCCTATGTTGCGCAGACATGTTAAAGTATACAGCACGAATTGACAAAAGTTCACTTTAAGTAATGAGTCCGCAAAGGATTTCACCTTGCCAGTATCAGCGGCTCGTCCCGCTCGGGATCGGGGAGTCCCGAAGTGAAGTTTGTTGGCACAAAAGAGAAAACCGGACGCAACTCCACCGAAACCTGCATTAGTCGGGCCAAAAACAATTACTATGCTACGAGAGCGACAATTCCGTAACAGGGAATTGAACCCTGGCCTTGTCGGACCATCGAAGAATGAGAGCGACAAATCCTAGCCACTAGACCATTACGGATTCGAATCTTGCCAGAGCTTCTAGCTGATTTGATATGAACAGAGCTGTGCTATCCCACTATGACTGCTATTCGTGGACCCACAACAAGGCAAAGGAAGTGTAGTCCAACAGCTGGATGTCCCTCGTTGCGAGATGCAGTTCGAATCGACACCATGTTTGAATAGTCGTTCTGTCATACATTGTGTAGAAATGTTCAAACCATCCTCCAGCGGCAGGAAAATTCAGCACACTCCAGTCATAACTTGAATTTTGTTTCGTTGATATTGAGAATTCGCTCACGCAACCTTACCTGTCTCCGAAAGCTCGATACCGGGCAAATCAGACTTGCCAAAATCTAGCAATGCCTCGATGTGAGCTCACTGGAAAGTTCGGTGTATGGCTTGTCGGTATGGAGGATTAAGTACAATCACAAGCAGAGGTCGAACAGACTTTTCGTGTTCATTTTTGCTACGTATCGCTCCATTCGCTGAAGCATGGTCCAAGTGATGTACTCCATATGTCAGCCATTGTAGTATTTGACGGAGGATAGTCTTCCTAGCCAGAGTACAACACGTGTTAGAGATAGCTCATCGTTGGACGCATGGAGTGCCAAGCGTTGCCACGCTCATACAATACGTCCTCTGCTAAGTGTCAACTTGCATCGCAGTGCAAAATAAACAACATGAGCAAGCGGGTCCGGCAGCATGCGTAGGCGAGATATAGCTATCCTGCTCTTCCGTTGTGGAGTGCTTGATTGGGTTAGTACCTCGTTTATGTCGACGACAACATAAGCACCGTCGCTGAGGATTCCAAGCCGTCTTTGCGAGCTAGGCAGAATTCCAAAGTCGATAGGTTCTCTTCGAACTTGTTGCCTCGTGGTCCGGTCTGCGATTCGTGTCTGCTTTTGTCGCATATACTTCAAGATCAGAACCCGCAAAGGCTTGCACCGATCTCTGTTCGGCGTAGTCCTTGTGTATGTGCCGCGTGCTTCGAAATTGCATGGAAAATTGCAATTTTGGCCTGAAGTCCTTGTTGTTAAGATGTAAGTATCTTCACAACCCAAAGCTATGTTGAGCATGTCTGTTTTTATCCACATGCTTTTTTCGGACCCATGTCCATGTCCAGCTGGGTCTGCCGAAAGCACGAGCACAGCGAGCTTATCCCAAACATAAATCCCGGCTGCATCGTGGTGTCTATTTTGAGAGCATGTCACTTGTTGACATGCCGGAGTGCGAACTGTCAACACAAGATACAGCATCTCGAATTGTCAAAACATTCTCTCATGATAACGATACGGACGGCCGGAAGGTCGTCAAAAGGTTACTGTGACACTGTAGTAGTGCATCGGGAAGAACGGCAGTTCATGGGGTCGTGCGCGCTTTTTCGGCACTGCTCAATTCGTTCTTCCGCAACTCCGATCGCATCTGCTTGCCAATCCTTCGCAGCAACAATTTGATAACAACATGGACGTCGAGTACGAAGGAACCTCGAAGGAATATGCAATTCCCAATTATTCCGCCACACACTTTCATAATTCTACCCGGCAGTTCGGCTCCACACTGTTGGTCGTGGCGAAAGAGGATTGAGTTCGCAGAGGATTCGATTTCGAAGTCACCTTCTTTTTCTGGCGCGGACGCCGTCGAGATGACGTGCGCACTTTTATCAAATCCCTCGTTTCTAACTGGCCACATCAACAATCAGAGCACAGAAAAGGTCTCGGTCTAACCACGCTTCTACTTTCCCGCCGAGAAAACTGGACACACGCTTGGCCAGGCTTGAGCCGATTGCTTCGTACAACAAGATTGTCTTAGCTCTGCATGCCGAGGCTCTTGCCCTCTTGGGTAGGTCCCCCAGTTAGGGTTGCCGTTCAACCTGGGATTCGCAGACTGTGCAGCCAATGACCAGGACAGGCTATCCTGATACTCGGAGGGACTACCTCGTAAAGGGTATGGTTGATCAATGCAGGGAGCGCATCGCGGGTCTGGGTACACGAGTGCAACCATGTGGCACTGCGGCGACGTGCGATAACACCATTCCAATCTTGCTTTATTACCCCAGCCGTGTGTCGCGTGGTGCTGTGCAGCTCTCCCTCCTTCTTTCTGCTCATCAGGGAAGTGTGTCTTTGCTGCGAAGACCATCAAGATGGGTGAGTATACCCGGTCGCATCCGAGGAGGCATGTACTGACAGTTGTTCTTTCACAGCGAGCAAGGAAATCACCAGCGACGTCAAGCGCTCGCCGTCCGGAGACGAGGAGACCGGATCGGACGACCTGAATCTCTACCACGATGTCCTGGCCGCAGCTGGAGACTATGAGGGCAAGCCAACGCTGGAGGAGCTCAAGACTCTGCGAAGAGTGCCGGGCAAGATGCCAGCGATTGCCTACCTCATCTGCTTCGTGGAATTTTGCGAGCGCGCATCATACTACGGTGTCCAGCAACTCATTGGAAACTTTGTGAACCGGCCACTCCCAGAAGGCGGCAATGGATATGGTGCTCCTCCACGAGGCACGCAGGAAACTGCTGGCGCCCTCGGCCTTGGTACCGTAAAGGCCAATGCCGTTTCGCAGTCCTTCTCCATGTTGGTCTACTGTCTCCCCATCTTCTTCGGTTGGCTCGCAGATACTCGCACTGGTCGCTTCAGGCTCATTTGCTGGGGTGTCGTGGTCTTCGGTGTTGCTCACGTCCTCATGTGTGTCTCGGCTGCAAAGCCTCTCCTCGCAGACGGAAGCGCCAAGACGCCATATCTGCTTTCGTTGTACATTTTGGCTGTTGGTGCTGGTGAGTCGGCCTCATATATGCAAAGCAGCATGTTCCATTGCTAACACTGTCCTGCAGCAATGTTCAAGCCCAACGTATCCCCACTCCTGCTCGACCAGATGACCACCCGAGTTCCAAAGGTCATCACAGCCAAGAATGGCGAAAGAGTGATTGAGGACCCCGAATCGACAACAGAGAGAGTCATGCTTTGGTTCTACCTCCTGATCAACGTTGGTGGCTTCATGGGTGTGGCAACCACATACGCCGAAAAGTATGTCGGTTTCTGGCTCGCATTCTTGCTCCCACTTCTGCTCTACCTACCTCTGCCACTTCTTCTCTGGTTCATGAAGCCACGCCTGATTCACCACCCACCCGGAGGCAACGAACTCGGTCGTGTGTGCCGCGTCCTTGGAGTCTGCTTCCGCCGCGGTGGCCTGTTCAGAATTGGCAGACACGGATTCTGGGACCTCGCCAAGCCAACTCACATTGCTGCTTCCGGACTCAGCATTCAAACGACATGGAATGACGAATTTGTCGAGGACGTCCGCCGAGCTTTCCAGGCTACTGGAATGTTCTGTTTCTTCCCGATTCAGTACATCAACGACAATGGTATCGGCAGCGCTGCCAGTTACCTGTCCACGATGTTGACAACGAACGGTGTTCCCAACGACGTTATCCAGAACTTCAACAGCTTGAGCATTATCCTGAGTGTACCGATCTTCAACTACGGTCTATACCCGCTCCTCCGCAAGTTGAAAATCCACTACGGTCCTGTTGCACGTATCACGACCGGTCTTGCTATGTCCTCGGTTGGTGGTGCCGCTTACGCAGTGCTGAACTACTACGCGTACAAGCAATCTCCTTGCGGCGAATACGGCTCGGACAACTGCACAGTCGGGACCGGTGTCGCTCCAATCACCATCTGGTGGATGGCCATCCCATACGGCCTCGGTGGTGTATCCGAAATCTTCGTCAACGTCCCAGCATACGGTATCGCGTACTCTCGTGCTCCTGCCAACATGAGAGGTCTGGTTTCTGCCATCAACCTCCTCAACACTGGATTCGCGTATGCAATCGGTCTGGCCTGCTCGTCTGTGATCCGCGATCCATACCTTACTTGGGACTTTGGTGGACCAGCGATTGCTGGCGGTATTGTCACGATTACGTTCTACTTCCTCTTCCGACACATTGATAAGGAGGAGTACTCGCTCAATGATGCAGAGGAGAATGCTGTGGCGCGAAAGAACTCGATCAACCCAGATGCTGCTGAGATCTCGCATCAGCGCGAGAAGTCGATTTCAGAGTAGAACAGCTTCGATAACTAAGATTAAAGATGTTTCAGATGTTCAATATTGTCACCCATCCTATTTTCTATGCAGTGCGATACCCAGAGACCGCATCAAGTCTGTTCAGTGCTTCGCAGTCGAAACATCGTCAATGGGCGCCGCGTCGGCATCGTTCTTCGCGGATCCGCACTCAAGAGATGAGGTGGTATGAAACGCGCCATCACCAAAGGCCTGAGCTGTCTCTTCGAGGGTAAAGCCGTGTGTCTAGAATCGCGTATCGGTAAGCACGACTTCTGATCAGCGCAAGGCGCAGACTCACCTCAGGAAACGCGAAATAAATCACAACAGCCTGCACAGCAATCAAACAGCAAAACACAATATAGTACCTCCAAGAAATCGCATCCATAGCCACAGGATTCACAAAGCCATTATACACCAGCACAAGTCCTTGCGTCGAAACGAAAATCGTCGTGCCCTTTGCTCGAAGGTAATATGGTAACACCTCCGTGATGTACAAATTCGGCAGAGCATTCATGCTGATGTTGTAGCTAATGTAGTAAGAGAAGATCATAGCCAGAACTCCTCGTCCGAGTGAAGCTTGTTCGAAATTCCGTTGATGATTGATAGCGCTGAGAACTGTCCAGATGATGTATGCGAGGAGCATGAAACCGAGACCGAAGACGAATGTTGGTCTTCGTCGGAGTCGACCGACGAGGAATCCTGCTGCGATGGCTGTTACGAGATTGTAGGCAATTAGTCCGCCGTTGATTTCGAGTTGTTCTTGTGCGCTGGTTATGCCGATGCTGTTGAGGATGAGGTTCAGATAGTAGGAAACGAGGGCGTTACCGCAAAGTTGCGAAGTGATGGCGAGGAACATGACCACAAAAAGTCGATGGCGGTTGGCTTTTGTGCTGATGAAAGCTGCGTAGGACACTTCTTTACTTTGTTCAGCTTCGGAGAGGGCAACTTTGATCTCGTCGATTTCGAATTCGACAAGTGCTGCATATGCTGGATCATTGCCGGCATGGTATCTGTTCAGCATTGCTCGAGCTTCGTCTTCGCGCCCTTTGCTGACAAGGAACCGCGGTGATTCTGGGATGAAAAATGAAAGGACAACTTGGAGAAGAGGAATCGCGCCCTGGAGTAGAGACGGCAGTCGCCATGCCCAGGTCGACTGCATATCTTGTGTTCCGTATGTCACCCAAGCGGCAATGAGAGCTCCAGTATACCAAGATGGACCAAATAGGGCAGTGCAAGTCGTTCGATGAGTCGGATATGCGAGTTCTGAGACCAGAGTTGGACCACCGACCAGAGCGATCACAGATCCGCATCCAATGATCAATCGTGCGAGGAAGAACATGGCGTAGTTCTGAGCAGCTGCTTGGAGCGCAGCACCGATGACGCTGATCAGGCAGCCGACTCGCAGTCCACCCAGTCTTCCCCATCGATCGTTAAACCATGCCACGACCGGAAATGCGACAAAGTTGCCCAGGGTGTATGCGTTGGACAGGGCGCCCAGTATTGCTCCAGTCGGAGTATCAAAGTAGTTCCGCCATTGAGGTAGAGACTGTAGGCCGTTCAACAGAGATCCGTCATAACCATTGGAAGAGTTCGTCATCATTGGAACGACGAGGCATAGGTTGAGTAGAACCAAATGCCGGACCTTCCACCAGGACGGCTGGTCTCGGGGCAGCACATCTTCAAGCTTCGTATGCTGTCTTCTGGCTTCGATCGAAGGTCTGCCAGTAGTGGGTGTTTGTTGAACCATGACTGATTCGCGACTGTGGTACCAGTGAGGAGTCGTGAGACATACCAGTCAATATCAGTTTTAGCTGAACTCAATTAGGAGGTACTTGCCATGATAAGTATACAGCGACATCCAAGTCCGTGTGTGCTTTAGGCTAAACAGTGGGCCTTCTCTCGTACCCATGGGTTTGTAAATGAGGCGTGGACTCTCATACCATAGTAGGCCAAGGCCTAGGCATACGCGTTCGTGGTCGTAGCGAAAGAATGGGTAGCGATCTCATTCGATTTGCAAAGTACGTCCAACACCGGACTTGGTACAGCATTTAGCCTGAAGGCCAACAGTAGCCGTGATAAACCCCATGGGGCGGAGGTCGATGATCATGCCCAAGCTGCCAAGAGTGGAGCTGTTGACCAGGGCGGTGATTGCCAAGGAGCGGAGTGGCCGCGCCTGTTACCTTGGCTGCTTTGACGGCAGTTTAATTGCACATACGGCTTCTATCGTTGACTCGTGACCGCTCGTAATCGAGATACTCATCGCTGCAGTATTGTATTGTCGTCGTTGCGCTCGATCACGTCCGGACAAAGGAGCCTGCGAGTCTGGATTGATATCCTGCAAATGCCGGTCGAGAGAGCGCTGCTGCGCTCGTGATGTGCGCAGAGCAATAAGACAGCATTGGCACAGCTTCAACAGACTGGTAGCTCATCGGTCTGCGGGTCAGATGCCCGAAGACATCTCTGTGAAAGTCTTCGATGTCCGTTCAGTGACAGAAAAGCACCAAATTGCAGCGGCTGTAGGATAATGTCTTCGGGCTCGCAATACTTACTGTGTCAGGGTCAGGGGGATGTACATACGCCCACAGCAGGCTTGCAAAAAAGTGATGAGGTGGGAGAGAAAGGAAGAACTTGAACATGCGATGTTGAAGTGGGCTTCCATCGGCCGGGAGGACGCAGCCGTGCCGAGCCCTTGTGTAACTGACTTTATGCCCTGCCAGAGATGTAGAACGGCAATACACAACACATCGCATCATCACTTCTGACTGAGTAGGAAGCCGTTCTGTAGATGGGCAGCCAAAGCTTTGTGATTTAGAAAGGTTAAACAACCACCAACGCCTGCACAAATTACCTAAAGAAAAGTCGTCAAGTTCATCCCTCTCCAAAGCCGAAGCATTCATGACTTGACAGTAAGCGGAAATTGATCATCTCTTCCTGGCATCCTTAATTGTTAGACGACGAGCTTCCCTGAAGCCCATGGATCTTCTTGAGATGCTCATGCAACTTGTCAACACGAGTGAAACCCTTGCCTGGACCACGATTGCAGCCGTTGACGTGACAGAAGTGAGTGGCAGGGAAATGTGTCTCCATGTGTCGCTTGAGGTCCGCCTTGCGAGCGTAGAGATGAGGATCCATACACATTCCGCATTGCAGAATGGCAGAAGGCTGGCGGCCTGGTGGGACGGAGGCGATGCTGTGGCAGACGACTGGGGCTGGATGAGTCGTGTTCTGACTGCGAGTGTCCGGTGAAGTGATGACCGCGACAGTGATCGTGGTCATTTGTACATCCTCGACACCCAATGCAAGTGAGCTTAAAGTGTCAGCATGATAAAAAAAAAACTCACCCGGCAGTAGCAGCCTCTAAGCGAGGTGCTACTGCAGGAGGTTGGTCCCGGGAAGCAATCATGGCGTTCCAGAGCTTCCAATCATCATCGTCCCAAAGGAATGGGGCGACAAATGGCGAGCCCAAATCGTCTTCTTGATGCAAGTTCTGCATAGTGATGTAGCGGGCTTGCGGGAAAGGCTGCCACGAGGGCGACGCTAGCTTGGAGGGTCGAGGTCGTTCGTAATTCGTCTACCACGGCGGTGAGCGATCAGGCGACCGTGTGCAGCTGGAGTAGAAGTGCGAAAAAAGAGCAGAAATGGGATTGGGGCACGACCGAGATTTTATGCAGCACTGGAAGGGCGACGCTAGTTCGGTGTCACGTGCCGTCCTTCTGTGCTTCGGCGCATAGCCTGCAAAGAACCTTGATCGTTGGATTGAAAAATGCCTGCCTTGAATTCGCTTTGATCTTCATGTCAGTCCTCTTAATCAATGCCGACCTTATCCCAACTCTCAACCCTCAGACCTTTGCCCTTAGCAACCTGAATGACATTACTGAACCTGCCTCCTCTTCCAGTATTCTGATACGCAATGTCCAAGCCATCTTTATGTCTCTTCGCAGCAGTCTTACTGTGCTTCCGCAGTTTCTTCCTCGCAACCATGACCGGCACACTTGATTTTGTGACCAGGTAATTCGAAAATGATCCAAGCAAGACACCTTTGACGGCACTCTGTCCTCGAGAACCGATGATGACCAAAGTTGGCGAAAGAAAGTCGATCACTTCGGTGACCATATGTCGCGGAGATTTGCAGTGGAAGACTTCGACCACGACGCGGACTTGAAGTCGTGTCTTGCGGAGAAGCCTGACGCACCGCTCGGTGATGGTTTCCACAGCCTTTCGTCGCTCTGCATCAGCATTGTTGTAGACACCTCGACTCCTAGAACGGGCGTCGCCGCCGAGACTAGATCTGCTGAGCGGTGAGGGTCCGAGAGTGCTGGTATGCGGCTGTACAGTGGTAGGCATAGTCTTCAATATGGATGCAGTGTCACGAACGCTGTCAGCTCCGTGGCCCAATTGAACACCTCCATCGTCTCCCACAGTATCCTCGTCTGCCGCATAAACTGCAAAAAGCGTGTCGCCATCTCGGAGAACTGTGCCAATAGTCCATTCCAGTGCATATTCGGCCTCGGGCGAGATATCTGTTGCGACCAAGTACATCCGCTGGCGCTTCCGTCCATCTTCAGCTTCTCGCTGGAAATGTTCAAAGTCACCTCGCAAGATCTGTCGAATAGCACGATGGGCGGATGGCGTGCTGTGAACTTGACTCACAGAAAGGCTCAGCTTTTGCGCAGCCAGTAGCTCTGAAGCAGATTCATCGTCCGAATGCAATGGTGTACTAGCGCCACTTGGTGCAGCATCAAACGCCGTCGAAGGATGCACACGCCTCTTTCCATGCGGGCTGGTGCTGGTCAACCGTGTTTTCTTCTTGTCTTTCGCAAATGACAGTTTACTCTGTCCTTTGGTAGGATCCGGCTTAGAAGAAGTAGAGGCATCGTTATTCTGCTCACGATCGGAATCGGAACTATCATCACGAACGTTGATTGCTTTTCCAGAAGTAGTCCTGCCCGGGACAGGACGTTTCATGGCCCTACCACGTTTACTGTCATCACCATCAGTGTCATTGTCGTTGTCTGCATCGGCGTCCGAGTCTGTATCCTGGCGATGGGCGAGCTCCGGAGGATCTTCCTCTAGTCGAGTGGCCACATCATCACTCGCATGTCGGGCATGGCTTGAGGCTGCCGAAGGTGTAGGGCTGCCACCAGGACTCGTTGGCCGACTACTGGCTCGTCGCGGATCATTCGGCCCCAGATCTCCAGGTAGAGTATTCGGAGCCGGCGACTTGGGTCGTCGCGGGTCCTTCGCTCCAAGATCCCCAGGCAGTGACATTCTAGATCGTGAGGACATTGCGGCTTGCCTTCGCTTTTCTGGCAATGGATTGCCAAGCTTGTCGTGGGTCCCTCGGCTGGAGTAATAGTCCGATGCGTGGCGGGTGTCACTCTCAGCAGGCGGCGAGACGGGCGGAGACTGCGGTGGAGAGGCCAATGGCGAGGAGGTCGCAGGTGCGGTTGAGTGATGGTTTAGTGGCCGGCCAGTCGGTGCGCTGCGCTCGTGTTCTGCCGAGGGCGGCGCCGCTGGTGATGATGACGTTGCGGAGTCTTTCTTAGCGGCTTCGTCGACCACAACAGACGGCGGAGCGTTCTCTTCAGACATGTCCGCTCTTCAGAATGGACAATTATGCACCAGGTATGCAGAAATGATATGTGTTGTGCTCCAATTGCCTCTAAGAAGAGAAGCAAATGGCAGACGTGCAAGACGTGAGGTCTGCAAGCGCTAAGTTAACGTGTTTGGTCTTGGCGAGAACGAGTTGCTGCTCGGGGAACTTGCCGCGGGGTCGACAAAAGCCGAAGTTCGACCGGGCAAATCCCTCCCTCCGTCGTTTCCAGGTCGTAGATTCTCCTGACCTTCATCTACATACGTACGTCGATTTCCCCATCAACCAAGGCATGTTTCGGTGGACATTGTCGACATCCACATTGCAGATATACGAGCACGTTCTCAAGCCTCATGCAGCGGAATTCTCTACTTCCCTTCGGCGCCCGGCTACTACCTATGCGTCACCCGCGCCGCCTGTATTAACGTAAGCAGCATGGCGTTCTAATTGGGCAGTTGCGCCTATGATTCGCATGATACCACTCTCTGCTGTACATTCGCCTACACTTATCAAATGCAAAAGTGTTCGGGCAGTGCAGATGGCGCCCCGTGGACAGATTCTAGCCCTTGCGTGCTCTGGTCGACCGCCAGGGGAGGATAGCTCCAGTGCGCGCTAAGTATATATTGCTATCTGGAACCTGCTAGTCCCTGTCCAATATGATTTGACACATCGTTCAAGTTGAGACCATGTCCTTCCGTTGAGAATTCGAATTATTATGTTTCTCCGCACCAGAATGCCACCCACTGGACCAGGCGACGCTGTTTCCAACTCACCGCAGGTCCTTCAGAAGCAGGCTGTCATTGCTCAAATTCAAGGTCAGCCAGTCACGATACCGCCTCTTGAGACCTTTCTCCCGCCTGGTTGGCCCCTGCATAAGAACCAACATTATGCCGCTTCGAAGCCGATCATCGAGAAATGGATCACAGAGTGAGCGCTTTTGAAACATCGTACGGGTTGGTGTATACTGAGCACCAATGCAGAGTCGTCGCGGGCAGTAAAAGACAAGTTGGCACAATTATGGCCGATATGACTGGCCTAGCCGCATACTTCTACCCGCTCATTGATGATCTGGAAGTCTTCATAGCACTTGTCAAATTTGTTCACTGGGTATGTCTACGGAAGCAATGCTAAAGAGCAAGAACTGACAGAATAACTCTCAGATCTTCTTCTTTGACGACAGACTTGACGACGGCGACCTCGTGCATCATACCAAGCTTGCTAAGCAGTATCGAGAAGACACCTCGCGACTCTGTGCACAGTGCTTTCTTCCAGAGGTACACGGAGTACCAAATCGCACTGAGTGGCTCAACGTCAACTGGATAGAAGAAATTGCTGCTGTAATCACTCCGTTGCTCGCTTTCGGTACACGCCTTCTCTCAAGTTCATCGCGGCTTTTCGACGCTGACTAGTTAGAACTTTTGACAGATCATCGCGAAGCTCTTGTAGATGAGATTGATCACTATATCAACGCCTGCGACCTCGAGCAGCGTTACAGGAACAGCGATGACCTGCCATCGGTGCAAGACTTCATGACATTTCGCTACAATAGCGGTGCTTGTGGCCTTGTCTTCGCAACTGGACTGTAAGATATGACTGTGAGTCTGTCGATACCATGTGCTGATCGACTGACTGCTACAGACCACTGATGACAACCAACCTCTCCGCAAAAGATCTGCAACTGGCTGGCGAAATCTCGTGGCTGGCAAATTGGCTCGTCCTCTAGTACGTCTCCAGTCTTCACGCTGATCGATGTCCCTAGAGCCTGGCTGACGATCTACACAGCCCGAACGAGCTCATCTCTCTGAAGAAAGAACTGGTAGCCTTCATCAAATCCTTAGCTCTCAACTCCTAGTACTAACTTGTGCAACTAGGCCAGTGGTCAGCTAGAAAACTTGGTTCCAACACCAGCTGCTAGCGAAGGCCCGCAGTGCGATCTGCAATCCGCTATCAACCGCACCACCAGACAAATACAAGCAGCTGGAATCGAACTGGACCTCGCTGAAAGCAAGTTATTAGCAACTCTTGATCACGCAAACGCGTCGCAGGAGAAAACTGCAGAGTTCAGCAAGCTTGCCTTCATCTACAAAAGCTTGATCCTGGGGAACTTGAAGTGGCAGTAAGTTTTCCAGACTTTTGAGTCGTGAAATTATGGGCAATTTGCTGATGAGTATAGTTACGAATCGGCGAGATACGGCGTTGCTGCCGATAGTAAGGAAATCGGTGGAGCCATTTCGTATATTGTTCAGGTCGGAGATATGTGAGGTGAGCATCCTGGATGGCGACGAATTTGAAGATGTCGTGATGATGATCAACGCAGAGTGAGACCTCTCCTCTCTATCTTGTACATTGGACTCCCAAAATTCTCCATACAACTTCGGCACCCGCCCAAAGCCGGAACTCGTGTGGTGTGATGATCTATCTTCTACTGATCTCATCCTTCAGGCTGACTGTGGCAGCATAAGCCGATGGTCATCGAGCTTCGGTCTTCTAGCTGCCGGCGCATCGAAAAGCAAGCTTCGGCAGCGTTGTGGCAGACTTTCTCCAATTGAATGGAGCCGAACACTCGATAACGGGACCACGAATCGTGCACGATCTCGTTCCTCCAAAACCAGCGATAAGGCAGATGGAATTTGCCGCTGTCTTCCCAATTTGGCTTGATACGACATAGCCAGCCGCTTTTTAAGTTCACTTAGCCTCATGTCAACTTGAAGGGATGGCGCCATGCAATTTTACGCCCCTCAGCCACAGATTAAAAGACTGCAGCCACACTGGTCTGGATGTTGATGAAGATGGAATATACTACTAGATATCAGGAGCTCGTCATCAGTAGGTTCTGTCTTCCATCTTCTTCACTCCCATTCTTTCCACCAGCGCTCATTAATCACACTCTCATTTCCCAAAATGCATTTCACCACACTCATTACCACAGTATCCCTTCTCTCAACAGCTTCTGCTCACGCATATCACCGACACCATCGCCGAACGACATCAGATCCTCGTGTCTGCGCAGTTCTCCAAAACACCGATCGTCCTGGAAATGATTATTTCCGAGTCAAGACCGTGACCTTCGAGGCCTGCGAAGTAGCCTGCGCAGCAGATGTCCGCTGTGTAACAGCCCAATTTCGCAAGGACAATCAATTCTGCTATTTCAAAGAAGCCAGCAGTGATTCTGTTCCGGACACCAATGTCGATACTGTAGACTGCTCGGGCAGCATCTTGCCTGAGACCACGACTACGACTACGGCGGCTGGAAGTACTTCAACGACTACTACTACTTCCATGAGTACCGCTACATCGACGACTTCTTCCACAACAACTGCTTCTTCTACAACTTCTGCTTCAACCACTGATTCTTCTTCGACATCTACCGCTTCCTCGACTTCTACTGCGTCCTCGACTACCAGTGCTTCTCCAACCACCAGTACTACCCTGGCCACAAGCACTACAAAAACCGCGAAAATCACCAGCACGACAAAATCAAAGACTACATGCAAGCCAACTACGACCACCAAGGCAGTATACACAACCAAGAAAGCCACAACGACGAAGTGCACAACGAAGTTCAAGACCACGACAAAGGCGAAGAAGCCATACGCCACGACTAAGGCGAAGAAGCCATATGCTACGACGGAGGCGAAGAAGCCATATGCCACGACTACAAAGAAGCACTACTAAGGACCCAACGCGGTTGATCGTTGTGCGACAGTGTACTTCCATCAATAATGCCGAAATTTACTTGCCGTACATAGTTTCGTATAATACAAGACTTCTGGGCTGGTGATGAGGAGCCAGCGCCGCTCATTCATAGTGGAATTAATGCCTACAATGCGAGAATGCCTCAAAGTGGCTCCCATTCTGATTGTTTGACCGTCCTCAAGGGATTCCCTAGTTCTACGACGATTACCGTTTTGGGTTGGTCTGCGTCCGCCATGCTGGGTAATGTATAGTCAAGCGCATGCGCCTGTCGATCTCATGATAACGTAGCCCTGAAGCCCTTTTTTTCTCCGAGTATTGCAAGCTTTGACCTCGTGGAATTCGCTTCCAATGGCAGCTGAATCTTGCTTAGTTGAGCGTGGTGCTTGTTCGTTGATGACACCGGCTGCCACCACTTACTCATGCGCCACACATACTGAATGCACACATCAAGTCGCATTTTCATTCAGCCCTGCTCCAGGCCACAAAGGTATCCCTCCCATCGAAGGCCCTTGCTCAGAGGTACTCATCCTCATCCATATCATCGAACACCCAATGCTCACTCACCGCAATCCTGTCTATTTCCGTCTCCGCGCGCTCAAGCGCAAGCTTCTTCATCTCCCCCACAGCCTCCTTGGCCGCTTCGTAATGATTATTGGGTACCCAGCCTTCCGGTCCAACGCCGAGCATTTCTTTCGTATCTCTCATTTGCTCCTCAGCTTCACGTTCTGAATCGTCCAAACGCATGCATTTTTCCTCCTCGGCTTCGGAGAAGAGGATTGGACATGGGACGTCTGGATTTGTCGAAAACTTGTCCCAACGCTGTTTGAAGAAGATGAGAGTTGATCGTAGTGGGATGTTGTCTCCTTGCCAAGGGGCGCTGGCCAGATGGAAGAGCTTGCGCCGGCCAGTCGAGTAGGGGTATCTCAGTGCATTCAAATGATCTGGGTTCTTCTCAGCAGTGCGTGTGACGTATTCGTGGTGAAGTTCGCGTTCGCGAAAGATTGCCAGCTGTTCGGCTTGCTCGTCTTCTGTCATGCTTTCCATGTTCGTGGGGAGTCGCGGCGTTTCAAGATCTTGTGAGACTAGGTCGCGAGAGTTGTTGAGGTCGTCTGGCATGCCTGCGTTCAACAGCGCTGGAAGAATGACGCTATGCTGCCAGTCGATGATCGATGTGATCGTGAAATCGCGAGAAACAAAGATGTTGGCGGGTCGTAGATCCGGGTGCCTCAATGTGGGCAGCAACAAATCTTTATCCCCGTTCAATAGGATATAGTCGATGATACTCAGATACTTCTCGAGGCTGTCGGCGTGAGTCTCCGGTAACTGTCGCTCGAGATCGAAAGTTTCTCTGCGTATACGATCGAATGGCAGCAGTGGACGACCATATTTCCGCAAGTACTCGAGCTCTTTTCTAGCGCCGCTTTCCAGAACTTGCTTCGCTTTTCTGACTAGTGACAATTAGCTCCGCGCTCTTGTATCGAGAGGTGATCAGCTTACATGGTCCACGATCGATCGAGAGGTCGGCCCGCTTCCCAAACCACAATGGTTGAGCGACACTGGGCCCAACCACAAGCGGACCTGAAGTCTCCTCGACATTCGAATCTATCGCAATGCCAGAGGTACCAGCAGGAAGGTCCCGTCTGAAGAACAAGCTCCCGCTGGCAGGGAATGCCATGGCGCCCATACGGCACTCCAGGTCAACGAGACTCTTGACAAATTGACGTCGCTGCTCAGAAGTCGTGTCAAACCAGATGGAAGAGAGGTCTTGGCCAACACTGTGTTCCATGAAGATATATTCAACACCGGCAGCATTGTCGCTTGTCGCCGAGTAGCCGTAGACCTTCGGCACAGGCAGTCCCTTAGAATGGAGGAAGGTCAACGTTGCTGCCTCGCTGGCGACTAGCATATCACGAGGTTTGATGAAGGCATATGGTATGCGAGCCACAAGGGAAAAGCCGTCTCGCATGCGAATGAGGAAAGCTCGGTTCGCAGCTCCTTCTCCAAGCTTGTCGAAGTAGACAATGTCTTTGACATCTCGGTGAATGGCATTCGCGGCCAGCGTCTTCAGCTCGAACACGTTAAAGAGACGCTTGCGTTCCTCAAACCGCTTCTCTTCATTGTATCTGTGCAGATTTGTGAGTCCAGAGCAGGTGGACAAAATGTGTAACTGACAGCCACCTGCCAGAAGTGTACTGGAATAGTCGCTCGAGTTCTTCTCCTGTAGCCAGATGACGCGAGATGGATCTGTCTGCTGCTGCCACATAAGATGCATGCGGCTTGCACCGGCTACACCGCAGTATTGACGATGCAGGACCTACACTAGCAGTCAATCCGGCCATGATAAGATGGCTGGCCATGGACGACTTCTGTGGCTGTACCTATGCGCCTGCGACTATGAGATCAGACAGAGACACGATGAGTGTCTCGTTCAAGCCTTCGTCTAGCCGTCGGCTGGAGCTCGATTCATTGCAGAAGTGTTGCGTGGACCACAGGAACAGAAAGCGAGGGCAGGAGGTGAAGAGGCACGGAGCGCAGGGTCTTGGCGTTCGGCAGCTCTCGACTTCAAACTTCGGACTGCCAAACATCACCATCCTCATCTGCTTCACATCGCTGTGCATCTCACGAAAACTAAGTTCAGACTTCCTGAAGACAGAGTGCTCGTTTCGAAATCTCATGATCCTCTATGCGTCGTCCGATGTCTCGTCCGAAGCCTCGCTCGGCCTCTACACAGAGTCCGAAGCTCATGCAGCATACCATCGGCTGGCGGGGATAACTGCCATCCAAAGAGCGTTTCGCGACGAAACAACCTTCCACAACATCAACTCCTCAATCCAATATAAATAAGTATCCACGGCGAGCTTTCTTCATAGCTGAAGGAGGCCCGTTCAAATCTCTGACACTTTCTCTCCAACTAACACCCCATCACCTCTCTCAAAGCTCTTTTCTCTGTCATACCATAGCCTCAGCCAACTAATCCCCTCCGACCTCTACACTCTTCTTCATCATGACAGACCCCCGCACAGGCAGCGCCTGGATCCTCCCCGCCGAAAAACTAAACTCAATTTACCCTCACCTGGGCAGCATCTCCAACCTCTGGCACAAAAAATGGTCCTTTCCCGCCAGTAAATCCCTCTATCCCTTCCACGATGGCCTTTACGAAGACTTCGCTCCGATTTTCGAATCTCTGATCTCAAAGGGAATCCACGATGGCTACACAGACGCATACACTCGCGAATTCGTCCCGACGGCTGAGAGATTAGTCGCCGAAGCAGATGAGAAATTAGAGAAAGGAGAAGACAAGGAAGAAGTGATTAAGGTCTACCTTCGCGCGTGTGCGGTATACCGGATAGCGAGATTCCCGTACATCAATTCAGATTTGAAGAGGGATGTTTATGCGGCGCAGAAGAAGGCATATTTGAAAGCTGCGGCGTTGTTTGAGGTTCCGATCGAAGATGTTGAAATTGAGCATACAGCGGGGATCGCAGGTCAAGATGAGGGAGATAAAGTGCCATTGTACGTTCGCGTGCCGAAGGATGCGAGCAACGAGAAGCCAGCTCCAGTGGTATTGTTGATGTGTGGGTTGGACGGACATCGCCCAGACAATACTGTACGAAGCGATGAGTTCTTGAAGAGAGGGTGGGCGAGCGTTATTGCCGGTAAGTCTGTATCAGGAAGCAGGCCTGATCGTGTGCTTCACCGAAGGCAGAGCTAACAGTGCCGAATGTATAGACATCCCTGGTACGGCCGACTGTCCTGCGCTGCGCTCTGATCCAACAAGTGCCGATCGTCTGTGGACCTCCATCCTGGACTGGATCTCCACGCAACCTCACCTCAATTCTCGTAAAGTTCTTGTCTGGGGCCTTTCGGCGGGTGGCTACAACGCCACTCGTGTGGCACATACTCACGCGTCCCGCATCATAGGCTCCGTAGCCCAAGGAGCCGGAACACATCACTTCTTCAGTCGAGCTTGGTTAGAGAAGGCCGCCAACCACGAATATCCTTGGACAGCTCTGCCTGCACTGCGTGAGAAGTTTGGATACGAAACTGAAGATGCGATGTTGGACCACGCACAACAAGAGTGGAGCTTGCTGGACAACAAGATTGTCGAGATGCAGAGCTGCAGACTGCTGATGGTAAACGGAACGCATGACGGGCTGATGCCAATTGAGGATAGCATGTTGATGATGGAGTACGGAAGGCCAAAAGAAGGAAGGTTTTTCACTGGACTGCTACACATGGGATATCCGCCTGCGAACGGCAGCGTGTACCCGTGGATGGGAGAGGTGATGAATAGTGTGCAATCGTAGACAACAAGAAATTGACTTTCGGATCGAAGCCCGCGACCGGGCCGCTTTCTGCGGATGAATGCTTGAGCTCGAAGCGTGGCGCTCTGTGAGTCGAATGCTATTGCAGCGGCTCCAAAGCAGTATTCCACGCACATGTGTGTGCTTCCGACTGGTCTTCGTGGGATGCGAATCACATGCTGACACCACCACGCATCCTGACCTCGGCTTGCCACGTTGCTTAGTGTTATGCACAGTCTGCGACACTGCAGCTACCCTGAGCTCAACTTGACGCCCAAGCGAAGCACATGAACATCGACGGCGGTTTTCGTCCAGACTTCGCACCTGCATGGATGTGGCTCATGTGCTTCCTCGTAGGCAGGGCGATTGACAAGTACTGTCGATCTGTACTGACTGTAGGCTTTGGTCATCTTCTGCTCTGCCGCATTCATCCCTCTTCCTCCACAACCTTCAGCTACGCAAAGATGACTTCCACTGCGCAGAGAGCTTTCAATCAATTGTCGTTGACCAGACTGCCGTGTTCCTCGCCGTTGCGCTTAGGCAAGAGTGTTGCGCAGACAAGAACCAGGCCAGATGCTGGTGAACGGCGACAAACAGAGCCGGTGAGATCCGACGTGGTTGGTGCCAAGAATGGAGAGAGGTATACTGTCCCCTGAATCATGAGAACTTTGCGTGGATACTGTACTCACAGCTCTTGTCCAACTCAGTCGAGACACCAGTAGGGACGACCACGATCTCGGCAAACACAAGCAAAGCTCTGAAGAGCTAGTTTGGTGGAAAGCCACGTCGCTCGAGTCTCCGGGGCTTGTTGAATCGTTTCGGAAAGAGGATATACACCAGAATCGGTCGATGGATCGGAGGTGACGGAGAATGAGGTCAGGTTGATCAGTCGTCCCAGGGCATCTTGAGAATATGTGAACCTGGGAGTGCACCTTGATTGTAGTACTCGGTGCGCTGCTTCCTCTTCGCCTCGATCTTCTCCTCATGCCGCCTCCTCAGCTCTTCGAGCTTTGCGTACTTTTTCTTACGTCGTCGCGACTGCTGCTCTGTCACCCTTTCTGCCTCGATCAACTTCGCGTCGATGGCTGTCCTCTGGTCTGATGACAGCACCCAAGGCTTGTTCAAGACTCTTATCTTCCAATCTGCGACCTTGGACCAGTGTATCGCTTCCTCATTGGTATCTTTGACCAGTCCAAGACGAAGAGCGATGATTTGGCGAGATTGGTTGTAGCTCTCCACCTTCCCTTCAGCAATGATGACTGTGCCCATGTCGACTGTCGCTTTGCCAATGATCAATACAGGTAATCCGAAGTGTGACATGACTTCGACATTGTCGAGACTTGTCTTGCTAGAGTAGACTGCTCCGTTCTGCTCCCGATATGCCACGGGCCGCTCCAACTTGACCTCAATGTTGGCGCCACTCCCGTCGTCGACAGTCATGAGAATGTATCTTCCTCCGGCCACTTGATCGATCTGGCACACAAATCCGACAATTCGCACGAACTGTATAGGGTGGTTCAGCCAAAACCAGACATTTTGCCCGCGGAAGCCAGGCTCTTCGCGAAGTTTGTAGACATCGGCGGCGGAGAGCTTGTTCCAGCGGAACCAGGTTGGCGAGGCATCAAAGTAGCGGGCAGCATACTGTTGAACACCCGAGGGAGCGGTGGTCATGTCATCGTCGTACGTAGAGAGTGGAGTCGTCGTGATCGATGAGGAAAGATGTTTACAGTGTCGAGGCAGAAAGTGCGTCATCGGCAACGCGACCGCGTCAAACACGAAACTTACGCGTTGGCAACTACCACTTCCACTTCACTTCCATTCCATCCAACTGCCTGTGTTCCATACTGACATCGAACGCCCTTCAGCGAGCACTATCTCCGCCACCATCATCATGCCCAAACGCAAGGAACAAGCCGAAGAAATCTCTCTCGAGGACGAGGAAGAGGAAGTCTCCGCTGGTTCAGCTCCCACGTCCATCAACCCATACCATGTCCTCGACCTTCCTCCAGACGCCTCAGCCGATGAGATCAAAAAAGCCTACCGCCGCGCAGCTCTCAAATCGCATCCTGACAAGGTGTCACCCGATCAAAAAGATGCTGCACACCAACGCTTCCAGGAAGTCGCATTCGCATACGCCATCCTATCCGATGAGCGTCGGCGGAAACGCTACGATACTACCGGCCGCACAGAAGAGAGTCTCGACATTGAAGACGATGACTTCGACTGGGCAGATTTCTTCCGCGCGCAGTTTGCGAACGTGGTGACAGAAGAGAGGATCAACGAGTTCGCGGGCAGCTATAAGGGTAGCGAAGAGGAGAAGCGAGATCTGTTGAAGGCATATGAGCAGTGTGAAGGGAGGATGCAGAAGATCTACCAGACGGTCATGCTGAGTGATATGACGGAAGATGAGGACAGGTTTCGTGCAATCATTGACGAGGCAATCGAGACCGGAGAGGTTGAAGGGTATGAGAAGTATTTGGGAGAGACAGAGAAGCAGAGGGAGAAGAGAATCGCTCAAGCGAGGAAGAACAAGGAGAGCGAGGCTGGCGAGGCGAAGGCTGCAGAGGAGGAGATTAAGAATAAGAAGAAGGGCAAGGGGAAGAAAGAGAATGGGTCGGGAGGTGGCCTGGGTGATCTTGCTGCATTGATACAGCAGAGGCAGAAAGGGCGTGAGCAGAACTTCTTCGATCATCTCGAGGAGAAGTATGCACCGAAGGGAAAGAAAGGGAAGAGTTCAGCTATGGATGAGCCGCTTGAAGAGGCTTTTGCTGCGAACCGCAAGAAGGCAGATACCGTCGAGGGTGCGAGGAAGAAGGCTAAGACCAAGAAGTGAGCAGTAACCTGCTCTTCTGGTTGAATTTGATGATAGACTGTACTGATAAGCATGGCGTTCAGGCGCAGTGATACCCAGACTGCATACTGGAAACACTGAGATGGAATCGTGGATTGATTACAGAAGCCAAATATTACAGAGCTACAGCGATGGTCCCCTCGCCCGATCTCTCACCCGAAGAGACGTGTCGCAGTCCTCGTCTATCTGCTATTTCGCTCAAGATCCCGTATGGCATCATGCAATCGTCTACCCTTACTCCGAATGCCTCACAGCCTTCGTTGATCTTCACATCGTTCCACGTAGGATAAGCTAACTGACGATCTATCTCAGCCGTGTGGTATTCCCAGCAATAACAATCTCTTCGCCTTGCGTTGTCTACCAGTGTAAGTGGCACTAGTATACGGTCGAAATATCCTGCTTCCAACGACCTGCCTTGGCCGAGTGGTAAGTTCATAAGTCGCGGGCATATCTGCCAGCGCCTAGTACTCCACAAGCCTCTTCAGGACAGTTCGAAGGCTTTCGATGGTTCTTCGAGAGAGCCTTGATGTGCGAGTTGTACTGCTCAGCCAAGGAAGATTCTTTTGCCTCACCGTCCGCTATGTTTCATCACAAATGAAGCATGGTGGACCTTTTTTGATCAGCCTCATGCATTGTGACAGTGCACATCTACTAAAACAAAACCTCTGAACCCCAACGATCGTTCTTGGTCTAGCGGTCTGCCAAGTAAATCGCCAGCATGGTTGCTGGCGTCCAGCCTACGGCGATATTTGGACACGATCCTAGGCCTGCACAAGCCTGTGTCGCAGCCTTCCCATCGCTGAACCTCTACCAAAAACAATTGTTTTGCTCTCGTTTGTCTTTTTCTTCTGCTTCCATCGCATTGTCCCTCTCCGCGAGTCTTTGGTCACGTTTGCTTCCTCGCCCGTATCGACAGCACATGGGGCTTCATATGCAGATGAAAGTGCCAAGTCACCAACAATTGTTCTTGGTCGAGCGGACGGCTCAGTAACCAGCCAGCAAACAAACAAGCTTGCTTGCTTTGCGCTTGGATCACTTCAGATACAGTCCATTCAACGTCGTCATTAATGTTTCCCTCGTTCAAGCGGCTCGAGCCTTCGATGCGATGCTGAAGGTTTTTCCCCGATGTAGAGAGGATGATTGTTTTTGCTGTCAGTCATGCTACAGTCGTTGAATTTCCTACTTTTCCATACACATCTATTCTCGCTTCGCTTTGGGAACCAAGGAGAAGTCGCCCTCGACGCAAGTTTGACCTCTGATCTGAACCTCGTTCTGCTGTCCACTGCGTTGGTTGCCACCTACCTTGTCAGAGCTTTACCAGAAGTTCGAACCGCCTTTCTGAGCCATCAGTCTTGGTCTAGCGGGCCTAGCCAGTAAGTCGTCATGCCTAATGCTTGGAAAATAGCAAGAATACTTTTCGAGGTCGCGCGCTCAGCAGAGCTCGAGAGAGGAGGCAGGGTTCCTTCTTGGTCCGGAACGTGGCTGAATGTTTTGTCCTTTGATGTTCGTCTTCGCCTCCCGAACCCGTACGAACTTTACCATCCGCATAGTTTACTGTTACTCCCGCCATTTGTTTCCTTCTGCTCCAGGCTTCCAGAAAGAATTCTCTCTCTCAAGAATTTGGTAGCTTTTCATGTGATTTAAAGCTTTGTCTTCTCAATGGTCGGTCATGGGGTAGTGGTATGCTCAATCAGTCATTTCCGTTCCAGAGAAATGCTTGAGTTATCGGTTGCGCTCGACATCACTTCACATGGCGTGCGTATAGCGCCATGAAAATGTATTCAATACCTCCAACGACGACTGAGCCATTGGCCAGTTTGTTCGCTTCGTTCTGAAAAGATCAGTGCAGGCTCAGTGCTCCTCGTGAGCGAAAGCACTCGGCTGTGCTTTGGCCAAAAGTTGCCTTCGTGACTTCGCATGTTTTGCACAGCCACCTCCAAGCGCCTACTATCCTGCTCTACCAGTCTGACCATCTTTCTCCCGGCCATCACACCCTCCCCACTCCATCCTCACAATTCAATCTCAATCTCCCCCGTCGCAGGCCGACTCTGACAAGATCCCTTGCGGCCGATCTCCCTCCGGACCATAAACCTGTCCCTTCACAATCTTCACTTCACAAGAACCACACATCGCGCTTCGACACCCATATTTAGGTTTCAGTCCAGCTTGTTCTGCAAGCTGCAGAATTGTGAGATTGTCTTTTGCGTGCCATGTGGTTTGGACATTCGATTTTGTGAAGAGGACCGAAGCTTGTGGTGGGTAGTCTTCGATGTCTGCCATCGTGTCGGAGTTTCCTGCGTTGATGAGATCAGATGATTGAAGTTTTGGTATGGGAAGGGGAGGAGGAGAGGATGTTGTGGCGAGACTGGTGAGAGTGACGTTGGAGGCGGGTAATGGTTTAGCCAGAGGATCGAAGAAAGTCAGTCCAAGTCCCATCAAATATTGATGCTTCCCTCCAGACAAGCATGTCTTCCCAGTCTCCTTTGGAATTTGCGGTCAGTCTTCAAACACATCGTCTCTCCATCAACAACGCACGCGCACCCATCATGAGAATGAGCCTTAATGCTCTTTACAGATCGTAGATCATGCGCATATGTATGACCCACACCTCGATGCTTCTGTGCCAGCCAACGACATCATGTTGTCTTTGAGCACAGCGCAGCTCATCTTCACATTCAGATATTGGGTGGTGTCCACAGAGCGAACACCATCGAAGTCTATCGAGATAATTTTTGCACCTGGAGCCGAGGTCTAGAAGACCGGGGATTCAGGTCACGGATGTAGCGAGGAACTTCCCCAGTCACATTGGCACAACAACTCCTGGCAAGTAACTGAATGGGTAACAGAGAGGATCTGTTCTGCACTCGGAGCATACATGTGCGACGACCAAAGACTCAGACAGAGACGTATCGGTACGTAGGGAATTATAGTATTGAACAGGCTACATGTGAGATGATGAGTAGTCTAGGAATCGGAGGTGCTCAATCGCAATAGCTCTCCCATGGGCACGGGGCGTCGATTGCGCGGAATAGCATCTTGTCCTCCTTCGTCCAAGTTGTGCGGTCGATCACCTCAACATTCGGTCCCTTCTTTCCCATGAATGGTCGACGCAGAGGCAGACAATGTTTCGAAGTATCCGGAAGCTCTCCTTTCTGGAAGTAACGTCGGACCGTTTTGGCATAGCAGAGGCTCGATTCTGCCCGACCAGTGTGGCCCTCTCCGTCCGTGATCAGGAGACCAGATCCCTTGAAACGACTTTGCATTGTTTGTGCGGCTGGTAAACCAGTGACACCATCGACGAGGTTGCTACTGAACAGTATGGGATTGGCTGTGACGTTTGAGGCAACCGCATGCTTGTCACCAAAACGCCAGCCGAATTGGATGGGCCAGTTGAAGTAGGTCATACCCCGAGAGGCTTGGACATCTGCGGTCAATGGTATGACTCTGCGCAGCGGCTCCAACTGCTGTGTTCTGAATTCTTGCGGTGACAAGCGGACGGTCAAATCACCGCCTCGAATCACCTAGTTCGGGGCTGATATCGCTTAGTTTGGGTGCGACAAGATATGGTGAACGACTTACCAACGTTGTCATTCGACATATCAGCATCGAGCGGGATCCTTGTTCCTTGAGTGCTGTTCCGGCCTCCGTCGCCTTTTCCGGCCTACGTTGCCGTGTCAGTCAGCACTTTATGCACTTGCGCTCGATCCCTTCTAAGACAGCATGCTTACAAAACTTTCGTTTGTTCCAAGAGGGGCATTGCCTGTGGGCAATCGACTCAACACCTCGGCAACTGCTGGCCTAGAGGCATAGGGTCAGCATGGGCTCGTTATCAAGAAATGCGGGTCTTCGTACCACTTGAGCAGTGGGCGACTATTGAGGCGTGCCATCATGGCTCTCACGTTAGAGGCATCGATCGTCTTCCCAGGGTTGATGGGATCCGGACGTGGACCGTTTTTTTCCAAGTCCAGCACTATGTTCTCCCATCGTCGCTCGGTGTCGCGAGAAGAATTTCCGGCCCACATCGAGCAATTTTCAGGACCTGCCAGGGCACAATATTCGGAGAACTTATGGACTGGATCGTCGGCGGTCAAAGAACTGACGGTGGGGTTCCCCTTGAACCACGCCTCAGAGTCTGTTGCTTGTCAGCTAGCCGCATCGATAACAAGGGCGCACCGCTGCACTCACCAACGACCCCGTCCAACAAGAGTCTATTCACTCTGTTTGGCTGCATGGCGGCGAGGAGCGCTCCTAGCACAGTGCCGTAGGAGGCGCCGAAGAGCGAAACAGGTTCTTCACCTTTGTTCCATTTGAGAGCGACTTTCTGCAGCGAATCGATAGCCTGCTTTTCTCTCCACTCGCCATGGCGCTCGACAAATTCCACCATATCTCTGACGACCATGGCTGAAGAAGAAAAGTTGGCAATCTTGGATCCAGCATTTGGATTCGTCGCGGGATCCCACATGCACTGGCGCATTGGAAGCCGCCGCCGCAGTTCTCATACTTGAGAGCGGGACTTGGTTTGATCTGTCGCGCTGTCAGCACTGTGTACCCTCTGTCTCTTCCTCTTGTTCTGAGGTGACTCTCGTGGGGTGCTCACATCTGTCCAGTTGAATTTTGGAGAAAGTGACCCGAATTCGAATTGCGGCTCTGGGATTAGATCATCCGGAGGTGGAAGAGGTGATGCGTGGATGAGGGTTGCAAGTGTTGCAGCGAGGGAAAGGATCTTGCATGTGCTAGCCATGGCTGAACAATGTGGATTGCGGATGGAGAATGAATGTTGGCGAATGCTGGTGATGTGCGTATGGTGAGTGTATGATTGTTGACTTCAAGGATGAGCTGCGAAGATTGACTGTGGTCGGGTGGCAGCGACGCGTTGCTTGTTGCTACGGCGGCAAGAGCAGTACAGCAGTGTCGAGAAGCTGCAGTGCTCGGAGTGCAGCTACCTGAAGCCGCGTCGACCTGCTGAAGAGCAGCGACGGCTGTGGGTGAGCACTTCATCTTCGTCTGAGCCACTGATTGCACATCCTGTGCGCGACATTCTTCAGAGAGCAAGCTGCCATTCGATTCAGCCTTCTTGGGCTGGCGAGCGCCTGAAGCAGAATTGACGACTCAAGGTAGTCGTTCCTCAGCATTGGACGATCTCAAGCAATCTCAGCTTCACGAGGAAATGATTCTGGACATGCATGTGGTTGATCGACAAACAGGCGAGCGTACGATTCATGATATATGAATACATAGCAGGGCTTGAGCCATATTCAAGATCACTACAGCCTGTTCAAGACGGGAAATCAGGTTAGCTTCTCCTTTGATTAACACATCCCGGAGGACACCGTCCGCCATTTGTGATCATGCAGCGACGATGCCGGGAACACCTACATTGAGGCATTGATTCAAAGCTCATGATTGTGCTATAGTACTGGCACAATCCTACCCGAGCGACTTCGCGCAGACAGTGAACCGCCGCAACTTCAAGATTCACAGCACTCGAAAAACTTCACTTGTGCAACGCGCGCCCCGAACTTAAAGTCCCAGCTCGACCGTTACAGTCACCATGCATCTCCGATCAAATACCTGCACTCAGACAAGCACTGTTACAACAACAATGGCGCCACAACCTAAACGCAAGGCGAAACACTCCGACGAAGCAGCATACGTTCCTCGCCAACCTCAGAGACGCGCAAAGAAATCAGCCCTCCCGGAAGAAGCAAAGAAACCCAAGAAAGCCGCAGTTCCTTCTCGTCGCGACCCTCGAGCTCAGCTACTGGAAGCCCAGCAAGCACTCGATGCCGCAATCGACGACCGCAAAGAAGCCCAGCAATGCTACAATCAGACGCAGCAACGTCGATGTAACATGGAGCGCGAGAGAGATCTGATGAGAGTATTGAAGGGTTGGGAGTCCGGTGAGTGCATAGCGGCGGAAGAGAATCTTTGGAAGGCGGAGGAAGAAGTCGCGGAGGCGCAGGAGTGGGTTCGAGAGACACTCGAGGCGGAAGCGAAGTGTGGACCGCGCTTGAATTTGTTGTGGGAGACGGTGAGGCTTTTGGACGAGGAGGAGGGCGTTGTGAAGGTGAAGCGAGAAGATGATCAGAAAGATCAGAAGATGGCCATGAGGGAGAAGAAGGAAGTCGAGTTTGACTCGGCAGTGGAGTGTAATTGATGGCAAGGCGCAAAGAATAGCAACTGTCGGCGAGAATCATGGCGGCTGAGAACTCGAAATTGGATGGCGAACAAGATGTCTGTGAGTCGGCGCTCTCTTTTCGGTCGGAAATACGACCCTTCTTGATCAGACAAGCTGGTTGTTCACACGCTTTAGGGAATTTCTAATCACATTCGAGAACTTCCCAGACATGACCAAGACACTTTCCTCAAGTGTGTGAGACTTTGTCTTGGGACGGCCAAGACTGCAGATTGTGTCCAAGATCCCGCGTCGTGCTTCTTTGTCAGTCTCAGGGCCCATTTGCAGGTTCGTGTTGCTCGAAAGCTACATGCAGCCCCATGCAAGCCACGCCAGACCCAGAGATGCAGCAACCACAATGTTCACCATCATTTCAGGGCCACTTCCTGTGTAAACTGGCCCAGTATAACCTGTACTGCCGTTCCTTGTTCCAGTCCGCCCAAGGCCGCTCATGATGGCATCTCCCACGCCGCTAGCCGCAGCAGACTAGCCAGGAGTTGAAGCGACACTACCGCCTCTTGCGCTGCCAACGTCACCAGTGGCTCGGACATCAGTGCCCTGGCCCGGACGTGGGGTCCGATCGGATACGACGGCGCCAGATGTTGTAGCCGTGGCGGCACTACCGATACTGCCAGCAGCGCCTTCACTCTCATTGTCTTTTGCCACTGCCGGAGGTATGCTCTCATTGTCACAGCCTCCTCCCGAAGGCCTGCTCTCATCGGCCACAACAAGACTAGACGTCTGAGATGCGGCTGTTCGCTCCTTTGTGCCAATTTCCACAGTTGAGGAAGCAGAGATCGACTTTGAGACTGCGACGATAGGATCCGAAGTCTCGTCGAATACACTCGTGGCCAACGGTTCAGAGTTGGCTGTATTGGCCAGTGTGTCATCTTGGACAGCTGTGGAAGTAGATGTATCTCCAGGACTCACCACCGTCGGGCCTGTAAGGTTATCATCGCCGGCATTGTCGGCGGGAACTTGACCACCTTGGCTGGAAGTGGGTTTCCCAGGGCTTGACGTTGCTGGTAACGGTACTGTGGCAGGACTCACAAAATCCGAACTTGCTTCCTCAGAGATAGTTGACGACTGTTGATCAGGAGTCGTTTGATCTTGCATGGTGGCCACATCCAGCACAGATTCCGGTCCCTCGCTCTGTGGGAAAATCACCTCAGGAACAGAGTTCGACGCACTCTCCAAAACCGCAACAGTTGGGCTCTGCACTGGCAGAGGCTCATCGCCATTATCAGCCGAAGGACTAAGAGTTGGTGTCATTGGCGGCTGTGAAGCATCCCCAGTAGCCTGAGGCTGAGGCTGAGTCCTTGAGTCGGTAGTAGATCTGGCCATCATGACTGTCACACGTGATGTTTCTGTAAGCTGATTGACAGCAATGTGCACCGTAGGCTCGCCCGGCGTGTCTACCGGGATGCAGTCAGTCATCCAAGGGTAGGCACTAGTCTGAAAACTCAAGTAGCGTTCAATAGCTTCGGATGGCAAGGGATAGAAGCCTGGGGTTGGTAATGGAGCATCGAGAGGCAGTGTCTGGATATAAAAGTGGCTCGATGTGAACGTTTGTCCAGTCTGCGTCATCGTTCGCGATGTGTAGGCACCTGGCACATCGTCCCCGATACCAATACCGTACAGGCCAAAAACATACACAAAGCCGGATGTGAAAGGCGCCGTATGGGTTGTGATTGGATTTCCCGACGAATAATCTTTCCACGTTATCGAGCCACATGAGCTTGAGGTGTCGTACCAGACCTGGACGCGGTTCCACGCCAACCACGGGGTAGGATATGGACTGTCAGAGGTTAATCTCTTTCTTGCAAGGTGTCGAAAGGTCAGACGTACGCATCGATCTCGGTTGTCGAGCCGGCTTGATACACATGTGTGCCAGCGTATGAATTACCGGAGACCAGTGTGAGAGGTACGCCTAGTCGTCCGAGTTCACTCTCGACACTAGACAGGCTATAGTGGTGGCCATCAAAACCTCTGATCCATAACCCGAACCGTGTGTATATCTCTTCCTCTGCCATGTAGCTTGTGCTTACGTTGGCCACTTCCTCCTGGTCCCCATAGTCCAATATCGTGCTGTACACAGTAGCCACGGTTTGCACAACGCTAGTGTTGTAATGAAAGTTACCCTTGACACCGATGTCTCCCTCGGCATAGCCTGCAAACCAGCAACACGGAGGGGCTGTTGTCGGGTGCGATATTGTGTACTCAGGCCTCAGGCTTGAGGAAGCCGACTTGATGGTGGAAATATTGCTTGTAGCCGTTCCGCTGGCATCTTTAGTTGCTCTTTCTGCATGCTGTCCATTGACAAGCACCGCTTGTAACGCCCAGAGAGTAAACATCTGCATCTGATGTTCTGTGAGCCAGATGTGTCAAGATCGTAGGATGACGAGGATATGAAGCGACATGTGGAAGGTGGGTCGAACTCTCCTCTTGAGCTTCCTCTGATGCTCTGAATGGCCTACTGCGGCTGACTCTGGCAGGGTCAGGTACGCAAAGTGGCTTATTACTCGAGGTTTCAACTTTGTTTGTAGGACATGTCCTACATTCGACGCAAGATCCCGGCGTAGATCAGGCTGTTCCGACCTATACGCATGCGTGCAGGTTCACCGGAGACCTTGTTCGTCTGTCAAGCACCAGAACTCAGGGGTATGAAGATCGGCTTGCGCCAGAAGGAAGACCTGATCCAATCGTTCAAGATGGGCACGCATGATCGTCTGTTCGGATTCCAGTCAATATCTATCCATATCAGCCACCAGGACCAGGTAATGCAATGATAGCCTATCATGCATTCGGCTTGGTGCGCGCCTCCAGTGAACCTACATCAACTTGCCTACCATGCGCTGCAACGCACATTTCCTGATCTCAAGTGTCATTAGAGTCCGTCTAAAAGAGCAGCACGCTCGGATTTGGATCGGTGCATACGAGGTACGTGCCTACATGCTACTCACCGGTCTTCAAATTCTTCTCAGCCTTGCAGACTCAACCCACTTCCGATCTGCAGCGCTTGGCTCCAATGATATGTACCCAAGAACGCCGTGTGAAACTGTCGAAAGACCGAAATATCCCGCATGCGGAGGTCCAATTATTGTTGGCTTGATGTGTCACCGATCATGCACTTTGCCGCAAGGCTGAGGCTGAATCTCTTGCGCGTTCATGCCTGCAATTTGAGCTTGCGTACCGTCTGTGTCACCTTTAGCAGATACTTGCATCTGTGTTGATCTTGTTGCAATCATTTTCGATGGCTGGCAGCATTGTGCCTGCCCCAGTATCATGGGAGCCATCACATTTCTGGGAAGGCAACTGTGGAGCACATTTATCGTTGAAGCAGCCACGTCCCCACAGTACTTTCGGGTTGTACCTGCCACCGCAGGCCAAGGAGTGTGGAGCCCAGTGCCAGAAGGCTGTAGATCAGCATCACAAGACGGATCTGGACACTGCGGCTATCTGCGAGGCACGCTCCCATTTCAAGGAAGGAATAGCTCCGGCTTCGCCACAAACGAAAGCACAACTTGGCAGAATATAGACATCTACACACTCGATGCTCAGCAAGCCAAATTGGGATACGAAGGTAATGGACTCTTTGGACTAGAAACTGTCGGTCTGTTCACTACCAGTGGCAAGGACACAACCCAACTACCAGCCCAAGTCGTTGCGGGCATTGCAGACCCCTTTTGGTGGCTCGGACTGATGGGACTTGGGCGTAAGCCCAGCAACTTTGCGACCTTCAACGATCCGATTCCAAGGTTGTGGTTTCCAAGCGCACTGGCGAACGAAACGAACCCGCAAATATCCAGCTTATCATGGGCGTATACAGCTGGAGCATCTTACCGAAACCGCAGCCCTGGATCTCTGACCTTCGGCGGCTACGATGCAAACCGAATGACCACAAGCATATCCCTCGAGATGGGCCCGGACAATTCCAGACCACTGCTCGTAGGAATGCAAAAGATCACAGCCGAGAACACACAAGACGGTACTGTCAACTTACTCCCAACTGGTACTCTCCACTTCGTAGACTCCACCCTTCCACACATCTGGCTACCCAACGACGCCATCGATGCATTCGTCTCAGCGTTCGGACTATCCTACGACAATACAACAGATCTCTACTTAATCAACGAAACCATGCGTGCTCGCAATCTTCAATTAAGCCCAGCGATTACCTTCACCTTCGGGAAAAGTGCCAGAGAAGATGGCTCAGAAACAACAAATATCGTATTGCCATATGCAGCTTTCGATATGAATGCTTCATATCCATTCTATCAGACAGAGACACCATATTTTCCAATTAGGAGAGCTTCGAACGATAGTCAGTACACTATTGGCCGGACATTGTTTCAGGAGGCGTATGTGGTTGCGGATTTTGAGCGGAGTAACTTTTCGATTGGGCAGGCGAATTTTGATAATTTGGGGACCAAAGCTATTAGAGCCATCGAAAGGCCAGTCGCTGCCGAGAGCAATAGCACAGTGGAAGATCAAGATCAGTCATCGGCACTGAGTGGCGGCGCGATCGGTGGAATCGTAGCCGGCGCCCTAGTGGGTGCATTACTCATCGCAGCTATCTGCTGGGCTCTCTTGCGTCGTCGAAGGAAGAAGAAGCAATACAAAGCTGTTGATACAGCTACCACCAAAGGCGATTCTGCTTGGGCTGAGAACGATGCAAAAGTCGACACTTTCAACCATCAACCTATAGCTGAGCCCGAGGAACTGTACGGACAGCGGGACCCAACAGAATTACACGCAACGACGAGCAAGTGGGGTGTTTATGGTGTGCAGGAAATGCCTGCTCCGGGCGCTGGGGCATACGATGGAGCGGCAGAGCTCAATACGCCTCCGATTGGACATGAGAGTGGTCGATTGGCAGAGGTTAATGGCAGTGAGCCTGCAAGATTTGAGATGGGAAGTGATGGTACTCATAGACCAGGATAGGGTTAGGTATAAAAACTACGTTGGTCGGACTGCGTTATGAATGTGTACTGTAGCACTTTCTCTCGTCGTATCGCAAAGCATCTGCTTCAGCCTGGCCTTTGCATGATACAACAGGTGATGGACGTGGTGTAACGGCTTGTACGCATAGCATTAGGATCGTGCGTGATGCTTTCATCTGAACCGTTGAGCGAGCGCAAATGAACCTCAAGCACCTGACTGCTTTGGTCCTTGCTCGATAGCTCAATCTCAAACTGCACACGAATCGGCAGACACATGCCCAAGTCAAGGTCTGCTCTCGAAGTCAAGCTCCCCGATGAGTGACCTAGTGTGTGATCAAAACATATTCGCACTGCTCCATCACAATTCCAAGCTCTCCCAGCACCTTCATGCAGGCCGCCTTCTCTCCGTCGAAGTACTCCGACTCAGCCTGCTTATCCAGGCTCCACCACAACTCGATCCTCACCTCGAAGTTCTTGATGAGGGCTGCGGTCTGCTTGCCAATTCGACGAAGCCACTCGTAAACCGGGTGTGCAGCCTGGTAGCAGATAGATTGCCACTCGAGCAAGACACGCAAGTTGCCATAGTACATTGCCAGAGTCTCCGTACGTACTTGTCTGTTGACTCTGGTCAATGACGGTTGGTGGTTGACTCCGCCATGCACGTTTCCGTTCGTTGATGCTGCATCAATGTCCCATCGGAAGTCTGCTCCAGTGTGTCTCAGGTCACTGCGTAAAGTCAGCTTTGCTTGTGGGAAAAGTCCGACACTGCTTGTCCAAAGATAATTCGCTTACATCGTCATTCTACTGTAATGCCCGAATACGGCGTAGCATTCGCAACGTGCAGGCTGGAAGCACCAGCACTGTCTGCCGTAGCCAGCGAGCTCCAAACAGCCGCTAAGCTTGTAGATCTCGTTTCTCAGCTCTGCGGGAAGATCGAGAAATCCAGTCGGTTTGGCAGGTATCGAGTTGTCGGTATGGAGGGCGGTTGAGTATGCCAGGGTAGGAACAACTTGGATGCCATCACGATCGATCTCGGTCTCGAGTTCTTGGACTCGAGTCGCGTTGCGTTTTTGTTCGGAACAAACATTGTCGAGTTCGAGATACAGCTCACCGAGCCTGTCGTCAAGCTGCTTGCACATGTGCTCGAATGTGCGGTCGATCTTCCAGTAGACGACCTTCTGTTGAGCTTGTAGTCCCTTGTCGTTCTTGTAATTGCCGCCAGCAAGATCGCGTCTGCCCATGAGGGTGGCACCCGCGTCGCCGTATGAATCAGTATTCAGGTCGCGAATGTGCTTACGCAGTACATTGATGCGGGCTTCGAGGTTCGACAAACGTTGACGCTTAGTGCTTAAGAGGACGACGACGGGATGCGTTGTGTCGGGCGACATGGTCGCGGTGTTGGAAGGGCGCTTGTGTTCTTCAGGTTTTGTTTGTGAAGGCGCAGGTCTGGAAGTGGTGATGATGGTTAGGAAGAAAGACGAGGTTGCAGATTGGGTCAGGTTTGTACGGGCCATGCCAAGATTCACGAGCGTGATGTTGGTGAATTGGGAGCAGGGCCCGCAGTGAATGTCCATTCACTCGTGAATCATGCAGACCATAGATCCCTAAGCACTCAATCAGTGGATGGCGTATCGTTATATCTGCCACCCCGGATTTTGCAGAGCTGCCATCGTGTATATACTTATCGAAGCATTGTGTATAGCAGCAGAATTGCTGCTGATCGGACGAGAACGAAGGAAGCCTCACAGAGCTGAAAGAGAGGGCAGACTCTCTGCTATAATGGACTCGATGTTTGCTATGCCCGTACCTTGCATAAATTTGTGATTTCATGCAGTTTCGCGATCTTTCTTGCTCCTTTGTTTCGAAACCGGCAGCAATTCATGTTTTCAGTAACGACATTGCAGTGCATTGATGTTAGAACGCTTGATGCCGACCACTCCATGAAACGTAGCAAGTCGGGTCGTCGTGATGCTCAAGATACGCTCGGGCTGGGTTCGATTTTCTGCAAGAAGATGTTCTGCTCCGTTTACAGATGCGTTCTTGTCGTGGATGGACCTGCCACAGACAAGTTCACGCCTGCCAACCAACTCGCTACTACCTTGACGCGTCGACGGACGCGTGATCAGTCATGTCGGTTCACTCGCCATTCACGAACCGGCACGCGACGCGGTCATATCAATTCGCTCGTGGACACGCGCCTCATTCATCAGCGAACACCTCCGCGATCACAATCGTTCCGGCTGACGAGTCGACTGCCACCTCCAACTCCATCCTCGCGCTCCCATTCTACACGACAACATGTCCACGCGGAAGCTCCGCAGCGACACGGCCGCGGAGAGGGCTGCCGCCGCCCCCTCCAAATCGACCGTTGGCGAGCAGCCAGCCAAGAAGCAGAAGTCAACCGCTCCCAAGTACATTTGCACCTGCTGCGGCGACGAGAAGACTTCCAGATCGTTCCCGAATTACACACCAACACCCGATTGCGACCACCTGATCAACACCTGCCGTACGTGCCTGAAGCAGTGGGTCGAGGTGCAGGTCGACAGCGCCAATTTCCTACGCGTCTCGGGCGACAATGAAACATCGACGTTCGGCATCAAATGCGTGGAATGCAAGGAGGTGATGAGGCCGGTGAACGTCGAGATAGCAGCGTCAAAGGCCGTGTATGAGAGGTTTGATAAGGTTGCCAAACGCAAGTTGGCAGAAGACATACCAGGCTGGCGTTGGTGTCTCGCTCCGCTCTGCGACAACGGCCAGAAGCACGTGAAGGTGGAGGCGGCCACAGCTTCGAAGAAGAAGTTGGGCAGAGGCAAGAAGAAGGATACCGAGGGTGGTGCGAACCTACAGGCCTCCTCCGCTGATCACAGCAGTTAGCTAACATTCTGACAGGAGATTCAGCAAAGCCTCCCGACATCTGCACATGCAACAAGTGCGGCGCGAAGGCTTGCGTTTCATGCGATGCGCCCTGGCACGAGGGAGAGACCTGCGAGGAGTACAAGGACCGCACGCACTCTGAGCAAGACGAGGCATCTCTGGCCATGATAAGGAATTCGTTCAAGAAGTGTCCATCCTGCAACAAGAGCATCGAGAAGAATGGCGGCTGCGACTATATGGCATGTACGTTTGACACTGCCTCCATGCCACCTTGATTCGGAGGTCCGCTGACATCAGAACAGGTTCCCAATGCAACAAAGCATTCTGCTGGCGCTGCGTCCAGGTGTTCCAGTACGGCCAATTCTGCGCGTGCCATCCAGCTCCACCCAACTGGCCACCAGCGGGGATTCTGCCTGTTTACAGATGAAAGGAAGCATCTCTGGCCGCGTCTTGACTTCCTGGACTCTGCTTGAGAGCTCTTGGTGCCGTGGGCCACACTGGCGTCGGTAGAGGCAATCTGCTTCTTCTGTCTGGGACATCCGCTTGACTCTGCATTTCTACGTGGCTAATAAGACATAGCCAACGCTGTGTAAGGAACTTCTTGCGAACAACAAACTGTGCATGGAGATAACTCGGATTTGTGTCTCGCACTTGGCTCGGTTCGGCTAAACTGCTCAATAGCCGATTGTCCATATTGTAACAATACAGCTCGTTCACGATCGCTTTCGAAGTCGCTGTCAGCACTCAGGTGTTGAGATCTGTATAATACTCGATCCTCTCCATGGACTGGACAGGTAGAGCTGAGGTCGAGCTCAGCGATAGCATTCCAATGTCTTCTCCGTCATCTTCGTTCCGATCCCTGCGTCTGGGTGCCGAGACCAACAGGCCAGCATGTGACCCTGGCGTCTGGAGAAAAGCGGGGATCGAAGCCAAAGCAGCTTGTCGCGTTGCCGGCACAGCGGAGACGACATGATGGGCGCTGTCAGCTCGAGATGAAAGGCCGCGGCGGGCGCGCCTCGCGACCTGGTAAGTACTGTGGCAGAGCATCCTAGACCATTTCCATTTCTGACCTTCATCTTCCTCCTCTCCCACACGAATTTCCTCCTCTCGCTGAAATTCTGTCCAACATATCCGATCCTCTATCCTCCCCATTGTGCATAGATACAGTCGCGTGAGCTCCCGCGAGGCGTAGTGGACCGCTCTCAAAGACCCGAGGTCTAGAGCTCCGGCTTGAACACCTTCACGAACGACCTACACACGAACGACAGCAAAGACCTCTCCACCTCAAACCATGCCTTTCCACCCTCCATCATGGGTTCCACAGCTCCCGGACATCCCGGACTCAGTCTCCATCGAGACCTTCATGTTCAATGAGTCCTACGGCAGATTCCCTCTCGGCTATTCCAAACCACCTTTCGTCGACGGCCTGACAGGTCAATCCTACTCCGCTCTCGACTTGAAGGACCGAATAGATTGGTTGTCGCGAGCACTCGTCAAAGAATTCGGATTCGACCCTCACTCTGGCTCCGAATGGGATAAAGTCATTGCGTGCTTCAGTCTGAACACCATCGATTACCTCTCCCTCGCTTGGGCCGTGCATCGCGTTGGAGGGATTTTGACGGCTGTTAATGCGGCGTACAATGCCTCTGAACTCGAATTTCAATTGAAAGATTCTGGTGCCAAAGCTGTCTTCACATGCTTGCCATTGCTCCAAACCTGCAAGGATGGAGCGAAGAAAGTTGGGCTGGGAGATGATAAGATTTACTTATTGCCCATGCCGGATATTGTAACTGGAGGAGCGAAGAATGGTGGGCATAAGACGATCCATGATTTGGTGAATGAGGGAAAGAAGTTGGATCGCTTTGAGCCTTCGGATTCGAAGTGGAAGAAGGGGCATGGGAAGGAGAGGTGTGCGTTTTTGTGTTATAGTAGTGGGACGTCGGGGTTGCCGAAGGGGGTTTGTATCAGTCATTATAATGTGAGTTTATTGTGCCGTGAACCTGGAGTTGAGGAATGGAGTTGCTGACTGAGATGGTTACAGGTCATCGCGAACACCCTACAAATGAACACTCACGAATCCCTCGATCGAGATGAAATCAACAGACAAGAAGGAGGAACACATTATACAGAGAACTGTCTCGGACTGCTCCCGATGTCGCACATTTACGGCCTCGTGGTGATCTGTCACACGGGTATTTTCCGCGGAGATGGAGTGGTTGTGCTACCCAAGTACGATTTCAAGTGGTTGCTCCAGGCGATTCAGGATCACAAGATTGCGATGTTGTATCTTGTGCCACCGATGATTATTCACCTTACCAAGGCGAAGGATACTCTCAAGCAGTATGATCTGTCGAGCGTGCGAGCGGCTTTTACTGGTGCTGCACCGCTGGGCAAAGAAACCGCCGACGACCTCGCCAGCACATTCCCCAAATGGGCGATCAAACAAGGCTACGGCCTCACTGAAACCTCCACCGTCGTCTGCGCAACTCCCACCCACGACATCTGGTTCGGCAGCTCCGGCTCCCTGTTGGCTGGGATTACAGCCCGCCTCGTAACAGTCGAAGGAAACGAAATCACAGGCTACGACCAACCCGGCGAACTCTGGGTGAAATCCCCCGCCGTCGTCCTCGGCTACCTCAATCGCCCAGACGCCAACAAAGAAACTTTCATCGACGAGCCCGATGGGCGTTATATGCGAACCGGAGACGAAGCCATGATCTCCAAATCTCCCGAAGGAAATGAACACATCTTCATCACAGATCGTATCAAGGAGCTGATCAAAGTGAAGGGTATGCAAGTCGCTCCCGCAGAATTGGAAGCGCATTTGCTTGCTCATCCTGCTGTAAACGACTGCGTTGTGATTGGAATTCCATCTGATCGCGAAGGCGAGGTTCCGAAGGCTTTTGTTGTGAAGAATCCTGGAGAGAAGGAAAATGATGACACGCTGCGAGAATCGATCAACAAGCATGTGCAGGAGCATAAGAGTAAGCATAAGTGGCTTGCGGGTGGTATCGAATTCATCGAGGTTGTGCCAAAGTCGCCCTCTGGCAAGATCTTGCGTCGTTTGGTTCGAGACCAAGAGAAAGCGAAGATGAAGAAGCAAGGCGCGAAGTTGTAGTGGAAAGGAAAATTGTTGACGATATGCATGGACTTCGATTTGCCTGCTCGCTTGGTCACTATTATGTTAGGAGAGATCTTGTATATTTTCTGTAAAGAAAGAGAGAGAGATGTTGTACAACCTTCATGACCCCCAGATTGATCCTACTCGGCGAACGGCACTTTTTGTTGCTCCAACGGAACGTCCGCTTTGTAAGCGGGAGGATCCTACAAAGGAGCTGAAGCTACCTCCATGGCCGGTTTTCGTAATGCAACAATGACTAAACTCAATTCCGCGCCCGATTTTGATGCTGTAAGCAGAGAGGATTCAGATGTCGTGCGAGCGTCGAGCTGAGAGGAGGAGGTCAAGGATATATATACATGTATGGATTAAAGTTTCGTTGTCGACGACCGTACAGACACAGCCAACGCAAACACGTTTATCGATCCCCAAGTCGCCAAAGAAAGACACATTCAATCATGCCTTCTTATCTAATAACAGGCGCGTCGCGTGGTTTGGGATACGCCTGGATCAAACACCTATCTTCCGACTCAAGCAACACTGTATTCGCACTTGTGCGCAACAAAGCCGCAACAGAGGAGAAGCTGTCCTCAGACGACACCAAGAATGTCCATGTCCTTCAAGCAGACATCACAGACTTGCCGGCACTGCAAGCCGCCGCTGAGGAAGTCTCCAAAGTGACAAACGGCAGTCTCGACATTCTCATCCACAACGCCGCTCTCCTAGTCGGCGCCAGCGCCTTCACCACAGTCCTAGGCCAGAGTCCCGAGGACCTCGCGACTGAATTGACAGATTCATTTCACTCGAATGTCGTCGGATCATCCTACGTTCTCAACGCCTTTCTGCCTCTCATCCGTGCTGGCAAAGAAAAGAAAATTGCAGTCATCACCAGTGGCATGGCAGATCTTGAGCTTGTCAACAAATATTCTATTGCATTAGCAACACCCTACGCAGTCTCCAAAGCAGCTTCGAATTTGCTTGTGGGGAAATACCACGCTGCACTCGGAAAATCTGAAGGAATTTTGGTGTTTTCGATCAGTCCTGGGGTGGTGAATACTCAAACTGGAGAATTGACTGAAGAGCAGAAGAAAGTTGTTGGGGGGATGATGGCTCAGTTTGCGGAGGTGGCGCCGCACTGGAAGGGTCCGATTACAGCGGAGGAGAGTGTGACGAAGCAGCTTGAGGTCATTGAACGGGCGACGGTAGAGGAGTTCGGTGGTGCGTTCGTCTCGCACTATGGAAACCAGCAGTGGCTCTAGATTTCCGGCCGGGAATGCGGGAGGACGGATGTATAGATGATGTATTATGTCGTTGCGGCATCGTATTGGAATGCTTTCGGAACCTTTGGTGCACAGCGTTTGGGCTATTGAACGATGCCTGTTGAAGAGTGCCGTGGTGGCTGAATGTGGCTTGCTCGGTAGTAGAGACGTGGTTGTCAGTCTTCCGGTGTCGTTGACTTTGATAGTCCGTTCTCGCCATTCAGGGTAAGTTGCAAGTTCTCGAAAGAGCATAGTCTTCGATTTGTGGATGCGGTGCGCAACGGCTGTCGGTATCCTTGCAACGGCGGGCTGATACTTGATGTAGGTGCAGTGCTGCTTGTCGGTCACGCAATCCGCAGGCGTGCCGCTCACAGCTATGCATTCATGCAATGCATCTGCATGTGGTATACCACTGCTTGCGTCGCGGTCGCAATGTTGAGAACGCGTGTGCAATGACAGCCGGTTGATGAGGCGCGTCGTGAGTGCAGCTTCGCAGAGCGCGGGCTGACTCGCGCCGCCTTAACAGCTAGTCAAGTGCATACACTTCCACAACGTTTCAGAATCCGACTCTTGCAAATGAATCCCGCATACTGCAAAGGGCCGGATCCCGTTGTGGTAGACTACCAGCATGCCTCCCTTCGACGCAGAGCGTTGATACTGCCATCGCCATCATCGCCGCTATACCACACTCTTGCGTATACTCTCTAATCATAGCGGTGGTCAAGATGGCGGTCGACATGTCGGCGTTCCCGAGCGCTCCGGACCACAGGTTCTCTCAGATGATACCAAAGGATGTCAAGAGGCGGTCGTGGAGATACCTTCAGGAGCGATCTGAAGAATACATGCGTCTGGAGAAACCACGTCAGGACTCAGCAATCGATTTCCGGGACGACAAGCATAATTCCCAAGTCTCGAAGCTCAGCGAAGATCAAGCGTGCTCCCCAATATCAAGGTCGGATGGCGGCCAGAGAGTGTCTGACATATCGAAGCTGAGCACCGACCAGCGAAGCTCGCAAGTCTCCAAGTTGAGCAACGAGGAGAGGCAGTCGCAAGTTTCAAGGCAGGAGGCAGAGCGCATTTTGAGCACACCAGTCGATAATGTGTCGCTCGTCGTTGATACCAAGAGTCTGTTTACTGTCCACCCGGATGACGTCCAATTCGATTTCGAAGCATTCGACTTCCTTCCTGGTTGTCGACTCTCAAGGCCTTTCTTCATGCCAGCCCCGGTAGCCAGGACGAGAAGGTCGACAATGATCAGTCGACACTCCGTCGTCTCAGTGGAGCTTATTGCCGACTTCGTCAAGTCTCGACGAATAACTCAAGATTCCGACACGCTTTCGCCGACTTGCATGTCACCATACGAGCTCCAACGTCTGTACGAAAATTGCATTCCACAGCACCCAGCTGGTCTGGACAATCATGCGCAGCCATTAATACTGGACAATCCGCATCCGACAACTGTAGATGCTGTTGGGTCTCCGAAGCGGCGATCGAACACGATATCCCATAGCCAGGATAATAAAGAGCGGGTCGTGTCAATAACACGGCAGAGGTCCAAGGCGCATCTCCAGCACAAGTGCTCGATCCTGATTATGGACAAGGCAGCCGCCGCCGAGCGGGTAGATGATGCGAACCAGATGCTTGCTGAGACGAAGGAAAGGTTGTATCGTTCGAAGAAGGACTTGTACATCCGAGAGGAGCACGTCAGAGGCCTCGAGGTCCATGCCACGAATATGAAGAAGGGAATGGTAAGGCTTGCTTCCTTGGGAATCTCCGAAATGGTTGCTGACGTCGTGTTTGTGCACCTTATCAGGAAGAAGCTATGCGAAATTATAGCATAACGTCCAAAGAGCTCTGCAGCCTGCGGGTATTCCGATGGGAGTGTTCGCCGTCTGTCCCAGCACAAGTTCTATCGATGCGTCAGCGCAAGATCCATGGCGAGCTCAAGATGCAAATCCGAGATCTGGAAAGAAAGCTCAACACTACGATGGCCGAGCTGCGGTGTATGGAGAAGAAGTGGAAGGAAGCGCAGAACTCGCTCGCCACCTGTACCAAAGACCTCGAGAGGCAAAAGTCCATCATCAACGACAGAACGCAAGATTTACGGATCGCCGAAGAGGCAAAGGCGCGCGCTGTTGAAGCTTTGGAGACTGCTGAGCAAGACCTCAAGTCTATGCGCACTCAGCTCGAAGCCGCACAGCAAGAGGACGCCGCGCATACTGACCCCAAAGCGGACCCAGTGCAAGAGCTGGCGAAGGCAACAAAGAAAGCCCAGCGACTCAGTCAGTGTCTGGATCAAGCAGAAGCCGATTGCGAACAGACGCGCGACAAGATCAAGCAGATCAAGCGCGAGAGTAGAGCACCCGACGCCGTGCTCCAGAAAAAACTGATGCTGGCGAGAAGAGAGCTTCGTGATCGAGAGGAGCTGCTGGGTGTAGTCAAGCAGACCAACGCAGACCTGGCACGCAAAATTGCGGATATGGAACAGCAATTGGGAGGTCGAAAGCATTGGAGCGGTAACGGTGGCGAAGCGAGGGTGTGAAGCACAGTGTCCTTCTCCAGAAAAACTTGATGATCTGAACGGCCTAGCAGGCATAGCTCCTCGGCCACTTCTTTGGACCCACGGGTAGGTGCGTTGAAGCAACAGGCTTCAGACAACGTTCGCTATGAGACCGAACTGGATTCCTTTGTCTTGCCATTTGTTTTGGCATTAATACAGAAGCGTGCAGCGGTAGAAGAGATTCCATATGAAGATGTACAGGCCATCAGATAGGCGAGAGCGTCTCATTCGTCCAACGCATCATCTGCCGTGCACGTCAGCATACTAGTCGTTGCTACGTGCTCATTCACTGAGACACGATGAACGACGTGAGGCCAATGAAAACCACGGCTTAAATGCGAGGCTCGGACCCTTCAGGTGTTCGTGTGCTGGGAGGACGTAGCCGATTCGAGTGGATTCCCGGGACTGGTACACGTGGGATATGGTGCCAGCGTCGTGCTGTGCGCAGAGCGCTGTGACGAATTTCAAGCGACAGCCTGAATATGTTGTATCGCCGTAGTGGGGGCGCGAGGTAGCTGGCACATGTCGTCGCGGACGAGAGCACACGCTTCGTGAACTCTGTTGGCAGCTCAGTGAGATAGCACGCTCGTGCCATCACGAGCCGTGTTTGAGGAGAGTGGAACCGAAGATAACCTGTTTCCTTATCATGGTGTGCCCAGCTTGCTTGGAATCACACTCTGAAATCCAAGCCAGGCTCTCTGGTCTCGCAGCTTCGTGGTCCTTGAGATATTTCGGTCGTCCGACTCGTTGGCAAGCATGTGAGTAAGAGTCACAGAGTCACAGACCTCGGTCGCGGAGGCTTACGGCCAAGGTTCTTCAGCCGACAGTGCGCTCCGGGAGTTGCTCGTGGATGGCCAGGATGCAGCGGTGAGTTCAATGGCCTCTCTCGCCAGCACGCACGGCCAGCGCGAAAATGCAATGCCGTGACAGTCGGGCGCTGGAGACGCGCAGCGCGCATGACGTTGCCAGGCTGCCGACTGCTGTCGCGGACGTTGCGGTGGGAGATCCACCGTGGATGCCGCGTCCCAACGAACTGTTGTGCCGTCAACGCCAACGTTTCCCAGGGGCACTCCAGCAAACCGACTCTGCGCACGACGAATCCAGCGGTGGTGCGGCTGACACATGTGAAAGAGAGAGACCACTGCAGACCCGGCTCTCAGGTTTGGACTCCTTGACCTTGCACATCACACCCTCTCTCCCCGGCCTTCTGGTGCCGCCGATCGTCAGGGACGCTATCCTCTCGGACCTTGCGGGACGGTGGTGCGTATGCAGCTTCTTGGATGAGTTATACAGCCGTCTATGTCTGCTTCTCTTGCCGAGACATGTGCAGAGCAAGGCTGACGAATAGCGCGGACTGACGGCTGCATATCGGACCGCCTCCTAAGCGCACGGTCGCGCCGGGGAGTCCTTCCGCACCGCGCTGTGGTCGGGATGTCACTCTCTGTGCATCCTTGCGCTGGCAAGCAGGCGCAGAGGCGCGACGAATCTGCGAAGCGACACAAACCTCAGTCATCCAGACCACCGCGACCCCCGTCGCCGTAGCATGACGGCCCAAGATGAACCCTTCATCACCACCCGTAGCGCTCGACGCTGAGCTGGCCGTGTCACCTCCCACTTCCTCCACCGCCCACCACCAGCCCGACCGACCCAAGTCACCGCCGCTGGCCTTTGCTCCCTCCTCCAACGACTCACTGTTCGCGCGCAACTCGTCGCCACATGCCCTCACGGCCAATCACCCGACGTCGCCTTCGCAATCCATCATGGGCCGTCTCAGTCCGCTGTCCGAGAGTCCGCTCGCCTTGCAGGCCATCATCGACAAGCAGGCCGAGGCATTGAGGCAACTGCACAAGGCATTTCAGGCAGAGCGAGAGTCGTGGGACCTGGAGCGCCAGCGTTTCTTTGAGCGCATATGCAGTTTGGAGCAGCTCCTTAAGAATGGCGAGCACCACAGGTGAGCGAGAGCCGACCGTTGTCCACAATGACGCAACTGTGATGGGCCCTAACGTGCGCGCGTAGTCCTGAAAAGTCGCCCGTTTCCACACCCACCAGGAGCAACGGCAATGGCATTGTGTCGCCGCAAGCGCGAGCAGCGCACCCTCCAGGCATCAACTTGCCTACCATTGCCGAGATCGAAAACATTCAGCCTCTCGCCGCGCGACGGGATGGAGCGCCACAATCGATAGCACTTCCCGGCATCATGGCCGTGCCGGGCGAGGAGCGACAAAGACAGAGCTCGGTTGTCTCTTTCACGAACGCGGAAGGTCTACAAGTCGAGGAAATTCCCCTTCCGCTACCCTCGGCTGGTCTTTCACCGCCTCCGCCAGTCAATCGCATGCTTGCGGGACAGTGAGTATATTGAACCTGTATGCGCCTGCATCGTAGGCTTACCTGATCGCAGTACGCCCATAAAAGTCCCAAGAAGGCCAACTCCGCCACCGGAGAACAGCTTGTCTATGGATGGGATCGAGGACACTCCAACTCGCCACAACACACACGTCAACACTTATTTGACTCAGAGCAGCGACGAAGAAGAAGACATGCCCTTGAAAGGTCCCTTGAACATGCCTGAACTCCCGCACAGACCTGATGACACCAATTTCACCCTGGAAGCTCTCAGTTCTAGACTGCAGGAGATCTCAGAACACCCTGAGGAGGAGAAAAGTAAACCTCTGGTTTACGCCAAGCCTAGTCCTGGTCTAGCCTCGCCCGCCGAGGATGCAAACGAGGGTGCCGATTCTGCAATCCTACCGTTTGTTGAAGACCCAATCTCGCCGGCCAATACACGCGCACTGGACTCCAATGCGATACAGTCGCCATCCTCGGCATTCGGCTCAAATTTGAGTCCATCGGTGTCGAACACCAAGTCCCCAGGCCCAAGCGGTGCACTCTCGCCACAGGAACAGCACGAAGCAAAGATTCATCAGGAGTTTGAGCAAGGCGGGATCCGGCTCAAGAAGAAGACGTCCACCAACTTTGGTGCTCCATTCGGCTCGCTGGCCGGCTTGCCTATCAGAAAGATGTCGTAGGAGGACAACGACAATGGGTCTGAAGAGTTTTATGGGCAATCTACCGAAACTCATCATTCATTCTTTTAACATAATTTACTATAGTCATGGAAAGCAACAGCATGGGACAGTGACAGGGAAGAAAAGGCGCGATGGAGAAATAAAGGAACAGCATGGGTCATGGGCGCAGAGTGCAGCAAAAACGGACGGCGGGACCGCATAGGAACGATACCCCAAACAGGCCAGAGAGCCTCGCGTTATTGATGGAATAGAAGCAGGAATAGGAATAGAGAAATTTCGGTTGTCTAAAGAGACTGACCACTAGCACCATTAGAATGGTCAAACAGAATGAGAGAAAAGACACTCCTTCAGTATTTTGAATCGATCGAGGGAGGTCTGACTGGAATGTGACAAAGCCAGCCTTTTTTCAGCCTCCCTTGCAGAATGTCACACACCTCACCTTTCTCCACATACCGATGCGCATCTCTTGCATTACATTACAATGATCACCCACTCCTCGCCCGCCACAACATGAAACACATTTCGCGCCCGCGCCTTTCTGCTGCAAATCTGGTAATAGGAGGGCAAGTTCCTGCCATGCCTTGCTGATCAAACCCAGCATCCAGGCAAAGATAGTACAATATACTCTGTCCTCCTAGTCGACAGATAGACAGCACAGCGGCCATCCTCAGTCCTGGCTGTAATCCGTTTGCTTCTTCGAAACAAAACAAATAAACATTTTCCCGTGAACAGCCAACATCAACATCAACAATCATGCAAATCCGGATACCAGCGACAACACTTTTCCTCATTACCGCAACAATCCTCTCAATATTTATCACGCAAGTCCACTCAATACCTCTTCCCGGCGGGGGAAGTGATTTCAGCGAAATAGAAAAACGATGGGCGGTGGGGCAATCTGATGTTCGTTTTGACCGGACCCTCTCATCATTTGTCGTTCGCTGACATGCACTCGCGCAGCAACAAATCCTCTCCACTCTCAACCTCCGCTATCTCACACCTTCTTTCCCCATAACGCGAACATTTGAAGGGCCGGGTTCATTTGCGGCTGCGACGGATTCGAGAAGTCTTGCTGCAGCAGCTGCTGCCGAGAAGGAAAGGCAGCAGAGGAGGAGGAATTGGATGGCGAGGAGTAGGAATTTTGTTGGGGGGTTGAGGTTTGGGTGGGTTGTACGGGGAAGGAGTCCGAGGAGGTAAAGGAATGTATGGTGAGGGATTGTCGCACTGAGAGCAGGTCTTGCAATGGGATTGGGGGTTGAAAAGAGGTTGTTCGCGCTGCGACGCTGGCTCGTTTCGGGTCGATGGCAGCGAAGAAGGTGCTGGAATAGAGTTGGTATGCATGGGAAGTACTGCATTGCATTGGGTATCATGAACAATAATGATTAACGAGCGAGTTGCCAACACTCTTAGTCCGTCGTGGACTTGCAACTCCGGAGCCCGCGGCATTGCTATTTGCGCCGCGATACTCGTCCTGAACACCTGTTGGAAAGTCAGCTTTCGTCCCACTGTATACCCCCACTTTCAAGAGGAAGTCCGTACCTGAACGCCTCGCTAAAGACAAAATGCAATCTCTCAATTCGAAAGTCCAGCATGATAGTCACCGTGCACAGCTTGATCAGCTCTCGCAAACAGAGCACTCAAAAGATCAAGTTGCCGATTCAGTCGTGACACTTCCGCCAGTCGCCGAGACAGAATCTCTCCTCGCTCGTCATCCCGACGCATAATCTCACGCATGCGTTCCTCATTAGCCGCAATTTGGGCATTGTTCTTCTGTACTTGGGTTTGCAGGGCTTGTAGTTTCTCAAAGCTCTCCGGTATACTGCTGTTGGTGCTGCTGACAGAACTGTGGGGCGGCGAACATGTCGCATCTGTGGTGTCTGTGTAATGTGTGCTGTTGGTCACAGTGCTGTTTGAGCTTCCGGTACTTTTAGCTTCTGAAGGACGCTAGTGTTGTGTTAGTGATTACTTCAGAACAGGTGAGCGGCGGTCGTCAAGTACACGTACTCTGATGAACATGCCCATTTCTCCATTTTGCCTTTTTTGAGTCCGCGCGAGCCACGCTGAGGTCGCTGCTGTTGCGGCCATCTTGACATCCGAGATAGTGTTGTTTACTTTAGGTGAAGCGCAGATCTGATATGGCGCTCAAGTCGACCTCAGAAATGCTGGAGTGGTAGACGACGGAAGTGGCATCTCTCCCCGGTTGCTATTCACGGGTCGGTCTGTGTCTGAGCGTGAAAGCGCCTTGGTTATCTCCAGTTTTCGATGATGCAAGTCGGCATCGATGGTAGGTATAAGTAACTTCTTCTCGAATGCACCGAGACTGTCTCGAGTCGGTTTCTTCACGTCGGTTCTGGCTGTGTTATCTCTCTCCCGCGTGTCTGCGACAGGATGAAGTAAAGTCAAAAGTGGTCGCAATGAAAGACAGCAATAGCAGCAGGTACGATGACAGGCAGGGCTATCGAGTTCAAAAAACCTGAAGTGGGCAGGCAGCAAGCACGTTCCTTCTCGATGAGATTTCGCATGACGGCAAGGCAAGCCCAAGGTCAATTTCGATCTGACCTGGCACGCCACTAGCCGCGAACAGGTTATAGCTTCGTGACGTACAGGGAGAGAGCTTCGAAGGGACAAAGGACAAAGATCGGGCCTCCGTGCCGGCATGCATACTGTGCTAGGGAAAGCGGCATTGCATAGCACCGAGACAGCAATCAGTATGCCGAACGAGAGAGATTGGGCCAGGGGCTACAATCGCCCATCTCTTCTGCAAATTGACCTCCTCCTCGTGCACATCATCACGGCCGGCCTCCTCATCAGACGCACTTTCTTCACCGAGGTGATGGGAGATGACAGGCGGGGGCCGTTGTGAACGTTGCGTGTTAAGATCCAGGATTTTGCGATGGCGCAAAATAGTTGCCAGAATCTAGGAAGGAGGGTTGAAAGTAGGAGCGACGAGTGAGGATCTTCGGTGGTGCAAGGATGATCGCGCTACTTTGGCGGCAGAAGGTACACAAATTTAGTCGGCCTATCAGAGGGAGGACATTGCATTGCACCAGCAGTGCCACATCTGAAGAATTATCTGGGCGAGATTCGATCTCATCTACTACTGTTTCACAGAATCAAGTTCTCAACGACGCTTGTCAATGTCAAGGCCGACAAGCTGCGGAGGGCTTCATCGCCGTCTTACCGAGAACGTTGTTATTCTTGGCAAAGTTGAACCTGAAACACGCCAAAACTGCCAGGAGGCAGTAGTTTCATATTAGCTCCTGGATCACATGAGCACATAAGAGCATCACATGCACATGTGCTCGCTCGTCAAAGAATCACAGTGCAGCGACAAGAGCTCACATATCACAGTGCACCTCGTATTGCTGGACTACACTGCGCACACAGGCACAAGTGGCATTGCTCTTCATTCATCGTATGTCGCGTATCTGCATTAGCGCTCTTGGTATCATTGAGTTCTAACATCCCGCGGACTCCCTCTAACCAGTGCGCCGCCTCGCTATGCAATCGAATTCAATGGCCTCAAGGCCTTGACGTTCTCAGCGCGGTGGGCATTTACAACCCCACGGCCATGATAGCACCGCCGAAGCAACGTCGTATTTCCATCCAGTCGACCTCTCTGGGATAATCCAACCCTGCATGGGGCTGTACCCATTCGCTCCAATCGATCTTCAACGGCGGATGTAGTCAGACACCCATAGTGAAGTCGTGCTCAATGCCGGGGGTCACCGAAGCCATAAACTTCAGGAAGACCACGAGGTACTGATCGACACGGATAGCCGGAACTTCTTCTTCCAGGGTGCCGTCCAGCATCTCCCATTCGGCGTCACCGTCCTTGGACTTTGGCGAAGATGATTTGTCCTTGATGTCGAGCTTGGTAGTCTGGTCGACCAGGCCCTCCATTCCTGCCGAAGACGGCTTCTCTCCTTGCTTCATCTTCTCGATGCGGAGTTTGAGTGCTGCGTCGGCACGATCCAGCAAGACCTTCATAACGCTTGCATGCTTGCATGGGTGCACTGAGGCGGTCTTGATCGGCGGGTCGACGAAGGTGAAGTCCTCGAGCGTCACAGTCTTGTCCTTGTAGTCACCCACAATGTCTTCCATCATGGCGAGCGGCTGAAGTGGCTGAAGGCTTGAGTTGTAGCCTTGCAGGTACAGACGTGGAGTGCGGTAGTATGGAGTGTATGTGATGTAGAGGGTGTAGGTCCGCAAGCTGAGATGTTCGTTAGCACAGGTCGCCTTTACGGCATCAGTGTGAACTTACGTATCTTCGCCGTTCTTGTTGCCGGCACCGACATCGCGAATGATGGCCTCCTCGTCATCCTCATCGTCCATGTCTGGAATCTCATCCTCGTCGATGTCCTCGCCAAGCTTTCCATCGTCGTCAACGGTCTTAACATCCTTGACCAGCTCTGCACTCTTGGCCTTCTCTCTGCTGCTGTCGCCACCGGCCTTGAGCCAGCCATCATCTTCGCCGCTGACCTCTTCGCCCGTCTCTTTCAACATGTCGAGGACCAGCTGGTCTTCGCTGTCCTTGCCGGCGAAGTCATCGGCCTTGATGCGCTTGCGACATGGCACACCTCGAGTGACGAGATACTGCTTTCCCGCCGGGAAGTAGGAGACGCGCTGAGCTGGCGAGGCGGCATCGGCCCAGCTCCAGCTTGGAAACTTGTGGACGAGAAAGTCGCCAGCCGCCTGGAACTCCTCTGGGGTGATCTGACCAGTGCTGCGGAAGTCGGAGTTGTGGTTGATTGGTGCGAAGCGATCGCGCAGCGGATCGATGAAGCTGTGGATGAGGTTCTGCATGGTTGCGACTAGAGAATGGACCTGTTAGTCGCTATCGTTGCTGCCGATCGGCGTCGAGTGGTCGACGAGGACGTAGCAGTCAAGTGGCAAGCTTGCTGCGCTCTTGAGAGATGGCAACACTGGCGTCTCTGGCACTCTCGCAACTGGTATGGTGCGAAGTGCAAGATCAGCAAGATTGTTGTTGTCGCTGTCAAAGCGACTCGGGCCAACGTGAATAGGCACGAGGCAACCTTGAACCGCGACTGGCGACATGACCCCGCGCTAAACCCAAACGGCGCGTGACTTCATCACCGGCGCGCCTCCGGCCCCCACGCGTTTCTGCCTCCTGGCCGACATTGCGTGCTCTGCAGCAACATTGTATGAATCCGTTGCGCCTCCGTTTCCATGCAGCATCATCTTTGTGCTGAGCAATACACTCCTGACATCGCGATGGACTGCACGAACTCGCGCACAGGCAGAAGCTGATCAGCCTGTGGATCTACCTCACCTGCCGCCAATGGAGAAGACGCCGTTGCGACGCTCAACCAGCAGAGCAAGTCTCAATTCATAGTAGCAAGACTGGACTTTCCGGGATAATTGCTTCTGTTTCAAAGCAGCTACGTGTGGTCGACGAAAATGGCTTCGATCCCAGTCCTAGATTTGTCCTGGGCGAACGACCCAGATCGGAAACCGAAATTACTGGATCAGCTTCGAGCAGCGCTTTTCGAAGTGGGTTTCCTATATATCGTCAACCACGGTGTAGACTCCAATATCATCGAAGCCCTCACAGATCGACTACCAAACTTGTTTGCGTTGCCAGATGAGCAAAAGGCCGCCTTGAGCAAACTCAATAGTCCACATTTCCTTGGCTACAGTGGCTTTGCAGAAGAAACCACTCTAGGGAAGCAGGGTTTGAGAGAACAATTCGATTTCGCCACCGAGCTGCCGGTTGTGTATCATGAATTTGGAAATACCGCAGTCACGGACGAAGCAACCGGTCAGCGCGACTTTCGGAAGCTCTACTGGCGATTGAGAGGCCCCAACCAGTGGCCACTGGAAAACTCTGTTCCTGGTTTCAGAACCGCCTTCACGAACTATCACGACGCAGTGCAAGAACTGTCCTACCGATTTGTGCATCTGGTCGAAGAGGCAGTCGGTATTCCTATTGGCACATTCGACCATTTCTTTGGACTCGCCAATTCGCAAAGTGCCTCAACTGAAGACGAATCACGACTGCGAAAGTTTTTGCCTCCTCAGCATCGCATCAAGTTATTACGCTATCCGCCCTCTCAGGATGATACTTCAGCAGGCCAAGGCGTAGGCGCTCACAAGGACTCATCTGGATGGCTCACCTTTCTCTATCAAGTGGGCGAGGAGGCCGGTTTGGAAGTCATGTCGGCCTCTGGTGACTGGCTGCCGGCATCTCCCATCCCTAATAGCTTCGTGGTCAACTTTGGAAATGCATTTGACGCTGCAACAGAGGGCGCAGTCAAAGCCACCATACATCGCGTGATCAGTCCTGGGCCCAACAGCGACGTGCGTTACTCGATACCGTTCTTCCAAGGACTACCACTTGATATGACTGTCTCCGAAGTGAGGAGCTATATCCCAGATGAGGTGAAGCGCCGCAGGAAAGAGTCTGGCACATGGCATGACGAAACCTCCAGCTTTCTCGACCCCAGATGGGACAGCCTTGGGGAAAGTCAGTTGCGCAAATGGATCCGGTCTCACAGAAACGTCGCGACAAAATGGTATGGAAAGGTAAGAATAACTGCATCGCTGGCGCCAGCAACGATGCTACTTGCTCGGCAAGGAATAATCTACTAAATACATGTGATTCTAGGAAGTCGTGGACTACTACGTAGCAGCCGAGTAGTCATGTTGGGTATCATATCCACCAATGTGGCTGGCCTTCGGGAACAGAAGGCGCGGTCGGTGAGTCGCGTTTGCGAGCTTGCTCCATGTGGCCCCACAAGGCGCCTTTAACGTTCTTCAGCACCTGGTTTTCGCGCTCGAGCTCTTCTCGTTCTTTCTCTAACCACTTGATGCGAAGGTCCTTGTCAGCAACGGCGTCCTCCTCAAGAGAAAGCCGTTCGGCCATGGCCCGAAGCTTGAACGTCAACTCCTTGTTCTTGGTCTGATCGCCGTTCTGCATGGAGTCGAGTTCAGCTTTCAGTGCACAAGTCTCGTCATGCTTCAGGCCGTTGGATACCCGGAGCAGCTGGGCTTCTCCTCGAACGAGCTGGAGTTCAGTCTTGGTTCTTGCCACTTCAGCCTCGGCGGCTTTGACACGGCTCTGCTCGCTCACGAGCAATTCAGCCTTGTATCGTAGTTGAAGCTCGACCGCTTTGAGCTGCTTTCGAAGACGATAGCATTCGACTTGCCAGTCAGTGACGACATCCCCGGAACCTTGGAAAGTAATGACCGAAGCGGCTTCTGATTGATGTTTGCGACGCATTGCATTGGGCACGCAAGAGAAGTCTGGTAGATTTGCGACATCCATTGCAGTCACCTGTGGTACAAAATCCAGAGCTTGAATTGCAATAGGCGAGACTGGCCTTATGTTTTCGTCCGCATCGGAGTAGAGGGAACTTGCTGAGCTCTCCAGCCCAGATCCAGAAGGCGAACAAGGGATCGGAGCACTGGATGATGGCGTACGGCTGTGCCCTCGCGAGAAGGCCGTCGATGGCAACTCGTGAATTTGTCGCAAACTTCGTTGCAATTCGTTCTGCTCCTCCGCCTCGTCGGTGGGAATAGCACAGAGCTCGGAATAATCTGTGAGCATGCTGTCGTGCTTGCTTGTCGTGGCACTGGTGAACTTTACTATTGATGACTTCGCAGAGTCCGGCCGGTATTCGGGTCGTGAACCAGGCCTGATCTCCGGTCGAGGTACTTCACAGATTGTCGTCCTTGTGACAACAGCTCTGGGATGTATCGGCTCTAGCGGTTCTTCGCGCTCAGATACCATGCTTAGCTTATGGGGATCGTGTTGGTGACGTTGTGGCAATGGATCCCATCGAATGTCGCGAACTCCGCCACCAACAGGCTGGGCGGCCATGGTCCGACGATTCAACGACTTGGTCTTCCTGCTGTCGGCTTTCTTGTTGCGAGTGTGGTTGTCGTCTTCCGAATCGAAACTCTTGCGATGGAGTAAGAGCCTGCTTAACCTGGACTTCGCCTTCTTCACAGTTGGAGTCGGCGATGGAGTACTGCTGTCGCCATGATCTCGTCTTGGCTGGCTAGCAGTAAGACCCAAAGATATTGGTCGCGGCATCCTGTCTACTTAAATGAACGACTGAATGGAATGATTGAATTGAATTGAAGATGCAAGAACGACGTTGAACAGGAAAGAATGAAGATCGAATATGCACGTATCCGGACGGCTTTTTCACTCTCAACAAGCTACGAACCGCGTCCGCAAAGGTCGACACCGCTTCTTTATCACGACAGAGCTGCTTTCTCGTGGCGTTCGACGCCAGAGATCTGCGCCCGTTTCACATACCGGATCCGACAGCGTGGTTGTTATAGGGTCCGCTATACCCTCCCGCGAGAAAGTATAAACCTCTCTGGCTCACAAAGTATCTCACACAGAACTTCTCCGACAGCTTGTTCTTGAGTTCAGAGCAGGAGATTGCAGAAGGGTGTCGCGGGCGAGAGTCATTCGTGTTCTGCTTTGGAACTTGGCAAGTTGAAGTCGGTGTGCTTAATCCTGCCGGATCTGCTGTGCCGTCGAACGTTCGGATACTCACGCTGAACCTTGTTTTTCTCTTTCGACGCGCTGTCTGCAAGTCATTGTACTGGCACCTTCTGCGCTATTCCGTCTTGGACTTCTTGAAGAAGACGTTGAAATGCAAAGTGTGTCTCATCACGATGTTTCTGTCACATCTTTGCAGAAAGATGTTCTTGGACACGTGAGAGTGGAGTTTCAAAGACGGTGACAAATGCTAGAACTATTATAGACCACCATGGTTAGGGCTTTGTTCGTATGTTCGGCAAGGAATTGATCTTTGCGTGAAGTCAGATGTATGTTCCGCAGCAGGTTTGGATGATTTGTATTGATGGCTCAGGGTAGAAGCTGGATCTCAGCCGTCTTTCCCAAGTCAGTAGTCAGCACATCTGTACCAATTGACAGCCGTCGCCGGCAAGTGCACGGCATGCCGCGTCAATTAGTTCTGTATGATGCCCGATTTGTTCAAGGCAGCACCGCTGAGAAGAAGCAGACGTTGCTGGTGGCGTGCTTAAGGCTCTCATCGCACAACGTAGCATGACGTTGGTGAGTGATTGTTTGCATACCAAGGACCCAAGACGGCAGGTATACGAGGCCACCGACAGTAAACACTCTCGGCTCGCTGTTCTTCGCCGGCTCTCAGCCGTGGCCTGAGAAAGTCAGTGCCCAATCTGGCCGGAAGACGCGTTCCTATCTGCTCTGAGTCGCGTGACAGCACCCAAGCACTTGCGTCGCGCGATCCGATTGAACCTGAGAACAAAAGGCACGCGGAGCTGAACGACTTTTGATCTCGTGAGAATACCTGACATCCTTTCATCCAGACGATACATTACATCCTGAACACACCAAACTTCGTCTCCTTCTTTTCCACAGAACCAGTCATAGCAGCCTGTAACCCCATACCCAGAACTCTTCGCGTATGGCTTGGAGGAATAACTCCATCGTCCCATAACCTCGCAGTGCCAAAGGTAACTTCACTCTCCCTCTCGATACGCGCTTTCAGCTCCGGATCGACCTTCTTCCCCACCGCTGCCATGACAGAACTCAATTGCTCGGCGCCCATGACACTGGTCTTCGCCGACGGCCAACTCCACAAGAATCGAGGAGAGTATGCTCGTCCACACATACCGTAGTTCCCTGCACCAGCTGATGAACCCACGAGGACTGTGAACTTGGGTACTTGAGCGCACGCGACTGCGGTGACGAGTTTTGCGCCGTTTTTGGCAATTCCGCCTTTCTCTGCATCTTGTCCGACCATGAAACCTGAGATGTTTTGTAGGAAGATCAGAGGGATGTTTCTTTGACTGCAGAGTTGGATGAAATGTGCGCCTTTGAGACTTGATTCGCTGAAGAGGATTCCGTTGTTGGCAATGATGCCTACTGGGTGTCCGTAGATGGAGGCAAAGCCTGTGAGGAGTGTTGTGCCATAAGAAGGCTTGAACTCGGAGAACTCGGATCCATCGACGATACGAGCGATTACTTCGTGCATGTTGATAGACTGCTTGAGATTCGTGCCTACGATACCGCCGAGTTCTTCAGGGTCGTACAAAGGCTCGGTCCAGTTCTCTTTTCGAGATGGGTTGCCGGTTTTGGGGTAGTTCAGGTTGGAGATGCTTCTTCGTACAAGAACGATTGCATGTGCATCGTCTTCGGCTAGGTAGTCTGTCACGCCAGACACCTCGGAGTGGAGCTTGCCACCTCCTAGGTCCTCAGCGCTAACTTCTTCACCTGTTGCGGCTTTAACGAGTGGTGGACCAGCCAGGAAGATAGTGCCTTGCTCTTTCACAATGATGCTCTCGTCAGACATGCTGGGCACGTAAGCACCACCAGCTGTACACGAACCCATGACCACACTGATCTGCGGTATTCCAAGGGAAGACATATTTGCTTGGTTGAAGAAGAAGCGGCCGAAGTGGTCTCGATCAGGGAAGACATCGGCTTGGTGTGGGAGATTGGCACCACCAGAGTCTACGAGGTACACGCATGGCAGGCGGTTTTGTTGTGCAATTTCTTGTGCTCGGAGGTGCTTCTTGATTGTGATGGGATAGTACGACCCTCCTTTGACTGTACTGTCGTTGGCGAGAATCATACACTGCACGCCCTCTATTGTTCCAATGCCTGTGACTATGCCTCCTGCTGGTACATCCTCGCCTGGATATAGCTCGTGCCCGGCCAATGCGCTCAGCTCAAGGAAGCTCGCCCCAGGATCGACGAGAGCAGTTATACGATCTCTGACCAGCAGCTTTCCTCTCTCGACGTGCTTTTGCCTGGACTTCTCTGGCCCTCCCTTCGAAGCCTTCTCGTGTAGAGCTGTCAGCTTGGACATGTACTCGCCCATCGCTGCGGCATTTTCTTGGAAGCCATTGCTGCTCGTATCAACGGCGGTCTGTACTATCGATAGCTGAGCCGCCTGGTGAGGGCTTGCGTATGTTGATGCTCGCTGTCGTTGCTGATTTACCAGGCATTGGGCGGGGCGGAGAGCGTGTCGGCGGGAGACGTGTTGCAGCGAGCGGGCGAGGGCTCGTGGGGGCATGAGGGCGGCCATGGCGGAGACGGACTCACATGCTGCGAGGATGGCAGCGGCTTTACGAGTTTCTTATACGACGGAGATTTTGTTCGTCGTCCAATCTCGCCCTGCACCCGGATCCGTTGTGCTGGGCAGAGCATCCGCGGCGAGCAAGCTGTGTCTTGAGCCGAGGGACGCGCATATCGCCGGCACAACAGCAGGGTTCATGAGATCAGATCGCTCTCCACACTTTCTCCAGATGAACTGCTGCTAATTGCGCGTCTTGTTTCACTTCTATTCCATCCTCACAAACGCCATTATGCCTCCTACAACAGCCCTCCGGACTGCAGTTCTGCAGTGTGCCCGTCCGGCAACGCGAACAGCCTCCAAGTCCCTCGTCGCCACCCAATGGCAACGGCATGCATCGACACGGAAACATCCCAAGGGATTTCAGCCACCCACGACCGCCGAGCTAGAAGAACTACGGGAACGAACAGTTGAGTTCGTCCGGCGAGAGATCCCTCAAGACCTGGCACAGGCAACAGATCACAATAATGAATTTCCCAACGAGCTCTGGAAGAAATTTGGCGAAGCTGGATTTCTCGGAATTACCGCAGACGAGGACTATGGCGGCCTGGCAATGGGCTACCAAGCTCACTGCATTGTGTTGGAAGAATTGAGCAGAGCGTCCGGCAGTATTGGTCTCTCTTATGCAGCACACTCGCAGCTGTGCGTCAACCAATTCCAACTGCATGCCAACGATGAGCAGAAAGCACAATGGCTTCCTGGCTTGCTATCAGGAGAGAAGATTGGAGCACTTGCCATGTCAGAGCACACAGCAGGCAGCGATGTCGTGAGCATGAAGATGACTGCAAAGAAGGTCGACGGCGGTTATCAACTGAACGGCAGCAAGATGTGGATCACAAATGGACCTGATGCACATGTGATTATCGTGTACGCAAAGACAGAACCTGATGCAGGGAGCAAGGGTATCACAGTCTTCTTGGTCGATACCACCACTCCAGGCTTCAGCGTGGCTAGAAAGTTGGATAAGCTCGGCATGAGAGGGTCAAATACGGGAGAGCTGCTGTTCGACAATGTCTTCGTGCCCGACTCAGCTGTGGTGGGACCTCTGAACAGAGGAGTCAAGGTGCTGATGGAGGGTCTCGATCTCGAACGGTTAGTGCTCTCTGCTGGTCCTCTCGGACTCATGAAAGCTGCATTGGACGTTACATTACCTTATGTCCATGAGCGGAAACAATTCGGCGAACCTCTTGCACACAATCAATTCATTCAAGGCAAATTGGCAGACATGTACACCAAGTACAGAGCAAGCGCGGCTTTCACATACTCTGTCGCTCGGGCGATTGATGAGAGTTTTGAGGATCCAGACATCAAGACCCAGGATTGTGCTGGCGCTATTCTTTACGCTGCGGAGAGAGCAACTGAATGCGGCATGGATGCGATACAGTGCTTGGGAGGAATGGGATATATGAACGAGATGGCTGCCGGGCGGATAATGCGTGATGCGAAGCTATACGAAATTGGTGCTGGCACGAGTGAAGTCAGGAGAATGGTACTTGGGAGAGCCTTCAATAAAGAGTATGGGACACGGTAGCTGACGCCGGAAATGACAAAAAGCTCACTTTTCGATGTGTTCAGTTGCAACTTCTGATAGCATTACGTCTCACACTGTGCTCTGCGGCCCGGTCGTGCCTTGTCGTCAAACCAGGCAGCAAAGCTCTTCGGCGAATTTCAGAGCGAGGCTGTCTCCAACGACTGCTGCGGTGAACCGCTGCGTTTCACACATGCGCCAAGCTCGCCAAACCACTCAATCTGGCAGACGCCTAAGCTCAGATCAAACGGCCTTCAACTTTCCTAACCTCTCGCACCCACCCACCTACCATGAAGAACAGAACTAGTCCGGAAGTGATCAGAGCCTTAGATGCTCGCGCCGAGAAGACCCAGGATGAACTCTTAGAGATCGAAGAAGAAATTGAGTGGCTTCTGGGCAGGCGCAGTCGGCTGCAACTCACCAACTATTTCGTGCAAAAGCAAATCGAAGAATGGCACTACAATCGCAAATTCGAGCCGTTCCTTCGGCTTCCTCTCGAGATTCGACAAATGGTCTACGACCACTATATCGCACAAGACACCTTTCTCAGCGCTTACGATGAGCCCATTGTATTTGTCTGCAAGCAAATGCGCGAAGAGTTCCTCGACTGGCTCGGCATCAATCGGCCTCTTCTCGTGCCTCTGAAGCTCAAATACAGCAGTTCCGGCTCGGCACCCACATTTTCCAAGCCCCATCACTTCCTGAGAACGGTATGGTCCGACATACCAGCGCAGATTGTTGATCGCGTACGGTGTCTCGATATCCGAATTGAAGCCGGGGGGGATGTATGTTGCAAATTGTACGTGGCGAGCGGGCAAGTCCGATTCATTGAATCATCAAACGGGTTGGGAATATTACAATTTCAAGGCATCGCGGAGACATTCCGAGAGAAACTGCAGCTCGTGGGTTCATTGATTGCCAAGGAAGGTTCGGGGCTGAGGAATATCCATCTGAAGTGGCTAGTTCGAGTTCTGACGCAGAAAGGGAGGAGCTTGGCAGACATGGAGCGGAAGCTCAGTCGTGAAGTACAAGCCAGATTGTCATTGCCGACCGGATTCAACCAGCTGCCCTTTTCTGACTGTGGCTCAGAGGACTGGTGCACATGAAGATCGGGGGGTCTGGTTACGCATTACATCACACCACCGAGATTGGGGGTTGCGCGGAAAGTGCTCTCGCAGCTGCTGTGTCACGAGACGCGCCGAGCTCCCGTTTCCACACTTCCCATTGCCAAGTCAGCCTCCGAAACTTGGATTTCCACAACTAATATGGGGTCGAAAACGAGCCTGGAAGTCATCCGAAACTTGAACCCCAGCACCGAGCAGACTCGTGATGAGATTGCCACGGTCGAAGCAGAGCTCATGCAGCTCGAAGCCAAGCAAGAACGATTGGAATACGAACGACGGCGGCTGGAAGACAAGCTATGGGACTTGGGCCACATCGGATTTCATCTATAGCGTCAGACTCGCGCTTGGAATTTTGACCGCAAACTCGAGCAATTCCTCCAAATGCCTCTGGAAATCCGCGAGATGATCTATAGCCACTATTCCCCCAGCACGGAGACCTTCGCGGAAGGCTGCAAGAATAGTCTTACGCTGGGATCTCAGCAAATCCGCGATGAGATTATCGACTGGCTCGGCCGTCATCGGCCTCTTGTCTTGCCTTTGCGAGTCAAATATCACGACCTAGGGAGAATCTCATTTCGCAAAGTCAAGCAAAGCAAATTGCTCAACATCCCAACGCAGATCCTTGGTCGCGTCCGGCTTCTGGACATCCGAATCGAGCCTAGAGAACTTGCAAGCTGCAGATTACACGTCATTAGCGGTGAAGTGAAGCTGATAGAGCCACCGGTGCGCGTCATAGTTGTGCGGAATTTTTACACGACATTTGGCTGTCGGGAAAAATTGGAACTTCTGGGCGCCGCGGTCATCAGAGAGGGCCTGGGTCTGCTGGTACCGCACCTGAAGTGGGTGATCAGCGCGTTTACGGAGAAGAAAGGCCAAAACATACAGGCACGATTGCATCGTGAGGTTGAAACCAGATTATCGTTGAGGTGGCTCGAGAGTTTGCCGTTTTCTGATTGTGACGCAAAGGAGTTCACGACAACGGAACCGGCTTGTCATTGGAATACGAGAGCCGAGACGATTGGGCTGACACTTTATCACGCCACTGAGGGTGGGGGCCCACAGGAAATGCAGCATTGCAGCCTCAGTGTGTATCACCATAAACGCCAAGCTCGCGGGACATAGGTAGACTGTGAAATCCTCGAGGACAAATCAACCTCCCGGAATCCCAAGTAGCCAAGCTTTCGAAGCCGAAGCCGTGGCCAGAAGGTGTTCCTGTCTCCAGTAATTCCATGTGTCCTCGGAGAACATTCTGTCTTCTGGTGATCGCCTCGGACACACGCGTGCGACATGAAAAACGCGGAAGTGATGCAGACTGGAGCAGTGGATAAGATTGCAACCACCGACGCAGAGATCGAGCAGCTCCGAGAACAACTACGACAGTTGGACGAACTCCGCGATCCACTCCTCTTGCGAATTGAGACGTGGAAACAAAATCGGCCCTTTCAGCAATTCCTCCGTCTTCCTCGCGATGTCCGCGAAATGATATACGACCGTTACAATTCAGACACGACATGCTACCACGAGGGTTACTTGCGGAATCTTGCTCAGATATGCAAGCAAGTGCGCGAGGAATATCTCGACTGGCTCGGCTGGAACAGACCCTTGGTCGTGGACAGATGGCTCTGCTATTTGTTTCGCCGTTACATCGGACGAGGCCAAACTGAAAGCGTGTGGCCCAACATGCCGGCTCAGATCATAAGTCGCGCACAGCTTGTCGATGTCAAGGCCAGACCTGAAGCAGCAGCAGACTGCAGACTAAATGTGGCGAGCGGTGAAGTGAGATTGATCCAACCTACGGGGCCGACGATTTGATTCAAGAACAGGGTTGGAGACAAGCCCCTGCCAAGTCGAGTGTATGTTTCGAGAGACTACGCCTTCTCGGTGAATTCATGGCTGAAAACGGTGGGGATCTGAAGAAAGAGCACATTGACTTAATTTTTGCCGCCTCGAGAATTGATACGGGTCCAACTGATCCCCAGGAATAGCTGCGCAGCGAATTGCAAGAAGGCGAGACAATAAGGACCTTGGAGATGTTGCCATTCTTTTCGGCCGACTTCGAGGATTGCTCTTCTACATCTGCTTCAGCGTCCGTTCTCTCTTCGTCTGACTCAGAGGATTGACGGCAGTGAGCAGTGACTACTGCTTGTTACCCACGAGGCTGGAACTGATCGAAATCACGCCACTGGAACTGAGGTCACACAGAGAGGGTCTTGCAGCATGGCAGCCTAAGTTCGTGCCACCACGACGCCTCAAGGCCCCCTCGCCAAACACGTTATAACAGGACTGACGAGCGTCCGAATTTGGACAAGCATTTTCAGCTCCCGCTTTCACCCAACATGGGAGACGAAACCAATCTGGATGTGATCAGGACCTTGAACACTCAACATGACAAGGTGCACGGCAAAATCTCAGCGATCGAATCAAAGATAGCGCAGCTGGAAGAGAAACGAAAGCAGCTGGAACTCACCCGAGATATGCTGCGAAAGAATATTCGGAAATGGCATCGTCGTCGACCTTTTGCGCCGTTCCTCCGACTGCCTCTCGAGATTCGGGAAATGATCTATGCCTGCTATGTTGAAATCGGCTTGTCTTTCCATGTAGCCTACAACATGAAGATGGCTTTGGTTTCCAAGCCAATACGAGAAGAATTTCTATCTTGGCTTGGCTGGAACCGGCCATTGTTCTGGGTTGATATTTGCCCAGTCATACAGAACGCGTACAGATGGCACGGGCAAAGTCGATATGCAGAGCAGAGAGGTTGGAGTAGGGTGCCGACACAGATGCTCAGACGCGTACGAATGATCGATATTGGAAATGGACCTCCCCAGGGCATCTCCACGTTGTTAGTGGCGAGCGGCGAGATGAGGTTGAATCGGCCACCGACCCCACCGGGCCGCCAAAAGGCCAAGGTTGAGATGCGTTGGGACGCATTCCAGCTTGTTGCTGCAATGATAGCCAAAGAAGGTACGGGTCTGAAGAGATCGCACTTGATGTGGATTTCTGCTGCGTCGAGGGGGGAGCAGAGTTTGGCAGATCTCGAGGCAGAGATGCAGTATGAGATAGACAATGGCCCGCGTGTCAGGACGGCTATGGACGGTCTCTTCGAAAGGCATGCACCGCGGCTATGTCTCTGACCCGCCATTACATCACGCCACCGAGATGTCGGGAACACAGACAGCGCTGCAGCCTAAGTTCGTGTTACCATACGCGCCAGGCTCCCTCGACCAAGTATCTTATAATAAGACTGTGATCCGCCTTCAATCTTTCGTCGCACACGTACGCACAACATGGCGGACAGGTCCAGTTTGGAACTGGTCCGAGACTGGCAGGCAGAACGCGATACAATCGACGATGAGCTGGTAGTCGTCAATGCACAAGCCACAACCATACTACAGAAGCAAAAGCAACTTGAAAGACGTCAAAGTCGACTACGATGTACTATCGAATACTGGAATACCACGCGACCCTTCAAGCACTTCCTCCGGCTCCTTGTCGAAATTCGGGAAATGATCTACAATCGCTACATCGAACGCATACATTCCCACGGCAAGTACATCTCTGTCGACCGGAACGTCTTCTTCCCGGACGAGTACGCCAAGAGCATCGCCCTAGTCTCCAAGCAAGTGCGCGAAGAATATCTCAACTGGCTTGGCTTGAATCGACCGCTGGACTTGATGATGTTACTTCGAGTCATTCTTCGCCGCCAGTTCACTCGAAGCAAGAGAGCAGCTTGGGACAGGCTGCCAGCACAGATGATTGATCGAGTGCGGATTGTTGACATACAAGCTGGAACTAGATGTTATGTGAAATACAGGTTACAAGTGGCCAGGGCCGAATTGACGATGCTTGAGGACCACAGAAGGCCCGGGAAAATTGACCCCTCCGACGTTCATTGGGGAAGAGTGCGGCTTGTCGCTGAGATCATCATCGGCGAAGGTGGAAAGCTGAAGAAAAAGCATTTGGAGTTATTGATTGATGCCTTGAAAGATAATGACGATATAATTGATTCGCAAGCATGGTTGAACCAGGCACTGGAAAGAGGTGAAGCGGCGAAGAAGTTGAGAACAGGCAAAGGAAGGAAGAAATTGCCTGATTCTTTCCCAGGCTCGGATGCCTGGTGGCTCGAGAAATGGGGCAGGTAGTGACGATTTGGTATTTGGAGCGACGAGTGGAGCAAAGCCCAAGAGCAGTGCGTGTTGGGGGCAAGTTTTCTGTTGCGACGAAGTTGGTCAGTGGCCGAAATAGTCGCACAACGCACAATCAGCGTTCCAGAATCGTAGAATTCAGAATGTAAAACTTCAGCAGCATCAGTATCAGCTACCATCTCCTCTCTCCATCTCCCCCAGATCGATAACCGGCAGATCACTCAATCTTTGCCATCCCATATGGCCTTGGGACGAGGCAATGATGTGTGATTAGGTTTTCCCGACGTCGTCAGCGCACGGGATCCTACGTGTTTGAGGGGAATGGGCAGTGGTACTTGTTTTGAATTCCGTGTCTTATGCTTACAGCCCGATACGCCAGCGATACGTGGTGCAAATTTGCGCACACATTGTGCGTTCGATATCTCGGCCCTGGCCAAGCCTCGCGGGCATACGTGGCGACGAACTGTCAATCAGCATGTAGCCATGCCTCCTCATCCATATCTTGATACCCAGGCCTCTAATCACCGTCTGACCAATCGGTTCTCACTCGAAACCTTAGGCAAGTCCTCCCACATGAGCTTGCCCTTGGTGACAGCCTTGTCCGTCGCCGTCGAGATTCCAGTCTTGTTAAGCTTGGTCACGAAACGCCGACCGTCCACCTTCTGCGCAGGTAGTGCGAAGCGAGGACCGGCCCAGTGATACGACGGGTCAACCATGAGCGGCGGGTTCTTCTGCTGCTTGCGTGGCTGGCGGCATCCACGGGTGATAACTGGATCGGGCTGGAAGGTACGACGACTGATCGGCTTGGACGTGTTGTAGTTTCCATCAACTTCATCGTCGTCAGTTACCTTGACACCGAAGGCGCTCTTGGAGTGTTGACGCTGCGACTGTTTTGCAGATTCATTGCCGTAGACGACACCTTCCACAACCTCTTCTAGGTCATCGAGCAGATCTTCGACCTTGGCATGTGATCGTTCCTGGTCACGGTCGATGGCATCCAATGTGCTATCGGTGTCGGTCGAGCTCTCAGCATCACGTTCATAGCCAGTGTCTTCAGAAGACTCGATATCGCCGTCCCAAAATGTCAAGCCTGTGCGCGTGACCGTTGCTGATGATGCCGATGGCAGACTGCGAACCAGGTCCGGGACACTGTCAAGAGAAGAGTCCAAATCCTCCTTCCAAGCTTCGCGTGCGCGGAGCAGGTTGCCCACGCTGTCACCACCGAGCTGTGAGACAATGGCACGAAGGTCAACTTTCTGGAGACTTGCTTCCGGCAGCCAATGCATGTCACCAATGAGCACATCTGGGACGTGAGAGGAGTCCACTTGACTGGCGACAAAGGCGAAGATCTCGGCGCCTCTGATCGGCGAGACTGTGCCAACAGTGCAAAGGACCGTCATATTTTCGACCTCAATAGGGCCGAGCATGGAGGTAATTGCATCTTCTGTGAGAGACTTCAGAGATATGTCTGCATCCTCATCAGCAGCAAACGGCTGAAGGTCGACGTAGTGGGTCGGAAAATGGGTGACGGCCAGAGATGGGGAAGCAGTCAGGTCGAAATCATTCTGTACAAGGATTTCGTTGTCTTCGTTGTGTACGAGAATCGCGATTGTGACTATGCCCGAAGTGAAGGCGGGGTCTCCTTTCGCCGCCGCGATGTTCTGGGCGATTTGATGTGGTGTACTTGCGACGGTAGCGACGGTGTCTTGTGGAGCCATAACAGGCGTCTTGGTCTTTTGTATCTTTTGATACTGAGTCGGTGCCGATGGAGGGTAGAAGTCAGACAGCAGGCAGCAAGTCTTCAAAAGTGAAGGCGAGATGCCCGTGTTTGGCAAGAACGCGCGCCGTTTGCTCCAATGCATCGCGCACGCATCCACCAGCCATGTTACACAACACCACCTCACTGCAAGCACCCGGCCCTCTTGCACATGGTGGATCACGTCGAGTATGTCTCACCGCCGGCAGATAACTGCAGGTGCGAGATCTTCCTCAATGGAGCAAACAACACGACTGAGACATGCTGCCTGCGGTGGGAAGATATAACATGGCAAACGTCTGCCGCGGTGACTGTGCAGGTGCCGCAACGCTCGAACCTTGACCCTGCATCTTCGCGAGAATGAAGTTTCGAGCTCTGTTGGCGCGCTCCTTTCCGCGTACATCGACGAAGCTAAAAGCTCCGAGAGGTGTGCGCAATAGCGACACAAGCCAAACCTCAACCTCTGACGGCACATATTCGTACTACACCATTGGAACGGGCAGTGAGACTGATGAGTTACCAGACAGCCTCCAGCGACCACTCCATTACCAAAGCGACACTGCCGCGCCCACGATGCTCAACACCACAGCAGCAAGGAGAGCATCGGCTCCGTTCGGCAGCCACGAAACCCCAGCTCAAGAGATTGCGCGCCTAAGAGCCATCAACTTCGACCTCGCCCAACAATTGGAGAAGGCAGAGCAAGACCTCGAACGCAGAAACGCGTCCATGGCAGAGATGGAGGTGGATCTAGTGCGACTGTTCGAGAAATCCAAGAAACAAGAGGCCAAGCAAGAAAAGTTGGAAGCTGAGAACGAGAGGCTCCAAGAAGAAGTGGGAGCTGAGAACGAGCGGCTTCGCGCCCAGGTCAAGCGACTCAGTACCAGCAAATGGACGCCATGGCGCGGCCTGAAGAAGCGTCTGGTGGAAGCCGCAGAGACTCTCAAAGTCGCCGAGAATCAGATTGCTGGGATGAAATACATCATCAAAGATCTGACTAGGGAGCGCAACGACCTTCGCAACAATCTCGACAAGGCGGTGTCAGAACTGCATGATTTGCAGATGAGGAGTGTTGGTAGGCGTGGAAGTCGGACGGATAGTGGGATGCACCGCCACTCATCGGTTCATTCCAGCTTTGGAGGTGGATTCATCTAGAAGGATTGTGTTTGGGTGTGCATGGCGTTGCATGGTTGACACAGCGACCGAGAACTTGACAGCCTGTGGACAGTGGATATGGTACCGCGTTGGCTTGGTGTGGCTGATACAGCGACCGAGAAGTTGACAGCCTGTAATCAATGGATATGGTGCGGCATTTGGCCTCCTCCTCATTGCATCCCTTCCTCTCTCTTCTTTGCAGCCTCTCTCCTCCGAACCAGGATCTCACAATCTCTGAGTCTTTCTTCCCAGTCTGTCCATTTTTCACCCATATCCAGCACTCCGACCTTGTACCAATTCTCCAGCAATCTTGTGCTCCTCAATCTCAGCTCCGCGAAATCCCTTGCCTGCTCAATCTGCTTCGCTTCAATCCTCTCAAGACGCGGCTCCAGCCCAATCGACTTGACCAATGGTGCCGATTCTGGAATCGTGCTATTGTCCTGCAACGTCTGCAACTGAGCCGAAGTCGTCTTGTACAGTGACTCGTGGGCAAGAATCAATTGTGCCAACGCGGCGGGATGAAGTGTACTCGGTACAGCTTTCTCGTCTGCTGGACGGAACAGCTCAGGATACTGCTTGTGGATCTGTAGAACATCTGCAACGGCATGAGATTTTGTGGAGAGCGCCTTCAACGTCCGCTCGAGGTGTCGTAGACGCGCCGCGGCTGATGCTGTCGGCTTTGGCTGCTCATCGTGCGTCTGTGGGCTGTCGCCGTTTATCGCATAGTCGATGCACTGCAGTCGCTGCTCCAGCATGGACAGCGTGTCCGACACCGTCTCGCTTGTCGCAGCCATCGTGTGCTGTCAGCTGTTTACATGTTTCTGCTGCAGTGTGGAGCAGGTGCTCGCAGCGAGGCACGCGACTGAGGTGCTGAGATCCTTGGCGTCCAATGTCATCTGGCAACGCGCCAGTACGCCACGTTCCCAAACACATAATAATCTGTAATTGACGATACTCAATATCAATGTGCTTCCCGTGTACGTTCTCCCAATGTTCCTATACTCCATACCTTCTTGATAGTCTCTCCAGAGAACACGTGTTTCGACATCATCGTCTCCAAATCTAGACCAGCGTCTCACTCAAGCCATCTAGACCTACACTGCCTCCACAACGAGTCAACAGCTCCGAAGCAAGTTCAAACAAAAAGCTAGAATACTCTCATCATCTTCCGTCACCGTTGATGACCACGATCTGTACGAAGAGAAGCTCCAAAGAAATGAAACCTTCAACGCGTTCACGATCATCAAGGCGTTCATATCGCAGCACTACGTCTCACATCTAATGGTATGAAGCTGAAGCCGCTGCCTTCCCCAGCAGCATCAATACTGTATTCGTATACAAGACCCTTGTGCTGTCGACCATGCTTCTCTAATATTTGTATCTGAACAACGGCGACTTATCACCAAGTCTCGCAAGCTGCTCCTCGTTGTACTGCCGTCGCACATCTTCCTCGTCGAGCTTGTCTCTCGACTTGTTGATTCGCCAGTACGAGAGCTCGAGAACAACGACGCAGAAGAGGGTCGCAACGGCAAAGCCGAGACCGATGCCAAAGCCGGTTGGGTAGCCTGGCTTTTCGCTGTCGAGGAAGATGTACTAGAACTATTGTTAGTGTGATTGCTTCTGCTATGGGATCCATCCGACTTACCGAGCCTGCAATTCCACCAGTGTTGCCAAGACAGATGTTGAGTGCGATTCCCATAGCCCGTTTCGTATCGCCTGCCAGGTTGGAGGAGATCCATGCGGAACCTGCTGGGTTTGTGGGATATTGTCCGATGCAAATAAGCATGACAGCCAAGTAGCAAGGACCGATTTGGTTCACAATGTTCGGCGCGAGAGGAAGCAGAATGCAGAAGCCAACCAGAGCGACGGCCATTTGACCGAAGATGAAGATCGCTCTCCATTGGTAATGATCGGAAGCCTTCGATAGGACGATCGCAGAAATAGCGCCGGCGACGTATGGCGGAATGGTCATCAGTTGGGCATTTGCCGACGTGTAGCCCATCGACTTGGTAATGCTGGGCATCGTGAATTTGAGACCGTAGGCCAACATCGATGCGGTGAAGAGGATGAAGGCCTGCATATAAACCTTGTAGTCGAGAAGTAGGTCGCGGAGGTAGGTCCACTTGAACTTGTCGTCGTTCTCCATCGCAAATCGACCTCCTTCTTTGATGACTGTCTGAATTTCCAGGTATCGTTGCTCTTCCTGATTGAGCCACCGACCGGAGAGGGCTGGTGTATCTGGCATAATGAAGAAGCAAGCAACACCGATCAGGACTGTAGCAATGCCTTCGAGTATGAAAATCCATGCCCAGCCGGGCTTGCCTCCCACACCGTCCATTCTCGCGATGGCAAATGCAAGAAGGCCAGAGAAGGCACCGGAAAGTGCACTCGCGCAGTAGAAAAGGGCAAGTCGGGTTTGTACTTGACGTTGCGCGTACCATCTTGTGATCAGATAGACGGCACCAGCTAGAACTAGAATCAGTGGTGCACAACCATGCAAGAGGCAGCGCAATTACGTACGGAAGAATCCAGCCTCTGCAATACCAAGGAATACTCGGACAACCATAAGACCAGCGAAGTTCGTGATTAATCCGGTGAAGGTCATAACGATACCCCATGCGAGCACCAGGATCCCAATGTATGTCGATGGTCTCTTGAACTTCTTCAGAATGATATTTGACGGTACCTCAAGCAAGATGTACGGTACAAAGAAGATAGAGAGAGCGATGTTGTACTGAATGCCGGTGAGGTTGAGATCGTCGGTCATCCCCCTGTTCAGAAAGTCAGATTTGAGGCGCAGACACGATGTCTCTGGAAGCTCTGCTCACTCAATCTCTGTGCAAAAGTCAGTTCAGTGCCGTTGAATGCGACATCTCAGCAGAGAAAGGGGAGACGAACTCGCGTTGCCAATGTTTGCCCTGTCGATATGTGCGGCCAAGTACAGCAGTGCGAGCACCGGCACCAGTCGGATGTCGATCTTCCGAATCATACTCTTCTTTTTATCCTCGGGGAAGTTCTCGTAGAAGTCTGCATCCTCTGCAGATAGGCCGATGTTGGCATACTTGTTGACATTGTATTGCTCGATGATCTCGACCTTCTCGAGGTCCTTCTCATTGCTGGCCAGCGAGGCCTCGTCGTGTTCGCGACCCATTATGTTGACTGGGTTTGGCAAGATCCTGAGACCCTCAGGAGCAAGTCTCAGCACTGTGCTCATGCCATACTCATATAGTATCCGCCAAGGACCACGTGCAGAAACGTGCTGCCAATCTGACCCCAGAAGAGACGAACTTGCGGAGACCGGGGCGGGGAACCATGCCAACTTGATATGTGTGGATCGCGGAGAAGCATTGTGGAGGTTGGCGGGTGTAGCCAAAGCACTCGCGTGAACATGTGCCAAGTTGGCCAAGTGGTAGGTGTCTGCGGAAAAGGAGGGCGGAAAAGTAGGTTCCTTGCGGAAATCGTGGCTCCATGGAAGTCAACCACTGAGAAGAACCTGTCTCGCGGAAAAGGTCCTTGCGTTATCCGCACATTAGTCAAGTCGCTCAAGCGGCAATCAGGTCGGTCGAGCAGTGTGATTCTTGCTTGGAGCACAAGCTGCACCTATCTTACTATGCGACTTCGTTGCTTTTCCACCGGCCCGATGCTTTCACGAACGTTGGATTTCGATGCCGGTCAGCTCTCCCTTGACACATATAAGCCCGAGGCTTTGGTCTTGCCAAGGTATGTCTTGTCTCCACGACACTTGAGCTGCGAGACCAATGCAGTGCCGGGCATAGAGCCCCGGAATCTCGCCAGCTCCACGAACCAAGTCTCTACGATGCAGCCCATGGGGTGACATTTGCGCACAGAAACCTGCAGCACGTGGTCGGAGCAAGAACTATTTCTTTCCTTGATCTTGATCGCGAGGACACGCCAAGTCACACAAGCAGCACGTTGTAAGTAGTCAATCAAGTGTCCAATCTGCAGCCTGGGCCACTCCAAAATTGCAGCCAGTATATCATGGTCCTTCTGTGCTTGAGGACCTCAAGTCAGATTGGCGATCCAGATCCTGAACGTTCAGCCTGCCGAGGTGGCGAACGTGTCTCGTCGATCTCGTGTCAGTTGTCTTCCGCGAGCTTGCGTCTCACTGTTACTGCTCCTTCAATGATGTGTCGTTGAGCGCTCAGGATACGGGATGTTCTCCACGTTGACGCACTTCGTGGCCGCGGAAATAGACCTCCTGCGTCTGTCGCCCACTTGGAAGAGCTACCGACACGAGGCTCCGGGCAGTGGATGCCACTACTTGTGAATCGAACGCATGACCGACAGCGTCGGTGGTCGTGACATGTTGTCCTGATGGATCCGACTTCGAGAAGAAGAAGACAGACGTGAAGTACAACGGCAGCTAGCGCTCATTTTGGCGATGCTTCTGAGTTTCGAATCGCTGATGAGGCATTATGGGTCCAGATGCCCTGGATGAGACGCTCAGAATGGAGGCCGAGACAACGGGATTATGGCATCTGTTTCTGAAGTTTGGGTTGTCCTTGGAGCAAGTAGCAGTAGAAAACGTATGAACTGTCAATTACGCGCATTACACCAGGATGGCTTTCGGCCCCCGTCCCCTTGGCATCCGCCGATGTCATCTGGCAACGCTGCGATGGCGTTTTCCCAACATCATCTTCACTGCCACCGCCCGCTCCGACAAATACCCAAACCCCCAAATCGTGGTCGCGCAAGACAGTCGCCCTGTCGTGAAGAGCGCTCGTGTCGCTCTGCCTACCGAACGTCCCATGCGGTAGTCCTTGAATTTCCCGACGGGCGTCCGAACCTAGCAGAAGAAGAAAAGGACTCGGGTTCGCGCAACGGCGTCCTCACGGCAACAGGCCCACCCGACCTCGACAATGGCCTCCTACGCTGCGATCACGAGTTCGCCTGACGAGCATGGCGGCTCAAGACCGCATAGCACCTCCTCGCGAAGTGGCAGGAGCTCACGACACTCGAAACTGAACAGCGGCGGTGGTTCGGCATCATGGCTCTCTTCGGTCATAAACCTCGTCAACACAATCGTGGGAGCAGGAGTGCTTGCCATGCCTCATGCGCTCTCGAATATGGGCATCACGCTGGGTGTGATTGTCATCTGCTGGGCTGGTCTCACAAGCGGGTTCGGGCTATATCTACAGACAAGATGTGCGCGGTATCTGGATAGAGGCGGGAGCTCATTCTTTGCGCTCAGCCAAATCACGTATCCTGGAGCAGCAGTCGTTTTCGATGCGGCCATCATGCTGAAGTGCTTTGGCGTGGGCGTGTCCTATCTCATTATTATTGGGGATCTCATGCCCGGCGTTATCAGAGGGTTTGTGGGCAATGTGAATGACCAGTTGTATCTGGTTGACAGACAGTTTTGGGTGACGGCGTTTATGTGAGTAGTGCGAGAACCAAGGGGCGGTCATCCAGAAGCTAACACGGAAGGCAGGTTGGTTGTGATTCCACTTTCATTTCTGCGCAAGTTGGACAGCTTGAAGTATACGTCCATGGTCGCGCTCGTTTCCATATCTTACTTGGTCGTACTTGTGGTCTACCATTTCATTGCGAACGATGCTGGCCATGAGAAGGGGGCTGTACACTGGGTCAGATGGCAAGGATTGGGATCCACCCTTTCCAGCTTTCCGGTCATTGTATTTGCGTATACATGCCATCAGAATGTGAGCAACGTCACTCATCTTGGGATGATGAGGCTGCATGCTAATGGTCACAGATGTTCTCAATCCTGAACGAGATTGCAGACAACAGCCCGAAACGGACCACTGCTGTCGTCACCGCGAGTATAGGAACCGCAGCCAGCACCTATATTCTGGTTGCCGTTACTGGATACCTCACATTCGGAGACAATGTCCTTGGGAACATTGTGGCGCAATACGTGCCGAACGTGGCGTCTACCGTCGGTCGAGCTGCCATAGTGATTCTGGTCATGTTCAGCTATCCTCTGCAGGTACATCCCTGCCGAGCCTCGCTCGATGCAGTGCTGAAGTGGCGCCCCGTCAACAGGCAGACTCAGGAATTCACTCCCGCGCCATCATCTAGAGGATCGCCTTCGAGGAACTCCCTCCTGACTGGCAAGGTACCTGTTGGACGACCGACACCGACAGAAATGAGCGAGGTGCGCTTTGCCATTCTGACGACATGCATTATCATCATGTCATACATCGTGGCCATGACTGTGAGCAGCTTGGACAAGGTACTCGCGTATGTCGGATCAACAGGAAGCACGGCCATCTCTTTTATCCTGCCTGGACTGTTCTACTACAAAATTAGTGCGCCAGATTCGCCGCACCACCAACGACTTCTCAAAGACGAAGAAGATGAGGAATATGACCGCACTGCCTCTGTCGAGGAGGGCGGCTCCAGCAACGGCCGACAAGCAAAGGGTGAGCTGCTGCGAAAGTGCAGCTTAGCACTCGCAATTTATGGCTTCTCCGTGATGATTGTGTGTCTCATCACAAATAGTATCAACATCGCACATGGGCGATAATATGTATTTCAGACGGCGTTCATGGCGGCATTGCATTGCGTTGTGTTTCGATAGAGTGGGAGGAGAAGATCATTGCTGGCCTGACGGTCACTGCCATCAGAGAGGTACTCAAATACCCAGTATCATCAGTCCCGATACCATCACCATGCTTCTTGTGTTCGCAGGTCCTGATAACAATTGACGCGAGTCGCGCTCCAAAAGATGATCGCGAAAAGGCAAAGCCTTGAAACAGTATGGGTTCTCGGCTCTGATACCGAAGGCTGCCGAGGCGCGGACCAATCCGGGCAAGATGCGCGCTTGCCGGGATTCGTCTGGGGAAATCATGACGACGGTTCGTCGCGCGTCTCGCTCGCATCATCATAAAGAGCTCATGCTCGCCCAGCCCGCCCGCTCGAACCTCACGTCGGTCGTGCGAACCATGTCCTTGCCCAGCCAAGCTACAATTTCTCCTCACTCTACGTACCACTTTCCCCTCACTCTCGAAGGGAGCACAAACCATTGATACCGTCTCGACGCGAACGAAACCTCCCGGAAGACCTGGGGCAGTCGTAGCTGCGACCAGGATACGCGGCAAGCGAGCGAATCGAAGTAAGTCAACGTCCATTCTGGGTTCTTACAAGGCTTCCGAAATGTGGGGAAATGGAAGTCGATGCTGGGAGGATGCAAGATGAATGAGCATGGGTTGAGGCAGCGAACGACGAGAGGAAGACGCGGAGAGGGGCGTTGGTCGGGATGCTAGTCGATGCTGACACCTTCCTGGGAGATGAGACACTAGTCTTCTTACTACCACGACGAACTACATTCTTCGTCAAGGAGAAATCGTGAGAAGCCGTGTCGATTGCCTTCGTGACATCTTGAGTGAGAAGAAGAACTAGCAAGAAGCTGTATATCTATCAAAAGAGCCTTTAAAAGCTTTTGACGTAGACTACTACGCGCTGCTCCTCATCATCATCTCTCAAGATGTCAAGCAAGGCCGCCGGCTTCTTCGAATACAACTCCCAACTTGTGAGCTCGTTTTATGAACAAATCGTCAGCCTTAACGGCGCTAAGTTTACCCCCGAGGACGCTTTCACCCTCTATCATCTCGTCACCGAAGAGCAATATGGCTCACGAACCGGAGCTGCTGTCGGCCCAATCCTTCCAGCTTTGGGCCATGCCTTAGCTGGAGGACTTGCGAGTGCAGTGGCGAAGGCGACTGTCTACCCGATCGATACGATTGTCACGCGAATGCAAGTGCAGAAGCAGCTGAAAGGCGACAAGGAGGCACCGAGTGCCGCTAGCAACGCCGACGCCGAGTACAAGGACCCTATCGATGCGGCGAAGAAGATTTACAAAAGTGAGGGAGGACTGAAGGGATTCTATGCTGGGCTGAACTCGGATGTGGTGAAGGGAATTGCAGATTCATTCTTGTTCTTCTTGGCGTATAATGCCGTGAGGGATCAGATGCTGAAGAAGCAGGGCGGAAAGCAAATGTCCATCTTGAAGGAATTGAGCGTGGGAATTTTGGCTGGCGGGATCTCCAAGGCCGTGACACAGCCAATTTCCAACATCGTGGTCAGGCAACAGACGGCCGCTCTCGTGGCTGCAAGAGATCCAACTTCATCGACAACACCCGCTCAGAGCGACAGGTTGAGCGTGAAAGATGTCGCTCTACAGATTCGCAACGAAAAAGGCATTGCGGGATTCTGGGCTGGCTACAGCGCGCAGCTCATTCTGACGCTTAATCCTGCAATCACATTCGCAGTCGATAATCTCCTCAAAGGACTCGTGCCAAAGGACAGACGCGACAACGCCAGTGCGACCTTCCTCGTGGCAGCACTTTCCAAAGTGATCGCCACCACAATCACATACCCTGTGATGCTCGCCAAATCGCGTGCCCAAGCCGCAGGCAGTTCCCCCGAGGAAGGCGACCCAAGCGAACATTACGTCTCAGTCAACGACTCCGCAGACCGCAAAACCCAAGTCAAACAAGCCATCAAACGCGTGGCGCAACTCCTCGAAGGCCAGACGCGAATCTTTGTCGCGTTGAAGAAAATCTATCGCGATGAAGGCGCGAAGGGAATGTATTCTGGTCTAGAGGGCGAAGTCGTCAAAGGTTTCCTTCAGCATGGTATTACCATGGCAGCTAAGGATGGCGTGCACGTTGGTGTTGTGCAGTTGTACTACGTTGTGTTGAAGTTGACGAAGAGGTGGGATGCTGAGTTGGCAAAGGCCCAAGAGCAGGCGGCGGAGCTTGCGAAGGATGCTGCGCACAAGGTCGAGGATGTTGCTCTGTCTGCTGCTGAGGCTGCTAAGAAGGCCGTTGGACAGTAGAGAATTGGTTCTGCTGGGAGACACCTATAAGCAAAAATGAACGACTATTTCTTCAATGTTTGCTGCAAAATTGGCGAGGGATGTTACACCTTTGTAGTTTTGATTTCGGCACGTACGACGAGATATGAGAATTTTGCCAATCTGCTGCTCTCAATGCCATTCACGCAGGTTTCATCCCATCCTATTTTTCATATCTTCACTTACAAACTATCGACCACCCATCACCAACCCTTCCCTAGCTGTAGACAGGAAAATAAAAATTGAGAAAACTTCACATCGCATTCTCTCGCCCACGGCCTTGGTTCCACGCATACCTCGCTTTTCAAGACACAGTGCCTCAGCTACACCGCGTGAGGCAGAGAGATGCAAGTGTATAAAGAGCACTCAAATGCTCCAAGCAGAGTGCCCAGTATTGGCCTTGACTTCTGTTCTCTGCTTTCAAGTGAGAGCCGAGCCCTCCCTCAAATCCCCGAATCCGTCTGCAAAGGCAACACGTCCGGATGCAAATGCATACAAGGATCACTCGAATCATCAGGACTCCATTTATCCCAAGCTTTGCACATATCAAAGAAAGGCTCATCCCAGCCAGGCATAAAAGTCTTTGGCCAAAGTTTCACATTCTCCAGAATCTGCGCCGCTAATCCCATTGAAGCATGAAACGCGATATGACAATGCATAATCCACGCTCCAGGATTATCCGCTTTGAATGCGATGATCAGATACCCGCCATCGGGAAGAAAAGCTACATCTCGACGAGGTGGGTTGTGGAGTGTGAGGTTTGCTTGTGCGATGTCGCATTCTTGGGATTCGTCGGGGACGCATTGGTCGAGGACCGCGAAGTCGTGGCCGTGGAGGTGGATGGGGTGCTGGCCGGGGAAGTAGGCTGCGCTGGGTTTTTTGGGGATGGGATGGGGTTTTGAGGGGTTCTTTGGTTTTGCTGCACCGGAGATGATGTTGAGTTGGAACCAGTCGTCTTCGTCGGCGTCGCCGGAGTCGATGACTGTAAGCCAGGGCTTCTTGGTGAAGTCTTGGGTTGGGTTGAGGAGGGGTGGGTCGCTGAAGTTTAGCCACATTGGGTGGCTTTGGACGAGATAGAAGTGGGAGGTGTTCTTTTTGCAGGGGTAATATGGGGTCCCGTTGGTTTTCATGAAGTCGAGGTGGAAGTCGGGTAGTACTGGTGAGTGGTTAGAATGGTGCATTAAAGTATGGTATGATCATTGTCTCACCTTGCCGAGTTTCACTGACATTCCACTTGACAATTGGTGACAATGTCTGGACATCCGGATAGTACGTCTCGTCAATGCAGTCAAGTGTTATGTTTTCCTGTCGACTAGTGGTCGGGAAGTCTGTGTTTGAAGAATAGCGCAGAATACCAGTGCGACCATCAGGCTGTCGAAAGCTGAGGTCCTTGGGTTTGCAGCCCTTGTCCAGTGGTCCTGGATTGAAAGCAGTGCAGTTTGTGGCTGGCGATGTGCGGATCCAGAAGTTGACGTCTTCGGAGGGAATAGTGGGTTCTCCTGCTACTATGATGTTGTATCGCTGGCCTGATGAAGGTCTCTGTCAGCGCGATTTCTGCAGATTAGACCTGGTCGATACCCACCAATGCCAACCACAATCTTGTTCGTATAGTACGGCGTGATGGAGACAAAGTCTGTTGAGATGACCCAGAAGGAATGGTTGTCGATGGAGAACACAAATGTCGTGTCAGCCGCGCCATTGATGATACGCATGAGGTACCGGACTCCCTGTCTGCAGGTCAGCTCTATCTCTTGCAGAGGGACTCAATATGCGACCTACTCTCTGGAATACTACTTCATTGAACTTCGTTCCTTCTGGAACAGGCTTGGATGCATCGAGAAGAGGCCATTGACCTTCAACCGGTTAGCCATAGACTCCTATGTTAAGAACGCGCAGAGGACTTGCCAACGCCATTCTGCAGCATGTTGTCGATATAGATACGACCACACTTCGTCACCATAGACCATTCCCACTTCTCGAAGACGCTATATGATCGGTTAGTGACGCCCAGTACTGCAGAAAGTGGGGTTTCATACGGCATGTGCAGCCAATCACTCAGAATGATGGGAGCTACTTGATGGTCGAAGCTTTTAGACATCGGCCCATAGACAGTGAACGCTCCCAGCAATCCTGCTGCGTACTGTGGTCCTCTGTAAGCTTTGTCTATTAGGGAATGATAGTCACACTCACCTGAAGGGAGTAGTGGCTATGGTACCACGAAGTGCCATACTATTTATGCCGTCAGCATAGATACCTGGAGATGGACTGAAGCAAAACCGCTAGTTACCTGAGTTGTATTGAAAACATAGGTGAACGTCTCTCCTGGCGCAATGGGACATTGAGTCACAGCATTGACTCCGTCCATCTGGCCAGTCTTCCACTGTCGAAAACCGTGCCAGTGAACTGTAGTCCCGTTGCCTGGCTCAGAAGCAGTCTTCGCCAAAGTATTGTTGATTGTGATTCTAATCTCATCGCCCCAGCAAGCTTGCAGACGCGGTCCAGGGAAACTGCCATTGAAGAGCTGGACATATACGTCTCCGGCGCCATCGGGATTGCGGGTGGACTCCGAAAGCTCCAGGTAATACTCTCTCACGACTCCTGTGGGACCATCAATCTCGTAGTTTGTGCCGATATCATACGTTTGGCCAGTCTTGGTATTCTTCAGCCAGCAAGTCCTGTTACCGTTCGTGTTGCAAGAAACCCAGCCGTCTTCCTTTCGGTAGTCTGGATACTTGCATATGAATGTGGGATCAGCAACGTCATCAAGGTCGTCTGGTGGATTGTAGATTGGGAAGCCTCCTTTGGTTGTGGCTTCTGGAGACTTGATAGGAACTTGCAGTGCAGTACTGGTATCGAAGTCTGGGACTTTCTGTGATCCGTGAACGAAAAAATCGAGGACGTATACAATCCTAGTCCAGATGGCCCGCACCGGCGCCATTATGCAAGATGGAGATACGCACGGCTCAAACCAACGTTGGACAACTCTGTTGTCAGTAATGACAAAAAAATAAATTGTCGTGAAGAAGAGAGAAGGGTGCCGGCGTCTCTGCAGATTAAGTGTAAGGCAATTGATGGTCTGTGATGTATTTCTCAGCTCGCCATTGGAGCTGTGGTACTTGCACAGAACTGCGAAGCGCCACAAACACTAGCGAGCTGTCGGATCTGTCAACGTGAGAATTACAGCCTCTTGCAGCATCTGGATGAGTCTTTGTGGCTGCTTCAGCTATGTGATGGCACAGTGGCTTGCATGGAGAACTTTCCTACGGCGCTGGTCTCCCGATTGACACGGTGTAGTCTTGCTTCGAGAACCGCTGAGATGCTCGACAGTTATCTCGAAAGGAGCCATTGATCCGAAGGCCTTCCAAGTCTTCCTGGCCGTGGGTTTTCTTGCAAGATCAGGAGTCATTCGTCAGCTGGGCGTATGCCGTGTGTCGCTCGTGGTGGAGGCGTCAGCTGGAAGCAATTGGTGGTGGACAATGGGAACTGCAGCATGCGTAACCTCTCGCGTGCGATGCCTTCAGTGAACAGAGGGCGACAGCCCGGCCGGAGCATGATTGACGGGATGCCTCCCCATGGCAGGCGCCTCACGTCGGCGAGGCCGTAGCGGCACGATACGTTCCCACACATGCTGCAGAGCGATGGGCTGATGTCGCGTGGCTGGCTGAAACAGAGACCTGAGCTCGCACGAGGCGCAAAAGAGGAGGAGAGCAAGGTCTCGTTCATTGGCTCGGAAAGAGCTCCGCTGTCTCCGCTCCTGCTTTCTATCACCACCGACCAAATCACGACCTCCATCGACCGTGTATCAATGACATCGCTCAAGCATCCTGCATCTTACCGACCTCATTGATCTCCAAGCGGCCAGCGGAAAGCCATTGCTGCGAACAGAGCATGCAGGGCTTGCAGCATTAGTGCGGCGGCCAGGCCACGTGTGTCGTCTTCCCCTCCACAGCCTTCACGAGCCACCAGAAACTTTCCTCAAGACGACAGCTCAATCGGTACAGACATGCATTTTGAGACTGCCGTCCGTTGCCTGATTCTGGCAAGTGACACTCGTGGCTTTGGCGACCCGTAGCTCCGCTACAAAACAGCAATGAGTATCAAGAATGACCCAAACGCTGTCAGCATCGATGCCGGCGAGCTTCATAAGGTGAAGGCATGCACGAACTGCGATAACAACTGCAGGAGGCATCTCATCAATCATTGAAATTCCAGTGAGGTACCTCGACTTCGACGACCGTGCCGTAGCTTCCTGTCGAAACCACCCCAGCAGTGCAGCGGGACTTGAAACTCATTCATCCAGTCGGTGGTGCAGTAGACACGAGCGAAAGCCTGGAGGATCATCCGGTCATATATATCGAACGTTTGTGCAAGTGACCAGTGTAAGCTCAAACAGAAGTCTAGACAAACATCACATCTCTCGCTCTTCCGTTATCCTTCTATACTTCTTCTCTGTATACACATGCTCCTTCAATGCGGGGATAAGGAAACCCAGAGAAGTAATCACGAACAACCAAAGACCACAATCGCCAGCTACCGAACTCTCCACCCACAGTAAGCACAATATCTTAGTCATCATCTTGAGCCCCAGGAAAGTTGCTCATAGCTCCGTAGCTCCATCAGCTCACTGTGCATCCTCCAACCACTCTTACAATCCAAGCTCATTATTGCACAATCATCAGACAAAATGCCCCCAACATTCTCAAAGATCACTCCTTCCCTCCCCGTAACTTCCATTCCAGACTCCATAGAATTCTACACAACCAAACTCGGCTTCCGCATTTCAGGCCGCGACCGCGACGACCATACTTGGCTCCGACTAGGAGGTCAAGATGCTGAAAAGGCTTCCATTCCGGTGAATGTGTATTTGAGAAGTAAGTGAGTGGGCAAATACCCAACACGCAACAGCCTCACACACGCAATCATTGACCAAATCTGAATTCGCAAATAGGACGAGGTTTCCCCTCGATTCCCAATGACGTCGAATTCGGTAAAGTGCACATTCGCGTAGATGGAGCAGAAGATGAATTGGAGAAGTTGTATGAGACATTCGTCGCGAATGGAGTGAAAGTCCTAGAAGAAGTGAAGGTGATGCCTTGGGGATTGAAGCATTTTACTGTGACAGGTGAGCTCATAAAAGTGATTGAGTGGTGCGATATGTGTTTACAGTGTTAGAGCTGACAATCGAGGCACAGATCTTGATGGGGTGAGTGATTCTGATGAATACTAACATTGCTGCAATGTCAGATTTGATGAGTGTGGCTGATATGATACTGCAGAATATTTTGAACTTCGATCAGGCCATTGCAGGATGGAAGCCGCCAGCTCGGAGAGATTGATCTCACATCGGGAAGGAAGTTGGAAGCAAAATCAATCGTGAGAAGTCTCCCAAGGCTCCGGTACGGAATCGTTTCAGTATAATGCCCTCGGGACGCTGGCGTCAAGATCGAGATTTCTTTAAGATCTGATCTCTTGCATGGTAAGTCTCATGTGAAGTAAATAAAAGCATTGGCATGTGAAATCTCCCGATAGGTTGGAATCTGATGGTTTCAGCACACGGTTGTGGAGACGTCAATGGAATCGAAATGGTGGCAGATTGTGAAACTGCTGAACCCGGGAACTGAGGATTGATATAGACAGTCAGCATATACTCACTCATGCCTTATGTCCATGCTAAGCGTTGTGGTTATCAAAGTCTGGTCGGAGATTTGTGCGCTTTCAACAGCGAACGCAATCGGAGAGCGCGGTAGGGAAACACAGTCACGCCGGAGCGCAGAGCAAGAGTAGCCTGAGCTGGCGTCCATTCTGGTGTCCACAGGAGGGGCTCTGGCTCTGCCCCTCGTGCAGAGGTGCCGCATCTTGTTGGGCGTGAAACTAGCCTTGGGTTACTGTGCGCCCAAGGAGAAGCGGAGCGGACTACGTCTTCGCAGAAGGTTCTGCACGAGGAAGATCCATGTCGTGCATGCAACTTCGATCACGTGTGAGACAGGAAGACCTGGTTGGGCTTGCTACTTTTGCAGCGCCGGCCTTTATTTGACCAAGTTTTTACAGTCGGGTGAACTGGCGGTCCGTACGAGCGCCGCTGTCTTCGGCAAGCTTGATCCTGCTACCACATGCTCGGAACGGGGCATGCTGGTGAAGACGGCAAGCATTGTGGTCCGGAGCGGAATGACGGGGTGAGATTGCTCGCATTGAACTCAGCCCTCGTTATATTGCAGATGCTGCTCGACATCGGTGCGCACGGTCAGCTTCGGTGCAGGCATGGAAGGAATTGGCGTGTCGCAGGCTCGTATACTCAGCGTGGGAGAGGAAGAGTCCAGTGTGCGATGGCGATTTCGTGGTGCAGCAGCTTCATGTGCAACGCAGGGGCGGCGTGTGAAGGGCGATCGAGGGCTGGTCGAAATTGTTGTGTCGTCGGTGCCCAGCGCTCTAAGAAAGTTGCCCGGCGTGATGCAGGTACGTCGACGGGGCGTGTTTCGATGGGGACCAAGACGTCGGCTCGCTGCACTGCTGGCGGCGGCGGTCAAGGGCTGCCTGTCCTGGGAGAGCGGTGGTTGTTGGAGCAGCGCAGAACAGAGCTGTCGTCCAGACGAACGCCCGTTGCGCTGCCACGCTGCCAGAGTCGTCTCGTCCCGGCAACCGTTGGCGGTGGCCCCTCGGCGGACATTTGCAGAGCATCGCCATCTCAGCGAAATGTCGAGGCGTGAGGTGCGCAGGCGGCGAAGGGCCAATGGCAGGGCGCGCTGGCTGGTCATTGAGTTTGGGGGATGGCCGCTCCCCTTTCCCGCGCTGTGGATGGCTACTTCCTAGCGCGTCCGGCACACACAATTCGCGTCGTCTTAGCGCCCCCGGTTGCCAGGATGCCTCAGCGCCGCTGGCGAATGGCTCGAGCGCACTCCACCGTCTTCTCCACGATGCAGTGACACTACGGCCACACTCCATCACATTCCCTGTCGTCGACCTCCTCGCCGGCCTGCGCACGCGAATCGTCTTCATGCCTCTACTGCCCGCCGACAACATGCACGACACGCCCGAGTGACACGCGACACGCCCTCTGATGCCCTCGTCCCCCAGGACCCTTTTTGTTATGCCGCCGCGGCACGACTGCGACAATTCTGAGACGACGCACACGCGACGAGGCGCAAGCCGAGCCCATATTTGATTCTGCACGCAATATAGCGAATCACCGCCAGCACCCCGCGGTCACACAGTCACCACCGTCATCTGGCGCTTGTGATTGCGTCGGTCCTGTTCATCACCAACACCGACCCCATCCTTCCACGACGAACACTCATATTCAGGAACCATCTACAACAATTCGCGCCCTGACATGCGTCGCAAATCCGTTCGAGGCTAGTGCTCATCATCGACCGCGCCCGGACCCACAATGTCTCGCGACGAGGCCTCGGAGCGGAGCCCGCTGGGCGAGCGTGGCATGAATGTCTTGCCTGCCTCCGAATACTTGCAGGAACGTTTGCAAGAACGACGCGCACGGCAATTGCGCCCCAAACGCGCGCGACACACCGACTTTGGCGTCCAGTTCACAAGAGGCCGCGACGATGACATCTTCCTGGCCGAAGCGAACGCGAGCCGCAATCCTAGGATGTACGACAGCTCACCACTGGCCGCTGCGAGCAGTCGCGCCTCGGACGCTGGGTCGCAAAACAGCGATCGAAGGCGGAGAGCACCGGGCGTGCGCGACATGGACGAGCAATTGGACCGCCTGCACAAGCAGAATTTCGCGTTGAAGCTGGAGTTGGATCATCGCCGCGAATTGACTCAAAAGTTGCGAGATCAAATGGAGGCCATGCAAGATCAAGTCGATCGCGCGCTAGTCCTGGAGGAAGAACACAAGGAACTGCTGCGCATCAACAGCGAGCTGGTGTTTGAGTTGGAGAAGCGCGACAAGGCAGTCGAAGAAGCCATGGACATCATTTGCGACCTTGAAGATCAAGTGGGCGATCTGCAGGAACGTGGCAGCACTACCAGGCCTTCTACGGCACAGGCAGACTCTGGCTATGCGAGCACCGAGATCCATGACCAAGACTTGCGCTCATCACCACCACGCGCCGCTGGCGTATCCCAGACACCAGCCGTCAAGGTTCAACCACCTTCGAATCATGCTTCAGCCGCAACCCAGAAGCTCCAAGGCCTTCTCAACACACAGACTCCCGCGAAGCCTAAGAGGCAGCCATCAGTCTTGAGTTCGAGAAAGCCCAGCACCCAGGCGCTGCGAAGTGTGTATCTGGAAACCTCGAAATCGCTGAAACCGGTGCAGAGCTTCCAGTCGCTATTGGAGAGACAGGAGGGGAAGACTGAAGACGACACCGATGAGCTGCCGAGTTCGCCACGATTGAGCGCCCTCAGCGAAAGCAGTTTTCCGTCCCTCTACAGCCCGAAGAAAGCCGTCAGTCCCGATAAGTATGCGTGGGAAGCTACTGACCAGACGAAGAGTATGGCCGCCTCCCTGGGCTCTCGTGCACACATGCGTCAGGATAGCATCAAACGGGTCAGCCAGTGGATGTCCGAGCGTGATGCGATCGAAACGACGCCATCCAAGTCGAACCGCATCTCTCCACCCCTGCAAGATGAGTCCGATCACCAACCCCTTGGGCACCGTCCTCGCTATCAGTCCCTCAACAATGCGCTGGCAGCCTCGAAGGAGCCAGCAACGTTAGAGCCGGCACCTGAGCTCAAACAGTTCCAGCACCAATTACGCAAGCAGAAGCCTGGCAGAAACCAACCTCGACCGCTTAGCTATAATGGTCCTGCCTTTGGTGAACATAACATGCCACCTACGCCAGATAGCGTAAGCACCAGAATGCTTCGGGAGTCGCGATCTTCTATCGTCAGAGATAAGAGTCTGGTCGATAATGTGCCTTCGCCGCTCAAAAGCTTCGAACTTCCCGAGTCTGGCCTTCGCACTGCACCACGTCAGATGAGATCTTCAGTCGAGCTTCGCACTGCTTACAACAGCAACCTCCAATTTCGATCTACAGCATTAGACGGGCACGACCACGACGACAGCTCAGACGAGGAGTACATTCCGCAGGAGCCAAAGAGTCTTCGCGACGATGAGGTGAAGGCTTTCGCCTTTGATCAGAATTACGACTTTGCGAATGGGCAGTCAATCGACCAGGGCATATCGACCAGCTTCCAGTCACATTCGCGACAACCTGATGATGTCATGTTCAATCGCAATGATATATCGCCGACACTGAGGCCTCAAACGATAGAACGTAGGAGATCCAGCGGTCAAAACCACTCAGCTCCTGTCAAGCCCCGTTTTGGCCGCATGGAAACCAGTCCAACATTATTGACTGTGAATGGCTTCGGCGGCGATGGCAGGAGCCCTGTCGACAGGTTGATCAGTCCACATTCTGCGCGTTCACAACATTCCAGCTCGTCGGGGAATCGCACGATTACTGAAGCCGAAGAGAAAGCTCAGCCGCAATCTCCAGTGCCTTCAGCGATGACAAGCGTCGCGTCACCACGCTCTGGAACCTCGCCTTCACCAGCCAGAACGCTTAGCAAGAAGATGCCAGGCTTCATCAGGCGCCTCAGCAATACTATGGCTGCTGGTGAAAAGCCTGTCTTGCCGACATTGACCACGGCGCCGTCTTCTGTGTACGCGCAATCTGGTCCACCACGACCAAAGACCAGCCACGCCGATCGCCTGACCCGAGGCAACAACGTCAGCCCCACTGTCGCTAGACCTCCTAGCAGTCGCGATAGTAGACCTACGCCTCCGACGAGGGCGAAGACTGAAATGAATACAGCACGGCCAGCATCAGCAGCTGCCACCGATAAAGAGAGGCGATTCTTGTTTAGACGCAACGAAAGCGCCAAGAAAGACCCTACAGAAGAACTTGAAGCATCAGACACTCCGGCGCGAGTCGGTCTTCAGAAACGCAGAGGCAGCATTAGAGACGTCATGGCCTCGAGACGTCCATGGAGGTAAACTTGCAGCATACCGGCATTGCTTTCTTCGTACGCGCATGTAGATTACTGACCTGTGTCAAAGAGGGCCATGAATGAGCCATTGTGCATGATGGAAGCGTAACAAAACAAAACACGATGGGCAAATTGGGATGACTTTACGAATGCCTTTATGGCTGAAACACGACGACATGGCAAAACTCATTACCGCTGTATACTATTCTCGGGTATTACAATAATACGTACATGGCTTCGATGTAAGGTCGAAGGGTTTTGGAGAAACATGAGTCTTGCGTAACATTCAAATACAGTGTTTTCCACGAATTTGATGCTAACCTACCATGCCGGCGTTGTGCTTGATGTCCTTAAGTAGCACCTTCCTCGTTTTGAATGGCAGTGTTACTTCGCCACAGAGGCGCATTGATGCCTTCGCTCTACTGCTTCTGTAGCAACCTCGACATGTCTCAGTCACATGTGTTGGCGTTGACCAAGCATCGCCGGACTGAAACAAACCGAAATGCTTGACGAAAGCTTCATGGCATCAAGCCTGCTCGGTCATTAAGGTAGTCTACCCGGCCCAATCGCATCCCCAACGCGAACCACATGGCCCTTTTCAACACCACGCGTCTTTCACATCAACAGCTCAACACATCTACGCCTCTTTCGTATGTCTGACCGAAATATTGTGCTCTAGAGCAAAAGAAAGATAGGGCCATCGTCACCTCGGAGGTTCTCTACGCGACACGTGCGGGCATTGAGAGTTCTCACTTGCTTGTTGCTGTCCCGCGAACACGCGACAGCGACCGGCTCAGGCAGGCGAAATACTAGCTTCCAGGAACAGAAACCCGGGCGAGCACCACAGCTACAGCCGACAACTTTCTTGCTTTGCTTTACCCGGTACAAGGCGGCTAAGCAAGCTTTTTCGCGCAAACAAGCTGTATCGCCCGCCTGGCTTCGCGCATTCGCATTGGGATGCCGTCGCAGCCGTCCTCCGCCTTCGGGGAAACATCAGCAAAAGCAGAAGGTGAAGAAGTAGTGACGCCGACGGCACGGATCCAAAGGATTGGGAGTACAAATACAAATACCCCGAGTGAGGGGACGCCCTTCGCTGCTGAGACTGATGAGCCATTCCACGACATCCCGGTTTCTTCTAAATACCATCATCCTGGCCCTCGGTCTGCCTCATCCGAGTCGTCACTTCAGCCTCAAGCTCAACCATCAACAGCAGCGAGTAAAGCAAGAGAAACAACACAGGCTTCACCTTCACAATCATTTCTGGATTCAACTACGACATCTTCTTCTCCACTTCTAAAACGCGTTCAGAAATCCCGCGCGACTCACGTCGCGCAAATCGTACTGTTTATTCTTCTTGTTCTGCAGTTTATACTCATGTATAGGAAATTTGCCTTAGCGAGTGGATTCGCTGTTGCGGCGTTGGTGAAGGGGAATGTGGCTGTTGCTGTTGCTGGGAATGGGAATGGGCATGAGTATGGAGGTTCGATGAGTAAGAGCAGTAGTAGTGATGTGCCGGATTATTTTGTGACGAAGCCGGAGTTGTTTCCAGGTATGTTTCTTCATTGATTTCAAGAGGAGAGGGCGATCTGTGAAAAGTTGAGGATGTGCTTGGTAGAGTGAGATTGATAGGCAGAGTGAGGTCGGTCGGGGTAGTTCGGAGATCTTGGTTGCGAGTCATGGTGTGAAGATGATCATCGGAACTGAGACTGATGGAAATGGATAGGTCCGACACCTACTGGAGATGCGGCTTTTCTGGCACAGACGAATCCGGCACCTTTTGCTGGGACGGTGAGTGGCATGCGATGCTATTGCAAAACACAGTGATACTGATGAATATGATTAGACCTACATCCCAAATAGCCCATTGGCGACCCAAGTGCCAATCGTGGGCAACAACGACAATGGCAACATCTTCCAGTACGAAATACATTTCACCTGTCGTTCGATCATGTTATCAATTCTGACTTGACTAAAGAATGCATGGCCAGCTGTCACACTACTTTCCCAACCCACAAGGGTTTGGAGTTGACGAGTATTCTCTGCCGAAGAATGCTTCGATCGTGCAGCTGAATATGCTGTCGAGACACGGCTCTCGGTATCCCACGACTGGAGCTGGTGCTGAGAAGATTGGGCAGAAGATCTTCAATTATACGACTGGAGTGTCTGGGCATGCGACGTTTTCTGGGCCGCTAGAATTCTTGAATGAGTGGACTTATAAGGTAAGCACAAAATATATGTAAGATCAGACTTTTTTATGCTGACAGTGCTAGCTCGGTGCTGAGATTCTCGTCCCTGTCGGCAAGCAAGAACTTTTCGATTCGGGTACGCTACACCAAATCATGTACGGCCACCTGTACAAGAACAACGGCACCAAGATCACCGCAAGATCTACTACACAAGATCGTATGCTCAAGTCTGCCGAGTACTTCCTTGCTGGATTCTTCGGATTGGAATGGACCCATAACGCCACTTTGGTTTTGGCGATCGAGGAAGATGCCGGCGTCTGGAATAATACTCTCGCGGGCTACTACAACTGCAACAACTCAAACACGGGAGTCTCAGCCGGCGGTAGCAATGCCAGCACAGAATGGTCTTCTATATACCTTGCTGATGCCCCTGCGCGACTGAACAACTACAGCTCGGGCTTCAACTGGACTGTCGCAGATGCGTACAACGCCCAGTCGCTCTGCGCCTACGAAACCGTTGCACTCGGCTACTCCGCTTTCTGCGGTCTCTTCACCTACTCCGAATGGGAAGGCTACGAATACTCCATCGACCTCGCTTTTGCCGGCAACAACATGTTCCAATCTCCTACCGGTCGCGCAGTGGGAATCGGCTACGTTGTCGAAATCCTCGCTCGCCTTCAACACCATCTCATTACAGAGCCCGTAGCGCAAGTCAATGTCACACTGGACAGCAACCCTGCCACATTCCCGCTCGGCCAAACATTAAATTTCGACTTCAGCCACGACACAAATATCGCAGCTATCCTGACAGCTTTCGGTCTCACGCAATTCGCACCCGTCCTACCAACCGACCGCATCGAACGTAACCGCTCTCTCATCGTCTCACACATGGAACCCTTTGGCGCGCGACTTGACATGGAAATCATCGAGACTCCAAAACCACTCAGTGGCAACCGTAAAGACGGCAATTCTTATGAAGAAGGTGGTGTGACGAGATATATCCACTTCATTCTGAATCAGAGAACAATTCCTTTGGGCAAGTCGTTGAGCAAATGCGGGGAGAGAGATGATGGATGGTGTGAGTTGACGACTTTTATGGAGGTGCAGAGTAAGATGTTGGAGGAGGCGCAGTATGATTGGAGTTGTAATGGGGATTATCCGGCTGTACCGTTTGGGGAGGTAACGGATGGGGTGCCGGTTGTGAAGCAACCGTAGACATTTGAGAAGGTTCAATTTGAGTTGAATTAAGCTGGAAAAATGCATGCGATGGAAGAGATTCATCGACAAGCCAATTCATGACTGCAAATGGCACAAATGACCAGTGCAGAAGTTGGCCTCGCCAGTAATCGCTAATGCTTGCTTGGATGCGGACATGAGAGACTAAGGCGGGTTTTTGATCCACGCTTGTTCAGCTTTGTTCTTGCTTCAGGTTGCGTGCCTCAACTGATCTGGTCCGGGCCCAGAGGCGTCTCAATCGAAGCTGCGAGGCAGTTCGTGGGGCCGAAGGAAGCCGATGAGGACCAGAGGGGCTGCGGTTCTCTATATCATGTTATAAACACTCTCGGCCATGCCCATTGAAGAGGCAGCCGTATTTTCAAGGAACCTACAGTTTTTGTCAAAGCCTGACAAGGCAAAAGAAAATGCAGAAGAGCTTCTCTGACTCGCAAGAACATACAGCTCCATTCTACGAGTCGATCAGCACCTGTATTAGCGTCAAGTAGCTTGGATCTACGTGAAGTCCTTTCACTTTGAAAGGAACCTACGCCAAAATGTCAACATCCGGCTCTGCTCTTGCTCTGGCCCTGTGTCAAGTACCCGAACCGATGCCCAAGCACCGGACGAGTGTCATATAGCGTCCAGAAGCACTCCAGAACAAAAGCTCTTGGCACCAATCATGCTCACTTCACCATCCCATATCTTGACCAAACCTGCTCCGATCGCCCCCAAACCTCTTGCTATGCTCTCTCCTGGCCAAAACGAATGCGTCGAGAGGGAATCGAACCCCCCCCTGCTGCTTGGAAGGCAGCAATCCTAACCACTAGACCATCGACGCATTTGGATGAGTCTTGGTTTTGGATGGTGCAATATGGAAGCTCATTTCCAGAGCAGCTGACGATACAGCGCCAGCACAGGCTCAAAGACAGGCCGATCTGCTCTAGTGCCAGCCTCCGTGGAGCTACCTACGCGCCGAGACGTTCGTATGTACTCTTGATCGATCTTTGGGATTAGGGTTGAAGTGGAGAATTTCATCAAGAGCCGAAGTTGGTGCTTATGTAATGCATCGGGCCGGCCATGTTCGACTCCAGCCTCTGAAAGACGTTTCTCCCCGGGACAGTACCTCCAGAGTACTTTGCTCTCTCGAAATCTTGCCAATGGTCAATTCAGTGATTGTGAGCGTGGTGAGGTGTTCAGCTTGGTGCCTACTCTTTCGCGAGAGCGTCTGGCCCAAGGCACAAACCCTCCATCTTACCTAGTGGCAAGAACAAACGTGCGAAGGCACGCGCCTGACTTGGGAGGTAGATCAGGTTTCCCCACGAGCTCTTTTTGCTGTGGTTTTGGCTACTGCTGCGACCACGCCGAACGTGGCAAATGCTCTCTGAGGATCTACTTCACTTCGCCAATACTGATAGAGCTGAAGCCGTGCTGATGTCATCCAAAATTCTGCCACGCGTCCGGGCATGTACGGCCAATGGACCCATCCTGTACGGCCTTGCAAGATATCCGTTAGGTCAATCCATCGCGACCGGTTGCTCAGAAGAGCCTGAAGGTAATATGACCGATTCTCGGCGCCGAGCTCGGCTGGACGGCTTTCTGCTATGCCATATCACAACCGCACATGCGAAGTCATTCGTCCTGGCAGCATCAACCATTGACGCCGGATAGACTGGCATACTACCTATACGCGTAGATTTACTCAGACTACCATGGCGTACGGTCCCTTCGAGAATCCATCTTGGCAGCAAGACTTGCCTTCACCATATTTCGGAGAGAGCCATCGAGTATTCCAGAAAGCATGCCGATCTTTCATTGATGAGAACCTCAATGCGCATGCACTGGAGTGGGAAAGAGAGGAGAACGTCCCCGAATCAGTATGGAAGCGCTTCGGCGAAGCCAATATGTTGATTCCCGCCCTTGCAGCACCACTGCCTGTGGGATGGCTGAAGAAGTTGAACCTGTCAAGACTTCCCGGCGGTGTGCAAGTGCAAGACTACGATGACTTGCACTCGTACATTTATTTCGATGAGGTATGTTAACCTGTTTGAGATGATGAGGCCGACAGAACGACATGCTGAGGCATTTCACTCCATAGATGGCTCGATCAGGCTTGTTGGCTATTCCAGGATCTCTGATGGCAGGTATGGCGTATGGAGTGCCTCCTATCCTGCATTACGGGTCTTCTGAGCTACAAGAGCGGATGCTTCCTGAACTTCTGACCGCATCGAAACGTTGTTGCATCGCGGTGACAGAGCCAGAGGCTGGTTCCGATGTTGCAGGTATGACTACTACTGCCGAGAAGAGCGAAGATGGCAAACAATATATTGTCAACGGAGCTAAGAAATGGTGAGCAATGCCACATCTTGTCGGGTGCGGAACGACACCTGGTTTCTGACACTTTCAATGAGGATTACCAATGGTCTATGGGCCGACTACGCAACAATGGCGGTCAGAACTGGAGGTCCGGGTGCAAAAGGGCTTTCACTACTGGTTGTGCCACTCAAGGGCCAAGCTGGCGTGACAGTGAGAAAACTACCACTCGGAGGAGGAAACACTGCCGGCACCGCATACATTGATCTCGAAGATGTCCAAGTCCCCATAGAAAATCTCATTGGACGCGAAGGCTCAGGCATGTCCTACATCATGGCGAACTTCAATCATGAACGTATGGCGGTATCGATTACTGTCACCCGGCAAGCTCGTGTGGCTCTTGATGCCACTGTCAAGTATTGTCTCAAGCGCGAAGCATTCGGCAAAACGCTGATGGACCAGCCCGTCATCAGGAAACGACTGGCCAAATGCGGCGCTGAAGTCGAGACGATGACCGCATGGCTGGAGAGTTTGTCTTACCAGATGCACAAGTTGGGCAAAGAACAGGCGGACGCCAGGCTTGGTGGCTTGATCGCTCTGGTCAAAGCGAAGGCTGGCAAAGTCCTGGAGAAATGTGCTAGCTGTGCTGTGCTTTTGCACGGAGGAGCTGGTTATACGAGATCTGGTCAAGGAGAGCTGGTTGAAAGTGAGTACTCTGTACTTCTTCGAAATTTCGCTAACAATCTGCAGAAATCTTCCGCGAAATCAATGGTGCACGAATTCCTGGCGGTAGCGAGGATGTTATGTTCGACCTGGCAGTACGCCAGCTCATAAAGGTCTACAATTCGAGCTTCAATCAGCCTGAGCTGGCGAAATCGTCTCGGCTGTAAGCTATCTTCATCTCACGAAAATTGTGAAATGCAAACGGAAAGTATCGATCTTGTGAGAGCGGTTTCTCGTTGCTTCGTTTCCCGCGAGCACTACTGTCGTTGCTCTTTAACACTCCAGATGATGCTGCGTTGCTATGTAGCAAATGGTCAGTTTCCGTCCATTCTACTGAGTCGAGATCGTGGGCGGCCGCATGTAATTTCACATGAGGAAGCAGAGTCTGGCCGGCGACTGCGACTGCTCGCGAAGAAGGCTCGCTCGGCCCGAGATGAATGCAGTGCAGTTCTGGTGCATCTCGGCGCCGAGCACATCTGCCGAAACCGACTTGCCGGAAACGACCACAGCGTTCACCAACACCTCCACACTCCACACAACCGATCTACCCGCATCTCGAGCGAGACGGCTTCCACAACGCCTGAAAAACAGCAAAAGTCTTCATCATGTCTGGCGCACCACGATATACAACAGAATTGATGGACGTACCGGGGATGAAGTTTCGTATAGACATACCAGATCCAAAGCAGCGAATACAAGCATATGTTGACGAATATGCAAATCCATCCCACAATGGAAAGACATTTGAGGTGCGCCAGTCAAGGAATACGCATCTCGACAGCATCTAATCTTGTTCCTCGTAGGGCATAGACGAGCCGCTCATGAGAGAATGCATCCGTTTGATCGACGCAACCGGGCCACCGAAAGTCTCGTGTGTCTTCGAACTAGAAGTATCCCAGCAGTTCTCCAACCGCATGGGAAACATGCACGGTGGAGCCATAGCACTCGTCTTCGATATGGCAACTACCATGTGTCAAGCACCTTACGCCAGAGAAGACTTCTGGTGGTTTGGCGGTGTGTCGCGAACACTGAATGTGACGTATCTGCGGCCTGTCCGTATGGGCATGCGAATCGAGATCCGATGCGAGGTGCTACAGATTGGAGATCGACTCGCGACGATTCGTGGCGAGTTTCGAGATAAAGCTGATGGGAGAGTATTGTGTGTTTGCGAACATAATAAAGTGAGCATACAATTTAAGGGCAAGTCTGCCCTGTGAGACATCATGACAAGAGTGATTCGTTACTCAGTAATGGTCTGCTTCACTTGCAATATCAAGCCATATTGTCATGGCCGACTCCAAGATGAAGTTGCTGGTGACCACGAACGTGTAATTCGAATCATGGCGATGCTACCTCTGCAAAGCTCAGATCTAGCTGGGATCTTATTGAAGTGTCTGGCGAGATACTATGCTCGAAGTCAAGCACACTACCATCTCGATGCCGAGTCGTGAACACCGAATCGACATGGGCCCCAGCACGAGCGGCGCCGAAGTCCCCTGGACGTTTTGTAATCATTTGAACAAAACGTGCTTTAGACCGTCCCCAACTGCACCTCAGTGCTCTCATAACTGTTTCATCATTCATAACGAAGCGATCATGTCCGTCCTCACACTCCCGACCGAGTTCCCCGCACTTGCAGGCAAGATTGTAGTCATCACCGGCGGCGCAAGCGGTATTGGCGAGGGCTACGTACGCGTCGCTCGTGCTAATGGGGCCAATGTCGTCTTTGGCGATCGAGATCAGGTGCTCGGCAATAAAGTCGCAGAAGCTCATGGTGCTACATTCGTTCCAACGGATGTGACATCTTATGCAGACCAATTGAATCTGTTTGCGACAGCTTTCCAGAAGTACGGTCGAGTGGATCATGCCATAGCGAACGCTGCAATTTATGAGCCAGATTCGTGGTTTCCGGAGACAGCTGATCTGGCGAGCGTTCAGAAGGTAATGTCAGAGCGTACGCCTCTGCGTTCAACGAAGAGAATGCTGAGAGATTTGCAGGAGCCATCCTCACTGGTGTACGATGTCAATGTTCGTGGCGTGACCACCTTCTCGCATATCGCGTCCGTGTATTTGCGGCAGGGGGTCACATCTCCGACGAACGACGACAAGTCGCTCACAATTGTTTCCTCCACGGCCGGAATCCATGTGGCACATAAGACTCCACTTTATGGGGTCAGTAAACAAGCTCTTGACATTTGGCCACTGCCACTGAAGTGCTGACATTGCTCGTGAACAGACCTCTAAAGCCGCAATCAATTACTTGGGCCGGGCGCTGTCCAAGACACTTCCGACCACACACGGGATCCGCGTGAACGTCATCTGCCCATCAATCACGCGTACGCCTTTGGCCGTCGCCGCCCACATGATCAAAATGTTCGAAGACGCAGAGATCCCGGTACAGAGCTCGGAGGACGTGGGCAACGTTATCGCAGCGACCAATTGCGATCCCTCCATGAATGGCAAAACGCTGTATGTCCACGCGGGAAAAGCCTATGACTTGCAGCTGGACTCGCCTACGGTTCAAACTGAGGTGCTAGGCTCGGAGATTCTCGAAACCATGGGCAAACTAGCCAAGAGGTATCAACGATCTTCCTAGAGCAGTCGCTGTCCTAGTGCGCTCGTTTTGTGACGTATGCGAAGGTTTCTGCTGTCGTATAGTTGCTGTAGTATTATATCAATACAGGCGAATCTGAATGTTGTCAGCAGGAGGACCACGTTGACGTGTCTCAAATAGCTCTCTGCAGCGCTTTTATGCCATTTGATCATGCTAAGAAGCACATAACTCTCCGTGCTTGCGGAGAGTAAGCTCATTTTGTCGGCATCGCTTTCACCAAAAGGATTTGGATTCCACACAATACCTGGCTGCACACTTGTGAGCTCGGGAGCATTCATCGTTCCAGAAAAAAGTGCGCTTTGTAGTGATCCTTCTCCAATTAATCACGGCAACCTGCGCGCAATCGATGGCTCGATGGGTCCAGAAGTACCCTTCAGTTAATCTGTGTTTAACAAGCGGCAGATCCGTATCAACATCTTTCGCGCATCACACCGCAAAGCCGCAACTCAGTAGCTCCTGCAGCCAAGACTCTGTATCACGATCTTCGCAGAAGCTTGCGTTCAGCCCCTCTGCCGAGAACGGATCATCTGTGCTCGAAACATAATTGTTCTGGCCCGCGGTTTGCGAAGCGGACTGGCTGTTGTACGTCGATGTCGACACGTTTTGATCAGTAGGCGGTTGGCGAACACTCGATTGTGCAGGATTCCATTTCAAATCATTTCGTGCCAGCACGACCTCGAACATCTTCACCGGCCATCTCAGAGGGGTCCAGAATCTGGAAGATTCTTTCAGATGCTCCAGGTCCTCGTACATTTGGGGTTGTAATCTCAGCTTCCGAATTGGCGATGAGTCCGGCTTCAGTGCCATCTCGATACGCAATGCCAGCAGCGTAGAGGTACAAGTCAGTCTTTGCGTAGTCCTGCCATCAGTACTTGACCCGTCCAGGAAGATGGGGTTTGCTCTTACAAAGACAAGGGACACGTCTGAATGAGGTCGTGAAGGATTATGCGACGGATGATGGTTCCTAGCTCAAACATGGCAGCTTCCTGCTTGAGTAACGCACGCAACGCGCTCAGGTCATGATTCAGAAGGCGGTATTGCTCAGCCAGTGTCCTGTATAGCAAGCTTTGAAATCGGTAGCTGATCCCGGCCAGAACAAGAATCCAAACGTTGGCGGCAGACCACTCGTAGACGATGTCCGCGCGCAACTCAGTCGGCAGTGTTGTACGCCAATGGAGCAGGTCAGACTCCAGACGCTGTGCGCCTTGGAGGTCGAACTCTTCGACGCCGCGTGAGAGCAAGGAGACGAAGCGGCTGGCTAGACCACAAATTCCGGTTAGCTCCACGCAGCATGATGCGTCAACATCATCTCATACTGCAAGACTTACTCATCACGGCAATTTGACATGCATGAACCAGGTAGAGCTTGTGAATGTTGGTCGATTTGCACAGGATGGCGTGGGCGAAACCATCGTCGTCCCCCGGTTCAAAATCTGCCACGTCCAATGGTGCAGTGTCGAAGTCTGAGTCGTGTATTCTTTGGAGGTTCTGGAGTCCTGAAATTACCAACGTCTTGTCTCAATAGTACAATACCCACCAAATACGCCGCAACAGGGTCCGCTCGAGATGAGGCGTGGCTTCGATCGTGGAGTCTCGGTGGAGACCCAATTGGGTGGCAGTTCTGACAGCATTGTTGAACCAGAAATGGAAGTCGTAGTCTACAGAGTATGAGAATGACAACGATGATAGCATGATGCAACCCTGGAGAAGGCGCAGCTGACTCTTTTCGTGGCCAAAGTCATACAGTCGCTTGGCCTTGAGGAAGAACGAACGCTGAGCAGTTGCTCGGTCTGGGAACCCGGCATCTTGAATCAATGCCTCGGACGCGTACGGTACGACGTTTGCGAGCATAGACTGCAGCAGAAAGGGCGAGAATTTCCGCTGCTCGTAGTCTGAAATGAAATGAGCTCGTTGCAAAATCGGAGCATTGGGATGCACGCGTTCGAAATAGACATGTAGGAGTGCGTCACTAGTTCCTCAGGCCATTAGTATGCTCAGGGCATGCATTTCCCATGGTAACGGCAGGGCTTACACTGTGTCTGCTGGAGGAAAGTCGAAGGCGCCCCTACGTGAAAGGTACTCCGCATCCATGCGATCTAGTCCAGCAACATCCGGTGATGGATCCTGCAGGCAATCTGCGTCTTGCACAATAATCCTTACCCTTCTTCGTGTCTTCTGTACCCCGAGAGCTGAGCTCAAGATCGACATCGGATTCGTACCGTCGTGATACTCAATGACTTCCCTTCCACGTGGATCATGTGAGGATGGCTCAGAGGTGGCTGCATCAACCGGCGATCGGCCAGACATTTCCAGACAGACTCTCAGCTGGGCTTCATCTTCTGGAACTATCGCTGACGACTGGGGCGCAGCTGGCAAGCATTGTGGATAGAGGCCATTCGTCGTCGGCGCCGGAGCGGGCTCGGGCCCAGGCTCAACAGTCGAGACACCTGATTGCCGTCCTACATTAGAAGTCGCCGCCGAGGAACGCGGCACACGTCGTCTGGCTGGCCGCTCGATCAGTTGACACAATGATGCTTGACCTCGATTGCTACATCTTGAGCAGGGAATGCCGGAAGTGCTCGCGTTGCAGCTCACTTTACGCGCATGGCATGTAGTGCATGCACGGACTTTCTTCGTAGTGGTCGCATTCATCGACTCGGAATCTGGTGGTACTCGGCATTGTCGTGATTGACGGTGTTGAACAGTTCACTCGGACCACGAGTCGGCAGAGATGGAGCAGGGAACACCTTCCAAGGGCCAGCCAATCGCAGGTGACCGACGACTTCGGCGCCGAGAACTCGGCCTGTTGTCAAGGTCCGAATCACGGTCTACTCTGAATTGATTTGCATCGACGAGCTCTGGATGGTGGTCTCATGATGTAGGCGTTCGAAATTCCCTTTCAGAGCTCAGCAAGACGTCTCTTCAAATGTACCAAAGAAGGGACCAGATAACCAGCAATAGGGGCGGCACGAACAATTTGTGGTTGCCAAGAGTCATGGAGACCTCACACTCGCAACCCAGAAAAGAAGAAATGGGAAAGACATGTTGTCTGCTTGGAGGCTCCAAAAGCCCTGTAAGCTCTGGCATATGCAGATGCCTTTCATTTCAACTTTTGCATATCTACAAATGCAATGCAAGTCGTAGCCTCAACCCAGGCTTACCCAAAAATGCATTCACTGATCAAGTGGCAACGATACAGTTCCTCTAGTCCTCAGTAAGATCACCATACTCCCACATACCCCTACGCTCATCCTTAGCCTCCTGCTCACGCTTCTTCAGGTCAGCCAGGACTTCAGGAGCAGCGCGCTCGAATGGGCGAAGCTTCTTGGGCACCATGGCCAAACCCTCGGTCACGACTTCAGCGTTGATCGTCTCGAGCGGGTTTGGCGCCTTCGTGTCCATGAGCGTGACCCAGAGCAAGTTATCCTTGGTATCGTTGAAGTCGATGTTGGCGACTAACTCGCGACCCACGGTGATCTCGTCGAGCATGTTCACGGCTTCCTTAAGGTACTCTGGCGCGTTGTTGAATTGCACAAAGGAAAGAGCGGCATCAACGGCTTGGCCTTTTAGACGCTGTGGGCCGAACTTGGCCTGGTCAAGAGGTCGGAGCGCAGACCAGGGCTGAGTCTCGCTGTTGCCGTAGTCGATGTAGACAACCTCCGCAGTCTTCTTCTCGCGGTCGTTGCGTCGAATGCGGGCACGGTACCATACACCGTCGGCGCTGAACTTGGCGGAGACGATGTCACCTGCCTTTGGAGCATCCTTGAGTGGTTGGCTGTTGCCAGGAGAGATATGGAAAGACGCGAACTCCTTCATAAGCGATTGCAGATTTGCTTGCCCAGATCCGAGCAGTTGGACCTTCAGCCGCGCGCTCTCAGGATCGACGTAGGTGACAGTGACATCCTTGTATTCGGTGTTGCGCTTAGGAGCAGGTGCATCACCGTTTGATGCGCCGTTTGCTCCACCGTTGGCCTGTACGTAATCGTCGCCGTTCTCAGCAGCCTCTTGCGAAGGGTCCCAGTCTTGCCAAAGTCCACGACGTGCTTCTTTCGCTTTCTGTTCGGCGCCAAATAGTTCGTTCGCGTTGCCGGACTTCTCTGCGCTGTAAGCGTGCACTGATGCGAGACCCTCCTCGACGAGCACCTTTGCGAAGTTCTCACGGTTGATGTAAAGGTCGCCAATGAAGCCTCCTTGCTTGTCAGTGTCGTGCACATCGATCTCAGCATCACGCTGCATGCATCGCTTCACAGCAAAGTCATGCGCTTCCTGACCGAATGGCTCGGCGGTGTCTTGGGGTCCACGAGCGCTACGAGGTGCACGAATACCGCCCAGCACGAACGTGAGCTTAGCATTCTCGCGCGGCACCAGAACGGTAAATCTGCTGCCGGACTTGACAAAGTCGACAATGCATGGCACCTTCTTCTTGTTCGACAACATCGTCAACTGACGCTTGGCCTTCTCAAGAGATTCACTGTAGTCAACGTAGTTGATCTGCTTTTGTGGCTTTGGTGCCCACATTCCCTTCTGCTCAGCTTGAGCAGCTTCTTCTGCAGCAAGTAGCTCATCGTAAATAGGGCTGCGGTCAGCATCGTCCATTCGGTGGCGGATGACTGAAGCATATCCGTTCTCAGCGAGCAGGAGAGCGACGTTTTTGCCGCCTTGTGTGACAGTGGCCATCTCACGCTCATCGTATCCGTCTGTAGCGGGTCTCTTGCCATCAATGACGACCTTGACGTGCTTGCCAATGAGCTTCTTGCGGAGGAACTCCTTGGCCTCTGCTTGGAATGGCGACTGCTTTGGGTCTGAAGGCTTTGGCTGGCGCACAGAACTCAGGTTGATGCGCTTTTCTTGCCCAGCCTTGTTGCGGATGAAGAGTGTGTCTGCCGAGAAGACTCTGCTCACAACAGCCTCCTGCTCACTGCCAGCCTTCTTCGTTGTCGTAGCACCCTGGAACAGACCAAGCTGTTGCTCTTTCGCTGCACGCTCTGCTTGTCGTAGCTTGCCCATTTCTGCGCCAAGCCATGTAGAGTGGTGATCGACGCATCGCGCAAGGCCGGCCTTGAGTAAGAATTCGCCGATATTTCCAACTGCGTGCAGCACTTCTCCAACAAGCAAGTTATTTGGTGACACACCAAGCACCCGCACTTTTACCTCCCGCTGCAGCAGTCTGTTCTCCACAAATTGCTGCGCTTCGTTACCATATGGCTCAGCAGGCTGTGTTTGGCCATTTGAAGGGTTCGTTCGAGCAGTCGTAGGTGAACGCAGGCCAGCAATCAGGATCGTAGTCTGGACGTGCTGCGTTGGCGAGAGCAAGAGTCTGCAGATCAGACGGTCTCCACTGAGCACTCTCTCCACGATACTGTCAATGGCTTGGCCTTTGTGGTCCTCTGCAAATTGCTTCGCATCAGGCAGATCACGAGCATTCTCCACCTTTGGCTTCGATGTGTTCCAAATGCCCTTGTCTTCCGATTTCGCATGCATCTGAGACGCTTCCAACTTTTGCAGCAGTTCGGCAGCTCCAGGTGATTCGGCCTTGCGATCCGCATCGTCACGTACCGATGCCCAACCTTCTCGCACGACGAGATCAGGCAATTGCTCTCCCGTTTGCAGGTTGACGACAGCGTACTCGCGAGATGCGCCGCCTGTCTTTTGTGGGATGGAGTAGAGCACCGAGAAGCGAATCACTTTGCCCACAAGGAGCTTTCGAAGAAAGTCGCGTGATTCGAAGCTGCATTTCTCGTCGGATTGCAGGCGTGGTGCATTGATGAAGGCGAGGCTGATGGTTTTCTCTTGGCCTCTGTTGTTCCGCACTACAATCGTGTCGCCAGAGAGCACGCTCTTGACTTTTCCTTCTTGCAGGCCAGACATGATGCGTAGCGATTCGAGGAATGAGATGGGGAGTCGAGGATTCGGCGGTGAGGTTGGACGGGAAGGTAGAAAGGCACCGACAGTATCCAATGCGGTCTGTCGAGTCAATGGAGGTGGTGTGTGATGTCGTGTGAGGTGTCGTGTGAGGAGTGGAGTGGGTGTCGGTGGTGCAGGACAGCTGTTCCTCTAAACTTTTATATCGCGTGCCCGGTGCACAACCTCCCCGCGTTCACTTGCAGGGATCGTGCTTTCCTTTCATCACACGCCAAGAGGACCCTGATGCTCACTTCAGCATTCACAGAACGATCTTCCATTTGAATATGTGAAGCACAAGCATCGAATCGCGACCTGTGACCAAGGATCAAAGACCCAATGAATCTCAAGTCATCCACTGCAACAAGTAATGAGATGCACTGATAAGATGTGCGTATCGGCACTATCATAGCACGTACACGCGGCAGCATTCGATCAGAGGAGGAATGAAGGACGACAAGCAGCAGTGATGCATGCCCGTACAAGTCAATGTGCACAGACAGAACCGATTCTAAGCACAAACCAACAAACTGAGCATTCTCAAGCGTACACTCTGTTTCTCCGGATTCGTGCAACAATTTGATTAGGACCAGGCCTGGCGACTGCAATGTAGCCTACCTCTTCTTCAGGCTGGACATCACCGAGCTGCACTTTGACGTGTCGAGATCGTCTTGCAACATCAGTGCCATCTTCCATCGAGCTCTTTTGCTGCAGCAGTGCGTACGGGTTGTTGCGCAACGAACTAGCGAAATCGTCCAGCACCAGCGGGCCAGTTCTGAGGATGCTAAGCACTGCAGTAGTAAGCCCTGCGCCGATGAGCAGTACCGAGATAACGACGAGTACGGCCACCCATAGTTTGTGGCAGCGCAACACAGTTCGCTGTTCTCTCACAGTAGCTTCAGTCGCTCGGACTCCATAAGCGGGCGTTGCGTCCGCAATAGGCTCACTGCTCTGCTTTGTGTCCTCCAAAGGATAAGTAAAGTTGCCAGCAATTGCATACGGAGCAAGAGTGCTTAGCCAGTAAGTATTGAGCAGTTGAGAGAATCTTTGCGCAAAGAGCGTATTGCCAATCGAGCCGATTGGAATGGAATTGTTTCCAACCACAAACGGAAGCTCTGGAGTCAGAAAGTATTGCTCGACTGGTGTGTATTCGCCGTATCGTGATGGCATTGCATTCATGAATTGAGCGAAGAAAGTGGCAGCCGTATACTTGCCCTTGATTCCATAGATGCCGTCCCTGCACTTGAACTTGTTGATTTCGTCCAGCGCAGTTGCGGTCGGTGGACACTGCTGCTTTGGAAGCTCACGAATAGCAACTACCATGCAGTCTCGTGGACCTCCACCGCACACCGTGTGAGCTTCAATATAGGTCGTCGTAATGTTACACCAGGCTCTAGTGTCCTTCGATTGGGCCGGATAAGACCTAGACTGGAACCCGATCCGACGAGGCAACGTATCGTTCCATTCGTGTTCAGCTGTGAGGTCTCGCAAGACTGAACCGTAGATGGAGTCTGGATTATTGTACAACGCTTGGGAGGGCGCGTATCGTGAGCCAGGCAAATGCTGTGCTTGATACACTTTGGACTCATTAAGCCTCAACGGAAATTCGCCGTCGACTACATGCACGTCGCAGTCGAGCATGAGATATGACGTTTCAAGCATGAACGACGAGTTGGCTTGAGCAGCAGCACCGATATGTGGTAAGCCCAGCAATGCGACATCCATTGATGCAGTATTCATAGTCATATCCAACCAGCCATCTGCTCCAGCTTCGTGCGTTTGAGCCTCTAGCATCGGAATGTGAATATTGCCAAAGACGTCCTGTGGCCCGCGTTTCGAACTATTCGTGCTAGCCAGAGCTGCAGCAAAGACTGTGTTAATCGCTCTCTTGTGCCGATCACGGAAGGAGTCCAGAAGTGTAGTGCCGTTGTGTACGTTTAGATAATAAACGTCAGACATTGATTCGGCATTGTCTGTTTCAGAGGACACAACACGAAGCGCCGACTGACCTCCAAGGGGCGAGAGACCCCATAGCAATAGAATCACCGGAGTCCAGAGAGAGAATATGCGAAGACTAAGTAACGAGAAGAAAGCAGAGCCAAGTGAGCGACTAGCCAGAATTTGTTCTAGGAGCCCAAGGGTGATGCTCTTTTCCAATTTCCAGGAGGCGATCGCGGCCATAAGCTGACCGAACACTGCAGCAAACAGGATAGGAAATACCGAGGGCCCCTGCAGTGACCATGAGCTTCTATCCACAGGAAATGGAAAGCACAACTTACATAACCCGCAGCCTGTAGCAACCATTCGGTCTGAGAGCCTTCTTCAATCTCAATTCCGTCATTCTTGACTGCAAGCCCAGCAAATACCAAGAAGTACACGGCAAGCAAAGCCACTGCGAACGACAAAATTGCGCTTTCCAGATTGTCCGTCCACCTGTGTGCAGGTTGAATGTTGCATGTTGTTGTCTTTGGCTGCAAGCTACTCGACTCGGTCCAGTCAGAAGAGTGCTGTGACTGCTTAGGCTCCGGATCTACTAAGAGCTGAGGCTCGGATAACTCGTGGGAGGCTGCTGATACATGTTTCCGTCCCACTACCGTCTCTTCGGTTGCAAGGACTGACTGTGAAATGTCTGTTGTCACTGGATCGACAATGTCCAAAGTCGTTGGTGCTTGATATGCTTTGTCACCGACTTGTCGACTGCCATGTTGTGTATTGGCAATGTCCATAGCCGATGGCAGCTTCACTTCGGTTTGACCAACAGACTCTGAGAAATTGATGTTTTGCTGAGCAAACAGTACCGGCAAGCAACGACGATGCGATGCAAACACTGAAGCGCACAGGTTGACGCAGAGTTGTATCTGTACCTTCCGGCGTGAATGTCCAGTAAATACCTGGTGAGGCTGTGCATGCTCAGCTGCGACGTTACCGCACGAAGGCTTAGCGACCAAGTCCTCGAGAGAGGTGTGAGCCAATAGGGAAACGCAACGGGCGGTCACAGGATGCTGCGGGTGTGTCGCACAGCATCGTCAATGTGGCAGGGGCTCGCCACTCCAAGATTGCGGCTGATGGTGTTACCAGTCGATTTCAGAACAGTCGCCGAAGCTCCTTGTCTTTAAAGTCTTCTACCCGACCAGCAACGACCCGCCACTCGTACTAACCATCGCCCCCGTAACATTCCAATCCCTCATCAAATACACAAAACTCTCCGCCACATCCTCCACCCTCCCCACCTTCCCCGTCGGCAACTTCTTCACCGTCTCCGCGAACATCTTCTGCTTCTGTTCCTCGCCCAAGCCCGCCCAGAGTTCCGTATCTACCGGCCCCGGGCTCACAACGTTCACTCTCAACGGTGCCAAATCCAATGCCATACCTCTCGTCATACCTTGCAGACCTGTGGCGTAGGAGTTGACGAGAGCCCAGTTGGGAATGGGACGTTCGGAGACGGCGCCGGTTGTTAAGATGATGCTGGAAGAGGGGCCAGAGTTCATATATGCTGGGGCGATTTTGCCGATGAAGAGGGGGGCGAAGAAGCGGACGAGGCCTTTGATGTCCTTCGTTAGCAGTATGTTTCCAACAAGTCATGATCAAGATTAAAATTAACCCACCAGCCTTCTTAATCTTCTCAATATCAAGCTCCTCCAATTTAATCATCGCCAAACTATCCCCAGCCGTACTCACGACATGATCGATACCTTTTCCAGTCTTCTCAAAGAGTTGTTTGATATTACTTTCCAGGGTCGCTTCATCACCAAGGTTACACGCATGGCCCGAGATACGGTCTTTCGCAGAAGGATATGCGGCTTGGATTTTCTGAACAGCTTTCTGAACACGATCGGGATTGGAAGAAGAGATGATCACAGTGCAGCCGTTCTCGATTGAGGCCTCCGCGACGGCATAGCCAATGCCTAATGCGAGAGATTAGTAGGAGAGCTCAATTCGCAGATGATGGAAAAGGCCTTACCTGATGAGCCTCCAATGACGAGGACTTTTGCGCCTTTGAGCTTTTGAGTGTATTTCGTTTGGTCGGTCATTGTTGTTGGATCGCCAGCTTGTTGTGTGTGTGGATGTCGATTCCTGAGGCAGGTGAGCTGCGAGGATCAGTACTTATAGTCCGCAACGTCTGGGTGGTGGCATGTGGCATGTGGTATGTGGCATTGGAAGATGCCGTCAATGTGAGGTGGGACGGATATAGCGGGGTTAGCAAGGTATCCACATCATACAGGTTTCATTCGGCAATCATATACGTATATTTTGGATTAGTTCATTGGGCATCCCTGGCGCACTGCGCGTCGCTGTGTTTGCATCAAGCTGTCACGAGATAGTCTCGCGCTGTCCCGAGGCCGATGCGCGAATCTTTTGTAAGCGACTGGTCGAATACACGATGACAAAGTCGTCGCATTAGTCAGACGTGTAAAGAGCTCGCCCGTGGTGCAAATCTCATTGCGTACGCAATCATGCAAGACACCTTGAACGGACTGCGGTGTGCACGAGCAGTGCGCGGTTTTCCAGGTATCGCGGCAAAAACTGCCGGGGTCCAATGTGACTGCAGACATAGGTCTTTCTCAAACTGGGCACATGTGCTCAGGCGAACTGCCATCTCTGGTTGACTTGCTTGCGGGTAACCTATAGTGAATCAGTACGGTTGTGTGCGTCAGGCGGATGAAGAGCTTACCAATGGTGCCACGACAAATGTCACTATAGCAAGCCCTGCAACAGTGCTCAGCATCTGAAACTTGTTGAAGTCTTTGCCGAGAACATCAAAGCTAGAACTTGGCGTAAGTCGTGTCCCGAAAAGATCAAGTCCATAGGCGAAGATGAGGCTAGTACTTTCGACCAACGCCGGACTTGTGATAACGTTCGTAATGCCCAGCAACTCTCGCTTGTGGTTGAGATACCACTTTGGATCGAATTCGATGGTTGGGATGTACTTGACGAGACCCTCCATCTGCTCATCCTTCGTAGGCTCGCGGTCTACTGGGCGACGAGGGTCAAGTACTTGGTAAGGAATGCCCACGAGCGAGCTCGAATCAGCTAGGACTGCAAGCAGTTGACGACTCGTGATACCTTGTCGAGTTCTCGTGATGGCCAATTTGCTGATTGCTTCTGGAATCTGGTACGATTTGCTGAGGACAAAAGGCTCCGGTGGCTGTTGCAAGCTCGATGAATTGGCCTTCTCGCTCAGTGGTCCTCTGTCGTTCGGCACAAATGACTCGAATAGCTCTCCGACTACCAAATGGTGGCCCTTAGGAGTGCTTTCTGCCGACTCAGCAGTGAAAGAATAGGCAAACCAGTTTTCCGTAATGATCGCGGGAATTGGCTCGGCCAGGTCGACGTTGTGTTGAATGTCGGCATGTAGCGTAGCGCCGGTCACTGTATCAATGACATGGAAAGTGGCGCTTCGAGCGGCATCATTCGCTGTTACAAGCAAAGCGACGTTCGGGCTGAGGTATTTGTACAGTACTCTTCGATCGCCTAGCACTTTGCCAATGGACGCGACTGGGTCGTTGACTGGCCTGGGCACCAAGGTGACCACTCGCTCGTTCTTGGGCGGAAAAAATCGCCATAGTGCGCCATCTGCAGACAGCCCAGATTTGGAAGCTGTCAGGGAGCCATCTTTTTGAAGGCCGAATCTGATGGCATCGGCTTCCGGGAGAGGAGATCTGGCGCTTCCAGGATCGGCAACGACTGCTCCGTTGGTAGCGTTCAAGGCCACTAGTGGAGGGCTACCTTCTACAGTGATGACAACTGCTCCATTCGCGCCGGTCTCCAACGTGGGCCGCCATGTTTCTCCGTTCTTGAGGTGTGCAACATCCTTACTCCAAAGAATTCTGTTCGCCGAGGCAGCATCAATTGCCACCACTCTGCCATTCTTGGTCGCACATGCAATGACTTGATGGAAACCAAAAACGTCGTGACCGACGCTCTCTGCGGTGGTACCGAAAATGCCGTTTTGGATTCTCTGAGGCAAGCTGGTCACTAATTCGGGCAAGTGCTTCAGGTCTCGAATGTGACGCTGTACGCGATGAATGTAAGCACTGACAAAATTGGAGTGAGCTTCCAGCTCGAGCTCATGTGCGAACGACTCCACTTGTGCTGTGGTGGCGAACGTAGCTGAGATGGTCGCTGCGAGTGCTTCTGGTCTCTGCCATGCTGGAGTGCCGCCTCGAATGAGCACCCAGTCTCCGGTCGACACAAGCAGGGCTGTCCGGACTGCGGAGACTTCGCCTGCCTTGACAGATACTTCGGACACCGCATGTACCGGCGTCACTATTTCACCGGGTACAGCACCAACTGCCAGGTCACCGAGCGTCCAGCGACCAAGAACGCCATGGGAGTCTGATGACACCGTGACGACCTCGCTGCTCGTAATGCGGGTGAAGTAGACATTGGCGTCCAGATTGCTAGTCGAGAATGCGCCTTGGCCGCCAACTCGGGGTAGAGAATATGCTTTTGCAATTTTGTTCTTGGTCAGGTCGATGTGGTACACCTCTGCCCAATGCGAAGCCTCTGTCTCGAAATGCACTAAGAAATGCGCGACAGCAGTCGTGTGAAACGGTGCGTGAAGACGGACCCGAGTCACAGCTTGATCTTCGTGCTTTTCGATATTAAAGGTCGTCACCGCTTTCGTTCCAACAATGTTGACCTTGAGCACGGTGTATGCAGAATCGGTCCACGCGATGATGGGAGACGCGGAGTTAGCACCGACCGAGATAATCGTGTCTGCTGATGCTAGCTCGCTTTCCGAACTCAATGCATGCTCATCGATCTTGCGGCCCGTGACAGGATCTAATGCGGCCACCTTTATTTTGATGTATCCCAACATCGTCTTGTGCAGCTGGATCGCGAACACCTCGGTGGCTGAAGCAGACAGCTGATAAGGCTCATCTCCGCTTTCGAGTCTGTGCGTCCATTTCACATCACCTGATGCTCCATCGACGCGATGAAGTGCAGGACGTTCGCCGCCCGTGAGGATGATTGCGTCTTTGGCAGTGGCGACATCTTTTCCATCACTGAGCTCCAGAATCTCCAGGTCTTTGATTTCATGCGCCAATTCTCGGCTCCAGGCAAGTCGGCCATCAGCAGCGCTCCATGCGGAAACTTGGTGGCCGGCTCCAGCAATAACAATATCTTGACCTGAGCCAGCCCGCAAGAAACCGGCATCCGAAAGGTTTCTAGGCAGTGAATGGCGCCAGACTAGCGAGCCATCTCGCGGGTTGACAGCTCCGACTATGCCTTCTTCGGAAAGAGTGTAGATGAGAGATGCCTTGGACGCGGGATTTGGCTGATGAAACAGTGTGGTCTCCTCCTTTGGTAGGCCTAGTAGTGGATGGTGATAGTCGACATCCCAAGCCTCGTCGGCAAAGATTGCGTGCGTCGATCTGAGGAGCAGCGTGGCCACTCCGAATAGTGGCAGGCGCATCGCGTTCAATTCCGAGCTGCGGGCGTGCTACATTGCGTGAGGTGTCTTCGACGCTGGAAGCAGGGCATCGCAGCACGGGCTTGGCACTCGTCTCGGCCCGAACCGGCGGTGCAACATGGACAAGAAGACATCATTGCAAGAAGCTGTACACTAATCATCGGCCCCAAAAGACAGGGTCGAGAGATGCGGCAGTTCGAGCCGTGTCTTGAGGGTGCTGTCCATGATTCAAGACAGCGTATCGGCTTCCCGGCCACTGGACCGATGCTTTGACGGCCGATCGGCTCATCTTTGCCATTGCAAAAGCATTGGAGCAGAGAGCGCCCGCCGCCCGCACCTCGGTGACGTGGATGAGGAGAGTGTGCGCGAACTGGCGGCCATCGCTGCGCAGGCTTCGCGTTTGGGAACGAGATCTGCAGTCAAATAGCGGCCATGGTGGCTTGCAGGATTGCATGAATGATCCGTCAAGATGTGGTTGTTGGCGTCGGCCACGCGGAGATCGCGCGAGCGACAGCCCTCTGTTGATTATCGTCCACATACAGAAGCGTCCCAGGGCCATACTGTCGGGTGCCATCCGGCTTTGGGTTGCGCGTGGCTGTTGCTCCGCTGCCCGCTTTTGCTAGTCCATCTCAACGAGCGGCGGGCAACAGGCCTGTGACTGGACCGCTTTCCAGCCTTTCCAACCACTTCGCCGCAGCTGCGCAACCCGATAGGTGCGCGGGCAGCGAATGAGGTGCTGCGCGGCCAGGAAAAATGCACCAGGCAGCTGAATCTAGCTGTTCGAGACTGTTGCAGGTGCGACAGACGCCGACGGGCATCGGCGGCGCAGCTCAATGCGTCGCGCTGCTAGCTTCCTAAGCGAGGCACGACATGGAGAGAATTATAGTCTCCTCCTGTCTTGTCCTTGTCAGGGAAGCCCTCACGTCGGCGCCGCAAGAGGCACCCTAACTTAATACTCCTAGATCGCTGCCATGGAACGCGACTCAATGGCTCCCCGAGCTACTGCACTCTACACAAAGAGTGGCCATTCCTCTCACCACCACTGCCCTCTTCCACATCCTGCTGCTGCCGTATCCGTCTAGTGCTGCGACCAACCACGCCGCACGAACCCGCCTCCGCGCCCTCGTCCTCGTGTCACATTGGACTGCAAGTCGGTTCTCCTCTGCATAGCGGCCTGCAGGCGTGGTGCAGCTGCTGCAGCATACACTTCTGTGCGACAGACGCACCTCGACCAAACGGTCGTCCCGAATACGCACGCTCGGTGCTGAACAGAACCTCACGGTGCCAGCAGAGACAGCCTCTCCAGCACCCAATGCATCATGTCTCGGGCAGGGCATCAGAGAGAATACCACATCGCCGTGCTGGGCTCGGGCGGTGTAGGCAAGAGCTGCTTGACCAGTGAGCCTGCCATCCTCGCGCAACGTCCTCGGCGCTAACCAGAAGCAGTGCAATTCGTGCAGGGCGTGTTCGTAGAACGATACGACCCAACGATTGAGGATTCATATCGCAAGCATATCGACGTCGACGGCAGACATGTGGTCCTGGAGATCATGGACACTGCGGGCACAGAGCAATTCAGTGAGTATCCACATTGATAGATGATCAGCACAAGGCAGCGGCTAACGTTTCACAGCTGCAATGAGGTATGCAAACACTTATGCGAACTGGTGCAGCGCAGCCTTCACTGACGATCGCTCAGAGACATGTACATGCGACTCGGCCAGGGCTTTCTACTGGTCTTCAGCATAACCTCTGCATCCTCCCTCCGCGAACTCGTCGAGCTCCGCGAGCAAATCGTACGAACGAAAAACGATCCGTCGTTTCCCATTGTCCTGGTAGGCAACAAATCAGACCTCGAGGAAGATCGAGCAGTGTCACGAGCAAAAGCATTCCAGCTGTCACAGAGCTGGGGCAACATTCCATATTACGAAACGAGCGCACGAAGAGCAACGAACATCAACGAAGTCTTCATAGATGTCTGCAGGCAGATCATCAGGAAAGATTTGGCAAAAGCAAGGCCGGAAGATGGGGATCGAAGACACCGGGAGCGCAGACGAAAGCATCGAGAAAATGGGGATCATCACGACCGTGATCGTGGCCGCAGAGACAGAGGCGGCTCGAAATGTACGATACTATGATCAAACACAACGACGACAGTCTCGTCAGCACTCCATGATCGCAAGGTCGCATGTCGGGTGAAGCTTCGAGGCTATAATGATACACATTACCCGAGAACCCGGTGTTTCGCAGAATTTCTGCACCTACACCTGTCAGCTACACCTGTCAGGACCAACGCTTCTGACACGCCCACAAGTGCATTTTCCACTGTGAGGTACAGAGGTGCTGAACAAAGGTGTAGGGCTTATCTCGGTGGTGACATCAGCATCACAGACTGCACGCAAAAAGTCTGCAGGTGCTACATACTAAAAGCAACTAGCGCTAGCAAATACTGCAAGGGACATCCAACAACCAGGTCACGAGCTTGCAAGTCAAGTCCTTGTCGCGCCGCGCGCCGAAGTACACGATGCATACGACCGAGTAGGTGTGAAACTGTGCCGCGGAAAACCGACACGGAACGAGTCATGGGAGCTTTTTTGCGGCTTCCGAAATGGTCAAGTACACGACTGACAGACAAACCGATGTTTACACCCTCGCGCGATATCTGGAACTTTGCAATCACGAATGTTAGTGAACCTATTTGAAGGTCCAACAAACTCACAACTACGAGCTATACCCGGCTGCCGGTCAGGGATTTCACTGAAACACCGCGGAACGGAACGTGGAAGTTTTGCAACATTGAACGACTCGGCATGCCGACCTGTCGCGGATATGCCATGAGTAGTTCTCCCGCATACGGACACAAAGGCAAAGTCAACGACATGTGAAGTAAAATCTCTATTCAGCTCCAAACAGCATGCACACAGCTGGAAGATAAGGTGAACATAGCACGACCGATCTATCTCTACGCATTCTCAAGCCAAGCAAAAGACACTCTCTCACGCAACCTCCTTCTTCTCCATCTCCAACCCCTCCGCAACATTCCTAACCACAACATCCAGATCCTCATTCTCCAGTCCCAGTTCATTCATCGCAAAATCTTTCCTCCCCTCCCAATTCGCATCAATAGCCCCCAACAACCAAACCAAATCCTCAATCGCCTCTTTACTCCCCTCGTCCCTCTTCTTCACCCTCTCATTCTTATACTCCTCCGAATCCAATCTCTTCACATTCCACTTCTCCCCCGTAACCCTCTCAAAAGCTCCTAGCACCTCATTCTGCGAAATACAAAAACTCTGCACATAAATCATTCGATTCGCAGTGATTTCTGGTCTTTGCAGAATGCGAACTGTGGCGAGGGCGACTTGGGCGAAAGATGATGCGGACCATTTTACGTCGCCGGAGTCGAGAATGTCCATGGATCGGGTGGGGTACCAGATGTGGAGGAATTCGAGACTCCAGTCGAAGAAGTGGCCGCAGACGAGACTGGTCCAGGTGAAAGTGGGATTCCCTTTGGCCAAGGAGATGAGGTATTCACGGAGGGCGGATTTGTTGCGGTATAAGGGGACGAGGTCTTGGGTTAGGGGGCTGGAGGAGTCGACGGAGCCGAAGTCGGCGGGGATGAGGCCTGTGGGTGGTGAGCAAGGCGGCTATGGAATGAGTAAAGGAAGTGTCGAGAAGGTACTTACGTTTGATGCCGGCGCGTACGGCTGCGTCTGCGATGCGCTTCTGAATGTCTACTTGATTGCCATTGATGGTGATGACGACGGCGTCGTGGCCTTTGAGCACTTCGACCAGTTCATCTACTTCGAATGCGTCGGATACGAAGGCTTCTTTTGGGTATTTTGACTTTGATTTGGAGGACTTGCGCTTCAGGACTGTGATGTCGAAGCCATTGTCTTTGAGGGCCTTGTAGACGCTTGGCCCTATATTGCCATCGGCTCCGAGCTGGACCACAGACTTGATGGACATGTTGTGCTATGTCACTGCTTCGCGATTCTCACGGCGTGAGATCAATTTGCCGCTATGCTCTAGAATCGGTCACGCGTTTTGTTGGGGCAGATGTGGGTGATGTCTGATCATTTGTTGTTATTGTTGTCGGTTGTTCGCCATCTGAAGTGACTCTTGCGGAAGGCATTGGGTCGGTTTACAGAGCGGCTTGCGTTGCCGAAGTCCGCCAGTACCGATTAAGAAGGTTATGCCTGGGAGAGCAAGCTGAGGATATGGTGGACTGGACAGTGTAGATATTATCGCGATATTCACGTCGAAGTGCAATTATCACTTTGCAAGGGAATGACTGGACTGTGCTACTGGGCTGGCGGTCTTCTGCAGATTCGTTGAAGCTTCTGGCTGGCTTCGGAGCTGCAGCCGTGACTGCGGCCGAGCTGTGCTGGTCCGCACTGTTGTTGCTGGTCTGACTGCATGCTCCGACTCTATGCCGTGATCCTCTCTCCCGCGGGAGTTGTCGAGATAGCGTGGAGGTGAGCAATTTGAAGTCCTCCAATGGCCCCCAAAGAAAGCAGAAAGAAGCGCAGACCGGCAGAAGCCGATCGGAATCAATGGTCACTTTAGCCTGTGATTGCCATCGACGGCGGAACAAACACGCTCACGCCTTCATTGTTACGGCAAGCTCGGATGCCTTGCTGGTGGCGAGAGAACGGATGCAGTGTTGTGCAACGCCAGGTTGATGTTCATCGGAGATGAGAGGCAAGTCAGAAGCAGAAGTGTTGGCGACAGATGGCTACGCCTATCCGTGCCTGTTCTGTGTTTCGGGCAAGCGTCGGCGAATGAGGATGCGGCTTCTCACTCTGCTCCGACAAGGCGGAAGTCAGTGAGCGATTGGAGAAATATATGTTGAGCAGTGATCGAGCGCTGGTCTGAATGAAAGACAGTCGACATCATAGTCGTGGCAGCGGACAGACAGAATATTTTGTCCGTATTGCAGCCGGCGTTGTTCGTCAGGTCTTGCTAAGCATCCACTGTAGCGTCATCCCGTGGCAACAGCGAAGCAGGGTCTCCAGCCTGGCAAATACCCCTCCACCTCCAAAACATTCAGCGGAGGCTCAACAAAATCTTTGATCTCACTCACACCAACAACAACTGCAACTCAACTACCACGACTGCGACTTGAACATCCACACACACTGCAATCATGTCTTCTTCCCTCGACCAGCTCAAGGCCTCTGGCACCGTACGTACTCCCGCTTCCTTCCACCGCCGCATTCGTCGGCATATGAATGACTCGAAGCTGATGGAAATCTATAGACCGTCGTCTGCGACTCTGGTGACTTTGCTACCATTGGCAAGTACAAGCCACAGGATGCCACCACCAACCCATCGTTGATCCTCGCCGCCTCGAAGAAGCCAGAGTACGCGAAGCTCATCGACGAGGCTGTTCAATACGGAAAGAAGCACGGCAAGAACATCGACGAGCAGGTTGATGCCACACTAGACAACCTCCTTGTGCAATTCGGCAAGGAGATTCTGAAGATTGTGCCGGGCAAGGTGTCGACTGAGGTTGATGCGAGATTCTCGTTCGACAAGCAAGCTTCCATTGACAAGGCTCTACACATCATTGAGGTACGCGGTCTATGAGTAAGGTGTGCGCAGGAAAATGCTGACTGTGGGAATAGCTCTACAAGGAGGAGGGAATTGACAAGTCTCGCGTGCTGATCAAGCTTGCATCGACATGGGAGGGTATCCAGGCCGCCCACGAGCTCCAGAGCAAGCACGGTATCAACTGCAACCTCACCCTCATGTTCTCGCTCGTGCAAGCCATTGCTGCTGCTGAGGCTGGTGCTTTCCTCATCTCTCCATTCGTCGGCCGTATCCTCGACTGGTACAAGGCCAACACCAAGCAAGAGTACAACGCGCAAAACGACCCAGGTGTCAAGTCGGTGCAGCAAATCTTCAACTACTACAAGAAGTTCGGCTACAAGACCATTGTCATGGGTGCATCCTTCCGCAACATTGGCGAGGTCACCGAGCTGGCTGGTTGTGACTACCTGACCATCGCTCCAAACCTCCTCGAGCAGCTCTACAACAGCACTGATGCTGTGCCAAAGAAGCTCGCCTCGGAAGATGCAGGCAAGCTCGACATCGAGAAGAAGAGCTACCTCAATGACGAGCCAGCATTCCGCTTCGACTTCAACGAGGACACCATGGCCGTGCACAAGCTGTCTGAGGGCATTAGCAAGTTTGCAGCTGACGCAGTCACGCTCAAGGATATCCTCAAGGAGAAGATCAACTCTGCATAGATTGGGACGGGCTGGATTGTGAAAAGCAGATGAGGAACTGAGGGCCACATGCATTAACGAGATTGAATGCCTTTTTGTAGCGAATGAATGAAAATACCCAAATGCACCAGATTTCCTTGTTCAGAAGCTGTGCCATAGAAAGAAATCACTCTCGGACTGTATCCGCGTTTAAAATGTCCGACTTGGCCAATTCGCTTGCAAATCAGGAATGCCCACAGCGAGCATCTCACGGCCGCGATCGGTTGTTTCAGGGCACGTCATGGCGAGGTGGGGTTCGCGCTTTCCCCTCCATCTCCGAGCTGTTGCAACACTTTCCTGCCTGCCTTCGAATCTTTTCTCCAAACACAACAGACGTTCAACTCATCAAGAAACATCAAAGGGAACCCGAAACCAAATATATACCGACAAAAACACCGCCACAATGGTCAAAGCAGGTACGTCGAGTAGCGTACCAGTCTCTCATTCGCCCAATGCCGGGGTTTGGTGGAGCTAGTCATCGCAAGAATGAGCAGGTTTTTTGCTGTTACTCCTCATTCGATGCACGCGGCGGTTTGTTCATCAAGGTGAATGAACGTGACGGGCGCGTGCGTGCGTCTGGGTAACGCGGAGACCTGCGTCAGCGGTGGCAGCTCTCACGGCGAGGGGCCCGAGACCATCAATGTCACAAATTTTGATCCGCAGTTGTGCTTGTGCTGATATGTCATCTCCATCATAGTTGCCGTCCTCCGTGGTGATTCCAACATCAAGGGCACCGTGACCTTTACTCAGGAGAACGAGGGTTCGGCCACGACGGTGGAATGGGATATCACTGGTCACGACGCCAACGCTGAGCGTGGTATGCACGTTCACGCTTTTGGCGATAACACCAATGGTTGCACCAGTGCTGGTCCTCACTGTGAGTACCTGTCCGACATGCTCTGTCTAGTCCATTGTGGAGTAGCATCCGGCTGACTGACACTCTCTTACCAGTCAACCCACACAACAAGGAACACGGTGCACCAGAGGACTCAGAGCGCCACGTCGGCGATCTCGGAAACTTCAAGACCGATGGCCAGGGCAACGCAAAGGGCTCTGTCCAGGACAAGCTCATCAAGCTGATCGGTCCAGAGAGCGTTCTCGGCCGTACTGTTGTTGTGCACGCTGGCACTGATGATTTGGGCAAGGGCGGACACGCTGAGAGCAAGAAGACTGGTAACGCTGGTGGCCGTCCAGCTTGCGGTGTCATTGGTATTGCTGCATAAGCTTTGCCAGATTGGCAATGGATACATCAATGCAATGAGGAGGGAGATATGTCTGGTGTGATCACACATGGGCAGCAGTAGTGGTATGATGATACGATGATGTGAATGAGAAAAGACGTATGTGTAGATGAATAGTACATACATACTATCGGCAAAAGCACAAAGTTGATGGTATATTTGTTCTTCTCGCTGCACTGTGAGCACGATGTCTCACCTTGTGGAACACGCATTGATAACGAGCTTGAAGATAGGAAAATATGACATGAAAGGCGATATGGCTTTTGAGATCACATGTATCTATCCTCAATTCCCAGCAATGCTCCAACAGAGCAAGACACGTCCAGCCGAGACGTGCATTTCACCCAGCCATTCCAGGCACCAGATTTCTTACGCTTTCACTCAAGATGCCAGTATTTCTTGAGCAGCCCAGTAGATCGATCCACACTTTTTCGATTGACAAAGTAATCTATGTAGAAGTACCCGAACATCCAACAAAGTTGTTCCCGCTAGCTCCAGTGTGAGTAATGGCACCAGCGTATCGTCCAGCAGTATTGAACACAACACGGTCTGGACCGGGTGAGCCACCAGTGTAGACGTTTCCACTCTGCAGGATGGGGAATTCTTGGTATGGACCTGAAACAGCGAAGTTGAAACCTAGATTTTCAAATGGTCAGTCGAAACTTCGAAGTATGTGGAAATTGTAGGTTGTTTCTTACCTTCACGGTTGTTATATTGATGAGGATAGTCGTTGCTGCCGACTTGTTGGCCGTTTTGGTAGTATCTGTAGCCTTGGTTGAGGGCTGCGCTGACGGCGCCAGAGGAGTAGGAGAAGCTACCGCATCGGGTGGCGGATTGGCGTTCGATGAGCTCGGCTGGGGCTGCGGTTGGGGCGGAGACGGTGCTGACTGCGAAGAGCAGAGCGGTGGTGATGAAGGATGTGAGCTGCATTTTGGCTTTTCTTTATATGATATTGAGGAGCGAAGGTGGTTCGAGTGAGAGGCGGTTTCGCCTGGGCTGGGCTGTTCTGGCTGGGTGACCTGGGGATTTCTGGGTGAGGTTTCTGCTGCTCGTCTCCTAGGAAGGCTGTTGATGAGGGGAGTTGGAGATCCTGTACTTATACCATAGTCAATGTAGCTTTCGCTAATACTGTTTTGCAGCGTCTATCACTTCGCGGACGAATAGCCAAGTCGAGCTGAAGCAGCGCACCACGTTCCCTATCGCATGGCAGAATGTAGGACACGGAGGACAGCGCTGCCAAGCTATAGCTGCACGACCGCTGATCCAGAGTACGAGCGGCATGAACAATGTTTCGTTGCTGCACCGAAACAGCCAGTCAGCCGGCGTGAATGGCAGTAGACTGCAAAGTCACGATAGTAGTGATCGACAATTTAGGCGATGGCCCCAAGGCTTGTGCAGCTTGGAAGGGAAGGTCAGATGCAGCGAGTAATGCTACGTTGGATTGACCTGAGAAGAGCTTGGAGAGATAAGACCATACAGCATTGAGCATTGGCGCACATGGGCACAGGTGATGTTAGCTTCTTGGGCCCCGTTTGGACAAGCGGGCAACGCGCTCGTGCTGTGTCTCGGACGGAAGCGCTGCAGAAGGGTTGATCATGTTACGATAGGTGAGGGCGTCGTCCAGTAGAAAAACGAAGAGTTCGGAGATGTTGCAGGAAAGATGTGAGGTTTGGAGCCAAGATCGGCATGAGGATTTTGCGCGTTTGCCCAGAAGCAGAAGGAGCTTCCGGATGGTGTTGTCCTATTGCTCCCAAGATCTCATTCGTGCAGCAGCGCTGCCTTGGTTGATGTTGCGCTTGCTGCAGGCACGGAGCTGAAGGTGTGCGCGGGTGCTGCGATGCTGTTCGTCGAGAGGTTGCGTTTCACTTCGCCGAGGCGAGAGGCGAGCGCCGCCCGTTGTTGCATTCTGGACGACAAGTCGGACGTGGTGCTCGTGCTCGTGTACGCGGGCGTACAACTTGCTAGGCGGGAACTTTTAGACGTCATTGATATCTTGTCCTGCATGTGAAAGGTAGGATGAGAGCGACATTCCTTACCAGTTTGCGAAGAGTAACAACAACACAATCGAACATTGGAGCTCTGAAGACATTTACAGTACAGCTTCAGCAACAACGTCACCTACCAAGCTCGACCAGACCATTACACAACATGCCTCAGAAATCCGGCCTCGTAGCCAACGAAACAGTACGGCAATCCACTCAATACTCTGCCCTCGAAGGCCTCATCACAAACGCCGCCGAAGCAAGCCCTCTGCAACGATTCTGTGAGCCAGTCGAGCAAAAGCTACAATCAAATGAGGCACCAGACGAGATAGAAGAAGAGTTGAACATTGGCTGGAAAGCCATCATCACAAGAGCAGCAGCTACACCTCATGGAGAAAGTGGTCGATCCGCTCTGGCTGCATTTCTGGTCAGCTTGTCGCAGAAACGAGCAGATGGGCAACAGCCTGATAGCTCGTATGGCACAGTGCAAGATATGAAAGTGTGGCAGGACCTGCCGACATTTGGATGGTCTGTGAGAGATGCCTGGAATTTCCGTACGTTCAATCAACATTGTGGACGAGAGGGAAGCAGTGTATAGCTTTCGACATTTAGGATGATTTGACTGATCTCTCATAGCCGCTGAGGACAATGCTCCCCTAGAAGAGAAGCAGCGATGGATAAACGTCAATGCCTTCGTCGCCACGCTCGTCGATCAATTACAAGATAAGGCGAACAATAATCCCGACCTTTCGCTTTTCGCCATTTGGACAATCCGAGACGCTCTTGAGGAAGACAACGTATCAGATCCTGCTGTGGCAGCAGCCAGTGTTTGGTTCATCTATGCAGCTTCTGCATTATTGAACTTCAGCAAGAACCAGAAGTCGTTCGAAGGCAAAGTGGCGAAAGGTGGATTTGCTCATAAGGATGCGGGCTGGACAGGTTATTCGCCAGCGAGATGGCAGGTATGGCAGCAGAGGCTGGATAACATCAGAGGTGAGGTGAAGAGAGAGGAGACCAAGCAGTTGGTGCAGGCTGCCATTGATGCTATCGGCAAGACCAGTTGAGGTGACTGGTGTGACTGTTACAGGTCGTGAAGGAGGAAGTAGCAATGCCAAATATCTTGAAAATGACCTGGTGTATGCGGTGCATGCAGCAAAAGTTGTCGAAGGTCTTTCTCCTCCTGGCCATTGCTCTTGATGTGGTTCGCGAGAGGACACGGCTAACTGTAGGATTAGGCTCAAGGTGAAACGTTGAAAATATCCGACGCTTATGCCGACATTCAGGGAGACCTGCGGACGGAAAGTGAGGAGATTGTTTTGCGGATCATACTGGCGAGCATCACAACGCAGTTCTACCTCGTACACCTCGTGAAAGTCGGGACAACGTGTGTGGCCCAAGCCAGCTGAAGGGTAGGTGTACGAAGGGATTCTGTGGTGCAGCAAGCGCGAGTGGTCGCCCATTGCTGTGTGTTCACGATTCATGCGCGCAGATCTGGTTGCGTGGTTGAGAGATTACTCCGGCCTGGTTTGCCAAATCAAGCTGATCGTCGAGCAAGTTGCGCAAGCCGCTCGTTCCATGCGAGTGTGCAGAGTGGCTGACCAGCCATGTCTAATTGGGTTTGCAGTGTTGATGAGCATCTCATAAAAATCATGAGAACCGGAGACGTTCATAAGCTCGTGACTTTACCCCTTCTCCACACTGGAGATATGGCAATTTGACTCTGCCATGAGCGACAGAATTTACCAGTCGGGTGGAGGAACTGCCAGAGTTGACAGAGATGGGATATGGTAGCTCCCGCAAAGGGTGCAATATCAACCAGTCATCTCGTTTGCCAGCTTCATCCGCTGCAGGATTGGAGACCGGAACGGTTCGTGGTGTAGCAGGGATCTCGCGCAATGAAGTGTTTGGATCTCCGGTGGTATGCCATGCTGCACGAGTAAAGCCGCAGTATAGAGGGGGGTCTCGCGGGTGTCCCGTTATTTGGATATGATTGGTGGTGAAGGATCATTTCGCTGCATGGCGTACCTGCCAAGGAGAGATTCGTGTCGCTGACAGGGCGCTCTATACGATGGGTGGGTGTGTTGCGGTCAGTACGGAGGGTCTGGTCTGCGAACTCTGGTACGGCGGGCAGCAACGTCGAAGAGAGGATGGCCAGAAGACTGCTTCTTCAGGGTGGAAAGGCAAGACTCAGTGCTGAAACACTCGGCTCTTCTCTCCGTGATGGAGGACGCGGGACATGCGCAAACTCTGTTGCGGCCATGCACGTGGAGTGATGTCGATGCAGAGACGATCGCACGCGCGTGTGAGGAGGCATTGTGGGTTGACGGGAGAAGATGGCATGCAGACGGGCGTCTGGACTCGCAATATGGGTTCTTCGAAGTATTGCCGGGAGAGACAGCGCATGGATGGTGGTGGAGAATGCAGGGTTGGTGAACCTCCGGAGGCAATTTAGCGGGCTTCGCGCTCTGCGTCTGGCGAACGAGAAGTTGCCGCCGCGCAAGCCTCCCATCGAGCCATCGCCTGAACGTGTTTCATGTCTCTCTGGAAGCTGCGACCGCTGATTCTCCTCTGCGACAACCGCTGACCACCGACGACCACTTCGCACGCACGCCCGACACCTCCTGCGTGCGCCTCCGACTCTCTCTCTCCCGCCGCCTGCTGGAAAGGAAAGGCACGAGACCGCCGCGCCCTCACTCGCTTGCAGCACCACCACCGCCGACCACCGACACACGCCCACCGACCCCGAGACGACTCACGCTCCTTTACGACTTTCCATTTCTTCTCTCGCGCCCGCCGAGCACGCGACAGTCAGAGCGCCGGCGCCCAGTGCGAGCAGTTGGACCACGTTCTTTGTGACCGCTGCACATCCGCCGCGCGTGCGCTCAGCCGCCCACCAGAACCGCTCTCCCAACTATCGACACTCGCTTAACCCGGTTTCTTCGCGCGCGCGACTTCAGTAATTCATGCCCAGTTTCGGCAGCAGCACCAACTCGCCGTCGCTGCAGAAGATGGAGATGGGCGGCCACGGCAGATACAATGCGGGCCGAGGGTTCAGCTTGGGCAACATTGCAGGCGATCCATTCTGGCTCGGATCTATAGGCATTGGCATTGTGAGTGAATGCGCGTGCATGCTATGGATTGGGACTAACATCGGACAGGCTGGTTGGATGATCGCATTCGTCGCCTCCATTATTGCCGACATCAATTCTACATTCCCAAACTACTCCTGGTGGAGTCTGGCATATATGCTAGTATGCATCATCGGGGTCATATATGCTGTGGGAGCGGATGTAATTTACACTTACCGCATTGCCTTGACGGGCTTCCTGGCTGCTGGTCTGGTGTTTACAACGTCCGCTGTGAATGCGCTGATCTACTTCCCTGAAGCCGCCAAAGAGGCCGCCGCGGCGGGATTCATTCTGCTGTCAATTGACTGCGTATGTTGAACTTCTTCATACAGACTCCACAATTTGCTAACTTTGACCCAGATCATCTGGATGTTCTACTTTGGCGCCGAGCCGCAGGCAAGCCATCGCCAGACGCTTGACTCTTTCGCGCTCCACAAGGACCGCGCGCCCAGCCGCAACAGCAGGGCAATGAGGCAGTCATACCGACCGGAAACGCTGCACTCAAACGCGCAACAGCCGCAGATGTACAACTCCAACAACCTCCAAGGATTCGAGACAGCCTCCCCAATGACCGGATATCCTGGCGCTGCGCAGAATAAGGGATACCCACAACAACCACTACGATCAGAGCCAAGCGCCTCCGGCATGAGCGCTAATAACACAACCGGAGTACCAGACAGCTCCGTCTCGCAGCCCACAGAATACCCATACCGAGCGAAAGCAATATACAGCTACGAAGCAAACCCAGATGACGCCAACGAAATATCCTTCACCAAGCATGAAATTCTCGAAGTCAGCGATGTGTCTGGAAGATGGTGGCAAGCGAAGAAGGAGAACGGCGAGACGGGTATTGCCCCGTCAAATTACCTGATTTTGTTGTGAGAGAGCGCACCACACTTTGGTTCTGTTTTTTTTGAATTTGGATTGCACGAAAGAAATTGTGCAGAGGAAGTATACACATGCTACCAGAAAGAAAGTCCATGTGCGGGAAGAAAAGTGCAACACGACCACACACACAGAGAGTGAAAGTGAGAGTGCGAGTGAGAATTAGTCATGATAACGAAGTTTCCGGCAATCCACACTATTACCAACTTTCAAAAGACTCTTTAGTATGAAGGCTCACGGCTGGTCACGATTGCAAGCGCTTGCACCCTGGACACAGCAGTTTGGTACCAAATGACAGCGCTGGATGCAATGATGAAGCAGGAAAGAGAACGGCAATCGCCACGGTACATATAGGAAGGCAAAGAGAATCTCCTTCCTGCCAGGTGGAGGCATCTGCAGCTTCTTCGCTGCCGAATTCGGGGATCAGCTGAAGCAAGACTGGACGCAAGACTGAGCCTTGCTGGAGAAGGGATCCGTTTTCTTTCGATATTGTTACTTGTTTGGCGATGGCGATGGCGAGGGCGATGGCGTTTTCTTTCGGGAACCGGTGGAAGGAGTCTCTTTCTTCTTCTTGATGTTTAGTGATTCTGAGGAGCGAGCGAATGCCGGTATGATGTTTCTGGCAGTGGAGATAAGGTTAAAGGCCGAGATTTACTTCAGCACAATGATGCTGACTTGGAAATAGCACAGTCGCCATACCCGAACTCTGCTGCATGCCAGTTTTATGTTTTCACCCACCGGACACGGACTGCACTCTTTCCGGGGGACGAGATGTCGTGGAAGTGGATGCATGTAGCCTGCGAAACACGCAATGGCTCTGCCAAGTCATACTAACTCGCGGCCTGCCTGCCTGCCTAGAACACTACAGCAAGGAGAATACTAATCATGATGCGCATTCGTGCTTATAGTTGAGCATCCTTTGTGCATCGAATTGCACGCACAGTATACGCTATCCGAATGATGAAACTGCACAGGGGAAGGTGCTATAGTCTCTCGGTCATGCGATCCATTCAGAGTCCCATACTGGGTTCACAATTCTCGGCTTGCTTTGCACAGGGGGACTAATGATCGCAATGCAGATTTGTGCTGCTGTTTGAGCATCCGATGTGCATTTGAGAACGGTCGACATGCGCGACATGCTCGACATCGCGCTCGGCAGCAGCCTCATGGATCTGATGTTGATACAAAGGACAGATCTTCTAGCACAAGGGTGAACTCTTGACAGTGCAACAACTTGTCTCTTATTCTCACCGCACGCTGGCTGCCGCTTTATCGCAACCCGTACGATGTCGCCTCCAAACACAGTCAACGAAGCATTGCACAAGAAATACGAACAAGAAAAGAACAAACGCTTGAAAGAGTCGGGCCTCAGTCAATACGTCGATGTTCGATCGCAAGGCCTCGAAGCTCTTGCTAGAGATCCTTGGGTTGATTACGACGATCCCAGAGTCAAAAACCCTCCTCTTAAAGACGGCGACAGGATCAAATATCTTATTACGGGTGCCGGAATAAATGGCGTTGTCTTCGCAGGACGATTGATTGAGGCTGGCATCAGTCGTGAAGATGTCGTATGCGTCGACATTGCAGGAGGCTTTGGTGGCACATGGTACTACAATCGCTACCCTGGAGTCATGTGCGACGTCGAAGGCTACTGCTACGTCCCCTTTCTCGAGGAAACGGGTTATCAGCCTCGACATCGATACTCTTATGGCCATGAGATCCGAGGTCAAATTGAACGAAGCGTCGATCACTTCGGAATCAAGGGACAGTTGTGCACGAGCGTTGACTCGCAGATCTGGGATGAAGACGAAAAGCTCTGGATTGTCACTATGACACGTACGGTTGGTGAGCCGTCCATTTCCACGACTTTCACCGTTCATGCAGAATTCGTTCTCCACTCGAACGCTCCTTTCCTCTTACCAAAAGTGCCTGAACTACCCGGCTGGGAGGAGCTTTATCAGGCGAAACACGTGTTCCATTCGGCTCGCTGGGACTACGATTACACTGGTGGTACCCAAGAGAAGCCTGATCTCGTGAGGCTCCAAGGGAAGCGTGTTGCAATCATCGGCACTGGTGCAACAGCCGTTCAGATCGTGCCCGAGCTAGCAAAATGGGCGGACCACGTTTACGTTGTCCAAAGGACACCATCTTACGTTGGAGCACGGGGACAAGTAGAAACTACCCCAGAGAATTGGGCCAAGATCACGAGTGAGAAGGGTTGGCAACGTAAGCGGAGGACTATCTACGATGCATACGTGAGTATGAGCAAAGGCGCTGGCCCCGACGTCATCAACGATGGCTGGACACAAACTCCAGCCGGGTCTGGCTTTCTCGGTTCCAATTCAAAGCTCGTTACACCCGACAAAGTTGAAGAACATATCAAGGAGCTGTATGCGATTGACTTTCCACGTACGGACTTGATTCGCCAACGCGTTGAAGATATAGTCAAGGACAAACGCACGGCTGAGAAGCTCCAAGCATGGTACGGAAGCTGGTGCAAGCGGCCTTCTTTCCACGACGAATACCTTCAAGCATTCAACAAGCCGAACGTAACCCTCATTGACACAGACGGCAAAGGTCTCGACGGTTACACCAAGAACGCGATCCTATTCGATGGAGTCGAATATGAAATCGATGCCCTCATCCTAGCTACAGGTTTCACATTTGACCCTGCACTCGACCCATCCGAAAAGATGGGTACAGTCATCCAAGGACGAAATGGTCTAACCATGAAAGACTACTGGAAACAACCCGAGTCCGGTACGGTCTTCGGAATAGCAATGCCCGGTTTTCCCAATATGTTCGGCACTTTCCCTCGTGGCTCACCAGGCACGTGGAATTCTGTGTCCATCATGGAAATGGCAGCGACGCTCATAAAAGGCATTTTGCAACAAGCGCATAGACAGGCAGGAGACGGCGAGCGTGTTGTCATCGAAGCTTCGAAAGAAGGTGAGAGGCGGTATGGCGAGGAAGTTGCGAAACGAGCTGCATGGTTTAGTGCGCTACCGACGTGTACTCCTGGATACTTTACTGCAGAGGGCGCGGCGAGTTTTCAGAAGCAGGAGCAGAAGTCCGAGGAGGAGAAATTCAATGAGGCGAAGAAGATGCCGTGGGGTGCTGGGCCGGTAGACTTTCGCGAGATGACTGAGGAGTATGTAGCGAAAGGGAGCCTCGAGGGGTTCCAGGTTGAGTTAGTAGCTTAGAGAGCGTTCGGGTATCCGCAAGGTCTTCTGCAATATCTTACCTCCAGAGTGTCTAAGCGGAAGTCGCTAGGCCACCTTCTATACTGTACAGAGAGTCCACCAAGTTCTCGAGTCTTGACCTAGCCATGAGCAAGGCCTTTGCTTACCGCGAGCCTCCAAAACTCCAGGTCGAACACACGACGTAATTTTTATTCACATTGATGGACTGTAGTCGTCAGCCACACCAGGGTCAAGAGCAAGGGCCAAGCCATCGGCTGGTGCGGTTCGCTCGGCTCTCGTTTGGTCTTTCCGAAGAAACCTTGGCATCATCCACGACCAACTTCCTTCCAGCTACCAAAATATCACACTCTACACTGCTCAAACTTGCGCGAAATCGGAGGCGGTAGACCGAAGTACGTTAGCGCTCACCCTCATCATACTTTGATGATGAATTGTTACCTCGCCGTAACAACATACCACTCGGTGTTTCCGGGGAAAGACATACGCAATTGCTCTGCAGCAACTACGTCGTTCCCAAGAGCTCCAAGAATCTTTCGCACCGGCTAACGGCAACCCTCAAGAATGACTGTTCCACTTGGCTCCTGCAAGTCTGTACCCGTGATTGGTATCTCAACAATGATAGCGTCTCCGAAACCTTGGGCCAAGGAAGCATTTCTGTCTGCCTGACCGGTCTCCAGCATGCATAGCGCAAGACCCCTGCTGTACATGTGACGAAGCGGCCCCGTAGAGGTGAATAGCGGCCAATTACTAGCCACGAATGCGTCACTAGCCACGGATTGCGTGGCTGCAACGGCCTGAACGAGGACATGTGGATAGGATTATGTGGGTCACGGAGTTCTTAGTCCCTTCCGAACAGGCTATTTGCGTAGGAGAAGACCAAACGAATGGTGCAGATAACAGGTATGCTGAGAGAACATAAATAGGCATCAGCCCCCCATCTAGACAAATCTCCACAGATCACCAGCCACAACAACGATCAACTCTCCATACCAAGCCCATCAATCGTTTATCAAGCAACCAGAACAACCAACAAAACCACACCCAAACGTTATCTACATCCACATCAAACGAGCTTCTCTCTACAGCGCTGATGAAATCTCCAAACCGCGCCGACACCTTTGGCTCCGACACCACCGCAGCCTCCTCCTCATCAAAACTCACCTGGAAATCCACCACCTCATCGCAAACGACCAACAAGAATAGAGCCTACAAGCCCAAGAAACCCAAGGCTCAAACCGTACAATTCTCCGATGTGGGACGACACAGTAACCAATGGCTCTTCAACGACATGTCCATCTCCGACGCAGTCAAGACGCTCTTCGGGAAGAAGTAAGGTGAAATGAGGAGAAAACAAAAGAAGGGGTTGGGCTGCGTGTTTGCAAAGATGAGAAGAATTTGATGTTTGAAGGTCCATCTCGAAGAAATTGACACGAGGCCTTCCAAGTCATTGAACGAAAGGCATCCTGCAGAAACCATTTCTGGCACCGCGAATATTTCGAAGATGAGATTCGGTCTCGACGAGAATCCCTCTTCCGGAGGCACTGATGAGTGGATATCGATGCGGAAGAGTTCTTGGCCTGTGATTGTTCAAGAGATGAAGGCCGAAAGTTGATGAGCTCTCTCGATGAGGGCTTCCCAGAAACGGATACAAGAAATTGGCCGCTCTGCGCGAACTGGTGTGATACTCACGCATCCAGTGGGGAGATCGAGAAGATGTGTTGGACTGTTCTCCGAGGGAGATGAATTGTGAAGTCAAGTGTATCTCGATGGAATCGATCTCTTCGAAGGCACTGACTGTGTGGATTTGGGATCTTTTCTCGATTGCGATTTCCCGGAGATGGGGGAGTATTGGAGACGAGAAGAATGCATGGCACGAGTTTTTCTTTTTGGAATGTATGGTACACTTTTTGCCGATTCCGTCAATTGCTTTTTGGCTCTACCGAGCTGTCTCCCAATGATCATTACAAGGTGTTTTTACAGTCGCGTGCCATTGCCATTTTGGCCGCCAACTTCGGCATCGTCGAGAATCCTCACAACGCCCCTGCCGGCGTCCGCATTGACTTCTTGCCCATCTTTACCCACCAGAACGGCGTGTGGTTCGCCCTTATCCTCGTCGTAGTTGAGAGTGTTCTTGATGTGACCTACCAGTTTGAAGTGTATGGGTGTCTTAGCGAGCCACCTCAGCGTGAATGCTGGCGATGTCGCCCAGTTCAATTTGGCAGTGAAAGCAGGCCTTTGAATCCTCGGGTCAGGCGCACAAGTCATCAGTGCATAGCCTTGGAAAGCCATGCTCTTGTTCACTGAGAAGAGCAAGATGACATGTCGGGCCGTTTTGAAAGCATGTGTTAGCATCTCTTCATTCTTCTCTTGAGTGGCCCAAATGTTCGTTCGTTGAGCTTCCTCTACGTTCTGGTGATTCCAGGACTTCAAGATGAAATATCTTACACCTGGGGTCAGTGTTAGGAGACAGATCTTGCTCTAACAAAGCGACGAATGGTGAGAGGAACTCGGTAAGGTAATCGCAAGCTGCAGCATTCAACGCTGCATATCAGGTTCTTCTGCCAACGTATATCCCAAAATCGTGCAATGAATGTGAGATATCAGCGGGGATGAAATTTGGACTGACCGCCTTTCTGAAGTTCCAGTCCTGCACTCGGCCGATAGCTCGAGGCGGCCTCACGACCAGCTGCTCTACCTTGGCGTGGGGCGTTGAACGCGCCCGAGGATCGCGCATAGGGAGGATTGTAGTGATCGTAACGAGGCTGCTGGTCGTCATCCCGACGATAGTATTGGGCACGACGCTCCAGAGAAGGATCGCGGCTGTGACTCGATAGGGAACCTCTGTCATCTATCGACGAACGTCTCCGCGCATCTGGATATGCGACGCGACGCTCGTACCCTGGACTTGGAGAACGACGCCCGCGACGAGCACTGCCTGGACGCGATTGAGGCGAATCCTTGGCACCACGAATGCGGAAGCCATTCTCTTCACGCTGGCGCTTTTCCGCCAGTGTAGTCTCAGGCGACCGTGCACGCTTGGTACCGTTGATCTGCTGGGCAGTGGCCTGGCCATTTGGCAGGAACTGGGGTAGCGGAGGCGGTGCCATGTTGGGACGTTTGACGTTGGGAGTACCGATCCGCATCTGCTGCATCTCAGCCTGTTCGGCTTCGCGCAGCTTTTCGAGCTTCTCTGCAATGCGAGCGGCCTCTGCCTCTAAAGCTCTCCTCTCCTTGTAAGTACGAAGCTTTGAGTTGCGGTATTCGACGTCATGGTAGCCAGTCATGTCAAGCCATGCTGCAAGGTCAGTGTAGTAAGAACCTGCGAGGTTAGTCGGGGGGCTTGTAGACGGTGAAGACCCAGTCATGTGGTGCCCTGCGAGCTGCTCAGTAGCCTCAACTCTGGCCGCCGCCGAGTCCCGGCCACTTCCGTTGTCCGTCGAGGTCTGATGTTGGTCCTTGCCCTCAGCAGCACCTGTCTTCAACTCCTTCTGCTTTGTTGCTGCGATATGAGCATCGGCCTGTGCTTTACCGGCTGCCAACAACGCCTCCAAGTCCTTGTCGACCTTTTCCTCTTGTATCTCTTCTTGCGTCCGCTGCTGCGATTGTGGGACAGGAGTAGGAGATAACTTTGACGATGATTTGGTGGGAGTGTTGGTAGAAGTGGCGTTAGCAGGCGCTAAAGCCGCTGCCGGCGACGCTTTTGCTGGTGTATTCTGGCGCATGGCCACCAGTTTGGCACGCAGGATCTCGGCGCGTTTCTGGTTCTCGAGCTTTTTGGCTGCATCAGACTGCGAGATTGCCTCTGGTGGCTTCTGCTCCACGGCCTGTTGGAAGTCAGTCCACCCACGAACGCTTGCCCGCCCCTCCCGCCCGTGTCAAACATCGAGTAGCGCGCTGAATCGGTAATGTGTTGAGGGAAGTGCAAGATACTTACGCCAGGCTCCGACTGTCCATTGGCATTGGTGGTGCTGTTGTTGTCGGCAGCGTAGAAGCTATCGTCGCCATCGTCGACTTCTTCAGCAGGATAGGACTGCATCGGCGCGGCGGCGGCGAACATGGCCATGGGGTTGCTCCAATCGATGTTGAAGTCTTCCATGCCGATGTCGTGGACCGCGATTGTCGCGGTTGCGGTGGTGCAATGGAAAGAGCGTGTGCAAGCTAGGGAAAGTCAATTGCGGCACGCGTTTCTTGGGGAAGCATCGGCCGGAGATGTCCCGGGCCGGACCTTGACGACGACTTGATGCCTGTCACGCCAGCGGCCGCGCGAAGCTTCCATCTTGCGCGCTCCTCACTGTGCACCGCGCAATGGCCGCGTGTACTGCCCACGAGCGCGTCTCAACGCCGCTCCGTGTATGGCATAGACCTCGTTCCACACGGTAGGTCCACAGCCGCCTTTACGCAGGCACGAAACAGCAACAGCAGTCCGCACGTCACACAGCTATCGCGAATGTGAAGACGATTGCGCATTCACGGCAGCACAGCACAGGACAGGCATCCAGCGACGGACTGCTGTAATCCCTGCTACCTCCATCTCTGTTATCGACCTCACCTTCCGTTCGCATCTCCTCAAGCCTCTTGACCTGCACTGACTACAGCAATGCTGACTTCGGTCTTCCCGCTGCTCTTCGCAGCGCAACTTGCGGCAGCGCAACTCTTGTCACAGGGCAAGCAGCAACCACTGCAAGTGCCGACGGCGGTAATGTGATCCAGCAGGGCCTTGTCCAGGCATGGGGCTGATGACTCGGGCAGTGCCAGCTTCTCGCCGCTACCTTCCCGGACTCAGTTGCCAAGATCAACGAGAAGCAATACAAAGAGAGCCAGAGTGCATATTGGTCAGCACAACAAGCCTCCCTTCAACCAGACTGCCGCTTCTACCCCAGGGGCGCGCGAGAGATCCAAGAAGCACTAGCCGATATCCTGCTCCCCTACAATGTCACTATCGCAGTTACTTCCGGTGGTCGGTCTTCAAACACTGGCGCTTCGAACGTTCAAGATGGAATCACCATCGACATGTCCAGACTGAATCACACATATTTGGTCGATGACGGCCAAGCTGTTGCCATCGGAGTTGGCGCTCGCTGGGGCGATGTTTACAGAACGCTCGCCAAGTACAGCCTAACAGTGGCAGGTAGCAGAATAGCTGACGACCATGTGGGAGGCCACGCTCTTGGCGGTGGTATCTCTTGGTTCGCGGACGAGCACGGCTGGACATGCGATGGCATGTACGAGCTGGGCCTTGTAACTCCGCAAGGCCAAATCCTGTGGGCGAACGAGCACTGGAACGAGGATCTCTTGTGGGCTGCAAAGGGATCCTTAGGGACGTTCGGTGTCGTGACCGAGATCAAGCTTCCGACTATCAAGAATCGGAATATGTTTGGTGGCATCACGACTCATGCAGCAGATCAGGCTCCACTGCTGTTCGAAGCATTGCAAGCAACGGCTGACCATGCCAACAATGACCCAGCGCAGTCTGCGTACCTCTCTTTTGGCCGGCTCCCAGGCAAGAAGGACTGGCGATATAGGGCACATCTACTGAACACCGAACCTCGAAAGCAAAACAAGGCTCTGGATATGTTCATGAACGTACCCTCGCGTAGCAACAGTCTCCGTGCCGCAACGCTTATAGACATCGCAGAGGAGAACGCAAAGCACAAGACCCCGGGTCTGCGTCGCTTGAAGTTCACTCTGACCGCCAAGTCTTCCCCCAAAACCATGCAGGTCCTGCACGATATCATCAAGGCATACACCACCAAGCTGGTCTTCGATGGCAAAGCCCAAGTCATCACGACTTATGAACCAATCACAGTGCCTCATCTCCAAGCAGGCTCTTCACAGACCAATATCTTTGGTCTTCATTACGCAGATGGTCCCTTGCTTCTCGTTTCAATTGAGTTCTCCTGGAGCGACAGGCAACGAGATGACTACTTTGAGCAAGAAGCGCGGAAACTGAGATCCGCGATGCAACAGGAATTGACAAGCTTGCGTGCTCTACACAAGTTCATCTACCCGGCATACGCCTCCCTAGATCAGGATCCCTTTGCCGGACTCGCACCATACGTAAAGGGCATGTTGAGGGAAGTCAAGAATCGATACGATCCAGACGAGCTCTGGAAAAAGCACGTCCCAGGTATCTGGCATGTCTGAACTAGCGAGAAATGGTCAATTGTCTCTTGATCCAATGCCGTCGCTCTCCGGCATATCACACGCACATGATTGTGCGCACGAAACCACTCTGCGCCAAGCTGGACGATGAACAGGACATCTCGCCACTGGCAGTATGGGACCTTTGACCCGACGTCAAGACCTGCCTACGTTCAACGAAAGCTCAATATCGTGCGTCAAAAAAGAAGAAAGCCGGGGATGCTGCAAGGATGCCCGCAGACGAAGGGCAGTCACGTTGTCCAGCACTCACAGGATTCAGACAACGCCCAAACAAGAAGTACCCGATGACCAGGTGAAACATCATCTCAGGCCTTGAAAGTAAAGATCAAATACCGAGTAATCGATGTCGCCAACAAGCTTCGTCTCTTCGCAGACGCCACCATCAAAGCAACAGGAACAGCCGACCACAATCAAGCTCAAGAACAAACGAAGAAGCTGCAGCACCTTTGCATTTAATCATAGTGTCACGCCTGGTTGCACGTTCGCTTTCTTCGTCGACCCCCACCTCCCAGCCACGTCTGCCAAGGCCTACATCCCAAGCCTCTCTGCAAAAGCTTCGACTGGCAGCTAAGCCTTACAAGAGGGCTGCGATACGAACTTCACAAGGAGATACTAAATGTGAATGTGGCAAGAAAACAAAAGTTAATCGTGCCGGTGGTGGTGACAGCTTGATAGTCCAGCTATGTACAAGATAATTATAGTTAATCTGTCTTCCCCTTCCTTCACTTTTGTTGATAGGCCGTTTCCATCAGGTGTTATGTACAATGAGCGTAGAGAGGCGTCCAGTGCGCTGCCCAAATGCTGGCCTGGTAAGAATCGCCCTTGCTACGCTTTACTTGACCCACAAAGTAGCAACCGCCTCCAACCTCTCCGTTTCGGCTGCGCTCGCATCTCTAGTACAGGAGGATGGTTGGCCCGTCTCGTGCTCGTAGTCCCTTCGGTAGTGGTGGATGTGCGGTTACCCGCTTTATCTTCAGAAGTACCTGATCGCGACCCTCCTGTTGTCGGAGGAGGTGAAGCATCGTTGTGACGCTTGGGCATGTCGCTTTCTGATGACTGTCCATCGCCAACCGACTTCCTGGCGAGAGGTGATGACTGAGTCTTCCTTGGCGTTTGCGCAGCTGTTGAACCCGATGCTGTGAGGTCTTCGAGAGAGTCTTCGCGCAAGGCCTCTGTTCTCTTCCGTCGGTTGCTGGCTGCACGATGTACAAGAACAGTCGAGGAAGAATCTGCTCTGGTCCGTCCAGTGGGTGCCAGGCTGATGCTCGCGCTTCTACTGGGAGCGGGAGATTCAACATCAGAATCGCCTCGAACCGAAGATACGCTATTGCGATTACTTCGACCCAAGTGACTTGCTCGATGGACGATTCCGGAACCGAAACTTCTGATGCTCGCGCGCTTCTCGAGCGGAGCAAAAGGTGCTGGAGATCCGGGAGGGCTGAGCACAGAACTAGCGACGAATCTGCCCGGAGAATTAGGAGGGTCCGTTGGTAGTGAGTCGCGCTTGTCATCATATCTGAAGTTCGGCGACCAGCCCTCACGCATCGCAACCCAGATAGCAGTCAGAGTTACGATTTGTCGAGTAGCATCATCAGTGACGACAGATTGACCCCGATCACCCGCGTCTTCATCGAATGCGTCCTCAAGGACCGTTGCACTCAACTGGGGAGTGCTGAGTGGTGTTCTGATCGTGGGCTCAGGGATCTTATAAGAGTCGTTGATCTCGAGGCCAGTCTTTTGCAATGATGCAATAACGGGATGGCGGCGGCTGTGAGGTGAAATAGTGCTGAAGTTGAACTTGCGCGTGCCATTGGACGTGACCCCCTTGCCATCCTTGTTTTTCTTCGGGACCCATCGTACGACCTCCTTGAGACCATGCTCGTCGGTCATACAGCACTCGTAGGCGCCATTGGAAGTGGTATAGGCCTCCCACTGTTGACCAGATGCCATGTGAATGAGCATTTTGCCGCTTCCCGTCTTTTGTTCCTCCCGACTCCCTTTGCAGATCAAGCCAATGACATCTCGAGCCTCAGCTTCTTCGTCCTGCGTCCCATATTTTTCTGCCTTGAGGACGACAAGGTCATTGACGCAGAATCCGTGCTTTGCCTGAAACACTTTGGTGATGGCGCGGGTCAAGCGGACACTGAAGTTCGCTGAGGGTATCACTTCCAATGCTGGTAGAGGCCGCGCATTGGGTTGCAACCTGTGCAACTGTAGGAGCGATCGCGGCTGTCGGTGTAGCTTCTGTTTGACCTTCGACTCCGGCACTGGATGGCATATGCTGTAGCGCGTCTTGGGCCTCGTGCTCTTGCGTGCCCGCTTGAAGTCGCTCACGCTACCATCTCGTGACCCATCATCGCTTGTGCTCCTCGTGTCTGGCTCGGCGAACATGACGGAGGTGCTGCTCCTGGTAGGCGAAGGGGGCGTAGAGCCAGTCATGCCATTATATTGCATAGTGGATAGGACTGGCCGTTTCAGGGTGGAGAGCTCGGACTCATTGCGCTGTGACTGCTGGGCCGCCGTTTTTGCGGGATCACTTTCGTCGCCGTTGGCATTGCTGTTGGTGCTCGCCTGACCAAAGGGGTTGAGCAAGCTGATGAGGTTTGTGGGCAAGGACGGCCATCGCGCCTGCGCTATGGAAGGTTCTGTTTGTTGTGGTGATGATGTCAGGCCGGTAGGGCGCGGATCCGTCGTTGCCGCAGCCATTGTCGGTCCATAGAGGGTGTGGAGAAGTAGCGAGCGTCGAGGGTGGTGTGGTGAGGAGGAAGAGACATGAGAACGGCGGTGGCAGACAGGCGGAGAGGAGTCGGAGCTGAGTGGTGGTAGTGCTCCTCTGGTGTTGTTGGCAGCGGATGTGCGAGTGCCGGAGTGGCCGAATCCTGAATGGCCTGAATGGGTCAAGTCAGACCGTCGCTGCACGAGTCCCCGATAGCCGACTGGTGCTTAGCACTGCGACCTGCAATCAATCTGCAATCCTCTGCGGCCGCCTGGTGCGCTGCGCTGAGGGAGGCAGTGGCTGTGAAGTGCGCAAGGCTGGCCTCGCAGATGTATCTTTCAGCCCACCAAACGTCTGCTTTCAGCGCCCGCCCGGCAGCAGCCTTCTTTGTCTGACACGCGTGGAAACGCCTGTCGCGCGCTCTGGAACAGCCTAACGATCAGGCCCCTCGGCCAAGCATTGCACATGTAATCATGATTACTGGCTGCATACGCTTCGACCTGGCGTGCACTTCTCACGCGTCCCGGCACCACGGATCGCCGCTCTTCCACCCCTCTCTGCTCTGCACATCTCTCCTGCCACACCGCCGCCAGCGCACCCCGTTCCTGCGCAGCCTGTCGAGCTGTCTCTGGTCCATCAGCAACCCCTTTCCCTCCTGGTGAGCTGATGAGGCTGGCCAATCCCTTATCCGCCCGCCAACAGCTCAAGCCTTCAACGACGGCGCCCTTCCAGACGCGACACGACGCGTCAGCCCAATCCTCCTGCGTATCAAGCGTCTCAATCACTTCGCTCTCCGAATCGTATATGCAGGTCAATAGTGAAACTGCGCGACACAATCCGCGCAAGCCGCGCTCCCTTCACTACTACCGAGCGGACCAAATTTGACTCCGTCTCCTGTCATGGGCCGCGCCGCTGACAATGCCGGGCCTACTGCTGCTGCTGGACGGACAAGCTACACCAATTCAGATACGTCAACGAACAAGATCACTCAACTGATTACATGCTTCTGCCTCTGGAAATTACTCCTCGTGCTGATAGCCGCTGCGAGCCCAGGTCCGGGCTATGACACGTCTACCCAGCTGCTCCTTCGCCCAAATGCAAACACCGCGAACTCGTGGCTGGATCATTTGGCAATAAGATTGACGCGCTGGGATGGCCTGTATTTCGCAAGTGCATCCGCAAATGGCCAAGTATTCGAACAGCAATGGGCCTTCAGTCCCTTCCTGACCAGAGTCACATCAACTTTCGCTGGAGGTGCGTGACCTACCTGTACGCTCCATCCTCGACGAGCCAAGCTAAGTATTACTCTCCAGTATTGTTTCCTACTGCTCATGAACCAAGCATCGCCTCCCACGCTCTGGCTGCCATCTTCTTCTCTCATCTCTCTCATCTCATCGCAGTCATACTGCTATTCCAGCTCACTTACAAAATAATACCCTCGGACCATGAGACGAAAGGACGGATTGCCTACATCGCAGCGCGTCTCCACATTTTTTCTCCCGCAGGCCTATTTCTATCAGCACCATACGGCGAAGCTGCGTTCGCCATGGCTCACTTTGCCGGCCTCTTGTGTTATGTGGAAGCTAAAAGAATTGTCAACACGGCGCCTGTCTTGTCGGCTTTATGGACTCTCGCATCTGGATTCGCAATCGGCGTATCGACCATGATCCGCAGCAATGGCTTGTTCAGTGGATTGTTGTTCGCCTGGGACGCACTGGCCTTTGTGCCACACTTTGGCCAGATGTTACGCCAGCGCGAGTGGGTCAGACTGAATGGTCTGCTGAGTAGCCTTGCTGCTGGACTATTTGTCGGTATTGGTTATGCGCTGCCCCAGGTCTTTGCTTATCTGGAGTACTGCACCAAGGGCAACGACAGACCCTGGTGTCACAGCACATTACCCAGCATTTACTCGTTCGTACAGGCTCACTATTGGGGAGTTGGCTTCCTCAAGTACTGGACTCTCTCCAACGCACCTCTGTTTGCTCTTGCAGTCCCTATGCTGGGAGTCTTTATGTGTACGGGGTACATGGCGTTGAACAAGACAGAAATCGACAGCCTTGTCAATGCAGCAAGGACTGCAAAAGGCGATGGCGCCCAAGCACAGTCGCATAGTGATGGCCTATTTCGACACATCATGAGCCGTTTTGCTCTACCACAGCTCGTGCTTGCATTGCTGGCCTTGACGAGCTTTCATGTTCAAATAATCAATCGCATTTCTTCTGGCTATCCGGTGTGGTACATTGTATTGGCGGTCATAATACAGCAAGGCAACAGGGCCCTGGAAGTCGAAGGCAGCGCTGTGCGCTTCATTCACAGGCATGCACAGAGCCTTGTGAGATTGAGTGTCATGTATGCTATCGTTCAAGGTGGGCTATATGCTAGCTTCATGCCGCCTGCGTAATATTAGTGGTCACTACCAGTGCATAAAGTGCATTACTCTCAACCAGTTTCATCCCAGTCTCGGCTTGGCCAATGTTCGTGTCAGACCGAGAAGGGAACATCACTGTGTTGCAACAGTGGGAGATGCCATCGACAGAGCAAGGCTGGAGCTCTGCGTCGATTTGGTCTCGGTGCCTGTTCTGTCTACTTTGGAGCCACTGCTGCAGGCCATCTGGCGATGCCTTGCGAAGCGTACCCCTTCATACACTGAAAAACATCGATATAAGTCGAGATTCGTTCCTGATGGCATGTGGAATTTATCAATTCCATGACGCTAAAAGGCGCTTCGTCCGAATGCGTCAATTTGCGGAGCTGTGGTTGGTAGAACAACCAACTTGGCACACAGAGAGGTTCCAGATCTGGTATCACATGACTCGCTTGATCCATCTTTGCTGGCTTCATCAACATCGAGGACTGCACTTCTGCGAGGGAGCATACAACGAAATGACTGCTCAGACCTCATTCCGCGGGACAGTTTGCATAAGCGTGGCACAGTATCGACACAGTCTGTTGTCGCTCATTTCCCCGGCCTGGAAATTTGGGTGTGCCGAATGCATAAGCGAGCATAGAACTGACAACAGGTTTCGCATCGAGTTGTGAGAGGCTTTGCACAGTCCCACGGATAAGAGGCAATCAAGGCCCACGAAGGCGTTAGGGCTGCATAATGAGCAAAGGCCGGCACCCCGCTGCACCTGAGAGGTATATAAGGGCCAGCCGCATCAGTCGCCATCAGGATCCGTTTCTACCACTCGGCCGGCCCTCTGAAGTGCTGGATGTGGATGCCAGAACACACCCGGGAGCTGCAAGCACGGAAAAATGTGATCTCGCGCCGGCAAAACCGCCAAGGACGCAACCAAGCAAGAGCGAGAGAGGTCATAGAGAACCGCGACCGATTCAGCCGTGTGCTGCCGGATGTGCCGTCGACATCTATATATCCGTTGACCTCGAGAGTTGCGACCTCTCGCACATCCTCCAAGACTTTCAGCGCGACCTCTCTCTCTCTCTCGTCGAACCGCTCGAGCGCTCGCCTCCCACCGCGCCAGGTGCATCAGCACGGGTTCGACCATGACGAGCACATGCAGTGGCAGAGCGACACTGACTAGACATGACGGAGCTAAGTTCCGGAAACTCTCTCGTACTCGTGGGTCAGCATTGCGACCACCGGGCGGTGGGCGGTGGGCGAGGCATCTGTTCAACACCGATGCTGTGTCCGCCCACCCACAGCCGTGTTTCGACTAACTCCTCCCCACCATGTCCGCACATAGGGCAGCACCGCAACCGCGCCCGCGCCCGCACCCAAGGCTCGCACCATCATCACCACTGACCGGGTTGCTCCCACCGTGGTCACACCGGCCATGCTTGTCCCTGCACGACCGATCGCGGTGCAGCCCAATCTGGTTGCGCGAACGTCGCGGCAATCAGACACCACCCGCCCAACTAGGGCACACCGCATGCACTGCGCCCGCCTGATGGACGCTCTCCCCATGCATCACAAACTCCAAGCTTAACTGCCAAGGCTTATACGGAAAAACCGGTACAGCGGCCCATGGGATTCGATACTTCCGCCGCTGGTCCCGTATCGCTCTCAGCTCAACACCAACCGAAAAACGACCTCTGGTAGCACGAGCGAGCGGATAGAAGCGCCATTATGTATATACTGCCCACGCGAAGATGGAATTGAAGCGCCGACGCGTCACACAGGCGTGCAACAGGTGCAGAGCCCTGAAAAGCAAGGTTCGCCACTCACCCGAGGGCGGCGCAGATCGCGACCTCTGCCACTTTCCAGGAACTAACGGAAACAGTGCGATGGCAAGCAGCCCGTCTGCACTCGGTGCAAAGCCTACGGTTATACCTGCAACTGGTCCGTCTTACCTGGCCCTCCGATACCTGCGTGCTGAAGAACTTCGCTGATTTGCGGTACGTTGCGTGATGCAGGCAAGTAGGCAAACGGCGAGGTCCTCCCAGAACGAATCCTCTTCCTGAAACCAGTTCAGCAGCATCGGCTGAGACGGAATCACTTCGGTCAGCAGTCCAGGCCTACGACGAATTGGCAACGCAACTGCGAGCCAGGCTTCCCGATGCTGAGAGGAATAACATCGACTCAATCCTCTCAAGCATACGAAGGCACCTGCCTCACGAGCTGCTCCCGAAAGATGCCGATGCGGATTCTCCAGGCGACTTGGACAATGCTCATTCTCCGCCTGCTGACGGCCCTCGAGATAGTTATCACGGAGAGGCCAGCGACGTTTACTTCTTTCATGCAGTGAAGCATGCCATCCAAGGTCAGGCGCGAACGAGCTCTCCGCTGAGGTTAGAGAGCTACCAGCGGGATTACAGAGTGAACCATGGCGGGGTGCCTCGAGTTGTACCCACGCGCGAAGAGGCCGATCGTGACGTTGAATGGTTCTTTCGCAAATACAACAGGAGCCTTCCCTTGATGTGTGAGAGGACATTCCGGCGCGAGTACGAGCGTTATTGGAAGATGGGGTCCTGCGATGGCGTGCCTGATTATTTCTTGCCGACGCTGTGTATGTCGATGTGGCCACTGTGCGAGGACCGCGGCTAACCATGCCCGCAGTGTCCATCTGTGCCGTGAGCGACCTATATCACAATCTGATGGATGTGTCCGCAGGTAGGAGTAGGAAGCACGAGGCCTATTACGCGCAAGCCTGGCACGCAACAAAAGAGCTGGACAACGATTATTCGGTGAGCGCGCAACGCGAATCTGCCGTCGAAATTTCTTGCTTACTATGTGTTCTGCAGAGACCGGTCGTACTTTTAATGATCTTGCAGTGCCAATATCTGATCATGACTTGTCAATTCGATCGGTAAGTACTACCGCACACATCCGCCGGACATCACTGATTGTGCAGGTGCTGGATGGTGCTCAGCCTCGCTGTCAGAATGGCTCAGATTCTCGGATTTCATGTCATCGACGATCCTCACTGCAATCGACCACAACCTGTCTGCACTCAAATCGAGAAAGAGCTGCGGCGACGTGTCTGGCATGCTTGCTACACTTTGGATACCATTCTCGCGTTACAGCTGGGCCGACCACCTTGTATCAATCCGAATGACAGCATAGTCAACTATCCCAGTGCTCACCACGACTCGCTCTTCGATTATGAGAACGATACGTTCTTACCGATGTCACCTGGACCACAACCGGGCACGATCCTCGTGCACCACTTGACGCTGTCGCATATTATAAGAAACGTTGTTCACGACCTATATGCACCGAAACGACCTCGCACCACCCGATCGAGTATCGCGGTTATTGAAGCCCTGGACCAGAAGCTACTGGCGTGGAAGCATGGGCTGCCGCCACATCTACGCTTCGACCTTGAGCACTCTGTTGAAGAGGATGCCGTTTTCGACCGACAGCGCTGTGGCCTGGCCTGGAATTTCCACAACCTTCGCGCTTTGATTCACCGACCGTACGTGTGCGTGGGAACGGACAATACGCAACTCGAGAGTGCCGTCCGGCAGCAAATTGTGGCTTCGGGCCAGATTTGCATCGCTGAAGCCCAGATTGTAGCACGCATGCTATACCGCACTTCGAACATGCCGCCCCACAGCTATTCATGGTATCATTTCATTCCATTCGTGGTGGGTACCTGCTCAATTCTTCTGGTTGCGAGCAGATATCCGACTGCAACGACTGAAGGTGCCACGGCCGATAACGAGCAGCTCGAGGCAGACGTTGCGAACTGCGTGCAGCTACTCGATTCCTATGCGCAGGTATTACAACCTGCTAAGTCTGCTGCGGACATGATACGGACACTGCAGTCCTCGCGGCGCACCGGCGATTCCAAGCCATCGAAGAGAGCCCTAGATTCGGCCGAGGCGGAGCAGCGGCCGCCTCATCAATCGAGTTCACACATCGACAGTGTACAGCGGCACGGCTATCATATCAATCACGCGCCTCGGCCTTACCCTCATCATCCCCATCCCCTTATGGCAGCGCACGGGCAGAACAGCGTATACACGCCTACGATACCATCAAATACTGCTCCACATCCTATGCACTCTGGATCGGAGCTCAACTTTTCGTCCAACGAGCAATGGCAAGCATGGCCAGAGGATTACTTTGACTCATTGATGTGGTCAAGCCAATTCGTGCTACCCACAGAATACAATATATCGGAGGGTCCATGGAATATACCTGTCAATATGGAGTCACAACCAGGACAGCAAGGCTCCGGTGGTGCTAGTTCTGGGCCCGGACCGGGACCTGGCCAGAGTCGCTCACGTCAGCCTTGAAGCTACGCACCACACGCTTATGCAAGTTCGATGGCGAGGATGGCTGTCGAAGCTTGAAGAGAGGACCCATAACACGTTGTTAGGTTGCTCTAGTCTGGAGGAGGACTCTGGGCCGCACTGCGGCTTCGATCAGCCCGCATGAAGAACAAGAACGCAATCCTACCACGGGACAAGCACACACATGGGAACTGGAGACGTGGCTCGGTGGACCGCCGAACAGGACTACTACAACCATAAACGAGCACCAAGTTGCTTTTTGAGCAGAGAGCCACACATTTTTACACGACCAAAATTAATATGTCACAATAGCACGAAGAACTGAGCATAGAGCGTTGCATGCACGTTTTGCATAAAAATGAATCTGATCATAGAGCGAGAAAGAGGATGTACCGTGTTATGTATCACGCAAGTGAGAGAATACATGCACAATCCACATCAATCAATCCCACCAATTGTTTTCAGCTGTCCCTTCTTCCATTCTGATTCTGGTTGTCCTGATTCCTCAGACCCCATTCCTATTCCTAAACAACGTAATCCCCTGGGTAAACCCACCCTGGTTATCATTATAATAAGCCCTATTCACCCCATCAACCGTAACAGGAAACCTCGTCCCCACAGTATTCAAATTATAAATCGAAGTCCTCGTATTCGATCCCTCAATACTCGTGATCCGATTCTGACAAACCGATCCAGAACCTTGATTCGAGCACGTCGTGCTATAGTTATTGAAGAAAGAGTATAAACCTGCGCCGTAGACGAGGATATCGGTGGAGTCTTTGATCCGGAGTCCCCAGCCGTTTGCGGCGGGGATTGTGGCGCCTTGGTCGGTGACTGTGGCGTCGTTGAAGGAGGGGTCTGAGAGGGAGGAGACGGCGGGGAAGGGGTTGCGGGCGTTGGGGTTGGGTTGGTAGTAGGCTGTTTCGGTTTGGATTTGGCCGGCGAAGACGTTGCGGGCGTTGACGAATTGGTATTCGTAGCGGACGTGGCTGTAACAAAGAAGATTGTTAGTGTGATCTGAATAATGGACTAAGCGGTGATGCTGAATATGACTTACTGTTCAACACCTGTGCCTACCATCCACACGGGTCCTTGCGATTGATCGAGCAATCCACGACCAGTGTAAATTGTAATTTGAGTTAGGGCACGATCCTCAATATCGTGATCTGCGACCCAAAGCCAGACATTCTCAAGGTAGAGGCCTGTCGAGCCATTGGTAATGTGCATAGACAAGAAACCCGAAATGCAATCCTGGTCGATGCGTTCGGGTGTGACTTGCACAGTTGGCGTCTTTGGGCAATCGGCGACGAGAAGCTTCGAGCCCGCAAAGCCTCCAATACGAACATGCACGTCCCACAATCCGGTGGGGGCGCCGGCCGGTGCTACGAGGTTGTACTGAATCATGACCGCACCCTTCTGTTGGCCGAGTGTGCTGACGATGGTGTCACTCCATTCGATTGAGCCTTGCTCGCCTGGTCTACCGATTTGGACCACTGGTTGGGGATTGGTGATGTTGTTGAAAAAGCTTCCTGATGACATGATGACTGAGAAGGTCTCGCCGACAATCTTGGAGCCAGCGGGGATGTAGATTGTGTTGGAGACGATATAGTTTCCGTGATCGAGGTACAGGACTTTGTTCTGGCTTCGTGCGCTGTTGATGGCAGCCTGCAATGCTCGAGTATCATCTGTTCTGCCATCACCGCGGGCACCGGCAGTTCGGGCGCTCACGAAAGAAGAAAGTGGAAGGTTTTCGTACTGTGGCTTAGAGCGCTCATAGTACTTTCCATCGCTCTGAAGGAGCGCAGATGGACGAACGTTAGGAGTGAGCGATTGCTGCACCTCGGTAGGTCCAGTAGGGGTGTACGCATGGCCTTCGATGTAGCCAGCAATAGATTGAACATTGCCGACTCGGTTACCGTCTGGCCCGCGAATGGCGATCGGAACGTTGCTGAAGCGGACGTTCTCAACGACCAATCCGCCAGCAGTTGGTGGATTGGTGGTGCGAGTACGGCCAGTATTGATACCAATGCGGGTGTTGCTGATGCTGGAGTCCAGAAGAGTGAGGCTGCCAATGTTGAGCCCGTTGGGTGCTCCGTTGGTCATGTTAATACCCGTCGTGCAGTTGTTGATGTTAATGCTCTTGTAGGTCCAACCCCAATCCCAGATTTGGTTGATCGCAGTTACGCAATTCCTGAAAGTCAAGTTCCTGCTTGTAAATTGCTGGTTGCCCCAATTGGCACCGTAAAGGCCGCCGTTGAAGACGAGATCGTTCATGAAGCCTCCGCTTCCCTCTTCAATAAAGATACCCTGGTGCTGGGTACCCCTCTGGCTGTTCATGTTGAACACCAAGTTCTGGAGCGAGGTCGCTTGTGCAGTGGGCCAGTGCAAGCCAGTGATCGCGTTCGCAGCTGGAACAAGTGTGGTGTCGATAATCAGGTTACGGATCTGACGCCAGAAGACGTTCGTAGCACCGTATCCCAGACCATTGGCTCCATATTGGTTGCCATCAATAACACCGAGGCCGCCAGTGAAGGTGGTGGATGCGCGGATTGTTGGCATACATCCAGGCTTTGGGTTACCAATCATCTGAGTGTAGTAGTAGTCGATAATGGATGCGTTGACCATGTAAATACCGGTTGGGAAATAGACAACTGCCGGAGTTGTAGTAGAGGATCCACAAGCGCCAGGTGCGCAGCGATTGCCACTCGAGATGGCACTGTTGATGGCACGCGTATCGTCTGTTACTCCATCTCCCTTTGCACCAAAGTCCTTTACATTGCGGAACACCTGGTAGCCTGATGGGTTTGAGTTGAAAGCCGCAATGCCTTGATGGCGGGCGGCTTGCATCCAGTAGTCATCGCAACTGTTAGCTGCTGCCACAGCAAGAACATTCGCCGTCGCTGGTGCAGGCTTCCTCGAAGTATCCTGGGCTTGCTGAGGAGTGACACCATCATAATCCACGTAGTCGTCAAAGATCCGAAGGGCTTGGTCCACGATCTGCTGGACCGCCGGGATCTGGAGAAGTTGGGCTTGAACAACAGTGCTGCCAACGGCACTGAGTAAAGTAAGAGTATTGAATAAATGCATGATGAATGAATAGCGAAATGAATGAGAAGACCACCAACCTGTCCCGGCCTTATACAGGCGACAATGTGTCGAAGTCGAAGGTCACCAGCAACGGGCGGCTGACCACCTTGATATGAAGGTGGTCGCCGTTGCGTTCAGCCAGCCATGAGAAGTAAGCGACGGCCACGCTTTTCTTGCGTCTTGCAGATCCAACGGGAGGCGTAGTCTTGGAAAGACTTGTTGCCCATTACGGAAAGCAGACGACGCCATGTCAAGGCGTGTATAGGCGAGGCGGCGATGAGATTGGTCGGGCTATGAGTTGTCAAGACAGAAGGGAAATTAGCCATCGGCACCTCGGAAGATTCTTAGCAGGCGGTTGAAAGCTTCCGCAAAGTCAAGCGTCAGGTCTGGCGCGGGACGTGGCCGAGTGGATCCTTCACTCCTGTGGCGCCGTCCTTCCAGAATCGCGACCCCTCGTTGTGCATCACGCGTTTCCCACACTTGACATCGCGTGTCCGTCCATCATAAGGTGCAAAGTCATCCTGTCCAGCCATGTCAACCAGGTTCGAAAGCTAGTCATGCATCGCTGCAGAAACGAGATTTCCCCAGCCTTGGTTCTTGGTGTGCTCGGCGACATCTCGACCTGTTCTGCCGCCTGTGGCGTCGTTCGAGACTCCTGCATACATGCTCGGCAGCGTGAATACTTCCCGTTGCCACGCAGACACATCGTCAGGCGGCCATGCTGTAGACGTGCCCTGCAGTCGATAGTCTGATCGAGATACAATTGACCAGATTGGGCATGCCTCCGACTTGACGAGAGCTGTGGTCCCACGCACGCATGAAATAGTGTATAATCATTATGTCTCACTCATTGGTCTGCGATCTGTTCGCGTATGTGGTCCGCGGACAGCAAATATCGCTTGCAGACACAGCAGCGTTCAGGGCTCCATGTGGCAGTCGCGGGTTATACAGCTAGGCCATGAGTCCCAGCCAGACTGCCTCAACAGTCGTGTACTTGCTCCTGCCATGTATATGCAGTCTGGGAGTCTGTATGTAGCGCAGTGCCTCGCTACGTGTGAGCAATACTGTCTAGTGGTGAGGTTTTGGTATCTGCTCTGAGCATGTGGTGAGTGGAAGCCGAGACACGATGGCGATGAGAGGTATATGCGCTGTACATCACGAAGAGTGTCGTTTTTGCTGCATGCATGTCAACTGGTGTGAGCCTAAGTTCCACGAGTGTGTCGGTCGATAAGATACAGCTTTGACAGTGTCTCCAGTCTCGATTATCGATTCGAGGAGCAGAAGGACAAAGGCCCCATACACCTTGTAGCCCTATCCCTTCCACTCAGCACTTTGATAAGTGCTCCTCACCTTTCACAGCGATCCCCTCTTCCAAACCGGCGAGTCCCATCGAGGAAGGACAAAAGGCAGCTGGTCCGGGTCCTGATCAGGCCATACTCTCTTGATGAGCGCCAGGAACTCATCATAAAGTACTCGGTAGCCCTCCGGACTCAAATGGAGGCCGTCATGCAAATAACTTTGCAGAATCTCATTTTGTGGCATCTCCATCGCACCAGTAGGAATAGGATCCTCAACCGCACCACCCGCACGCGTGATCATAGTACTCCAGAGATCCAGAACCTGAACATTTGATTCTTGCCCAAGCTGCACGATCGCTCTCGCATAGTCTCTCGTCACAACGGCTTTGCGACGAATGACATCGCCATTGTTCGGCTTCCCAGCCTGATCAGCCGCAAGACCTTTCCGCTCATCCACGGGCGGAGGGGTGATGAGAATGATTCGAACACCTTCATGTCCTCTGACATCAGGATGTGCCAAAATCGCTTTCGTATTCTCGACATATTCGTCCAGAGGAATATGCTGTTGGGGTTCTCCAGGCGTATTCGGGAGTCGAGCATCATTTGCTCCGAACCAGACAGTCATGAAGCGCATACGGGTGCAAGACCGGGGCGGAATGACATGAGGTAGCACCTCAAGTGCTTGACGCGTGTTGTAGCCCGAGAAACCGCGATTGATGACATCTAGACGACGGACATATTCGTTCGCGAGCGCGGCTCCAAACGCGAAGCCGCGTTCTTGTGAGAAACTTTGCTGGGTGATGCTGTCTCCGAAGAGAAGGAACTGTTCTGTCTCGTACTGCGCTTGAACCATGGTTTCGTTATTTGAGGCTTTGCTGTACTTGATGTTGATGTTCATGATGAGGGCAGCGGATAAGAGGCGGAACAACCGCATCTCGGAAGGAAACACTAAGAGCGCTCGCGCTTGGCGTGGAAGATTGTCGGCAACAACGCTGCGAACAGACACGACAGCTGTTCAACACAATTGGGCTCGAATGCCACGAAATCTACATTACATCTCATAGGTGCTGTACATGACCATAACCTCCGAATCTTTCCGCCAATATTGCTAGGCCCCGAGACATGGACATGGTTAAGAGGTATGAAACTCTAAATGTATTTCGTTGGAACACTCCTCCCAGGGTATCTATGTATGCTACTTTCATTCACCTCGTTTCAAATGCATAACCTCTCTGCCTCTTAACAAAATGGTCAAGGATTGTGGTGGTGATCACCACGCGACCTTTGCAACAATGCTCTTGGGATATTTGCGAACGATGAATTTTCGTCCTTCGTCAAGCAGCAGGATGCCCATACCGAACGCCATGGGGAAAACCCAGTATTCCGCCGGGATCACAGACGTTTGCAGTACGCTGTGGAATTTGGGAATGTAAAGGAAGAAGATGGCGATGACGAGCGCAAAAGCGATGGCAGGCAACAGGAGCCAGTTCATGCGGTGCTGGAGAACCGAGAGCCGTCTGGTACGGATGGCGAACAGGTTGAACCTAGCAGGAGTATTAGCAATTATTGAGTGATGTCAAGTCAATCGTGTGGGCTTACCATTGCATAACAACCAGATTGACGAAGTAGACAGAGCTGGCTGTGTTGAGAATGTCCAGGTAAAGCTCTTGGCTCATACCAGCCGGAGGAACGCCAAAACCGAACCAGAGGGTAGAGAAAGAAATGCCTCTACGCTCGGCGTACCAGTAGGCCATCGCGAACGAGGTCACAGACATGATCACACCTAAGAAACCATATGCCTGGAAAATGAGCTTAGCATTGACGAGTCGATCCTTCTTGGCGTTACGTGGTGGTCGCATGAGCACGTCAGCTTCAGGAGCTTCATATGCCAGGGCTGTAGCTGCAGCGCAATCCGTACAGCAACAAATGATGATCATGAGGAAACTGCTCAGAATCTGCGGGAGACCAAACCAAACATTGGTCATGACAGGCCAGAATTCCGAGAACGAACCGGCCGGGAGGAGGTAGCAGATGGTCTTCTTGAGGTTGTCGAAAACAACACGTCCGTATCTGACAGCTTCGACGATTGCTGCAAAGGAATCGAGGAGGACCATGTCGGCAGCTTCAATCGCAATGTCACTTCCAGAGCCCATGGCGATACCGACATCAGCCTCCTTCAGCGAAGGGGCATCGTTGACTCCATCTCCGGTCATACCGACTGTGAGGTCACGTTGCTGTAGTTCTCGTACGATTTTCAACTTGTGCTCGGGAGTAGTGCGGGCGAAAACAATTTCGTCGTAAAGAGCAAGCTTGTCCCACATCGAATCGTCCAGAACCTCGACATCGGAGCCAGAGAGCACGATCGACTTGGTCTTCTTGAGCTCAGAACTGGATTTCTCTGACATTTGTTCAGGAATGCCAGCGCTATCCAGGTACCCTGCCTCAAATGATAGATGCGTCACGTCGTCAATATTCTTCGGTGTCGAGGTAATGATTCCACATTCGGCAGCAATGGCTTGAGCAGTAAGCTTGAAGTCGCCAGTGACCATAAAAACACGAATGCCGGCTCCGCGTAGAGTGCTCACGACTTCTGGGATCTCTGGTCGTGGAGGATCAACAATACCGACTAAGCCGCTGAGGACCAAGTCACCGGCGGCTCGCCCAAGAATATCACGTTCATACTCTCGAGGCTGTTCGACGGGATCGAATGGCAAGTCTTTGAGCGGCTTCTCAGCCAGCAAGATGACACGCTTTCCTTGCGATGACCAGAAATCCTTCATGCCTTCAAAGGTCCTTTTGTCCTGTTCCGTCATGCTCTTGACCGTGCCATCCACGTCGATATAGGAAGCGCACCGAGGAAGCAGGATATCGGGTGCGCCCTTGATCATGAGCAAGGGATTATCTGACGTCTCGCCCTTGGCAACATTGATTGCGAACTTGTTCTTGCTGTTGAAAGCGACCTTGAATATCGAGCGCCAGGACTCCCGAAGCTCAGACACACTTCTCATACCTTCCGCAAAACGGAGAATTGCAGAATCTGTGGCATCACCATTGATCTTGCGATCAGCAATGGGTAAGTCCATTGTGGAGGCGACGAACTCGGCATCGTTGCAGACGGCGCATGTGTTAGCTAGCTGCCGAAGTCCCTCGCATGTTTTGTATCGAGCTGGAGCATCATTTGCAGATATTGAGAGCTTGCCGACCAGAAAATCGGTGACAGTCATCACGTTCCTGGTAAGCGTGCCGGTTTTGTCAGAACAAATCACGTTCACCGCACCGAGCGTCTCGACCGTTTTCAAGCTCTTGCAGAGGACTTTATTGTTGCGCATGATGTTTGCAGTAATTGTCAATGATGCCGTGACCGCGATGGGAAGCCCTTCGGGAATGAAAGCGACTGCAACAGAGACGCAGCTAATGATCAGGTTGGCCACAGTAATCCAACCACGATGCTCTTTGTGCAGCCACCCAGCCCAGACGCCGATCACGACGAGGACCATTGTCACCATCAGACCGACGATGATTGCAACGAAGTACAAGATCTCCTTTTGCAGTGGAGTGAGTCCGGCTTTCGGCGTGCTCGTCAGCTTCGCAATGCGCCCGAAAATAGTCCTGTCTCCTGTCTCAACGATGAGGCCCCAAGCGCTGCCCGAGACACAGTGCGTGCCAGCAAGACCGATACAAGCAGTTTCGAGGTAGTTGTCGTCTGTGGAATCGACAGATGCGAGGAGCGGTACAGTTTCACCAGTCAGAATAGATCTGTCGAATCGCGCGTCGGACGAAACCTCCAAGAAGCGGACATCTGCTGGAAGCTTGTTACCAATTGTGATCTTCAGAATATCTCCAGGTACCACGTCTCTGCCGTCCACGCGCACCTGCTGCCCATCGCGAAGGATAATACAGTCTTCAGGCAGCATCTGGGTGATGGATGCCATGACACGAGAGGAGGAGAAGTCTTGCCAGAATGAGAATGCAGCTTGTGCCAGCCAGACTATGACAAGGACAATCGCCAAGGCAAGGTTGGCGATTGCTGGATTGGGCTCGCCAAGAGGTCTCCAGGCAATGAACACAAGTATAGCGGCCACGAAGAGTATAGCACCAAAGCCACCGAAGAGGTAACCCAAAGTCTTCCGAAACCATTGCGAAGCAGGTGGCGAGGGAACATTCCTGCCCACGGTCTTCAACTTCTGTACCGCATCAGATGACGAGAGACCTGCGCTTCGAGACGTTTCGAGGCGGCGTAGAAGCTCGTCTGGCGAGGACTTGTGGTAATCGATGTCTCCGATCTCAATCTGTGCGGCTTGCTTCTTGGTTTTGGGCTTTTTCTTTTCGGCGGCATTCGCGAGGCTTAATCTTCGCTTGTCTTCTTCGATGCCGAAGGAGAGAGTTCTGAACTGCGGTGGCAGGACAATGTTTGGATCTATGCTTCTTCGGTTCGTTCGTATTGATATGGAGGAGTCTCGCGATCTTGAGCGGACACGACTGCCACCACGACCTCTGTCGAAGTGTTGTTGCTGCGTACTGCTACGACGAAGTCGCACATCGTCAGCATACGTGATTCTGCCGCGATCCGCGCTCGGTGCGCGTTCGAGCCCGGCAGCAGTGTACGTATGCGCCTTGGGCAGGTCAGGCTCGGGCTCGGCCATTGCGTTGTTGATAATGCTGTGCGAATCGAACGATAGAGGAGGTGTGACGATGAAGGGAAGGGAAGAGAGAAGGGCAAGACGATATAGCAGAGACGAAAAGAGCTGCACGCAAAGCTCTACGCACCGAGCATAGCCACCGCCATGTGAACGCGAGGTTAGGCTCGGTAAGGCAGTCCTCCACGTGCCTTGTCCTCACGTTGACAAAGAGAAACGGCCTTTAGGTTGCCGCTTCGTAGACAGCAGGTTTATCAAATTAGCCTGCAACGGCGACGGCGATGTGACCTCGTGTGCGGAGGATGGCGAGTGCAGCCATGCACATCATCGTTGAGGCCCTGCAGTCGGCGGCACAAGGTCCCTGCACGCAAGAGCTATGGAATGCTGAGAGCTCGGCGCAGGCTGTGCAATGCAAAGTGCCCTCTGCGCGATTTCCGGTCATGCGCCAAAGGAAGCTGAGGGCTTTGTGTATGAGGCATTTTCAAGAGCTGGTCAGCGGCTAGTTAGCCCAGAAGCAGCAAATGGCGCGACACGATCCGCGTTTGACACGCACTCTTCTTCCACGCAGATCTGCATAGCAGAGCACATGCGACGTGGTGCAGCACGTACATTGACGCCTGCGAGACCTTGAGAACATATGGTCGCGTCAACTCTTCCACCATCGACAACCGCTCTGACGGCGAGGTGAGCACAAGGTCACTTATTCGTCCCGTCGTGGACCGGATTGAAGCCTGCCCAAGCTTTTCCTAGCCGAAAACTTAAATGCTAGATCCCTTGCATGTGAGACTTCGCAACAACCACACGTGGAGGAGTTGAAGAAATGCACGAAACTTGTTCTCATGCTCCGCGCCATTCATTTCCTGCTTCGGGCCGCCGTCGCATGGCCCTCGTGGGATAATAAGGCATCGGAATGTGGTGGTCGTACATGCAACACGGCGACTCCAGTGACATCCTTCTGGCTGGTCATTGGCTGCTCGTTTGGCGTGTCAGACGCTATGCAGCAAGGGAAGGGAAGCAGTGAAAGTCCAGGGTACGCTCGAACGTGACAGGAGGTCGTTATCATATATGTTTTCAAGTCAATGCTTCTGAGGCGCCTTATATGACTATCTTACTCCAGGCTCGCGGCCGACATTTGGTCCAGAGGCATTTCGATACACGATCCTTCGTGGGCATGAACTCCGCGGATGGAAGATGTCTGGAATCTGGCAGAGTCTGTTGGCAGAACTTCGAAGAGCATGGTTCGGACCCTGGGATATCCCGATCGACCACACATGGTTCCAAGGCGCCTTCCTTAGCGGAACTAAGGGAGCTCTGTAAGACCATGAGACCCATACGAGCATGTCCGATGACTATCGCGAGAACTCTGAGTTGGGATGCCAGGCTTCGCGGTAGGTAGACAATGCTGAGAATGCGCGATTTCAGCGAGCTTCAGTGAGGAAGTGTCGATCCAATATCGTCTCACTGCTGCACGGCGCGTGATGCGCGAAGACCAGTTGTCGCCGCAGCAAAATTTCTGCTGGGACAACGCAGCAGCTGCTGTGGTGAGGCATGTCTCCCAAGGTGAGATTGGCTGGTGGTTCGAGGTTCGTAGGACCTTCAGAGTTTGTCAAGCAGTTTCCGCTTCCGCCTCTCCAACAGCTCAACCTCGACTTCCTCTGCAGTAGGTAATTTCCATGCTATGCCGTCTCCAGCGTCGCCGGGCAGAGGTTCAAAGTCCCCGTCTGCAGCGTCGTCCTCGCCTTCGAGCGCCTCCAATGCCTCTTTCTCCCTCTGCGCTTCATGTTGTAACAACGTCACATCTTCTTCGTCCAGATTATAGCCATAGTACGCAGCATCGACACGCAACCTCAGGTCGTGTCTCGTCTCCTTGACTTCCTTCTCCGGTTTTGCCGTCGCAGCTTCGAACAATTCCTTGACACCAGGCAGTTCTCGCGCCCGGCCAAAATATCGATAACCCTTCCCACCTCCCTCGATCACTCTCCCTTCATCGTCAGTCATTTTGCCGCCTCCGCGCATGTAATTCGGCCCGCCTAGCTCTCGTATCCGCATCTCCCATTGCCATTTTTCCTTGAACAGCTTGTTCAGCTCGTCGTTGATGTCGCGGATTTGGAAGTCACTCAGAGCCGGGTCCTGGATCTTGGAGACTTTCCGACTGATCTCCTTGAGCACTTGCCCGCGCCATCGCTCACAGGTGGGAATGTGTTCTTGCTGAGAGATGGCTTTCGGTCGCTTCGTGCGGTTGATGTCGACGATGCCCAGATCTGCTGCCTGCTGCGCCCTAAAGCGGAACAGCATCGACTGCGACTTTTCAGCATTGCGCGCCATGGTTGCGAATGTGCGGAGTAGGTGAACCGTATGAAGGTGGAAGCTGCCGTGAAGCAGTGTAAAGTCTGCAATGCGGCTTGCTGACCTGACTCGTGCTTTCTTGGCGAATTCAGTACGCACCTGATCCCTGCCATCACCTCATCGCTCGCAGGCACCATGATATATAAATCATCCTACTGCACTTCTCACGCTCATACTGCTTCTTGAGGCCGCTTCAATGCAGTGCTGCTTCAAGTTCGAATTCCCATTGTGCCATTGAAAGCACCATGATCGCTCTTCACTCTGCTAGAAAGCGGACCCACCCAGTTGCCAGGTTCTACACGCGCATACGCACACTCTTCCCGATAGCACGACACGACGGAACGCGATCGACTGTCGGAAGCAAGACTCATGGAAAAAGTCATCGCATCAGCTCCGTCAGCTATCGAGTCCACAGTTGCTGCACGCCCTGCCACGCGGTCGACGACAAGAGGCAAAATTTCGAGATAGGCCAAGATAAACGATCTGCTACGCAGCAAAGGGACCTTATCTCACAGCGAGCGTCCGCTACTTCCTTCCACAATGGGTCAAGATAGGTCCACATGTCCCTCGCGTAGTCGAGAAAAGCTATACTCTATGCAACCCAAGGTCGTACATTGTTGCCCGGCCCGCCAGCACGGCGACGTTGGAGTTGCAATCGCATTGCGCGGCAGCGACTTTCCCATAGTATAAAATCGCTATGCGGTAGGTGTTTGAATTCCCTGTCTCAATCGCAAAAATGGCTGTCAAGAGTCTTGTTCCCGTTTTTTGTCTGGCTGCCTCTGTAGCTGCCAACGCTATTTCGAGATCTACAACCATTTCTTTTGATCATAACATTGTAGCTGAAGCGGGAGGAGTGCACAATGTGCAAATTACTTACAACAGTCCACTGGACGGAGAGCTATCACTTCACTACGGCTCTTGTGAATCGCAGACCACCGATGATTGTCATCATGAATTGGGCAGGACATCTGTCGGAACACACGCATTAGCACGACGACACGAAGCACATGCTGACCAAAGACCCACGAGATTTGTCTGGCTCCCGCCAAGCGACATCACGTCTGGAGGATGTCTTCATGCATTTTCGGGTGCAACGCTCGTCGGACGATCTTCCCCGGTCACTGTACAATCAAGGAAGCAGAAGAGATGGCTGGCAGTATGTTCTGACCCCTAGCATCGAGCATTTCTCGCCTGCTAATATGACCAGGCTGCCGATATTATGGATGCAGAGGGACCTTGGTTCGACGGCGTTGCATATTTGCAGGAGAAGGAGCCTGATGAGAGGTTCGTTGCAGCAGCAAAGTCGAAGACTATTGGCATTCTGGGTGGAGGTATGTCTGGCCTAATGACATCTCACCTACTGGAAAGCGTCGGCTTCCACAACTGGAAAATCATCGAAGCAAGTCAACGCATTGGCGGGCGTGTGCACACGAGCTATCTGAATGGCACCAAACCAAGTGACTATCAATATCAAGAGATGGGACCCATGCGATTCCCAGTCAGCATTACCTATGACGATCCTGCCGAGACCATTCAAATCAACGATCATCGCATGGTCTTCCAGCTTGCAGACGAGCTCAACAAGCAAAATGGGAACAAGTCCGAATATGCTGTGAATTTCATCCCATGGATCCAGTCGGCGGCAAACGACCCGTCGAGCACCTCAAGGCGTAGGCCGGATGGCACTGTTCCAGGAACGGCAGAAGTCGCAACCAACCCAGCATACTCCACCAACGCCAACTCCTCCTATTCGAATGCCACTGCAGTGACAGAAGCGGGAGCAGCTTACGATGAATGGATGGGCTTGGACAGAGAAGCGTTCCGCGCCATTGCAACTAATGTTTACCAAGCGCACAAATGGAGCGTAGAAAATGGATACTTCCATTTCAGCGAAGCCGGGTATCTCAACTACGCCCTCGGTCTCGACGCCAACATTACAGATCAGGTCGACGACATCGCAGATACTGATGCGGCCTGGGCATACGACTCCGTATATTTCTCTGCCACGGAATGGCGCACAATCGACCAGGGCCTCTCCCGTCTTCCCCACGCTTTCACTCCCGCCGTAGAAGGCCGCATCCAATACAACACCACCGTACAAGGCCTCTCATGGAACTCAGAAACCAAAAAAATGTCCGTCCAATACCGCAACAAAGACCTCTTCTCCCCAACCCCAGAATCCCAAGAATTCGACTACATCGTCGTCGCCGTCCCCTTCAGCAAAGTCCGCCTCTGGCGTCTCCCCTCCTACACCAACCTCCTCACCCGCGCCATTGCTCGACTAAACTACGACCCCTCCTGCAAAGTCGCCCTCCACTACAAAACCCGTTTCTGGGAACACCTCGAAAACCCGATCATCGGCGGCTGCGGCTCAACCAACATCCCCCAAATCAGCAGCATCTGCTACCCATCCTACAAAATCAACTCCACCGGTCCCGGCGTAATCCTCGGCTCCTACATCTCCGGCACAGGAGCCCGCTCCGTCGGCTCCATGACCGAAGAACAACACGTCGCACACGTGCAACGCGCCATGGTCGAAGTGCACGGCAAAATTGCCGCGGAACAATGGACGGGGAATTACGATAGGATTTGTTGGGAGCATGAAGAATTTCAAGCTGGAGCTTGGTGTGGGCCGATTGTAGGACAACAAGATCTTTATTTACCGGCTTATTTTCATACGGAGAAACATACGGTTTTTGTGGGCGAGCATACGAGTTATACGCACGCTTGGATTTTTTCGGCGTTGGATAGTGCTGTGAGGGGCACGACGCAGTTGTTGTTGGATATGGGGCTTGTGGATGAAGCGAAGGAGATTGTGAATTTTTGGATGGCGAGGTGGATTGATTTGTAGGAAGATCCAAGACAAATATATCATCAAAAGTATAGACGGTTGTTCAACTAGTGGAGCAAGACCTTGTCTGATATTTACTTCCCAGTAACATCCTCCACTTTCTCCGTGTTGTACACATCAGTCCCAGCACCTTTCGATCCACTGACCACCGAGCTCCTCCTCCTTGCAACTTCCCTCGCCTCCTCGGTATCCTCATACGGAATAAGCAATTCACCCTTCTTGCCATATCTTCTCGGCTGCTCTTTGGCCACTTTGACGACATCGAAGATACCCTGGAAGCCGTGCACCTTGTGGAAAATTTCGTCCATTTCTTCAAGAGAGCGGTACGCAGTTTCGGGGAAGAAGAAGTACACGCAAGGCACCATGAAAGCGTTGATGACGGCAAACACGGTGTAGGTGTTGTATTCAATGTTGGCGAAGGCAACGGGTGTGACCATGACGACCATGAACTAAGGAGAATTAGCCAGACCTTTGAAATAGGCAATTGGGAAATAATAACTCACGTTGAAGATCCAGTTCGCCGTTGTGCTGATAGCGTTCGCTGGCGCACGGATGTCAAGTGGTGTGATCTCAGCAGGATACAGCCATGTCATGCCTGCACAGTAGGAAAGTCGTTCGTCAGCACATCTTTCTCGCGTCCTTCTCCATCTCATACGATACTAACCGAGCCAACCGACAGCGAAGAAGCTGTTGAACACAAACAGAAATACGGCTGCAGCGATTCCTGCTTTTTGACTTCGAGGATCGTCGGAAGGTATGGACGTCGTTCCCGCGAGAACAGCCATTGATAAGGCTTGTCCGATGGCGCCGAAAAGCATCAACTTCCGACGACCCACTTTCTCGATGGTGAAGATGGCGATGATGGAAGCCAGGAAATACTCGGTACCGTTCAAAGCGGCCAGCAGTCGACTAAGGAAAGGCGAAAGGCCAATGGAGTTCTCGAAGATGGTGGCCGCGTAGTACGTGATAATCTGTGCATCAGTTAGAAGGCGCAGTGCTGATTAGACTTCTGTAACACTCACGTTTATACCTAGAAGGAACAAGTCAGACTCAAAGAACGGCAGTGAACCTCTTGGTCAGATGTGACTTACCAGAAATTTGCTGGAACATTTGATTGACGTACGCGAGAGCTGTACGATGGAAGTTTCTGTTGCGATTGAACTTGAAGCAGTCCATGAAGCTGCCTTGGGCCATCTCAAAGACAGTGTCTTTCACTGCCTTGAACTCAGCCTGGACCTTTGGATCATCTTCAGTCGTATCGTTGAGTGCGGTCAGCACCTCCAAGGCTTCAGCGTCTCTGCCTTTCAGAACAAGCCTAGAACAAGATGAGTTTTGAGACCATGAATTAGGTGAGCATCGACTTACCATCGAGGTGATTCAGGCAAACCTGGGATCAGCGCGACAATGAACAATGCTAATATGATCTGAAACGCGATTGCTGAGGACTGTTAGAACCACGATACAAGTGGAACATGTAGGTGTGTGAGCAGACTCACGGAAGCGCCACGATATGGTACTGGGCTCCAGGAAGCTGAATCCCAGATCGATCCAATACGAAAGCATGACACCGAATACGATGAGCGAACCCTCGATCATGACCATCTGGCCTCTTCGATGCGATTTGGAAGTCTCCGATTGCTACCTCGGCTTAACGATGTGCATGTGACATGTGCGAGGACTTCTGGGCTTCAGTATGCTTCCCAGTGATGCGACTTACCCACGTAGGAACAGTGGAAGTGTTCATGCCATTGCCAAATCCGGTGATCCATCTCGATGAGATGAGCTGTCCAAGTTCGAAAGACGAGGCTTGAAGGGCAGCGCCAACGATCATGATAGCGCTGCCAACCAGAATTGTCTTTTTACGACCAAGAAGATTTCCCAACCAGATGGTGGCCACAGCACCGAAGAAGCATCCTAGAGTGTATCCACCGACAGTAATACCTTGAATATTGGAGACTTCGCTGGCAGTTCGGCCTGTCCGTTCTGGATGTTGTGTATCGATCTCGGGAAAGTGGTCGAGGAAAGACGGCAAGGTCAACAACCCGCCTGCGCGCTAGAGCATCAATGCCGATTCAATTGTGGAGCCGTTCAGATCGATCGCATACCCATAACACCCTACCTTGGTGGTTAGTCTTGGCAAATCTGGAGTGAATGTGGAAGTGGCAAGGACTCACCTGGTCATAGCCAAACAGGGCGAAATCCACACCCGCCACGACGGCGATGGCGATGTTGAGGTGAAGGCCTCGCAGGCCGTAGAACTTCTTGCCCATCTTGCTCACTGATGAGTTTCGATGGAAGCCCACAATAAACCCCAGAAAAGAGCAAGACGAAGCTTAAGAGGAGGAAGATATCAACAAGCGTTTTAACCATCAGCAGTCAAGCCACGCGAAGAAGCAGTGCATACGAGCGCCGGCCTGCCCCATCGAGCAATCCGGGGTGGGTATGATGCAGGCGTTGCTGGTACGAAGTTACCCAAGTGGCAAGCGGAAGCACCAAGGGGCGTGCGCCAGACTTTTGCTGCTTCTCAATGGCTGCACGTCGTTAAGGTTGGGCGTGGAGATGCGGAGAATGACGGGGTGCGCACATGCACGGCATGGAAGGCCTCGTGGAAGCGCGTCACAGAAGCTGGATATGGGAGGCCGAAATTATGGCGGAAACAGCGTGAGACGCCTGACATTTCCTTCCACGTGTTTGTAGTTCGCGTAAGCGTCGTCCGCGACCTTTCGAGGCTGGTGGTTGTTATTTGCCTCGGCTTGAAGGAGCTGAACCCGCGAGTTCGCGTGTTGGAAACTGGCTGAAGGAGCCAAAGTAATAAGCGGAGAGTCCGGGGATAGCCAATAGCGTATTCTTCGGCTGTTGTTGTGCAGCACTTGTGTCACATAGGTCTCCTTCACCTGCTTCTTGCTTGTGCATCACGCATGCATAACATCAAGACCGCTCTTCTTGGGCATGCTACCGGACAGCACTTCGCCGGATGATATACCACCTCTGCCTTGCATCTCAGGCGTGAGAATCATGCATGCGGTTCCGATATACGTCCAGTGGCTGCGCCAGTCGTCCTTGTGTCGCCTCCGATTACTATCGTTGCTCCAAAGGCAACCGGTAGAAGTCTTCGTGAAGAGACGGCGTCGAGGAGGTCGAGAGATGTTGTTGTCCAAGAGTCCGAATCGCAGCAAGAACGTGCCCGGGCTGCCCAACTGCAGATTGGAAGTTGCTTGGGCGGACTTGCCGTTGCCAGTCGCTCCCCAGTCAGGCTCCAATAATGTTTACAGTCCAGGTCCGATGGATTGCATAACAGGCTCACATAGCCACAGGAGAATTGCGGCAGCCTGCAGCCCAGAAGACAAGCACAACCAACAACCAGTCAAATGAATTCTCCTATACACAAATTCCTGATGGAATTGATGCAGCCTACATGCACGCGCCAAGTAGTGCACATGGGAGCGTTATGACTCCACCGCGTCAACTTGCGCGACTGGGATGAAGCCAGGCAACGAGTGTCTAAACTTGGACAACTTGGCACAAAACCGCTCACTGAGCAGCGACATCCTGTGTTGACATATTACTGCAGCAACGTCGATATACACATAACATGAGCAACGAGACACACATAAAAAGTGCTCGAACAGCGCAACATCAAGTCCACCATGCCTACTCAGCAAACCAAGTACGATCACATCACCAGACCTTCTGCACTGCAACTGATTGCAGTTCCCATTTGCAACAACATCAGATTTATCCAAAGCCTCTTTCAATATAATGTCGGCGAGCGCGATCGCGAATCAGATCCAGTACCAAGACGCCTTCGCCAACAAGAAGCAGCAATATTCCAAGTCACTCGAAGGCGGTAGTACCTCCAAATCCGCAGAGCCCAAGTCCGACTTCAACATCGGCAAGACCAGTCTAGAAGACCCATTCAAGTTCGACGACTCAGGATATCTCTCCAACGCATGCTACGACAGCAACAGCAAGGGCAAAGACAAAACCAACACTGGTCAAGATGCTGTGGACGACGAGTCCATTTACAGCACACCTATCGGCAAAAGCAAAATCCCATCAGCAACAGCGTCTGGCTCGGCCGACACGCCGATTCCCTACAGCAACAACCCGACTGCTGACAACGACAATGTTGTCAAGAAGGATTGTGACTCCTCCTCGAAGCAGGTCGACGACTACGACAAAATCGTCAAAGTCATCCATGACCACATCACGAGGGAGTTGCCCGCATTGCCTCCACGGGAGCAGCAGCAGCAGCAGGAGTCGAAGCCGCAGTCGGTCGAGGGGCAGAGAGAGACGAAGACCTGCTGTTGCGGACACAAAGCGGCTGAGAAGTCCGCCTCCACCGATGAGAAGGAGAGCGCTGTTAGCGGAGTCGAAGAGTCCGTCGCCGAGGAGAAGGCCGTTGCCGTTGAGCCCGAAGACCAGTCCGAGGGAAAGGAGGAGAAGGATGAGGGAGATGATACTGTGATTGTTACTCCGAAAGGTGGGTAATTGCCTGACAGGTCATGTTTGCATGTGTTTGCTAACTAAACGTAGTAGTCGAGTCTGGCGCTGAGCCAGTGCAGACCGAGGCGAAGGTTGAGGAGGAGGCTGAGAAGGACACCAAGCCTGTTGAGAATGCTAAAGACGAAGTCACCGAGCAGAAGAAGGATGAAGTCAAGCCTGACGTAGTCGAGAAGTGAATGAGATTCAACATTTCATGCCCGAAATTCATCTCGTAGTTTGTCCACCTGTGCGCGCGATAATGAATAATGAAGCTATGAGAATGAGTGCATTCATCCTAAGTTGCATCTCCAAGTTCAATGCCAGCCCCCATTCCTTGTCGATGTCACCGTAATGAAAACATTGAGAAAATGAGAGTTACACATGCCTAGTGTGTACAGTGATTACAGCCATCTCTGGCGCTGCCACTCAAATTTACACTACAAACCTCGCTTGAACGCATCAACACACTTTTCTCAGCATTCTCTATGCAACCCTCACAACATCCCCCTCCTCCAACCCCGATTCGCCAACTCCTCAATCTCCTTCACCTCCACCGGCCCCTTAACACTCTCATCACTCAACCCCTCCACCACCGCCTCAGCAACCAAATCCGCCTTCAGCGGCTTCGCCCCACCAGCCCCCATCAACCAAGTCAAATTCCCTCCCGTCAAAGAATTCACAATAAAACCCCCATACGTAACCGCCGCCATCGGAATCGTGAACCCTCGACTCGAATCAAACAGAAATCCTGGCCTGAAAAATAAATTCCTCATCTTTGGAAAATTCGTTGCGATGGAATCCTCCGCTTCCCTCTTTGTCTTGATATATCTCGCAGGGAGAATGGGTGCACCAGCCGCAGCGGAAATATACGCGAAACTTTTCACTCCGGCTTCATTTGCTTCTCTTGCTAAGACGATTGCCGAGTCGCGATTCATGAGTTCGTAGGTGATTTGTCCGTCTTGTTCCCCGGGTTCAATGGCACTGCCTTTTTGCATGGGATTTATATTGGAGCCTTGTTTCGTGGGACTGAAAGCGCGGCGGAGGCCCGAGATGGGGGATTCTTTGCCTTGGAGGACGCCTTTGTAATCGGCTTCGAGGAGGATTCCCATGCTGTGGATTACGTAGTCGGCGGATTGGAGGTCGGATGCGTAGGTGGAGGGTTGGAGGATGTTGGCGCTGCGCCAAGTTACGGATTTGGACCAGGTTGGGGCGGTGGTGTGGGAGGAGACGGAGGGCCAGGAGGGTTCGCCGGAGCGGCTGTAGGGAGCTTAGTGTTAGCGATCTGGACGGGATGATAACTGAGCGTGGAGATGTGTGTACCTGATTGAGACGACGTCCCAGTCTCGAGCTACAGCAGCTTTACATATTCTGCTGCCGAGAAAGCCATTGCCGCCGCATACGACGAGCTTCTTCTTTGCTGCTGTGGTAGCCATTGGGAAAACCAATGGCTGATCCTCTCCTTCGTATTATCCTTTTCAATATTTTCACGATACCGACGTGTGCTCTCGGTTGGTGTGAGCGGAAGTGGGTGTCAGTCGATGATGAAGAGTGCGGGAGAAGGTGGGAGAAGATGTTGGAGAACGCGTCGACTTTCACGAGATGGTGAGAAGCTCTGGTCAAGCTCCAGCAGATCGTTTACATCATGCAGTGGACCTTATCTTAGCGCCATCTGCACATCAAATTTTGACAAGTGAAACTCAATATTTGACGGTGGTAGTGAGACGCTCTCATGAGCAAAGCACACCTCGGAAGCTTCATCTACTTCTACCCTTCTATCTTCTATCTAGTAAATTTCATGCTGTTGAATCTTGCACGTAAAACGCATGGGCAATCGGGTTCTTGAGCCGTGGGCAGCCATCGACGCCTGATGCCTGCGTCGGCCTGCAACTGCTCCAGAATGAACTCTCTTTATGCCTTCCCGAAGCAGCTACGCAATGGGTATGGCGGGTCTAACGATGATGGCAACCAATGTCTACATGCACATCCAACTATTGAGACCCTCTCAATAAGTCTAGCGCGATCGCAGTGGGTCTCGGTGCCACTCGAAATCGATGAGTACTTTACCGGGTCCTCTCTCTGCTCCTCACAAGAGACGTTGCTCTTGTGTCTGCAATAAGCTGGTGGAAATGCTCTGTTTCTTGACCGGGGATCGGCTTCGTCCCTCGACAGCCCACTTGTTCTTATGCACTTGGACGCACTCCGTCGGCGAACAGTACTTGCTATCGAGGATATGTAGGATGCGAGGAAGGAAACGCTTCTCAAGAGTGCCCAAGGCCATCTCTCTCGAAGATCTCAGCCCCATTGTTGCTAATAACCAGATGTTCCGGGCTTCTTCAACCCCATTTCCGATGCCACAGAAGTGCCGGACGAGACTGTGATTGAGACTTTGAGCAGACTGCTTTTCCGAAGCACGATAGTGACAGGAGAGGTCTCTTATGTCGTGGGCATTCAGTATTTCCTTCAGCTGGTCTGCACTCTCCTTGGCTTTGACCGAAGGATGTCTCTGATAGGATGGCCATTTGCGTTCGGACGTGCGAAGAGAAGCCATGTTGTTTTTTGCTCCAATTTCAGATGACCACCACCGTCACATCAATCAACGTCGTCCAGAATTCGACCCTCTCTCTTTTGATGAGTCGACGTTTCTCGCAGCAGCCGATCGATCTCATCGATCGAATCATCTTGAGGCTTCGCGGCTTGAGCATCGGCAGCAGCGTTTTGATCACCAGGGTGTAGTCGCATTTCATCTGGAGCAGAATTCCCGACTTTCTGGTCTTGTTGCTGCTCTTCTGAAGTTTGTCCAGCTCCGTCCGCAGGTTGCTGGGACTTGTCTTCACTAGTCGACTTGTGCTCTCCTGTCCCATCCGCCCCAGTGCCTTTCACATAGTCTGTCACGACGGCGTTCAAATCTCCACTCTTTGAGCTGGATGTTTGTTCTTGGTCTTCTCGCAATGCCTGCTGCAACTTCTCGCCCCAGAGCAACGTGAAATTCACGTTGAAATACACGTCTCCAGTCTCCTTGTTCTTGAACACATAACGCAAACAATGCGTCTTATCGCCGATATACTTGATCACTTTCAAACTGAATCCCGGCAGCTTGAGAGCAAAATTGGCAAAGTCCAGATAAGGATTGTAAAAATCACCTTGATACAATCTCCCTTTCTGGAACACAAAATTCTTCCTATTTTCAGCATTCAAGAAGAACTTCCTCCTCTTTTCGTTGTTTTCTGGCAGGCCCAAATGATCTCTTACATCCTGCCCGCTGTCATCTGCGCCATCTGTCAATGCCCCCGGTGCAGGAAAATCCGCGCTGTCTTCGTATTCGCCTCCGATCCTCAACGCAAACCAGCAGGACAGAGAAGGACCATACAGCCAAGGTTCATCAGCATATACATCACAAGCAAGACCAGGATCGATGAACTCCTTCACGATCCTGAACGCAGTATTGAATCCCGGTGGCAGCCTATCGCGGACTGGATGATCCAAATCGTTACCCCAGACTGTATCGACGCTCGGAAGATCTTGTTTAGGAACGAAAGAGAAGCCGAGAGAGTATTGATCTTTCTCATGTAGGGGATTGTCGAAGTAATCTGACGTGGGAGGTGAGGCAGAAGGTAGTCCGCGGAAACCTCTCACTCGGACGCAAATTTTGGCTCGTAGGAATTCATTCTCGACAAATGTGGCTTCATTGGTGTTGACTTTTATTGTTCGGTGCTTTTCTTGGTCGTATGAAGGTCCTGCAGTGACCAAGAGTTTGTATTTCTCTGCTTCTTCTGTCGTAGCTGAGCTGCTTCCGAGCGAGCTTGCGAGGCCGGAGACTTTTGACTTGACGGTGGACGTCATGTTGGTGACTGTGCCGGGAAAAAGGTGGTATGCCAGCGAGTCAGTGCTGGCAGATATGATGTTGTTCGCTGAACGTGTTCTAGGCACGATGAATTGCTTTCTTGCACAGAGGTGACGTAGGAGATGATGTGTCGAGGTCGCCTCGCAAGCTCCTGCGCACATTCCAGACTAGGAAGGTTGGCAGCACACGATATCAAATCAGACAGTGCATGAGCACAACACGTAGTATACAGCCCAGGGACGGGTAAATAGCATATCAGTGAGTGGAGGCTGTGCATACAGTAACGTCACGGTCTCCGAGAGAAGCGAAGAAGTCAAGCCGCTTCCAAACGGCAGCTCAAAACCTCTCCCTTAATTGCGAGGGACGTTTTCGTAAGTAAGATGCGCTCACTGCACCCGAAGAGCGATGTTGCTCCGCATTGAAGACGGCACTATCGTGACTGTAGCTATCGCATGATGTCGGAATACTGGGCTCCCAGACCATGACACTGCAGTTTTGAACATAAAGGAACAGCGACGCATGCCTGGCGAAGGAGGTCCTCTGGCACGCGTCTGGTAATCACTGCACGAATCTGACGAGGAAACCCGATGTCGCTGCGATTTTCGAATCAGTGTTCCAGGATACACCTCTCTTGGCTGACATGATCTTATCAGGTCTATCGTCCATCATGTCGCGGCAAAGATGGTGGAAGAACCGGGAGACTGACGAGTCTCGTAGTCAGGGCCTATACCTAAGACGCACGACAGGTGCCAACTGCTGCTTCACCTTGAGACGCCTCTCGCTCGATGAGACAACGGCAGCGCAACCGCCCGACTATTGATTTCTTTAGTGAGTGGCGCTCCTCGTCAACATGGCGAAACTGGCGTTGCAGTGATGATTCGGATCGCAAACGAGCCAGCGAGTGGCGGCATGGTCAGGCGGGCCAGTTGTTCTAATCCTGCGCCGCATGTCAGTCAGCGACATGCTGCTCACTGAGCGATGTCAGGAGAGGGACGTTGAGAAGGCTCATATCTTCCGGCACGATCATTCTTGGTCCGACGCGCACTCGTGAGATGGCAAGGTCCTGCATTCGAAATCCTGCGCTGAGGAGATGTCACCGCATGGGCAGACCCCAGGTACTCGGAATTCGGCGTGATTGTGAGTGAAGGAGAAGGTTCGCGCGCTTGCGATTGTTGATCCTGTTCAGCGGCGTGGACAATCGCTGTATCTCGACCAGACAGCTCACATCCAACCACCAGCATCCGGTAACAGAGCTCGCCTAGCTGTCGAGGGGCGGCGAGCCTCCACAACCTCCTGTCATCTTCGATCTGCAAGGCTACAGCTGGTCTTTGCACCCGGTTGCGGCTGGATACCAGCCATGTGAGAAGATACCGGATGAGCCTAAAGGAAGAATTTGTCAAAGACGCTTCCTTAAAGGCTTGTCTACGGGACGATAGGATTCTTGAGTCTGGGTTCGATCAGATGCCGCCATAACTCAGGCCATGCTGGTCGCTGAGTCGGATCCTGCGACAGCGCGCGTGGAGACAAGTCAATGCAAGCAACCCCAAGCACGCGCGCGTCAATCGTGCTCAAGCGAGACGCCCGTAGCTGACTCTTTCTACGGGATCGCCACTAGGCGCAGCTGTCTGCACGAAGATCATGCATAGGCACTTTTCCAGGCACTTCCCCGTACCATGCGGCGTGGGCAGAACAGCGCACCAAGTTCAGCTCAGCGGTGCTGCATTGATGTAACAATGTCAGCAGCAGAGCCCGCAGTCTCTGGCCGGAGCAAGACCTGTGCAAACCATTGAAGTTGATGCGCTCCTGCATTGACATGCTGATCAGCCACACGCTTGCGAAGCCGACCCAGTATTTTGTGCTGACAATGGATTTCTTCTTGCGGTGAGTGCTAATTCGGGCACACTGCGACCGAGTCGGAAGTCTTTTCGATGGTTGACAGACGTAACCCTACTTGTGAGTCAACAGGGCTGCCTATTTTGCTTTCGGCACCTCAACGCAAGCCGGTTTCAGGAGAGCAAAAATCCCGAAGTCGTCGAGGCGACGGGAGTGACTCGCTGCTGCAGCAGGTGCTCGCCAGCGTGATCTGCGCAGAGTTCAGCCACCGCCGACCAAAATGTACTGCAGGTGGCCGGTGGAGATCTCATGGCGAAGCGCGTCGAAGGTGAAGTGCAGCGTCGTGGCAGGTCCACAAGTTGAAGTGTTCGTGTCGTTGTGACGTCTCGACCCTGGCCAGAAATAGACATGGATGACATTCGGCCACAGCCGAGCACGTGTCTGTGGACGTGTGGACGTCGCACTTTCCCGTGTTCGCATGAGCCTCAGCAGTGACTGCTGACCATCAAAATACATGTACCAATGCTACTGCTTCCGCTTCACAGCCCCAATGCATCAGGCCAAATTGCTCCGATGCTGACGAATAGATGATCATGATGCAATGGATGTTTGTCAAAGCAGAAGTGCATTTGTCGCACCAAGGCCAGCTGCAACGCGTCGCCTCTGTTTTAGAGGCTTGGTCGTCACAGAGCTGCTGACGAGTACACCGAATGGAAAGCTCATTCGCCTCCCGCTACCCACATAGTGAGGTAAGATGCAGCGCTGCGGCAAGAGGGACTGTCGCTATTTGACCGTATGTTCTTGACATTTTCTTGCCATCTTGCATCGACATCCATGGCGTATCTGTCTTTTTGAGTTCGCCATTGTCAGTCGCTTGTACAGCAGAATCGGGTCCATCAAGAGCGGCAGCTTTTCCTTTCAAGTCAAAGTGCTGGAAGTCAAGTAGCCCCGCAGGCCAAGACATAATCATGTTCAAACGAATCTGGCAGTCAGTTCTCTTCGCCAGCATAACACTCCAGACAGTGGTAGCACAAACAGCATGCAACAACAGCCCGGATCTCTGCGAAAGATCATACTCGAATATAACTTACCTTGGAGCACACAACAGTCCCTTTCTCCGCGATGAAACGACCAGCTTCTCCACATCCGGGAACCAATTCTACAATACCACTACACAATTAGCTGCCGGCGTCCGACTGGTATCTGCGCAAATACAGACTCCCAACGACACGGCTTCCGGCCTTCATGTCTGCCATACGAGTTGCTCACTACTTGACGCGGGGACACTGGAGAGCTGGCTGACGGAGATCAAAACCTGGATGGATGCGAATCCCAATGATGTTGTTACAGTCTTGCTTGTGAACGGAGCGGGCGCCTCTGCCAGTGAGATCGGGGCTGCTTACACTGCCTCTGGTATGAATCAGTATGCATATACGCCAACCAACACTACCGCGAACAGCGACTGGCCTACACTGCAGACTCTGATCAGTGCTGGGACGCGATCGATGAACTTCGTGGCGAGCCTCAGTGATAATGCTGGAGCGACATACTTGATGAACGAGTTCACCTATATCGTCGAGAACGACTACGACAATTCTGCGCCTACCGACTTCTCTTGTCAGGTGAGCCGGCCATCGAGCCTCGCAAATCAGGCTGCGACAGCCGTTTCCAGTGGTTACATGACGCTGGTAAACCACTTTCTCTACGAGAATCAAGCGTTTGGTAAGTGCGATATGATGAGTTCCCCAAAATTATCCTCGATGTGTCTGCTTACCATTAGTCACAGGAATTCAAAGTCCGAACGAGACATATACGCCAGTCACAAACTCCCCTGGCAGTGGCGTAGGCACCCTCGGCACTGCAGCATCAGAGTGTACCGCTCTCTACGGCAGAGCGCCCAACTTCTTTCTAGTTGACTTTTTCAACGTTGGTCCGGCGATCGAGGCCGTGGATACATTGAATGGCATCACCGCAACGGGTCGGACAACGGTACCCACAGCTTTGCTGAGCGAGACTTCGGGAAGTGTGCCAGCAATGAACAGGATATCGACAGTTCACTTGGGCTTCAGCGCGGCCTTGCTTGCTTGGATCTTGTTGTGAGACACGAATGTTTCGTGACGAATGTAACGCTTGATGACTGATACGACCTTGGAAAGAGCATAGCGATGGAGTTGAGAATAGCGGTCTGCCGGACTGTGGGACGCGCGGCACCTAGAACAATACATCAGATTAGACATAGAGATTCGGAGGGCGTTTCAATGATGCACTCCAAGCCTGCTCATAACATCACCTTTGTGTTCTCGTGGCTCTGCTTGCGTGAACAGATGGCGAGATATGACGGCTGCTATAGCTAAGTTCCCGTTGCAAGCTTTCGTGGGTCTGCTCGCCCGCCCGGTCGTCCAGACCGCATTTTAGCGTGGCGTCTGCCATGTTGCACTCGACACGAGCTGCAGTTTCATCAGACTCCCATTGTATGGGGTAGTAGTTTGGATCATGACATGACACGCCGTTCCCTTGTCCACAACATGGCATATGATCGAGGAGAAACGGTCGGTAACCTATCAGGAACACGGCGACGTCCAAAACTCAGAGCGGAGACTCTGCTCCGTCGGGTGACATGCTCGTTTAAGTCGGCATGGTAGTACGAGGGCGAAGTCCTTGATGCCTCTCGTTGGAGTCAACCATGTTCGCCTTATCCTGAGGTTGCGCCTTGCTGCTTGCGCTACCACTCTGTAACATGTCCGTCGACCAATGTTGACTTGAATTCACAAGGCGTTGCATCGCACAGCGCTGAAGCGAGTGGTAACTGTGCACCTCGCACCAACCCCAGTGCCGCAGTGGTGGGAAAGCTGCGAACCAGTCGCAGCGAGGCAGAGGAGTGATTCCTGGTCCGTGGGCGGTCCCACCCTGCCAGGTCCATACACCAGATCACAATGATCCGAACCAAGATGGCAGATCCGGGCCGTTCCCGGACATGTCGTTGGTTGCATTGCATGGCGCGCGAGGGGAGGATATATTAAGGCGATTCTCGTCCCACATGCCCCAGCTTCGGCGTTGCGCGAAAGGGGAAGATGCACTCGCGCCCCCATTACCTGGAGCGCGCTTGCGAGGAGTGCATCGAGGCTCCCGAGCCGTCGATGATGCGTCGATGGGCGGCAGCGTGCAGCTCGCTGGTGCAGCGGTCGCAGAGATGTGGTGCATCGCACATGACGTGCAATCTAAAGGGCAGCAGAGATAGATTGTTCGGGCAGCAAAGGAGCTGGCGTGCTCGCCGCCACATTTGGCCACAGCATGGTCGAGCGGTAGCATTCTCGCACCCAAGGCGCTGGCGACCTAGGCATGCACTGCACATCTCGCAGATGCTCGGTCGAGCTCTTGTTGGCTGACAGGGCGGCGGAAGTGCGGAATGGATCCAGACGGTGCTGAGGTCGAATGCCTGTGGCCATCAGGCGGGCACGCTCGTCGATTTGTGCGCCAAGCAACCAGGCGCCGCTTCTGCAGGAAGACGACGAGGTCAGCCCGTCGGCCACGTTGTTGTCTCCCAGCGCAGCGTCGCGGCGGGAAGGCGGCGGAGCGGGGCGGCGACAGCGTGGGAGGCCAAGCTCCAGCAACTGCAGCAGCCATGGCTCTTGCGTGTGATAAGGCCCGATGCAGCATCTCATCAATCGCGCCGGCGTGAGGTGCTGCTGGATGTCGCGGGTCCGTGGAGTTGGGAACGCGACATTTCGCCTCAATCCCTGCTGCCAATCACGCTGCCGTCGTCAGGCAGCACAGCGCTGCAACGTTTGAGATGGACCTCTTCCCATTTACGCCGCGTCCAATCAGCACACCACCTCGCACACCTCCTCTGCCTCTGCCGACCTGTCACGCCGCTGCGCTGCTGTCAACGGCATTAGCGCCCACCGCGAAGACCGCGCACGTCACCTCATGGCGGCGCGGCGACCTCCTGCCTGCGCGAACCTGGCGTCGCGGGGCGGTGGGAGCGCCTCCTCTGCAGTCCACGA